GATGGTACCACGCTATCTCCGATAGGCTGTGCTGCAACGACGACCGGGGCCAGCCCAATCGGTGAAGAGGTTTGTAGTTTGTAAATGACATCGGGTATGTCTTCACGGGGGAGTAGAGTGAGTTTGTCGGGTGAGAATGGAGACTCTGATTGGAATTTTTCCATCTCCTGGTCGACGTCTACATCATGCTTCTCGGGTGAAGATGCTTCTGCTTCTGGTGACTCTTCAGCCTCCGATTTTGACAGCTCATCATTCTCAGCGTGAGGAACCTGGCTTGATTCTTCTTCGTTGTTCGGATTGCCGGCGTCGGTGTGGATGGATTCCTTTTTGCGAACGATACGTTTTGCAACTTTGGAGCCCTGTGATCCAGTCAGAATCAGCTGCAAACAGATATAAAAACGTACACCGCTCGCACTCTGGCCCTTGTGCCTTTTCTTTGCGCCATACTCCGACTCATCAGAATCCTCCTCTATCAAGTTTCTGGAAGTCGTCTCAGCGTCGAGACATTTGAGAAACTCGAATACGTACATTTCCTTTCTGGTCTTGCGTTTCGACGGTCTCGGTTTCTTGGGAACTTCTTCCTCGCTCTCGTCTGTACCGTCCTCGGAGGACTCCACGGGACGAGTTGCATTGAACTCCTTTCCACTTCTCGTCGCTCGCTTATCGAACACGACAGGTGGCTGGTCGACCAATGTTGATTTATTGGGCAGCTTGTCATCCTCCACTACCGTGAACGATCCCTTGGTCTTTGCCTTGGGTTTCCGTGGTGATAAAGCTCCCTCTTCCGTTACAGTCTTCTTGAGGGAGTCAATGATGTATCATGAAATGCAGAAGGAGACAAACCTGCTTCTTGGGAGACTCTGACATCTTCCTTTGTCTTCCCGGTTTTCTCACTCTCTCGGCAAGAGGTTCCTCGTCGTCTGATGTCTCTCGCGACCGTTTCTGAGAATGCGAGTGACCCTCCGAACGCGTGGCTAGCTTGATTACGGGGAATGCTGGTCGGACTACGCACTCTTGGGAAACAAGAGACCGAATAGGATTCGCCTTGGCATATACCTCTGGTGGAACAGCGAGGAGACTTGGAGTATGTCCAACTCCCCAATCGTCCATGATTGACGCCCTCATCAGCGGATTAGGTGCGTGGAATTGCGGGAAGAATTTGGGCAGTATGACCTTGGGAGGAGCGCTGATCACAAGGATCTCCTGAGGGTGATCAGCCTCAGGGATTCGTGCACTCTTTGACGTGACACTTCCCGTCTCTTGGCCCCTATCTTGCACGGAAATACTAGTTTCGTCCATATCCTCCTCGTGGCCCTCGTTCTCGGACATTTGTAAGGGAGGGAGCGAAGGCTTTGGTGACTTCTTGCTTTGAGGTCGAGGAGCTGTCGTTGATGACGCTCCATGACTTGAGGGAGGCGGCGTTTTCGATTGTTGATATGCACCCTCGGGTAGTGGTATATGCCCTTTGGTTGGCGAGTATGCGTGAAGATACGAGGCGGTGTCGACTTGGCTGAATGAGGAGATAGGCTCGCGACCCGAAACTCGAGGGTGGGAGTACATGTGCATCCAGCTCATGCCATTAAAGTACTCTTCCTCGAAAGCTAATAAAGCTTCAGTTCGGTGTCAACAACGAAAATATGAGCGTCACCTTCGAAACCCTCCTCTTCAAAACCCGATCCATCGTTTGCTGAGGGAGCGTATGGTCCGAGTGCAGGAGGATGAAAGTAGCTAGGAGCCATCATATGAGGGTTTGGCATTTCATATGGATGCATTGGGCGCCCAGGGTAAGGATGCATCGAACGAGGAGGTGTAAAATGCATAGCATGGGACTGGTTATACGGTCCAGCGTAGAAGTACGGCTGTTCTCCACGTGGGAAAGAAAGCGAGCCGGCACGACGATGCACCTTATTTCGGGTGGGACCAGTCCCTCCTGAAGCAGCTCCAGCTTGTGTATGGCCACGATTAAACTGACGCCCAAGGCCATGAGGGAGGATTGGTTGAGGACGACGAGCAGGAAGAGGGCCGTCTGTTCCTCCAGTCGTAGGAGGAGCGGTGGGTGGGATGTTACGCCCCCCAGAGTTCTCGGTATCCTCGTAGGCGTACTCGAGTATCGGCTTGTGACCAACCAATGCATCTACGGGGCGAGTCTCCTTTTCCTTTTTAGCCGGTCGTGAAGACTGCTTGGGTTCTTTGTTGGGCTTTTTCATACGTCCCTTGGTGTTCGGTTTGACCGCTTTGTCGGAAGACTTGGGGACTGGATCTTTGCTGGGAGACTGCCGGGCCTTGTCTGAACGGCGGGCCTTGAAGGGTATCCGACCAGACGCTCCCAACGGCGGGAGAAGAGACGATGGCTTAGTTTCCTTCGATTCCTTGTGCTTTGAGAGCGGGCTCGAGTCCATGACGGTGGGCGACGACGGGACAATGTCATCCGATTTACTTGGACTTTCGTCGGCAGGCGAATGCACATCTTCGAGAGTGTTTTCATTTGGATCAATATCCTCGGTTATGAGCTCCATATAGAGATCAGAGACGCTCGTCGCCTCGCCTTCCTCTATCTCGGAGCTGTCTCGCCGCGAATGCTTGACGACATCCCTTGCCGTCGGAGGCGAGCGATCCAGTCGCAAGTCGACATTGCCTGAATTGAGAGGAGTTTTGGACACATCGGCTCCGCGTAGAGGTGGGTCCACTTTTGGCGGGCTGTCCATCGAGAAGTCCACTTCCATTCCACGAGGGGTATCGAAGTCAAAAAGAGAGTTGGACGAAGAAGATTGTTTCTTTCTTGGAGCAGCATCGTGAACACCCTGACTCCAGCGGACGAGATCGACCTCTCGTTGCGCACTCGACGGAACTCGAGACGAAGGCGGGGTTGGAAGTCCTTGCCGTGACTGCATCGCATTTGCACCTGCCGTCGCGGCCAGACGACGAAGCTCTACGAGCTCACGGGCAAGCAGGTCTACGCAATCTGCGGCATGCTGGGCGACTTGATCCCGAGTGCCGGTGTACTGGCATCCAAGGCGTGCCTGTGGGCATCTGTTTACGGCGAAGAATGAGCACAAGTGGAACACAGAGAGCTCGAGAGTGCGTACGGATGGTATGAACACTCGCTGAGGTGAGCATCCACACGGTTCAAGGGTCCTTTAAACCTGCATGTTCTTGGATATGTGCCCCCATTGGGGCACAGAACTGGTCGGTATGGGCAGACATGAAGGTGCGCGGATAGTTCTGATCTCACGACGGTGACCTTGCAGCCAGGATGAGGACAAGGTGTCAGAGATGCCTGGCACTGATTAGGAGACGTCAGCTACTGGTATGTAAAGCTACAAAGGCCGGGAATACCTTGATAGAATGCAACGGCTCGTCTGCGACGGATCCAGCCCAACCACAACCCCCGCCGTTTTGGCCATTGGCGCAGCGAATCTTCTGGGCTCCAAGAAACCTAGACGCAGTGGTGTCTACGACTCTATCTTTCTTTTTATGCATCGATGCACTGCAGCCACTTGTTGGGCATTTTTCGGTCTTGAGGGTCTTGACGCAGGTCGCGCAAGCAGAATGAGAATTGCGGCATATCTAGCGAGCATAATGAGTCTTTATGAGATGAAAGTCAAGATCATACCTGTAATGGGTCCTTGAGAATCAGATTGCAGACGGGACAGGTCCAAAAGTCTCCTGGCGGAACTGGAAACAGTTTCTGGAAGCATTTTCAGTCTACTATGTACGAGTTAGCCCTTCATACCGGATCATAGCCCATCGTTTAGGGGAGCTACGTCTGATCCAGATATTCGTCGGGAATTGGAGGGGAGTAGGAGTGCTTTATCAATCTAGAGACGTAAATAGGGCTGGATGGGAGAAGTAGAATGCTAGGGCGCATGGACAGAAACGCGGAGGTTTGGTGATTTGCGCGTTGGCTTCCATTTCTTGCGAGCATCCACAGTCGAGAATGCCAAAGAACGCTCTGGAAAGTGTTTAATTCCCGCATTCGCACTTCAGAACGTCGACCGTAGGACGTGGCGAGGTCAAGGAGCGATCTCCCGCATCAGTGACGACTTAAACTTTGTCTCAGCCAAAATGTTAGTAAGTTATGAATTCAAAATGATTTCGGACATTATACTGCCAGAAGAGCAGTATAGCAGGCAACAAGGACCAGCTGGCCCCTGCCACTCGCGCGTACTGCATGGGAGAGAGGACGTGTGCAGTGCGATGATACGAGGAGGTGAGACGCGTACATAGTGATTCAAATTCCAGTGGGCCATATATCTGGCTATAGAACTCTTCCCGCATTTGATAAATCGGTCGAACGTGTCTCGAAACCCAAGCGCCATCAGGCTATTATCAGTTTGAAGTTAGGCAAGTCACCTTCAAGGTAATTGTACAAGTCACGCGGAGCGCTAAACCAAGCGTTGTCCTTATTCTGCTGTGAATCACCTGCAGAGGTTGTATGAACGCTATGGTCCGGTTCTGTGCTTACCAAAGGATATCCTTGGAGATGCATTGATGCGCGACTGCTTGATATAATACGGAAATTATTCACTGCATTACTTGGACAACAAAACGCATTACAACAATAACGAAGAGAGACCTGGGAGTGGTGAAGGATGTAGGATTTGGAATAGTCGGCGCTGGATTTGGGAAAGCCAAAGGACGTACTTGCATGGCGGCTAAAATGCAATCTATTGTAGATTGACGAGAGTGTGGATGATGAGGAGGCTGAGAGCATGGAGTCGGTGTGTCTCGCTAAGACTGCAGAGACACCACGTTAGGAACAAAGTGAGCATGAAGTCAACTCACCAGGTCGATCCACCAAATTTCGCAAACTTCGCGAACTTCACAGAAATAGCCGTCCATAACCACAACTCTGTCGAAAAGGAAAGGTTGCCTTTCCCCATCACGACGATATGCCAAGATAGATGCGCCTCGAACTGTTATGAGACGAAATTGATTCACATGCTCCTGATCTCGAGTTTCTGTGAGCCCTTCTTGCATGCAGGGAAGAGTTTCGCTCGGCATTATATAGTGAAAGTCTCTCCGACACGATGCGCTTCAATATTTATTAAGATGCTATTTTCTGAATACTCTGGCCACTCACCAGGTGATAACTTGGTTGTGTTTACAGTCAATGTTGAAGGTCTGGCAGTGTGGACATTGATGACCAGTAGCACCTTCAATGACAATGGACACTTCGATGGTTACTCCGTGTTCCAGACGCCGCGACCACAACGCTGGTATGACCCCTTGGCGCTCATTGCTATGAACTAGCTCAAACCTACCCTCTTCAATAAAAGATCGACCTGCTAAGCCCTTGTGTTTTGCGAGGATGTAGATCATATCTCTCATCATCTCCTTGGTGGGTGAGCTGCGCCTGAAGCAAAACGAGGCTCCTTACTGCGTAAGTAAAGCAGAATGAGATAGGTATAGGAAAGTGCTGGCCCAGAGGATCAATCAATGTGATCCGAGCTTCGACTGGTCATTTCCTTGACACCGTTTTCAGGACCCTTTAATTTCCAGAATAGAGGCGTATGTACGCTCTATCTGTTGACCAACCGACGCGACCTCTCTGGAAACTTCGACCGCTACGTCTTGCATCCGGTTCGAGAGATTTTCCATCGATCCATGGAGGCGAGCGACCTCGTATCTTGTTCTGTCCTCTTGATGGCTCTGATTGTACCTGAATCAAGGCGAATCAATCCGCTGTTCAAAGGCAAGGAGTTACTTACATCTCAAGGAGCATTGTTAGCCGGGCATCCCCGGGACAGAAGCTCTTGTAGCTCCTTTGCCTCAGTAGTGCCCAAAGTGTGCCATGATGCTATCTGCCAAAGACCTTTGGGCTTCTTCCTTCTATTGAGAAAGGTGACGATGGCTTTGTGACAGTCCGCGGCCTGCGCAAGAAGGATGGCTAGATGGCCTTGGGTCTCCTGCGAGGTTTGGGGTCCTGTCTTGAGCAGTTGTATCCCATTCAAGATTTGTACTGTCTGAACGAGCTCGCCTTTGAGTGCCTGGTACTCGCTGGACGAGCCCGTCGTGTCGTGGAGCTCCTTGCCGATTTTCCAGAGCAGCTGGATGCACTGAGAAATATCTCCGAAAGAGCCATATGTAAAGGTGAAGATGGGCATTTCCAAGTTAAAGACACGATAAACGCCAACCTTCCACCTCTTTAGTCTTGCTGGCAACGCAGTTACTGCTGGGGAGACTGGCACGGCGCCAACGCCAAAAGGCTATGCCATTCACGTTCACAACCTACATTAATGAACGAACCGCCGCCTCTCCGAGTCGAAGGTCCTTTGAAGAAACAGTCGGTTAAGGCAGGAGTCAAACTCTCAGCTAGGGGAATTGGCGCATTGTATACTCTACCCAGTATATCTCCAAAGAGCACCTATGAACGTTCCCATTTTCAGCACCTTGAGATATTTGGGTCGAGTGAGCTCATCCATGATCCTAAATATGGAGCTTGCGCCTGGTTGACTGAATTACTCCAGTATTAGAACACCAAGACTGGAAATAGCTTGGAACTCGTCATTGTCGTCCATTCGTATAAGACGCCGCGCTAAAGCCTCCAGGTGCAGACATCAGCACACGATGATATCCGAAAAGGTTTATAAGCTTTGCCACGAAGCGGAGACAGTCAGCTCTAAGATGGCAAAGGAACCGTCACTTGGCCCCGGCGACATTTACCAGCGACTCTATGAAGAGCACGACCAGAGCCAAATCGTCGACAAGGAATCGCCGAATGTAAAGGAGATTACAGAGGAAGATCTTGAACGGGCTGCACAGTGCGGGAGGTGGGGTCCAACAAAGCCAAGCACGACGTTTCTCCGGGTAAGTCAAACTGCGGGGCGGCATACCGCCTCTAACAGACTATAGATATATCATGATGTTCTATGTACACTCGACGTAAATGTTGCTCAGGCGGTCGTCAGCCCACCGCTGTTGGGCACTTGCGGTGTGATGCCGTTGACTATTCTCTCAATGTAGGTAGCATCTCATAAATGAAACGTCTCTAATGAAATAATTAGCGTCCCAGATATTATGAGACACATGTCCAACCTGATTGTCCGAGCAGAAAAGGAGATTGTAATCGCAACCAATTATTGGATCTTCTCTGTGGCTTCTAGGTTTGTCAACAATGCTCTGAAAGAGCTTTCTCATCGGGCTCAGCAACGAAACCAGAGGATTGTCATGAAGGCGAGTCCTTTCTTTGAGTATGAACTTTGTTTGACGAGGAACCAGCTCATCTACGACCGAGGGAGTCCTTTGCAAATAATTGAGAATCATTTGCCCGTATCGGAGCAGACGTACACCTCGAAGGAGATCGGACTTCCCCCATCAGAAGAGATTCCGAATATTGATATCCAAGCCATCAACTATCACCGTCCCGTACTTGGGACTTTTCACGCCAAGTTTATGATTGTAGACCGCAAATTTGCGGTCGTTCAGAGCAATAATATCCAGGCATGTCTTGTCTAAACGCTGTTCACCCGTCTGATTCGTGACAGGACAACCCCAATCTTGAGATGGCGTGCCAACTCGAAGGACCGATAGTGGACTCTCTCTACGACATGATGCTTATTTCTTGGTGCAACAAACTCGAGCCACCGCCGCCTAGCATAAGCTCGCCGGCTGCAGCTGGAGCATTTCCGGCTCGTTCCATGACGATCAATTTAATGCCAAAGGAACATTCCGGGGAGGAAGCGCAGTCTTGCATCCACAGTTGGTCCCTAAGCTTCAAGCATATGGGAGGCCAGGGGACCAACCTACATGCCCGACCACCACTGATGGGGTGTTACATCCAGTGGAGAATGGAGGAACAAGCGACTTGACGCCAAAGCAAGAACCCGTCTCGACATCTGTCAGCCCGCGTCAAGTCTTGCATCCAGAAGGGAATGCTGAGCGTGGCGGAGACTTTCGAACTGGTGAGCCTCTTGGACAAGGCCATAACATTTTCTAATTCAGTCGAATAGAGAGCTATCTCTCTACGGGAGAAAGTGCAATTCCGCAGGCACAAATCGAACATCCATCTACTGACAATTCTCTGGAAGAGCATACGGTGGACGACCCGCACTACGATGCCGATATTGCGGGAGAGGTTGCTCGCGTTCAGTCCTCTGTCTCGCCTAAACCCGGCCTCACGCGTGTCCAAGCCGTTACTCGGCACTTGAACCACACCGTCTCACCGGACGTCGAAGGCGACGCGCCCGACTGTCTTCCAGAGGAAGAAATGACACCCTATATCCCTCATCCAACGCACGAAGCGTTTCCTATGGCGCTTGTCAATCGTTATCCCTTCGGTCCCCTTACGCACTCTTCGCTCTATACACCACAGAATCAAGCCTGGATCTCTGCGCTGCGTCATGCGAAGAAGAACGTGTTTATCCAAAGCCCGAATATCAATGCCGAGCCACTGCTTGCCGAGATCTTGAGCGCGGTTCGGAGGGGGATCGATGTGTATTGTTATGTGTGCCTTGGGTACAACGACTCGGGAGAGTTGCTGCCCAGACAAGGCGGAACGAACGAAATGGTGGCGCACAAACTGTTCACGACGCTTAAGCCGGAACATCACAAGAACTTGCATTGGTACTGGTACGTTGCCAAGGATATGATGGAACCCATCGTCGCGAAGAAGAAACAACGTACATGCCATATCAAACTCATGATCGTCGACGAACATATCGGCATTCAAGGCAGTGGAAACCAAGACACGCAGAGCTGGTTCCACTCACAAGAGGTCAATGTTATGTTCGACTCGGAGATGATCTGCCGTGCATGGATCGATGGACTCCGAAGGAATCAGAACACGCATCTTTATGGAGAGGTCAGCCAGGAGGACGGGATTTGGCGCGACAAAGCTGGGAACCAAGCGAAGGATGTTATTGGTGTCAATCCTGGAAAGTTTAGCTGGGCAAAGGGCCTCCTTGGCGCCATCGAGCGCGTTCGAGGTCAAGGCGGTTTCTGATCGTTTACGTGTCCGTATTTGAAGCTCAATATAGGCTTTTTGTGTCACATTTTGTTCATACAGTGATAGGCTGAGCCAGCGGAGCCTCACTGGACAGGCCATTGGCGTATTGGAACTCGTTAGAGTTTTCGTACTATCGCACATAAGCGAGCGCTTTTGAATCGGAATACGAACACACCTCCCACATATCCATGGCGACAATGCAGCTCTCTCGTACGACCGTCGGCGCGTCTTCTTTGTTCATCCACTTCTTGAGTACCGGCAAACACTCCTCCGTTGCGATTCCACCAAGTGCTTCAGCAGCCTCATGTCTCACCATTGCATTCTCCTCTTCATCCTCGAGCACCTTTATCAGTGCTGGGACCGACAGGGGCGAGAGGACTTGACCAAAGATAAATGCGACTTCATGCTTGAAGAGTGCCGACGGCTCCGAGGCGGTGAAGGCACTCGCTAGTGCGTCAATGGCTTTTGGGTGTGTTGGGCAAAGATTGCGCAGGGAGAACATTGCGCGATAGCGCGTAAAGAGTGGGACGTTATTGTCCACCAGTGTCTGTCGGAGTTGTTCAATCTCCTCATCTGAGGCAGTATACTTCTTCCCGGGCTTTGACTCTGGGATCGCTATCGGTGGCGCAGGGTCCTCCGACGTAAACTGCTTATCGCTTTCCGCTTGTTTGGCTTCCTTTTCACGGACACTCTTCCCTTCTCCCCAGTCCCATCGAATCTTTGCGATGGCAATCTCGCATGTCTCCCTGACCTCGCGGCATTCGCCTGGACGGTTGGCGTATTCTTCGAGGAGAGCGAGACAGTCTTCTTGCGAGATGGCACCAATAGCTTCCGCAGCTTCGTGTCGTACCATTGGGTCCTCGCCCAGGTTACGGAGGACAGACGTGAGGATTGGGAGAGCGAGTGGGTTGCGGAGCTGGCCCAGTACATAGGCAAGTTCGTGCTTTAGTCAAAGCAGATGGACCTTGGAAACCTGTTCATTGTCGTCCATGGTGTTCAGGAAAGCGGTTCGATGAGTTCAGTGAACGGTGGCAATGAAGAACACACCTTTTCCGATGATATCGATGACTCGCTCGTCGGTTTTTCCAATCGCTTTGAGGGTAAACAGCGCACGGAATTGCTGGGCGAGGGAGACTTTGCCAGAGGTGTTCAGCAAAGCGGCCTCCAAGCTCGCTAACTTGGTTGAATCAACTTGAATTGGAGCTTCTGACATTTCTACGTTCGATTTTTTGAATGTAAATCGCTGGATTACTCTGCGAGATATAATTGAGAGGTTATTCATGGTCCAAACGATGGCTTGTGCTTACCAGAGATGTTTGATGGAATATCAAGATATCAGTACGCCGCCCACGACGCCTGCGATGACCCGAAAAGACTGTGAAGCTGGGTGGCAGAAAGCAACTTGGCGCTGGCCATCACCGCGCTGGTCCTCGACAGATCCTCTTCCTGCTCTGTAGAGTAGTACCCTCGTATACGACTTGTATCGACGCCGTAGAATTCACTTGGCGTATCCTTTCGTTTCACCATGCCAAAGTCGAAACGCGCAAAAGTCGGTATGTTCTCCATTATGTCTCAAGGACAGCTGATGTAGGACCATGATGGCTAACGGACACTTTTCGCGTCTTTTTCATAGTCTCGTTGACAAAGACGGAGAAAAAGGGCCGAGCAAAAAAGGAGGCGTTGGTTCAAGAAGTGGGTCATTGTCATTTGGAGATAAAATCTCATTGCAGTACCTTTAGATACAAGAAAACTTGGACAAATGGAGATATCTCTGGCTGTTCGAGGTCGGCCATATGCGCAATGCGCATCTCAAAGACATTCGTGCCGATTGGAAAGAGTATGTCGCATCAGACATTTAGGAGTACAGCTCGCTAACCTTTTTAAGGACTGGTCGCATGTTCTTTGGACGCGTGAGCGTCATGGCTCTGGCACTTGGAACCTCCCCTGAACGCGAGCACATGCCAGGATTGTCAAAACTCTCAAACCATCTAAAGGGACAAGTCGGACTCTTCTTCACGTCATGGGATGTCTCCGAAACACTCGACTACTTTCACTCTATCCGCAGACCAGAGTTTGCACGCGCGGGATGCGTTGCAACACAGACATTCATAATACCCTCGGGTGGACCATTATCGCCGATTTTATCGCAAGAAGATAAGGCTGCTGGGATCGAGAGGAGCACACCCTTTCCGTCGGCAATGGAACCTCAGCTACGAAAATTAGGCTTGTCGACGAGATTGGAAAAGGGGAGCATTATGATGGCTGCCGAGCAGACGGTTTGCAAAGCTGGGGACAAGTTGACGAGCGAACAAGCGCAGATCCTCAAGCTGATGGGTGTCAAGATGAGCGTGTTCCGCGTCGGTCTACGGTGGCTGTGGGATAAGGAGACGGGGGATGTCAAGGAATATGACGCGCCCCTGGAAGATGAAGGCGATGCCGAAGAAAGCGAAGAGGAGGACGAGGAGATGGATGAATGAGCGACGCATTGTTTCAAAAGTATTGTACGTCCATTACGACAATTGGAGCACTCAAAATTAAAGAGTCCAATCAGAAGAAGCGAGATCCGGATGCCCGATATAAGATGGTTGATGTAGAGCCCCCTTGAGAGTGGAAGAAGCCGCCCAGGGTGAGCCCCGGGGACAGCGTTCGGAGCTCAAGTGGGTGGTGGCGTGATGGGGTAGAATTGAACTTGGTAGAGCCGATTGTCGTCGCCCTGGATGGATTTTGAGAAAAGAGAACAAGCTTAGCTATAAAAGGGGACCAACTAGCCACGCGAGACGCACGCGAGACCTCTCCCTAGACTATGGGCCACGGGCGCCCTGATCAGTCCTGGCTGCCACGGCTGCTGTGATGTCGGCAGCAGTGTACGAGAAATGAGACTACTCGCCGGAGATATTCCTTATTCGCTTTCTTCGAATTGACAGAGGTTTGTTGTACGACTGCGCTGTTCGGGCACGGAGCATGTCACCTTTGGTCCAAACGTCGTTGCGGAAAAGTCCGTACGCATATGTCTCCGTGAGGTCACGCTGGACTTGCAGGTGTACTAGCTGCTCGGAAGTAGCCGCCCGGAGAGTGTGGGTCAGCACCGAAAGGAAGCTCCGGAATCATTGAGAAAGATTATAGACCACACCGAGCGCTGGCGATGAAGAGTTACCAGGGCTCGCAGTTCCAGTGCGCCGTCCGCATTTATTGTCCGGCCGCATTTGGGAGACGGTCCTGATCAAGTCTAGCCAAACTTGTCGCGACAGCCCTTGACTTTTGTTTTTTTCTTATTCCGTTTTATCATATCATCCTTGTCGGACGCGGGGAATCGCACAGACGACAAAAGAGCCCCTCGAGCCGTGAATTCCGTTCCGGCCGTCACGCTCACGAGTCGCCCAGTCTGACAACAAAGAAGAGCGTCATTCCCGCATAACAGCGCACCTTGATCTCTGCGACGATCCAGCGACGGCAATCTCCCGTGCGCGTCCCAAGTGTTCCCTCGTTGTTCAAGCTCGTCGAATGTCCGACGAGGACGATGAAGAACGCATCACAATGACGACAACTCCCGCTCTCCCCACTCTGGACTCGCCAGGAGGACAACCGGCGGCTACAAGAAGCCAATCCACAGAGTCGACGGTTCAACACGGTGCTGGCAATGTTGAGGCAAGCATAAATCGCGATAAAACAAGCCAAGTAGAACGCATCAACATCCTCGTCGTTGGCCAACCTGCTACAGGCAAGACTGGACTCGTCAAACTCTTCTTGGAGACCGCCCCGTTATCACTCCAAGTTGGAGGCCCATCAGATGGACGACAACAGCCAGAATCAGGTTCTGAACATCCCGGACGGCTTGGAGACGATCCCAACCCAGCGGCTCTGCTTGCCCGCTGCGCCGAATTTGCTAGTTTTACATCGTTTTGCCCGACGACGGCGCTCTCGACGCTCGAAATCCCTGTCAAGGTACAAAAATCAGCGGATGGCTCTCCAGGGACAAAGACTCGAATCCTTTCCTTCATCGACACTCCTGGATTGCATCTCCATCTTCCTCACGAGAGAGAGCAGGTGGTCGACAGTATTCTCAATAGGATCACAGAAGGATTCGAAAGCGGTCTAAAGGCAGACACTGTGCGTCCTCTCTGCCACATCCCGCCGTGTCGACTAATCCCGGCTGCTTTTGCCGTTTGCTCGCAATACCTTTACGACATTTAGGAAATAGCAGCACGTGATAATCACATTCACTTGTAAGTTTGCCTCCAGCCACCGCGCCTCTGTCCGCCTCATTGTTCGCGCGCCTTGTGTCGGGTCCAGGTTTCGTTCCTTGCGAACATAGACTCACGAGCTCTCTGAAACAGGTGCCTCTACCTATTGGATCCAAACTCTGTTATTCCTTCGGAGACTCATCGTCTTTTGCACCCGGACCTTTACAATTCCTCACTCGCACACGCCCGTCAGCGAATACATCAGGCGACTCTCCCAATATCCGCCACTTCCCATCTCCTCCTTGCTGGCATGCCTGAACGGCTCTCCTCACCAAATGAACCACTTGATACAGGCACCACCACCAGGTACTACGATGCGGAGCCAACTTCTCCGTATAGCCAAATGGCCATTCTACCAGAAGAAAAGGAGTTGATTCAGCAAATTGCCCGTCGTGTGCCCGTCCTACCAATCATTGCCAGGGCGGATGAGCTGACGGAGAGCCGCCTGGAAGCTATCCAGGAGTGCGTGAAGAGGGAACTTCAAGGAAGCACGGAAGCATTACTCAAGACTCTACTGGAGGATTCGCGCACGCGTAGCTCGGCCGACGAACCCATGATGGAATCAGCTCCACGACAACAAGATAGGATAGCTCCAGCAATTATGTTACCAGAATCGTACCATCATGGAGATGGGGCTGGTCGAGCCACCACTAGACCCTCAAAGGAAGCATATGCGGAGAGATTTCGCGCGGAAGTGGGCGAGGGGTGGCCCCTGGATGAAAACTCGATTCAGGATAGCCGGAAGGACCTCGTTCGGTCGTATCGCTGGGGTACAATAAACGTCTTGGACGCGAAGTGCTCAGACTTTCTGCCACTCCGAACCGTCTTGTTGCATCCAAGAATCCGAGTACGTGATTTAGCTCATAGCATATAGCAAAGACCGATCTTCTTCAGGAACTGCGTGACCTTGTCATGGAACGATATCTGCCAGTATATCTCGCCGACATACAAGCCCCACCATCAAAGGAGACAACTGTTCCACGGCATCGCCAGGAGCCATCTTCTGGCTCATCGTTTGCTGCACCGTATTCACCTCTATCCTTGGCCCATACGCCTGGATTGCCACCTTCTCCAACGGCACCATTCCCTCAGCCCAGATCTCGTTCATCGCTCACCTCGCACACTACGGGCCCTACTCGTGGTACGCATCAAGAAGAGCCCGCACCAGTCGTCTCTCCGGCACTCGTCACACCTTCTGCTCGTTCTTATCCATCGCGTGGCAGTATCCAGTTCGCGGTCCCATACTCGTACAAGCCCTCGGCACCTTTGCCACCAGGACAGGCTTCATCCTCATCTAGTGGGTTTGTCGGCGGACCACCAGTTACCACACCCTCGGTTCCAATCAGATGGGCGGATCAGACTACACCCTTGGGTCGAAGGGGGAGTGGGAAGAAGTTATATGTTTCAGGTAAGCCTAGTCCGCTTTACTTCGCGGCGAGTCTAACCAGAACAGGTGCATCGTCTCCCGTCCTCACTGCGCCAGCGCCCATGCAGAGTACTTCGAATCCAGTCTATCAAGCAAGATTGACAGCCAAATCTCTGATGGGGAACCCAGAAGCCACTCTTGAACAGTCAGCTTCTTCAGGTACATCAGCACTCACTACTGGAGTACCCAACGTTGCCCCACAGACTGGTTCAATTTACCCGGCAAAGTCACGGACAGGTCGCAAGATCGCCGTGGCATGTAATTTTTGTCGATGTGAGCACTCCTCGTGCTCATATTTAGAGGTTCTCATCTAGTTATTATAGCACGCAAGCTTAAATGCGATGGTGTCCGGCCGGTGTGTGGACAATGCAGTCGACGTGGCGTTCCATGTGCATATGAAATGACTGTGAAGAAGCGAGGAATGGGGAAGATGACGCTCGCGGCTACAGCCGTTGAAGCTGCCGATAGCGGCGACGGGAGCGGTGTAACACCCCCGACATCAAGCATACCCCCCGCTTCTGCTGCGGAGACAACGCGAGTTCTTCCCAGTGGCTCGAAGCAAATACAGTGGCGCATAGACGTGCGTGGATCCGATCCTTCGACTCTCACTTCTGTGGGCAACGTCGGCCCTGCTCTGCCAGGAGGTACCACTGAAAGCACGCAACCTCAGTCGCCGCTAGCAGCTGATCTTCAAGCGGTACTGCTCTCCGAGATTCCCTCTCGAGGGTATGCGTGTCAATTCTGCCGCGCGCGGAAGACGCGATGCGATGGTACGCTTCCCAAATGCTCTAATTGCGCAAAGAGGGGTCAAGCTTGCGTCTACCCGCCTTCGTATTTCCACGCTGCGTCGGCGTCTGGTGAACATATCGCCTTTACTTCTTCATCTGGATCAAGTGATCAGCAAAAACCGCCGACAGATCCTCTGCAATCCTCTGGGTCGGCAGCGACAGCGGTGTCCAATCCGACGCCTCGTTTAGGCACAAGTGGGGTTTCGTTGCCTCCCCTTAGTTCACTTCCCTTGGATCAGCCGCTTCGGGAACGATCTTCGTCCTCCCAGTCGACTTCAACGTCGTATTGGCCTGGCCGAGCTGGAAATGTATCTGGCACGCTCTTGCCCTCCCGACAGCCTCCGCTTTCTCCCTTGAGCACGTCGCGTCCATTCCCGTCATATGGAAGGTCGACTGATCGAGGTCCAGACTCGCGAATGGCTACTTCCAGCTCTCGAACGAGTACATTGTCTCGACCTCCGCTCCTCATCTCGACGTCACCTACCGCCCCTGCTCTACCTCCGAGTGGTTCGAATATCTCGCCTTTGACACTTAGTCAGAGCACACCTTTTGCGATCCCATTCCCCCGCCGTGACTCTGGCGAGCAGCAAGGGCCTATAGGGTTGATGAGAAGGCCAAGCACAGCTGAATCCGCGAGCCAAAGCTACACGTGGCGGGATCGTAGCTCGGTGAGCTCGTCATCTACACGCGGTGGAGGACCGTATGGAATGGGTGGAGAAAGAAAACGCAAGGCCAGCGGTTCAGAGGGTGGTCAGGACAAGGAAGACGAGGAGGATGCCTCGGCTCCCTCGCCCCCAAAGCGAAGGAGAATCTCTGGTGATGAGCCTTCTTTGATAGGAGAAAGAAGATCGTCCAACGATGAAACCAGGAAATAGTCGCATGTTGGTGCCACACAGTACGTTCCTCATGTCGCTGCCTCTCATATATTCTGACTCGTGGATATGTAGCACGGACACAATTCCTTTGTGATTATTATTTCACGACAATATCGGACATCAAGTATTGGCGAGGTTCCTTTATCTCGCTTCACGACCCCGGCTACGCTTCTGTTCTCTTCGTTTCGCATTTGCAATCCTCTGTTCGACCCAATCCAACCAAGGGAGATACGGCTCCCTTCCATATTCACGTATCACTTTCTTTCGGCGTGCAACTTATGATTTTGCTCGCCGCTGACTGTATCCACCGTTTGTTCGCTCCTTTCCCCCTTCTAGGGTACCTTATGGATGACTACGTTAGAGTGCAAACTTTGGCTACGTCGTTCATACGACGTTTTGACTGTTTTCGTACCTGCTCACAGCTCCTTACTATCTGTTCATCTCGAGCCAACTACATTCGACCCTGTGATAATTTGACGTTTTGTATCTGCTTCCCGTCTCCTGAGGTGTGATGAGTCTCAGGGCGCGAATTATTATTTGCGCAAGGATATCGTCCGTGCACGCGTTAGTCAAGTGCACGAACGAGTTTCTAATGTACCGATTCTTCAGCAAAGCTAAGATGCAGATAATGTTTATGACATCTTGATGATGATTAGCGGTGGCAGGAAGCGTCTCACTCTTTGACCCCTGCGTTGCTAAGCGCAAACGCATGGTGAACAGTGTTACCTGAACTTGTAGCGAATACTACCTCCGGTTTAATACGCTCAGTGCACGTGTTCACCATGCCAAGGGCAATTCAAAAGTTCGTGCGCAATCTCCGTAAAGTGAGAGATTCCTTCCAGCAACTCTTGAGTGCTAACTCGTACAAAGACCCTACGTCGCAAACGTCGGAACCTGCTAGGCGGCTCATCTACCTCGGATTTGAGGCTACCACGCAACGAGAAGCTACCGTTTGAGATTCTCGGAAAGATTATGCAGATTTTAGGGACGATGTCAACCACAGCGAGGATCCTAATGCAATGGACCGAATCCGTTTGGTTTGTAGGTCCTGGATGCATGCGGCAGATGGTCACCCAACTCTCTGGTCAACCATAGTGATACGAATGGGATCACATAGAGTCACATTCTGGCTCCAATATGTCCGAACTCGCCTTCGGCGCTCTGGTGCCGCACCTTTTCTGGAAATCAGCTTGCTAGACAGCGCAGACAGACCGTGGTGGCCCCTATTTCCGGATAGAGGATACTACTACAGCGTATTCTGTGAGATGCTTGACGTTTTGGTTGGTGAAGAGGGCGAAGTTGCCGCTCGATGGAAGCGATTTACATATCATGGCTTGTCAATACCAGAGCAAACTCCGGAATGGTTGGGGGAGAATATCGAGCACCTCCTATCATTTAGCACACCTCATCTTGAGCTGGTGGAAATTGTGGATCTCCAATCAAGCTCGCCCAAACCACTTCTCCCTTGGACACCATCCCTTAAATCATTGACATGGCGCAACAACGATCTACACGCCCTCCGTGGTCTTTCAATGAATAGACCACTTCTTCTAAAATGGGTGAATCTAAGCATGGGGAGCAGGATCTCACCATTGCTTTACGAACTTCCCCAGGCGCAGAATTTGGTGCTGCTAGCGATCGTCGGATATGTTCCCTGGGAGTTCCCTGAAGGGTCGACATTTCCCATGTTGCTTCATCTCCTGATAGCAGGGTCCAGCTTTAACGATCGAGTAATGCAACACTTTTCTGCGCCGAATATCCAGACCCTGGCGCTCTGTGTACCTCCTAATGAAATGGTCATAGTGCTCGAAAGATCCAATCTCTCTCTAGCAAAGCTTCGCCAACTCGATTTGAAGACAATATCAGAGCCAGCCGAAGGACTCCCTCCAACTCCGGATATTTATGCGATTGCGCCTAACCTCCAGAGGCTTGGGGTCGAACGTGATTCGAGATTTCTGTTCAGGATTATGGCGCTCGCCAGGGAGCGGTATGCAGAACGATTGGCTATAGTGGCTCGCGGTTGAGGACATAAATGGGTCATAATAGGCTTTATGTGACTGTTCGTCCTTTTCATCTACTGAGCACACGCATTTATTTCTTTTTTAAACGTAATTAAGAGATATCAATTCAGGACTAAAAGGGTAAGACCGGTGAACCAACCCCGGCGAGCTCGTATCTGAGGCTGCGGCTCAGTTCGAAAAGAGAGGAAAATATGGAGGCTGGATTGAGGCTGGAAAATAATTTTTGAAAACGTTTAGGATATAGCGCAAGTACGCGAACAAAGGAGGGCTCCAAATAGGTGTGCAAGGGACCCGTGCGGAGAATCCTCAATGAACGCGCAGTTAGTCGATATGACATTCATTGGGACATGATTACGAAAGCAGCCTTCTTGGCCGGCTGTCCGGCCCATATTACGGTCAGCGCTTGCTCCCGACCACATCTTGCGCGTTATGCCTGGCCTCTCTGCATTCGAAAGAGTCCCGGTGGAGGTGCTGAGCTACATATTCCTCATCGTCAGAGATGAGCCTGCCTATGACCCTGTCGCGCTTCCGAATCTCGAGTTGGTGTGTCGCTCATGGGCGGTGACATTGGCTCTATATCCATCTTTCTGGTGTCATTTGTCGATTAGCATTGGATGGAGACCCATCGGGTTCTGGCTAAGCTACACCAAGGCGCATCTCCGACGCGCTAGATCGGACCAACTGCTAGTCATTAAATTTGCCACTAGCCCCATCAGACGTTGGTGGCTGGAGGAAGGCGGTTTCGAGATTTACCAGAAACTAGTCCAGACACTCACGGGAGAGCATGGAGAAGTGGCCCAGAGATGGAAGCGACTCCAGTGCGAGCTATTCGGTGGATTCGAGTCTGTTGTCCAGGACACCCTTTTTATATTTCCCACTCCGAACCTTGAATGGCTGGAGCTAGAGGAATTTGTCTCGCCTAGAGCCTTCACCATGCTGCCCTCGACACCTTCTCTTCGACACCTGCGCCTCACTAACTGCATACACCCAATCCCTCAAGGTATCTCTCTTGGGGATATTAAATCCTTGAAGTCCCTCGATACAAAATCCAAAAGAGTTCCACCACTGTTGCCTCTACTTCCTCGAGCTACAACCCTTTCCACCCTCAAACTGTGGAGTCTCTTAGAATGGCAGTTCGTGCCACGGACTACACTCCCAGCACTTCGAGAACTCTGCCTCGCTGGTCCCATATTGCCCGATGCCTTTCGGCATTTTGATGCACCCAATCTAGAAGTCTTACGTTTTCGGACAGACGAAGACGTCGCCACCCCTATATTTAACTGCCTGACATTTCCCTTTCAGAATATCTGTCATCTCGATTTGACTTGCCGGTGGCGAAATAAATTAGGACAAAAGTCTCCTGAACCCCGTAGAAAGCACTTTCAGTCAGTAAAACTCCTCAAGGCGTTCACCAATATTTCAACTATGGAGATACACAATTATGACGAAACTTGCGAACTTTGTTCGACCCTCGTTACTCAAGCGAACCTACAGACGGACGCAGCAGTGCAGTTGATCTGCCACTCAAAAATGGAATATCGGTCGATTAGAGTTGCTCCGCTCATGTACCGTATATTCCAATCATAGATGGATGTATGTTACATTTCTTGGCCATTTCGCATTCCTGGTATCTGACCTCCTCCGAACGTTGTCACTATATTGACGTGATGCGGAGATCATGTTTGATAGCACTCGTCACGCAGTGGCAGAGTGGCGAGGGGAAGGAGCGGAGATGAGTGGCGGAGATTGGATCGTGTTTACCTCATTCGGTTTGCTTACCGCTCCGTCTGAGACCTTGCGTTCATTGTCTAGGTGCAATAATTGAGGTTTCTTGGAAGTACTATTCCGAATTTGTTTCGTAATGCTTTTTACAACTCTCTTGCGAGAAACATTCGCCGGACAGACTCAAACGCCTGGTGACCGTTTTTTTTGACGCGTCGTCCAGAAATAAACCTCGCAAGGCGAATTTTCTGACTGAAATATGGCTACGGCACACGTTCGTATCAATATGAACCATAGCGCTCCAATGTTGCCGTACGGCCGTTTGAACCGCCATATGGGCCACGGCTTCTCGTCCACACGGACTCGCCGGAAGACCATATTTATAACACCTTTCCTTGCAAAGGCCTTCTCAGTTCACGTTCCGACCAACTCCCATCGTCTCGTAGGCCTACGCCTCGACGCCTGTTCCCTAATCCTTTGTTCTCCTCAAAGGACGCACACTTCCACTTGGTCTTTCATCTCATTCAGCTGCCCGCTGCCATGAAGTCGTCCATCATTACTACATTTGCCTCGACATCGCTCTTTGCCGTCTCCGGAGTCCAGGCATGGGGTGTACTGGGTCATCAAACCGTTGCATTGGTTGCGCAAAGCTTTCTCCTCCCAACGACAATAAAAAAAGTGCAGTCGGTGCTCAACGACACATCGTCGTCGTACATGGGAAACGTCGCCACCTGGGCAGATCAGTTCAGGTCGCAACCCGGTCAAGGATGGTCAGCTGGTTTGCATTACATTGATCCTCTGGATGGACCACCACCAGAGAGCTGTGTCATTCATGAAATGGATTGCCCCGCCGGTGGATGCGTGCTCAGCGCGTTGGCAAACTATGTGAGCTTGTTTCTTTGAATTCGGTTTGGGGAACGTGACTGACAATGGTGTAGACGGCTCGTGTACAAGATACCAAGCTCGATGTGGCAGATAGAGCTCAAGCGATGAAGTTTATCATTCACGTACGTGCACTCTTGACTTGTATCTACTCGCTCATATTATCGTAGTTTATGGGTGACATTGCGCAACCACTTCATACAGAGGAATGGGGTCAAGGAGTGAACAATCTCACCGTCTTCTTCAAGGGCTACAAGACGAATATGGTACGTGGTTATCGAAAAAGTATAGGTCGCTCATCCAGGCTAGCACGCAGCATGGGATACGTCCATCCCGAACTCGATGCTTTCACTGGCGCCAACCGCAAACATCACCATGGACAACTCATTTTCGTTGGCAGACCAACTTCATACCGCTATCAAGTCGGGTGAATACAAGCAGAATGTGACGAGCTGGGTCCACCCATGGCATATCAAGGCTCGAAACCCATACTCTGCCGAGAATACGACCGAGGCGATTGCGACCACTTTTGCGCAAGAGTCGAACAACTATGTTTGTGGCTACGCACTCAGCTCGCCAGACGGACCCAACTCGTATAATGGCACGGAGATTGGTGGGCAGTACACGAATGGTGCTGTACCGATTATCCGTATCAGTCTTGCGAGAGCAGGAGTCAGACTAGCGGCATGGCTCAATCTGATCTACACAGGCAAGACCGGATTCTAGAGTATGGGCCTAGATGTAAAAAGACATGCGTTATTACGAGCCATTTACCGGAGAAAAGCCGAGTTACCGGAATTGTTTAGATAATCATATCCGGGCGCAGCGACTCCTGTCCAAAGCCGGCGCTGCGCGTTGCAGTGACGTCGTCGCCGTAAACAGATAAAGCCGCCACGCCACCCAGCACAGAACCTTGAACCCTCCCACAACTTTAGCGAAATAACCATGACCTATCCAGTAACTGTAAGTTGTACATGAAGCCTGGATCTCGCTCCTGATCGCAGCTTGGCAGGTCTCTAGCCTTTCCTCGACGACGACAGAGAAGTCGCTGTCCGAGTTCTTCTCGTACGTATCACAGTCTGCCTAGAGGTGATTTATGTACTGGTTTCTGACTGCATCTCTGCACCCTATAGGTTCTGCGGCAAAATCTCTTCGATCCAGCACGAGTCCGGCGCTGGAACTGCGACAATCACCTTTGAGAAGCAACAGGCAGCAAAGACGGCGCTCATGCTCAACGGTGGAACGCTAGATGGTAACACCATTCATGTCACGAGCGACACCGTCACCGATGAGCATGATACAACCGGACGAGCGTCGCTAGACGAGGGAAGTACCTCGTATGAGCAACACGACAAGCCGCGTGCAGGTATTGTCGCAGAGCTTCTTGCCAAAGGCTACGTCCTCTCGGAGCACGTGCTACACAAGGCGATTGAAGTTGACCAGAAGCAGGTTCGTCCAACGTCTTTATAGAGAGACCTTGCTGACGTATTCTACAGGGTATCTCGACTCGCTTCCTCAACTATATGCGCTCGCTCGACAAGACACTCGGCGAGAAGATTAGCGGACCAGAGGGAACCGTGAGCGGCAAAGCCAAAGAGGTTGTCGACCAGGGATACGCTCAGGCCAAGTCCATCGACGAACAGCACGGAATCTCGAAGCAAACCCAGGACTATTACTCGCGCGCCGTCCAATCGCCGTTTGGCCAAAAGGTCATGGCGTTTTATACACAGGCGGCCAAGCAAGTCGCCGATGTGCATGAAGAGGCGAAACGCATCGCAGAGCTCGAGAAAGAAAAGGCAGCGCACGCTGCAGAGACTGCGCCACCCTCGACTGCTCCGACGACAGCCGCTCCTGGTGCTTCGTACTAAATACAAATAAGAATATGTAGAACAGATTGGTTAATAATGATCTTGTGTTGATTTTACGAATACTTTTACTGAGTTTACGCCGTATTTGGTCTTGTTTGGCCTCCCCTCTCTGAACTTTTCGACCTTTCCCTCAGGTAAGCGTTGGCATTTGCTACAACGCTTTGCGACAATATCATTGTGTTATTTGTGTCACACGCCCATTGCAACGTCGATTGCTCCTGTGTGCTGGACAACCAGATGCACTTTGCACGGCGGCTCTATCGACCTTGGCTCGGTTCTGGCTTGGAAGATATGATCGCTAATACTCTCTTTTTCATAGATTATCTCTAATGTCGCAGGCGAAGACCACAAAAGCCCCGGCGGAGAAGAAGGGTCAGTAGCCTCGCCGTTCCTCTGTAAGAATACTAACAGCCCCTTATTTCTATGCATATATCATCATATTCGATATTTGCAACGCATCAATCATTCTCTTCAACGCCACTTTGCATCCTGACGATGCTCATCCACGATGCATAAACCATGGAAAATCATCCTACAGGAGCCAAGTCCGACTCCAAGGACGCAAAGGCTAAAGCCGCGAAAAAGGCCGCACTAAAGGGAGCGTCGTCGACGATCAAGCGCAAGACACGCACCTCGGTCTCCTTCCACCGTCCAAAGACACTCCGTCTGCCCCGTGCACCCAAATATCCACGCACATCGATCCCTCATGCACCACGAATGGACCAATACCGCACCATCGTCTCGCCACTCAACACCGAGAGCGCGATGAAAAAGATTGAAGAGCACAATACGCTCGTATTCATTGTGGATGTAAAGGCCAACAAGCGTCAGATTCGCGAAGCCGTCAAGAAGCTCTACGACGTCCAGGCTGCAAAGATTAACACCCTCATCCGACCGGATGGAAAGAAAAAGGCGTACGTCAGATTGACGAGCGACTTTGATGCGCTCGATGTGGCGAACAAGGTGCGTTTCTACTCCCTTTCGTTGACGCGATATTCACGTCACTACAGATTGGTTTCATATAGGCACATCTTCGCATACCTTTTGTGACATTAGGCTCTGTGGCTAGTCCATGATCTTGCATGCGAATGATTATGTCTATGAAGCGCAATTCACGATAAACGATTCTCTATTCAGGCACGACGACTGCAACAAGGACCAACAAGAGGAAAAGACGATGTACATTGTACACCGCGAGTCTACATGGTGATACAGAATTGAGCGATTCAAAGGAATGTGTGGTGCGACGAACTTGTTTGTGCCCGTCGACGCCCAAAAAAAAGGATGAATACGATGACGGTTAGGTTATGTCTGTTTTCAACCATGATCCATGGTTGGTTCTATAGAAACAAGTCTGGGTTTAGAGACGCTTTGAGAGCAGCGACCCAGGAACCGGCTGGAAGGATCCCAAAGGGGATGTGACGCCAGCAGTCGGCAACGACGGCATCGGGGGCGTCGCGGATGAGTTTTGTTGGAAGAGAAGCAGAGGTGCCGGCGGTGCGCGTCTCGTACCAGATCGAGAGACGGCTGGCGCGGGTGAAGGACCCGGTGATGGAGAAGTTGCCGTTGATGGACGAGACTGAGGTTGAAGTTGTCGGAACAGCGCGGTGCGTTCCTGGTGTAGGACATAGGACTAAGAGATGTGAGCAAAGGAACAGATACAAAGACTGGAGAGACGCACGCGTGCCAAGAGGATATTGTGAACCCAGTGCCCACCATCCATCGCGTCGCAGGAAAAGACGTGGTGGTAATCCGTCATGCTCTCGAAAAGCCTCATATTTTGCACCGACTTGACGGAAAAGGTGTACGGCTTGGGTGACTTGTGAATGCGCGTAATGTTATACGCATCAAAGTTGGAGAGCGTGCAGAGATGCGTAGCGTCCTTTGCCTAAGAAAAGGTCAATAGTTTGGAGGAGTAAAGTCGCAAATGCACGTACACCTTGTCGTTTCGAGAGCCACAAACTGTGCTCGCGAAGCTCGAGCCAGCGCTTCGTCCACTTGCCGCGTTTTTGCTCCCATTCGACGTATCCACTGTACGTGGGCGAGGCTTTGGGCATCGCCTCTGCAGCGAGATACGGTGCGAGCGGCGTACGTTTGAGCATAAAGTAGTTCATGCGTGTATCCGAGTTCCACGAGTTGTACACCTCCATCAACAGCTCGTACTCACGAATCGGGCGTTCTATCCCATCATCAGAACGCATGCCATCGGAAACACAAAAAACTCACCCATCCCAAAATCGTTGGCCATCTCAAATACCATCCAGTCGTCTTGTGCGACCTCTTCTGGTGCCAAATCACCTCTCGAGGCGAGTTCTTCAACCACATCGCGGGCATTCGTCTTGGAGCCAATCTCAACGACGCCGAAACGCTGCATGTCGCCGATGAAAATGCGCTGTTGCATCATAAACCCGCCAGATGCATCTCCTGCGGACGAACGCTCCCCTTGATTGTTCCATGCCGAGTCGCTTTGGCGAGATAGAGGGAGAGGAGGCAATGGTACTTGTGGCATCGGGTGTGGTGCCTTTGATGAATGCAACGACGTAGCTCGCTGTCGGAGTTTGTTCGCTCCAGAAGAACTGACGAGTTTGCCGAGTAACGTATCCGCCCGCAAACGTCCCGAGGGGGTTGGCAAAGGCGCTTGAGCATGCTGTGCGTCGTCGGACGGTCGACGGAGATCAAACGAGCCACCTGGAACAGCCGTGCGAGGCGAGTCGAAAGAAGTCATTGAGCGCGTAGGGAATGTGGGCCTCGGAAGCGCTGTATGCGGAGGTCCATGGCCAGCTGCATCCGTCGCGTGCCGCTTAATCGCGGGTGGCGACATGGGTGTCGACGAAGAAGGAAACGCAAACGTCGATGCTTGCGCAGAGGAAGAGGGTATCGGTTGCGGAGCGGGAGCAGGAAAGGAACCGTAAATTGGCGAACGGAGAGGCGAAGTGGCTTTCGTCATACTCGACGTAGGTAGGGTAGGAAAAGCGGTTCTGCCGGTCGGCGAAGCTGGCAGGGATGGGGATTCGGTGGCGCGAAGTCGCAGCAGGCGCGCGGTAAGGTCGTCTGCAGACAAATTATCCGTCTTTGTCGAAGTTGACGATGTCGGCTCTAGGTGTGTTGCGGCAGGCGCAGCGCGTGACGCTTTGATGGTCTCCTTGCGCGACCTTCGCTCGTCTTTGATGCGCATACGTAGCGATTTCTGTGCCGAAAATGCGTTTGGGCGGTGTCCGAGCGGAACGTTGTCACTATCCTCATCTTCAGAGTTTGTCGTCTCGGATGTGGTATGTCCGCTCGAGTCTTCTTGGCTTGAATGTGGACCGTTTCCGGACGGATAGCGGCCGCCATTCCCTCCACCGGCGCCTCCGCCCGCTCTGTCCCTATCCCCTGGCATCCTTCCTGCGCCATCCGATCCAGATTCCTCGTACCGTCTCTGGAACCCGCTGTTTCCTTCATCATAAAAGCCACCAGATTGATTGAATGAACCATTGGACCGGTCTCGACCTTCGCGTCGAGAGGATACCGTGCGAATATGGTCCATCAGGGACGACTTGGACTGATTGTGTTGGGTGTATTTGGGGTCGTCCCAAGGCTCGGATGGGAACCGGGCTGCGAGGGAGGAGGACTTGGATGAATGGGGTAAGAAAATTTTGGTGTTAGCCAGAATGGACAGGCTAGGGAGCGATGGCCGACTTTGGACAATGTGTCGCACGCGTTCGGTGAGCGAGTTGCTCCGCTTTCGCTCGGGCACGTCTTCATCACGTGAATATGGGAGTGCCGAGGTGGATGCATGACCAATCTCATGAAAGAGGCTCGAAGTGGCATCGCCATCATCATGCTCTCGCTCATCATCTCCTTCGTCTTCCTCTTTGACTTGCTGTTCGAGTCGGTTCCCGGTTGTGAAATGCACATGGAGCGCGCTGGTGCTGCTGGCGCGCCGCATCGAGAGACGTTTCCTCGTGAGATCGTCAAGCATCTCCTCTGGTTCCTCCCGAATGACATCTGTGGACGACAGTTGTCTAATCCACGTTCGTCCTCCCAGCGGGCTTTGGCACTCCGAGGGCGGTGTGCTCAGGTTTGCAAACGGATCGTCTTCGAGTAGATATCCAAACTCGGCCATATCATCTTCTACCGAGTGGGGGTCCTCACTGCTCTCCCTATCGTCTTCTGTCGTGCATGCGGAATGATCCCGACTTGTCCCTCGACTCCGGGTATTCGTCGTAAGGACATTCGAGCTGTTAGTCCGTGCGCTCTGTGGGCTAATAGCATCTGATCCGGAACGAGAACGAGAGCGGGAGTTTGTCCCACGGCGTAGGGAAACCATGGTGGTGAGGCGGTCTGCGAGTGCCAAGGCGCTGCGTCGGCGAGGACGAGAACTTGGGGGCGCCTGTTGCTGCTGCTGGCCATGGCCTAAGCTGGAATTCGAGTCCATAATCCCCAAAATTTTGGGAGAGGCAAGGTCCAAGTCGTCTTGCTCGTCGTCTGCGTCGCTGGACGTTTCGACAACGGACAAGCGAGAGTGTCGTTTGGCAGGGTAGCTGGGGACACTGCCCGACCACCGCGAGTATTTCTATGGGTTAAGAGTAAGAAGGGGGTATAACGAAGGTGGGTATAAGAGGAAAGCAGAGGCCAGGTCCAAGGTATGCGAAGAGGGCTTCTCCATGAGCGTGTGCTTACCATTCTCCGGCCTAAACCGACTCGAATTCCCATATACAGCTCGACGTCATGTTTCATTTTGTCCAAACGTCGCTTGCAAACCTGTTGCCGGGCAGTTTTTTTCTTTGGCGTTCGGCGATGGCCGTCTTCTGATTCACCGACGGTCCCGTGATTTTATTTTCTTACGAAATAAACCGTCGTTTGGCAGTCCCACGCTTGCTTTGGCGGCAACGTCGGCTGAATGCGTCCCTAACGTTTGGTCACCACCGTCACCAAAGACCCTGGACGGCTTTCGCACTATTATCGGCGTCTGTCTACTGCTAACCGTGCACAGGCACATCTATTTGTTTCAGATTATCTCGATTCAGGAGACGCTAAGTTTTCACTTGCACACCACAAGTTCCCAGACACCCCCATCTGCCTCACCATTCACCATTCTCTGCACTCGCATCTCTCCAGTAGCCCTCAAACCCATCCATCGATATTTTCCACCGAGAGACGACACCCGGTTCTTGTCCTCGCTGTTCACATGATGCCCACCCACATTCGACGCTCCCATAATGGGTGCCTTGAGAGCTCTATAGATCGTCTCAATCACGTCCCCTGCACCTCATCTCAGCAGCCGTATCCCCAGAAATTAGAAAGGGACCAGAATACTCACGTACACGGACGATTCCTCCATCAGCGGTCGGCTGCGTGCTCCGGATGCGTACACCCCACCCGTTATTGATGGAAACTGTCAGTACCTATGTTTTCGTCATGCGTGAGATCAATGTCTACGTATACGGAAGGGCATACTGTGCACGGTGGATTCGTCGCCGGTTCGTTAAGCATTTGGCGAAACTTGCTGGCCCCAACGGGCTCTTTGACAATCTTGATCCGCCCTTTCATGTCTTCCTCTTCTTTCATTCTAAACACCCGAGCGGGGATGGCCATGATTGTCGCTTGACTGGGCACCTGACGAACGTCCCATACAAGCGAAGGCAGGACGTCCAACGTTCTCACCAACCCAAGCCAATCAAGTACTTTTGCAATCACCGGCGGACCATACGATTCCAAGGAGGGTGGGGCGAGCGCAAGTACGGGATGAAGGGGTTCCACTTGCTCGACGCTGATGGCCTTGCGTGCTTCGAGCTGCAAAATATCGAATCGGCGTCGAAGGAACTCGAGGCGAGAAGCGTTTAAGCTCCGCCGATCAGATACCGAATGGACGATCATGGTGCCTTCTTCGCTTGGGGAAGGGTTCGACGCCCCCTTCGGCGACGCCTCGTGGGGGCTCGCGGATGCCAAAGTCTGTGTGTATGGACTGAATAGCGTAGGATCATCGAGGATGGGCCCTGCCCACGTCGTTGGCGAATCCGCCGGTGAGGAGGCAGGTGAGCCCAAGTCCTTTGGTGTGTTCGTTTGCAGCGTCGCAAACGCTGAAGGGCTATGGAATGAAGTGATATCGCGCTCCTCTAGCGAATTGCCTACGGTGGACGACGTCCTCTTCGTGCGCTTGGTGCTGTAGCCGTGCGAAGGAAGATGGGTGTGAGCTCTTGCAAAAGGATGAGAAGAGTATGATCTATGCACGTAAAAGTCTTCCACCTCGGGCGCAAATGGGAATATTCCATTACCAGGGGATTGCAAGAACTGAGACGGCGACGAAGGGTAATAGTAGGACCCATACTGTTGCAACCCGGGAGCATCTGATGTACTGATCCCCAAAGGATTGTTGATGCTCCCAGTTGAAAACGGATTAGACGTGCTAATGGTACTACTGCGCGAAACGGAGACTTTGAGTGGCAGCTGGCAGCGTCTGGACACTAGAGGTCGCGAGTACGAGGAAAAGGGTATCTTCGAACTGGAACTGGAATAAGAGCCGGAGGAATGACCTTTCCGCGGTTTCTTTGAGGCTTTGAAGCTATGGTTGTTGACCTCCATTGTCGCGGCACTTGTGGCAAGCTCAGAGTGGGAGACACCATTTAAGACATTTTATGATTGTGACATGAAATATGGGACGTGAAGGATTTCACGCTGTTCTCCATGCTGCAGATTTTCGTAGACTCGAGGCTCGTCGTGGTCAGCCGCAGGTTCCATTCGCCACCTTCAAGTCGCGTCAATATCTCAGATGAACAAAATTTGCTATTCGGGAGAATTACATTGTCCATGAGCCGCGTCTGACTTACTAGTACACACACCTCGAAAGCCATTCAGCCTGTGAGACGTCAATTGCACAGATTTCGGGCCATGTCATTTTGGGGCCACGGTCATGCACACCCCAGTCCACTCTCCAGCCGAGTGAATCAATCAAACCTATGAGATAAACCCACTCCGTTACCTCCTTGAACTTGGGACCTGCCGAAGACCAATTCGTGGCCAAGGTAGAATTTCACAGCAAAAGTGTTCGGGGAAGGATGATACCTTGACTAGCTGTGCTGTACTCGCGTACTCTGCCAGCTGAAAAGTGTAGTCGTAGAAAAATTCAAGATTATCGCCGAAGTTCTCGGAGCTCTCATAATACTGAAAGCATTTAGGGTCAGCTTAGCAAACTCTTGAAGGTTCGCATCGTTGATGCCCAATCAGGAGTCGCCATCAAGAACGCTGCTTATGAATATGAGCAACTTATTATGCCCCGTGTGAAAAGCCTGTCTTCGGATTGATCAGCAGACGGCTCTATAAGAAGTACTCTCGAATCTGAAATGCTCCGCTAACCTCAATTCGAGGTCTCCTTCGCATTCAAAATGGTCTTGAAACTCCACGGAGGTAGCCTGTCGACTTGCACCGCCCGCGTCGCGGTTATCCTCCATGAGAAGCAAATACCTTACGAATTAATTGAAGTGGATTGGCCCAAGGCAGAGCACAAATCGGCAGCTTGGAAGAAGAATCAGCCATTCGGCCAAACTCCCTATATTGACGTGAGTACAGCACCCTCGGGTTCAAAGTTATATCAATGCGAGAACACAATAGGATGACGGATTTATCTTGTTCGAGTCTCGTGCTATTGCAAAGTACATCGCGACCAAGTATGCCTCCTCCGGGACCCCACTCCTCCCGTCGAGCAACGATCCTCAAAGCATGGCCCTTGTTGACCAAGGAGCCAGTATTGAGAACAATAACTTTAATCCAAGCGCCGAGGGCTTGACGGTTGAGCTATTCTTTAAAAAGTAATCTATATCTTCTTCCGCCGCAAAGTCGAGATGATTGATATCCCTAGATTGCGCGCAGCGGAAGCGGAGCCCAAATTTGTTGAAAAATGGGAAACAACGCTTCAGGGGAAAATGGAAGGGTTTGAATCTCTCCTCAGCAAACAGAAGTACATTGGCGGAAATGTACGTCGTATTCGATCTTCACACCTCTTCACTCACGATATCGACAGGAGTTAACCTACGCCGACTTCTTCTTTTTGCCATATGGAGAAGCTATCATCAAGCTAGGTTATAACCATCTGACGAATGAGATTGAGTATCCACACGTCGCCAGGTGGTGGAAGGAAATATCGTCGCGAGAGTCCTGGCAAGCAGTCAAGGATGGGGTAAAAGGGCTTCCGGCTCAAAATTGAATAATACATGCGCGATTTCATGCTACTCCTGTTAGTGCGAACGTAAAGGGTGCCTGCAAGACATCGGTAGGTGCCAATTTCAACAAAAGCGCAAAGGTCCAATTCTATAACAATCAACTTTCAAAAATCATCGATAGCAATCAGCTTGGAAGAAGAGGTCTTGAAGAAAGTAACTTATAGTACAGGCTCCGTTGGCTCGACATGGCAGCCCAACGTTTGAGACCCAGTAACTTTCGAAGCCAACTCAGAAAGCAGTTAGCACATGGCATTTATTACTTCCACATGCTACAAAAAGCGGAATAACGAAGCAAGACAATGCTTTTCACGGCATTCTATGTGGAGGATCAGATCCCAGCCTGCTGCTATTCTATCCGGTAGGCTACTGATCCCTATATGGTTGCCTCATTTGCGTTAAACTCGTTCACGATTCGATAAATCCATTTTGTTGTCACGGCGCACGAGACATAATCCAAACGAGATGCGGGTTGACGGTCGAAGGGGTCGATACTGTTGTGATCCAGCCAGTTGTAGATCTCCGACCGCTCGTAAAGCTGTCCATTTCTCGTCGAACGCACGGGCTTGATACTAGCATCCGAGTGTTGTTAGAATAGAGATATCGACGGTGCTGCGAAGGACGTACGGCATGCGGCCACTGATACAGCAGCGAAGAGTGTCCGTCAACTGGTTTTCAATAAGATTAAACTGGACTCCAGTCCATTCTCGTGCGCGTCTGTCTGTGAAGACCAAGGAGTACGCCCAGTCTGCCCAACCACCAGCTGCGTTCTTCGCGTGAATAACCCGGTCAGTAACTGTCGAGGTGACACCTAGTAAGGCCCAGTATCCCGCCTGGACGACTAAACGCGCGGATCCGGCCGCTGGTCCCAAGAAAGCAGTCACGCCCGTAACTGCCGCAGCGGGGAGGAGCGCATCAACGCTGAAATTGGATTTGAATGACTCCCAGTGAATATTGGCCGACTCTACGTCTCCCATTGCACTCGAAACCCAACTTGCGCTTCCATCCCACATAGCCTTGAAGAGGAGAAGTGCAAGTGGACCACACATTCCACTGAGCGCCTCCGCGGCGACTGGCTTTGGGAAAGTTAGCAAACGAAACTATGTAGAATAGAACTCGAGATTACGAATCTGACTTACTGTGGATGATCCTGCGAGGGTCCTGAGGAACTGAGCACTCAGCAACTGCTGCTTGAGCCTCTGGAGAAGTGTCTCTGTCAGCCAAGTCACCCCAGCGCCTCCAGCAAACGACACAGAAATCGTCTTTGCTGCCACGGCGAGGCGATTGGACACTCCTTCAGCACCACCGCCGCTGATGAGGATGTCCACAAGCACGGGGACAGCGGCGAGGCAAGCTGCCAGTACCCCGTTTCTCAGTGCTCGATATTTAATATTCGGAGCAACAGCGGATGGGACTGGTGCAACTGATGCGCAGACGACTCGCATGTACTCGCTCAAAGGTATGCCATTGTCACGACGGTCTGCAGCCCTCCTAGCGTGTTGCCTCCGCGCTTCTTCCAGCTCTTCATCAATCTGAGGGTTCCATTGAGTGATTCTTGGATTTCCTTGAGTAGTGTGGGTGGCCGACATTATCTACGAGGGGGAGAGTGGGCGAGTCAGAGAGCAAGGAGGGATCATCGACCGTTATATCATGGTTCTGCACCCATTTTCACTAGTACACGTGTTCCAGAGGGCCACAAAGCAAATCAGCTTCTGTATATGCTGGCAAGTCCTGTAGCGAGCCTGACGCACAGCAAAATCGACGGGCATCCAGCACTCTATCCTTGAGGATGTAGGCGCCATATTTGTTGGCGAACCAAAAGTCCGAAATTTTCAACCAACCAGCAAAGAAACAAAACAGTGGTTGAAATGCGATGCAAAGGCAGGAACCCATACCACACAGAGAATGGATGGCAATCGAGTCGGTGAAATTGGATGAATGGATTACCGATGATATCGGTACGCGGTCCTTTTCTTTCCCGTACGGTGTAAAGGCGCGAGGCGAGGCAATGGAGAATGACAGACGCCCCCGTTCGAATTGTAGAGAAGAGAGATTGATGAATGTGGATGCTGGTCAGGTATCTTTATTTTATATCTCGAAGAGATGTAGAGGATGTCGTAGGGACGTTGCGTTAGCCGGAACTACATCGAGCTACGAAATATGCCCCTATTCCCGCGTCAATGAATTGCGAAAAAAGGAGAATATTCTACGAGCCATCAGGATGTACCAAGCTGGAGAAGATGCATCAGCCCGCGCCACCTCGACTATTCTTGATCCGCTTCTTCTTCTCCGCCTTGGGCATCTTGGACTTGCGCTTTTCGCGCTGTTCCTCCTTGGTCGCCTTTTTACGTTCCTGTTAACCTGTTATCAACCCAACTCGCCAGGATCGCTTATCCATAGCACCCACCTTTTTCGCCGCACGGTCCTCATGTCGATGCCCACGTGGCTTCTTCTCGACAAACCCTCCACCTTCTTCTTCATCATCATCATCATCATCCTCGTCCTCGTCCTCGTCGGTGGTGGGCGGTGTCTCATCTTCCTCCTCCGGCCGTCGCTTCGGTACACCCCGGAATCGAACGGCTCTACCCTTTTCGACTTTTGCAGACGTCTCCTCTTCCGCACAACCGATGACTTGATCTTTGACGTGTGCCAAGCCCTTTGTAATATCACTCGCGCCACGCGCATCTCCACCATTACCCTTTGCCACAACTATGCTCGCGTCCCCATCGGAAGCGTGCTGCGCGATTGCCACCGCGGGCATCGGGCTCGGGGAACCAAGATTTGGCTGAGCAAATTTAGCCTTAGAATAGGGAATAAAATAGAGCTGAGTAATGCTTACGTCCATCGACTTGGCCTGCACATTCGCCGAGCCTACACGCCTCTCGAGCACTTTTTCCGGATCGCGCATCTCGGAAAGGGAGCGTGGGATGAATGTATGCAAAAAGACTTGGTCTTCATTCGCATTGAGCCGTCGTGTTTCTTCTTCGAGTGCCGTCGTCTCGTCCTCGTCTGCCCCGTTGGGTGCAACCGCAGATGTGGCAACGCCCATGGACTGTTCTTCCTCGATCCACTTTTTGAGAGTGAGCTCTTCCCAGCTCTGTTCTTCAACTTTTTCAGTGTTGTCGGTCGACTCTGATGCTAGGTTGGACGACTGGGCACCAATGTCCCCTGTGACAAACTCGAATGCTTTCCGCAACCCCAAGACGAGGACACCACGTTGCCCAAACCATGCGGCAATATTTTTGAGATCGAGCCGCAAAAACTCGAATGCAGAAGGATGATCGTGCTCGACGGATTGCGAGACGTCGATGATCCAGAGTTGCTCGGCATGATATAGAATATTGTACTCGCTCAAGTCGGCGTGCACGAGCTTGCATTCTTGATACATCTTGCGCACAGTGAGAAGGAGTGAGGTGTATAGCGAGGTGTATGTGTCCAGTGAGAGGGATGGCGCATCTTTGAGACGTGGAGAAGCCCTACAGTCGTCTCAATAGAGGAGTGTGGAGAATGAACCGACGTACCAGCCTTCTTCGTCACCCAAGAAGCGCATAACGAGGACGTTTTCGCGCACTTCAATGGGCTCTGGACATAGAATACCGGCAGTTTGCAGACGCTTCAAATTTCGCATCTCCTTTTCGGCCCACAAGCGAACCATTTTGCGTGGATTATGGCGGCTGTAGCCTCGTCTAAACCTAAACTCTCCCGTCACGTATCGGTCTCGATCTTTGAAGACGAGGATGGACGTCTTGTAAATCTTGAGCGCCAGATGAGTATTCTCTGGCGTAAGAGCATGGTACACATTGGCCTATCCGTGATTAATTGCAATCGTTTATGAGCCGGGGACATACCTCTTTGCCTGTACTAACGCATCCATTAATCTCCTTGACGAGGCCGCGACCAATCATCTTGAATAAGATGAGACGGGTTCGTGGATCGAGGACGAGCTCGCTTGTCGCGCGATCGGATTTGTCCTTCATATTGGCAGTCGCGCTTGGTCCCTTTCGGTTGACGCTCACACCCAGCTGGAATCGATCTGCGTCTTGCTTGTCACGAGGAGCGTACGGTTGTTCAATCTGACTGATCCGTGATGCATATTTGGATAGAGCACTGAGCTGGTCGGACATGCGCTTGTCAATAATCTTTTTGCGCTCCTCTCTGTTCTCGGTGGGCTGTTTTTGCTGTTTTGGCCGATTGATCGCGGGTAAAACGGGGAGATTCGACGTTGATGCGCCTGTAGTCAAAGCGTGGTGTTGCTTGAGACGGTTATACTGCTTTGTAAAGTCTGGAAAAGGTTACTAGTCGTTCTACTATCAATGTGATTACCTTTTTCAGCAATTTCCCAGTCCTCGTCGTCGACCCGGTGGTCCTCTGTGGCAGCCCACTCTCTCCAGTCGTCATCATCGTCATCCAAGCTATCCGAGTCTATTTCATTCTCCTCGTCAATGTATGTATGCGTTCCTGTTGGATCTCTGAGTGAATAGTCTCCTGGCGCGTCTTCAAACTGATCGACGTCCATGGTCAAGTGGCGTTTTACCACGGTTGACCGGAGATGCCACCGGATATAATGTTTGAATATTTCGTATTTCCTGAAACCGCGGCCATCGGCCACGGCACGGGGGAAGATTCTGGGCGCTGCGTCCGTTCCCTTCGGGTTGACTGGAGTGACTGCGATCGGCCTGCCCACGTAAGCCAAACCTCGGCCACACCGCAGCTAATACATATATATTATCCAGCCCGCGTATCCAAACACTTGTCGCTCATCCCTTGGACTCTTCCGCTCCCGCTCATCCCCCGCCATTAATGTCCACTACGGCCCAGGGAACAGCCCAGGCCGCTGTAGAGACCACAGAGGTCCAGCAACTCACGCCAGACACCCTCAACGATACACACTCACCCGCCCCCGCGAAGAAGAATAGATGGTCCCTCAAACCAGAAAAGCACAACGAAAAGCAGCACCATTCACGCTCTGCTACTCCCTCTGACAATGGTACAAACACTACGACCACAAAGATTAATGGCAAAGGTCAAGTCAAGAAGGAGCTAAAGGCCCTTGAAGACGCTGCAAATAAGCAAAAGGAGGAATTCCCGCCCGTTCCCTTTTTCGCACTCTACCGTTTCACGACTAAATTCGAGGTATTCTCAACCTCGTTGGCATCGTCTGTGCCGTCGCAAGTGGTGCAGCCCAGGTCAGTATTTCTGATGGCGCCCATTTCTCCCCATCTGACGATCTTTGACAGCCTCTCATGACGCTCATGTTCGGTAATCTGACTGTCGCTTTTGTCGACTTTGGCACGGCCGCCGCAAACGCGTTCCAGAGTGGTGCCTCTCCAGAAGCCTTTGCTGCCCTCCAGCAAGCCGCAGACCACTTCCGTAGTGTCGCAGCCAAAGATGCCCTCTATCTCGTCTGCATCGGTCAGTTCCGCAGCATCCACGCAGCCGTTCGCAGTCACTCACACCCTATTCGCAGGTATCGGCATGTTTGCCACAACCTACCTCTACATGGTCACATGGATCCGGACCTCGGAAGTCGCCGCGAAGCGTATCCGTGAGCGCTATCTGCAGGCCATTCTCCGCCAGGACGTTGCCTTTTTCGACACTGTCGGCGCTGGAGAAGTTGCCACACGTATCCAGACCGATACCCATCTCGTCCAGCTCGGCATCAGCGAAAAGGTACCCGTCGCGGTTTCGTTCATGGGCGCCTTTGTTGCCGGTTTCATCCTCGCCTTTGTCCGCAACTGGAAACTTGCGCTCGCATGCGCGTCCATCGTGCCATGCATTGCCATCACGGGTGGCCTGATGAACTTTTTCATCTCAAAGCTCAAGCTTGCCACCCTCGGCCACGTCGCCGAGAGTGGTAGTTTGGCAGAAGAAGTCATTTCGACCATTCGCACGGCCCAGGCCTTTGGCACACAACACAAGCTCGCCGGAATGTACGACGTCCACATCGAACGCGCGCACTCTCTCGACAAGAAAATGGCCGTCATCAACGGCCTTGGCCTTGGTGTCTTTTTCTTTGTCATTTACAGCGCATACGGTCTCGCCTTTTCGTTTGGCACCACACTCCTCTTGCGCGGAGAGGTCGATGTCGGTGTCATCGTCAACGTTTTCCTCGCAATCCTCATCGGCAGTTTCTCCCTTGCCATGCTCGCCCCCGAACTCACGGCCATTTCCAACGCTCGTGGTGCGGCGAGCAAGCTCTTTGCCACTATCGACCGTGTACCGCCCATCGACTCTGCCTCTCCAGACGGTCTCAAGCCCCACCGTGACTCGATCAAGGGCGAGATTGTCGTCGAGGATGTTCGTTTCAATTACCCTTCCCGTCCGGATGTGCCTATCCTCAAGGGTGTCACGCTCACGTTCCCACCCGGCAAGACGGCTGCCCTCGTGGGTGCTTCAGGAAGTGGCAAGTCGACCATAGTCGCCCTTGTCGAACGCTTCTACGACCCGCTCGAAGGTCGTGTGCTTTTGGACGGTACGGATATTCGTGAGCTCAACGTCAAGTGGCTTCGTAGCCAGATTGGTCTCGTCTCGCAGGAACCCACTCTGTTTGCTACGACCATCCGTGGAAACGTCGAGCATGGGTTGATCGGTACCGGTATGGAGAACCTCCCCGACGAGGAACGGTTTGCAAAGGTCAAAGAGGCGTGCATCAAGGCCAACGCCGATGGTTTCATCTCTGCTTTGCCAGACGGTTACGATACGCTCGTTGGTGAACGTGGTTTCCTCTTGAGCGGTGGCCAAAAGCAGCGTATCGCCATTGCCCGTGCCATCGTTTCGGATCCAAAGGTCTTGTTGTTGGACGAAGCAACCAGTGCATTGGATACTCAAAGCGTACGTATTTATATCTCCGAACATAAAACATACTCATCCCTTGCGCAGGAAGGTGTTGTGCAAAACGCTCTCGACAAGGCTTCCAAGGGACGTACGACGATCACAATCGCGCACCGTCTTAGCACGATCAAGGACGCCGAGACCATCTTCGTCATGGGTGACGGACAGGTTCTCGAACAAGGAACGCATGCCGAACTGTTGCGCGACACCGAGGGACCCTACGCCAAGCTCGTCGCAGCCCAGAAACTCAGGGAACAACAGATGCAGGAAAACGAGATCAATACCTCTGGCACGAACACGCCACTCCCACCGAGCTATGGCGGTCCTACCCAAAGTGGCGAACATGGTTTGGAAAGCGACCCAGCGGCCATGATGAAGGCACGTATGAAGGCACAAGCAGACAAGGAGAAGCAAATCGAGGAAGAAGCTGCCAAGGAGAAGCCTCTTGGACGTACGGATACGAGCAAGTCTCTTGCCAGCGAAATCCTCAAGCAACGTCTCGCAGCCGAAGCTGGAGATGGCAAAGGCGAAAAGGAGTATGGAATGTGGTATATCCTCCGACGCATGGCCATTATCAACAAGGACAGTTGGAAACACTATGTACTCGGATTCACTGCCGCTGCCTGCACGGGAATGGTCTATCCAGCGTTTGGTATCGTCTATGGTACGTTCGTGTGCTACAGAGCTTTTTCATATACTGATTTGTCCCAGGTCGCGCTATGGAGGCGTTCCAGTCGACAGGCCGCGAATTGCGCGTCAAGGGTGATCGCGCTGCCCTTTGGTTCTTCCTCATTGCTATTGCGTCGACCATTGCCATCCAGCTACAAAACATGGCGTTTATGCGCACCGCTGGAGATCTTTCCTTCCGTCTGCGCCACCTCGGCTTCCGCGCAATCCTCCGCCAGGACATTGCTTATTTCGACGACGAGAAGCACTCGACGGGTTCGCTCACGTCTAGTTTGTCGCAGAACCCCGAAAAGATTTCGGGTCTTGCGGGTGTGACGCTCGGTGCCATCGTCCAGGCCATTGTCACCGTCATCGGAGGAAGTGTGATCGGTCTCGCGTACGGTTGGAAACTGGCCTTGGTTGGCATTGCATGCATTCCATTCGTCATTTCCGCTGGATACGTCCGCCTTCGTGTCGTCGTCATGAAGGACCAGATCAACAAGCATGCGCACGAAGATAGTGCGCAACTTGCGTGCGAGGCAGCTGGCGCAATCAAGACGGTCGCGAGTCTAACGCGTGAAGAGGATTGTTTGAGATTGTATAGCAAGAGTCTCGAGGAGCCACTCCGGGTGTCCAACCGCTCAGCATTCAACTCGACATTCTGGTTCGCCCTCTCGCAATCCATGGTCTTCTTCGTCATCGCCCTCGTGTTCTGGTACGGCTCTCGTCTCGTCGCAAGCCTCGAGTACAACACATTCCAATTCTTCGTTTGTCTCATGGTATGTCTTCCCGTCGCTTGTAGCACTCGAGTACTGATTGCGATGACAGAGCGTAACGTTTGGTGGTGTACAAGCCGGCAACGTCTTTGCGTTTGTGCCCGACATTTCCGAATCCCACATTGCTGGCTCGAACCTTGTCGCCCTCTTCGACTCGACGCCCGAGGTCGACTCCGAGTCGACAGAAGGCAAGAAGATTGAGAAAGTACGTGGACGTATCGAGGTCAAGGACGTTCACTTCCGCTATCCAACGCGTCCTGGTGTCCGTGTCCTTCGTCACTTTAACCTCACTGTCGAACCGGGCACACACGTCGCGCTCGTCGGTGCCTCTGGAAGTGGCAAGTCGACTATCATTCAGTTGATCGAACGATTCTACGACCCTCTCGCGGGAGAGGTTGTTGTAGATGGAGAAAATATCGCCGACTTGAACGTGCAAGAGTACAGGAAGAACCTCGCCCTAGTGTCTCAGGAGCCGGTATGTTCAACTCCTTTGTCCCGCGCGTTTTAGTCCTAACAATTCACAGACTTTGTACGCCGGAACGGTCCGCTTCAACATTTTGCTCGGTGCTACCAAGCCAGTGGAAGAGGTCACACAACAAGAGATTGAAGCCGCCTGCCGTGACGCCAATATCCTCGACTTTATCAACTCGCTCCCAGACGGATTCGAGACTGAAGTCGGTGGCAAGGGATCCCAACTCTCTGGTGGCCAAAAGCAACGTATCGCGATTGCCCGTGCTCTCTTGCGTAATCCATCGATCCTATTGCTCGATGAAGCCACGAGTGCTCTCGACTCTAACTCGGAACGTGTCGTACAGGATGCATTGGATCGGGCTGCAAAGGGACGGACGACCATCTCGATTGCGCACCGTCTCGCGTCGATTCAAAAGTGCGACAAGATTCATTTCGTCAGCGAGGGACGTATTGTGGAGAGTGGAACACATGACGAATTGTTGAGACTCAACGGCAAATAGTACGTTCATCTCCTTCGCCCCTGTTGATTCAGGAATACTGACACGCGCTTCGCAGTGCCGAGTATGTCCTCTTGCAGGATTTGTCTGGACAGGCGGCCTAAGACGGCCGACACGTCTTCCGTGACTTATTATCTCATCTTCCTTTCATCTTAAACCTCTCGCAATCTCTAGTCTACCTTATGCCCCTAAAAACCTCAGTACGAAGCAACCGTCCTCATTAATATCTACGGTCTTGTATTGCAACATAACGAAATAGAGAGATGACTAGCCTTGGTACATAAACTCTGGAAACTATCGGAAAGGATCCTCGCCGATTACGTGTCCCAACGGCTCGGGATTCAATAATCGTGGATGTCCACGAGACTTAATCTCCGAGGTACGAGCGTGGGGTAAAAATAGATCATTATCTTTCCATATAAGATAGAGCATCGTCGAAATCCCGTTTCTACTTATGGTTCTGTCCTTTGAATTGGTTTGCGACTTTCCTCCTCTCGCGTCTTAACGTTCCAACTACGGACAAAAGCGGAGGCTATTGCGCATAATATGCACGCTGGGACGGCTACGATGAAGATATAGTCGAGTGCTTTGATGTATGCATGAATAACACCACTTCTCAGTGTTGGATCCAGTTCGAAGATGATGGTGACTGATTGCTTGACAAGTTGGACCATCTTTGGCGGTAGACTCGGTGCATACTTGGGCAACTCCTTTGAGAGTTGGTTATTGAAGACGGACCCAGCGATTGCTACACCGATGGAGCCTCCAAGCATCTGGAAGAACATGATGAGCGAGGTAGCTTGTGGAACCATGCAGGGTCGATCCGCATATTCAGCTTGAATCGCAAGCACTGAAGCAACATGTGAGATTGAAGGAAGAGATGGTAGTGTCCACTCACTTGGAAGTTGAACGGAAATACCCATACCTGCACCAAAGATGATCTGGTAACCAACGAGTTTGGCGGATGACGTCCACTCGTTGATTGTAATGAGAAGACCTGCACCGATAGAGGCAAAGAGGGGGCCTATAATCAGAAATGCGTAGTAGTGGCCGGTGCGTTTGACGAATCCGCTTCCAACGATACTTGCAAGGATGAGACTGAGCATGAAGGGAAGAATGTCGACGCCACTTTGACTCGCGGAGCGCCCCTTAGCCTGATAGAAGAATGGGAGATAGTAATTGGCTCCCAAGAATGCGATACGTGAGAATATCACGTTCAGTGATGCACCAACCTGCGAACGATTGAGGAAGAGCGAGAGAGGCATCATTGCGTCCTTTCCCTTACGGTACTCCCATGCAATAAAGGCAATGAGGAGGTGAATACGACGAACAAGGAAACGATGACCTTGTCGTTCCACTGAAGTCAATGTGAGATACATTGCGATCCGGGTTTCAGAGACAGAGCGTGCCTGTCGAGTTACGCCTCCCCATTGGAGAGGTAGTAGGAGACATATAACGGTTGAAACCGAGAGCAAGCCACCAATCCAGTCCAGAGAGGCGACCTTTTCCAATGTTGGTCGAGGATCGGTGACTGATCCAGGCGGAGAGTTAGCAGGTTGAAAGAGAATGGCGGTCAAGATTGACTAGACGTTCAGTAAGCAATCAATTATACTTCAGAAACGAAGATACTGACAATTCCACCAATAGGAAGATTGTGTGGTTTGTGACTCGATGATATATGTACATAGGTGACGACAATGGGCACCCAAGAGGTTCTCACCTCTTGGACCCAGCCTCATTGTCGTCACAGGTCTGTAGTCAATCTAACCTCTTGGACCCAGCCTCATTGTCGTCACAGGTTATGAGCCCTGTGAGAGGAACGTTGTGAATTTCTCAGATTTTACTTCGCACTTCCTCGCCGCCGCTGCCTTACGCGTTCTCGCCGCAAACGCACGCCAAGGAGAGCTCCCTACAGTTCTATACCACAGGAGACTATCGATCGCTCGCTAATACACGTACTCTCGGGCTTTCTAGCCCTCGCCGACTTCATACACGTAACGCCCTCGTTGTTCAGCAAGGCTTTCTAGCCTTTAATCGATCTCTTACGAAAATTAATATCATACCATATCATTTCCTGAGCGTTTCGATAGTCCCCAAAGCCTCCTTTTCTTTTGCCACTTCGATTTTCGTCACCGTCGTCCTCACCGCCGTTGAACACCATCCGCCATGTCTGGCAGCTCCAACACGCCCGAACCGTCGTCCAAGACGTCAATACATCCGTCATTCATTCGGCTCCCCCCATGTTGCACCAGCAGTGATCTCGAAGCCAAACGAGGCGCTCGCTGACGCTGTTCCTCAAGCTGAAGGAAAGGACAATGTCCTGACGGCACGTAACTACCAGTGGTGGTTCTCTGAGCTCGACGATGCCCTTCTGTACGGCGACGTCTGGTTTCGCTCTTCGCCAAGGACGGAGGAGGCAATCGTCCCAGCGTACCAGATCCGAGCGACCCGAACCTCGTCCTTTATCATGCAGCCAACAAAGCTGCTGCAGCGTGGATCAAGACGGCTGCTGGCTACACGCATCGCGCTATCGTCCAGAAGTTCTCCGAGAAGGGCGATGGCGTTGGAATGTACGACGCGCTGCGCAACCAATTTGGCAAGATGGCCCCCGTCTCGCTACTTCGATGTGCAGTCTCTTTCCGTCTCCGTGACAGTTCTCTCCCCGTCGTTGGCACCAATTGGTCGGAACGCTGCAGCGCAATCGCGAATCTGAAGAACTCGCTGCGTGACAATTGCGCGGGTATGTCCATAGAGGACTTCATCGACGAAATGGCGTTCCACACCCTCATTTTCAGTCTTCCCGACGGCGACGAGTTCCAGCAACGCCTCATTGCCAATCTTGATTCGGGCAAGACGACGTTTGAGGACGCGCGCGAGCAGCTCATTAAGCATGCTCTCGTGAAGACGACCCGCGCGGAAGCAAACGGCTCCCCTCCCGACGCCGCCCACGCCGTGACAGAGTCCCCATCGATCGCAAAGGGTAGTCAGGCTCTTCGAACGGCGCCACACTCTATTACGTATGAGGAGCTCGCCGCCGCTGTCCAAGCCAACATTCGTTGCTTCCAATGTGGAGGACCGCATTTCAAACGAGACTGCCCGCAGCTGCGCCATGGCAACGGTCCACAATCAATCCGATTCCAAGTGCGCGGAGGTCAGCAGACCGGACGGTTCATTACTGGTCGCTTCAACAACGGCAACGGCTTCCAAGGCGGTCAAAGAGGTCACGCGTCTGGTCAAGCGCCTGCTCGCTGGCGCGACAACGCGAATGCTGCTCAAGTCGACAACTCCACCACCATTGAACTTGCTCTGGACGATCAGTCCTCGCAGTCATCTTTTCCTATCGACGCCATCATCGATGGAATTACGATTGATTTCGCTGGAAACGTTAGTTCCCTCCCATCTCTGCCCAACCACCGCTCTGATGCCATCGCCGATTCAGGGGCCTCCACCCACATGTCCTGCGTCCGCGAGCGGGTTCTAGATATGAAGCCCACTGATCGTATGGTGAAGTTGGCAGATGGAACTCTTGTTCCGGCAGAGGGCATTGGGCATAGCTTATTCCATGCGTCGATTAATGGTGTGCTGGCTTCGAAACAGACTGTTTTCCCCAACGTTCTCTATGTGCCTTCTCTCTCAAACAATCTTATCTCGACTGGGGCTCTCGTCGAGTCTGAGGGATACACACAAGAGTACGACAGAAAAGGGATGAGATTTTTCAAGGACGGCGTACTGCAGTTCACAGCGACTGTCGGAGACATGCGCGTCCCAGTGCTGGACGGAAAATTTGCCCTTTCGACCCATGAGAATGCTCTGGCTGCAACGTCCTCATCGGCGCCGCTTGCGGTTTGGCACAATCGCCTTGGCCACCGCAGCTACGATGCTCTGGCGAAGCTCAATTTGCCGCTCTCTGATCGAATTGTGCCAAGGACCTGTATTCCATGCATCAACGGAAAACTCACTCGCGCTCCCAGCACCCAACTCGCTCGACGTGCTACTCGCCCTCTCGAACGCATATTCTCGGACGTTCATGGGCCAATGAGAGTGCAAGGTCGTCATCAAGAGCGTTATTGGGTCACCTTTCAAGACGACTACAGTCGCTTTGTTGTGCTATACTGTGTAAAGTCGAAGTCGGACGTCTTTCGTTGCTTCAAGGAGTTCGTCGCCTGGTCCACAAATCAGATGAACACGCGAAGGATCAGCTTCGATGAAAACGACATGCGCACAGTTGTTCGTCGACTTCGAGATGACAAAGGTGGCGAGTACATATCGCGGGAGTTCGATGAGTTCTGCGCGGCTCTTGGCATTCAGCGCGAGCATACAATACGCGACACTCCTCAACAGAATGGACCAGTTGAGCGTTTCAACAGGACTCTGTCTGAAGGGGTCGCTGCACTGCTCAACCAGTCAAGGCTTCCCGCATCGACGTGGGTAGATGCCGCCAGCGCCTTTGTTCACGTGCACAATCGAATGCCCTCGTCATCCACGGATGGAAAGTCTCCATTCGAGCTTTTCAATGGTGAAGCTCCATCGTTAGATCGGATGCGGACCTTTGGATGCGAAGCATGGGTGCATCTCCAACGTGATCAGCGCTCTCCATCACTGGATCATGCTGTTCGAGCTGTCTTCCTGGGTTACCCGCCAACTTACAGTGGGTGGCGCTTCGTCAACCTGAGCACTGGGAAGGAGGTCATCTCAAACTCAGCGGTATTTGTCGAAGACGTCTTTCCCGGTCGACTGCGCGCCGATGCAAAAGGTGTCGACTACACGTTTACACCTGGCATGCTCGACAGTGACGATTCTCCTCCATCATCTCCACATCCCGCTCCCGCTCCTGCTTCCATTCCTCCTGCTCCTCCTCCTCTTTCCCCCACCCTTCCTACTTCTCCCTCCCTACTGCAGAACCAGTTGTTCCAGCCACTGTGAACACTGGTGGTCCTAATCTCGTCTTTGCACCGGGCAACCGTGTGGAGATCCTGCTTCCGCCACCCAATCTGGGCACCAGCCAGCCGACTGCGCCGCCGCCACCTCTCTCGAGAGGAGAAGAGCCTGAAGAGAGACTATGAAACGCATCCTGGTAACCATCTGAGCCGCAGTGAACGACAGAGTCGTGCCAAAGTCAACTATGCCGAGTCGTCTGACGATGAAACGGCTGACTGCGCGTTCTCTACAGGCGTGATTGACAATCACGACTGGATCCCGTTCAGGTGCCATGGATTATGTGTTTGCTGTCACTGAATCTCTCGATCCTCGCTCTTGGAAGGAGGCTATGTCCCGTCCTGATGCGAATAAATGGATCAAAGCGGCTCATGAGGAGCTCGAGGCTCTTCTGAAGAACGGCACATGGCAGGTCGTGCGTCTTCCCCAAGGCAAAACGGTGCTCGGGAATAAGTGGGTATTCAAGACGAAGAAGGATGCCACGGGAAATGTCGAGAGACACAAAGTCAGACTCGTCGCAAAAGGATTCCTTCAGAAGCAGGGCGTCGATTTTGACGAGACCTTCGCACCGACTGGAAGCCTGGCAGCACTTCGCACTGTCATTGCCACCGCGACCGAGCTCGATTGGGAGATTCACTCAATCGATATCTCTTCGGCTTTCCTAAACGGTGACATGGATGCTGAGGTTTACATGGAACTACCTGAAGGCGTTAAGATTCCGCTGGGCGAACTTGACGGCTTAGAGGAGGGAAGTGTGAAATCTCTCCGCCTCCTCAAGGCACTCTATGGCCTGAAACAAGCCGGACGTCGATGGTCGGTGAAGCTCCATCAGGCTCTCACAAAGCTAGGCTTCGTCCGCACCGTGCTGGAACCCTCGTGTTACCTATACGAGAAAGAAGGCATAAAACTCGTCGTTCCGGTCTATGTTGACGACCTCACGTGCGCGTGTGCGTCGCAAGTGCTAATTAGGTGGTTCAAGGACGCTCTCGAGAAGGAATTCGATCTTCGATACATGAAGGAGACAAAATTTGTCCTTGGTATCGCTGTCGACCGTGACCGAAAGTTGGGCAAGACGTTCTTATCTCAAACGAGCTACATCAAAGAGATCTCATACGCCTTCTTCGGCACGCGCAACGTCCACCCACTCTCAACTCCGATTGCTCCTGGTCTAAAACTCACCAACGAAGACGCGCCACAGACTCCGAACACCGCGGACGTCAAGCGAATTCAGGAGTACACCGGCAAGCTCCTATACCTTCAACGAGCCACGAGACCCGACATCGCGTTCGCTCTTCATCAAATCTGCCGTTTCACTCAGAACCCGGGTCGCGTCGTGATGGAAGCTCTCAATGGCCTCATGCGATACGTCCATGGGTCAATGCATCTTCGTCTCACATACACGCGCAGTGGGAAGAACGAGCCACAAGCATTCGAAACATTCAGCGACTCGGACCATGGTGGCGATCCAGTCACGCATCGATCAACGGGCGGATTCGCAGTTATGATGTGCTCTGGAGCAGTTAATTGGGGCTCGAAGCTTCACAAAACTGTCTCGCTTTCGTCCACTGAGGCCGAGTACATCACTGCGTCGATCGTCGGATGCGATATCATGTGGCAACGCGGATTCCTCGAAGAACTTGGCTTCCCTTCTACCGGGCCGTCTCCTATCTATCTCGACAGCAACTCTGCTGCGCAAGTCGTTCGCAATCCTGAACATCAGAGCACGATGAAACAAGTCAATCGTCGCTACCATTGGATTCGCGAGCGCGTAGCGAAGGAGACATCGAAGTTCGTCGCGTAGCTGGATCTGATAATCCCGCCGACATCTTCACGAAGCCACTCAACCGTATCAAGTTCCTCGAGTTTCGCTCGATGCTCGGTCTGCAGTAGACCACCCTTCATTATCTTCTCTATTCCCTTCATTGCTTTCCTTACGGACTCTGATTCGTTCGTTATGGACACTGGTTACGCTCATTTGATTACACTGTATTCATCGAGTCAGGGGGGTGATGTGGTTTGTGACTCGATGATATATGTACATAGGTGACGACAATGGGCACCCAAGAGGTTCTCACCTCTTGGACCCAGCCTCATTGTCGTCACAGGTCTGTAGTCAATCTAACCTCTTGGACCCAGCCTCATTGTCGTCACAGATTGATCTATCAGAAAAGTGAGCGCCTTGTTGTGGAGAATATGCGCGCTTACATAGAAGCACCAGCGCCAGGTGGCATGATCAGTAAATACGCCGCCCAGGAGTGGGCCCAAAACGCTAGAAACTGCTCCCAGTTAGGCACCTTGATTGACAGCTTCGAGTGTAGTAACCGCACCCCCAAAGACGGCGCCAAAGCTACCCATGAGGATTGCTATGATATTTCGTCAACTTTTAGGCATAGATAGGTTTATATGAGACGTACGTCTTGACTCCAGCCGGGTGATTTGAGCAAAAATGACGAGGATGGATGTATACATGCCCGCAGCTCCAATGCCTTGAATGGCACGACCAAGGATCTAAATGAACTATCAACAGACATCAAAAGGATAAGAAGGCTACGAACCAGAATGCTCATACTCGGTGCTAAACCACAGATCAAAGAGCCTGCTTCGAAGATCACGACGCAGCTGAGATAGATATATTTCGCAACGAGAACAGTCAAGAGTTGTCCAAATATAAGCATCAATCCTGCGGTGCACACTGCAAAAAATGAGATGAGCATTCACTGTCCGTATGGATGATGGATGACACACACAGAAGTACACCGAGATAACCCAAGTGAGCTGATCTAATGCATTGAACTCGGATGCAAGCTTGGGGAGTGCGGTGGCGACAATAGTTTGGTCCAGAGAGAAGCAGAAGACGGCGAGGAGGAACCCAGTATGCGCAAGAAAGAGTCTCTTCCCGGTAAGAATCAAACTGTCATCTACAGTAGGTCCACCATCCTTCTCTCCTATGGCCAACGTGTCCTCGTCTAACGTCGGCACCACGGCATTAGTGCTTGCGACCGCGCCTTGTCCTAATTTTCTATGGGGATTTTTAATATCCATGTGTAGGGAGATGGTCCTTCGAGTTTGGGGTCGGTAAGTTCCAGAATCCAGGTTAGACGACTGCTAGCTTTATACCACAAGGATGCTCCGTGGCAGTCGGATAGTACGGTGGTCCTATATGCATTACCTATATGCATTAGAGTATATTCAGAACTGGCTAGTGACCCTGAGATGGACCCCAAAGTGTTTTAATGCGGAGCAAACGGTTGAGTGCATGCCCTTCAGCCCTTGCTTCGGCCCTTACGCTTCTTTACATCGTTGAGAACGATTAGCTGCGGGAGAGATGGAAATATATACCGTCTGTCGTGAACGAGCTGACATACCAGAAGCGCTGCTAATCAAGACGACGGAATGCCGAGATCTTATCTCCGCGCGTATGCATTCATTAGAAAAAAAGAAGCGAAAAAATGGGAGACTGGAAGCCGGATAGGTAGCGTAGATGGCCGACGGCCTCTTGGCTTATTATCTTGCCTTTATTTCACCTTCAGCCACAGTGATCTTTGTAGAAGTCCAAAACGAAGAAAAGCAAAAGCCGGTGTGAATTGGCACAAACGACGTAGCGTTGGCGGTCGCAGTGGTGTAGCTCCTGAAAACACCTTGGTGTCGACTGCCGGCAAAGGCCCAAGTGTCAGTAGGCGGCGTCTTAGTTCGTGGGATTACCACCGGCGTATAATTTCAATCCTCCACGTGAGTATCTTTATATTTTGGCGCTAATTCGATTCAGTGTGAACTCGTTCTAAACAGCCAAGTCGAGCCCGTATTAAAACAGGTCTCTCAAGGCTCTAACGTGCGTGTGGTAAAGTAGATTAATCATTATCGTCTATGTACGGTAGAAAGGCTCGTGATAAGTTCAGGCTCTACTATGCTTGTGTACTTGTGGTTGGTTTGCGACTTTCCTCCTCTCGGGTCTTAACGTTCCAACTCCGTATAAAGGCGGAGGCTATTGCGCATAGTATGCATGCGGGTACGGCTACGATGAAGACGTAGCCGAGCGCTTTGATGTATGCATGAACTACATTACTCCTCAGAGTCGGATCCAGCTCGAAGATGACGGTGACCGATTGTTTGACAAGTTCGACCAGTTTTGGTGGAAGATTTGGTGCATACTTGGGTAACTCTTTCGACAATTGGTTGTTGAACACGGATCCGGCAATAGCTATTCCGATAGCGCCTCCAAGCATTTGGAAAAACATGATAAGCGATGTGGCTTGGGGGACCATACGGGGTCGATCAGCGTATTCCGCTTGAATTGCTAGCACTGGACAAGATGTAAGCTCAGAGCGTGAGACGCCATCGTCCACTCACTAGGAAGCTGCAGTGCAAGGCCAATACCTGCCCCAAAAATAATCTGGTACCCAATAAGCCTGGCCGATGATGTGGCCTCGTTGATTGGAATGAGAAGACCTGCACCGATAGAGGCAAATAGGGGCCCTATGACCAGGAAGGCGTAGTAATGTCCGGTACGCTTGACGAATCCACTTCCAATGATACTAGAAAGGATGATACTGAGCATAAATGGGAGAATATCGACGCCACTTTGACTTGCAGAGCGTCCTTTGCTTGATAGAAGAAGGGAAGGTAGTAGTTTGCCCCCAGAAACGCAATACGGGACATCACCACGGCGAGTGACGCGCCAACTTGGGAACGATTGAGGAAGAGGGATAGAGGCATCATCGCGTCCTTTCCTTTACGATACTCCCATGCAATAAAGGCAATTAGGAGTACAGCAAAGACGACGAACAGGGCAATGATGACCTTGTCATCCCACTGAAATTGATGTGAGATACACTGTGATACAATCTTCGAAGACAGCATACCGGTCGAGTCACGCCTCCCCATTGGAGCGGTAGTAGGAGACATATAACGGTTGCAACAGAGAGCAAGCCACCAATCCAGTCCAAGGAGAGGACCTTTTCCACTGTTGACCGTGAATCGGTGGCAGCTCCAGGAGGAGGGTTGGCAGGTTGAAAGAGAATAGCGGTCATGATTGACTATAACTCAGGTTATCAGGAGCATATAACTATCGAGAAAGGATACTCACAATACCACCAATAGGAAGATTAATCTGTCAGAAAGTGAGCGCCTCATTGCTGGAATTATGTATGCTTACATAGAAGCACCAGCGCCAGGTAGCATGGTCAGTAAATACGCCGCCCAGGAGTGGGCCCAAAACGCTAGAAACTGCTCCCAGTTAGACATCTTGATTAATAGCTTCGAGCGTAGTCAACGCACCCCCAAAGACGGCGCCAAAGCTACCCATGAGGATTGCTATGATATTTCGTCAACTTTAGGCATAAACGAGTTCAGACGAGACGTACGTCTTGACTCCAGCCGGGTGATTTGAGCAAATATAACAAGGATCGATGTGAATATGCCCGAAGCCCCCACGCCTTGAATGGCTCGACCAAGAATCTGCGATTAGTGAGTATACGTAAAAGATGAGGACATTACGAACCAGAACGCTCATATTGGGTGCCAATCCACAAATCAAGGAGCCTGCCTCGAAGATCACGACGCAACTGAGGTAGACATATTTCGCGATGAGAACTGTCAAGAGTTGTCCAAATAGAAGCATTAACCCTGCGGTGCACACTGCAAAAAATGAGATGAGCGTCCGGAGCTCGTGTAGAAACTGGATGAGACTCACAGAGGTACACAGAGACAACCCAAGTGAGCTGATCCAGTGCATTAAACTGAGACGCAAGCTTGGGAAGTGCGGTAGCGACGATGGTTTGGTCGAGAGAAAAGCAGAAGACGGCGAGGAGGAACCCAGTATGCGCCAAGAAGAGTTTCCTCCCAGTGAGAATCAGACTATCATCCACAGTTGGTCCATCATCCTTCACCCCTACGACCTGGTCCTCGTCCGAGGTGGGCAGAGCTGCATTTGTGGCTGCGACTCTACCTGATTTTTCGTCTGATTTCTTGATCTCCATATCGAAAGAGACGTTTCTGTGACTCTGAGACCAGCAGAAACGAGCGTTGTGGATCGATATTATCGGAACCCCCGAGCCGCTGGTTTATACCGGCAGGTTGGGCCGTAGCAGTCGGATAGCACAGCGTTGCTATAGACAATATAGTCTGGTCAGAACGCTGGCTGCCCTGAAATAGACTCCAATGCGTTCACTGCGGAGAAAATGCTTACGTGCACGCTCGGCAGGGCTCCCTTCGGCCCCTCTTCTTCGCCATTGTGATTAATCAGCTGCGATAGCAATGAGGAGATGATGCCGTCTGCTGTGGAAGGGCATACTAGAAGGGCCACTGGTCAACGGAAGACGGAGAGGCAATCTCCGCACGGGACCATCATCGCATCCATTGGAAATATCCATAGGAAAGAGGAAAGATTGGATGGGAGCGTCGTAAAATATGATCTATTTTTCAGCCATCGAAGTGGAGTCCAATCTTGACCTCGACTCTCGTGTCGACTCTTGAAGAGGCGTCAACACATCGTCCAATCAGACGTTTTCCCCGCGGTAAGCTCACTTCGGCAGCGTTACCCACTATCCGCCCGAACGCGTGCAATTCTTCTCAACATTATCACCCCCTCATGTCGCTCTGTTTTCTGGAACTGAGATATTTGTAGACATCAGGAGACCATTGCTAACTTCGGTTGGTTGTGGGATGGCTCACGATGACCGTGTACCACGACGTATCAATAACGACGTAATACCTTTCGATCTCCTTGGACAGATTATGCAATCTATGATCGATGACTTCGATTCGGAGCATGATCCGTACATACTTGGCCGGCTACAACTGGTATGTCGGTCATGGGCAGTTGCGGCGAAGCTGCATCCTCGGCTGTGGTCAATTCTAAGGATATGCATTGGAGAGCAGCCCATAAGATTCTGGCTACATTACGTCCGGTCTCATCTATCACGCGCGGGCTCGATCCCACACCTCGATATTAGGCTTCGTGGCAGTCTCAGTAGACCCTGGTGGCCGGAATTCCCCGTACTAGGTGACGGATATACCGTATATCGCCAGCTCTTACAAAGTCTAACGGGGATCAACGGAGAAGTCGCGGCAAAGTGGAAAAGCTTTGTTTATCAAGGCATGCCCATTCTCTCAGACTTTGAATCGTGGCTTAGCGACTGTACCGAACGTCTTTTTTCATTCCCGACTCCTCATCTTGACCACTTTGAGTGTATTCTCCCCAACACCAGCCCAGGTGCATCAATTTTACCGCACACTCCACTCCTACAGTCTCTCAAGTGGATAGGGTGTGGAGATATTGCCCTCTCCGGCCTGATGTCAACGCCAAGGCTCCCACTGACAGCATTAGATATTGGAATGTACAAGACGGCATCGCCACTTATCGCGCTTCTTCCTCGTGCAATGCATCTTACATCATTGCGTGTAGGTGGCCATGGCCTCTTGGTATTTCCGGTCGGATCTAGCTTTCCGCATTTACGGGATCTTACAATCGCCGACACAATACCACAATCCAAGGCTTTCCGATACTTTTCAGCCCCGAAATTGCAAGTATTGCGGGTATCGGCTCAAATATTCAGGAATTCCAGCATCCTGAAATGTATCGGTATCCCATTTGCGAATATCAGACACTTGGAGGTAACATGCGACATAGACTATCAAGTTGAATCTCAGGAATCCGATCTATATGCCCTCGAGGTGCTTGCGGTCGTCCCAAATCTCCAAAAGTTGGTCATCCGCCAATACGACCGCAGCTGTGGCCGATGCTCAAGTATCTGCGCACATGCCATGAAGATGTTCAGAGGACACTTGGATCTCATCGTTTATTATTTGCCAGGTCGCGAACCCGCAGGAGCGATGGATATCAGTAGGGCACATAGCATTGTTGTAGGCTAGTACATGCTATGATTATCATCGGCTTACTCATGCCAATTGTTATACCATGCGTGAAATGTTACTCAAGAGTTATTCCTTTAGACCTACTCGTCATTGCTACACAAGTCCTCTGGTAGCATGGGCTCCTGCAATAACACCACTGTCATCCACCAATATCTTCTTAATGGGAGCAATCAACCTCTCACCTAAACACATTTCGGGGATAGATCTGGACACCATTCTTCTAAACCATAACTCGACCTCTTGCCACATCGCTGATAAAGAACAATCACAAAGCTCTTGCAGAAATGCCAGGTATGTATACAAGTCGGAATAAATATCGCTCCAAAGATTCATGTAAATGTCTTTGACTGAGTTCCCATATTTCATTGTTGACCGCGCCGATTGCCTATGTCGAAGCGATGAAACCACAGCTGGGGCCGGCGCAATGACAAGATAAGGATTGGGATAGAGGTAAGGTGAAAATATAAAGATGATAGAGGGAACTCTTGGTAACTTACAACGATCTAGAAATATAGGCAGCATTATAACGAGGACATCGGTGAAGGCAAGGAGTGTTAAGGGGGCTATGAAAGATAATAAAAAAGGGGTTCTGTGAGAGAGTCCCCCGGATTTTAGCAATATACAGTGGTCTAAGACATGTATCATTCCATAGAGTAGCTGGTGAACAGGTCTCCGTGGAGGACGACTGTATCCTTCTGGTTGCTCGTCTGCAAATATGGAAATTTGAGCCACTGGTCGCGATCGCAGTGCGCCCGCTGTGCCCAAGTGGCACCAAGGGACTGGACAAGACTAATTCCAGAGTCATCGGAAATGAGGCGTCTATGTAATAGGTGAGGATCCTAGTAGAGAATTCATTTGTCACTGTGGAGGCACAGTGAGTCGTAAACAGCGAGTGCGCAGTGGCACAACGACTGGATATTATAAGCGCGTGAGTAGGCCATCGCTCGCCGAAAGGGACCGAAAAGGGTGCTGTACAACCTGAACGGACCCGAGTGCGACTCACCTTTATTGGCCGGTCTCGCAAAGACGGTGGGGCCAACTTCATAGTAGAGTCGCAACTAATCGGTCATTTTTGGGAAAGCCAGCATCACATCCGCCCGTACTACCACCGCAGGATTCTTTGGGGAGCCTTCCACAGGTTTTATTCGCGTATGAACGATTCCAAAAGACAGGTATACAGGGCTCGTGAACTCTTCACTTCCAGTTCAGAACAATTCGGAGAGGACAAGGTGAATATAATGTCACTCGCCTCAAATTGGGCGCTGCGCCCCCATCGCAGAAACTATCTCTATTGCCAAGGAGAATATTCACCGAATTTCCATGGCAGATATCTGGGTGCCAAGGATCAATGGTCCACCAATGAGCCAATCGAACTCAAGCGCGTTTCTGTCACACCAGACAATTCCTTTGGCATGGTTCAGGATCAAGTCACCATAAAACGGATTTGCCAGGCGATGGGGTGATGCTCCAGCCAAGATCCGTGTGTACCTCCTAACGATGGCAGCAGAGGTAAACAGCAAACCACCCAAGAATAGCCACACACTACAGCACATGAGTACACAGCCGTTCTCAGACGACAGACTGCCTTGGGCTCGCGAGGGGGACTATCGAGGTCGGGTCCAAGATGCGTTTGGAGGCTGGGTGGAGATGACACATTTATAGGGCGAGCCACTTTTTCAAATTATGAAATATGAGCGGACCTTCTGGAAGGGCAGTGCATTATTTACCTCATTGCCATTCATTTGCGGTCACGGCTTTGTGGATTTGCTGTTTTATCCTGCATTAACAGAGATTATTCGGTCACATTCGGAGCTCTATCTGAGACCTTGCCGGTTAAATGGAGTTGGTGCAAAGTGTTGCTTCCGCCGAGTTTGCAAACAATCAGCCATCAGCATTCTCGGATTGGAGCCGACACTGAGGAATGACATTGATTCGAAGCGCTCGACTGCGCCTTTATACATAGCATGCATATTATGCGCGGTAGCTCCACTTTGATACACGGTCGGAAAGTTAAGACGCGAAGAAAGTCGCACACCAGCTATATATACGGACTTGTAAGGTTACCCTGTCTCACCAAATGTTCTCTACCTCATATAGAGAGATAACGGTCTACTTTACCAAACGCGCGTCCCTTCAAATGCTTCACGACGTGGATGGCGGGCAAGCTTCTGAATCGCATAATACTTAGGATCCAACGTATCCGATATTCATATTTTATGCTTGTAAACAGAACCTTTCAATCACCGATAGTTACACAGTGGACATATCTACATGTTAGTTGTAGCCATCGACGCCATCCTCAAACTTTTGGAAGATCTCCAATGGGAATGAGTCGGCGATCTTTTGGTATCCGGCGACACTAGGATGGAGGTAGTCGCCCGAGCTGTAAGCGGCATTGAGTTGCGTCGCATTTTTGGGGTCTCGGAGGATCTTGTCAAAGTCGATCACGGCGTCAAACGTCTTGGACGTCCTGATCCAGTCATTGATCCTCAACCTCGTCGTCTCCCTCGTCGGGTGACTGTACGCCTGCAGCGTCGAATTTGGAGCGCCGAATGGCGTGATCGTCGCGGCGAAGATTGGGATACCCGCGGCGTGAACGCGTGTGGCGATTTGCTTGTAGGCGAGGATGAGGCGTTGGTAGAGACGGTCTTGTGCTTCGACGTTGGTAGCAGTCGTGCCAATGTCATTGACTCCTTCAAAGATCATGGCATACTCGACACCAGAGTGCGCGAGCACGTCGCGGTCGATGCGGCCTTGGGCATTCGGGCCGAGGCCGTCGTAGAGAATTCGGTTACCACCGGCTGCTTGGTTGACAACAGCAATGTTCTTTGTATACCCGTTTTTCTGCATCCGGGCCGAAAGAAGGTTGGTCCATCTGTACCTAGCTTAGTATTGAAAGCAAGTTCATCGGAGCACTGACCGGTTGTTTTGATCCGTCTGACTACCACGTCCGTCTGTGATGCTATCCCCCACGACGGCGAGAGCACGAACTTTGCTTGGGGCCCATGCCTCTACGGCACTAAGGAAGTACCAATGCGCGGCACTTGCGACAGAAGAGTCGGTCAAGTTAGCCGCATTAACTTGGTTACCGGCAGCAAAGAAGCTTGTCGTTCTCGAGCCGGGATGTGACGTGATGGAAAAGCCCTGTTGGCCTTCGCGCGTGTAGATGGTGACCGAGATGACGGACTGGGGGTCCACGTGGAAGTCGATTGGATCCGACACGGCAAGCGCGCCATTGGGTATGATGATGGAAGAGCTGCCGCTGAAGCTGACTTGCTTGATCGTGTTTGCGAGGATGGCCCGCTGGCCCGCGGTGCCGTTGAATGGTTTCGCAATCGTGACGGCCGTGATCGGGAGGTCATTTACACCAAACACATTGGAGAGTCGAAGACGAATCTTGTCGGCGCCGACAGACATTTGGAGAGTTTGTCGAATCGTCGCGTCGACAAACACCCCAGAGGAGCCATTCTATTTTTGGTGTTGGCATTGACGTGGATGTGAAACAGAAAAAGGTTAGAACTCGACTTTGCAAAGGAGAAAGACGTTGAGATACGCACGTACGGAGCAGGCGGAAGGTTAGCGGGCTCTGTGAGTTGTGGCATCGAAGTCCAGGTATCAACCCAATGGAATGGCTTTGATCCTCGTTTCTGGTGTGCAGATACGCCAACATTGCCCAACAACGTCGAGGCAAGCAAAATGTTGAAAAGAGCGGAGAGAACCTGCGACATGGCGGCTTCTAGTAGTGACCTTAGAAGAAAGAAATGGAGAAGGGAAGAACGTACGTACTGGTCAACCAACGAGAAGAGACGGGGTAGAACTTGGGATTTCTTCCTCCAGCATGGTCGCGAGCTTTATGCTTGAGGGTTCAGGAGGTAGAAATCCCTCTTCTACCATTGATTTCATTGTACGAATTCCTCGTGAAATTCGACATTGACACCAGCGCGAGAGTATAGGACGAACTTCGGGACTGCCGACGCCGGGACGAGGAGCTTTCGTTATTCCCATAGGTAAGTAGATGGGGTTCTGTGTCACTTGACGGATCCATCGGGCCGTTTCAAATTGGTAGAACGTACATGGGCGGGTCCAAGTTACGAGACCGCAGATCCGAGACACCGAAGCAATGAAACTGTGATAAATAGATACAAACAGGCACCTATAGTCGATAAATACCCGGATGTAGATGTCTTGAACATACTTGCGGCTGACCACCAATCACCATCCGGATGATTCGACAAAGTTTGCCAAGGATGTTGCTTACTTACGCAATACAAAATGCTTTCTAAGCTTGCTGGCGAGTCAAGCTTGTGAGTCAAACTCGGAGCCGTCGTGCCGCCTCGGCTTGTTTATATAGTTTCAGGCTTTTGGTCTTGGTCTCGTTATCTCTCCCTCCGTTTCTTTCGTCTGTCGCCTCTGAAATTCTCTGGACTTTATTCTCATATTGCACTTAATATTCTGTACGAATAATGGCCGACAGAGACACAAAATCGACCCCGCTCACTCCTTCACGTGTTGATACGCTCGACACTGGGGGCGAGGCCGTCACCAGAGTCAACTCGAAAGAAAATAAATCAAAGGAAGATGTGTCCCATTCAATAGGAGCAGAAGATTCGCCTGTCAAGGCAGCGGATGGCCACGAAAAGGTCCTGCTCACGGGTAGAAAGCTCGTCCTGGCACATCTAGGATTCCTTCTTGCCATGTTCTGCACCTCTTTGGATCAAACTATTGTCGCCACAGCACTCCCAAAGCTCGCCTCGCAGTTCAATGCCCTCGACCAGCTCACTTGGGTCGTCACGGCATACTTCCGTACGTACATGCATCTTCAACCAAGACGAATCCCTAATCATTCATATAGTCACCCAGGCAGGACTAATGCTCTTCTTTGGGCAAGTTCTAACCATTGCAAAAGCCAAATGGGTCTACCTTAGCTGCATCGTACTCTTCGAGATCGGATCTCTCATATGCGGAGTTGCACCGCAAATGAACGTACTAGTGCGTTGCGTCCTCTCAAGAATGAAAGCAAAACTCACCCATCTTAGATATTTGGTCGTGCGTTTCAAGGTGTTGGTGCCTCTGGCATCTACATTTCGATCATCACAGTCCTCTCACAGATTACGAAACTCGAAAACAGGCGTAAGCTAATCGAAACTATACCGGGCTTTATTTGACAGTACCAAGCAATCCTCTTTGGCACCTTTGGCGCAGTCTTTGCAATAGGTTAGTCACATCTACAGCTCATAGCAGACGAATCTAACACTCGATTCGAGCGTCTGTGGCAGGGCCATTGCTCGGCGGAGCTCTGACGGACCATGCGACCTGGAGATGGTGTTTCTACATCAACCTGCCATTTGGCGGCATTGTAAGTACCCTATCGCACAATCAACGGCAATGTTACTGATGATTCTCTAGTCAATAGTTGCAGCATTGTTATTCCAACCCAGTAATCCACCTCCGCCTAATCCACTGTACGATAGCAAGACGATGTTACAGAGGTGGTTGGCTCTTGACTGGGTCGGTGCCTTCCTTAGCGTCGCCACCGTTGTTTGTCTTCTCCTCCCTCTGCAATGGGGTGGCGTCACGCGACCGGTAAGTCTCAACGCGTCTAAGTGCCCATCATCTGACAAAGCGCAGTGGAACGACAAAGCCGTTATCGCGCTTTTTGTTGTATTTGCAGCACTCTTTGGTGCATTTATCGCGTGGGAACACCACAAAGGCGCATGCGCTATGATGCCGCTCAGTTTCTTCAAAAACCGAACTCAAGTCGGCGGTGCGCTCGCCATCTTCGCCATGATGATTCCATTCCTCGCCGGTACATACTATCTACCCTTCTTCTATCAAGCAAAAGGACGCACTGCCAGCCAAAGCGGGATCGACATCATCCCCTTCATGCTCACCATGGTCTTTGCGAGCTTTACCAGTGGCGGCATCGTAAACGCTACGGGTCACTACTATTACATTCTAGTTTTTGGACCCCTGATCTCAGCGGTTGGAGCGGGGTTGCTGTTCACTATTGATGAATTCATGGGGAGCGCACGTCTCATTGGGTACCAGATCATATTTGGGATGGGCCTTGGCATCGCTGGTCAGCTTCCTCGTATGTTTCTCTTTCTCTTCATCGTACAACTCTTGACGGGCTCCAAAGTGATGGCTGTACAAGCCGAATACGCACTCCTCCCAGAGCTCATCGCCCAAGCCTCGTCTCTCCTCAGCTTTCTTCAACTCATCGGTGGTGTCGTCGGTATTGCCATCGCTGGCACAATCTTTAACAACAAGCTCAACACCGAACTGTCCGTCTATGCGCCCAATCTTCCACCAGACACACTCGAGCACGTCAAACAATCAGTTACCGTGATATTCGAGCTCGAAGATACGATCAAAGGTGGAGTAATTCATGCATACGTCAAGGCATTGACGTGGATCTTCATTCTGTGCATTCCGGCGTGCGTGCTCGCAAGTATTTGTGGTGCCTTTGTACGGAATTGGAACTTTAAGACCCGGGGGAAGGGGGCGGCGGGAGAGGCTCCTGTCGTTGTGTGAATTTTCGAGAGGACGCACACGTAGAGGGAGGCAGTTGGCTTCAACTGGAAATCGACGTCTCCACTGGTATATGTACGCGACGCTCATAACCACTCTATCCGTAGCCTTATACACGTTGCTCGTGCCTAGATGAGTGACTCATCCTCTTACCTTAAGGCAAACCGCTCGTTCTTCAAGACTACTGAAGCGGTTACTCTCAAAGAGGATACTCAGATGCTGGCCGTGTATGTGATCCCGACGCTGACCTTGTCCCTCCGCCTCCTAATGACGTTGGGTTGAGTTGTAGATAGCAAAACGTGTCCGTTGGATACCTTTTACATGATATTTATACAGATGGAAGCCCTTAGCTCACTAGATATCGAATCGTGCCGCCCGCGAGTGGCGCCTATTTGCCTCCTTTGTTGGCACCGGGCTTGAACCTGACTTCATCCATCAAGCTATCCTCTTGAGAGCCAAGAATACGGTATCGCAGTAGGATCCAAATCAGACAATGACCGACCGACTTGTGCGTGCCCTTATTCTGATTTACTCTTGCTATCGAGAACTTATTCGATGTCTGGCAGTCCGAGGGTAGGTTCTGGTATCTAGCATACGAACAAGCACCTAATTTGACGATCTCACGTTGATATCTAGAACAAATTTCAGGTACGACTCTTGCCCTCTCCCCTCGCGCCGCTGAACCACAAATCCAGAGTTCAAGGACGCCTTTTCGTTATTCGACAAAGGTAGGTTTCACTAATCCTCTCATCTGTCTGAATCAACCATGCTCTTCATCCATATGCGCGCAAACCGAGTTGCAAACTCATCGAATCTCTTTGATATGCTGAATCGGGCCACAGAAGGAGATGGTACAATTACCACACGTGACCTTGGGATTGTAATGCGGTCACTGGGAGAGACACCCTCAGAAGCCGAAATCCAGGACATGCTCAACGAGATCGACCCAGACGGAAGTGGCACGATTAACTTTCCTGATTTCCTCACAATGATGGCACGAAGGATGAAGGCTGACGACGTGGAAGATGAAATCAGACAAGCGTTTGAGGTCTTTGCCAGGGACGGGACTGGGCTTATCTCTATTGGCGAGTTGCGACATATCATGATACACCTTGGTATGTGCCAGTGACGAAGGAAATCATGGGCTGTACTCACTCACGGCGTAGGAGAGAAATTAACCGACGAGGAGGCAGACGAGTTGTTGCGAGAGGCAGACGCTGATGGCGATGGCTATATCAACTATGAAGGTACGGGCTTTCTCTGCACATTTTCCCAGTTTTTCACCTCTCCCTGCAGAATTTGCTAAGGTATACTTGGGACGCGCACTCACCCTGTTATTGATGATTCGATCAGATGCTTGGGAAATAAGCATTGTGGACGCACACTTTTGGCTACCGGAATCGGATTGTATAGCAGTCGAAGTGGAAACCAGCAACTTAAACAAAGTCGAGGTTGTGTTAGCTAGACACCGGATAACATTTAGCAAGGTTGAGCCATCGTCGCGCCACCTTATTTTGGATCTCCACGCCTCTTAGAATAGCAATCTCAATAAGCAGAGCTGTGGTCTCAGGGCTGGCTCGCCCATTTGCCTTAAATTTACTCTGGCTTGGTGTATATCGTGGGTAACAACAGATGACCATTGTGCGTTCCATTGGTAATTTACATCAAAATCCCAAGCTTTACGATGAACAAGACGACACTGAGCAACGGGCGGAGATCGGAAGCCTAATTGTTGTCTGTCGTGCGTGGGCTTTCACGCGGAGGGCTTCAAATTCACATCAATGGAGAACGCTTATCTTTCCGAATCGAAGAAACCGCAATGGGAGACGGCCTGAATGAACATGCGGACGCCACTTCGATGAAACCCAGCTGACCGGTGCCGATGAGCCTTACGGGTTTCTCTCAGGAGAAAGGCATGGAGGCCTCGAGGTTTCCTTTTGGATCCACAAGGTATCAATGTGATGTGCGAGATGTTATCTTGTACTTGATTAATTGTCAGTCTTTTCGGCAACAACCGTCATAGAGGCCTCAAACTTGTGACAAATTCTACTGGAACTAAGCTAATGTCATATTACCGATGCAATGCACGCTGCCCATGGTATCAAGTTGACTATTTGCCCGTCTTGGCTGATAGGACCCACGGTTGTGTACAGACCAAATACACATTAAGGTGAGGGTCGATAATAGTTTGCCTTTGTTGTTACATCTTTGTCTCTTCCATCGCCCAAGTCAATCCCGTCTTATCCGCTCATTCGCCAGGTCTTGAATCTTCCATTGTAAAACTATCTCGTGACTCGATTAAGGTTTCCGATTTTGAGCTTCTATTCACTAATTCTAAACCTAGTTATCTATATTCATGTCTTGCTAAACGATTCATGTCACAAGATCGGGCGGAACTACCCCTCTGCTAGCCTCGTTGTGTGATCCGCTTTACTTCCGTGGGGAGCCAAGTATCACCAACCATCATGTGCACAGGGTCGTCTGCACAGCTTTCAGGGTGCAAATCTGTTGTCAACCTCAGGCCCCATATAAAAGTCGATTCATCTTGGCCCCACACCTGCAAACACCTACTCAACATGCCCATCTTTACTCTCGCATATGGGTCTTTTGGTGATATTACCTTGTGTGTACAGTTATTATGGAAGATTGGCAGGGAGCTGCGCGACACCACCGGGTCGTCACAAGAGTATCAAGCACTCAAAGCGGAGCTAACGTACACTGTCTCTCTTCTGGATCAGGTTCGGCGACTGGAGCAGGGGCCTCAGACATCCAAGAGGACACAGGATCTACTTCAACTTCTTCGAGAGGAGGTGGCGCTCAGCCATCAGGCGATTCAGAACTTCATGACCCAGCACAGGAGGCCACGAGGCATCCTCCAAATAGTCACTTGGCATACAATGGGTACTAACGAGGCCCGAGAGCTCCAGGAGCTCTTGTCAAGACGATGTATGCGACTATCAATGCTACTTGATATGTAAGCACAGTTTATATTCTGATTTGTATTCCTAAAGACTATAGGTTTCATCAAAGCAGTCAAAAAGATAGAAATACATACGAAAGCTCTCGTGTGACACTCATGCACAGAGAGGGAGTCCGTATTCTATCAACTCGGATTGAGAGTGCTACCACTGGGATAGTCGCCGATGTTGCTTCCGTTGGTCAGCATGTGATCGAGACGCAAACAACGGTCTGCAAGATAAAGGAGATCCTAGATTCTCTGGGCAAACATGTCAAGGATATGTCACGTGTTGAGATCAAGGTTGCTGTAGTCGATCCGCTCAACAGACGGCATGACCTTTCCCTTGGGTACTGCCAGAGCTACCAGGTGAGCAACGAGTAGGCAGTCAGTCCTGCAACCAAATGTTTAATTATGCAGATGGCCGTTGATATGATCAAGTTTCTTGCAAGGCACAATCAAATTGCAGGTGGCCCTTACCTGGAGAGAGGCCAATTCCAGCTCATGTACGGAAGATCGCATGGCGTGGTCAAGGAGGCATCATGGACTACGCTTGCTCAAGTTGGACTATCCATTGAGATTTGTGTCATCAGTCAACGTTGGCATTGCGTTCGCTGCCCAGCTTGTGGTTATGAAGGTCCGCAGTGTCCTTCAAAGGATCCTCAAGCTAGAAAGTGGTCGGTAAAATATCCTCATTCACTGCTTGAAGACTGACCTTTTCAGTACAATGTGTCATCGCAAGTTTCAAGTTCTAGAAATGCACGATGTTGACTTACCAAACCGGTTAGTCCGTTTATCACATGGTCATAACTATAAAAACGATATTTTTTCAGAATCCTGAACAGTTCTGTGGATGCGTCGTGGAATTGGGAAGAAGTGTCACAATTCCGTCTCCTGGCTGTTGTTAGTGATGCGTATCCTCACGTGAGTGGATGCCTCGTAACATAATCTTCCCTAACGGATAGTTTATGCCCACCACTCTCAGCCTACTGCTCGGTTTCCCATTTGGAACACAGACCAGCTCATTGGGTTCAAGGAGTTTCTCGAAGAGGATGAGTCGTTTCTGTTCCCCGACACCCCTTCTGATGAGACAGAGTGCGAGATGTTTGTTGTAGAGAGTGAACTGTCGGCTTGCATAGATCCGCTGGTGTTGCTTGACATGGAGAGACTGCTCGACATCTTGACCCACCTGTTTGTAATCGATGAGGCGTAATTGCGTCCGCGGAGATGGTATCTATATACAATATTCCGATTGTCTGTGTTCCTGGCCTTCGTCTCAGTGTCTTTATCCTCGAAACTCCAACGCATTTCCATTGCCGCTAAGAAAAATAATGGAAATCATATCAGTGAGCTCTGCTTCCTATTATTGTAGTTATGTCTGCAGAGGACAGAGAGACAATGACCTTAGTCACACACTTGGTAGTCGCAAAATGTTAACTGAACTGGAGGATCTGTTGGTTCTGGTCACCGTGTAGCATAGCCATGACCTACATAGGCAAGGTATCGTGACAAGAGACAACCCTATTTATTGTCTCTTGCCGTAGTTTTTGGATAGGCTCGTTGTCTCTTGACTGTCACTTGGAGGAGGTTATGATCTGTGGAATCTCTCAGAACTGGAGAGAGATCTAGAGAGACGCTATGATCTGTATTAAGTAGGATAGTCAGTTCGTTGTCACCCATTTGGTTTGAATTGTTTACTGATGGTTCGTCACCTCAGATTTGTATGCATCAAGGTGTTTTCAGGTCGTGCTCGGCCTAACGGCTCGCGCCTTTGAACAGCCTCGACTCTCAACGCCCATAAAGATGCGTCAAACAGATCAAGCAGCGTTATGCAAGAGTCTTTGATAGGTGCTTCACACCCCATGACGATCCTTCACGTGCCATCTCCCGACGGTCCTCGACAACAATGAAGGCTCGTTAGGGGTATCAAAATGTGTCATATACTATCCAATGCGATGGGAGACAAGGGATCTCTTTATCATTATAATACATATCAATTCGACTAACACTCTACATGGCAGCCGCGCCGGCGGTATCTGCGCCTCGTTGCTTCACGTTCCAATTCTTGACAAACATCGCCGCGATTCCTGCCAACACAGCCGCAGGTATACAGAAAACAAAGACGTACACGAGTGCTTGGACATATGCTCGGATTACGCCTTGCCTCTGCTCTTCAGGCAACTGGAAGATGGCGGTGACGGACTGTTTGACGGCTTGAACGACCTCTGGTGGGAGATCTGACGCGTATTGGGCAAGGAATTTCACGAGCTGATTGTTCACAATCGTGCCGCAAATGGCAATTGCCACGACGCCACCGAGGAGTTGGAGGAAGGTCAGGAGAGAGGATCCTTGAGGGATGAGATCAGGCTGATCAGCATATTCGGCTTGAATAGCCATGACTAGTTTAAGAATTGTATTAGTTAAAGCATGTGAGGAAGCATGGAGAAAACGCACCAGGTAACTGGAATGCCAAACCCAATCCAAAGCCAAATATGATCTGATATCCGATCAACTTTGGATTCGGCGTGAATTCGTCAATCGTATAGAGCAGCCCCGCACCGACAGCGGCCACGAGTGGCCCAATCACCATCATGCTCTTATAGTGGCCCGTCCCGTTGACAGCTCCACCACTTAAAAAGCTAGCAATGACGATCGCGAGCATGAAAGGGATGATGTTGATACCACTCTGACTGGGCGATCGACCTTTGGCTTGATAGAAGAAGGGGAGGTAGTAGGTTGCGCCGAGGAAGGTGCCCATAATGAAGAACATTGCAATACCTCCACCGACTTGTGTGCGTCTTCTGAACAACTCGAGTGGCATCATGGCCCGTTTGCCCATGTACACCTCCCAGCCGACAAAGAGGATGAGAAGGACGGCAAAAACGACAAAGAGTGCGATAACAACTCTGTCGTTCCATGGCTTTGTGACACCGCCCCACTGGAGGGGTAAGAGAAGAGCCGTGATCATGCCGACGCTGAGGAAGGCTCCAACCCAGTCGAGGGCGAGCCACTTTTGGAACGTCGTCTTGCCTTCATAGAGAGGTGATGGTGGAGGTGGTTTTGAGGGGATAAAGAATACGACGGCAGCTATAGACTGTAATTCGGCGAATTAGACAGGCTCACGGCGCCCGAGAGAGCGAGAAGACGTACAAATGCACCAAACGGAAGGTTTATCTATAACAATGAACGTGAATAATTGTCAAAATGAGTGGGAATACGCACGTAGAAGCACCAGCGCCAAGTACTATGGTCGGTAAAGACACCTCCGAGCAAGGGCCCAACCACGCTGGAAACAGCAAATACACCACCAAAAGATGCAAACAAAAGAGCTGGAACAACGTGTTAGTCCGCCGCGCTGTGTACATGAGGAAGACGGTGAACGTACGGCGTGTTTCAAGCTTGACAATCTGTGCAAAGATGGTAAGGATGGAAATGAACATTCCCGAGGCGCCAATTCCCTGAAACGCCCGGCCAAAGATCTACAAAAGTGGAGTGAGCCGGCAGGATTGCGAGTCGATTCGGCAGACGGACCAGGACGTTCATGCTCGGTGCGACACCACAGATGAGGGACCCGACTTCGAATATGAGGATGCAGGTGAGGTAGACCCATTTGGAGGGACAGATGGTCAAAACTTGGCCGAGCGCGAGCATCAGGCCGGCTTGGGTAACTGTGCGAACATGTCAGCGCTGCGAGTTATGAAGAGTTTATCGAAGCGAGATGTGCGCGTACGGAAATATGCAGAGACGACCCATGTCAGCTGATCGAGCGCTTGAAACTCGGACGCCAACTTTGGGAGGGCAGTCGCGACAATAGTCTGGTCGAGTGCGAAACAGAATACAGCTCTAATACTTCTATCAGCAATCTCTTGTCTGCAAATGAACAATGACGTACAAGAGGAAACCCGTATGCGCCAACAAGAGTTTTTTGCCCGTGAGCCATTGCTCGTCGTCAGCAGCGCTAAGACCTTGTTTCTCTACGTCTGTATCAAGAGACTTTTGACGTGCAATATCGTCTGCATTATCTCCAATCGTCGTGTTGTCTGCTGTAGCAGGTGCGGTACGCGTCGTGACACCGATATCGTTTCCCTTTTCGATCCCGCTCTCCTGAGCTTTTCTTTGGAATTTTTCTCCGCGTCGCGCGAGTTGACGCGCGTGGCGTTCTCAGTCGCGACACCAGGAGCTGTATTGTCCATTCTCTTCGTAAAACTGTGAAAACCAGAGAGCAGCTAGGTTGCCAAAGTGCCCTCTATGATTCTTCCTCGTAGAGGAGATGAAGGAGACGAAGAGAGAACGGGGAAAGGGCAAACACCTGGAGGGTTCGAGGTAATCTCTTTTTTACACCGCCCACTTATCACTCCATCGACATTGACTTGAGCAATTTTCTTTTGACGCGCGAGAACCAGCAAGGCGATGAGCAAATTTGTAAGCGCTACACGTAAGAGTCATCGGAGACCGGAGGTTTCTGATGAATTGATTTTATTAGAATGGCGTGCTTTACAGTAATTACCCAAAAAGGAAGGAGGCAAAAGTCGAAGGAAAGTAGGGCATCTATGAAGATGGACGATGGTACATTATGGATTTGACAATTGGCGAGGGAATTTGGGAGAGGGAGGTCCACCCAGGCACACACACCAAGCGCCGGTACGCAGCTGGCGGCCCCAGATGGTTGGGTTACGTTGCGCACCATTCTAGAAGGATTCAACAGGGACGACGGGCGAGAGATAGACGACCAAGAACGCAGGACGAATAGCGTCGTTTCGGTACACCACCGTCTCGTCATAATTGAGATCCTCACCGGGGACGCCAAGCACCGAGTCGCAATTTGGCGGCGGTTGAAGGAGTGTATCCTTGTTCGTCTTTGTCGAAAACGCTCTCCCGACAATGACATTATTGAGCAACAGAGCGCTCCACTCTGACTCTTTCAAATTTTTCGCATAGTCGTTACTCTTGCTACTTGTATCGCTCGTGTAAATCCCCTTGCCGAAACGACCCCAACGTGGACCAAATTTGTCCACGTCGTAGGACTTTTTGATGATGCAGCAGAGTGGACAAGAGGTAGAGTCGCAGAGCGTCTTGTTACCGGGGTCACCGACTTTGCACTCACGGGGTGCGCCGTGCCATCGGTATTGCTCGTTGCCCTCTTTGAGACCTTGCTCGACGAAATTGCCGACGGCTTCCACGCCGGATCTGTACGCTCTGTACATCCTGTCGCTGTCTTCTGTCGATACGATCATGTAGATGTACTGGAGGATAGGTTTCGACGTTGGATGTAGCCACTGCGACGAGAAGCGATCCTGGACTAAGGGAGGAGTTAGGATACCATGACTAAATCACCATAGAGAACGTACTCCTTCTGAACATGTAGTGTGCCGGGGGAAGTGGGACGATTTTAGGTGCCCCCTCGCGAGCGGCAAGGACGCATTCGGAACCACAGAAGCAGCTGTCCTCTGCACTCTCACTCTTATTGCACTGAATGCACAAGCGCTCAATAAGACTGCTCGCCGATGGCGTAATTGACGGGGCAGCAGACGATGCTGCCGTGGTGCCCGTCATCACACTTGGGGAAAAGTCTACTCAAATGTGCGCCGGAGAGAAAATAGAAGCGAGATGAAAGAAGATTGTGAGTGATAGACGCGTAGCGCCATGGGAAGACGGCACACCTTTAGCCGAACCATTCGCAGCGGCGTTTGCTTTGGGAGGGTTGGTTTACGTGAGAGATTGGCTTGGGCGGTCGGTGGCGGTCGGTATCCTGTGCCAGTCGAGTTGGTGCTCGGGTTTGTCGTCGGAAGAGTGGGACCGTTTGGACGAATCTGGAGCTTAGCGCCAAAGATCCATTGGTAGCCGAGCATGCATGATGCGGCTGCAAAGAATACGCTATACGAGAGGAGATGAGACAAAGTGGTTGGGTGAGGGAGAGAGAGGACGTACAGTGTGACCCAGGTCAGGGCGGAGAGAGATTTCGTCCTACTACAGTCACTCATACTCCTACAATTTCCTGGAATCGAATTGGCCAACGAGGCAGCAGCAGCGAGCCAGAAAATGTTAAACGTCCACATGCTGGAAGGGGACCATCAGCTCGTGTTCGCGTCTTTTGTGGTACCGCGGAGGACAACATACTAGACGACATGTGCGATAAAATAATACTTGACGTTGTCCTGGTAGATAAAGTAGTGCCAGATGCCGGACAGGAAGAGAAAGACTTCGACGCCTGATATCGCAAATGAACCCCAACCGACAAATGTGAGGAATTGGGTCGTTGTCCATGCTTGGTAGCTGATTCTTCCGCCAGATGGATTTTGGACAATGCTTGTCGCCAAACCGGCTGTGATTAGACTGAAGAAGATGTGCACACAGGTCGTGCCTGGAATGTATATGAGTATTTGGTATTGTAGAGCATGAAAAATACTGACGAAAGTATAGTTTTGTGCTGACCATAACGAATGGACGCTCAGAGGACGAGCGAGGAGGAGGAAGAAATGGCCTGAGAGCATTTGATGGACTATCGACCTCCGCTGTCTGATGATTGGCTGTTGACAGGTTGCCATAGGAGTGCTGGATGGGATGGTGGGAGGCAAGCGGAGTTGCCAGCCCCCTATTCTCAGGCGGCCCTTTTGTGCCCTTTTTCCCCGAAATAACCAGCCGTGGCGTGCCGTGTGTGCGCGTACATGTAAAAAGGATGTCCGAATAGTGCCCATACAGTGCCCCTATGCACTGCGGCCCATTCAATTGAGGCATTTTGTCAGCGCTACCTTCGACTCGGCCAGGCTGCGCGTTTTTTGCTCAATGCCGCTCGATTCGTCAGACCGGAAGTAAGCCCGCCTCCTCGCCCTTTATAATCTCGTCTGTTTCTCATCTCCATTTCGACATTCCCCCCCTCCTCGCCCCCCTTTGCCTTGTCCAACAACAATGTCCGATACAGAGGCGAATACCCGCACTGCAACCCCCGTTGGCTTCCCAAAGGTCGACACGCTAGAGACTAATCTCACTCGCGTCAATTCGAAAGCAAACTCAAAGTCGGATGGCGCCCACATCGAGGAAAAGGTGGCCCAGGACGAAACCCAATATCTCACTGGAAGAAAGCTCGCACTCGCCCATACTGGATTCCTATTGTACGTGCAACTCTAGATCAAAGTCATCACTCTGACCATACCCAGAGCCGTCTTTTGTTTCGCTTTGGACCAGACAATCGTGGCCACTGCCCTCCCAAAGCTCGCCTCGCAGTTTAATGCCCTCGACCAACTCACATGGGTCGTCTCTGCATATTTCCTCACTCAAGCCGGCCTCAGTACGTACATCTTCCCATCGAGCAAACCAAAGGCTAACGAAACTCTCAGTGCTTACCTTTGGCCAAATCCTCGTCGTCGCACCCTCAAAATGGGTCTACCTCACCTGCATCTTCCTGTTCGAGATTGGCTCACTCATCTGCGGTGTCGCTCCCAGCATGAATGTCCTCATCTTTGGTCGCGCATTCCAGGGCGTCGGTGCCTCGGGCATGTTCATCTCCATCCTCACCATTCTCGCACAAATCACAAAGCTTGAGACTAGACGTGCGTTCCCCCCTCTCCTCTTGATTTCCATGTTCTAACCATTTCCTCAGCCATCCTCTTTGGCAGCTTTGGCGGTGTCTTTGCGCTCGCATCCGTTGTCGGTCCACTACTTGGTGGTGCTTTCACCGACAAGGTCAGCTGGAGATGGTGCTTCTACATCAACCTCCCCTTTGGCGCCATCTCCGTCGCGGCCGTCATCTTCTTCCAGCCCTCCAACCCACCGCCATCGAACCCACTCTACGATGGAAAGACGACACTCCAAAAGTGGCTCTCACTCGACTGGGTTGGTGCCGTCATCAGCGTCGCCATGATCACCGCTCTCCTCTTGCCCCTCCAATGGGGAGGCGTGACCAAGGCCTGGAACGATAGGAGCGTCATTGCTCTCTTTGTCGTCTTTGGTGTCCTTCTCATCGCGTTCATCGCATGGCAATTCTACATGGGCGAGCGTGCCATGATGCCCCTCCAGCTCTTCAAACGCCGCACTCAAGTCGGAGCCGGTATCGCCATGTTCTTCATGATGATCAGCTTCCTCGCTGCGACATACTACCTCCCCTTTTTCTACCAAGCAAAGGGTCGCACGGCATCGCAGTCTGGTATCGACATTATTCCCTTTATGCTCAGCGCCGTCATCGCTTCATTCGGTAGTGGTGCCTTTGTCAATGTGACAGGACACTACCTCTCGCCACTCATCGCAGGACCTCTCTTCGCCGCCGTCGGTGCAGGTCTCCTCTTTACCATTGACGAACACACCCGCAACCCAGTCCTCATCGGCTACCAAATCCTCTTTGGTTTCGGTCTCGGCTTGTCGTTCCAGTTACCCGTCATGGCGATTCAAGCAGAATACGCAGATACACCAAACCTCATCCCACAAGCTTCTTCCCTCCTCACTTTCCTCCAACTTCTCGGAGGTGTCGTCGGTATCGCGATTGCCGGTACGATTTTCAATAACCAGCTCGTCAAGGAGCTCGCAAGGTTTGGTGGTACACTCGAACCGGATGTTCTCCAGGCCGTCAAGCAATCTGTCACCGTCATCTTTACGCTCCCGGCTGATATCCAAACCGTCGTCGTCCATTCGTACGTCAAGGCGCTCGACTATACGTTTATCCTCTCCGTCCCGACCTGCGCGTTGGCGAGCTTTGCTGCCGTCTTGGTCAAGAATTGGAACATTAAGCAGCGTGGAGCAGCTGGTGGTGCTGTTGCCGTATAAAACTGCAAGCATGCAGCATTGATGGTGCCGTCAGCGTATAACTTTATTCGACGCATGCATATATTGGATACGGGTCGATATTAGAGCTCTTCATACTGATTTATTCTTATGACACCTCATAATGGCATTTGTACACGTCACATGGAACCAAATGATAACAATGATATTCAGGACTACTTTGACTTGTAAAGTGATCCTGAAGAGTTAGTGCAAAACCCGAAGATTCGCTTTGAGTTGCTCATGAGACCAGCTTTGTCCAACGTGGTCAACGACGCAAACGTCCAAAGAAATCGCATCGTCGATCACCGCGGCTGCGACCATCCTCAATGCGCACTCGTCTCTGCATTCTATCGTCTCCAGTCTCTTCGTCCGAAGGAGAAACGACGTCACCAGTTTTGAGATTTCCTCGAGTTGTAGTGAAGAAGGATTGGTAGCAAATGTAAACTTTTTGAGTTGTGCTGGCTTTATACCAGGACACTCCAGTATACACAATACCTCTTTTTCTGTCCAAATTTTGATATAGAGTATCTCGAGGGATGGTGCCACGAATCCTTGCAATGCGCGTGACGCCATCGGCATCCTTAGTATCGCTTCCTTTAGGTGCGGAAAAGAGGTGGTTTTGGGGAATTGCCAGTATCTCCATGCCTCAATAACCAGCTTGACTACATTCTGGGCATGCTGGAGGGGCTCGAGGTTTTGCGTGGACCAGTCGTCATATAGCGATAGATTAAGCTCCTGTAGTCTACTCATATCCATGGATGGAATTGATGGGTCACATTCGACAAAGTCCGCGCGCCGAAGTGCACTAACGACTGGCAAAACACGAACCTGGGGGCTCAAGTGGACATAATCGAGTCGAATTAATTCGAGATATGGGGTGGGATGCGAAAGAAAGTGATCGATATGAGTGGTTTGTATGATTCCTTCGCTGTCGCAGAGAACCAAAGATTTCCATCGTCTAGCAATCTCTCCATTCTCTCCAGAAAGAAGATTTAGGAGAGGCAACATTTGCCAGACAACAATCCTTGGGTCGTATCCGATGCAAACGTCGACGAGTTGTACCGGTCCCGTTCGGAGCAGTCGTGAGCGGATGTACTTCATCCAGAAATCGATTTTATACTTTCCCGAGACGTAAACGTTAAGATACCCCCATAATTGCGTATGGCCTAGTGCTGCACAAGTCCATGCGCGACAGACGAGCAAAAGACGCTCCAGTAGCGCGACATCACCGGCTTTTGGGTCGTCCCGGATATATGAAAAGAGCTCCCCGAGTACCTCGAAGGGGAATCGATCATTGTTGGTTCGATCAACTGCGTCGTCGACAAAAGTGGTAGATGTGGTCGAGGCAGACATGTTTTCCTCATGAGTGGGCTACGCTCTCACACCCGCCTTACTTAAATGCGGTCATCAAGTAAGAGTTTAGAATGCGATGCAGCCAAATGAACGCTTTCTCTGCCGCGTTCTGGTCTGTACATACCGGTAGCCATACCATACCAACAAGTCCGCTCCACATCTCACAAAGTCGCCCCTCTCCATTGCAGAGCAAGTGTACGTTGCTACCGCGTCGATCCTGCGCGCTGCTTGCAGGACATCTTGCTCGCTCACCACATCTACGAACGAAGCTGCCAAGTCTGATTTGAATCCGACCAGCATGACTTGAGTAGATGGCAAATAGAATCGAATATATGGATACCACTGCCATTGTGGCAATTAGTAAGACAAAACCGACGCGTATAACCATCGTACCTTTTCGACCACCGAGTTCAAGGAACCTCTGTTCGTGACATCGTAACAAAGTGCTACAATAGCAGTAGTTGCGAAAAAAAAAAGCCGTACCAACTGCCCTTGTTGCACGTACTTTTTGTGGACTTTCGGTCATAATCCAATATGCGACCTTTACCTCGATATCGTCCTGTCCTCTTGAATTTTTGGTCGCAAGCGAGGGTCTTTTGGTCGAAACAAACACTCTGGTGAATGCGGGCTCGTACTCTGACACATGTTCGGTCCTCTGGGGCCCCGGTAGCGTCGACAACACTTGTCTATCAACAAACGAGCGCTTTCCTACGCCCATGTCGCCCACCATAAGTACCTTTACGTGAAGTACCATTGGGCTCCCGGTCCAACTTTTGACTCAATTCAGGGCGCTTCCTTTATCGGGCGCGCCTTCAAGACAAGGACCGACAAAGTAGAAAAATAAAATAAAATAACTCGTCTTATTAGTCGAAAAGGAGGATAAAAGTATACGAAACGAACACAACGAGCCAGGCTGTTAATGACAGTGGCAACGAATGACTATATGGTGAATAAAGTCACAAGAGTAACTGTACCGAGTACTTTTACGAAGGATGGGCGCCATCAGCCAAACTATCATTCCGCGCCCTATTACTGGGGAGTGTAGTGAACAAACTTGAGGCTCTGGGCAGGCGCGATTCCGTGGGAGCGAAGACTACCAAATATCAGCATGAGATATGCAAAAAGAGAACAAGGGATGTACTGGTTGTTTAAACTATCCTGGCGCGTTGTAGCGAAATCACACCCTGCAACGCTGCAGCCAAAGTACGTGGTTCCATGTACCATGGCTTTATGGCGAGCAAGATAGGTGCTACTTGACAAGCATTGGCTACAGATGTCACAGACGTAGGCTTTAGTAGCATCAGCAGCAGCTTGATTGGAAGACATTTTCTGGTAAATCGATGAGTACGAAGCTAATTATACTATATATGCTCCCACAGAGAGTGTAGGTTGATGTATATAAACGTATACGAGAGATTTCGGTGGAGAGAGTGTGGTTGGCTGGAGCCAGGACTCGAGTAGCTGATGAGGGAGAATATCGAGAGAGAGGAACCGATCATTTATACTAAAAATTTGAGCCTTTGGTACTCCTTGAGCGTAGGATGTGGCCCAGTGGCAGTTCACTGGTTCACAGGTCATGCGCGGAGGACTGCATAGGATGCCTTGAAGAAGGTGTCCATGAGTCATTGATCGCCGGTGTTGTATGCAAGTATCCTGTTCTGTGGCTACAGGTCGTTGAGCCTCGGAGTTGTCGGACTCAAAGGCGAAGCGTCAATGAATGAGGCATATTTAGGGTGGCCAATTCATCTAATGCTCGATTCCTCTACCATGTTATGTTTTAGAGATATTCGTAGCCATTATATGCGTCGCAGTGCTGGACGAGATGCTCACTTGATTGCCATCGCCTCAATCTTGACCATGGTTGAAACCCCTTCATCTCTCGCTATACCCATGTACAGATTTTGTCAAGTTCTGTGTGCGTTCATCCAACTAATTTGACGTGGATAGACAGTAAATAGCACCGAACATACGGATACCACTATCATTCAATCAGTAAGGCGATCAAATTCTTTGTGAATAGCACAGACAAATGTCGCATTAAATGCTCTTGCTGCACATATTCTTGGCATATCTTGGTCATATATATTGTAATACGCGATCTGTAAATCTCTCTTTCGTCATTCTTGAGTAGATTAAGTAAAGCTCGAGGTTTCTCTAGTCGAGAGACTACAATGGATGCAGATTCGGAATCTGAGCGCTAAAGTCGCTTTATTTGGGACCTCGGCGGCGCCGGTGTTACTTGTCTACAAAAAAGAGCCCTTTCTCACGCCACGTCGTGAGGCTGAATAGTGAAGATCAGGGTCCGAGTCTAACCTTCAACCCAGGGCGCTTGCTTTATCGGGCGCTGGCTCAAACTAGAAAAGAACAGAGGAAGAAATAAAAAGCAACGTGTGATATTGAACGAGAATTTTGCACGAAAGTACGCGAAATGACACGACTAGCCGAGCCGTTAAGGACAGTAGGAACGGAGGACCGGAGCTAGATAGCGAATAAGGTCGTGTAAATAGATAGAATGAGTCCGTTGAACAGATTGTGGGCGCCGCCGAATAGACTTTCACCCCGCGCCCGATCACTGAGGCGGACTGTAGTGGACAAACTTGAGGTTTTGGGCAGGGGCGATCCCGTGGGAACGAAGACTATACACTGGGTTAGTATATGATCGGTGGAGAAAGGATGGGAGGCGTACTGGTTATTCAGGCTGTCCTGGCGCGTCGTGGCGAAGTCACACCCGGCAACGCTGCAGCCAAAGTAGGTGGATCCATGAACTTTGGATTTATGACGAGCGAGGTAGGCGCTGCTCGTAAGACCTTGACCACACATGTCGCAGACATAGCCTGTGACACCGGCAGCAGGTTGATTGGAAGACATTATCTGGCGGAAAGATTAGTGAGTGTCCAGTTAAACTTTCTGAGAGTCTTACCTAGAGAGTAGAGAGGTTGTCTGTGGACGTATACGAGACTTTCGAAGGCAGAGAATGCTTGGCTGGAACGAGGAGTCGAGTAGCTGATGAGGGAGAATATCGAGAGGAAATTCCGTGATTTATACTGCAATTTTGAGCCTTTGGGATGACTTCCTGAGTCTGGGAGGCGGGCCTGTCCCGCCAGCTAGCGAAAGAGGTGTTAGCCCGGAGGACTGCATAGGAATGACTCACGTATGATGTACGGAAACATTGGTATGCATTAATCTAGATGGTTCTGGCACCTACTGAATTCTGTCGCCAGCTGGGTTTGCGGACAGAGTGGCCAGCCGCAAAAGGAAGGCGCGCGGAATTGGTAAAGAAAGTGTGGCTCTCACATGAGGCCGTACTGCGTGTAACGGATATCCATGGGCCAATTTACTTGTTCTCCGTCTCCATCGACGCATTTGAGCCCTCTTGCCCGGTGCAAGGAAGGCTACCGGAGGCACCTTTCTATTGGACTCACACATCGCGTCGGTTGAGAACCTCTTCGCCGGTGTATTTTCTAGCCAAAAGCGTCCAACGAGCCTAGCGCCGAGGCGTACTGTATCGCCTCTTGAGAGGCAAACACCCGCCAGGCCTCCCGGAATTTTCATCACCCAGCCTCGTGTCGTACTGGTTGTGGTCATGGTCACTCTATCCCCGCCAGCAGGACTGTGGCTGTCGCAGCATAGACCCACACCAAGGGCTCAAGATTCTCATTGTCCTTGAGGCATCCACAGATTGTTCTTGCTAACAGTCCTGACAACAACCATTACAATGATTAAGACGCCGTGGTCCTAAGCGGTATTTCTGACGACAACGAACAGAGGCTAGCAATTGCCAGTCGACCGTTTCGAATAGAAATCCAAGATAATGTGGTTAAAATGACCGCGTTTCGTATGGCTGATGCCCATGCGCCGAAGAGTTCAGGTCCAAGAGAAGCATAACAATCCTGCTCGCCGTTTGCTTTCGACCGTGTCCCACCATCTAAGGGCTCGCTGATCCATGTCCAGCTTTGTGAGCCCGCGGACATTATTGTTGATTCAGGATGAGTGCTACAAGCATCGGTACATCCGCAGCAAGGACGATTCGTTCATCGTGGAGCGCCCACAGCGACTACGCGCCCTCAAAGTCGGATTCTCCGCGGCAATCTCGCGCCTAGAAGAACTTGTACAGTCAAGAAAGTCCATCAAGTCTGTGCCCTCCAGCCAATTGGATCCGGAGGCAGAACTGGCAAATGCACTCGATACGCTGTCCTTGTCATCTAAAATGGTCCACTCCATTACGGATATCTGCGATGTATATCCCACCATCCAGTTTCTCTTCAGTACCTCTCCGCCGACCCAGCGGTTCGAATGATCCACGCCGCAGACGCCGAAGGTGGATTCGGCAGCCTCGAGCACCTGGACCGACTCGCAAAGTGGGCGAGGGAGAGTGAGGAGCGCATCAAGCGGGGTGAATGCGAGATCCCTACTGGCTTTCCCCAAAATGACCTCTACAGTCAGTCCTAACCATGGTCGGCAGGAACCTTTGAGGACTGATCTACACACATAGTGTGTCCTAAGTCCTACCGTGCGATATGTGGTGCCGTAGATACAGTCCGAGAGGCAGTCGACCGGGCCATGCGTGCAGACGAGAATGGGACCAGGACCGTGTTTGCTGCTATTAGACCACCAGGTCATCATTGTAGCGAGGACATACCGAGCGGATTTTGCTTTGTCAATAATGTTGCCATCGGCGCTGCGCATGGTGAGTGGAATTGTCCACCATTGACCTTCCTTGAAACGAGTATAGCACACCTCAAGCACAAAGTCAAGCGCGTAATCATATTCGACATCGACTTACATCACGGTATGGAAATCACTCTCACAGAATAGGGGTTGACTGATATCAGGAAACGGCACTCAGGCGATTGCCTGGTCTATCAACGCCGAAACGCATCGACGACGTCTCGCCCAATTAGCTTCGCAGCAAATGCAAGCATCTGGCGCAGAGACTTCTAGTCTCCCTCTTCTTGCACCACCTGGACTTCAGATCTTCTATGCATCGCTTCACGATATTCTCTCGTTTCCCTGTGAGGATGGTGACCCAGCATTAGTACGCGACGCCTCTGTGAGCATATCTGGGCTACACGGGCAGTTTATCGAAAATGTCCACCTTCAACCTTACACCACACATCAAGACTTTTGGGAGCGACTCTACCCACAGTACCGCAAACTCTTCTCCAAGGCACTCGAGTTTCTGCAACTTGATTCGAGTGACACGAATGTTCCCGTCTTTATCAGCTGCGGCTTTGACGCTTCGGAGCTCGAGTACGAGAGCATGTCGAGACATGGTCGAAAGGTGCCTGTCGGTTTCTACTATAAATTCACAAAGGACGCCAAAGAGTTTGCGTTGAAGCATGCAAACGGAAGGGTCATCAGTGTCCTCGAAGGAGGATATAGCGATCAAACTCTGATGGCGGGCGGAATGGCCCACCTTGTCGGATTGGTCGAAAACGGCGAAGGAACGCTAAGTGGTCCCGAAGAGTGGTGGAGCGAGAATAATCTCGAACTGGTGCGTTGTATTCTGTCGTATGTTCTGTGGCTAATCGATTAATCATTAGCTTGAAAAGGCGAGCAAGAAGCGAAAGGGCCGTCAATCCATGGGAACGATAAACGAACCGTGGTTGGAGCGCGCTATTGAAATTCTGGCAGCACTGGATCCGTATAATGGCCAAGCCCCCCCGTCGCCGACCGGTTCGCGCAAACCAGTCGTCGTCGCGGACAAGTCATTTCCTAATGCTGGAAAGGTTCTTCGGGACCGCAAGAAACCAAAGACACCTCCGGATGCGTCGGGCACTCTTCCTGTTCCAACAACGTCGTCCACGGCCGCTCGCCCGAGGAAAAGCAATTCGAGCGCTCCATCACCCCGTGCCAAAGACAAGATTCGAGCAGAGACACATCCACATCACGAGGCCAAAGTACCTTTATCACGACGCTCGCCCCCTATAGAAAGCGATGGTCCAATAGGTGGGACCAAGGACGCCGGTTCGGTCGCGACCGCACCCACCGCTGCTCACTCTATAGCGGGTGAAGGTGGAGCGAACGCTGGGGACGCTCGCCAAGGGGAAGACCCTGCTCCAAACGGACTTGGGGTCGAAAGTGAGCCGCCTCCGCGTAAGCTGCCACGGTTGATCCTGCGTGTTCGTGAGCCGGGAACATAGTTCTATACCACGGGCCACTAGTTTACGAGTGTGCTTGTTAGGAGTAATCGTCCGAGGCGGAGATTGAGGCTATCTGATGATGCCACGTTTTGTGGCGATGTGCAGTATGACGTAATATTTTCTGTAATTTGCTTCCGGTTTCAATTATCATCTGATGCAAAACAACTGACAAACTGCGGCGGTGTTCTTGTATGGCGAGAGCGCATAAAGGTGCAGCCGCCCAAATTTCGGGCTTGCTTACCCATCAAAGGAAAAGCAGTGAACTCGGACAACAACAAGCCAAGCTCAAACGTGAAACTTGGCCACGACCACCATCAACAAACTTTGCCAGTCCCCACATTTTGATCGCTGTTGCCGATAATCTAGGATTCCCGTAGGGGTTTTAGAGGAACCTTTGGCAGAGGATGAACAATCCATTTGACCGCGCCACTACGACGGCGTCCCCTGCAGCGGGTCTGAATAATCCCTTTGATTCAGACCCAACGAACGCGAGGAACAGGTTTCCTGATCTCACCGCGCAGCTCTCGGGCTCTCCATCTCCTCAGCCGTCCTATTTCCCCCAAGGCGCCATCGCACCAACGTCGCCTTGGCCTTCTGCTGGCTTTTACCAGCCCAGTCCAAACTTCAATTTAAGCCAGCAACAGCAAGGACTCTTCTCGCCGAATCCAACCCCCCAGTTTGCAAACGCCTTTCCGCAGCAACAATCGCAACCGAATAGTGGATTCGTCGGAGGGGGAGGCGCGTTTGGAGCGAGCGGGTATAATTCACCATATGGGAATCCCCAGCCCAACAATTCGGGCTTTGCTGGGGGTGTTGCGAGCGGAGGATCGTATGCAAGCAGTTTCGGGTTGAGCAGCGGCGCCGGAGGTTCGTACTCACAGTTTAGTCCCACTTCGGGCTTTGGGTCGTCTTCTCTTCATCCCCAACTATCCCAATTCGACCCGCTCTCTCCACAATCGCAACAACGACCAGCAATGCAATCTACCAACAACAACAGCCAATTTCAATCTTCATTCAATCTCCAGCTGTCTGGAGGAGGAAATGAAATGGATCCTGGCTCACTCATATATCACCCACGCAACCCTGCGCAACCGAATAACCAAATGGTGACGGGTTTTAACGGTCAGACAACGCTCCATATCCCTATCCGACCTCATAGCTACGGACCCATGGACCATCCCCGGCATGTGATTGCCATGCACCGCGTCGAGCTCGAGCAGTGGGATCAGTATGGGTGGCGTCAGTGTCTCAACGCGCTTGAAAACTTGCGTGTTGCATGGGAGACTTTCCGTGACGACGTGACTCGCGTGACGGATATTGGGTGTCCCCCGCATGAAAATGCAATCACCCTAAAGGTGCGTCCTCTCGTCTTGGAAAATCATCTTCACTCACCAGGAGGCCTATTTGCAGATGAAAAAGGAGGCGTCAGAGAATATCGGTCAGTCTATAAGCTGATTAGGGGAACCAAAACTGATTGGATTGACAGACAACGTGACGGCAGCCTATCTTCAGATGCAAGAGGTATTCGCGAGCTACCGACAGTCGCATGACCCGTCCAGTAAGAAACGCGTGCGCGAATGCCTCAATGCCGGACTCAAGAGTCTACCCGATTGGCCATAAATCGTCACACCGGGCCACCGCTTATTGACCCAATCGGTTGGTATTGCCGCTCCACTTGATCCCCTAGGTCGGACAGCTTATCATATGATGTGCATGTGCGCATTTTCACTGGCCTACTTGACGCCTACCCTAGTCTCCCAACGAAATGATGTATCCATTCAATGTTACTTAATTTATGCGACTCCCAAGCCGCTATTAATTTATTGTTGGAGATGCATCTTCGGGATTATCCTACGTACAGCGTTGCATAAACGCAAGGTTAACATAGGCCCCTCGGGCATTTTACACCATCCATCTTTGGACACAGTTATCTGCTGTCGATTGCGACGGACTGGATTTTGAGTTCTGCCAGGTGTCAATCTCTTCACTTTCCAGGAGAGGCGAAGACGTACACAGATTCTTATGTTACAGCGCCAGCCGACATCCTAACTTTATCTCATCTCTACTTCTCCAAAAGTCACGAATTTCGCCGTACGTTGAGGTGTAAACTCGTACTCCGCCAGATCCTCTGGAGTATTTCCAAAGCTTGTGTCGCCGGGATCGCGTTCACTCTGGCCCCGTTTTCGTGGGTTCCGCAACCTATAATCAAACGGAGAAGTAGCTAAGTCCGACAACAAGCTCACATTGTGCACTTGTTCGTCGCTACTATTGCCATCCTCCATCGGTCTACGCGCTACTCTCCGCAAGTGCAGAAAGAGACGCGAAATGCAACTCGAGGTGAGCGCATATTCAACGAAAGTTACGTGATAAAAGGGTGATTGAGCGCCTATTATCAGCTAGGTGATTCCAGTCAGCGTAATGGAGATGGCGACAGACTGGTAACTTGCGATTGTGCCGGTAATGAGTCGCACGGAGAGAATGATGACAAAGTAACTGGAGCCACTCATATAGATGGCATGTAATAGCGAGAGCGAGCGCATACGTCGTCCCCCTGCCCATTCTCCAGATGCGACCAAGGGTAAAACGATGTACGGCATTGGCTATCCGTTATTATTAGTAATTTATTGCCCGAGAGATAGAAATACGTACGAGATTGGTGGCAATCTCTGCAGCCTGCCTACAGGCTTTGCGTAGGAGTATGTTATGATGGAGCTGAAGGACGACCAAGAGCGTCTCCAGAGGAACCTGAAACCCGTTGATCAGCAGCTCCGAGACAATGACGGCCGCGTACCAGAGCTAAAAGTGCGACCCCTAGTAACTGTTGCGACCGTCCAGAATAGCAAAAATTGGTACTGAGAGCAGCTAGAAGGAACTGTCAGGTAGAGAGACAGAGTACGGGAGACGGTCGTACGCCATATTCGCACGAATGACAAGGCTCCGATAACAATCGTGACGATGTGCGTTCCAATCAAGGAACAATAGACAAAGTAACGGAGCCATGCTCGGCCCGGGTAGAGTACTAGTACTCGGATAGTGAGTAGCCATGTCGCTGCTATGTACGTCAAGGCTTGTGCAAGTAGCTGCCCAGCAGTCAATAATCTGCACCTGTCAATGCTAAGACTTTCATAGTGATAGAAGGGGACTATTCGCCTACAACTGCCTACAAAGTTAACGGAGGACACGACGTATTGAAAAGCTCACCACGATTCCCGTTTCATGAGACATGTCTATTCATTTGAAGTTGGTGTAAGAACAGGGTGGGGATGGCGAAGGCCAATAAACTCACGGTAGATGCCTAATGCCGCCCATGGAAATGGCAGGTAACGGACCTACGGTAGAAGGTTAAGTCAGTAAGTCGCGTCCAAGAGTTACGTACGATAAGAAATAGAGATGTAGGTAGTGATAGTCCAAATGGCCATATATATGTTATCTATAGTAATTAACTCGGTTTCCCCAGGTTGTGCGAATATTCACCTCTAGGGGTAATATGATATCAGCATAGAGATAGATGCACTCATGAGCAATACACCCACCATCGGTGAGAGTGAGAAGATAGTCATAAATAAGAATGGCATAACCCGCGGCAAAAAGATAATGCGAGGACTGAGAGTCGATTGCTATGTCCAGTCGTACATGCCCATCCATAAGGTTGTCGAGAGGCTAAAGTCGTAAAGCAACAGTGGTAACGAACTGCACCCACGCCTTTTATTTGTGTCTGGATTCGACTCGAACCATGAGGTTCGTTTCACCAGATGAAACATGGTCAACGTAAAAGTGGCCATCGAAGGACTCTTGGGGTGGCATCGCTTGCATTTAGCTTCCGACGGCCACTCTCGCTCCAGGGCCCTCTTCTCAAACCGATTGTTTATGTGGCGCGGGAGCTGTTGTCGCGGTATATTGTTGATGATCGAACGGAAGGCGTTTCGAATAGGGATGCGCCGTCAAAGACCCCAATAATATGATGTTTGGCCGATCGGACACCTGGGGCGGGGACAGTTTCATTTAGCTACCTGCTCTTTTTCCATTCCTCGCGACTTGAATAGGTACAGCTCGGTTGATGTGCCGGTGGCACCGCGGTTCGCTCGCAATTATTGTAGAAGACGGATCTGAGATTTGGAAGGACGGTATTAAAAGGACACTATTAAGAGAAGATGGAACGCAGGAAAGGGCTTCGGCGTCCTCTGCTAGAAGGTCTGGGCCAGGTTACCAGCCAATATTGAACCTGGAAGAGTCTCAACCCCACAGAAAAACATGAGGCAGGGCTAATCTTTTGTGTGGAACCCGCCCTTGGTGACCAGGGTGTCCACATGTATATCGTACTCTGTCATTGGTATAGTACCAGGCTCCATGATCTGTTCAGAAAGTCCAAGAGCCACTGAGGGACTAGGATTGGTACGGAGTATATCTGCCACCCTGGCTACTGACCTAGATTCGACTTGGACCACCCATTCGTCGACGCATATAACCTATATTTGGCGATAAATTGATCGTAATAACCTTTTCCATACCCCAGTCTCGCCATTTCACGATCAAATGCCATCCCTATTCGGGGGTTAACAACGAGATAAGAAAAGTTTGACGCCTAGACCTGGCATCAGGATGAGATCGAGTCCTCGACTACCCTGGTCAAATACTTTCGGGAGTAAGTAACGCATCCACCGTTGCCAAATTGCCCACCTGTCGACCGAGGTAAATCATTAAACTTGGGACTTGGCTCTCTAATGCCCCATACTCCTGAGATTAGGTTTCTTTCGTAGTCATCCCTGTCGTAGATTCGATAGAACTGCATATAAGATATTTGGGTCTTGGAGTCCGTCGTAGGCGGCTCTCGAACGATACGTGGCACATAAAGAGCTTTACCTAGAGCATATCAAGCGAAAATCTTACGCTAGGACGACGCACTCACCATCTGCCAAGGCGGCGTGAATGATAGAATCCGTTTGAATCTCCCCGCTCGGCATGCTCACATAGCAGGCTATTGTACGACTCTCTTGGTATTCCTTAGATGCCAGAATATGATTAAACACGTGCTTTGCTGCAGATGTCTATTGTGATTTTGCGATACGAAGCCGCGATGAACGAACATTGCAAAGATATTGACTCGTCGCTGATGCCACTGAGAATCTGTTTCATGCGTTTCCGCAATTCTCGCTTTGCTGAGACGACCGTTGCCATTTTCTCTGGTCGACGTGATGGTGAGCGGGATCAACTTCGTGACGTTGACATTCGCCACCTTTGACGTATCCCAGTAAAGGATGCGCAACTATCCGGCTTTGGCTTTCGCCTTGATAGCAGTTTATAATGAAACGCAGTCGACTTTGGACAGCAAGGACACGACAAAGAACAAAGCCGGATCAGGTTGGAGCCTCGCTAGAGGTGCTCAATCTTACACTCTACAAGGTTTAAATTTCCTTTGGATGAGGTTTGAATACTTGCTGGTGGCATTATTCCATCCCGTGTGCAGATATAGACCAAACAGGAGTGAAAGGACCCTCTAAGCTACTTTTTGGCATGAATGCGTATGATTGATTGTGCATACGATTTTGGTCGGCTTTTTCCTCCCCATTCGTGATATTCCACCCGAATCCACGTACTCTGGGCAGGCCACCATCACAGCAAGTGCTCTATTCTTCATTGACCTACATAAAGTATACTTATACAATTTTATGCGTTTTCTCTAGGGCCATAGAATTTCCTCTTATTTAATTCGTCTCGACCTCCCTTCGGTACCGAAACCACCGTCCGTCGCGGCTTGATAATCAATGGTGGCCTGCGCCAGAGCTCTGCTCCATTCATGATAATAACACGTTCTATTTTTGATATCAGGGTCTATGCTGCGGTTCCCGCAGGGCACGGAGCCGAAATGGTTTATAGGAAGCGATTTGACGACGCTTGTAGTCATAACCCAATCTACCCAGCTATACAAGATACTCGATATGACATCCAACTCCTTGCCCGCAGATCTTGAACTACAGTCTCGCAAGAGTATGGCTTCCATGGCCGAGCCCAAGGAAGTCACAACACAGTATGCAGTGGCAAAGGCTAGCACAATCTTGACTGGACGAAAACTTGTACTCGCCCACATTGGGTTCCTTCTGTGCGTCAAATGCTCTTTTCATATCCTCGCTCACCCGAATAACAGCTCGGTCCTTTGCTTCTCACTGGACCAGACTATCGTCACAACTGCACTACCTAAGCTCGCCTCGGAGTTTCGCGCCCTCGATAGACTTCCCTGGGTTGTGACAGCGTACCTATGTGAGTGCTCAATCTATATACACAAGCGCCTCATATTGTTTAGTGACAACGGCCGGCTTGATGCTTTTTTTCGGTCAAATTCTCACAATTGCAAGAGCGAAATGGATCTATGTCACCTGCATTATCATTTTCGAATGTGGCTCGATCGTCTGTGGTGTAGCGAGGAGTATGGACGTTTTGGTAAAGGGCTCATAATGGTCCCGCCGATTTCTGATGTCTATTAGATTTTCGGACGTGCCGTTCAAGGAGTTGGAGCTGCGGGCATGTTTACATCCATCATCACCATACTGTCCCAAATTACCGACTTGAGCACCAGACGTACGTATCATTGCCAAGGTTTGAAGCGGGTCTAACTCGCCTACCTAGCACTACTCTTTGGAACGTTCGGAGCTGTGTTTGGTTGCAGCAGCGTACTTGGTCCATTGCTTGGAGGTGCCTTTACCGACCATGTCACCTGGCGATGGTGCTTTTTCGTATGTTATTGCCATTCTTTTGCAAAAAAAATCTCATACAATCTAGATTAATCTCCCACTCGGTGGCCTGGTAAGTGCTCTCATGTCTCAAGACCTACTGGTTATCTCAAAATTGGCTTCCAGTCTCTATTGGCAGCACTCGCATTCCAACCAAATACATTACCGCCAAGAAAATCATACTACGCGTCGATGACGACATTCCAAAAGTGGGCCTCGTTGGACTGGTTTGGTGGTGTTCTCTCCCTGGCATCCATCATTTGCCTTCTCCTGCCATTGCAATGGGGAGGAGTAACCAAGCCTGTAGGTTGTCGGTTGTCTGAGATAGAGAGCTAATATTACATATAGTGGGATGACAAGGCTGTCATCGCTCTCTTCGTCACCTTTGGTGTAATATTCATTGCATTCATCACCTGGGAGTATCATAAAGGGGAGAGAGCGATGCTTCCATTGTCCCTTCTGAGGAATCGTACTCAAGTCGGTGCGAGTGGAGGCGCCTTCATGGCGAGAATCGCCTTTCTGTCTGCCACCTACTATCTCCCGTTCTACTACCAAGCAAAAGGGCGCTCAGCAAGCCAAAGCGGTATCGACGTGATCCCTTTCATGCTCAGCATTGTCCTCGGCAGCCTCATTGGCAGCACTCTTGTCAAACGGACGGGCCACTACTGGACGCTCCTCGTTACCGGCCCATTGATTGGTGCAGTTGGAGCCGGGCTCATGTTCACCGTTGATGAAACCACTCCAACTCCCAAGCTCATTGGCTATCAAATCCTATTTGGGATCGGATCTGGCCTGGCCGTTCAACTTGCGAGTAAGTTTGGTTCCTCTTCCCAGTGATCTAATTATTGAATGTCCTCAGTGCTCTCTATTCAAGCAGAGTATGCAGATAGGGTCTCACTTATCCCTCAAGCCTCTTCCTTCAATCAATTCTGCCAGATGCTCGGGGGCGCCATAGGAGTCGCAATTGCCGGGACTATTTTCAGCAATCAACTCTCCAAGAATCTCGACATCTATGCTCACAGTCTCCCACCAAATATCATCCACGGCGTTAAGCAATCAGTCACTGTAATCTTTGAATTACCTCCCGAGATGCGTGCTGCGGCGGTCAAAGCATACATCAAGTCGCTCGACTATGTGTTCATCCTAGCTGTCCCCGCTTGTGGAGTTTGGGCACTCCTTGGGCTAATGGTGCGCAACTGGAATCTGAAGCGCCGGGCTGAGGAGACCGGGTATCGCGGCGGTGTGCAGTAAAGGACAAAGTTTAGAGCTCTTTTTCCTATAATAAGCCCTGTATAGACTTATGCTATGTTGTTTGATGTCGCCTCTTGGTACTGATCGCAATTCCTGTTGTGTGTTTGAACGAACAGACGATACTTAACAGCAATATTCGTGAGACTCTATCCCGTAGCATTCATCTCTACGAACATGGAATCAGATTATTGACTGCCACCTGCGAACTGGTCTCTTTGCCTTCGACCACGATGGTGCACCCACCGACGGCAATCAGCAAGCTGCCGCGAGAGCTGCTTGAAATTATCTTCGAAAATCTTTGTCCAGAAGCGAAAGACGAAGATCTAGATCCGGTGCAAATGGACCGCTTGTTGCTGGTCTGTCGATCGTGAGCAATGGTGGTGCTGGATTATCGACGCCTCTGGTCCTCCATCTTCATCAGTTTCAGAAGTGAATTCAGCTACGCCTTTTGGACCGCATACGCCCGTACATGTCCGGAACGTGCTGGACCTATAGAGCCGGTGGAAATCACCTTGATCACCAATAGTTCATATAATCAAGTTGATCAAGGTGAAGGGATGAAAGCCCTTCTCAGTGTACTCGCCGGGCTCACGGGAGAAGTTGCTCGGCGATGGAAACGATTGGTCTTTGAACCACCTAGGCGCGGCATTATGATACGAATATACGATCGCTTCTTCTCGTTTCCTACACCAAAACTCGAGACCCTGCACATAAATCGAGTCTTCGTTCATGGAACATGCGAATTCCTACCTGATACTCCCTCTCTGACAAAACTGCGCTTGGCTTGGTGTGATGTACCCCACGTCAAAGGCGTGACCTCACTAGTCTGCCTAGAACGTATTATGTCTGGTGCTGCCGGTGCCGATCTACTCGAGCAAGCCTCTCGACTGGAAAGGTATCGGTGTATTGGGAAACGATATTGGCACCTGACTAGGACAGTCCATCTTCCTCGGCTTTTGGATCTCGAGATCGGATCCATTTATCTGCTGACTCCATAAGCAGGCTTGTCACGCCGAACCTGGTCAAACTTCGCATTCGTCTATCTTCCACGCGTGATCTATCTCGCCTTCTAGACGCCTCGGGTATACCCCTCGCAAAGCTCAGAGATCTCACCTTGTACTCATATTCCTTTGACCAGCAGCTCGACAAGGCAGGACTACGGCGACTTCTACTCGCTACGTCGAACCTCCAGGAATTGACGTTCACACGGCCAAGTACCGCAATATCAGTCCTCACCCTGCTCTTGGAGATGGATCATCTTCATCAGACGGCACCCGGATTATGCTTTGGCTGCGGGACAGATGCAGCCCTACTCGGAATTGGAGAAGCAAAGCGGACAGCGATTGTGCGCTTTCTGGAGATAGCCAAAGAGAAATATGAGAACGGTGGCTCGACATTACTTTGATTTCGAGCCAAGTCGCGGCCAAGGTTGCAATCTGTCTTTTACCTAAAACAAAGTATCCCCATCTTGCTATTGAGTCCTATCTTTGGATTAGTTTGTAGATTTTGCGAGCTAAGAATTCAGCCGTGTTCCGACTAGCAAGCAAGCAAATGACCTCAGACTAATTGTTATGAGACTTAGCTCTTTCGCAATGTCGTGCAACAGAAAGGAGGTAATTAACGAACCCAGAAACCATAAACCTCATCAATATATTGGATAAATAAATAAATTGGTGTCTTATTGTGATATAGAGAGGCTCCAACATACAACTCCCAAGTGACAGTCCGGGACTAGAGGAGATGGGCTTGCCTGATCATTGATCGGCGAGTGCACAAGTGAACGAGTAAAATATGTTGCAGGAAAGGTGGTAAAGATGTCTAGGCGCGATGAATGAGACGAGTAATGGATGAACGCGTGAGTGGGGATCCCACCACTGACACACGTTTGAGCCAGATACAGACAGCTGGAGATGAGACTGAGAGGGTTGAAGGGGATAGTTTTACATGGAAGTGAGAAGGATAACCTAAGGAACAATTCAATTCTGGTGCTTTTTGTCTCGGGATCACCAATGAGATACGTATCCCGGTATAGCATCGATACCCCGGGCATTAATCATTGTGGCGAGAGGTAGGGCCGAATCAACTCCTCGTTTGGCTCGTTAGGCTTCCAGCGACAGGTGACTCGCTGTAGTGCGATGCATCCGATTGACTCGCTACGACGGAGAATCAACTCCCTGATGAGAGTTGGATTGTCTTTGCCGAAGCGCGTCATTAAACCCTTTGCTGTCATAATTCGCTGCATATCCATCGTCAAGCTTCTCAGTTTCGGCACGAGCACGGGTTTAGCCGGCTTGATGCTCCCTGCGCCAAAGAACGAACGGGCGTGCCGGGTCGACGGCGTGAGTTCGCGGAAAAAGGATTTGCTGTATTGGGCTTGTTGGTCGAGAGAGAGTGAGATCAGGTTGGGTTGTAATTTGAGCACGTTGAGAAGGTGCTTGTCGTGCGCTGGTGCCGAGATGGAAAGATGCTTTGGTTGAAGCATCCCCTCTGAGCCGTCGAAGATTGCGCGAAGGACGTTGTCAGCATCGGTTTGTTTCACGGTTTGAATGCTCAGGTGGAACGTCTCGAGCTTTGGGGCCCGGATTGCTGCTGCGGTCGGCATTACTGTGAGCAAATGGAAGACCTTGAGCTGCGGAAGGACGATCGAGTGTGGGGGAGGGGGTGCGTCTGAGTATTCGTTTCGGACGCTGTCGATGAACAGCGTGTGGAGGACGGGAAGCTTGAGCATACTGAGGGCGTTCATGGTGATAAGGCCGACTTTGAGCCACTTGAGCGTTGGGTATTCGACCTTGCGCTTAGAGTTTGTTTCGGCGTAGGCGAGTTCACCAGAGTATGACAAGAACTCCAATGCCGTACACCCGGCAAAGCAAGACGCGTCCACAGCGTCAAACTCGTGGCGAACAGTGATGCGGACCAAGCGGGTCCAGAAGGGACGCTCCGAAAGGCTAACGAGAATATCTCGATTGACATTTTCCAGATAGACGCTACGGAGCTTTTCAGATGACTTGTCGACTGCGTCGATCATCTCCTTTAGTGGCTCGTAAAGCGAACCAATTGGGTAGGCTGATGCGATCATAAGCGACTCAAGGCTCTTTAGATCGCCTTCATCGAAAACCCCTCCGAGGGAACGCTTGACAAGGTCAAGCGTCATGCGGGGGTTAACGATACCACACAAGAACGTGACCTTTGGGAGGTGGGGTTTGACCAGGTGGAAGAATTCACTTCTGGCTTCTGGGGTGGGCGCATTCTCGTCATTTGGGCCCACGACGAGTGTGACTTCGAGTAAACTGGCGCCTGCGTACTTGAGCGTGTCGTTGACGGCCTTTTTGGATGTGCAGGTATGGACGCTACCAGCACGTAGAGAACTTGGTGTAGTATCCGCCGAAAGGAGGATTCTCCTCCAGATCCTCGGTGTATCGAGGCAGATACGGTTCCAATCTCTGCATACGAGCATCAGAACTCCTACGGGGCAATCGAGCACATAGGCCTCAAAAATGAGGCGCCATAGTTCGACTGGGAGCCTTTTAAGTTGATTATACGAACGTTCGACTGCAAAATCAAGCGAAAACGCTACGCGCTGTTGTCAGCGTCTCACTATTATCTGGTCGATACAAGGAATATACCTATTCCGTCACCAGAGAGATCTTCCCGTGTTCTGAGATCAGAATAGGACCTGATATGCCGTGGGACCCTTGGATGAGAGCCATTAGAGTCGCAGACGCAGAGACAAAGTCGTGGATTACATACACCTCTTTGCTCTTACTATCCTCGATATCTGCAGCGATGAGAGATGGTCTTCTTTTGACGGCTTTAAGATCTGTGACTGGGGTTGCAGTAGTATTCTTCTGCCTCGTACTCGGCGCGGTATTTCCAGGGTTACTTCTTGCAGCCATAATGCCAACACCATTGCCAGCTCCCACACCACCTCTGGCTAGGCCGAAAGATGACCTAGCCGGAGAAGAGACTGGTGCGTCCCTGCTCCGTCTTCCGTCATCTTTCGGTGCATTCGAGTTCTGGCTCCCACGTCGAAGATCCCTGTCGCACGAGGACACGCTGAGACAAGCCGGGAAGATCGACCCAGTGTTCAGATAGTTACTGTGTGCAGGTATTGAACCGATTGGGAAGGTCTGCCATGGTTGAAATTCTCCGAGAGCATAAGTCGTGTCTGTTGGTGCTCGGCCATCCAAGAAAACCGGAGGGGGAGGGGGGGGAGAGGCGCGAGGGAGGATGGTGGGCATTTGAAACGGGGATCTCAAGGGATGAACGTCTGAATCAAAGGCGTATCGACCCCATGCAAAGAGTGAGCTGTGACCGAGACCGGGGAAATGAGACGGGGTGGTTGAGGAAGGAGGGAATCCAGTTGACACGGCGAACCCAGAGTTGGAAAACCTGAGCTGGTTGTCCGCTTCGTCGTTTTCTTTTTCTTCATCTTCGTTTTCTACACCTCTGATTACATTGCGGCGACGTGGGAGGACCGCCTCGGGCCATGTACATTCACGATGCCCGTGTTCACAGCGAGTACAGATGGGCTTACGCTCGTCACACTTGATCTTTCTGGCTCGACAGGTGAGGCATCCCTTTTTAGACCTGGTGTACTTTGGCCGCTTGCGAACGGCTCCAGCTATGCCAGGGAGAGGCGTATCGGGACCGTGCGTCGATGCCATTGGGGGATTATGATTTCTGGTTTGCTAACGGAGGAGTCGAGGCCCGGCCGTGCAGGGGGACTCAAGCCTCGATGGCGAATGTGACGCGGAGGAGAGCGACTGAGCGCTGGGTCCAATTCTAGGGAGAAGCGGGTGAGGAATGGTTCACTGTAGTCGCAGTTGAGGATCTAGACGGTTGCTTGCGTCGTTATGACTGGGGTGTACAGGAAGCTGCCAAGCAGCAGCGGGAGGGATTGGAAATATATCCCACTCGTCAAATTTGATGACAAGAAATGGCGAGAACTATTGGGAAAGTGAGCAGAGTAGGCTGAAGAGGTCGAGGACAAGGTACGAGGGAGCACAGGCGAAGAAGGCAAGCGAAGCTTTGCGCCCAGTCAATGCCAGCGCCAATATATTAGTCCAGAGTATTTGAGTAAGCTCAGAGAGATTACATACGATATAGAAGAGGCTGCAGTCACTGAACACGGCCGAAGCCTACTTGTATCATGAATACGATGGCGCCCAGGGACATTGATAGGCAAGTCTCTCTTGTCTTTGACCACGATGGAGCATTCACCTCCGACCAATGGCAAGCTCCCGCGTGAGCTGCTCGAGATTGTTTTCGAAGATCTTTGTATCACTATTCAAGACGAAGATCTAGATCCGGTGCAAATGGACCGCTTGTTGCTGGTCTGCCGATTCTGGACAACAGTGGCGCTGGATTATCGACGCCTCTGGTCCTCCATCTTCATTAGTCTTAGAAGTGAATTTGAATACGCCTTTTGGACCTCCTATGCACGTACGCGTCTGCAACGCGCTGGACCAACAGAGCCACTGCAAATCACGTTAATCACCAAAAGCCTCTATAATCAAACTGATCAAGGTGAGGAGATAAAAATTCTTCTCAGCATTCTCACCGGACCCACGGGGGAAGTCGCTCGGCGGTGGAAGCAATTGGTCTTTGAGCCACTCAGGCGCGATACTCCGATAGGAATATACGACCGCTTCTTCTCGTTTCCTACACCCAAACTCGAGATTCTCCAGCTAGCTCGAGTTTTTATCCATCAGACGTGCGAGTTCCTGCCTGATACCACCTCGTTGTCGAGATTGTGCATGCGCTGGTGCAATATACCCCCAATCAAGCACGTGTCATCCCTGACCTGTTTAGAGTGTGATATCGCTGGTGCCGCTGATGCCAGTCTCCTCGAGCAGGCCACTCGATTGGAAAAGTATCAGTGTATCGGCCTGCAATATTGGCACCTAACTAGGGCAGTCCTTCTACCTCGTCTTCTGGACCTCGATATCAGAACTCCTCTGTCTTCTGGGTCCATTAGCAGACTTGTTACGCCTAACCTTGTCAAATTCTGCATCCGCCTGTCCTCCTCGAGCGATATATCTCGCATTCTAGACGCCTCGGGTATACCCTTGGTAAAGCTCAGAGAGCTCGACTTGTACTCATCCTCCTTTGGTCAGCAGCTGGACCCGAGAGAACTACGGAAACTTCTACTTGCCACACCAAACCTTGAAAAATTGAGGTGCAGAAAGCCAACTGCCGCAATACCGGTTCTTAATCTGCTCTTAGAGATGGATCATCTCCACGAGACGGCGCCGGGATTACGCTTTGGTTGTGGTGACGATACGACCTTACTCGGAGTTGGAGAAGAAAAGCGGATGGTCATTATGCGCTTCCTGCGAATACTCAAACCGAAGCGCGGGTATCCGTTCTAGATGCAGTACTCTACTGAGGCCACTTTCGAGCATGGTCACAGACGTCTGCTGTAGTCACTACAATGGCCATCTAAATGGGGGTATCCAGGTACTGTCATCGTACTCTACATAAAGTGATCGTTGTACTTGTATCTCATCCTCAATATATGAATCGGCGAGTGTGGTGCAATGACTTGATCCTGTCTATGATTGTTGACCTGCGGAGGAATTGAAAGGTCACAATTCGACGTGCTTTATGCAATATTACCATTAAATCCAATGACTTCGACGATAGGGAAGCTATTCCGCGTAAAGGTTCTTCTCGTCGGCGAGGTTATCGATGGAACCTACACCTTCATGACGCAATATACGGCCGGAGTGACCGATTATGATGTTTATTTCGACAATGGTATCATTTTTACTCAAATATGGAGCAACTTCCCGGCTCTTAGTTCAACCACCGGCAGGCGCGAGACATCTCTGGACAAAGGGAACCAAGTCACATGCGAAGTTGCAGTATGGGTGCTTCATCCCTCTCTATTAGAGTCTGTTCCTCCCACGCTGGCAGCAAATCGATTTCACGATGCAGCCGTGGTCAGCATCTGCTTCCAAGCTGACAGTTCCTCATCGTTGATGAATGCTACGGACAAGGTGAGTATCAACTCGACATCATTACCAGAATTGTGATTTAGATAGTGGTTCCCCTTGGTCAGATTTTACTTTTCAACTGGACCAATCGTACTGGTCGGTCGTCAGTCAGGGACAGACACCAAGGACCGAGAAGCTATGAATGAACGTATTGCTGCAGCTGGACGCAAGATTGGGGCCGCAGACTGGTTCATTTACTCTGCCGATGAAGGAAACGCCGTGACTGCGGCTGGAGATACCCTGGTCTGGTATGGTTATCACTATCTGCGGGGCAGGAGGAAGCTACGTTTAGATGGATGTGTCGTCTTGTAGCATGTTACAGTCGCCTGTACCATATGATTTCTGGACTTTTCCATAGTTTCATTACATTGACGAACGTATATATATATCCTTTCCCAAGCTACGACTATGAGTAATCATCAAAACCTAGACAGAGTCTTGATAGACGCACTATTCAGTTTTCTTCAATAATAGTAAGGAGACAGTCAGTGACGGAAGGGCTGCCAATGTAATGAACCAGGGATTTAGGGATTAGCTTTCCTGAAGAATTCGCTAAGTATTCTCTGAGAACGGGGGAGTAAGCATCTACAAGTTGAGGTGAACAGAGCTTACGACGTCGTCTGGATTTCCTCATGCGTCGATACGTGCATAGGGAGTGGATTTCATGCCCACCTTCGGGTTACCTGCCTCAATCATATAGCGCCAGTCTCGACTGCGAGGCACAGACTTGTCTTTGACCACGATGGAGCATGCATCGACGGCCAATGGCAAGCTCCCGCGTGAACTGCTCGAACTAATTTTCAAAAATCTTTGTCCAACTATCGAAGACAGAGACTCAGATCCAGGACAACTGGACCGTTTGTTACTCGTCTGCCGATTTTGGACAATGGTAGCGCTGGATTATCGACACCTCTGGTCCTCCATCTTCATTATTCTCAAAAGGGAGCCTGACTACGCCTTTTGGACATCCTATGCACGTACGCGTCTGCAACGCGCCGGACCAACAGAGCCACTGCAAATCAAGTTAATCACCAGAGGCCTCTATAATCAAACTGATCAAGATGAGGAGATGAAAATTCTGCTCAGCATTCTTACCGGATCCACGGGAGAAGTTGCTCAGCGGTGGAGACAACTGGTCTGTGTATCCACCAAGCCCACTACCAAAAGAATCTACGATCATTTCTTTTCGTTTCCTACACCAAAACTTGAGATTCTCATCATAAATGGGGTTTCCATACTTCAAACGTACCAATTCCTGCCCGATACTCCTTCTCTGTCGGAATTGCGCTTGGCCTGGTGCAATATACCCCACATCAAGGACTTGTCCTCCTTGATCTGTCTAGATATTACCATGTCTGGTAACGCTGCCAATCTACTCGAGCAAGCCACTCGATTAGAAAGGTACAAGTATACCCACCTGCGAGATTGGGAACTAACCAGGACTATTCATCTCCCTCGTCTTCTGCATCTCGAAATCATGGCTCCATTCTTTTCTGGATCCCTGAACAGGCTTACCGCGCCCAACCTCGTCGGATTACGAATTCACCTACCGCGTTCGGACCACATCTCTTGGGTTTTCAACGCTCCAGGGATACCACTCCGAGCACTGAGAGAGCTTGATTTGTATTCATGCCTCATGGATGAGCAGCTCGACAAGGGAGAACTACGAAAACTTCTACTCGCCACGCCAAACCTCAAAAAATTGTCATCTGGACAGCCAAACATCGCAGTATTACTTCTTTGTCTGCTCTTGGATATGGATAATCTTCACCAGGCGGCGCCGGGATTACTCTTTGGCTGCCTCAACGATACAGCATTGCTCGGAGTTGGAGAAGAAAGACAGAAGACGATAATGCGGCTCCTGGAAATCATCAAAGAGAAGTACAAACATCTTCTCTATATTTCTGTTTAATTCTGCTATGCAAGGTTGGGGCCGCAGACTGGTTCATTGATTCTGTGACTGTGGCTGCAGACACCCTTATCACTATCTGCGGGGTGGGAGGAAGCTACGTTTAGATGGATATATCTTCTTGTAGCACGTTATAATCGCCTATACGATATGATTTGTATACGAATCTCGTCAAATAGGCCCGTGACCCCGATGAATCCATTCTTGCTCCCAACCACAACCATGAGCGACGACCAAAATCAAGAAACGCCTTCAATAGAACCTGCGCCTCGCAGTTCTGAAAAGATTGCAAACAAAATACGATTCGAGACCGAGCTAGAATTCGTCCAATGTCTCGCAAACCCGCACTACCTCGCCTCATTGGCCACTCAGGGCCTCCTTTCGCAACCAAACTTTATCGCCTATCTCAAATATCTCACATATTGGCTAGACGTCGAAAAAGGATTCGGCCGTTTCATCGTGTAAGCTTCTAATCTCTGTCTGGGTTGAATTCTGACAGAGTTTGCTTTTTAGCTATCCGCATGCATTGCATCACCTCGCTCTCCTGCAGCAACCGAGTTTTCGAGAAGCACTCAAAGATCCCGAGCTGCGAATGAGACTCGAACGAGAACAATACCTACACTGGAGAACATGGTACATCCCTCTCCTCTTTCCTCACCTTTCAGAATCCAAGTACTAATCTCTTTGAACTCATCCAGGCGTACATCCGAACCCGCCGTCGTCCCCACACGCGCACGAACGGCCCAAGCAGACGAAACGACCGATGCAGCTACACCAGGTCCGACACGACCCACACGAAGATCCGGGACAGCTCGTTCCTCGGGCGTACGGACGCCCGCAGGCCGGACGCCCCGTAGTGTTCGCACACCGGGTACTGGCATCGTCAGGACGCCCGCTATCGGCGTCAGGACACCCGCGGCGAGGAGCACGCTCAGTGTTAGCACGACTATCTATGATCATTCAAAAGAGGTGGCGACGCCGCCCCGTACCATGGTCGGATTAGCGAGTCCTGGGCTCGAAATTTCGCCTAGGGATAGCTCTCGTCCAGAGGATATCGTAATGCTCAGTCCTGAAAAGACGAGTCCTGTCGTCAACGTTGCACCACCTACCACAGGTGATCCTCTAGTGCTCACCGAAAAGGCGGACAAGGAGCCAAAAACAGAACCATAGGCAAGCTCTCAATGTACCTTTTAGAAAGTCGAGATAAACGATGCATAAGGCTCAAAAAGCGAATACACCAAAGACATTACTGGCTACGACAGCTCAGAAGTCCACACAAAAACAGAATAGAACGGAGATTGGTATCCTCGAGTACAAGTGTCCTCATACTCTCAGATGTTGCTGCATCGGTTGAGCGAATTGCTGTCGTTGCGCCGCCGCCGCCTGCTGGATGCCTATCGGGCCACCTTGTGTCGGTCGTTCGGCTGCATTCGACTGTGCAGATGGATTCGAAGCGGCATTTGCCTGATCGCGGTTTTCCAGCTCACGAACGTCAAAGCGCAGCATTCGTGGCTGTCGTTCCCATGCTTCTACGTCCCAGATGGTGAACAGAGCAGGTTCTGCACCTGGTCGCAGCGACTCGGGGTTGACGCCGTCCATATGGATCCATAGCCTTTGAGTCTTGTGATATCTCCACTTGCGGTTATACCTAATAACCTAATCAATGCCTGCGGAAAACAAAGTGAATAAAAGTGGCGTACAGTTCCTGAGCCGCAATATCTTGGAACAGATCTCTCGGCATGGAGTAGAATGTAAAGAACAAGGTCTCGTCGCTGAATTGAGCTGCCTTTTTTGGATTTGGTGGCGGAGGGGCGACGTTGTAACATGACGGTAGATGATAATTTGGCTCTGTTGTCGGCTCTACTGACATGTAATCTGCCCACGGGGTCGCGAATTTTGGATACAGGCTCCTGGAATTCGGGTATCCAAGCGTCAGCGAACCAGAGCACGCCATGGATGGGCGCCGTACCCTGGATTATCCAGTTCCATTCCAAGCAACCCAAGGTCTTGCCCGCTCGAAAGGACATCGTCTGTTTGCTGTCTCAGTGCCCGTACCAACGCGAGCAAACCCCAACGATCCGCAGCAGAGTGTAGGACCTGATCTGCCGGTGTATGCGGTTGTACGAGCTGCTGTTGATTGGTTGTTGATGTCGGGGCTAATGAGAGCGCATCGTCTATAGAGGTGTGTCTCACTATCGCTGCGAGGCTGGCCACACAAGATGTCTAGACAAACCTGGCTGCTGTGCTCCAGACGCTGCTTGTGCTAGTTGTTGCTGCTGCTGCTGTTGCTGTTGAGCGAGATGTTGCGGATTTGCTAGAGTCTGCTGCTGCGAGTGTCCGTTTGTGGCAGAGCCATAGACTGCTGGGCTGGTATGAAGATTCCAACTCGAGGGCGTCGATGGATTCTGTTTCAAACCAAAAACTTGCTAAGTTTATCGTCAGCCATCTTCGTGAGCCATCTAAAAACGGCCTACTCGTTTGTCGTCTCCCTGGAGCATCGGGTTTCGCAATATTGAGATTGGCTGCTGTTGTGCCTGATAACCATTGAGACCTGGAGGCTGTAATTGCGCGTCGTGTGCTGTCGAGGGACCACCCAAGGCCGGAAAGTCATCTGGATTCGTAAAGTCACGCGCGACACCGTTTCCTCCCAGCGGCTGAGCAGGACCCTGCGCCGACGACGATGAGGAATGATGTTGAGCCTGTGCAGCGTACGAAGCACTTGAATTCGTCGCATTTACCGCCGTTCCCGACCCGGCACTCAGTCCTCCCGCCGCGGGCGTCGTCGTGCTGCTCCCAGCCGCGCCCAGTGCCGGAAACTCGTTTAGATCGAGCTGTTGGCCGTCTGATTTTGTCGACGTAAGCGGTCTGCTCGTCTGGGCCGAGAGGAGCTGCTGACCGTTGGCGGCCTGGGCGTGCGCGGTCGAGGAGAGCAGTTGGGGTTGCTGCAACGATGAAGACGGCGTCTGCTGCTGCGATAGGCTGCTGGAGAAGCCATACGGGCCATTCTGCGCCTGTCTGAGAAACGCAACCGGTCCAGTTGCTTGGTGCGGGCCAGCGCCGACTACATTTGGCGTTCTCGATCCAGGGATCGTGCTTGAATACGCGATTCCAGGCCGATTCTGGTTTATGGGCGGATATTGCGAATATTGAGTGCGGTACATCAGACGTCGAGTGGTTCAAGCTTGTAGACCCACAATTCTCTACGTGGCAGTGATGTCCATTTAGATTATACACTTTTTACTCGCTTTCTTCCTCATTCTTTTCCACCGCCAAACTCACACAGCGTCATGTCTCACTCACGCAAGCCTCGGAATTTACAAGCTTTGTTCCTGGGAATACAACACGAGGAATTATCCCGCAGGACACACAGGAGAGAAACGAGGAGATGGAGCAACGAGTGTGGCCAGAGACTGGCAAGAGGATATAAACTGCAGACTGCGTGCATTTGTCCATGCCGCATGGGCGAGAAATAAAACAGGCAGCAAGCTCAACGACGCGAAAAGACGACCGCGCAGGCGATAATCGGGACATAGATGACAGTGCTAATGATAGCAGCCGCCAAACACCGTCCTCGCCATAGTCGTGCACTCTCCATGTCATATTCGGTAGAATCGGTCCAGAGACCACTGTGACTACGGTCGACGACGCCGATCGTCGGTGGTTCGCCCTTTTCCGCATCTGGACTTTGTTGACGTCGGATAGGAAGCAACATGCCGATCCACCAGCAAAGTGGAAAGACGAAACCGGCAAGGAAGAGCCATGCTTGAATAGGCATATCGTCTCGATCAAGGATCCACGAGTCCGCCCACGTCTCTCGTTTTTTCCGTCGCTGGACACGATTCTTGAGAGGATGCTGGTACCGCATACCATCACCTCGTTTGGAGGTGCCGGAAATGCTATGGCGGATTGATGGTGCCCTCGGTGACACAATGGCGGACACGGGAATCGAGACGGCAGAGGCGTTGTGCGAAAGTGGTCGACGATGCGAAGTAGTTGGACGAGAAGAAGATGTAACAGAGCGTACAGAAGGAGCGGCAGAACGAGAAGCAGACGTCGAAGTTCGAAGCGGCAACGCATCCTTTTCAGACGCATTGGACGACAACTTCATGCGCTTGCGATAATACGAGGAAGGAGCTAGAGTAGTATGATTAGCTTTATCAATGTAGTAAAAAAAAGTAGACATGCCATTGGAATCGAATCGTGGTCGATGACCCCTGTTGTCCTGGATCACAATTTCTTCCGGATCTACAGCCTCTCCAGCCTTACGCTTCCCCATGACCTTGATACTCTGCCGTCGACTATGGGGTTCAATTCCAGCGACACCAATTCCACTCGCGTGGGCATAGCCCTCTGGAACTCGAATATTTTGAGCAAAAATATCTTGTAAACGCGTAGAAGGAGAGCGAGATGTCGAGGGCCGTGGATTATGAGACACATTGGGCGCAGTGGATGTGCTAGGGCTGGGTTCGTCTACAGCCGTAGCACTCGTATCTCGTTGTGCATGTCCACTGGGAGATATCGCCGACTCTTCCCGAGTTGGGAAATCCTGAGAGTTTGGTACTTCTGCGCTGAACACCGTAATCGGAGATGGTGGACTGATCGCAAAAGGCGTATCGGCCTTGGTCCCTTGATCCAGTAGCGCACTCAGCCGTTTACCACCAGAGCTTCGACGAAGTCGGAGACCACTTGACGATCCAGATGCAGATCTGCGCCGACGGCCATCATCGGAGACGTTGCGGATCCGTGTGCCAAGAGCCGCTTCGCGTGGATGAGAGAGTTCATCTCCGCTCGCACCAAAGGACGCCATATTCCGAATTGGGAGATCCCAAGGCCATCCGGGACTTGTCCCAGCACTCGAACTGGCCTCTTCCCTGTGCGGATTATCGAGAGACGAGTCGCTGATGAGGGAGGGAATGCCATATCGCGACGTGGTGGTCAAAAGCTCTGATGCATCCGAGGCTTGATTGGGCCGATGAGCCAGTCCGTGTAGAGGTCGCTCACTCGAAGGCGTCTCCAAGGTTGGAAATGCCTCGTCCATGGCGGGAGGAGGGGGGGTTGGATTCAGTTTGGAAAGATTGACATCTGGTTGTTCGGAGCCAAACTCGCTCACAAACACGTCGTCGGCTGAAGGACGCGTCGGAGGTTGTCGACCAAAGGTAAAAGGCAGAGATGTTGTTGCTGGTGCATCTGGTTTGACGACGGTGGTACGAGGAGGGTATGTGGCATCTATATGTTCATGAGCTGGAGAGATATTGTTAAATACGGAGGCCCTTTGTAAATTAGCTGATGTTGAAATAGCTTGATCGTCGTTTTGAGTATTAGGTGACTTTGGTTCGGCGTTGTCATGATGGTCGTTATTGAGGGGAACTCGTGAGTAGGACGAACTGTCTGATGTCGGCATCGGTTGCTTTGTCGAGTTTGACCGACTGAGTGCACTGCTTTTTGTCGGTGGTGTCCTGGTCGTCGTCGTTGTCGTGCGTGACTGGGACGACGTCCTCGACGCGTCTGGGAGAGGAGGGCCATCAGCTTGCGCATCATTATTGTCCTTTCTGCCTCTCCCAAATGTTGACCAGCCCGTTCCAGAGCTAAAGGGCACCGCGGAGAAAAGGGACAGACTGGCCCTCCGTGGACTCGGGCTTTCTGGCAGTTTGTCCTGCGGGTGTGAGTCTGTCGAAAGCTGGTCCCGTTCGAGTTCTGGACTCTCTCGAATCGTATCCTCCGTTGGCTGAGACACTGTCGGAGTCACTTTTCTGTTTGCGACACGTGCAAGTGCAGACGGTACGCGAATGCCGAGCTCGTTGGCCGTCGACTTTCGCACGGGTGATGTTGGCAATGAGGGTGTTGGAGCTGAGGAGAGCAGCTCGTCTGGGTTCGGGTGTATTTTCCGAGCTCCTGCGTAGACTGCCGTCGTCGTCTGCAGCGGCGCGGTCACTAGAGCAGATTCAGGCTGCTCTCGCTCAGGATTTGTATCATCAGAGGATACATTTGAGATCTGTGTTTCTTGGACTTTCTGGCTGGATTGTGATCGCAAGCGTCCGAGGATTGCCTGCATTCTTCCAACTGTGTCAGCCTCAATACTCGTACAAGCTGGCCTCTGGTGCCATTAACACTATATATACACCAACCTATACGGTTATAAGCACCTTCTCATCAGCCCGTGCTACCCAACGGCAGGCCACCAGATCGGGGTTGACCACAGCCAGTCACGCAAATCAAGCAATCAAGCCGGAAATAAAATGGAGAGTAAAATTGAAGAGGGTTCTGAGGCCTGGACGGATCCTCAGAGTCTGCGGGAATCGTGGTCGAAAGGAGGTTGGAAAGGCAAACAACAGACTTCATGCGGTGCACTCTTAGCCGACTATCCCTGTGAATTTATGCAGTCGTTATGCACACCAGCGTACCCTTGTAGGTCACGGGGCACTCCTGCTTCTAAACTCCGCTCAAATATACTGAGGGAAACACCAGTCTACACCGTGGCCGGATCAGTCTGTTCGTGATCGGTCACCTTGTGCGCCTCCTTTCGCGCCAGTCCGACGACGCTGAGCGAAGAGGGAAGAATGATTCCAAGAGACTTGAGGGCAAGTCTACCAAAAGTCGCGAAATAGCGCTCATCTGGCACTGAAGAGGTGGGCTCGACAGAGGCGACCACCCCTCCTTGCTCCTCGTCCTCCACGGGTCGAATAGAAGCGGTCGAGGAGCTGACACACTCCGAGGTCTTTCGATACAACGCTTGGATCAACGGACTCGCAAGCCAACCCAAATTGGTGGAGACAAAGTCGATGGGGAGGTCTATATACTATCAGCTTCTGAGCGCGAGACAAGGACCACTTGCCTCGCAAGGTATCCGGAATCGAATGCCCAGTCAGAAAGAGTGCGCACAAGTTGGTAAAAGAGTTACAGTTGAAGCCTGTTGTTGCGTAAGCCCTGATGTCACACGAAATGGGCGTGGCTAACCGAGAAGATGATATCGCTCGTGGGTATAATAGTCCTTCACCTCTTCTAGAAACTCTTCAAGAGTCTCTTCGTCGATATATGTCGTACCCAGCGCCATCACCTGATGAGGTAAACCCAGCTGCGGCACCATCAGCGCAGTAGCAAACGGCAAAATATTTGTCGCTTACATGACACGTCCCTGGAACAGCAGTGGTGATCCCGCTACCGAACCAAATCTCCCGGTCATAGACGACGATGGACCTCGCTTGACTCAGCCATACATCCTACTTTTCGATTTCTAGAACTTACGAGTGCCTAAAAAGGTGAGACGTGATTTCTTACTGACGAAGCTGCTCACCATATCCCGTCAATCTTGCTCTGTGGACACAAGATTCTAGCCAAATGGTTGACGAGCCCGTTGCTGAGGTCATAAAGCCATAGTTGGACAGGAACACCGTCCATAGGTCATGAATATGTAGCCCTTTGCCGATCAGTATTCGGTTACGCAAACAGGCGAATGGTGGAAGTCTCCAAGTGGCCACGCCTTTCAGTCTAAGAGCTATAACTATGTCTTCGTTCACTAAATCCGACGTCCAGTATCCCTTTATCATATTGTTTCTCTGGAATGTGGCCCGACGAGTATCCAAAGCTCTACATATCCCAGCAAACCAAGTACAAGACGTCTCCTATCCTCCTATTTCACCGTCTCATGTTGATATAGCAATAAACAGTAAAACTCCAGGGACGTGAATACGCGAACCAGCTGAAGCGATGCAGCTTCTGGGCGTGAATGTGATAGCTTTGCAGCATAGAATCAAGTTAGAGAATACTGTTGATATCTTTTAAATAAGCATTTGCAGCTGAGACGCCGAATCGGAGTGGTTCAAGTCTAAACTGAAACTTGGACTCGGTCACCACTTTGGTTTCTAGCGAACGATTACAATTATGCAATGAAGATATATTCATTGAAGAGTAACATGAAGCACGAATCATAGACACGGGCTAGGCTGTTGACAGTCGGAGTGCGACGGAAGGAACAAGGCCTCCTGCTTCTAGTCCATCACGTTAGCACGGTATCCTATAATTATCGACAACGGACATGGCTCTCACGGTCTGGCTACTCAATCCTCCGAGAACTCGAGGCCATGGGCTATCAGCGTGGAAACTTCCTCGGTTCCCTTTCTTGTCCCTTGATCGCCGCTGTGATGGAAGTGCGATGCAGACGGATCCCCCCTTCTAAAACAGGCGACGATCAACCGCTGTTGATTATCTTCCCTTTCCTCCCCTCTCCCTCTCCCCTCTGTGCTGACCCCAGCGCGTCTTGCCCGGTTGAGGGCACTGTCCATACGCCAATCCCACACTCCTTTTCTCTGTCACTATAATGACAACCCAATACGATGCCCATGATGCCATCCTGCACCATATTTTCAAGCAAACTCAAGGAGAAGCCTGGTTCAAACCGACCTCGGAGTCCGCCAAGGTAGTTTATCTCCCTGTCTCCAATTTACCGTGCTCATGTTCCCCTTTGATGTTCAGGCTGGAGTTGCTTTGCGAGTAGAGAACTCGCCGCCAAGGTTCAGGGTGTTCCCCTATGAGAATCCCCACCTTATCCGCTTCGAAGCAGCGGTTCGTGGCTTAAACCCCCTCGTTGCTGTCAAGCTTCGTTCTGCTGCAATCCATGCTACGTTATTGCTAGTGTAAGCCCTCACTTCCCATCTCCAAGCCCAAGTCTAAATGAATAAAGGGGCGAAGTTGCCACAGGGATCTTCATCGACGACGAAGTCCGAATCCAAATTCTCGATTCTATAGAGGACCTTCCCACTGCCGACAAGGAGCAGAATGCGGCCTTTATTGTGTGTACTCATTACAGGGCTTTGGCTCCGGAGCTGACGCCGAGGGGATCAGCGAAACGAACGGATTTTGATCTGCTGGTCCGACCATTTAGACGGAATTATCCCAACTTGTACCGATATCGAAGAGAAGCTCATCGCCTTGGTCTGGAAAGCCAGTCGTACCAATCTTGATGCAGGCAACTCCGATCCGTCGGCGCGCTCCTCCAGAGGGGCGCCCACCATCAAGTTTCAACAACAGGAAGCCCCTCCAAACAATCAACCATTAGCACAGGACGACCCAAAGCTTGCCGACTCGCCCTCTGCCGTCTCAGAGAATGAGAAGCGACGAAATCGGGCATCCAATATATTCGCGTGGAAATCGGAAAAGACGATGATGGATGAAGAGTCGAACGATAAGACGTCCAAGAAACGGCCAATCAGGCTGTTTGCTCCCATTTACAATGGGCTCGGTGCCGCTTTGGGTCTCCTGCTGACGCTGGAGGCACTAAGGAAGATGCTCGCCGAGTATTGGCTCGACGGTGGAAAGCTACGTTTTATGCTACTGGTGACCCTACCGTTCCTCTTTTGCGTCTCATTGGTGCGTGCTTTGGGCTAGAATCGACCGGAGTTAATTTTTGATACAGTTCTTCTACAACTTTGTCATCATTCTAGTTGCTCAATCCATTGGACCCGTGGCACAATATCACCAAAACTCCAAATACTACTCTGCTATCAAACCAGCTCCGAATCCGGATGTGGACAGGCATCTCCCACACATAACCATTCAGATGCCAGTTTACAAGGAATCTCTTACCGAAACCATTGCACCATCTTGCGAGTCGCTAAAAAAGGCGATGCAGACGTATGCGCGGCAAGGGGGAACTTCAAGTATCATGATCTGTGACGACGGAATGCAGCTCCTCGACCCCGCTCTTGCCGAGGAGAGGAAGCGCTATTATGCTGATCATGGAATCGGATGGGTCGCGCGTCCCGCTCATTCGGGTGCTTCCGATGGGTTCAAGCGTGCTGGGAGGTTCAAAAAAGCGTCTAACATGAACTATGCGCTCAATATTTCCCTCAAGATGGAGGAACATCTCGGAAGATTTATGTCGGATCCAAAGGCACTCGAAAACGCGCGCATGGCCAGACGACTTTCCAAGGCCGCGACAGGGGATCGCCTCTATGGCGAGGGTTTATCGACGCAAGGGTGGTGGCATTTGGACCTCGATGAGGAGATTGAGGAAAGCTTAGAGGACTTGGCACTTCGTGCTGCCATGGACGAGGTCTACGCGGAGAGTGGTAATCGGTTCCAACCTTGGGGAGCTGGTGGACGCGCCCTCCGCGTCGGGGAGATTATCCTCATCGTTGACTCGGATACTATCGTACCGGAAGACTGCCTGCGGGATGCGGCACGGGAGATGGCCGAATGTCCTGAACTTGGGGTGATCCAGCACGAGTCGGACGTCATGCAAGTCTCGCGTGACTACTTTGAAAACGGGATCGCTCACTTTACAAGACGTGTCAACAAAGCTATCTCGTTTGCAGCTGCCAACGGCGAGGTGGCTGCCTTTGTTGGGCATAACGCTTTTCTTCGATGGAGCGCAATTCAGGACGTCTCATTTATTGATCCCGTGGACGGAGAAAGGAAGATTTGGTCGGAAAGCAATGTCTCAGAGGACTTTGACATGGCGCTCCGACTACAGCTTGGCGGATATATCGTTCGTTGGGCGAGTTATTCAGATGGGGGATTCAAAGAAGGTGTTTCGCTTACTTGTGATGATGAGCTCAACAGATGGGTCCGTTATACCTTTTTCTTTAGACGATTTCTCTGAGCGATTTCTTACAGGAAAAATACTCCTACGGTTGCTCGGAGCTCATCTTTAATCCGTTCGTCCAATGGTTCACCAAAGGTCCCATCAATAAGCAACTCCGGACATTTGTATGGAGTAATGCGCCGGTGCATTACAAGATCAGTATGATGGCGTACATGTTCTCGTATTACGGTCTCGCGGCGTCGTTTGTTCTGTCGCTCATCAACTATCTTGCCGTCGGCTGGGCGCTTCCACTTGACGGGATGTATCTCCAAAGTTTCGAGATATGGGTATCGGTCATCTTTGTTTTCCCCTTGTGTGGAAATATTGCGCATACGCTCCTGGAGTATCGACTCGGCCAGAAGGGATTAATCGCTGCATTCATCGAGAATGTTCTATGGATGCCATTCTTGTGCGTACAGATACATCTATATCTCCTTTTCTCACAACATCTAGCGTGATTTTCTTTGGCGGTCTATCGATCCATCTTTCGAAAGCAATCCTTGCTCATCTATTTTCTTATAACATCACCTGGGGTGCGACGAAGAAGGAGGTCGAGCGCTCCAACTTCTTCCTCGAAGTACCAAAGATTCTTGTGCGGTTCCGTGTCGCTTTGATTCTCTGCGTACTAACCATTGGTGGAATGATTGCACTGACCGTGCCAATCTTCCCACTTGATTGGAGGATCCCATACAGCAACTGGTCTGGTAAGTCTTGTTACCGCCATCAATGACTTGGACTGACTGGATGATGGTAGTGGTCACCCCATTAGCAATTTCCATCGTCTCTCACTTGGCGTATCCCATTCTCCTCAACCCTTACCTCATGGTTTTCTCCTACTGAGCAAGTTCTCACCAAAGCCATACAATACAGGGAAGACCAGCTACAGACGATCATTGGCCAGCCTCGCCTACTCACCCATTTTATAATGACAGGCTATTGTGCAATAAAGGACGTTGTGACATAAGCGGAGACTACTTCCTCCCTACGTGTGCATCATGAAAAGCAAGCATCGTGCTCACCCGTCCACGATGCCTACACTGACAGCTACTTTACGCTACATAAACTTGCGATTCGAATTGGATGGCTGAGTCCGACCCAGAAGAGATATCTCGAGAGGAGATGCCACCAGCCTGTCTGGGTCAATCCTGGCATACTTTGAGCGAGGTGTTGGTGTCTCTAGTCCGCTCGTCGTATATCTCTTTCGCTTTCGGGTCGGAACTTTCGCTGCACTATACGAGGGAGAACTCCTTGTAGCGTTCCCTTCAGACTTTCTCGAGCGTTTCGGTGTCTGTACGGCGAGACCCAAAGTGTATATTGGCGTCCCCAGTGTAAACTGATTCTCGTCACCGTCCTGCGCGGCACTTATATCGCCCTCAGCGTTCCGCATTTTGTGCTCCTCAATTTCTCCGTGAGAGTCGCTCTTTTCGTCTCCAGAAAGGAGAACAGGACGCCGATTCAACGTATCAGCCATGCCGATACGCGAGGCAGGAGAGATTCCGCTTGGACTCATCAGAAATCCGAGGCCATAGAAATATCCCCTCGACTCATTCTGCTTGGGCGGCGCTGATCTTAAGAGGGTATGGTTACTTGGACGCGTCGCTGGTGGTATCTCGCCGACTTGAACGGATCGTGGTCTTCCTGGTACGGAAAATTTGAACAAGCTAGAGGATTGTGGTGTCTTCAAAATACTCGAAGTGAGGGAGGCCACTGGCTTTCTGGGAGTAGGCGGGGTTCCAAAAGCACCAGCCAGCGTCGGCTGGCCATGATCGATACGACTCATAGACTCGATGCGAATGGAATCCGATACACTCGGAGACAGTTGCTGATCGTCAGTTGAATGTGGAGAGGCATCATCACACGCATTTGTAGGAGGCATGGCTGGCTTCGGTTGGTTATGGGATCGTTCGGGGAATGCTGTATTGGCCTAACGCTGGGTGAAAGTGAGTTTAAGCAATATATAACAGCTGAACATGGGTTTCATCGATCTATTTCGTGGACATACCTTGTTAGAGAAGAGCGTTCCTGCCGCGTTGAGATAATCCTGTCTTTGCCACACGTGCAAACTGGGATAAAACGCAATCCACCAGCTCAATCGAGCCAAATTTACTCTGCGGTTGGATGGCCGAGGTGTGGTCAGGTCCAACTGGCGGGTGACACGGTTTCAAACCCCGACACGTCTGGTCACTTGCTGAATACAAGCGTGGAAAACAAAATGATGAAATAAAACTAACATCAAGACATAATATTATATATGTATGCATATATTTACGACGATGGTTGATAACTTGGAACTGGACAGCTACCTAGCATAGTTCGTTGGTAACTTCCTTCACAAGCTTCTTTACGTTTTCCTTCTTGATGGGTCCGTCTGGCTGAGCCTTTACCACGAGCGTTTGCTTTACTTGCAAGACTTCCAGAAGTGGCTGGATCTCAGCAAGGTGTGGGGAGAGATGAACTAAAAGTCCCAAACATGAAACCAAGCGGTGGACTGTGGATAATGAGTTTTGGCTGAAAGAGAAACGAGAATGCTTACGCGAGTCCTCATTATCCTCGCGGTCAATGGCCTCGATCACCGCACTTAGTAATTCGACTTCCCACTCCGCGTCATCAAGCGAATCCTCCTTGATCGGTGTGCCACTCATCCCTCGATTCAGACTCTGCATTAGGGGGGCCTGCAAAAACGCCGCAATATTGAATGCCAAACTCGCCGCTGCAACGCGCACTGTGGCTACGTCTGAGAGTAGAGCGGATACGAGCAGGTTTGTGATTGCATCTCGGGGGCGACTGCCATCATTCGCCGGAGAACTCTGAAGGAGACGTCTTGTTAGCACTGGATTGACGAATATGTTGCAAGCGAGTCGAAGAGCCGTGAGCGTCAGATTCTTGGCATCTGGCGACGAAGCTGACTCTGAGGAAATCTTGAAGATTGTAGGTAGCGAAATTATGGGCGACGTCGCTAGCTGTGTCGAAACATCCGGGATCAGGAGAGCAAGACGCCAAAGATCGACGAGCGGGAAGAAGTCGGTTGGAGGAAGCACTGCAGCAAGTTGAACTGTGACGGAGGTCCAGTTTGAGAATTCCGTTTCAGGAACCTTGGTACTATTCGCTGTCGGAGTTTTGCCATTGGGTATTGAAGAAAGCGATCGAATCATCCCATTGGCTATTACTTCTTTCGTATTCCCTCTATCAGCGACAGGAAGAGGGCTAGTTTCTACTGCACTCAGCAGTTTGGTAGAGAGAGCATCGAGTTTTGGAATCTGAGTGAAGAGAATAGGGTTGAGAGACGTCGCTCGTAGCTCTCGGAGGGTGAGCTTGGAGTGAGGGTGTGCTGAATGAGCAGTTCAGTTGAATACACGAAGGAAGGCTTAAAACATACGAGGAAAAGCGTCATATATCAATAAGTTAACTTGAGAACGTAGTTCAGGTGCGTTGGCCCCTTTTAGTTCGTGTTTCTAAGGGGTTTTAGCAAGCTCGGAGCGAGAAGAACGAGCTTAAACCTCACCTTTTTCCCATCGAGAAAAAAGAGGAAAGTTGGGGTTGCGCGTACATTGTGGGCTTGACCAACTTGAGAGCCCAGCCCAACAGACATGTCCACTTTGACGAAAGCGACATCGGGTGATGCCTTCGCATGCGCAAGTTCTTCGAATACTGGCTCGACCATCTTGCAGGGAGCGCAAGTCTGTGACGTGAAGAAGGCTATTACTGCCTTGTGACGCTGCATAAGTATATCAAACGATGCATTATTGGTACAGATCTGAATTGGAGATGCGAGCGTCGCAGTCTCTTTGCTCGAGATGGTAGGCCCAAGTGCGTTGGTCGCAACGCTGCGAGTTATTTGGGAAGCGATATCGTTCGCGGGCTGGACCGGTGGCTGACCTGGTCCCCCGCGTCGATACATCTGGTCGATAGTTGGACGAAGTGCCTGGCCAAACGGTGTACTGAGGAAATCGGTCGGCAAATCTGCGAATCTCAGTAAGCTCGGCAAATCATGGTGATTCCAGTTTACCTCTGATATAATCGGGTATTGAACCACCAGTTAAAAACCCAGCGCAATCATTGGTGAATGAGTTGCAGTTGAAATCCAGGAGATGATATGCATCGGGCGTGTAAACGGAGCGCATTTCGCTGATGTACTCCATAAAGGTCTCCTCATCTATTTCGGAGATGCCAAGGTCAAGGATTCGAAGAGGAGGTCCGAGCTATGATAATCAGCCGCGCTTTCGTAATCTGCACGGCAAACGTACGTGGGTTCTTCCGGGAGGAGCATTGTGTATTCCTGCTCCATAATACCATTCCTTTCCGTGAAATACAATAGATGTGTGCCTAAAGTATTCCAACAAGTAATCAGAGCCACAGATGAATCAGACCGTGTATATTTTACCAAATTCCTTCAATGTACCGTCCAGTCAGCTGCTGTGAAAGCTGAGCAGCCATCCCTCGGCTTAGGTCATAGACATAGAGCTGCACTGTGGCCATTTGTTGTGCGGGACAAGTTGTGGGCGAGTTCAAGTTGGAACGCGTAATCCTAAGGATACGCAAGCATCCAGGTCGCAACTTTATGTCACTGCATCAGCGAAAGAGATATTCTTTGTGCATCAAACTAAGTTCAAGGATAGGACCAAGTTTGAACCTCAACCTGGAACCTCCCCCGAGAACAACTTTGAACGAGGAGTAAGCACTCGTGACAACCCTGCTTTTAGGAACAAGATCTCATCTTAAACTTGGTCAATTGTGGGTCTATCAAGCGTACGCGACCAGATAATGTTTGACAAGTACGAGTGGCCTGGCTCCCGCAAGATCAAGATGCAATGCAGCATTCCTGACTGTTTCTCGCTACACTACCTGGAATGACTGCGAGCTCTGGACGAGACTTTGATGGTACTCTGGAGGCACGACAATGAGACGAAGTCGGATATGATAAAGACCGTTCCCGTATGCTCCTGAGGGCATTAGAAGTCATACTGTTTTGGTTCGTGAGAATGTGGGGTCGAAGTCGCCCCGCAGCTGAACAGGTTTGCAATGCACAGAGAGAGCGGTTCGCTGGATGTGGGAGAATCAGACGGCAGGGTTTTCCGATGAAAATTCTGACTACGGAACCTCCTGATTCATATTCTGGCGGATAGCAGACGTCCTATCGATGCGGTTGCCATCATCCCCCCTCGGGCCGGTGAGCTTGATGTGCATCAAACGAAGGAGAACACTAGTCTCAATTTAATCGGCGACGGAGCTGGCGGAACTGCACAGTTCAAGTGAAATTGGCCGTGCCCGTGATCACCTCCTATTTGTCCGTAGCTCATCGGCGGCCAAGGCTACGCATATTCACATGGCTCTTAAGGATAAACTTGTTTTAGAATACAGGAAACGACTACGTCCGCTATCCGGAGGAAGCCGATAATCCTCCCTCCACCAAGCCGGCACGAGAACAAGACGCGCGGACGATATAAACCTCCTACCGAGTAATTCCACATCTTACCGTTCCGGATCCCAGGTGCTCCAAGGAGATGATCTGGAAGCTCTTGCTCGCTTTGACGACTAGCACTGCTCATGTACTGGCTATTGGCACTCCTCTAGGATTTGGGTCTTGTATGCAAATGCTTGGCGAACTCGCCGCTGCTAATACTATGACCAGCGACCGTCGGTGGAGGAAGTGCTACTGCAGCTACTCCAGCATCTGCGGCTCAACTCCTTTCATGGCTCGCGGATAGCACACCAGTCAGCCGCTCCTTTACCTCTACGGTGTGATGTGACACACGAATTGCAGCGCACTATCGTCATTAGTACGACGTATGATTTTACAAACTACTGTCAGTGATCCGAGTCGCTATCTCTGACACGCGCTTACTCATTGCGCAGACGGCTCTACCTCCGGGTGTGCTCCTTTAATTCCGTATTTACACTACCTGACCCCGTGTAGCAAGATTTGCAAGCCATGGACGTGCTCGTACGGACGGCGACCGTTTTCGTCACGCATACTGATGCTCTTCATAGTCCAAACCCTCAATTTGCGATCGATCAAAATAACTGGTGTGCCAATTATCAACCGAGCGCCGCCACTGGTACAGATTCTTGGTACAAATCAGTGAGTAAAGCCGTATTCAATAGTATGAGGGTCGTTGACATCTCTTAGGGAACCGGGTACTCTTACCTACTCAAGGTCGCAAGCAATAAGACGCTCCTTGGGAAGGGTAGTTCTGCGGGAATGTGCGTCCCTCGGATGTTTTGAAGGGGCACCCCTAACTCGTCCTTAGCAAAGGCATTGGATTATTGATCCAGGTGATTTCGAGATGTCAGAATTTGATTCCGACTGACGGCATGTTAGAATGCTGATAATGTCATCATCCAAAGTGCGTAGGTCAATGAGTTCTATTCCTTTATAACAACCTTGTCAGATATAAACATCTCAGACATCAAGTTGGTGTTTTAGTGATCTCATTAGAAGCTAACTAATAACTGTTTATAGTGCCAAATTCGTCTGGGGTGGTGATGTCTGTCGAATCATACCTTTTAGTTATATACTGACGTCTTTCTTAGGCTAGTGAGCGAGTAAACTTCGCTGAGAGCTGACTTACACCAGCTACCAGTCACAATCGTTGGTTCGACTCATGTCTGTGCGTAGTACTCACTCTAGAATCCTGGTTGATTCTTAAATTTCATAGGGATCGACCATTGCACTATTAAGAACGTCGGACGGCAATTCATCGTCACGTTCGTGGTATATCCGAGAGAGTTTGTAATACTCATCGATTGATCACAGAGGATACAATCCAGCCAAGGCAATTACCATCTCGAATAACATTTTCGATGGCCGCGCCACCTATTCTGCAACCTGCAATGGTATTTCTACCTGATTCCTTGTATTTGTCTCACACCGATGGCAGGAAAGCACTACTGGGTTGCTCTCTTCACCGGTCTGTGAGGACCAACTATCCAAGATTTCATCCTCATCGATAACCTAGGGTCCGCCGATACAATCACATTCGCTCAGAACTACATATACCAAACTTCTGGCAGAGGGCCCCACATCGGTACGTCTACTCTGCAAACGAACCCAAATGTGCTCACCCCCCTGTAGGAGGAACCTCTGGATATACTCAATACGTGCATGTTGTGAACAGTAGGTTGCTTCTAAAAGCATGCATTTTCCTCTAACATGACACAGACTACTTCGTGAGCGTCTCCGGTCATGCTTTGGTGCGTGAGCCTTGTATCATCAATTTTTCTGACCATATATAGGACTCTGAAGTTGGTGCAGTGACACTCGCAGAAGGCAACTACTTCGTACGGGGGTTTCTTGCTCAGGAAGAGCGCTCTCTTATACCTTTCAGAATACTGTGACAACACCATCCATGGCAGGGACGGCTGGGAATGAGTATTTCATACAGACATCTTCGGATCTATCGGCTTGTCAATCAGCTTTGGGTCGTACCTGCCAGGCAAATACACTCCTGAGCTCTGGATCTGTTTCTCGCCTCAACTCTGCCGTCCTTACGGCTCTCAAAGCTCGTGAGTTGGCATTCTGCTGACGAGGAGTGCACGATTGGACTAACGCTCCTTGCAGAGAGCGCCGTCACAAGGTACTCGCCAATGTCGGCAAGTGCAGCTGCTTCATACGTCCAGGCAAATGCTGGTGTCGGAAAGATCAATTAGGAACTAAAGTCTCATTCGAATCTAAATCAATGGCTGGATTGAGTCGGATGACATTCGAAACTTTGTCCTCGATATAGGCAGGGGCTATTTGACAGGTGTATACAACGTAAAAAAGACATCGGAGTGCAATCTTTTGAGAGGTGAATCGCCACAACGTGAGATGCTCAGAAGATGGAATTGGGCAGTATGCTGACTGGTCCCTCTTGCAAGGCATCCTGCAGCGCCTTGTGAGAAACCAAACATAGATTGAACGTAAACTTACCCCTTCATACCATTGCAATCTCGCCCGCAACTGAGTACCTCCAAAGAGAATGGCCACACTGTGTTCGACTCTCCAAAAGTCCTGGCCTTTCGGACCCTTCTGAACTTTGAGCGAGCGGGCGAGGTTAGACAAATCAGCTTTGAGTGTACAAACACGGCGCATTCCCGGTAAAAGATTCCCTGTTACCTAGTCAATAGCTAGTAGCCGAATTCAGCTATACATACCGCTCTCATCACGGCCCCAGTCGGTATGTCCTTCACCATCCCACGCATAGATGTCCACCGCGAACTGGCCAAGTCCGTGATCAAGTGTCTTGTAGATTCGTTGGTAGTTGAAGGTCTTGCTCAACTCGTCGCCTATGACCGAGTTCTCCCGAACAATCAGTTTAGAGCTCCCTTGATACAACGAAATGGCATTACCTTCTTGATCCAAGTATCGAAGAACCCGGTGACTTTATTCACACCACTTCTGATGGTCAGTTTAGACATCATCTTCAGCAATAGGCTTACTCGTCATCGACATAGGCCTTGTGTCGCCTTTGACAGTGAACTGGGTTCTTAGCGTCGAACGGTCTCCATATGATGATACCAAACGTAGACCGAGCGGCGCGTGCAACAACGAGTTGCTTTATATACCAGATGGCTGCACCTTCGCTAAACAGACGCCATCGATTAGACAGAAGAAATGCATCTGAGGTTGAGCTCACGCTGCTGCTTTCTTGGTCGATTCGTCCACTGTGACCACGTCAACGCCTTTGCTACTGAACGTCTCCTTTAGTCGCTTGCGAAGGTATGGCGACTCTCCAAAGCCACCGACAAGCAAGAGGTGCTGTGGAAGTCAATGAATGCACACAATTCTAATGCTGGCTGTCATACCTCGACCTTTCGTCCGCTGACGAGATGGGAGCAGCTCGCGACGATACGAGGTAGCACTTCGTTGAAGGTGGTTTCCACATCACTCCTCGTAAGCGTAATCCTTCCTTTAACGACACCATGGGCCTTGTCGTTGTCCCAGTCTTTGCCGAATTTGATGATTGACGATGCATTGGTTCCGTCAAACTTGCGCTTCGTCTTTCGAGAATCTGGTGAGTATGTGCCAACGGCTACAGTGGTTAACATACCTTTCTCTCAAATTCGTTGAGAATGTCGTTTACATAGGCCGGATCGTTGAAAGTGGAACCCTCCAACTTGTCTGCGAGCATAGCGGCAGCCGCGCGATCCACGAAGACCGAGCCGGCTTGTACACACTCACTTGCACAGACTTCCTCTAGAATCATCTTGGGTTGTGTCTCTTTACACTCGTAGAGGGTGGAGTCGACCGTACTGCCTCCAGCGTCCGTCTATATTCAGTGAATCAGTCGAATTATCAGGAGGCCAAAATACGGTGACATACCACCGCAAATATGACTCCCTTCCTGAGCCAAGCGTTACTCTGAGAGTACTCGAGGGCGTAGTGCACTCGCTTCTCCTTCTGTGACAAACCTGAGGCGCTCTTCGGGAAAGTTCTCCGGGAGCAGGCCACCTAGAATCGCCGCAGATCTCAAAAAGGCCTGCTGAGTCGTGTCCCAGCCGTTGGGTGTCGCAAGGACAATGGTGCATCGTTCACCAAGTCTCTGCCAGATTCGGGTCCCGTCGACCGTATTCTCTTTGAAGAAGTTTCTGAAATGATCGAAAAGATAGCCCAAGAGGTGGGCGTAGATTTGTTTCAGGGAGACTGACGGTGGAAGTGGGGGGATTTCAAACGTGGGGGAGACGTTCGTCACAGATCCGTAAACTGGAGGCTCATCTACAACTTTCATTGAATCTGGGTGCAGATGTAGCTGTGGACTGATGAGAAAGAGGTACATGGTGGGGAGATCGACCGACCTTGAACCATCTTGCGACATAGTATCCCTCTGTATCTGCATATTCGAGCGCCTCTGCTCCGTATGCAATAGGCCGACTTGCTTCATAGGCGACCAGGGACGGAATCTGTGTTCGGTTGATCGGTATAGCCTCTAAATCGTATGATAGATGTTACCTTGGAGTCACCAGCAACTTCTTCCTGTCCTGGCCATTTGTTGACCTTTTGTGAAAGCGTCAGAATTCATAAGTCGTCGGGCAGGCGCCGTGCTGGTTTGCATTTCCCGGCAATTCCTTTGAGTAGACAGAACAAATGGCTGAAACTTACGATTCTGACAGCGGGGGCACTATTTGGAAACATGTGACAATAGCTGACAGCCGCTGAGAGGTTATCAGTCTCGTTGGATAACGTGTTGCGAGCTAGGAGTAGTTACAGAAGGTTGTTCCTAGATCTATTGCAACGACGAGTCTTTCATCGCCCGTGTATTTGGCATCCTTGTTCGTATCCGCCATCGACCTCGTGGTTGTGGCCGGGTCCAGAATGAATAGACGCTGGCTCGTAAGCTGGTCGATGGGACACGTAACATCAAGCCGAGTGTACTTTGGGTCTCTGTGAGCCCAATCTATCCATTATTGCCCAAGTCGAGTCTGGCATTCGAGATCTGGAGGTTATGTTCAGTCCTGGATTACAAAATCATACTCTCCAAGGGAATAGCTTTCCAAGTAGCCACTGCTCAAACAATTGAAATCAAGTCTGCCTTCGACCACCCCGAGGCTCAACTCGTACGTGCCCCCATTTGAGCCATTATTGGCTCCTATTATTTATCTAGTATTCCAACACATTCTTACTTTCCGAAGAATAGTGTTGAAGCATCCAGAACTGCTGCAGACCTCAGCGCTTTGACCCTCGACCACGCGACTCGAGTGTTAGAGGACTTGATATCAGGTTATCTAGAAAATGGACACCAAATCATCCACAAATGAACAGCAAACGACGGAAATCAGAGCCAAGCAGGCCGCCTCCATCTCTGCATCAGAAGCAACGCAGGCCCCGGCCCCGAGGACCACATCATTAGACGGGTTAGTCTCCAGAAGTCTCACAAATATCAGACCCTGATCAGGCGTCAGCAGAGCTACGAAGAGACCTCCCTTGCCCAAGCCACCTAAAGCTGAGAACCGACAAGAGACGTCTCCCAAACCACCCACAAAGGATCCGAGCACTACACCATCTCAGAAGCGACCATCTATTCCTAAAGAAGGACAACAATCAGCTCCTGAACGTCCGCCACGACCTGGATCTGCGGAGCCGCGCTCTCGAAGCAGAAAGGCTTCTGGAGTCGAGGCTTCTCCGCGGACGTTCTCTCAAGATGACTTCCTTATCATCGAAAAGCCGGTGCCAGCAGCAGTCAAGGCGGAGGGAAGGGACCCCTCTCTGCTTTCCAGGATCACAGGGAGCACAGGTCGGAAAGCAGACTCACAGAATCTTCCCCCAGAGGTCGCGGCAGAACTTCAGCGACGAGATCAGATCCTCACCGAGATGAGAAACTACATAGAAAAGCTCGAGCAGCGTATAGTTTCGCAGGACATTGAGATTAGCGCCCTCAACACCGCGCTAGCCGATACGGAGCACAAACTCGACTTGACTCGGCAGGATCTCAACGCCAGTCGAGCGTTTGTGTCGAGCGAAGGCACAGCAGATGCGCAGAACCTGATCAAGAGTCTTCGAGAGCTGAATAGCGCGATCGATGACTTTGCCTTTCGATTCACTCAAGAGGCGCTCCCGGAGTCCGCGACTTCGGCCAAAGTCACTCATCGAGGGCTCACTGCGTTTGGGGCTAACTATTACGGTGCCGTGAAGATCTCGACATTCATCAACGTCGCCTATCAGCGCAAAGCTACGGTGGGTGACTTTCTTCACCCATTCGTTTGCTATGCGCTCTGTCAACGCCTATCAGAGCTCGTCTTTGAGCCTTTTGTTCCTGGACTAGAAAACGAAATGAGCGATATATTCAAGAAGATCTACAGTACCGTCAATTCAAACGAGCCGCAAGATAAGAGCGGGAGATGGCGAGCTTTGACGTTTAGCTCTGTCTATCGTTCGAGGAACATAACGGAGTATGTGGAGAAGGGAGCGGACGACTTTCTCTTCAAGCTCATAGACGCGGTCAACGCGTTGACCGAACTGGAGGAGAAATTGACCTTTGAAAACGTCCAAAAGGAACTCGGTGACGTTGCACGGTCCATCTTTACCGAGGCGTTCAAGTTTCAGGAGACGGCATGTACCAACTACTTGTCGTATGACTATGTGCCATTTCTCTCGTCGGCGGATCAACCGTTTCATCCGGCGTACATGGAGACCGCACAAGAGGTTCGGCAAGGTGGTCGAGGGAAATCAAGTACTGCCATTCTCACTATTGGCCTGGGATTACAGGCATGGAAGAGCGTGGTAAAGGAGGACAAGACGATTTCAAAGGACTACAGTATTGCGGTGAAAGCCAACGTCATCTGCGGAAACTGGGATCCCAACGGTGATTCATAGTTTAGCTGGTCTCGTATACATCTCATCGCATTCTTGTCTTGCGTTGTATGCCGTCTCGGTGGTGAACTATATATCATTGGCTGAAGCCAATATCAAGGCTAATACTGAAAGAGTTGCTGGCTTCGTTGTTGTACAGCTCGGCTGGTCGGAGAGTCTTATGGCGTACCGCACGGCCGATTTAATACTCCAAGCTTGGACCCCACTAATCTTTTGTCGCAACTCGTTGCTCGCTGTAGGATGAGTACTATGCAAAATTTCATGAATACAGAGGACCCTCTGTCTCTTGATCGGATACGGACGGTCCTTGTCCGGCTGGAAGACACAATCTTGTTCTGTGAGAAGCGGCTTTTGAGCTTTTTCGTGCGAATATTACTCATAGAGTTGTCTGATAGCTCTGATTGAGCGCTCTCAATTCGCTCACAATCCAAAGTGCTATACCAAGGATGGAATCCCCGCCCTGAAGGAGCATGGGTTTAACGGGTCCTGGTTAGAATGGTTCCTCAAGGAGACAGAGACGTTTCAAGGTGAGTTGGATGGAGGAGCATGGCTTCCGAGTCTGACTGGCGGATAGCGAAAGCGAGACGATTCACCAGGTACTGATCTACGATGCTCCGAAGAAAGATGCTTCTGATCATACGCTCGACACAGTCCAGACGAGACTCCTTTCAACTCGGACTTGCCGCCACCGATCATCCCATCTCTTCAGTATCCCAAGATCCTCCATCCAAACACGGTCAACGTCAACCCTTCGATAATGTCGTATTATGTTCACCATTGTGTTCCAAGGATCACCCAAAATGCGACTCTAGCGGTAGCTGCCGCGAACCGAGCACGAGGAATCAAGGGCGAAGCAGAGTATGACGACGATGGAAACTATGGAAGTGCAGCGACTGCAGACTTGGAGATCCTACAAGCGATGAGTCGACGAGTTCATTACGGTTTGTGACTTCTCTGAGTGAAGTGATCTCCCTGATCGCAACGCAGGCAAATTCGTCGCGGAATCAAAATTTCGGGCACATCCAAAGGAATTTATACCCCATATTCGTAAACCAAATCGGGATGCGCTCGAGGCATTGATCGTTAAGCCAGAAGTGGAACGAGCCTTGTTGGCTCGCATACGAAAGAAGGCAATATTGTACTTTCAAGAACTAGATATGCAGGGCGAACCTGTTGGAGGTGCTACTGGAAATCCTAAATCCGAAATCCATTCTTCGAGGCCCAAGTTCCGGGTAGATGTCGATGCGGTTGTTCAACTGTATGAAATGTTCCTGATACCTCTGACAAAGGAAGTAGAGGTGAGACTCTTGGCTAATTACATACTCGTCACTGACGCATCTTCAGGTTGACTATCTCTTACAACGATTAGAGGGCTTGTCGGAACAAGAAATCCAAGCTCTTGAAGGGAATAGCTAATTATAACCGGAGGTGTTGATGATGTAGACCTGCCCTCTTATTTGACCGAGAGCGTGGTTCGATTCAGCTGCATTCGCTGGACTGCCACTGATCTTCTAGAGCTCAGAATTACATATTCAATAAACATAGTTTGTGATGATTCCCTGAGAATTGTGGCCTAGTAAACTTGGACCCGACCCGTTATTCGACCTTGTTCACGTGTGCTGGCCATTGCACGGACCATGCTTCAATGAGCACGACTGGAAGACACAGACGTACCAGTTTATCCTCCAATGCCTCTGGACGCTCGTCATGGCGCGTTCCATCTGTTAAGCAGCCGCCGCGGACTCAGCTCTCGGCCGTTTTTGCTGAAAGCTCCCCTTCGCGCTCACCATCACATCAATCTGCTCAATCTATACTAGAATCGCGTCTTGCTGCGTCCCCATCGACGAGCAGCAGCACCGGGGTCGCAGACTCGCCGACAAGTGTGCGCGCAACTCCCATAAGCGCGGTATCGTCGCCTGTTGGATTAAACGACACGGAGAATGCGCTAAATATTACAGAGGGTATAGCGGGCAGCGCGTCGCGTCGTGGGCGTCAATCCACACAGCGTCATCTCTCGCTCATTGGAGATTCCGCTACGCAGGTGAATCCGGTGTCTGCTCCTCCCGATTCCCAGTCGCGCCAACAAACGTCGATGAATGTGATACTAGACGTATCTTCTTCATCTTCTACGTCTTCAACGGCTGCCCAAACCGCTACACTCGCAGCCGTGGACCCGCAGTCGACGCGTGTTCAGGAGAACTTAGCCACGACTCAAACGAATGAGAAGAGGAAACAGAGCTCTATGATGAGTGGCTGGTTTGGCTCGTCAGGGAGGGCAAAGTCGCGCAAACTTGTGCCTCCAGAGGAGCCCATTCTGCCGGAAGGCGGCATAACTCCCAGTCTTATACCTACAACTGAGCCTCCAGTTGTGTCTACTCCGACACCAGTACCTCTTGTTGTGGACACGCCAACCCCCTCTGCGACGACTAAGCCTCCCGAGGCGGCTTCTGGATGGTTCAGTCGTTCAAAGACCGCTACTCCAGTTGCTCCCCCAACACCATCAAATACTATCCCCGTTGAATCACCCAAAGAGACCGTCGTCGCTCCTTTGGAATCTACCACTATCGCGGCTCCTCCAGCTCCAGAGACCGTACCAACTACTGCATCCTCCCCCGCGCGCCAAAGCTGGTTTGGTATGAGAGTTCGATCTACACCACAACCTCAATCCACTTCGACACCAGCATCGCTACATAGTACTCCCCTTTCCCAGGTGGTAGACTTGCCGCCAGACAACCCAATGTCAGACTCGGTCATGGATGAAGCCATGGCGGCGACGATTACACCGATGAGCTTTGCCCAGGCGCAAGCACAAGCACAGTCATCCAGAGCTGCGGTGCCGACGCTTTGGTTCAAAGGCAGTGGGAAGCGAGGTTCGATGGCTCCTTCTGTGGACTCGACGGTGCCTTCACTGCCCCCAAGTCCAAAGAAAGAACCTCAGTTTACAACCTTGATTCCCGTTGCAAATTCGTCCGTCTATAGCGTTGGATCGTCTAGTGCTCGTTATTCGCTGAGTCTCCCGTTCTTGGGTAGGCCAACCATCAAAGTAGAAGACGCCATCCGAGTAATAGAAGTCACTGGGGCTTCAACCGGTATGTCGATCATGAGCGAATAACCAAACAATTTTGACAGTCATTTCTAGATGGTGCGACAGTAACAAAGACGGTTATGGAAACGGAGGTCAGGGAGATTGAAATGATTATCGAGCCTGAGCCACAAACGTCGGCTGTTGCATCGTCTTCGGCATCCACAACATCGTCACACCACCCCCCACCAAGCCGCTCGTGGTGGCCTTCTCTGGGCCGTTCAGGTGGCGTGACCCAAGCTCCCCAAATATCTTTAACTCCTGCCGAGATCACTCCAATCGAAGCCGCTCCATCTATCATTGCCTCTTCTGCATCATCTACACACGACCAAGAACCCTCCAAAGAATTGCAATTCAACTCTGAGCAGCGCATGCAGACGGAGCGTGTACCAGACACGGCGACTTGGTTTGGCTTCTGGCCATGGGGAGGCGCACCGGGTGAGCCGATTCCGCAGAAGACGGAGGCAGAGTTGATCAAGGAGCAAGCAATGGCCAGAGACAATGAGCCACTTGTCAGCCCTACTGTCGTCCCCGATCTTCCGACACCACGACCATCTGGCGAACAGAACCCAATCTCCGTGGACGCGACGGAGAACCGTTCGTCGTGGATATCCTTCTTCTCCCTTCGAGCTGCTCATGGTGCCAAGCAGATCACAGTAGCAGGAGAAACTGAGGATGTGATGGATTTGGACGGAGATCCAAATGCACCTCCCGATGCGCCTCCAGAGGCGAGCGATCATCTGACTATGGCAAAGAAGGGTAAAGGTCCACAACCGACTTCCCCGGTTGGTGCGCCTAAGCCTCGTTCAAGTTCAACTGGACCTGCTCTCAAAAGGGACCCAATCAATCCCCCGCTTACAGACTCGGAGTCTCTACGAAGAAAGGTCACGACCTCCGGCAAGCGATCGTCGAGTGCGACACCCTCCAAACGCTCTCTCCCGCCTTCTACACCGTCAAAGGCGCCGAACATGGTACTCCCAACGTTTGAGGATACATTTTATGCCCTCCCTCGAGCGTTGCCACCACATACGAGACCTACGCCCTTACGCAAGGTTGGAAGAATCGTCAGTGGTGTGTTTGGTATCTCTGGGATAGTGGGCACAGGAACGCCGAGTCGCAATGACGAGATGCGAATGTGGCAGGACCGCGCTGGTGTATCTGTGCCGAAGGACTATGAAGGGCTTCGAGCGGCTCGGGATGTTGGACGAGATTTGCCTAGAGTCGGTGAAGTTTTGGGTGTCCATGACATTGGGAGGATCAAGGACTGTAAAAGGGTGGCTATTATTGGCGTTCATGGGTGCGTCCCCTATGTTTGATGTTATGCCAATGTCGAGCTAACGCATGGTAGGTGGTTCCCAGGTACGATCATGCGGACTCTGTTTGGAGAGCCGACTGGAACAAGTCCCAAGTTTGCATCCATGATGGAGGCGGCAGTTCTCGAGTTTATGGAGAAGCAAGGGAATGAGTTAGAAAAAGTTACGCTTATGCCGCTGGAGGGTGACGGTACCATTGAGAAGCGAGTCGAGAAGTGGGTGCAAGCTTGTTAAAGTGGATGAATGCTGATTGCTGTCAGACTTTACCAAGATTTCCTTAAGAATTCGGAATGGTATGTCTATCTCTTATAATCTATCCACAGCTCATGGTTCGTAGGGTCGAAGATCTACACGAGTAAGGAGTCGCCAAATGACTTACGATCAGTTCTGACTTCTCTTAGGGCCGACGTCGTTTTCGTCGCCACACATTCACAAGGCTCTGTTGTCTCTACACAGCTACTAGAGAAGCTTATTGCAGATGGCCATCTTCGCACCAGCAAGAACTGGGAAATTATCAAGACTGTCGCTGAGACACCCATCGGTGCAATGAGCGTGGCGCCTCCACGACCACCGCAGAAAGTTTGCTGTCTCGCACTCTGTGGTATTCATCTCGGACCGCTGCTTTACCTTGGGACGAGCTCGATCGTTAATCCATATATACAATACTTTGAGTCCGCGGCAGCAAAGGAGCTATTCGAGTTCCAGGTATGCACCATGTTGACTGAAGAGTCATAGCTGACATGCTTAGGACACGGAATCGGAGGTTTCGAAGAAGTATCTCGCCTCTCTTGAAACAGTACTTGACCACGGAGTACGTTTAATCCGACCGTCGCTTTCAGCAGCTGATCTGTCAATCCTAGGTCAAGTTCGTCTATGTTGCGTCTCTTGATGATCAAGTCGTTCCTGTAAGTCGTCCATAACTCAACGAGAGATGGTTCACCTGTTCATAGATTTATTCGGGCATATTCACTGCTGTGAACCATCCTCGCATATTGCGAGCCCTGTACATAGACGGAGATGCGTACAGGTTGGTCTAGTATTGCACTGAGAAATTTATTGCTCATAATGCGTAGTTCCTCCGACTTCCTCTCCAATCTCCTCGTTCTGCTGCTTCGGCTACGCAATGCAGGTATCGATGACGGTGGACTCTTGACGCATCTCTCGGAAGCAACTGCCGGCTCCTTGAATGGTATCGGACATTCGACTGCATACGCGGATCCTGGAGGGTACAGGTGAGTCGTTGTATCTGCCGTTATCATGGACCCATCTTTCTCTAGGTTGGCCGTTCGCTTTCTCTTTGAAACAAGCGATGCGCTGGGTGACGAACCAAAACTCGAATTTGAACCATTCACTGCCAAGGCATCTCGGAATGACTACGAAGTAGGTCATCTGAACTCTACAGTTGTGACGTATCTGACACCTCTCTAGATTCCATGGGCACTGCGCGGGCTCATTGCCGATCCTCGCTGCCAAGAACTCTTTGGAAAGGAGCTTGCAGAGCTCAGAAATGCATTTGACTCATGGCAGCCAAAGACATCTGCACTCAAGGACGTCAGACGCAAGCTGGAGCCCATACGAGGACGAAGATCAAGGTTCGCGCCCGATCCCTATGCATCCATTTCATCCCCTATCTCCTTTTCTCAATCTCCAACTGTGGATAAACGCTGAGCACCTGGCATTTGTATTCTTTGCAGACTCTAACTATAGTATTCTGGTGTATGCCTATCGTATTATCAATACTCCTTGCACCCTATCGTATATTCTCTTATTCTTGAGAGGGCCGTATTGAATTTCCAAAGCAGAGCGGCGTCGCTCATGTATGTACAATAACGGTGGCCTGTGTTGGTTGGAAAATGGAAGTACGCTTCGTCGAAAGGAGGGACGATAGTTGCCATAAACGACGTGTACTGCACATATACTACCCCCATAAGACAAGTAGCTCGCCATAGAACACGTCTTTATTTCGACTGAAATTTATTCATATACCACTGTTTTAGTAGTGACAGCAGTTGCAACAAATCAGCGACCTGGGTCATTTTGAGCATTTATCCAAGAGTGGCCATATTGAAAATGGGTGAAATCAAGTTGGGTTGCAGGATCCTGATTTCTTCTCGGCATAGTCAAAAGTAGACGCGGATTTTGCAGTCCCTCTCGATTATCTGGTGGTACCCAGAAGAGGTGTTTACCAGATGATCGCACCCAACCATCTTTCAAAAGCGTGCAGTGTTTGAACCCAGGTACGAGATCTTCTAGACGAGTGCCTTGCGAATCTCCCTCGACATCTGGAGGTGTGGAACCTCTGCCCTGGTCGAGCTTATTTGCGTCTGTATTTGCCATGTCAGGTTATAAATCAAAGAGCAGCCGAGCCAAACAAACCAGTGTTGACAAGCCACTGACAAATGGTCTTATCGTTTGAGCCAGAGACGATGCGTGAGCCGTCTGGCGAGAATGCAACGGCCGAGACCCATCCATTGTGACCCCAAAATGGCTGTCCCAGCGGCTCTCCAGTGGCTGCATCCCAAAGTCGAATCGTCCTGTCCGTCGACCCAGAGACGATTTGTGAGCCGTCCGGTGAGAATGCAACAGCGTAGACCTCTGATTCATGACCTTGGAGTGGTTCTCCCAAGGGCTGTCCAGTGACTGCATCCCATAAGCGGATTGTCTTATCGTCCGAGCCAGAGACGATTCTTGAGCCGTCTGCCGAGAATGCGACAGTCCTGACCGAGGATTTGTGGCCACGAAGTGGTGCTCCCAACTGCTGGCCTGTGGCTGCATCCCACAGTCGGAGTGTATGGTCCCCAGACCCAGAGACAATTCGTGAACCATCTAGCGAGAATCCGGCAGCCCACACCGGAAGCGCGGGTCCTCGGAGGGGCTCTCCCAGGAGCTGTCCACTGACTACATCCCAATGTCGAATTGTGAGGTCCTTTGAGCAAGAGACGATACGTGAGCCGTCCAGAGAGAATGCGATGGCCTTGACCGAGTCATCATGACCTCGGAGCGGCTTTCCCAATGTCTTCCCGGTAGCCGCATCCCACACTTGAATTGTCTTGTCCTCTGATCCAGAGATAATTCTTGAGCCGTCTGGCGAGAATGCGACAGCCCAGATCAAATCCTTGTGACCTCGGAATGGCTCCGCCAGTGGGTTTCTAGCGAATAAATCCCAGAGCTGCATTGTATTGCTAAAAAATCGGGAGAACATCCCTGAGCCGCCTGGTAGGGACGAGACAGCAGTGACCGAAGCTTCGTAACCTCCAAATGACCTTCCCATCGGCTGCCCAGTGACTGCATCCCATAAGCGGATTGTCTTATCGTCCGAGCCAGAGACGATTTGCGAGCCGTCTGGTGAGAATGCGACAGCATTGACGGAGGATTTGTGACCTCGAAGTGGCTCTCCCAGTGGTTGACCAGTGGTTGCATCCCACAGTCGAATTGTCGTATCATAGGAGCCAGAGACGAACCGTGAACCGTCCAGAGAGAATGCGATGGCCTTGACCGAGTTATCATGACCTCGGAGCGGCTCTCCCAATGGCTGTCCACTAGCTGCATCCCACACCTTAATTGTCTTGTCATTCGATCCAGAGAGGATTCTTGAGCCCTCTGGCGAGAATGCCACAGCCAAAACCAAATCCTCGTGGCCTCGGAGTGGCTCCCCCAAGGGTTGTCCAGTGGATGCGTCCCACAGTCTAATGGTCTCATCCCATGAGCCAGAGATAATTTGTGAGCCGTCTGGTGAGAATCCGATGGCGCTGACTGAGTCTCTATGACCTTGAAATGGCTCTCTCAGTGGCTGGCCGGTGGCTGCATCCCAGAGCCGAATTGTTTTATCATGCGAGCCAGAGACAATTTTTGAGCCATCTGGTGAGAATGAGACAGTCAGCACCCAGGATTTATGACCCCGGAGTGGTTCCCCCAGTGATTGACAGGTGGCTGAATTCCAAAGTCGAATTGTGAGATCTTTCGAGCAAGAAGCGATGAGTGAGCCGTCTGGCGAGAATGCGACAGCCAGAACCGAATCTTCGTGACCTCGGAGTGGCTCTCCCAATGGTTGACCGGTGGCTACATCCCACACTCGAATTGTCTTGTCGTGCGAGCCAGAGATGACCCTTGCGCTATCCGGGGAGAATGCAACCGCATTGACCCGGGATTGGTGCCCTCTAAGAGTTCTGGTTATCCCGGGATACATATCCTCCAGTCCTTGAGTGACGGTGAGGGTATTAGGATATTTTTTTACACCCTCGATATGAATTTGTGACTTCCTGGGGCTAAATGGAAGCGCAGAAAGGTAGATATGTGGTACGCTGTCCTGGATCGGCACCGAAAATGCGATTAAGAACCGTCGAAGTTCATCTATCCTGCCTTTTATTCCCTCCTCGAGCTATTTTTTTTGCGTAAATTCTTCGGTTAATTGAGATAGGATGGACCACTTACCCCAGTAAGTGCAGTAACAACTTGAAGGCTAGCTATCGCTCGCCGTACCCCTCCAATGAGGCTGAGGATTTCCATCCAGTATAGTGCGTATGGTACTTGAATGGCATTCTGAAGTAGATCTTTGAGGTCAGATTGCCAGTTGCCGTCAGTTTCCGCAATATGGAACAACCAATGAGAGCCAGCATATCGAAGCCTTCTCGATATGAAATCTGATATTTTAGCTTCGAGGTTGGGAATCTCTCTGTTCAAGTAGAAAGATGACTCGATTTGACAAACGTTGAACTTGAGGCCTTCTGTCGGCGACTTGAAGCATTTGAAGCACCACGACGCAACTTGACCATGTGCATTGGCAAGGTTAACCAATACTCTATGGGGGCTATCGACGGTTGGCGTTATGGAGCAACGTCGAAGGTACTCGACGAAAGTGGGATGTCGAAATTGGATCAGTTTTGTACTTGTATCCTCGATAAGCACGCTCCCTAGATTCTGCAACAATGCCTTTGCACTTCCCTCTATCCCGATATGTTTGAGAATATCATCCAGGTCGTCCACAGTGAGCGGTTCGAATGCAGCGAGCAACAGAGCTAACATCTGGTACATGACTTCGCGGTACTCGGGATTTGTACGCTCAAATATGAGACTGTACAGATCATCTATGGCTCCACCGTGGTCCACGGAGATGAGACGATTGTACATGCTCTCAGGGGAACTCAAGCTGGTCTTGTCATTGAGTATGCGACATGCCGTGCTCGCCCAGATGAATAATCCATTCGCCTTTTCGACCAGCCTCTGCCTTTTGTCCTCCGGCAGTACTCCACCTAGTGATCTATGTACGTATATAGCGACGTCATCAATATTATCGCGATGCTTGACATCGTGAAGGCGGTCCTCTAGTTTCGCTTTAATAGAGCGTGAACCCAAGGCTGCTTGGATGATGGGGTCTGGCCGACTTGTCATGAATATCTTTAGGTTCTTGCATTCTTGAACGGCTATCGAGAGGGTATCAGCAAGTTCTCTTCTTTGTGATGCGGATTTGCATTCGTCTAGGGCGTCGATAACAAGTATTACATGCCCTTGCCAATGGCGAACGGGATGAGTGATGAGCGTTTGGAACTGCTCTTCAAGAGAGCTTCGCATGAAAGATGGGTACTGGTTCACGGCCCCGGCGATGTGCGGTGCAAGCTCCGGGATGTAGTGGGCAAGATCTCTCGCTACGGTTGAGCAGAACTTCTCGGTAGTTGATCCTTCACTGCTGCTTATGGAGAAGAAGAATCGGCCACCCAGCAATCCTTGACGGCTCCATGATTCCACTGCGGACATTGCTACTGTGGACTTGCCGGAGCCGGCTATGTCACAGAGCCAAAATATAGGCTTCTCCGAGATATTGTCGTTGGCCCAGTGCCATATAGTCTGAAGAACAGCCTCACGCGTCTCTTTCAGGCAAGTGCTGTGGACTGAAGACGCAGAGAATTTCACCTCTGGTAGCTGAAGTATAATAGCAGCGTCGACTTTAAAGGCTCAGCAAGCATTTAGTACACGATTACGGCTTACCTTTCCTCCTGATGACTTGAACGCATAATGCGTTGAAAATGTTTAATGCCCCCTGCGTTCAAAGTCAAATTGTGGATGCGGTTGATGAAGCTCGTACCATGAACTGACTATGCCGGTCCTCAACGTCTCGATTAAGATTGATGATCTCCTCGGCATCGATTTTGACTTTGCTAATACGTTTCAAAGAACCGCGTGCGCGGTCGATGAGTGCATCATGCGTAGTTTCGAGAAATCTGCCTTGCTCAACGGAGTGAAGTAGACTTAGGCTATTCACATACTCAATATAATGAACGAGGGGTTGGCTGAAGGCCTCATCGATGGCCCGGTCCGCTGGTGGGTATTTCTCGAACACGGTGACTTGGTCCTCGAGCACGGAGATATATTTCCTGATACGTCTTTTTAGGTCGTTCCATCCTTCCTGGTTACTCTCTATTGACTGTGGCATCCGTTTGGTGAGTTGAGAAGGTATCAGACTCGCCACGACCTACCTGTACGACATCGAGGATAGATTTGGTAGTTCGACAGGCCGCCTTTAGAGGAGCAAGTACATCTGACCCCTCGGATATATTCGCTACTATCTCGAGGCCAACCTTGGCTGCGTCACGCACTTGATTTCTCTTGCTAGACGAGCTTGGAGCGGATGATGAGGCCATCGGTAGATTCGACCTTGTATGGGATATTTTGAACTTGTTTGGTTTCGCGGACGACATCGTGAACGTGGTCAAATCCAAGATGGTTGGGCGTCTGCCACTCTCTTTGCGCCCGGGATACGCAAAGCAAAGTTTACGGGTCAATTTGAAGAAATAAACTTATGCAAGAAATATAATGCAAAAATAATCTACTCTCTCGCGTTTGAAATTCATAACTTCTTCTTGGAATCATGCCTCGCTCTAAATCGAAATCCAAGGCACGAGATGGCAGCTGCATAATGCATTTCAATGTCTCCCCTCCAACCTCTGATCGTCTTGTACTCCAACAAGCGATCCAAAACGCAATGCAGCAAACTTTTGGCCTGACAAGAGCGTTCACCTACTTTGATTTCGTCCAAGACGACCCAGAACCATCTCAAATCGCCCTTAAAGTGTCTAATGCGTGCGTAAAGCAGCCGATACGTGGCCCATTAACACACCCTTGCGTTTCACAGAGACTCGCCTTACTTCGCAGCGGCGTTGGCTGCATTTTCGGGCTCTAGGACGTTTTCATTCAAATCGCAGGAGAAATGCGAAGGAAACGAAGAAGAAGAGTGATCCAGAGCTATACTCAACGACTAGTCTACAGTAAAAATTCGCGATATTTCGACAAGAATAAAGTCAGACGGAGGATCTTGTTCTGACAGAGTATCCTCTCAGGCTTTTGCCTTGTACTTTAGGATCCATGGATGGCGAAGGACGTCGGCAAAGCTGAGACGGTCCTCGGGAACGTATTGCAAAAGCCGTGAAATGAGATCCTTGACTTCCTCAGAGATTCCCTCAGGAAAGCGCAGGTCCACTCGAGCGATCCGTATAAATGTACCTGTCATTCTTCTTCAGCTTTTATATCGAGCAGACACGAGAGTGGACCTTTTTGGCCAGAAGGGTCCTCAAAGGGAGCGACACCGCATACGAATTCGTAGCAGAGGACACCAAGTGCCCAAATGTCGACGTAGTTTGAGTAGGGTCGGCCACGAACTAATTCCGGAGCTAGGTAGTCCAGCGTTCCGCACATGGTCGTCCGTCTTTGAAAGATAAGCAAATGGTAGGATAGAGATGCAATACGGACCGGTTACTCGGAGCGTGTACGCTCCAGCCAAAGTCACCGATTTTGATCTCGCCGTCGATTCCCAACAGGAGATTCTCCGGCTTGATGTCACGATGAATGATACGTTTAGTGTGTAGGTATTGAAGGGCGTCTGCAACTTGTGCAATATACTGGGGGCCGTTTAGATATGGCAGGTGCTGATTTCTATCGCGACCTACCCGACTTGCTCGCTTTTCTCCAAAGCGCCCTTTCTTGGCCAGCTGTCGATACAGCTCTCCATTTGCAGCAAATTCGAGCATGAGGAACAGACGTTTCTCATCGTGGAAATAACCGTAAAGCCGAAGGACGTTGGGATGCCTAAGTGTCCAAGCTCAGTAGCTATACAGTTCCTTGTGTTGATATTCATGCGTACCGCAGGTTGGATTGAATTTCTATCTCTCGTCGAACTTGCTTTTCCAATCCGGCGGCTATAACCTCCGATTTGTAGATAGTCTTGAGCGCAAGGATGTAGCCTTTTGGCTGTGTCCTTGTCCGCACTAGGTATACACGTCCAAATTGACCCTTTCCAAGAGGTCTTCCCATCTCAAACGACGAGAGTCTCCACTGTTCGGCTGCTGGGCGAGAATACGACGAGTTTAACGCCAGACTGTCAGCTGCGACACCAGATACAACCTCTCCTCTAGTCATATTCTCTGCCTCCAGGCCTCCATCGTACGCTCCAAAGTCGATAGCCGACATCAGCGCGCGTGTTGGGTCGACTGCCGCCGCTGCTGGTGGCGGCGCTGATTCGACTGGAGTCTGGGTTTGGTGGGTGTCTGAGACAGATCTAAAGGCACTTGGAATTCGTTTGATAGTACGGGAAGATTTTGAGGGGAGCGTTGCGGTCGAGTGCGCAGATTCCTGGGCCGGACGTTGTTGGAGTTGTTGATAGGAATACAGACTGAGCGGTCGTGCAGACGCCCCATTTTTAATAATCCTTCGTGTGGGCGCTGGAGGCTCCGAGTCGACTTCCATGGCGTCGGCCATCGTCGTAGAACTTGTCCAAGTTGCATTTTGACTACCACCACTGCGCTCGTCGGCCATGAGCGGATATTCTGCTCATCAAACTCCTCGGGACTATTTCGTCCCAGTCAACAGGTCGTTTTTACTGTCACACATCGCGATATAACTCGCTTTCTGACGCGTCGTGCTAGCATTCCTGACCCCAGACTGCGAGGTCTCTATCCAATTCACGATATATAATGTATTGACACGCTCTGACGCGATGCATCAGTGCCGCTTGCGCGCCCTCCGGTCCCCCGTTTCGCACTCGGTTCGACATCCCAAGCCTTTCAGGGTAACGAGCCATCGACGAGTACTTATCCAACCGTGTTGGCTAGCTATCACCTTGATGATCTTTGCTGAGCAAACCCCTAGCACGCAACAGCCCTCTCAGTCCCATGTCACTCATTACTATATCCCTAGCCAACATCCAGCTTTGAAGATTTATCATTCTTCTCCTATGCTTGGTCGTTCTCCTGCTTTTCTTTCCGCACCCACTCCTACGCACTCTGGAACTCTTCAAACCATGGCGTGCACGTCTGGAGAATCATCCATCTCGAAAAGCGTCAAGGCCGAGCAGATTGAAGTCTCACTGAATACACTTATACAAGCGCCTCTTGCAGCTGAACATGACAACCGGTTGGTATGCTCTCCACTCCGAACCTTGGCTCATCCTTTCAGCACCAATGCCAGCTCGGATGGTACCCCGGAAGAGGAGATAGTTCTTATCAAGTCTGAAGAAACCAAACCTGCCGTTGAATCCCGTCGAGGGGTCGCAAAGAAGGTAATGCATCCGCTTGCTAAACACCACGTCTCTGCACTCGAGAGATACTGCCAAGGTCATTCTATCTCTCCTTCTCTCCTCTCCCGTAAGAAATGGGCCGATATCAACCACGTGATCCCGGCCAGGGTGCACGCTCTCTGTAAGAAGAAGACAACTCAAAACGCAAAGAAGAAGGAGAATGTTTCAGCAGCAGAATGGGATTTGCCACTCGAAGTTGCTCCTGAGGAGACTATCATCAAGACCGAAGTCATATTAGAGTCTATCCTCGACGAGGGACACGCCACTCGTTCTGAAGACAGTCCGACAGTTGAACCGAGCTCCTCTACTTGCAACAGACCCTCCTCAAGGCAAAACTCTGTTCGGTTCTCGACGCCGCCGCTGGCCGAAGCGACTCCCGCAGACACAACTATTGGCTCGTCCTCTACACTCGTCACGCCACAGTCGAGTATGATCCAGCTTCCAACATCTATTAAGGAGAACAAAAAAACTCCTGTAGAGTCCGTGAACAGGCGCTGGTCGCCCTCTCCGTGTGCCATCAACGATCCTTTTGAGCGCTGGGAGATGGAGGAACCACCATTGGCACCATCCGACGCTGAGCTCTTGTCCTTCCTTAACGAAAACAACTTCTTCAACTTGGTTCAAGGCCCGCATGGTATCACGTTCGAAGACATGGTCGATCGAGAGGCGTTTGATAGAAAGTTGGTGTACCACCAGTGCCGTTTGGACCGCTACTTTGTCTGGTCCACACTCAGAAAATTCTACTTCTTTTGCTAGTTTATCCTTATCGTTGCTAACAGCCATTGTACCCATGCTCGAGTGAACAGATACTTTCAGTTCTAGTACATCGAATTTATTGACCGCCTCGAAGCATCTTTGTCCAGTCGTATGCATCAAACTTTTTCCTGAACGCAGCTATCCGTGACTGGTTCTGACCACGGTCGATCCATCTCGGCTTTCGCCAAAGTCTCGGCTCGAGGTCGAGAATGTTTCCAATAATCTCAGCAGCAAACCACCTAGCAAAAGATCAGTAAACCCAGACATGGTATAGATCGACTATTACGCACTTCGGGAATTCGCCACCGCCTTTCTCACCCTCGTCAACCGCACCATCTGCATCACCCCCTCCAGCTGCATCGCCGACGCCTTCGATAACATGGCCATATCCCTTCTCCCCCTTGTAGTCGAACTGGACCATGAAATAGGGAAGGTTGGGAACCATGGCTCTTCGAAATCCACCGGGACGAGCGGAAAAGTCGATGAGCTTCTTGTGCTGCGACCATTCGGTCTCGGACATGAGAATGGATTCCTACAAGAATCAGCTTGAGTAGATTGAACCTGGGTGTTGCTCACTCTAAAGTATCCAGGTAGCTGCTCAAAGTGATTATAAGATACTGGCACACACTCGATGTACGTGTGCTTCTGCCAACGGAGGCTGATGACCGTTTCGTAGAAGACGGCGCCCTTGTCTTCGGCGTCAAACATGCGAATCAGGCATTTCATAAAGTTCTGGAGGGCGAGTGAGCTGCGTAGATGTAGCGCTATAGAAGACGCACCTTAATCTCGTCCCACAAGTCGTCGTCACCTTCCAGCGTCGAGAGGTGATGTTGAATAGGGACGATATGGCAATGCCCAGGAACCAACTCTTGGTTCGTAGTGCACGCTAGATAGCACCGAGTTCCCATCGCAATCACTGCAGCTTTCGGTGGCGAGTCGTCTTCCCCGTAGCAATGCACGCAGTTAGCCAGGACCTTTTGTGTCTTGGCATAGTCTATGGTACGGTCAGGTAAAGACGCTATGGTCACAGATAACGGTACCGTTAATCGCAAACTGCCGCCTCATCGCATCACTCCTCATCTTCTTTCTGCCAAGTCTCTCCGCATTCTCGTCGAGGTACTCGAGGTCATCCTATCCAGATCTGAGCCAACGATAATCCATGACGGCACGAAACTCACCTGGAACTTTCCATCCGACATGATTGCCTTTGCAAACTGGTTGTCCAAGTCCTTTTGGTCGGCCATACCGGCACCAAACTTTTCCTGCCGAAGCATTTCACCAAGAGTCGTCGTGTCGTCGTCTTCATTGTACCGTAACAACTCCCCCGTCTTTGGATCACGAGTTTCAAATGGCTGGAGGGAATAAGCACGGAACACTGTGTAAGATGCAGCTCACCTTTTCCTTCTTTCGTCTATTTCCGGGGAGCGTCTTGGGTGCCTCATCCGCCTTTCCTGTTCCGACGTCGTACAAGCGACCTTGCCCGTCCATCGTAGGTAGGACCTCGAGCTTCTTGCCTTCAGACGAGAAGAAGCCTTCCGCCCGCTTTTTTGCCTCTTCATATTCCTGCTCCAACTCTGCCTGCATTCGGAGAACCCATTAATTTGGCACGAAGGACCTTTGCCTGGAGCTTGTTGAGGTCCACGGAGGTGTAGAAGGTAATTGGGGCGTGAGTGCACTTGGGATGGGTGTGAAACTGTTGGGAGTAGATTGGTTGGTCCGATTTGTACCTTGTCCAGGAGTTGGTGGTCGAGACCCTGTGCGAAGGCTATCTAGTCGTTTTGTTGCGGGTGCTTTCTCTGGTAAAGTTGTGGAAGACTCTCCTGGTTTCCTGAACGAGCCACGACTGGGTGGACCGCTCGAGTCGTAAAACGCATAACGAGTCTCGCCAGAGCCTCTTGATAGACCTGGTGCACCTTTCGCGCCGCTCTTCCGTTCTGCGCGTTCGTCTAGTATCCTTCGCTCCTCTAGAATCTCGTTGAATGCTTCCATTGTTCCAAACCGTTCAAGGGCCACCTCCTCGACGGACTTTCCTTCTTCTTCGGCTTGCTCGTACACCCTCCGGAGTCTCATCATGCGCCATTGAGAGCCAGCACCCCCGGGTACAATCTTTTTGGGGTTACTAGTCTCTAATGTTTCGCCACGAAGCTCGGGATTGAGCTCCCGGGAACTGACTTTTGGCGCCTAGAGCGCGCTTAGATTCGTCAAGAATCCAGATGACTGATCAAAGACGTACAGTCTCGGGATTTAATCTGTTCTTGGGTTCCTTTCGCTTGTGTTCCGTGCCGAGGTTGCTGAAAAAGTCGACATGACCGCTTGGCGTGCGGTTACTGGATTCGCTATCTCCATATCCCTCTGTCAGAGAATCTCCACGAGCAGCAGAGTGTAAAGGCGGTGTTTGAGTGGGCAGTACAGGATCAGACGTTTCCATCATCATCCATTCTTCCCTCTGCAATTTCGACTCAGTCGTCGCTGGATGGGGAAGCTTGGGGTCATTTGGAGATTCCATAGCCGTAGATACAATATCCAAGCTTGCACCGGTGGGGATGGTCGTCGTTACTGGCTGACGCATGACTATTAAGTGAGGCTCAATGAGGCAAAAGAGGGTCATACGTGTTGTCCATCGACATCAATGTTTCTCTCCACCCACATTTCGTCGCCGTCTTCATCGTCATCAACGACTGTGACTGCCTTGTGTTTGTCCTTTTTCGACGACTTTGAACTCCGTTCGTCTTTGTGGTGTTTCTTTTTCCTTTTGTGATCTTCGTCATGATAGGATGCTTTTCTCTTTGTGCTCTTTTCCCTGTCCATGTTTTGAATTGTGGGCGTCGGGAGCAGAATGGTTACAGTTGAACTCCACGTCCCCCCCTGCATTTCGATACAACTCGGGAATAGAGGGTCAATCGTTAGCCACTGAGCACCGGAATGCATCGAGATGCCCTCTCAGCGCCCGACCGGAGCGCCATGAACCCACTTCACAACCCTTTGCCGTCGAAGCACTCCGTCGAACGAAGCTAAGCCATAGGTCTCGATAAATGATCCTACTAGGTTCATATTTTCCATCGAATTGGCTCTCGGCGGCTCTTCGACAGCGGGCTACCTCTTTCGGCCGTCCCTTCTTAACTGTCCTCGGATTGGGCTCGGGATGACGCATGCCTGTGCCCTGTGCATGCTCTGGCTTCTGTTAGATATACGTACTCGCTCGTCAGACTGCAGAGTACATTGTGCTGAGGCCTTGGATGGATTCTGACATGCCATGATCGGTATGGATAACTAATTATTGCTCCAAGATTAATTTTCTGACCATCCTTAGCTAAAGGTTCCATTCTCTTCCGGGTTTCTACCGCCGTACAGCTTGGGCAGTTAGCGCAACCTGCATACAAAATGGTAAACCATCATCAAAGAGTCAAAATACTGTACAAGTATGTATATTCTGATTTTTTGGGTCTTATCTTGTACAACTCTGACCGCTCTCTGCTTCATCCCTGCTCTCATTCAGGAAGGCGTACACAACGTGACAGTGCCGCGCCTTTTTCTCGATTATATATGCTATTGTCTCCAGATGACTTTGGAATCTGTGGGCGCCAGCATTCGGGATAGGTCAGGTCAGGGCGCCCTTAAATAGCCCTTGCCAACTGTGGCGAAGCGACAGCCGCCTTTTACGCCCCCCTCTACTATGTCTCACACTAGCCCACTACTTAATCATACTCAGCGAGAATATTTATCTTACGACCGACAACACGCTGGACGGTCGTGGAGCCATCCTATACCTTATCTCTCCCGCTCCGCTCCTCTTCAAACCACAAACGGGAACTGGCTGAACGCTTGCGGTATTTATTCAGCCCCACAGGGATACAACACGGCATTACGCACTAACGAGAACGGATATATGGATCAATTATTGGCCAACGAAGGCACAGGGGTGACCCTAACCACCATGGGCGCAGGATACTCGTCCCCCCGGATGACCGATTTATTGGCTCGTAGGGCTTCTATTTGGTCTGCTCCCCAGCTAGGTCATACACGACTCTTTGACTCCAATTTGGGCTCCGGTCCGCTGGTCCCTTCGTCCCCACAACATTTCAACCTCAGAGAACTTGCTCAGATGGGTGATAGTGACAGTTCATCTGGGGCTCTTTTACCCAGCGCTCCTTTCGAAGTCCCAACCATGACTCAACAGCGACCCTCGATAGCTCCGCGATCGCCAATTGGCGGTGAAGCATCCAGTAATATTTCAAAAGCTGACTCGAGCTCTTCTGCGCGCTATGGGAACGTCCGTCGCCCAAGGAGCCGGCAGCCTATCGACTATACTCGTCAACGACCCGTGTCCGGTGATTCGCAGTACGTGTCTTTTACATATCATCCCCACCAATTTACACGCCGTATAGACGCTCGCCTTCTATTGCCACACCCCCTCCGTTCACGTACGCCCGCGGCTTGGTGGGGATGACTGTCCCCCAGCCTACTCCAGAAGAACAGCATAAGCCATTCGCATGCAGTTATTGTTCCAACAGATTCAGGCGCAGGCGTGATCGCGATCGTCATGAGCGCTCCATCCACACTCGCGAGGCGCCATATGTCTGCCTCTGCTGCGACAAGGCGTTTGTTCGCGTAGATGCACGAGCAAAACACTGGAGAACAGATCCATGGTGCCGAGAGATCCATGATAAACTCGTGCAGACCCCCGAGCAGTAAACTGCTCGAACCAAGGTCAAGGCTCGGTTGCTTGCGGAGCGGAGAACGTTCAGAGATGGGCATTGGTTGCCAAAATAATGTATGGAAAATGTGCTGGGATCGCGAAGCGGGACCGGTTCCTTCGGAGTATAGAGTTTGCACGAATCAGGAATTATGGGCCAGAGATTGCGAACTAGTATTTGCCAGCATATTCACGCTTGTAAAATATATGATAGAGCTTGCTATATTATTCAAGTTTACTGTTTTGAGGAGTTGACCGACTCTTGTTGTCATTGATGGTCAAGATCTCGGTGGCTCACTGATCTCGGCAATTAAATTCTAGCAAGAAATTGACCACAAGTCACCTATCAATACTAATTGGAGGTATGGTTATAAACCAGCTGGAGTCAAAAGGCGACGAAGAGGCGGGTGATAATTCGCACAATATTTTGAATAATAATTACATTTTCCTTGCTCCTGGTCCCCTTGCCGTCTGAAAAGATATCTCTCACTCGTCTACGATTCTGAAGAGGTGAGCCGCGTCCGGCTCCCGAGATCGAATCCGGCAATGGGCATAGCCGTCGTTGCGCTACCTCTTTTTGGACCGGACTTTGACTACGATGCCCTCGACAAAGCTATATATTCAGCATCCACTGGACGCAGACAGGTCGTGTAAGCTGGTTGGAATATTGGAGCGCGCAGATGCGAATCTGTCGACGCATGGGAAACCGCTTGCATTGGTGAGCCATCTCTGTTCTGGGAGAGTGACCTTCTGAAGATTTGAAGATTCTCCACGGATCTATGGGGTAAAACCTCTCTTCACTACGACGAAAGACCGTATTCTGACCTATATTCAGCCATAAAGACTATCTATTCCAACGAAAACTTGCTCCTCTACTTCCGATGGACTCCTTTCGCTTCGACTTTCGGTATGAGCGCTCTGTTTTGAGAACCTTCTTCTCAACGTCCCGCTAGTGGAAACCTCGAAAGCGGTGGTGATTGGTCACTCGCTAGTCTACCCAAGGACGTCGAGGACATACAAGTCGTGGTGGAATACATGAAGCGAGAATACGGGTACACTACCACCGTCCTCATTGGCCACTCACGCGGCAGCATCGTCACGTGCAAATGGATTGCGTCGGGGTCGAGAGAAACACAGGACGTCGAGGCATTTGTTAACGTTTCGGGGCGGTATAGGATGGAGGTCAGTCTACAGGCCTTGTTCACTGGCAGACCTAACTCGGCGGTAGAGATTCCGATGTGCGTTCGCTACTCCGAGTGTGGACGATATGCGGCGTGTTGACCGGGAGTAGATATCCAAGAGGTTCATGCCGAGTCAATACAGAAACGTGGATATGGGATCTGGAAGGTACGCGTTGCAGGCAAGCCTGTGGAAGTCAAGATATATCCCGCCGATATCGACGAGTTTGTGGATTGGGACATATCCTATATCCCTTCTTCATTTCCACCGCATATCGACGTACTTTCTATCCAGGGCATGTCGGATGGGATTGTGCCACCGTATGTGCCCCTTCTGCCCATCTGGACTGGCTGCTGATGGTTTTCAAGATACGACGCCGTGTGTTATGCCCTTGCTTTCGAACAGCGTAAAGGTGGGGAAGGACGGCATACTCTTCACTTTATCGAAGACGCCGACCACAACTTTGCCGGTGTACGTCTGTAGTCTATTTTCTTCGACATTCCTAACCTCTATCGTAGCATCACGACGAGGTCAACCAGACCATTGTCGAGTGGTTGACTCGTCGAGCAAGAAAGGAGCCTCTCAGTCTAGGCGGACTATGGCGATCTCGATTGTAGTGGCAGCACGATTGCTTGCCCTGGTCATACTTATTGAGCATCTAATCCTGCGGAATTCTGGATCAAAAATGGAATTAGATTGACTTGGCTACATATGCAAGTACTACGGGCGCGCGCAGTATGGCGAGCGGCGTTACAGGTTATTTGTGCACCTCCGTACACTAGCTCGGGGTAAAGAACGTACTTCAATTAGATTTGTTCTAGGATAAGACTGATTTGCTGGTCTCCTCTCCGTAGGAGGTCTATATTGGCGAGAGTCGTTTGGGGAAATGTCAGGCGGTGGTGAGATACACCCGTGTCTAGAACCCTAGAGTATACGCTAGAAGGGATACGAGAGAGAAAAGGAAGACTTTGCGCGAAAAGAGCGTTCAGTACGAGAACACCATGAGGTAGGGGTTCAAGACGATAGGGTACAACTATCGAGTTTCAGTCGCCTGGGATGATAAACGTGAAAGAACTCACAATATGCGACACAACCCCGACAATCAGAGGCAGGCAGACAGACCAATTGGTGATTGGAATCCGCAAGTCGCGTGGGATCTGAGGGAGCGCAAAGACGATCATCGTCGCCGACGCAAGGAAGCAGACGATGAGTGCGACCCGGAACCGCTTGAGAATCTTGGGCACTTCAAGGAAGAAGTTGGAGCGCTCGACCTCCTTTTTCGTCGCACCCCATGTGATATTGTACGAGAACATGTGAGCAAGAATCGACTTCGAGAGGTGGATCGACAAGCCGCCGAAGAAGATGAAGCTAAAAATATTCGTCAAGATTTGCCGGGGTGATAGTATAAAAGAGACTCACAAGAATGGGAGCCACATAAAGTTTTCGAACAGCGCCGCAAGCAAACCCTTGTGACCAAGGCGGTATTCCAGGATGGTATGGCCAACGTTTCCGGCAAGGGGAAACACTAAAACGACAGATACCCAGATTTCAAATGATGGGAGATACATATGATCGAGGGGAAGTTCCAGACCAACGATGAAATAGTTGACGAGGGAGAGGGTAAAGGCAGCCGCGATGCCGTAGTATGAGAACATGTAGGCCAACATCGAGATCTTGTAATGGACCGGCGCACCGCTCCAGACGAATATCCGGAGTTGCTTATTGATCGGACCTTTGGTGAACCATTGGATAAACGGATTGAAGATGAGCTCTGAGCAACCGAAAGAGTATTTCTCCCAGCGATTGAGCTCATCGTCGCATGTGAGCGATACACCTTCCTTGAATCCACCTTCAGAGTAGCTAGCCCATCGAACGGTATAGCCACCAAGTTGCAGGCGCAGCGCCATGTCAAAGTCCTCTGACACGTTGCTTTCGGACCAAATCTTGCGCTCACCATCAGCTGGATCGATAAACGCGACGTCTTGAAGAGCACTCCAGCGCAGGAAGGCGTTATGTCCAACAAAGGCGGCGACTTCTCCATTTGCAGCGGCGAAGGAGATGGCCTTGTTGACACGACGAGTGAAGTGGGCGATGCCGTTTTCAAAGTAATTGAACGAAACCTGCATGACGTCCGACTCGTGTTGAATGACACCGACTTCGGGCGACTCTGCCATTTCCCGTGCGGCGTCCCGCAAGCAATCTTCGGGGACGAGGGTATCCGAATCGACAATGAGAATGATTTCTCCGATGCGAAGGGCCCGGCCACCTGCACCCTGGGGCTGGAATCGGCCTCCGCTTTCCGCCATGACCTCGTCCATGGCAGCGGTGAGAGCGAGGTCCTCCATGCTCTCCTCGGCATCCTCGATCTGGTCTAAGCCCAGCATTTGTCCAGATGTTTGCGCAGTCCTGGCTGCGAGTCGTGCCGCTATGCGCGCACTCTCAAGAGCCTTTGGATCTTTCATGAATCTGTTCAAATGTTCCTCCATCTTTAGCGAGATTTTGAGGGCATAGTTCATGTTTGATGCCTTTTTGAACCTTCCAGCACGCTTGAAGCCATCAGGCGCACTTGAATGTCCTGGACGCGCAATCCAGCCAATGCCATGATCGGCATAGTAACGCTTTCGTTCATTGGCCTGTGCCTCGTCAAGGAGCTGCATTCCATCATCGCAGATCATGATCGTGGATGTGCCGCCCTGACGAGCGTACGTCTGCATCGCCTTTTTGATCGACTCGCAGGAAGGGGCAATGGTCTCGGTAAGCGATTCTTTGTACACGGGCATTTGAATCGTGATGTGAGGGAGCTTGGTGTCGACAGTTGGATTGGGAGCGGGTTTGACGGCAGAGTAGTATTTGGAGTTTTGGTGATACTGTGCGACGGGACCAATGACCTGGGAGATAAGGATGACGACAAAGTTGTAAAAGAACTGTGAAAAGTGAGTATTCTAGTCGGCAGGCATAAGAGAATCTCACCAGAGAAACGCAGAAGATGAAAGGGAACACGGCGATGAGGGCGAAGCGAATGGGACCACCCACGAGCCAAAACTCGATGAGGAGTTTACGCAAACCGTCCATGGTCAACACAAGGCATAGTGCAGCGCCGATCCCGTTGTAGACCGGCGCGAAGAGACGCATCGACCGGGGCGCACTTCGCTTTGCATTCCCAACTTCGACGTCCTCCGTACCGAGGATGGTGTCAAACTTCTCTCCGTCACCATGCTTCTCAGCAGTCTCTCCCACAGAGATGGTGGACCCGAATCGGATGGAGGCCGCGGCGCTGCCCTGTTGTTCAGCCGTACGGAGCTGTTCGGGCCGGAATTTCCAGACGAGGGAGATGAGCTTCTCCTCCATTTCCTTGCACCTGAACAACCGTTAGCACCAGGAAGTGGGGAGCCAACGGGTTGACCTACGTTGGAATGATGCCATCAAGATGGTCAGACCAACAAACGAGAACCTTTTCGTCGCGCTAGAGAACACGTGAGAACTTGATGTCATACACTTGGCGAGAAGAACTCACAATAAACGCAGCCCCTTGCTCCTTATCTCCAGAAGGCAAATGGGCGATCGTCTCGAGAATTTGAATCCGCGTAGCCTTGTCTACGAAAATTCCGGTTTCGGTTTCTGCACTGTATAGCGCATCTTTTGAGCATAGAGAGGATGGCCAACAGTTTAGGCTTACGTGAGGGCGAGGGCGGCGTGTACTGAAGCCGAGCGAATCTTGACGGCGACAAGCGGGTTGAGCCCGCGAACTGCAGCCTCAAAAGGAGCAAGACCTAGGTTCTCATAGGGAAAGATACGGAAGCGAGGAGGCGAGGTATCGATACGGAGGGCTACGCCGGCCTGTCAGCCACAGTCAGCATGAAGGTTGCTTCAATCCATCGAGGTGAAAAAGAAACTGGCCTGCCTCGACTCCTGTGTGGGCTTGAACCAAGCCTCGCCTTGGGTTTGCTTGAAAATGTGGTGAAGAATGGCATCGTGGGCATCGTACTCGCTCGCCATTGTCAGATTATGTGGATGAGATTATGGAATGTGTGTTTTACGAGCGTAGGCGCTTGGAGAAAGGAGTGGTCGTTCAGCCCAAACTTGCTGGAGGACGGGAGGGGAACGGGAGGGGAACGGGAGGAGAGTTGACAGGGAGAATACCGCCATATAAAGGTTGATGAGGGTCTCCTTACCTTATTAGCGGCTTTTGGCCTCTGTCCACGACATTTGACAGCGCGTAATAATGTAGCTGCCGCCCCGGCTTATCGCTTCTCCTAGATACTATGGCCGGTTGCATTTCGCTATTGTGGACCGCCCTTGATCGGATGCTCTGCTATGGTATGGGTTATTTAAATGTTTGATTTCTGGCCACCGTCCGGATGCAGAAAGATTCCGAGCCATTTCCATGGGCACTAGTGGATTTCAGGGCAGCATGCGTTGGCGTCGGGCCTGACGGCTCCACTTTGTTCCTTGATGGCCGTAAGCAAACCTTTGCTTTGGTTGGTCTCCCGTTTACTGCCAACGCAGATTCAGCGTCGAAGGTTTTTGTCACCAGTTCCAAGGTGGCATAGCAGGTTGACAAACGCCCCAGGGCATTGACAAACGCCCCAGGGGCCCAGTCAGCGCTGCCCAATCTCCGTGTCGGGGTCAGCCGAGTCTAGACTGGTGGTCTATAAATATAATGGAATTGGTTCTCGGCAACAATTGACGGCCAACCACGCGAGTGCTTCCGGTTCCTGACTCGGATAGCTGTAAACAAACGTCGGACGGCAGAGGTCATTCTGCCTTTGCCTTTATTGGTTATAGATAATGCCTCCTGTTCGGTCGACGAGTTTCACCGGTGCCCATATGGGCAACCCGTTCTACCACCCATAACGACAGCCTTCGATCACTGCCATGCACCCAGAATGTTATCATGCACGGAGGAATATTTCGGCGTTGCACGACATAAACGACGTTCTCTACGCGTTATGTGAGCCCAAAAAGCAACGAATAACGGGCATATGCACTACGTGAAGGGAGTTACCCGCCTACAACTGTCTTCCATCCCCCAGGGAATTGTTCAATATCTTCACCCCAGACGTTTGAGTTTTTTAATACAATTAAGACTGCTTCAATCGAACGTTGCGTGATCGCCTTCAGTTTCTTGCCACCAGCAGTACAGATCTCTCCCATGATCCATCATTCTGAGAGCTAATAATACCAGTCCGAGTGATCACTTGTCACAAGTCCCACGTCTACGCTGGTAGGGGACCTGAATGCAGCGCAGCAAGATTAAGTTGGTCTTCTTGCGCAGCTGGCAAACGTCCGTTTGTCGGTATTTTCACACCTAACGCAATCTCCGACGCCGAATGCGCACGTACTACGACGACCGTCCCGGCCGCTGCTTGTGGGTGCTGGTCAAGTCATGGCCGTCGCGTAAACGCCGTCACGGTCGCCGTCTGGCTCGCTCGTGCAAGGGAGATAAAAAGGTGATCCAGGATGGCCTGAAATCATCCTCCAAACATTCTATTTGTTAGTTGTCATGAAATTTGACCAAACGTCGACAATAAACCTTCCTTCAAATGTGGCTACCCCCATGGAAACAAAGCCACAAGTTGAAGATGTCCAGGAAGATGGACCAACTGTTGACGAAAGCATGATTTTGACCGGACGGAAACTCGCATTGGCACATGTAGGCTTTCTTATGGCCGTCTTCTGCTTCTCTCTCGACCAACTCATTGTATCAACTGCCCTACCAAATCTTGCTTCGTACTTTAACGCACTGGACCGACTCACATGGGTCGTCTCTGTATATTTTCGTAAGTCTCAGCCGCAGTTCTATGGCCCAAAGTAACACCTTTTATAGTATGTACAGCTGGCTTGATGCTCTTGTTTGGTCAGCTTCTGACAGTCATGGTTGCCAAATGGGTCTATATTACCTGTCTCGTGATCTTTGAGGCAGGCTCGCTGATATGCGCTCTCGCACCGAGCATGAACATTTTGGTTCGTTCACTACTATGATCCCAAGTGTTCGCGCTCATCTTGTTCTAGATCTTTGGTCGCGCTGTCCAAGGTGCCGGGTCTTCGGGGATATTCACGTCAATTCTTGTCATCTTTGCTCAGATTACCAAACTGGAAACAAGGCGTAAGTTGAGTATTTCCGGGCCCCCAAATCTAACGACAATGTAGCCCTACTGATGGGTACCTTTGGCGCCGTCTTTGGGGTACGTGACGAGACTTTGAATACATCTACTCATCTGACACGGCCAAGATTTCCAGCGTTGCGGGCCCATTAGTTGGTGGCGCATTTACAGACCATCTGACATGGCGCTGGTGCTTTTATGTGAGTCCCATTCACAACCTGTGCTGGGCTGTCCCGCTTACGACCCTATTAGCTCAATCTCCCTTGGTGGCATTGTGAATTGTTCTTTAATCACTATTGATTCATTTACTGATTATTTCAAAGTCTATTCTCACGGCAGTGCTGTTCCAACCAGCCAACCCGCCTCCGGGCATGTCATCGGATAGACGATCTCTATTCGAGAAGATCTTATCGCTAGACTGGGCTGGTGCATCACTATCAATCGTGGCTGTCACTTGTCTTCTACTCGCTCTGCAATGGGCTGGAGTGTCCAGACCAGTATGTATTGTTCACTGCTCGCCGCCGTCTCTCACTCCTTGACCAGTGGAACGATAAAGTAATCATAATCCTTTTCGTTGTATTCGCAGTACTCCTCGTTGCCTTCCTCATATGGGAATACTGCATGAAGGAGAACGCCTTGATGCCTCTCTCGCTCTTGACAAACCGGTCAGAGCTCGGTGCTTGCGCTACAGTCTTCATGATCCGCATTTCATTCCTCGCAGCCAACTTTTATCTGCCCTTTTTCTATCAAGCAAAAGGTCGCTCAGCAAGTCAAAGCGGTATTGACATTATTCCCTTTATGCTAGGCCTTGTCCTCATGAGCATTGTTGGAAGCATATTTGTTCGGCGCACGGGCCATTACTATGCCCTACTCATCCTAGGTCCACTGATTGCCTGCATCGGTGCTGGGCTACTGTTCACCATCAACGAATCGACAACGTCTGCCTCGCTCATTGGATATCAGATTCTATTTGGAGCAGGTACAGGTTTAGCGTTTCAGCTCCCGAGTATGTTTCTCTCCTCGGCTTCATAAGACCCAAGCTTACATGGTATTTCCAGTGTTGGCCGTCCAAGCGGAATACGCAGACAGCCCAAAGATGGTACCACGTGCGACGTCGCTAATCATGTTCTTCCAAATGCTCGGAGGTTCCATCAGCATCTCAATTTCTGGTGCCGTCTTCAACAACCAATTGTCCAAGCAATTGCTCAAGTACGCACCCACTCTTCCCCCGGAGCTTGTCGAGGGTGTCAAACAGTCCGTTCTTGTCATTTTCCGACTCGATCCGGCCATTCGCACCGCAGTCGTGCATGCGTACATCAAGTCACTCGACTATGTGTTCGTGGTCGCCATTCCGGCATGCATCTTGTGCGCATTATTTTCATCTACTATCCGCAATTGGAACGTGAAGAAGAGAGGCCAGGAGAGTCGAGCCGGCCCAAAAGCTGAGCCATAGACGGCGGATCGGGAATACTCAATGATTATAAATTCAAATATATCACGACTTCACCTTATCTCGATATGGTAGATTATTAGCAATACAGAACATCTCCCATTCTCGCTGCATGCGGCAGATTGTTCTAGGAATCATTTATTCTCTCAGAGTTCGCACTCACTCAGAATCCGTCTCATGAAGATTTCTCTAGTGATGAACTCGACCTCGATATATTTAACATCTTGATGAATTAGCAATATATCAATTGATTACATCTCTCTACAAAGGAATTTTGAAAGAATATCAACACCAATCATGCAGATCGTGAGGTCGAAGTCAAGGTGCCCTACAAGGAACAGAATCATCATAATTCTTGAGAAAGGAGAGCAAAAGAATGCTCATCATGCACCTTGAACATAAGTGCGCCTGGCCCTACACCGGGATGCCACCCACAGTTACGATGGTCGGGATTGACCGATAGCGGATATCTCTCTTTGCCCTCCTTGTTGCACCAATCAAGGTCAATTAATAGTACTCCACTGTCATCTGTGGGCTTGATGATATTATTTGAGCGCAAATTGCCAAAGACATAGTCGTGCTTGTGTAGGGGTTGCTTAGCTTGTTTTACGCGATTCATATCCTCAACGGAGAGCGTTCTGGCAGTCTCTCTGATGCTTGTTTGGAGAAGATCGGGAGGAAGGCGCGGTATTGTGCCGGGATCATGTCTTCGAGCGACTTAGGTTGTTCCTCTGCCGCCTGTTCCGCTAGCCGTTGAGAGATGATGGATTTGGTTGCCGCCAGGCGAATTCCGTGATGCCGTTCTGTCTCTTTTTGGATGAAGTCGGTATACCATTGGTCTGCTTCGTCGTCGTCTTCGGCTTCTGTCAGTCTTTGTGCCTTGATCTGGCGTCTCCAGTGTGATGGATGTTTAGGCGTCTGATCCGAAGGGATGTGGCGGTGGCATCAGGTCGGGCATCGAATGAGCCGTAAGTCCCCTTTAGTCCAGTCAATCTCCGGGTTGTGTTCTCGTAGCCATTCAATACCAATGATGATGATGCCGTCTTGACCAATGTCCGTGACCGCAAAGATCTGGGGGTGTATATGGTTGCCCATTACCAGTTCCAGCCCCACAAAGTCGGTGAGGTTCCCAGCCTTGTTTGGGCTCCCGTCTATGTTTGAAAGGGAATTGGCTAAAGGAACTTTTCCGTCTGGAGGCTTAGATCTTTTACGACTCGTTTGCTAATAAACACTGTGGATGCACCGCAATCCACCATTGACTGGTACTTGGCTAACTTGGCCTTGCCCTTTCAACTGGATGGATATATAGAAATGAGTTTCACCAGTATAAGAGAGTACATTGCCTAGCAATGTCGGAGACCTATCTGCAACTAGGCGGGGCGCAGTCTTACCCGTCAGCCGCTTTAAAAATCCGTTTGTTTAGCGTAAGCTGCCATGCGTTCCTCGAACTTCTTGGACATCTCTGCCTCGAGTTCCTTCCGTATGCTTTCCTCGGCATCTTTCCTCAGGACTTGGCGGTGTTCCAATTCCTCCGGGTCGACATTAGAGGCCTTGACTTGTACGGTACGAGGCTTGCGAGGTTGGGTGCAGTCGCGAGAGAGATGTCCAACAATGTCACAGTTGTAGCATTTGCGAGTGTCTTGCCGAGCGGCACCAATATTCATGGCATAGGGGTCGCGAGGAGGACGAGGGGTGGGGGGAGTAGGGGCGTGTGTGGCCGTATGGCTGGAGGTCGTTGGCGATATATGCTGTACTGTGGACCGAGATATGGTGGCGTGAGACTGTTTGGGCTTAGGTGGGTGGGTAAGTCGGAGTGCAGCCATAGAGTCGTCGTGTCGCTTGCAGAAGTTGATGAGGCTCTGGAGCGTAGGGAATGGGGGTCCAGAGGCAGTGTATCGAGCCTCTTCTAGGGCGACAATCTTTGCGCTGGAGTAGTTGAGTCCGCGACGGTACTGGTAGATACGTTCCGATTCTGGCAGTTCGTCTAGGAATGCTACGAGCTCTTCGAATTTAGCCGAGTATTCCGCTACCGACTTGTCACCTTGTTCGAGCTTGTCAAGTTGGACACGAGCGTTTCCGGCTTCGTCATGGATTCCATAGACAGCGGCGAGCTTATCGCAGAAGTCCTTCCAGGATCCAAGGTGCTCGTCACGTTGGAGCTTGTTGACCTTGTGTGGGTGTGTAGTGACCGAGCGAGGGGTGACCGTTCCTGCAGATGCCTGTGCCATGGCAGCCATAGCCGTATTAAGTTGTGCCTGTAGCATGACCAGCTGTTGTTCTAGTTGCATGATCCGATTAGCGGCTGTCTGGTCTGGCTGCTGGTGTGCGTCCATAAAGTGTTGGTATGCGAGGGGGTACGTGACGTTCGGTGTCATCCAGTGCGGCGTTAGTGTAGGTTGTTGTTGATTGTACCAATGATAATACGTATTGGGCGAGATCAGGTGTGGGTACTGAGCGTGAGGAAGTGGCGGCTGAGCCATTGGCGGGAACGAGGTGACTGTGGGGGCTGTCGAAGCGTGGGGTGTGGGATCGAGGAGGCTGCCTCCAGGTACGGCTTGGTGTGCACTCTGGAGACTCTGTTGGCCGTATTGCATGTTTGGAGTGGGCGAGTCGTTGGGCTGAAGTCCTAGCCCGTAGGACGTGACGATCTGGTGTAGGTTGTTACCTACACGCCCGGATGGCTAAAGAACGTTGCGGTGGTGTCTTGCGGGAATCTCGACGAACGACGATCTGCGGACTGTATACTCTATGTGTCGCGCCGGGCACAGAATTGCATCACCAGACTCGAGATTCGCGTCCTCAGGACACGCGTTTGGTCTAACTCCTCAGCTCGCTGTGCTTCTTATAGAGCGGCGGCGCTGCAGTATTAGGGAGAGCACGCATATCGTCGAGACTGTCGGTCTTGCGAGGGAAAGTGTACGTACGTATGTGCTAAGGGATTTGAAAGCTGAGAGGTGACGTCTGAGTAGCTTTGACCTAGTGTCATGAGTGGTATACGCGTGAGCCTAAGCCTCGAGTATCGGAGGCCGGAGCGATTACGTCAGTTCTCAACCTTCAGAAGGCAGACAAGTATATTTAGTTAGTGACTGTACATAGTCGCATGAAAATAGGAGCGTACCTTCAGAGGGCAGGCAAGAGGTCAAATCTGTCTGCTTCTTACTGAAGGCGATCGGAAAGGTTTAAATTATCGGAGTCATGTGGAAAGCGTGTAGGAGATGGAAGGTGTAGGGCAAGGGCATTAGTGGCGTGAGTCGGTGCCTCGCGGTTGGTGGCTGTCGAGCACTCAGGTGGCCGTGCCAGATCTGCAAGATCTGCCTTTCGGGCATGCCTGTTATGTTATGCCGTTCCTGACAAGGCGTTTATCCGCAATTGGAACATGAAGAAGATAGACCAGGAGAATCGAGCCGGCCCAAAAGCTGAGCCATAGACAGCGGATAGGGAATACTCAATATGAGAGTCGGGATCACAACACTTTCCCGTAAACTCTGTCTAATTTCACCCACTTGACCCATAAATTCGTCTCTGGTTCAGTTTCACTTCGTTCGGCAGGAGGCCGCTGGGTCAACGCAACCTACTACCAACGGATGGAGGATGATGTAGCGGCTAGTTCCGCGTCCCAGCACGCATTGAAGCAAGGTCAGTGGACACTATCTGGTTAAATATTACACTTAGAAAGTATGCTGAAAGTCTCATGATTCAGGGACAGCCATCGCCTACCTCAGACAAGGCTAATTTCTCACGTAAGTTCATCTCACAATTACTCAAAGCGTCTCAAGCGATCAGATAAGCTCGATGTTCTGCCTAGGCTGACGTACCTTGATGTGATCATCAAGGTACAGGAATTATACGACTCATCTTGATGTATATATTATCTGAATATAGTATCATAATGGTATATAAAGCTGAACTGGTACTCATTCCCACAGTGCAATGATTATGCATTCAAATATATCACGATTTCACCTTAGCTCGATATGGTAGATTATCAGCAATACAGAACATTTTCCATCCTCGCTGCATGCGGGAGGTTGTTCTAGGAATCATTTATTCTCTCAGAGTTTGCACTCACTCAGAATCCGTCTCAATGAAGATTCCTCTAGTGGTGAGCTTGATCTTGATATTATTAACGTTTTGTTGAATTAGTAGTCTATTGTTTGATTACATCTCTCTACAATGGAGCTTTGAAAGAATGTCAATGCCAATCACGCAGATCGTGAGGTCGAAGTCAAGATGCCCTACAAGGAACAGAATCATCACAACTCTTGAGAAAGGAGAGAAAAAAATGCTCATTATACACCTTGAAGATAAGTGCGCCTGGCCTTATGCCGGGATGCCACCTACAGTTACGACGGTCAGGATTGATTAATAGTGGATATCTCCCTTTACCCTCCTCGTTGCACCAATCAAAGTCGATTAATAGTACTCCACTGCCATCTGTGGGTTTGATGATATTATTTGAGCGCAAATTGCCAAAGACATAGTCATGCTTGTGTAGGAGTTGTTTAGTTTGCTGTATGCGATTCAGATCCTCAACGAAGAATGGTTGACCTGTCATGTTTGTGCCTTCAAGTTTTTGTGCGTATCCCCCACCGGCCAATACCCTGTGGGCTTCTTGATTGTACTGGTGCGTGAACTTGACAAACACAGCCCCATTGGCAACCCTCCAATGGTGCACTCTGCTTGGAATATCGCAGTCGTGGGTTGGGAGCCTGAGAAGTCAACCTTTTGAACGTACGTTAGCTGTACATCATTGGACTGCTCGTTTTTGAACGAAGAGATATATGAGAACGGCTATCGTATGTACTTCGGATGTGCTTCAATCTCATAATGTTTCTCGAGGGTCTTCAGACAATTTTTCAAAAGATCGAAAAGTCGGGCAATTCGCGCAATCTGCCGGTTGAGCATGAGATCGGAGACGCTTCCGACCCAGATGAACTCCGTAGGTGGTTGAACAACCCAGTCCTCGCCGAGGAGAGGGGTCGCAACACACCATGCCCATCTCGTTCTTCAACTCGCATTGCAGCAGCAGAGCCTCGTTATATCCCACAGTCGTCATGCATACCTAATCGCTGCTAGTTTCATCTACTCGCCGTCGTGTCTCCAACCCAGGCTGGTCCAACAGCCTCTTCAGGGAAAGCGCCAGTGCGTGCTTCTTTAGGCCCTCGGAGCAATGAATTCGAAAGTCCTTGATGCCTTTTCCCCTTGCTTTTATTCTGTGAGGGATACGTAGCGCTAAAAGGGATGCTTGAGAAGTTGGAGGACGCCATTTGTTCAACTTGGCGACACTATTAGCAGCTCCGAAATGCAGCAAGATTATCTTCAACTGTGTTCATACGGCCAAACACTTCTAGTACTACCGGTACAAGTAGGCTAATACGACGTTTGATAACGATACTATCCCCTCTGCCCTCTAACAAAATTCCTCACCACATCTCTTCCACCTAAGTTTCATGGTCTGCATCTCATCCTTTCCTGTCAATACTTTCACCATTTCTCACCGAGCACAGGGTTGCTAGAGCGGCATCGACGTGATTCTCTTTATGGCTGAGCTCTTCCCCGTGGGCATTGCTGGAAACCTGTTTGTTCGACGTACAGGCCATTGAGATGCCCCACTACTTATTGGTCCGCTGATCGGTTACGGGATGACCGTTCACCATCAACCGATCAAGTCTACCTCCCTGGATATATTTAAAGCAGGATCGGGTCAGCGTTTCAACTCCGAGCAAGTATCTCATCAGCTTGATACGATCCAAGCCTACGTGGTATTTCTAATGCTAGCTGTCCAGGCGGAATACGCAGAGAGGCTAAAGAGGGAGTCCTGATCCTGTTCTCCCAAATGCTCGGAGATTCCGTCAGCATTTCTATTTGTGGAGCCGTCTTCAGCAACCCATTTTCAAAGCTACACGCGCACTCTTCGCTCGGATCTTGTCGAGGTCCTAGTCAACTCGACCCGGCCGTTCGCGTGGCTCGAGTCACTTGGCGTTGGCCATTCCGGCGAATATGCTTTTTGCCCATTATTCTGGATTGGAACAAGCAGAAGAGAGTCGAGCCGCACAAAAGCTGAGCGATAGAGAGCAATCAAATGGGCAGAAGCATGATCTCAATCTTTTTCCGCAGCTGATCAGACTTTGGAAAACTTGCTCATGGAGCTCTAGTATGGTGCCGGACGAGTACGCAAGAGGGCAAGAGGGCTTGAATGAATTTAATCGTGGCGTCCGAGCAAAGCGGATGAGTCGAGCCAGAGCCGTTGCTGACGTGAGCGTGCCGCGATCTGGAAAAACCTTGGCCAAGACTAAAGATGAGCAAGTTTTGCCCGTCAAATAAAAGGCACCTTGCTCCCGAACCACTTTTGCTCATTTCGCGGCGCTTGTCCGTTCTCTTCTCCCCTCTCCCTTTCCTCTACTCCAGTCCACCTTTTCTAGTCGATTTAATATCTATAAAATAATATCCATACATCTCGACTCATGGCGGAAATCGACCCGAAACACGAACCCACGGCCAATGCCGGCCTCCCAAAAGTCGACACGCTTGACACCAACGGCGAGGGCATCACGCGTGTCAATACAGCGGACCAAAAATCCAAGGAGAATGCAGATGTAGTAGAGGCACCCGCCGAGGAGATGGAAAAGGCAGCAAGGCCGGCTATCGGTCCCATTGTCGACGAGAGCATGCTCCTCACTGGCAAGAAACTCGCCCTCGCACACCTTGGTTTCCTTTTGGCCATCTTTTGTGTCGCTCTAGATCAGACCATCGTCGCTACTGCCTTGCCAAAGCTCGCCTCGCAGTTCAACGCCCTCGACGAACTCACTTGGGTCGTTTCTGCCTACTTCCGTATGTATCCACAGCTCACTATAGATCGCCTCTCTCTGACTAGTGTTTCATTATAGTGACCCAGGCCGGACTGAGTACGTCTCGTGAGAGAAATACCAGGCGTGTATCTGACCCTATTCTCAGTGTTGGCCTTTGGACAAGTCTTGACCATTGCCCCTGCCAAATGGGTGTATCTCACCTGTATCGTCCTCTTTGAGATTGGCTCCCTCATCTGCGCGCGCACCTAGCATGAACGTTCTCATCTTTGGGCGTGCATTCCAGGGCGTCGGTGCATCGGGCATGTTCATCTCTATCCTTACCATTCTCTCTCAAATCACCAAGTTGGAGCAGCGACGTGCGTTCCTCTCTTCTTGATTGACGCGCTCCATGTCCTAACCATGTCCTCAGCGCTCCTCTTTGGCAGCTTTGGTGGTGTCTTCGCGCTTGCGTCGGTGGCAGGCCCGCTCATGGGCGGCGCTTTGACCGACCACGCTACGTGGAGGTGGTGTTTCTACATTAATCTTCCTTTCGGCGCCGTCGTACGTTGTCATTATTGGTTCCCCAGTTCAAAGCTAATATGCACCTAGTCCGTTGCCGCAGCCTTCCTCTTCCAGCCCAGTAACCCTCCACCACCGAACCCTCTCTACGAGGGCAAGACGACCGCCCAAAAGTGGTTATCGCTCGATTGGGTCGGTGCATTCATCTCGGTTGGAATGATCATTTGCTTGCTCCTCCCTCTCCAGTGGGGAGGCGTTACGCGCCCAGTATGTCACCCTCTCCTCCTTTCCTTGCGCTTATTGACCAATTGGTTAGTGGAACGACAAAGTCGTCATCATCCTCTTCGTCGTCTTCGCTGTTCTCCTCGGAGCCTTCTTGACTTGGGAGTTCTTCCAAGGAGAACGTGCCATGCTCCCTCTTGGCTTTTTCAAGAACCGGACTCAAGTCGGCGGAGGCATCGCCATCATGTTGATGATGATTCCATTCCTGTCGGCGACGTACTACCTGCCATTCTTTTACCAAGCCAAGGGCCGCACGGCCTCGCAGTCTGGTATCGACATCATCCCCTTTATGCTCAGCGCCATTCTGGCTAGCTTTGTCAGCGGTGGCATCGTCAACGGGACAGGTCACTACCTTACCTATGCTCCTCGTCGGCCCGCTCGTCTCGTCTGTTGGCGCCGGACTCTTATTCACCATCACCGAGTACATGAGCAGCAAACAGCTCATTGGCTATCAGATTCTATTTGGTGTCGGTCTCGGTGTCGCATTCCAAATCCCTCGTAAGTCTACCTCGATCCGCTATGACTGATCACGTTCTTACATTCACGGCAGTGATGGCTATTCAGGCTGAATACGCCGACAAGCCCGAGTTGATTCCACAAGCTTCGTCTCTCCTCAGCTTCCTCCAGCTCATCGGTGGTGTGATCGGAATCGCCATTTCGGGAACAATCTTCAACAACAAACTCAACACCGAACTGGCCACCTACGCCTCTGGCCTCCCACCGGAGACGCTTGAATTGGTCAAGCAGTCTGTCACCGTCATCTTTATGCTCCCCAAGGAGATGCAAGGTATGGTCGTACATGCGTACGTCAAGGCGCTCGACTATGTCTTCATCCTCGATATCCCTGCGTGCATACTCGCTACCGTTGCTGGCGCGTTTGTCCGTAATTGGAATCTCAAGGCGCGTGGAGGTGGTATGGCTGCCGGCGCGGTTTAAACTTTTTCTCTCGTCTCTTGTGGTTTTTGTCGTGCATAGATTCGTTGGGCATGTGTGCAGGCAATTATATATCCATACTACGGATTCTCCAGTGGTATAGTTAACGAATGATTTTGAATAGACTACTTGACGAGCTCAATTCTTCTAAGGTGGTTGTGAAGAGGGCACTTGGTTAGATGAATGTAAAGTCGTGTATAGAGATATCCTTGAACGCCGTCTCGTATCTTTAAGACTAGAGAGCTCTACACCAATCTGATATCTATTGGATATCTATAGTTTCCCTATCCTCATATCGCCTCAACGGCCTCCAGTTTTGAGATGCCCCAAATCCTGAACGAGTGTGCAAGATGAAAGTGCATTACAGGTGGATACTGGTGTATCAAAGATGACACCCACCAAACCAATTGTGCTCCGCCCTGCAAAGTCTACCTATTGTGGCCATGCGTCGGTTTGGCTGGCGTCTACGCGTCACCAGGAGCATTTACTGAATTAAAATGTTTAAACAAATACAATAATTTGGTAGGGGGAAAGCTGGACAAAACCAGTAACGAGCTTGGTCGGGTTACCACCTTAACAAACTGTACACTACAAAGGGAAAAAGAGTCGGATATGACATGCTGTGTGGCAGAGACAAGGTGAGAGCCCAGCCGGCTCGGGCCACATTTGTATTCTTTCATCACTATCCCCGATTCAGAACCATCGCGTCCCCAGAGTGCTTCTCACTCACAATCACGAGATAATGATGTGAATACTGATGAAACTGACGGATACAATGATGTTAGCGAGTCTGCTCTGGTATAAAGTTCCCTCAGACTGGTTGTGACATTGCCAGAGTAGTTCAAACAGTCCTTTAAACATGAATCGCATGTATCAGCAATCATCTGAGAGTTATGAAGTAGGAGATCGCGTCGAATGTGCGCTTTTCTTCCCTTCCTTGTGTCTCATCGATCGACACTCGTGCAGAGTATACCTCCATATACAGAACTAAACACCATTCTAAGTGTTTCTAGCTATGGCATTGGAGGAGCGACTGGGGAAAATGAACTGTCTACCACGGTCGGCGAGATCTGCGGTAGTGCGTCGACACGCCATTAAACATGATTACAAAACTGATAGTCTCACTAGTCTTGACAGAAAGAGATCCAACAGGAGAAGTCAAGATCAATGTTCACCCCTCTGACGAAATTTCCCGCTACGTGATTAAGAATTCTAATAGTGGCAAGGTCAGCACCCATGAAAACCAAGCCTCTCAGATGTAAATTACATATGGCACCCAGGAAGCGGCATACAAGGTCGATAATATTATCCGCAAGGTCTACTAGCGTTCCAGTCAATGTTAAGAGCCACTCCTTGTATAGTATAACAAATTCATGTTTGTATGATGTGAAGCCTAGATATACAATCGCGACAGCAAATGGGATACAAAGGTCGTACAGGACATATCGGAAAGTGGCGGCGGTATTTGGAAGCGCGTGCTTATGTATATCCACAGATATATGGCATGCGTAATTTGGAGCGACATCAAACATACCACGAGTGGTGGACTCTTGTTCACCAGTACCGAAACCATAGGTGGTGGCCGTCTCATTGGCTACCAGATTCTCTTTGGCCTCTCGGTATGGCTGTCCAAATTCCTCGTAAGTTACTTGGTCCTACTGTAGTCTCGATGTGTTTCTGCCATTCCTGTCAGTCATGGCTATACAAGCGGAAAACACCGATAATCCTAAGCTGATTCCTCAAGCGTCGTCCCTCGTCAGCTTCCCCCGGCTCATCTGAGGTGTGTTGTGAATCGCCATTTCAGGATCAATCTTCAACAACAAGCTCAACACCGAACTGGTCACCTACGCCTCTGGTCTCCCACCGGAGACGCTTGAATTGGTCAAGCAGTCTGTCACCGTCATCTTTATACTCCCCAAGGAGATGCAAGGTATGGCCGTGCATGCGTACGTCAAGGCTTTCGACTATGTCTTTCTCCTCGATATCCTTGTATGTATACTCGCTACCGTTGCTGGCGCGTTTGTCCGTAATTGGGATCTCAAGACGCGTGGAGATGGTATGGCTGCCGGGGCGGCCTAGTTGCTTCTTGCCTTGCATCGTTATCGCGCATGGATTTGTTTAGTATGTGCACGGCTTCTTATCATAGTATATTGAGCGAATGAACTCGAATAGACTTCTCCATGAGCCCAACTCCTCAATGAGAATGCTTTGCAGCAAAATTCAGTACTCAGGGGGCAAACCCGCTCATCAGATACCTAAAAGTAAAGTAGATGGAGGTGCCAGCTTGAACAAGCCTCACCGCCATCGTCGTCGTTAACTGAAGGATTCACAAGACCGCAACATATATCGGCAGACATATTATATCAACCAAATTAGCTAGTTCGGCGATTAATCTCCCCTCCTAATGCCTCCGCGAAGGACTCCAAGCCTTGACCAAGTGTAAGGTAAGAACCATCTCTAGTGATACGCATTGCTTGGTAAAGACATAAGTCATTCGCGACATCACGGCTCGAAACGGGAAAAGCCGACCTCCAATAACGGATCAATTTAACATCTTCCTGATACAAATGACTGATTGAGGCAATTCTTCCTTGTCGCGTCGCCCAGAGCTACAGGGAGTGAACCTCTGCCGTTAGGTGACCAAAGTTCCCTGCATAAGTAACAGGTCCCCATTGACGAGCCCTATGGATGGCCACTGACATTGCCATTTATCAATTTATCCTTTCATTACAGTTCGACCAGTTCTGCGCGCTGTCGGCAGTGATGACCAAATCGAAAATCGACAATTAGAGACAATTCAAGTGAGTTTGGTAAATTTTGCTTGAATTTGTCGAGATCGACGAGACCCTGATGCTCCATCCACAGAAGATGTTAGCCAAATTTGTATTCGTCGACACGACATCATCCATGATTCAACGTCGTCCCGTCCCCGCAATATCTCTCATCGGCTTCGCAAGAGGATGATGTGAATATTGACGAAACTGACGCGGACAATGATGCTTGCGAGATTGCTTCATGGTATAAATACCCCTCCGACTAGTGGTGACATTGCCAGAACGTTTCGTCTCATTCGAAAATTCTTTGAAACATGTCTCGCAAGGCTCAACAATCTGAAAGCTACGAAGTTGGAGACCGCGTTGAATGTGCGTTTTTCTTCGCTCATCAATCCTTTCGGCTGACATTTGTACAGAGTATGCATGCGCGTAGGAACATGAATGTTGATTTGACCTCTTATAGTTATGCAATTGGAGGAGCGACCGGCGGAAATGAACAGTCTACTACGGTCGGCGAGATTTGCGATAGTGCGTTGCCATACAACGTGCCATGATCACAAGACTGAATCATCCACCAGTTTTGACGGAGAGAGCTCCTGCAGGAGATACTGGCGTCAATGTTCGCGCTTCTGACGAGAATCCGCGCTATGTGATCAAGAATTCGAACACTGGCAAGGTCCGTGTTTATTCTATTAGGATATCTACACGCTAACCATGGTACATAGGAAACGGCATACAAGGCCGATAATATCATTCGCAAGGTCAATTAGTGATCTGTTCAATCTAGTGTAGTAGAATAAAGAAACTGCTTATGTGACGCGCAAAAGTGAGGCTCGATGCTCCAAGAGACAGAGGTAGAAGTGCTCGTTGCACACTGTAAAATCTCTATGACGAATGTAAACTTTCGTCACACACGGAATCAGCGGAGTCCGGGCATGCGTATATCAACCGATTACCTCTAGAATCCGTTCAGAACAGTTAATCGGTAATATCCAAACCTTGAGTAAGTTCACTCGCGTTGATGTCCCATTTCTCGATCCCTAGCGTGAAAAATCGAGAATGAGATGGGTCAACGCCGCACTCTATATATCGTAATCAGCTCGGATTCGTAGGCCCCTCTGAGAAATCCTGTGGTCAGAGAGAGACTGGAGCTTGAACTATTCGCCCCAACCACATTATCGATCTTACCTGACAACGTGCAAAAGGGGGAACTGTTGATACTAGATTGCATGAGGCGAGAGGCAAGAAATGGTAAGATCCAGCCATCGCGTCACGCATCCTTAAATACATTTAATTATAAGGGAATGAAGGTCATTGACTAAGTCTATTTTGGGAGCGCCAAGAGTCAAGGGAAACTTCGACAGGAACGTCATTCAAATTTTCTGAGAAGTGACTAACTTTTCATTTCCTATCGCCACTTCGGCCTTGGGAACTCGGCATCTCTTAGGTTTCCTGATACTTAGCCCTCTGTATAAGTTTTGCAACTGCTCGATGTGAAGTAAGCTTCCTCGTGATGCCGAAACTGACCGGAGCTCCATCCACCACCGAAGCTCTACACGTTGAGCTCACTCCGCCACCTCGTGTCAGATGAACGTCAGGCCTTCGAAATCGACTGATTTAAGTCCTCGATTAGATTGCTTTGCTTTGTTTCTCTGACGACGCCGAGGACAGTCCCCGGCACGATTTTGATTTTGTGCAAGGAACAATGACCAAGATGACTTCACTCGCAACTTTGGATCGACGATCTGGAGAGAATCTATGACAGACCGTGACGAAGAATGCAGGTTTAGATCTCGAGCAGTACCTATAAAGACCCGTCGACGTCGGCAGACTTTGAAAAGCAGACCTGTCCACACTCGTCCACTTTCACAAATCGTCTACTATCTACCCAAATATTACAATTCTGCAAAATGTCGTCTGAATTCAACACTGGTGATCGTGTGGACTGTTCGTCTCTTTGATTCCATCTCGACCTCTGGCTTACCTATTCGCAGAGTACGGGCACTTCCTCATCTAACTGTGATGGGGTACTGACTCGTTCTAGCTATGCCATCGGCGGTCGTGGTGGTGCCAATGAGAACTCGTCCACCACGGGTGAAATCACCGACGGTACGTTGTGTCAATATCAAACTAACTATCGCTGACGTTTCCACAGTGCTGACTGAGACTGCGCCGGCTGGCTCGACTGGAAATACGGTCAAGGCCTCTGCCGACGACCCGCGCTACGTGATCAAGAACGACAATACAGGCAAGGTGCGCTCGCTTATCCCCTGAGCTAGACCCTCCTGATTTCTTTTCTACTTAGGAAACCGCGTACAAGGGCGACAATATCATTGGCAAGGCGGGCGACAAGGCGTGATTGAATGCGCTCATAATATTAGCTATACATGCGTTTGTCAACATGAAAGCAATGAAATCGGTTCCATTACAAATCTAATGTATGAAAGAAACGACCTATAGCTTATTCTGACAACATCCGGGGTTTACTCAGACTTTGCCAATTGACTGATCTCCATAAGGCCTAAGATTTCTTTCGAGGAATGATTTCGTGGCTGAAATCTGCACTGGAAATCTCGAGGGAGGCTGCAGGGAGTCAGCGTGGGTAGCGCAGGAGGCACGCGAACATACACAAATGCATTCTTGATGTATTCAACGTCCTCTGGACGAGGAACGGTTTGATCTTCTAATGGCAGAATCTTGAAGAGCGAGACGATTGATGCGGCGATGTGGAACCCGACTCTCTCAGCGAGATAGATACCTGGGCAGACCCTATGCAGAAAGAACTCAGTAAAAAAGCTCACCTCTCATGAAATAGCGAACCTCATGCCAAACCCAAACAAAATGGAGGCCGGATGGGGAAGTGGAGGATCATGATCCTCGAGGAATCTTTCAGGACGAAAGTTTTCGGGGTCTTTCCATACACGTGGGTCACTGAGCATAAACCTGGTCTCGTTAGTATATCTCTTAGAAAACGTCTCGGATCAACCTACCCAAAATTCTGGCTAATCATGGTACCTTGGGGGATATAATACCCATTGATTGTATCCTCTTTGTTGCTCACATGTGGAAGACCTAAATCAACGTTAATTTGAGGACGGGTTCAAAGGCGGAGGCGTACCAACTGGTGCGACTGGTCGCCAGCGTAATGCCTCTTTGTAGACGGCTTCGGTGTAGGGGAGCTTTTCCTTGTCCCCGATTTGAAGTGGTTGTACGCCACCTGTAACTTGCTCTATCTCCGCATATACCTTGTCCGCCACATGAGGATGGAGAAACATGGCGTGAATAAAAGAGACCAGAAGGTTGATAGTCTGACTACGGTTAGGTTCCTCTCATTGGAATGTTTGTGCTCACCGTTTCCGAACCAGCTGTTTATCAATTCGATCAGCTACATGGGCAGGTAAGGAGAAAGACAAACCTAGATAGAGGGCCGCAAGCGTGTCTTGCAATTCTTCGGATGGCCCAAACTCGTCCAACAGATCAGCAGCTAGACAATGACCCAGTTTTCCGGATTCCTGTTCAAAGTAAGCTTGGAAGACACAGACGACATCCGTACGTAGAGCTCGAGGACTCGTGCATACGGTTTTGCGCGAACGAGTCTATTCAGGTATGCCGTTCGTATTCCCATTTTCCTGGACGATGGATCAGTCGCACAAACGATAGGTAGGTCGGACTCACTTGAAGTAGGCACCTGGCATCCAACTTGGAATAAACCGCACTTTGGTATGATAAGTAATGATCTAGACCGCGAGGTGTGACTCACAAAAGTTGAAGACGTCGACCATCCAAAATTTGCTGAAAGCAACACTAATGTTGCCCATAATCTCATTATCCCAGTCTACGAGCTCTTTGCCGAAGTCATTCCACATCTCTTCTCCATAGGTGAGTGAAATGACAATACTACCTAGCGTACTAGAAGGACATGAGTAAAGATCCGAGAGCACGACGCACGGAATGTACCTCGCGAGCGTGGGTCCAGGCGCTCCTTTTAGCTTTAACAACGATACCATGAGCTCGGATACACGGTCCTGAATTAAATGATCATGACTCGCAATCCGCTGTGGACCAATCCCTCTCCGAAGCATCTTTCGCATAAACTGATGCTTTGCCCCCGGCTGAATAAAAGCCAGATTCCACTCGGTTTCCATCCTGACGACCATATTGTGAGCATTCGGTGGAAACAGAGGAAGGGTGACGAACAAGTGCAGTGCCATGTAGCCAACTTTGCGGTCCGAATTGATATTCGCGCGCTTGGATAGTAGTTCTTGCGCCAATTCGTACGTATTGACGATGAGCATTGGCATGCCTGCAATGTCGACGTAGACCAGGTCACCTAATTTACCTGCGTCAGAACAAGTTTTCATCCTTGTCATAATTAGCGTACCGTACTTCCTCGCCCATTCACTAAAAGTATCTCCAATTTTCTCCTTGGGAAAGTCGAGAAGGTTGCCCAACAAAAAACGGCGCGGTGGACCAGGCGCATACAAACGGAATTGTGCATCTCGAAACCAGAAATCTCTTTAAGACCAAGACTTTGGTGTCGTTTAGACGAGGCTTCTCACCTGTCGACGCGGTAATCGTCCGTCGAACTCCCCAGAAGAGAGCAGCAAACGACGTCGCAAGTGCGATTGACTGCCATGAGACTCGAGGAAGCGAGTCTGAAAGCTGGTTCATTGCGTATGTGGTTAGAAAGACACCCGAGGCGGTAGGGCCCAAGAGGATCTTTGTTCAGGCACGGCGCGCCCAATGCACCTTGCGAGATGATCAGACGCAAGTATCCGCTCAACTGTGGGTTTCATCAAGAATTATGATTGCTATTCCTCGATAAAAGGTGTTAATTCGAAGTACCAACTGTTGCGACGTGAGTGCGTAAAACGGGCGGGATTATAGTAGTCATTAGAACGTCTCCTCCTCTTCTGCTGCGGGGTCAGGAACCTCGAACCCTTCCTGTACAACAGTTTTAGTGGATGTTGTTGTGAGAGGATAAGCTTACCTCTGTTGTGTAGAGAATCTTTTGAATCTCCCTCAACGTCTCATCATCTTTCCCCTCTGCCTCTAGAGTTTCGAGTTGCTGTTGGCTAAGAATCTCAATATCTCGCAGCTAATCAACGCTCAGCATATGATGAATCAAGCTGTTGGTTTATAGTCTCACCTTGGCGAAATAGAAATCTCGCTCCTTTTCCAAGCCAGTTATATGTTCCTTTAACTCGGCAAGTTGGTGTTGGAGAGACGTGATTTCGGCAGACGAAGGCGTGACACGCGCCCCTCCCACCGGCGTCTTTCCTCGAGGAGCAGCACTGCCTCCTGCACCGGTGCGTAACCCGCTGTTGGGACGGCCTGCGGCGGCACCGACGGGGGCAATCGTCGCTGGAGGCTCGCCAGCCTGTCCCTTGCGGCGTGCGACGGCATCGTATCCCTGGCCAGCATAGTTCTGGTCCCAGTATCGTTTGACCCATTGAAGAAACTCGAGGTTATCTTGCATCTTGCATTTGACGAGCCTGTCTACGGGGATAGGCTATAGCCTAGTCAGATTCTTTGGTGTTCGACGGAACCCGGGGGATGAGCAAATCGGCATTGTCAAGGGAAGAGGGGGGTTGAAATATTGATGATACAATGCTAGGATAGCTGGCAGAGCAAAGGACGGCTTACCTTGTCAATCTTCTTTCTCTCGAAGAAGGTCTGCAAGACTTTAAAGTTTGCAAGACTCTCGTATTCTCGCTTTGCGTCAAACTTGACTCTAGTGACCGGGAGATCGCCTGTGACACGAAACGGCGGGGGGCGATGATCAGCGGAGGTGTAACAGATTGCAGAGGTCGTCGTACCATAGATAGAATCAAAGATCTGGCAATAGGCTGCGCCTGTTCCGCATTGTTCTATCTTTGTATAGTTGATTTGCAGCAGATCATTGAGCCACTGCAGCAGTTCTGTTCTAGACTCGCCCATCGATGCTGTATGTGGCTGTCTGAATGCGTGACTTGTATGCTAAACTTGTTCAAGTCGTGGAATCCAGTGGATCGGGGGAAATGGGTGCGGGTGCACTAACGAGAGCGGGCGGAGAGGCGTGGCGAGATCCAAGGTTTACAGAATATTTGCAGCCCTGCCCTCTGCCCTCGACCTTGTTGGCCGTTGCGGACAAGAAAATGCTCGACACGCAACAGAGCATTGCGGGTACGTGAAAAGGATCGAAATTGGATGCTATCAGAGGCTGAACACGCTCAAAGTCCCCATTTCCTCCCTGCAAAGCGCCACTTTGCAATGGAAGACGTGGGAAGTCGACCAAACAAGAAGAGAAGGATAAACGACGCGTCTACCTCTAATCATGCAGACATTTCGGCCACCCACGGCTTGCAAAGTGGCAAACTTATGGCGCTACAAAGGTCGAGAGAGCTTTTGCCAATATGGCCTGGTGAGTTACCAACAAATTCGTATAAGCAAATGCTTATCCCCTTCGTTGCATAGGCAAGGACGCCATTGTAGACGCAGTGAAACACTCAGACTCGGTTGTCATTATTGGAGAACCAGGAAGTGGAAAAACTACGCGTATGTACAGAAAAACTAGTATATGAACTCTTCAGCTGATTCTTTCAATGGCAGAGGTCCCCCAGTACCTTCTCGACGCTGGTCTCATCTCCCCCGAAGGATTGATAGCCGTCACCCAACCGAGAAAAGTCGCCGCAACGACCATCGCAGCTCGGGTTGCACAAGAGAGAAATGCAAAACTGGGCTCCGAAGTGGGATACGCAATCCGTTTCGACGACCAGTCCTCGCCAGAGACACGAATCAAGTTTTACACAGATGGCATGCTCCTCAGGGAGATGCTCAATGATTCCCAATTAAAGAGGTGTGATGTTGTCATCGTGGACGAGGCGCACGAGCGAACGCTTCGCACAGACGTGCTCCTCGCCAATTTAAAGCGAATTCAAAAGGCGCGCAGCGCAGAACCCAACGATAAAAAGGAGGGGAAACGAAAGGAGCGATGGGAGAGACGTCCCCTCAAGATTATCGTCATGAGCGCCTCTCTTCAAGCCGAACGATTTAGTCGATACTTGAACAAGTACGGATCTACACCTCGAATCTTCCAATATTTATACGTTTGCAGTGCCCCTGTTCTCTATGTAAAGGGTCGACAACATCCCGTTAGGCTATTCTATTCCAAAACCTCGCAAGAAGACTACCTAGATTCGGCATTGCGGACGTTCTTTCAAATCCATTACGAAAAGGAACCAGGGGACGTCTTGATCTTCCTTCCTGGTAAGCAAGCTCTCGGGGACTCAATGATTCCATCGCTAATAATGGCATAGGTCAAGAAGACATTGAGAATCTCGCGTCGACGATCAAATTGTATGCCGCTCAACGGCCCATGGACAGCCTCGACGTAGGACAGCTTTACGACGGCAGCAACGTCTGCTGATTCTTTCCAGGTCGCCGTCCGACCGCTCTACGCCGCTCTGCCAGTGGCCAAGCAGCATGAAGCGTTTTACAAAGCACCCCAAAACACGCGCAAATGTGTCTTGGCCACGAATATAGCGGAGACTTCGGTCACGATACCAAATATTCGCTTCGTGATTGATTGTGGTCTCTGCAACGAAAAGCGCTACCTCGCACCTGAAAAGGGCCCTGGTACATGGTTTGTCTGCTCGTTGATCCCGAGCTGACATTTGATAGGTATTGAACGGCTCTCCCCGACCGAGATAAGTCAATCATCTGCCATACAAGTGAGTAGTTTGTCGATTCTTTCACTTCGCTCATTCCTTCCAGAGAGCAGGTAGAGCTGGTCGAGACGGACCAGGCAAATGCTTTCGATTATACACGGAACAGACGTACAAACAACTCTTACCCGCACAAATCCCAGAGATCAAGCGCTGCGATCTCAACTTTGCTATCCTCCAACAAAAGTCGTTTGGTTACGATATCGAGGAGATGGATCTCATGGATAAGCCAGAGCTAAATGCCGGTAGGCTCATCGCTTCTTGGTAATTCTTCGCTCAGCCAGCGACAGTCAAAGCGTCAAAGACGATCCTCAAAATCCTTGGTGCCGTCAATCAACAATTCGAAATCACCTCGGTGGGCAAACTGATGGCCAAGCTCCCTCTCGAACCACACTTGGCCCGTGCATTATTACAATCGAAGGAAAACGGCTGCACAAAGGAGGTGATCAGCATCGTATCCATTCTCTCCGCGTCGTCCAAGGTGTTTTACGATCTCCCGAATAACGAAGACCGAGAAGCGGCGTTCCAAGCGCGTTCCAAGTTTCATCACCCATCCGGCGACCACCTCACACTCCTCAACGTCTTTCGCGCCTACGACGAAATATCCGAGGGAGTCAAATCCTCTTCGTCTTCCAATGGGCAGAATGGTATTGGGCGCGGTGAGAGAAAGGAGTGGTGTCGACGGCAGTTTTTGAATGAGCGTGCGCTTGCAGAGGCCACCCGGATTCGGGATCAGCTCGAGCGGGCGTGTCAGCAGGCTTCTATTGATCCCAAGCAAAGCTGTGGAGATGCACATGAGCCCGTCCTCAAGTCGCTCTTTCGTGGCTTGGTTCATCATACTGCCTTGAAGCAGCTGGATGGTTCGTACAAAGCTGGTGAATTGGTGCGCTTCTTCTGCTTACTTCTGCTTACTTGGATGTTCAACTAACATTGTACTTTACAGCCTATCAAGATTCATCCATCGTCTGTACTCTGTGATAAAAAGCCCACTGGGCTCATGTATGAAGAACTCGTGAGACACTCGACTGTAAAATCTCTTAGACTGACGCTTGATAGGTTCTTACTAGTTTCCACTACGCACGGTGTGTATCCGCGTTTCCTCCAGCCTGGCAGATGGAGTGGTCAGACTCGTTGCGCAAGTCATTGTAATTTCCTGGTAACCATCGTTCAAATCTTGTGCGTAATTATGCCATAAATGAACGTTGATTGGAAGCATGTCCTACAAATAACAAGTATACAGATTTGCCTAGCACGAACGCTCTCCCGTTCCATCCGTCTTCGCTTGCGCTCCATATCCTCTTGCATGAGCGCTTCTGCAACACTCAACGGTCTCTTGACACCCGCAGTGGAAGGCACGCTGGACCCCTTGAGAGGATTCGAGCTTCCTGCCTTGAACACGTTTGTCGGCGCGGGTTTCGCGGCGGCTTTGAAGACGTTTGACTTGAAGACATTGGTGGGAGCGGCAGGTTTCGGAGGTTGAGCGGCGGGAGTTGGGGCTAATGGAGCGTCGACGGCAGGTGTCTGAGTGGATGTAGACGGTGAAGACGAGCTAGCCTCTTCTTTCGGAGGAGAAAGAGCCTGGGCTGAAGTTTCGGGCGAGTTGGCGGCTGGCTTCTTCAAGTTGAGCGATAGCTTGACCTTTTCGCCCTCCTCGCGTTTGAGCTCGGCTGGTGGTGTCGTACCGGAGGAGTCTTCGTCGTCTACTTTGAACTGACTCTGATGTGCTGCTGATCGCTCTATCTGCTCCTCGATCATCTGCCGCTCGCGCTGTTCGTCGGACTTGTTCAAACGCTCCTTCTTCATGTTGGCCTCCTGAAATACCGTGAGCCATATTTTATGACTTTAATGCAGATACGTACCGCTTTCGCGAGAGCTTTGGGAGAATTGTCGATCCACGAGATGAACAATCCTTTCTCAGTGTCCTCAGCTTTGACGATCCCTGCTTGGGCCAAATGGCCAATGAAACCGGTCAATGTCACCCAACGAGTGGCGTTCATGTGTAGGTGATTCTTGTCGCGGATATATTCTTGGTAGATGTTATTCGCCTTGACGCGCTCCGTACCGCAACTGGAGTCAATGCATTAGCGCCCTATCAACTTGGCAAGAGTAAAGAAGAAATAGACATACGTTCTCGAAAGCAATGCGACAAACTCGCTTTGGAACTGCATCGAATAGTCGTGGATGTGCTTTCCGGCGTTCTCTCCAACCACGAGCATCTGGCGCAAGTGTCCCTCGGATTGCGTATGACATTTGAAGCCATTCTCGTCTCTACATTGCTTTTGACAAACTTGACAGTACCAACGAAGTCGCTGGAGGCCCTTGGACTTCATGGCGTTGGCCAGATACTTTGGAGTCCCGACTTCAGCGCGTTTTCCCTGTGATACGAGACGACGATTATTAGCGAAATACTTTGGGTATTTTTGTACAATAAACGCGTACCATGATTGGAGACTAAGGTGGTGGAAGAGGCTAAGGTATATTTGCTGACAAAGCAAAGCTCGTCGGGACAGCTAAACAAGTGGATTCCATATGATGAAATATAGTGCATTTCCTTCTGCACTAATGATGTTTGGTGGGGACACGCACTTTGCGTTTACATTAGTTGACGCCGCCGCTATCCTCCAGCTTCCGAATGGTAGCTTTTGCCGCGTCCTCAGTCCACAGTCCCTGTCGCGTCAGGCTATCCTTCAAACGATCTGGCGCTGAGCTGAGGATCATAACCCGGAGAAACCGATATTTTAGTTCTGTGACATAGTTGGCTCTGGCAAGTCCATAGGAGCAACGTCCGTAGTGGAAGAATGACAGAGTTGATTTCCATTTCAAACCAACGAAGCATCGACCACCGACAAGCTCTGCTCCACCCTCGCGAGGAATGCTGCTCACTTCATCCCCGACCTTGCACCGCACGTTGCTCTGGCTATGAAGCAGAGGCCGTCTACCATGCGAGGCTCCCTAGAGAGTAGTTCCAGACACCTTTCAGGGATCTTGTTCATCATCGGCACGGGCGCGACGAAATTTAGAAGGCGCGAATGAGAAATACAAGACAGGACTAATGGTGGATACTCGTGGCCAGTCGTAGGGGATTGATTATCAAGAAACCTTTGCACCATTCATGAAGGTCGTATCTATTCACCTACATCTACCCAACTCGGCCTCGGCGTTGATCGCATTGACGTCGATAGGTCAGGGACTTGCACCTCGAGATTAACTATATAATAGCTATGGGCTTCTCCCATTCTTCGGCGTTTTTATTGTCCAACAGAAGATTTCCAATCACAGTTCATTTCCTTGGCAATGAGCTCGTCTTGGCTCTTCATCTCCATTCATTTGTCATCTCTTATGCTACTCCTCGTCTCCCCCACTCATCCGCGTAGACACCGTTTATTGCGCTTCTACTCCTCTCTTCCTTTGGGCTAGTTCTGTTTACAAATTGTGAAGTTGTTGAGTGCATAGAATCTAGGAATGCCTTTATCGGCCAAGTAATTTGCATTTAAAGGATGCCTTTCCCCAAACGAGCTTGAAACCGACAAGAGCAGGTTAAGCTGCTCCGTTCTTGGGACTGATTGAACTTACAGGTCCTTGGACTCACCAGAGCGAGAACGGTTCGTACACATCCTGGCTCCCAAGAAACTATTATCCGCTCCTAAAGCCTTAATTTTGTGTAACAGTACACAGGAAATAGAATCTATTGCGTATACCAATAATGTTTCTGTCGAGTCGCTAGTCCGCACTCCGAATTCTTGTCCAAGAGGACCCACAGCAGAAATTAGTAAAGTCTATTCTGGTGGCACGAAGAGAAGAGTTGGTCGGTATTGTCAGACGAGACCGTGGGTACCGTAGACCATGTCGATTATCAGGGGGCACCCAAAAGAGGAATTTACCAGAGGATTGCACCCAGCCATCTTGCAAAAGAAAGCAGTCTTTGAATCCTGGTACTGTGATTTGCAACGGAGTGCCTGGCGATGTCGTACGGCCATTTGGGCTGTCAAGGTGCAAGTCTACCGGCTCACTACCTTGATTACCAAGATGATCCACTGCTTTAGCAGAAAACGATTGTCAGTTCCTAACATCAAAAAACCAAAAGTGAGCTTTGGAAATACTCACCAGGCCATAAATCCCACAATTGAGCCCCATTATTATCCGAGTCAGTGAGGATTTGTCTGTCACCTGTAGAGGATCCAAGGGCATTGGCCGAGTGTTCATGACCTCGAAGTGACTCCTCTAACGGCTGACCAGTGGCTGCATCCCACAGTCGAACGGTCTCGTCCTCCGAGCCAGAGACAATTTGCGAGCCGTCTGGTGAGAATCCGACGGCGCTGACTGAGTCTTCATGACCTCGAAGTGGCTCTCCTAACGGCTGACCAGTGGCTGCATCCCACAGTCGAATGGTCCTATCCATGAGCCAGAGACAATTTGCGAGCCGTCTGGTGAGAATCCGACGGCGCTGACTGAGTCTTCATGACCTCGAAGTGGCTCTCCTAACGGCTGACCAGTGGCTGCATCCCACAGTCGAATGGTCCTATCCGATGAGCCAGAGACAATTTGCGAGCCGTCTGGTGAGAATCCGACGGCCCAGACTGAGTCTTCATGACCTCGAAGTGGCTCTCCTAACGGCTGACCAGTGGCTGCATCCCACAGTCGAATGGTCCTATCCGATGAGCCAGAGACAATTTGCGAGCCGTCTGGTGAGAATCCGACGGCGCTGACTGAGTGTTCATGACCTCGAAGTGGCTCTCCTAACGGCTGACCAGTGGCTGCATCCCACAGTCGAATGGTCCTATCCCATGAGCCAGAGACAATTTGCGAGCCGTCTGGTGAGAATCCGACGGCGCTGACTGAGTGTTCATGACCTCGAAGTGGCTCTCCTAACGGCTGACCAGTGGCTGCATCCCACAGTCGAATGGTCCTATCCGATGAGCCAGAGACAATTTGCGAGCCGTCTGGTGAGAATCCGACGGCGCTGACTGAGTCTTCATGACCTCGAAGTGGCTCTCCTAACGGCTGACCAGTGGCTGCATCCCACAGTCGAATGGTCCTATCCGATGAGCCAGAGACAATTTGCGAGCCGTCTGGTGAGAATCCGACGGCCCTGACTGAGTGTTCATGACCTCGAAGTGGCTCTCCTAACGGCTGACCAGTGGCTGCATCCCACAGTCGAATGGTCCTATCCGATGAGCCAGAGACAATTTGCGAGCCGTCTGGTGAGAATCCGACGGCGGTGACTTCGTGTTCATGACCTCGAAGTGGCTCTCCTAACGGCTGACCAGTGGCTGCATCCCACAGTCGAATGGTCCTATCCTATGAGCCAGAGACAATTTGCGAGCCGTCTGGTGAGAATCCGACGGCCCTGACTTTGTGTTCATGACCTCGAAGTGGCTCTCCTAACGGCTGACCAGTGGCTGCATCCCACAGTCGAATGGTCCTATCCGATGAGCCAGAGACAATTTGCGAGCCGTCTGGTGAGAATCCGACGGCGGTGACTGAGTGTTCATGACCTCGAAGTGGCTCTCCTAACGGCTGACCAGTGGCTGCATCCCACAGTCGAATGGTCCTATCCGATGAGCCAGAGACAATTTGCGAGCCGTCTGGTGAGAATCCGACGGCGGTGACTTCGTGTTCATGACCTCGAAGTGGCTCTCCTAACGGCTGACCAGTGGCTGCATCCCACAGTCGAATGGTCCTGTCATCCGAGCCAGAGACAATTTGCGAGCCGTCTGGTGAGAATCCGACGGCCCTGACTTTGTGTTCATGACCTCGAAGTGGCTCTCCTAACGGCTGACCAGTGGCTGCATCCCACAGTCGAATGGTCCTATCCGATGAGCCAGAGACAATTTGCGAGCCGTCTGGTGAGAATCCGACGGCGCTGACTGAGTGTTCATGACCTCGAAGTGGCTCTCCTAACGGCTGACCAGTGGCTGCATCCCACAGTCGAATGGTCCTATCCCATGAGCCAGAGACAATTTGCGAGCCGTCTGGTGAGAATCCGACGGCGGTGACTTCGTGTTCATGACCTCGAAGTGGCTCTCCTAACGGCTGACCAGTGGCTGCATCCCACAGTCGAATGGTCCTGTCATCCGAGCCAGAGACAATTTGCGAGCCGTCTGGTGAGAATCCGACAGCGCTGACCCAACCGTCGTGACCTCGAAGAGCGTCTGGTAATCCATAGTATATATCCTCAACACCCTGGGTCACACCAATAGTATCCTTATACTTCTGCAGACCCTCCACGTGTAGATTTGACTTCTTAGGCGCGAATGGTAATGCTGAGAGGTAGATGTGTGGTATACTGTCCTGAATAGCCACCAGGAATGTCATCATAAATCGCTGGATCTCATGAATCCGGCCTTTTGTATCCTCTTCAAGCTGTCCTATATGTGAATAGGCAGAAGCAACAAATCAGAGACTACTCGCCTCTGTACGCCAGGCTACAGACCGAAGCCCACCTATCGCTCTTCCAACCCCTCCGATGACGCTCAGAATCTCCATCCAGTATAGCGGATATGGAGTCGTCACTATGTATCGAAGTTCGTTTTTCAATCTTCGTCGCCAACCGCCATCCGTTTCGGACACATGGAACAACCAATGAAGGCTCCCATATCGAAGTTTTCTGGGGATGAGCTTCGACACCCTTGCCTCTAGGTCTGGAAGCTGTCTATTTAGGTAGAAGGATGACTTGATGTCACATATATTGAACTTGAGACCTTCCTTGGGTGATTTGAGATTTCGAAGACACCACGAAGCGGCTTGACCGTGTGCATGGGTAATATCAAGATACATTTTGCTCCGATTATCAACAGCGGGGGTGGTGCAGCGACATCGAAGGTACTCGATGAAAGTGGGATGACGAAACTGGATCAAATTTGTAGTCGGATCTTCAGTAAGTACACTTCCCAGATTCTTCACCAATGCCCTGGCTCTTCCGCAGATTCCAGCCGATTTGAGGAGGTCGTCGAAATCATTGATCTTTAGGGGTTCGAATGCTGCGAGTAGCAATGCGAGCATACTACACATGGTCGAATACGAGTTCGGGTCTGTACGCTCAAACACCAGGTCGTAAACCTCGTCCATTTCCCTATTCTGATCCACAGCCATCAGTCGATTATATATGCTCTCGGGGGTATCGAAAGTGGCAGAATCGACGAGCATTCGGCATGCGGTGCTTGCCCAGATAAACAACCCCTTGGCCTTTTCGACCAGTCGTTGTCGCTTGTCATGCGATAGGACTTCACGAAGCGACTGATGTACGTAGGTTGAGATGTCGTCAATATTGTCATGATGACCGACATCGTGGAGGCGGTCCTTTAGCTCTGCTTTGATCGAAAGCGGCTTCAAGATGTCTTCGATAACCGGATCAGGCCGACTGGTGATGAATATCTTCAGATTCCTGGCTTCCCCAACAACCCTGGACAAGGTATCGAGCAGCTCTCTCCTCTGTGATCCCAACTTGCACTCGTCGATGGCATCCAAGACTAGGACTATGCGTTCTTGTCGGTGACGAAGTGGTTCGATGACGAGAGCTCGGAATTGCTCGTGGAGTGGGCGTCGCAGAATGGCGGGATTTTGCTTTACGACTGCTGCCACATGCGGCGCAAGCTCGGGGATGTAGTTGGCGAGCTCTCTTGCTATGGTGGAACAGAACTTCTCCGTAGTGGATGCCTCGCTGCTGGCCATGGAGAAGAAGAATTGGCCTCCTAGGATGCCCTGCGCTCGCCATGATTCCGCAACAGACATTGCGACGGTGGATTTGCCAGAGCCGGCTATGTCACACAACCAAAAGATGGGCTTGTCCGACATGTCGTCCTCCGCCCAATTCCAGATTGTCTGAAGAACAGCCTGGCGTGTTCCTTGTAGACAGGTATTGTGAACAGAAGATGCAACAAATGCTACCATTGGTAGCTGGAGTATAGCAGACGCATCAACTTGAAGCATTTAGCAAGGCTCATATGTAACATTGTGACTCACGGTCTGTGAGGATCGTGTTAAGCTTGGCCTTGGTAGTACCAGTGTTTCGTTCGATAACCTGAACACGGAATGCGGTAAAGCTACCTAGTGCCTCCTGATTTCCTTTGTAAGGTCGAGAAAATGGTCGATAAGGGGCTTACCATGAGTAGCCTATGCAGATCTTCGATATCGCGATTGAATTTACGGATTGCTCCTGCGTCAATCTTGACTTTTCGAATCTCTGTCAACGTGCCAAATCCGCTACGACTTCGTTTATGCCTGTGATTCTCGACTAATCTGCAGAAATCCTCGAGAGTCCTGCGTTTCTTAGCGCACGGAGATGTAGATTGGTCCATGTACGTACTCGACATAATGGACGAGCGGCCGACTGAATGCCTCGTCTACTTTCCTGTCTTCTGGAGGATACTTCTCGAATGAATCGATCTGGTTCTCCATAGATGACATATATTGATCCAGCCGCCGGGTTATTTCATCCCATTCTTCTTGGTTATCGTCGATTGCCTGCCGCCGCGTGTTCAGATGGAAGTGATGCTGGTATCGTCTACTCACTTGGATAACATTGAGAACCGAATTAGTCGCTCTACATGCTGCTTTGAGGGGAGACAGTATATCTGACCCCTCGGCTATATTCCCCAGAAAGTCGAGACCGACACTGGCTGCGTTGTACACTTGACCCCTCTTGCGTGATGGGGGTGCTGTAGAAGATGAAGAACCTGGTGGATTCATAGTCGCGTTTCTTGGGCAGTTGACTTGCGAAAGGGAGGTGGACGGGTCCAAGATGAGTTTGGCGCTTGCCAGTCTCGATCCCAACCATCGAAGTTGAGCGGCGGGCTTCACTAGATGACCTTGGCAATCATGCAATGATTTAGTACTCTATTGAACAGTACAAAACGCTTATAACCAGTAAGCAGCACAGACCCGACCAGTCTGTGTCCGTTTGGTGCTGTTTTCAAAGATGCAGATCATGAGTAAAACATCCCGAAAATCCTTACACTCTCAACTATAATCCTCTGGGGTTAAAGATCTGGCTCATATCTCCTCTAAAGCACTATAATATGATCAGATTGGTTCAAAGCAACTGCCTTGCTTACCTCCAGCTGCCCAAGTAGAACGGATAGCTCGTCTTGTGCCGGAGTCGGCGTGACCAGTAAATGAGCGCATCGTTCTCGTATCTGCGAGGTCAGTCTTCTCAGAGCCACCAAGTCATCAAGCACTTTCCTCCATACTTCCAGATTATGTTTCCGCATATTTCCATATTCTAATGAATATCGAGACTCTTCGAGATTTAAAAGGGCTTCATCTTTCGCCAGAAGCTCGGTAAGCATAGGGATCAGGACATGCTCGATCCGTTCCACCCATACGACGATGGTTAGACACTTCAACTGGGTAAAGTGAGAGAGAGTCGGCGCGTATGTTGGGTACCACAACGTATACGCCTCGAGACTTGGATAGTCCCATCGGGGGAGGTTGACGACGCAGTTGCTAAAGCCGTTGAGAAACTCACGGAGAGATGACGCGAAGAGGTAGCCTTGTAATGCTAATATACTCTCCCGTTCGTTATGGCCGGTCACGAGCAGCTGGAGTTTCTCAAGCTTGGGCATGTATACAGACCCATGCGGTGGATCGAGTAGTTTCCCGGCGGTAGTGATATGAGAATCTGGAGAGTGTCACGGCATTCGCACAGGATACGGGGCCAGGCCAATTGAGATTCGTAAGTCATCACGTTAATGTGGAGTGTTTGGATGGGTGGAGGGTTCGACCATTTGTGCCAACAGTGAAGAGAATGTAGGTGGAGTTCCTTGAGATTTGGTGCTACACGCTTGGAAGGCCCATTCGTGCAGTGACCATTCAATTCGAGCTCGAATATTGTCAGATGCTCGAGGAGTGGAAGATAGATGTAACGTTTAGCCGCGGGAAAATGGAACAAGCCGGATTCGCACCGACTTAGCCGTCAGACCACTAGACTATAGTGTCCCTCTTTTCCCTCTAAAGCGTCACAGTACCTATGATCCCCGTTACTCAGGTATTCCTAACCTGGTCGGCCGGGCTCTGTGTAAGGTGAGCCAATCCTTACAATAGACAACCTGGGACATGAAGCATACAAACTGTCCTACTAGGTGGAGAGATACAAGACGAGGGCATGTCTCGGCCGATTTCTGACTCGTATAAGCCATAGATTGGCATCTCGAGGGGTCATGCGCGAGTCGTCGGGGATGTCGAAATGAATCCATGCGTCTGGGGTCAATAGAGCCGCACAACGCCACGCCTGGCATACAGCACACGCTATTGTCGGTGCTTTCCAGTCAAGCAAAGTATGATAGAGGATAATGTACCCCAAGACCTCCAAGGGTAATCGGTCAATCGCCCTGGTGGAGTCATTCGCACTAGGTCCTGTGTGATGTCGTCGAGAACGTTTAGAGTTGGTGGAAGGATATAATTCCATGGTGGATGAGAATGGTTTGCCTTGGTCAACGTCGGATTATTGTGAGGTTCACAGGGAGAACTCACCAGTACGAGGGCTATGCGAGGCCAAGTGAGTAATACTTAGCTGGGGCGAGCGTGTTCACCAGTCTAAGCCCGTTTATTGACGGAGGGTATCCACGTGGGAGGGTACAGGAAAGTCTCTGCTAGTTAATACATGTACATAGAGTCTTATATAGCAAGGGTAAACATTGGAACGAGGAAAGAGCGATGGGAAGCTAAGCATGTGCTAAGGCCGTCGCTATGAGGGTATATGCAATAGAGGCTATGAAGAGAAGGGTGAGGAATGTGATGTGGAAGGGGTAACGAGTGTCACGGGTGCGGTTATGACGTGTGTGACGAGGAGAAATCCTCGAAACCTTACAATTATGTAGGCACGCCCAAGTGGCCGAACTGTCTTTTGAACCGTGCCATGGCTGACGAGTCGTCAATGCCGACGTAAAATGATCCGACGGCGCTATTCCAGACATTGCTGGGCTGATCCTCAATATCTTCGTGTGGATTCCGTGTTGTCAGTGGTAGACACGCCAGCCCTCGGCTGCAACAGTCGGTCAACGTGACTGGAGCATCGTATTTCCCTCCAGTCACCCAAACAGATTACTTTATGATAGCCAACCGCCACCAGAGTATTGGTACACGAAAGCGCCATCTTCTTACTCTGCCACAGTCCAATTATACACACTCTCCGGACAATTGGACCACATGCTAGTGCGCTACCGTCGGAGGATGGAGAACACCCCGTACTGTGATTTCTGCGAGTCTCAGGTACAAGATGAGCACCCCATTTCGTCGTATGTCCCCACTTCCAGGATTTAAGGGCTGAGGCGGGTCTAAAGCTGTCTATCTCTGTCTCAAAGATTTTGCACGCGGCGGAACTCGAAGATACGCCCGAGCTGGGTTCATCGCTGAAGTCTTGGTTCTACTCTGACACGTTTTGGCCACTACAGATGAACGCTTACTACCTAGGCCGCTCGCCACCTCTCAAAGGAATCTTACCGCCAGCGTGGGACAAAATAACTGGGAAGAAAATAGCTGAGATCATTCATTCTAAGTCTATTCTACTCGCGGGCCAGATTTGGGGGGTGGTTATGAGGGAGAGGACGAAGAGATGGAGCGAGGGGGTCTGACGGTGAGGAAAAGTGGGTGAGGTATCCGGTTCGTTCTTATGTTGTCTGTCCTTTCTGCAACCCCTCGTAGCATTTCGCTCCTAGATCCGACGGGTCGCAAGACCTCGACTCTGTAGTCTAGTCGGATTTCCAATCTACACATCTAAACCAAACACCAGCAAAGGGCCCAAAAGTCGTTTCGGTGCTCGGAGCCATTCGATGATCAGAGGAAAAGTGCCTTTTTTTTAAAAAAAAAAAATCCTAATGAACCTAGGATATCGACACGCGCTTGAATTATGTCTATATCTCTATCGCGCCCTGGCGCTCCGCGGTCGGAGTCGGTTGGGCGTAAGCTGCAAAAGGGGGCGACCAGAGTCCTCCTCATCTGCACACTTCTAACCTCGTCCATATCATGCAAGCGGTCCAGACACTGTTGTCAAACGCGAGTCCAGTTCAGCTCGGAGCTGCTGCAACCGCACTCATCTGCGTTGTACTCGTCTACGCATGGTCGACAAAGATACATCCGTCTTCGTGTTGTTATCCAAAAGGGCCACCAAGACTCCCTCTTCTCGGTAACTCTCACAACTTTCCGACCGAAAACTGGGGAGTTATCTTCAACGAGTGGCACAAGCTCTATGGTGAATGAGACTAGCAGAACCATCGAACAAACGTAACGGGTGTTATAGGTGATATAGTCTATGTTCAGCTTCCCGGAATGCCCTTCTATATCATCAATTCACTGGAAATTGCGCAAGAGCTCTTTAACAAACGCGCAAAGCTCAATTCAGAGAGAAGGATAGGGTATATGATCATGAATCTGTACGTATGTCCTTTCACCTACATTCCTTTCTCACTCAACTTGCAGCATGGGTTGGAGCTGGTTACCTGCGTTTATGAGTCCCGATGCACTACACGGCAGAATCAGAACCCTGTTTAGACGTGGCATAGGGCCAACAAAGATGCCGTCAAAGGATCCCCTCATCGAGAGAAAGGCTCAGGATTTTGTGCTCGACCTACAAGGCGTAAGAGGAAATCCGAAGAGCACGGTATTAAAGTAGGTCCACTCGGTTCTAACCCTCTCTCAATTTAACATTGATGATAGCACCGTCGGAATGATCATTATCGAATTGGCGTATGGCCGAGGCATCGTGAAGGAGCATGGAGACGAGATGATTGCACTCAACTTAGAGGCAATGAATCTGTTGGAAAAGGCCATTTTGACCGTGTGGACCGTTGATCTAATCCCGCTACGTGAGTGAGGCCTTTGCGACTGGGTCGACTCAAGCCAGTTACAGTGCGCTTCTGGCCAAGCTGGATGCCTGGAGGAGAATTCAAGTACACCGCCCACCCTGCTTTAGTCTTAAACTGATATATATTTAGACGATCTGGTGCATACTGCAAGCAACTTGTAGATCGAATCCGGCAATGGCCATTCCAAATGGCTATCGAGCGCCATGTGAGCCGCGTTCAAAATAGCGATTCCATTGAACCTATACTTGTTTAGAAAGCTGGGACGCTTGATCACTGTTTCGCGGATGACTTGATGAACGAATTTGGCACCTCCTTCGAAGTTCGAGACACGCTAGCCAATATCTACTTTGGTATGTGCTCTCTCACCTACTTGGAAATCTCTGACTCGTCTCTAGCCGGTGTCGATACAGTACGAGAAATCAGTACAAGTTGCTTCATGCTCACACATCTCGTGCAGACATCCACTCTAATCATCCGGTTCTTGCACACCATGTTCATTTACCCAGAGGTCACAAAGAAGATGCAATCTGAGATTGACTCTGTAGTTGGTCGTGACCGATCGCCGACAGTAAAGGACCGAAATGACCTTCCATACTCCAATGCCGTCTGGAAGGAAGCTATTCGGTACAAGTGTTCCATGCCTCTGGGCATTCCTCATTCAAGTAACGAAGATCAGCTAATCAACGGGTACTTTATCCCAAAAGGCTCAATCATCAACCCAAATTTCGGTACGCTGAATCCTTCTAAGCAAGATAAATCCACATATCATCACAGGATCGATGCTCAGCGACCCAAATATATGGGGTGACCCTGACGTCTTCCGACCCGAACGTTTCCTCTCATCCGACGCAAGCGCATTGCCTGATCCAACCACACTTATCTTTGGGTTCGGACCAAGGTAAGACATTAGGAAGGGAATGACTAATGTATTAACCTGTTCCAGGATCTGTCCAGGAATGTACTTTGCTGACCGTACAGGATTCCATCTCGTGATCGCGGCAATGGCATTATTCGACATCAATCCGCTACCTGGAGAGTCGGTGCCTCATCCCACAAAAGTTCAGTACCTCAAGAGAGGCATGCGGTACGTTGAGCGGTCCAATAGTGATCAATATTTGACTGCTTTTAGACTTCCCGTCAAGTTTGATTGCGTATTCACGCCGAGGGATGATAAAGCCAGACAGGTCTTATCTTCTCTTGCGTTGAGTCGTTGAGCCTCATGTGGTTCCGGCCTCCAACGACCCTGACATTGGGATAGACAGTGGTTTCAGGGTATTTGCATTGAAGCTGACCTCGAGATTTCATTTGAATCGAATGGAGTCGCGTGCTATGTCGAAGGAATCCTGCTCGTCAATGGAGTGCGAATTGTGGGCTCGTCAGGATCAGGTGTAGTATGATATTCACTATTCATAAGGTCAAAAAATGGGATAAAGGTGTGCCTGACAGCCTAGAACACATATTCAGCGGTAGAGCCCGAATTAAGAGGACAAGAATCTGGCGAATAATAAGATTGAATTAGGGAAACCAGTGAGAAGGGATAAACGGATAGAGGAACCAAGGAAACCGACACCTAGCTAAGGCCTCTTAAACACGACTTCTCGTGAGATCGTTAACGCCGCTGCTATCCTCCAGCTTCCGATGGTAGCTTTTGCCCCGTCCTCAGTCCACAGTCCCTGTCGCGTCAGGCTATCCTTCAAACGATCTGGCGCTGAGCTGATGATCATAACCCGGAGAAACCGATATTTTAGTTCTGTGACATAGTTGGCTCTGGCAAGTCCATAGGAGCAACGTCCGCAGTGGAAGAATGACAGAGTTGATTTCCATTTCAAACCAACGAAGCATCGACCACCGACAAGCTCTGCTCCACCCTCGCGAGGAATGCTGTCCACTTCATCCCCGACCTTGCACTGCACATTGCTCTGGCTATGAAGGAGAGGCCATCTACCACGCAAGGCTCACTAGAGAGTAGCTCCAGACACCTTTCAGGGATCTTGTTCATCATCGGCACGGGCACGACGAACTTTGGAAGGCGCGATGGAGAAATACAAAGCAGGACTAGTGGTGGATACTCGTGGCCAGTCCTAGGGGATTGATTATCCAGAAACCTTTGCACCGGTCATGAAGGTCGCATTGGTTCACCGACATCTGCCCAACTCGGCTTTAACGTTGATCGTATTGATGCTAGTAGGTCAGGGACTCGCATCTCTAGATTAACTATACAATGGCTATGGTTACAGATCTTACTATGCACTTCTATTAGCAATGGCTTTTCACTTTGGCAACGAGACGTGAATTTGGTCCTATTGGGGTGGCCGAGCCACTAATGGTTTGACCAGCTTGTTCCTGCCTTTCTGCCTCCTCCCTCCAGCGCTTTCCTCTCCAGATGACGAGGAGAATCATAAGCTCCATGACGATGACAAGCCCAGCCCATATTGAGTACAATCCTCCGTCTCCGATTGCGTCCTGAATGGGCGCAGCAATCTCTGCGGCGATGAGCCCAGAGATACCACGAGCGGAGCTATTTGAGGCAACAGCAGCAGTGGAACGGCCGGCGTTGGCGTCAACAACATATGCTAGTGTGCTACTGTAGATGAATCTGTCTTTCGTTAGAAATAGTGAGAATGTAAGTGACAAGGACATACAGGACAGCAAATCCAGCGAAGAATAAAGACACCACTGGACCTGCAATATGCGTGTGCTTCTGGCATGTCCAAGCAAAGGCAAGAATGGTCGGAGGAAGGATGATCATCACTGGTTTGGTGCTGTTAAGGCGCATCTATTCTGTGTCAGTAAATGTTAAAAATGTCCACGCGTAGATCGTACCTCTGGCCATCCTTGGCCGTTGTTCTTTTCCTTGAGTTTAGCAAAGGTATGGTCTGACCATCTTCCTCCCAGGACGCTTCCGCACATATTACCTAGCGGCTATGAGTATAGAGAGAGTAGATAGTTCAAAGCTTACCAAAACCAAATGATAGGAGAATGAGGCCAATCTTGAGTGGATCGTAGTGGTACGGAGCAGCTGCAAAGGTCCGTGCAGCAGTAAAGCAAATGCTGTATTGAAAAGCAAATAGAAGAGCTACGTGAATTAGCATAGCCGTAATAAGTAACTAGGAGCCTTACCGGATGGAAGAAGGATGGCGAGATTATTCTTCCTTCTGAGGATATTCCAGATGGGTTTGAAAGGGTTCAGATCTACAAGTGTCACCCGGATAGTGGATGGATCGACACGTATCTGGGTCGCCTTTTCCATCGCATCGACAGAGCCACTCTGTGCAAGTTTGGCCTCTGCACGACGGATCGCATGGCGCTTTGCTGACTGGTATGTTAGGCTTCGTTCTTGTCGAAAGGTGTCCCTGAACATGAACATAGAGATAAGGACAACGACGCCGATAATTGTGAGGAAGTAGAACGTGGCTCGCCAACTCCATGCTTGGGAGAGTGCACCTCCAACGACTGGCCCTAGAGATGGACCTAACAATGGTGCAGCATAGTATATTCCAAGCATGCTACCACGTTCATGTGGTGCGTATATATCCTACACACTATTAGGGACGAACAAGGCCCAGGACAGGTACTTACTGCTAGAGTCCCAGCACCCAAGCTCAAGACGGCACTCGAGCCTGCAGCTTGTAGCATGCGCATACAGATGAGCACAGGCATCTGCTTCGAAGCACCTCCAACCGCAGAGCCAACAATGAAAATCTTGGGAGCAATTCAGTAAAGATTAATTCATTGCCGGGAGTAGCTCACAATCATAGCAATAATGTAGACGAATCTTCTTCCTTTGATTTCGCTAATGGAGGACCATGCTAGCGGAGCATTGCCCTGGACGAGAATGAAGAGCGAGAGACTGAGGGCAATCTCGCTTGTTGTAGCATGTAGATCACGCTCGACCAGTTGGATTGCGGCTGTAGGGTATAAGCGGAATCACAACGAGTAGGCGAAAGGCTCACGTTGGTAGATGAATGCGCCAGTCGTTGGAGCTAGCGCGGCAAAGGAGATAATGGCCAAGATGACGAGCTGTAGAATGGTGAGCAAAGCAATAGCGACCCGAGTTGATTTACCTTTCTATGCCGTGACCATTGGCGAGGGTCATCTTCCACTGGTGTGCTCTCAATATTGACCGGTTGACCCGTAGCAGGCGCGACAGGGCCTGCGTTTACGCCCGGTGGCTGTTCTGCAGTTGGTACCGCTACCGTAGTAGTGTCGGAATCATTGGGTTTCTTGAGACCGGATTTGGAAGGCGCGCTAATGTCGTCATGCAAATCGGAATTATCAAACGTATGCGTAGTCACTGTAGGTGAATTTGGACTAGATGTGTTGTGAAGATGCGAGTGGTCTGAAAGAGTCGTCATTAGGGCAAAGGGGCTATGAAGCCAAGGCTCCAGTGAACTCGTTTATTTATGCACGGCGTACCTTTGAACCGCTCCGAATTTGCTGAATTGTCTTACGCAAGCAGAACGTTCCACAAGACGTTTAGAGCGCATCTCCGGTTTTCGGGCCCTCCAGTTCCGTGCCGCCTACAATGCCGAGTCGTAGTCGGCCGACCTCTTCGTCCAATGGGTAGGTCTTGAGTTGGCATGCTGAGTGGTTGAGTCAGCAAGAGTGTGACACGAGGAACAGAGTGCAATAGGAAACAAGCATGCGAACCCAGCTGCATGGTATTCCCGTTCCTTTACTCTTCCACATGGACCAAATGTTGTTCGCTGGAAGATTCGACTGGAGACAATATCTCATGCACCTGCAAAGTGGTCAGATGGAGGTCGAGCGACATACAATTGACTGACAGAGCTCTTTTGTCATTGTATCTTCCGAGTCAGTTCCACAAGTAATCTAATTGTGAATGGGCGACCATCTTCATCGAGCTGCTCTCACAAAGGACGCTGACCAAGATGTTCTATTACGCTCTCTACTATTTGACATGGGATGAATTGCTGAGTAACCCGAGTTTCGATGCGAGGACAATGTTCCAAGACTGTACACGGCGGTTCCATCTCCGAATGTTTTCCTGTGAATTTTGGAAATATTTTGTGTCTGGCCGAGCGGAACGGCAGAGAACACGTCTCGCACCCACTTGGCACTCGACCACGACAGAGCGCGTCAGCTGGATTTGCGTAGAATATAGCCAGAATACCACAGAACGGCCATGGCCTCGCTGTTCAGACGGAATAGACGCAACGATACGGACCCATCGCAGGATGAGGATGCGCAGGGCAAGAAGAAGGGCGACTGGAAGCGACCAGCGAGTACGTCTGCACTATTACATGTAGCAAGTACTTTATTTGCTCACTCAAACGCATCTTTGCGTCTGTAGATACAGCGTTCAAGCAGCAACGTCTCAAGGCCTGGCAGCCCATTCTAACTCCCAAAACTGTCCTCCCGACATTATTTATCATTGGTGTAATCTTTGCTCCGATAGGAGGACTGCTGATATGGGGCTCATCTCAAGTAACTATCCCCGCGCTGCGTTTCCCAAGCGAACAGGAGCTGACAACTGGACCCCTTCTAGATTACCCAAATCACACTCGACTACACGGACTGCATCAACGCTGGTGCAAACTTTAGTAGCACCACCGCGTCGTTCAAAGACATGCCCTCGTCTGCCGTCTCCTACCAGCTCAAGAACCCTAAGCAAACGTACGCAAATCCGCAGTGGTCCTTCCAATCCTCTCCAAACGACTCGGACCCAACAAAGAAGATGCAGTGTCGACTGCGCTTCGAACTGCCGGATGACCTCGCACAGCCAGTCTTTGTCTACTACAAGCTCACCAACTTTTTCCAAAACCACCGGAGATATGTCCAAAGTCTCGACGTTGATCAGCTCAAAGGCAAAGCTCCCGACGCCAATGCACTCAATAGTGGAAACTGCCGACCTCTTGGACGCGATTCGAGTGGGAAAGCAATCTATCCGTGCGGACTCATCGCCAATTCCATGTTCAACGGTTCGTCTGGAATCTAAATGGATGTCATGTTGTGTTCTAACCCATCCTTGGCAGATACGCTAAATGATCCCGTCCGCGTCGAAGGTAGCTCGAATACGACGTACAAGTTTTCGCATACGGGTATTGCTTGGCCTGGCGAGAAGCGAAAGTATGCTGCAAATAGTGGTTACCAGCTCAGTCAGATTGTCCCTCCACCTAACTGGCACGAGCGTTGGCCACAGGGCTACACCGAACAAAACCCGCCTCCGAACCTCAACACGGACGAGCATTTCCAAAACTGGATGCGTACCGCCGGTCTGCCTACATTCTCCAAACTCTACGGTCGCAATGACAACGAGCCAATGCTCAAAGGAACATATGAGATGGACGTCTACATGAGTACGAGAAATTTTGACTTTAGAGACCGTGAGAGGCTGATGCATTTTATCAGATTTCCCAGTGTCACAGTTTGGAGGCACAAAGTCTGTCGTCATTTCCACCGTCTCCTGGATCGGCGGCAAGAACCCGTTCCTCGGATACGCCTACATCGCCGCTGCGGGTCTGTTTATTCTCCTCGCGGTAATCGGGTTGGTATGGCACTGCCTCAAACCTCGCAAGCTCGGAGACATGAACCTGCTCTCATGGAATCAACCTCCTGGGCGATGAAATGGGGGGCGGAAGTAGAATGTAAAGGGGAGAGCATTTGATGTTTATACCTAACGATTGACTGGTACGAGATGCTCGGCTAGCGGTGTATAATCTCCATAGGCTTATTTTTTGCGGCTCATCTTTTCGCGCCTGTATTCACGAGTGATTGCTAATAACGACGGCTCGCGATCCTCGAGGTGCCTGAGTTGAGGGAACAGCGTTGAGATCACTCACCAGGAATAGAATATGATTAGATCTGGTGCCTGTTTACTTATGTTCTTGACTCCTGCAACCTGGATTATCGACGAGGGTATGTCCAGGTCGAGAGTCCAGTAGGCAGCGCATCGTTTTTTACAAGTCATTCGATATCCTACTGGCCAATGGGTATATTAATAATGAGTCAGAGTAGATACCATAGTCATAACCCGTTTCATTTTTATTTGCGAGTCGCCATCCCGTTGCTCATCGTTCATCATCCAGACGCACCTCCGGCGACAGCTTCACGCTCCTTGAGGTTCCAATCCCTAATGGCAAACGCAGAGATACTCGCAAATATCATCACTGGAACAATCACAATGAACATTGTCGCCACCGCATCGACATATGCGTCGACGACCGACTGGCGTGGTGGGAGGCTCATTTGCATAGGTCATAAAGATTTCACCGGCCTTGTTCCGCTTATACAGTGCTTCCGCACGTGTGTCTAATGCACATCATCATGTAGATACCATGTATACGCGGCATGCCACAGTCCAGAATTGTAATTGAGTTCAAGTTAACCGGGCTTGTACATCGATAGCGGTCAGCCAGCAGTCACGCGGATGCCTGTCGACAGATTTTGAATCGATAAGAATTTTGGGGCTATATATCTATCACCTTCGGCGTGGTTGAGCCCTTCCTCATCATCATGGCCCTCGCCGTCGCCGTTTACTCCCTGTCAGCGCGCGCCGCTCAAGATGCGGCGTTAAATGCGACAGAATGCCTCCCATCGTGTGCGAAACAGTATAGAACTCTAGCTGAAATAGTGTTGAGCTGTTTCACTACCATTTTCCTCTGCATCTGGGTCTCGCTCCATCTCAATGTTCCCGAACCTGTCGACACCGAAGGCATGAATACCTTCAAGAAATTCAAAGTTTGGATAAGGTTGTTCATTAGATGCAACGTAATTCCTGTTATCGTCACATTGGTGTTTCCTGAATGGGTTCTGGGTATGGCGGTTCTTCAATTCCGCAAGGCCACTCGTTTAGCCAAAGAGATCGGTATGGTATGAATTTATGCTTCATTCCTGATATTGATCAGCTGCTTTAGGCATCACTCGCCAGCACGGATTTTTCATCATCATGGGTGGTTTTCATCTCTTTGAACGAAGCCAAGCGCCATCGAATCAAATCAGAGCTGGAGACAAAGATGGAGAAACTCACCCCTTGGTCAAGGGAGAAGGGGACGAACGTACATCAAATGACAAGACTTGTGTGGTGGAGGAGTTTGACACGCCTATCCACCCACTCGATGAATTCGACGTCCGCCATCTTATTTACACTGGTAAACTCCGCCTTCCTACTACTGCCGAACTGCGGGACAAGTGCAAGAACGACGGAATAGCGAAGTTCCTTGTGATATTACAAACCCTCTGGTTTATTGCGCAATGTATTACCCGGAAAGTCAGAAAGCTCCCACTCACCGAGCTTGAAGTCATCACGCTTGGCTATACTCTACTTACCGTGTTAATGTACATTGCATGGTGGGACAAGCCATATCGGGTGACATTCCCTATCCGTGTGTATGAAGCACTTCCCGAACGCACATACCAGCAACGGGAGCAAAAGAGAAGGATGCAAGAAGAGAGCTTCTGGGGCATGACCATTGGGTACGCTATGGGTCTTCAGAGTGATAGCATTGAGCTACGGAGTGTGAAGCAAGCTCCAATGTTTCACTCTGGGTCTATGAACGAAGTATATGATGCCGGTGATTTTCTTTGCGTCATTACAACGGTCATTGTTGGAGTGCTGTTTGGTGGTGTTCATTTTCTTGCGTGGTCCTCGCCCTTTCCATCCGCCCAAATGCAATTCCTCTGGAGACTTGCGACTCTCATCATGACTGCGACGCCACTTGCAGCAGTCGCAGGCATGGTTATCAGTGCAATAATCAACCAAATGTCTGACGGCCTGGGTGTTGTGTTCCTGTACTGCCTATGTGTTTTACCGCCGTGCTATTTTGTTGGCAGAGGCATAACAATTGTGATTGCGTTAGTGACGCTTTCAGCGCTTTCACTTGACATATATCAAGATGTGGAGTGGTCCAACCTCTTCCCTCATATCTAACCCTAGAGATCCAGCTTGTGTTTCATACTTGTAACACTTCTCCTTGTACTTTCTCCGAGGATACGCGTCGTTTTTTACAGACCGTTCAATATCATACTGGTCAATGTATATATTGACAGTAAATTGGAGACTAGATATCATACACATAATGGGTTTCATTTTCATTTGCAAGTGGCCAGCCTGTTGTCGTATATCCTCATGGACAAGGCCGGATGCGTAGTTGTTAATTTTTAGGGGGTCTCCTTTTGCTCATCTTTCATCATCCAGACACACCTCCGGCGACAGCCCCACGCTCCTTGAGGTTCCAATCCCGAATGACAAACGCAGAAATACCCGCAAGGGCCATCACGGGCGCAATAACAATGAACATTGTCGCCACCGCATCGACATATGCGTCGACGACCGACTGGCGTAGATGTTCGGGAAGGCTAAAGATGGCGGTTACACTCTGTCGCACCGCGCGAACGAGTTCGGGACCGAGACTGTCACTGAATGGACCCGAGAGACTGTGAACCAGATTGTTTGAAAAGATCGTCCCGGCGACTGCGATCCCGAGGGTTCCTCCGACAAGTTGGGTGAAACTAACGATGGCACTGGCTTGTGGAATTAGCTCGGGTTGATCGCTGAACTCGGCTTGAATGGAAACTACTATATAAACCCAGTCTCTTTGTCAGCTTTCATGCATAGGGGAGCCAGAGGACGTACGTGTGTTTTGGAGAGCTGTGCCCGTACCGAATCCGAATAGGATCTGGTAGCCAATGATCTTGGCATTCGAAGTATGAACGTCGACTGTGAAGAACAGACCGCCTGTGATTGCTGCGACCCAAGGACCAGCAATGAGCCACGGCTTATATTTGCCGGTTGCACGGATAGCGCTACTGCTAAGAATTATTCCTATCACGATTCCAATTTGGAGCGGGATAATGTTGATACCAGACTGGACTGCCGTGTAGCCTTTAGCTTGATAAAGGAAGGGCAGGTACAGAACCTACACCAATAAGCAAGGGAGTATACATAACAATGGTGAGCCTACGAGGAGTAGGAATGCAAAGAAGATGAAGAAAAGCTCGAGAGAGGCACCACATTGAGTTCGATTCTTGAACATCTTGAACGGAGTAATAGCGTAGTCACTACGTATATATCAATAAGCCATTGAGTATGATCGCTAAGGATGTTACCCCATGTGCCACTCCCAGAGAAGGTATAGAGCAAGCAATGCGCCAAACTGTAACATATCATATCAATTAGTAGAAGCAATATGAAAAGGACTGCTACTAACTCCTGCAAGGAATCCAATAACTACTGGGTCGTTCCATTCACGCGTGTTCCCGCCCCATTGGAGAGGAATTAACAACATGGTGATCAGAGTGAGCGACAGGAACCCGCCAACGAAATCGAGCTTGAGAAACTTTTGTCGTAGCGTCATTCCGTCGTAGAGTTTGTTTGGCGCGGGGGAACGGGAGGGAAGAAGGAAAGCGATAGCTGTTATGGACTGCGAATCGTCAATATTCAGTCTGTCGTCCCTTTGCTAAGCATCTTACCAGTGCACCGAGTGGAAGATTGATGTAGAAGCACCATCTCCAGCTGATATTGTCCGTGAAAGCACTATGGGATGTGAGATGACTCACCAAAACCGATGAGTAAAACTCACCCTCCCAAAGGTGGCCCTGCCACGCTAGCTTCCAGAGCGTGAGATGCGTCTCCACTGAATGCGAATGCGACTTACCGAGAGTGAAAACAGCGCCGAAGGTCCCAAATAAAAAAGGCCTCTGCTCCAGCTTCGTCGCATAGGACATAACAGTTAGGATAGAGGTAAAGATGCCGCTTGCGCCGAGACCAGCGATCGCACGGCCAAAAATCTAGATCTATGAGATTTACATAGTTCCCATAAATGGATCTGTGTACGTACCAGAATGTTCATTGAGGGGGCGACGGCACATATCAAGGAGCCAATTTCGAAGAGGACAATAACCATCAAGTAGATGTATTTGGTTGGCACAATGGTTAATATTTGACCAAATATTAGCATAAACCCTGCGGGAATCAGCTATCCATGTGGCAGGAACCAAAGTCGTACCGGCTTGAGTAAGTAGATAAGTCGAGAAAACCCATGTTAGCTGATCCAGCGCATTAAATTGAGATGTGAGTCTTGGTAGAGCCGTCGCTGCAATGAGTCATTAGCTGGGTTGTCGAATCGAATCAAATTATCCTCGTACGCACAGACAATTGTGTTGTCCAGAGCGAAGAGAAGAACAGAGCTAACGAGATTAGCTGCACCCAGTGACTCTGAGAAAGTAGGACCTACAGCAAGAAAGCGGACCAGATGAACCACAAACGCTTGCCGGTGAGGATATCCGACTCCATTGGGTTTTGAGCGGATGTCGAAGCCTTCTCTAGGCTACTTGGACCATTGTTTACATGCGCCTCCGTTACTTGTTCTGTGGTTGACATTGCTGGCGTGACAGTCGTCGTCACGGTTGGCTCTTTGAGGAGCTGGGCTTGGGAATTGTAGCTGACATCTTTGAACGTGAGAGGCCTGTTGAGACGGTTGTCTGACAGAGGGTGGTCAAATATGTAGCCAATTGCAAGCTCGTTATATGTTCAGTGGTCGAGTCAGCCAAGTCGGAACTACGTTTGGGCGCTTCGAGAGTGCTATGGAGTTGCCTTGCAGCTCACGCACAATCTCAATTCAAATTCTATCACCATTTTTTGAATCTGATGAGACTCATTTCATAACGATGTGACTCGAAACGCGGACGACTTTCTGCAGGATGCTACGGAGGTCCGTTCCCCTAGTCTGACAAATTACCCGAAGTTTCAACTCTTGATGACCGGTGGGTTGGCACGCAAAATTATACACAAAATTTCCATTCCATAATGTGGTGTCGATATAGTACCAGACTATGAATAATGCCACAAATGTTACCAGAGATAGATACTTACCAATACCGAGCCTTTGACACTACTTTCCTAGCGCAAAGTGAGCGCGAGAGGCCCATATCCATGTTTGATTCCCCGCCACCAAAATCTCGATGGGATGCTGGCAACTGCTTATTTCACGCAGCAGCACCTCCCGCAGCACCTCCGCGCTCCTTGAGATTCCAATCTCGAATGGCAAATGCGGAAATACCCGCAATAGTCATCACCGGGACGATGGTCACGAGCATTGTCGCTACCGCGTCGACATATGCGTCGACGACCGGCTGACGTTGTTCTGCTGGGAGAGAAAAAACGACAGTAACGCTCTGGCGAACAGCCCGCACGAGTTGAGGGCCGAGTGCATCACCAATGGGTCCCGAAAGATTCCGCACGAGTTGATTGGAGAAGATGGTCCCGGCTACTGCGATTCCGAGTGTCCCTCCGACGAGTTGGGCAAAACTTGCGACGGCGCTGGCCTGTGGGATCAGCTCGGGTTGATCATTGAACTCGGCCTGGATGGCAATCACTGGATTTCCAATAATCTTGTCAGCGCTTTTGGTACACAAAAGAGATAGAACCACAGAGACATACGTGTATTTTGGAAAGCCGAGCCTGTACCGAAGCCAAAGACGATTTGGTAACCAATAAGCTTGGCATTCGAGGTGTGAACGTCGACAGTATAAAATAGGCCACCCGAAATTGCTGCAAACCAAGGACCGCCAATGAGCCACGGTTTGTATTTACCCGTTGCACGAATAACTGTGCTGCTCACAGCAATGCCTAGAATGCTTGCGAGCTGGAGGGGGATGATGTCAATGCCAGACTGGACCGCCGTACGGCCTTTGGCCTGGTAAAGGAATGGAAGATAGATGACCTAGAGCAATAAGAGTGTGCACGTGCGTGGTAGAAAATGACGCACCAGGAGTAAAAAGGCAAAGAAAATGAAGAAGAGTTCGACGGATGCGCCGGATTGAGTTCGATTCTTGAACATCTTGAATGGAGTGATAGCATATTCCCTAAGGGCTGATCAATCGTAATTTCCACAGAGGAAGAGACCATACCCCATGCGCCACTCCCAGAGAAGGAATATGATCAAAAGCGCGCCAAACTGCGACAGTTAAGTGCATGTGATGGCAAGAAACAAGGCACATACTCCAGCGAGAAGACCAATGACGACCGGATCGTTCCATTCACGCGTATTGCCTCCCCATTGGAGTGGGATCAAGAATAGCGTGATCATTGCGAGTGACAAAAACCCGCCCACGAAATCGAGTTTCCGGAACTTTTGTGCTGTCGTTAGTCCATCGTAGAGTTTGTTGGGTGTGGCGGCCCGAACTGGGAGAAGGAATGCAACAGCCGCGATTGACTGTTCCAAGAGTTAGTCGACAATCACTCCGTTTAAGATATACACTTGCGAGTGCGCCAAGAGGGAGATTGATGTAGAAACACCACCTCCAGCTGACTTTGTCTGTAAAGACGCTGTGAAGCCATGAGATGACGGGAGGGTCCGATAGTGAGGTGAGCTTACCCTCCAAGCAATGGGCCGACCACTGATGCGAATGTAAAGACTGCTCCAAAAGTGCCGAAGAGGAGCGGTCTCTGTTCCAGCCTGGTCGCGTACGAGACAACGGTGAGGATGGAGGTGAAAATGCCGCTCGCTCCGACACCAGCAACGGCACGTCCGAAGATCTGAACCCGTCAGGAATTGATTTTGAGTGAAGACGGAGAGCACACCAAGACGTTCATCGAAGGGGCAACTCCGCAAATGAGAGAGCCAATCTCGAAGAGGGCAATAACGAACAAGTAGATCCATTTGGTCGGGACAATGGTCAAGATTTGTCCGAAGATGAGGATGAAGCCTAGTTGGGTCAGATGAAGTCGGGGTGTAGCAGCAAGAAGACGCACCAGCTTGAGTGAGCAGATAGGCGGACACAATCCACGTCAACTGATCCAATGCATTGAAATGTGATGCAAGCTTTGGTAGAGCCGTGGCTACGGGATGTCAACGAGAGTTCGCGGCGAAGCAAAAGGACGGACAGACGATTGTGTTATCCAAAGCGACGAGCAGAACGGAGCTATCAAAGTTCAATGAAATTCACAACTGGAAGGAAGCACTTACAGCAAGAAAGCCGACCAGACAAGCCATAGACGTTTGCCTGTGAGGAGGTCCGATTCGTTTATGGCGTTGGCAGGCTTGGTAGATGCTTCGACGTCCTCAACTGTGGTTTTACCTTTTTCTCTGATTGCGTCTATCTCGTTTACCTCCACTTTCGTTGACATGGCGGGGGTAGCAGCCGCCGTAGCGTCCGGATCGTTCTCTAGTTTGAACGAAGCCCTCGACTTAGCAGCTTCAGTCGACATTTCGAGTCGTGACGGGGTTTATTTGAGCTTGTAGACAAGCGGGGACTGGTCTCATGGCGACAGATGGGTCCAGGGCTCGTTATATGTACTCTAGTCAAATGCGCAGGCGCAGTAGTGGATGGCAGGTACAATGTAGGTGATGAGTAAGCCCTTTTGCCGGCCGGCTTGACAATATCTCAAACCTTGAATGGATCAGGGCTCGCGCGTGGCTTTTGCTCACATCTAACGGCTACAGCAACATACTTCCCAGCTCCAGAGACGGCTCTGGGGCTATATCCTTCCAACTGCAGGCAATTTTTACATGAGTGCCAGTATGTGGGTAAAGGGTTGGGAGAATTGTCGGAAGTTTCGACGCTGCGGTGCTTTCAGGTCGACACGCACCCCAGGCTACTTCATTCAGAGCATTTATTGATGGTTTTCTATGTGTTTCTCAGGTTCCTGACCCACGTTTCTACGCCAAGGTCAGGTTCCTCTGAGACGTCGTTAATAGCTTTGTTATGGGCCTTGCCGTCACGCCCTGGTACTGTCGTCCTCAGGAGATGAATGAGCGGACTGGGCCTTCAGCTCTGCAAACTTTCTCGACTTTCTTTTGTATCTCCACTTGTATTCAATAAGAACACAATATCGCCTGGGTATTTGGCATGAGACTCATTGGCAAAGACTTGCAAACGGGAATTAGGGTGGCGAAGGAGCGTATTTATCATAACATTACGTGACATTTGAGGGGCTGTCGCTCTCTATCCACAAATCGGAGATGCGCAAGCATCATAAGAATTCATTAGCACCGACTAATAAGCACCTTCGCTTACGCAGCGGCACCTCCCACAGCCTTTGTACGCTCTTTGAGATTCCATCTCGAATAGCGAATGCTGCGAAACCAGCGATACCCATCGCGGGTACAATCACAATGAACATGGTGGCCACAGCATTGACGTATGCATCCACCACCGGCTGGCGTAATTGTTCGGGTAGGCTGAAGATGACAGTGACACTCTGCCGGACGGCGCGCTCGAGCTCATGACCGAGCGCATCGCCAACTGGACCAGCAAGATTACTGACAAGTTGGTTTGCGAATATCGTCCCGGCGATGGCAATTCCTAGTGTGCCTCCGACGAGTTGTACAAAACTTGCGACTGCACTGGCTTGAGGAATAAGCTCCGGTCGGTCGTCAAACTCCGCTTGAATTGCAATCACTATATGGTTGTCAGCCTCGTGCCATGGGAGAGACGAGACGAGATTCAGACCTGCGTTTTGGAAAGCCGAGCCGGTACCAAACCCGAAAATAATTTGGTATCCGATAATCTTTGCATTTGGTGTGTGAACATCGACGGTAAACAGCAGGCCGCCCGCAATGGCAGCGAACCAAGGGCCAACGATGAGCCACGGCTTGTATCTACCAGTCGCGCGAATAGCTCCACTGCTTACTGCAGTTCCCGTAATAGCCGCGATCTGGAGAGGGAAAATGTCGATCCCAGACTGGACTGCCGTGCGGCCCTTGGCTTGGTACAAGAATGGAAGGTAAATAACCTGGGCTGATGAGTACGTACATATCCATTTCGGAGCGAGAGACGTACCGCGGTCAGGAATGCGAAGAAGATGAAAAACAGTTCAATGGACGCGCCCGTTTGAGTCGGATTCTTGAACATCTTAAACGGTGTGAGTGCGTAGTCACTGCGTGGTTATTAGTGGTTTCTTTCACCAAATCGAAGGTCACTTACCCCATGCGCCACTCCCAGAGAAGGAACAAGATGAGTGTTGCGCCAAACTGCAATACGTGAGTAGACACGATGACAAAACGAAGAAACGTACCCCTGCCAGAAGGCCAATGATAACTGGGTCGTTCCATTGACGCGTGTTACCACCCCATTGGAGAGGGATCAAGAGCAAAGTGATCATGGCAAGTGACAGGAACCCGCCTACGAAATCGAGCTTGCGAAACTTTTGTCCCAGTGTCATGCCATCGTAAAGCTTGTTTGGCGCAGGAGGACGAGGAGGAAGCAGGAGTGCGATGGCTATTGTAGACTAGAATCAATCAGCCAGATGTCAACGCGAGTTTCTGAGCGTCTCACGATTGCGCCGAGTGGAAGGTTAATATAGAAGCACCACCTCCAGCTAACCTTGTCCGTAAATACCCTATGGGATATGAGATTTCTGACCGAGGCTCTTGATGATAGATACCCACCCTCCTAAAGGAGGCCCTGCCACGCTAGCTTTAAAGCGTAAGAGACGTATCCATGAGCTGTAAATATAACCTACCAAAAGTGAAAACTGCTCCAAAGGTCCCGAACAAGAGAGGCCTCTGCTCGAGCTTTGTCGCATAGGAGACGACGGTAAGGATGGAAGTAAAGATACCGCTTGCACCGACACCGGCGACAGCACGACCAAATATCTATGGTCGTAAGCTCATATTCAGAGTAACACAGAGTAACATGGGCGGAGGCATACCAAAACATTCATCGACGGGGCCACGCCGCAGATCAGTGAACCGACCTCGAAGAGGACAATGACCGTCAGGTAGATATATTTGGTCGACACGATTGTCAAGATTTGACCAAATATAAGGATGAACCCTGCGAAAATCAGACACGGACAAAAGTATTTCCAAAGAGCGTACCAGCTTGAGTGAGGAGGTAGGTGGAGACAATCCACGTTAGCTGATCCAGTGCGTTAAAGTGGGATGCGAGCTTTGGTAGAGCCGTGGCTGCTACGAGTTGAGCAAAATTTTATAATCTATTCGAGATGGGTGACATACAGACGATCGTGTTGTCCAGGGCAAAGAGGAGAACAGAACTAGCATGGCTCAGATATATTCACTCCTTGGATGAGATGACTTACAGCAAGAATGCAGACCAAATGAGCCACAAACGCTTGCCAGTGAGAATGTCCGACTCGTCTGGTGCATTGGCCGGTGCTTCGGCCTTCTCGAGCGTGCTAGGGTCCTTATCCGTGTTGACCTCCTTTACTTCTCCTGTAGTCGACATTGCAGGCGTAACAGCCGCTGTCGCATCTGGATCTTTCTCGTTGACGGATGACTTGGACCTCGTGATCTTTTCAGTCGACATCTCGACGCTTGCAGGAGACTAGGAGGGCTTGCCAATGGGATTTAGGGAATGGTCGAACCACCACCCGAGTCGATGTTTTATGCTTGTCGACTCAGGCGCGCGCTCCCCCACGGCGTAAACTGTCCGCGCAAAACGCATCAGCCCAGACCTGTCTATTTCGATCTTCGAATTCGGAAACGACTTCATGAATCGCTAGTGTAGTTTGGCTTGACAATAATTGACGAGAACAAAGAGCCTGGTCGGCGCTTCAAACAGATTCCGAATTCTTTTTTTAATTTCCCAGCAAGTCCTATCTGACGGGGGTCGACAGTGGCCGGAGAGAATTGATTCGAATGAAATGTCGTCCATGTGATGCCAGAATTCCAGTGCTGGATCCAATCCAGGGTGTCAGCCCACCTAGTGGACCCAACTCGTGTTCCGCGCGGCATCCACTGCCACCACTGCCTCTCCGAAATATCAACTCGTGGTATGATCCATAGATGTAAGAGTTTCCGGCTTCAGCTTCAGCTCACCGCCAGCTGGCAGCGACGCTCCTGGTTAGTGGTTGAGGACAAGGATTTTCGAAAGAACCTTGTGAGTTCGGTTCAAATTTCGGGCAGACTGCGGCGGAGAGACACCTTGGCTCTGGGAACAGGGTCTGTCGTTGCGTGAATCACCCTCCGTTGTCATTGGCACCACTCAGTCAATGCTTGCGTTTCATATAATACTTGACCCAACTCGTCTAAGCCCCAATAAACTCTCGTCCTTCGCCCATCCTTGGTTATCAACCAGACAGCATTCAGCTCCAAACATGCTTCAAATCAACTCTACAGGGCTATCACCAAGCGACACAGTCCGACTAAATCCGTGTCAGGCTTGCAAAAAATGAGCAGCGGCTACCTCCAGCGTTTTGCCAGATATCTGGAATGTCTGGCAGCCGACTATGAAGCTGCCGTCGTACTATGGTGCCATTTGATTGAGGAGGAGACGCACCGTGCGTACAGCTGTAATTGCAAAGCCTACGCTGAGACGCGCCCAGCCCGTTATGAGAGCATAGGGCTTAGAGCATATCACCAGGCTGCCGTATCACCACCTCCCACTTGGATGCCGCCAGAAGGTCCCTTTCTCCAGACACGAACCGTCGAGCTAACCGAGTCTTTCAAGCAGCGCTCGAGAGCTGGTAGGTCTTTCTCTTGTGTTGAGGATAGTACAAGCTCTGACAGGTGCCTCCAGTATGGGCCGAGTTTCCAGACCCAAAGCCGCGGGTGAGTTGGTCCTGGCGGCTCCCTCTGTCTGATTCTGACCGCACCCACTCCAAGACAATTACCAAGGCTGAGCCATGGCTCAGAGTTTTGGGTGAAGCAGGCATCGAAAGAGACGGAGAACTCGCACTCCTTTACATCGTGAGAGTAACAGAATTCTTTGAAAGTACGTGGTGATGAATCTAGTAGATATCTTGTTCATTCCTCCTAGATGACAACCCTAGGGGCGCAATTCCACGGCTCCCGCCGATCATCCAGTCTGCAATTGCCAAGCGTCCTTGACAGACTCAAAAATGAAGTCTATACGGTGGCACTGACCTGATCAACGACGTTGTGACGGTCCTTGACAACTTTATCACGCATATGGGAAGTGAAACATGCGAAGAAATTGGTGCGCAGAACGTTCCAGGGAGTTGGATTGATATGTGCATGTCAGTCCCTCCACGGCCGTTCCAGAGGCGATAGAAGTGTCAACAGGGTGGTTTTGATTGTTGTGAGTCTAATCAACTTGTCAACGACACTCAAGTAATACACAAACCCTAGTCCCCAGTGAACCGGGTGTGTTACCGCCTCACGAACGCAGGTCGCATACACCGGGAGCCTACCTATGCGCCATGCCAATCTGCCCTAGTGAGTTCCAACACTAAATATGTATACAATAGACGCTCACTTTTGGCTAGTGAGACGATTTGACTCGGCCACTCAACTGGCACGCCACCAAATTGATACGCATACTGGCAGGATTACTTGAAGGGTTCTGAGATCTATGGCACCAAAATGCAATTCTAAGTGCTGTAAATTGGTCGTACTAAGAGTGAATACGCCTCCAAACGTAACAGAGAACAGACGCTACAAAGCCTCAGTTTGAAGACGTTGCTGCGTGCCGTCTGGCTAAGCACCGAGAATCTTCTCGCGTAGTTCAAAAGGCATAATTTTGACATATGCCCTGTCAAGTGCTTGCTCTGACACCCCAATCTTCCGCAGCTCGCGAGATATCAAGTTAAACCTGATATGTCGAGCGTGAAAATCTTCTATCGTCTTGATTGACCTTTGCGAGTATTCCTTGACACAGGCATCCAGGTCTTCTTCGGTATAGCGGATAGCCTTTGGATTGCCAAATGCCTTGAGAAGTTCCTCCTTTGCACCGTCGTAGCTTTTAGCGGCATAGCCGGCTCCTTGTCGGACAGTTTCGCGCAGGTTTGGGCTTAGATACCGCAAAAGATAGCGAAGCTTGATGCTGTCGCTTGTGATCTGAGAATCCTTGAACAAATATTCCAGATCCGTGAAGAATGCTGGTAACAGCTTGGGATTCTGTCCTTCACTGAAGAACGGTGCGCCGAGCGCTATCTGCATCAGGCATCTCGCTGACATCGCGTGCTGCCTGTATTGCATGCTGCTTAAGAACCCAAACAAGGTATTTTGCAATGAGGTCCGACACTTCGCGATTGCGGTCCATCAATTCTACAATCTTCTTCATGGCTTCCATGATCTGCAGCATGGCCTGTAGCAGTTGATAAAGGATTTCGTTTACTGAAGGGGTGCCCGGAGGGGTGGCTTCGTCTCCCTCAGGAAGCATCATGGCTGGTGAGCGTGTGGGTTGCACTGGCGGGAATAATCTGGCTCCAATTGACCTTTATCGGTCACCAGATGAGATATAAATGTGTTTCAAGAGGCGAAGATGGCAAGCGTGCGACCGAAAGAAAGAGATGAGAGAAAAGCCGGTGCGTAGAGCGTAAAGGGGGAACCTAGTTCTCGACGTACTGCTTGCTTACAAGATGTATGAAATTTAGAGGCTTTATATAGGCGCACGAGCGCCTTGGCAAGGCCGGGAACGACGGAGAAAGAGTCTTTGGGAGACAGACGAAACAAGAAGAAGATTCTAGATGAGACATAAATGATATATGAGACGTGATAAATATGAAACAAGTTCGCTAGCTCGCCTGGAGAGTGTAAGAGACTTGGCTAGCCCGCGCCGGCTGAGCGGGAGCGCGTTACATGTAACATCACTGCATTCAACGGCCGAGAATTTCAGCAAACATCTTGGGGAGATGGACTCTAATGAATGTCCGTGTGTATTGACACCCAACTGGGCAAATTAGCATGTTCATAATCGACCAGAAATTACATATAATGTTATGTGAGTTGTGACTTTCCAATTTGCACGACGCTGTCCTCTCTAGGTGACCTCCTGGAAAAGGTCCCAGCATAGATTACCCGATTCGATTCGTGAAAGAGCTCTTTGACACCATCTTTTATCACGCAGCGGCACCTCCCGCAGCGCCTCCACGCTCCTTGAGATTCCAATCCCGGATCGCAAACGCTGCGATACCTGCGACACCCAACGCAGGGACAATGACGATAAACATTGTCGCAACTGCATCGACATATGCGTCAACGACCGGTTGACGTAATTCTGCTGGGAGAGCAAAGACGACGGTGACGCTTTGACGCACGGCTCGAACGAGTTGGGGACCGAGTGCGTCACCGATGGGACCCGAGAGGTTGCGTACGAGTTGATTCGAGAATATGGTACCCGCAATGGCGATTCCGAGTGTACCACCGACGAGCTGGGCAAAACTAGCTACGGCACTGGCCTGTGGGATCAGTTCCGGTTGGTCGTTGAATTCGGCTTGAATGGCAATTACTAGCCGCAATCCAGGTCAGCGTCTTTATCGTTGAATTTTATGGACTGAAGGAGAGACGTACAGGTGTTTTGGAATGCAGAGCCTACACCGAAACCAAAGATGATTTGGTAGCCGATGAGCTTGGCGTTCGAGGTGTGAACGTCGACTGTGAAGAGCAATCCACCCGCAATGGCACCGAACCAAGGACCAGCAATGAGCCATGGCTTGTATTTGCCAGTCGCACGAATGATACCACTGCTAACAGCCGTTCCCATGACGGTCGCGATTTGGAGAGGGATGATGTCGATGCCAGACTGGACTGCTGTGCGGCCCTTGGCTTGGTAGAGGAATGGAAGATAGATGACCTGGAAGAATAAGTCGATTGCACATTTTAAGACAAAAAAAGACTAACCGCGAGTAGGAATGCGAAGAAGATGAAGAAGAGCTCGATAGACGCGCCGGATTGAGTGCGATTGTTGAACATTTTGAACGGAGTGATAGCGTAGTCACTGAACATTGTTTATTACTGATTTAACCAACGAACGAAAACGTACCCCATGTGCCACTCCCAGAGAAGGAATAGGATCAAAAGTGCGCCAAACTGCAACGGATAAGTACATGCGATGGCAAGAAGGAAGTAACTTACTCCAGCGAGAAGGCCAATGACGACTGGATCGTTCCATTCGCGTGTATTACCCCCCCATTGAAGTGGGATCAAGAATAGAGTGATCATGGCAAGCGACAGGAAACCGCCGACGAAGTCGAGCTTGCGGAATTTTTGCGCCGTTGTTAACCCATCGTAGAGTTTGTTGGGTGTGGCGGCCCGAACTGGGAGAAGGAAGGCCACTGCGGCAATAGACTGCTTACGGGTTAGTGTACAATAGTATGGAGTAAGTTTTCCACTTACGAGTGCACCAAGAGGGAGATTGATGTAGAAACACCACCTCCAGCTGACTTTGTCTGTAAAGACGCTGTAAAGTCGTGAGATGACAGGAGGGACTTGACAATGAGATGAGCTTACCCTCCAAGCAACGGACCAATAACGGATGCAAACGTAAACACTGCTCCGAATGTACCGAAGAGAAGCGGTCTCTGTTCCAGCCTGGTCGCGTACGAGACAACGGTGAGGATGGAGGTGAAAATGCCGCTCGCTCCGACACCGGCAACGGCACGTCCAAAGATCTAATAAAGCTGTGAATCTAACGTCGGAAATGAAAGGAGATGGCGCACCAGAACGTTCATCGAAGGGGCAACTCCGCAAATGAGGGAGCCGATCTCAAAGAGGGCAATAACGAACAAGTAGATCCATTTGGTCGGGACAATGGTCAATATTTGTCCAAAGATGAGAATGAAACCTAGTCGGATTAGATGGAGTTTGAGTGTAGTGACGGGAAAGACGCACCAGCCTGGGTGAGCAGATAGGCGGAGACGATCCATGTCAACTGATCCAATGCATTAAAGTATGATGCAAGCTTTGGAAGGGCCGTAGCTATGACGTGTCAAAGCAGAATCTAGGCCAGGTCGATGGACGTACAGACGATCGTATTGTCCAAAGCCACGAGGAGGACAGAGCTAGCAGATGGTTAGTCAGTCGCTGATATTCTAAAGAAAGGACGTACAGCAAGAATGCTGACCAGACAAGCCAGAGGCGCTTGCCTGTGAGGATGTCTGCCTCGTTGATGGCATTGGACGGATTTGTGGATCCTTCGACGTTTTCGAGTGCACTTGGGTCTTTTTCCTTGACCGTGTCTGCTTCGCGAACATCGTTTGTCGTTGACATTGCGGGAGTTGCAGCTGCTGTCGCGTCTGGATCCTTGTCGACGGCGTTGAGAGACGTTTTCGACTTTGCAATCTCCGCTGACATCCAGTCCTTTTTTTTCTTCACAAGTTGTGTTCAAAACTTGTTGATGGCGGGGGAGGAGCTCTGGTGGAAATTGTAGCCAAGCCCACGGTGTTTATATAGCTCACGCGGAGAATCGGGCAGCCGTAGGCGACATCAACACCGGGGACGATGACTAAGCCCCTCGGCCACAGACATCTCGCTGCGGACTCTGCAGGTTTTGCGCAGCTTCGATCTAGATCTCCTTCATCTGGACTCTAGTCTTTCCTATGTAATTCCAACACGATTTGTACCCATAATGGTCCTGATAATCCGCGTGGGCGCTCCGACAGACGGAGGTTTTGGCCAGCGCCCCAGCCAGCGCCCCAGCTCAACTCCGTGTCCGAGTCTTTTCAATGCATGAAAAATCGGCACGGATGTTAGTCCCCGCAGCGCTCGACGTCTTCCCAAACTACGCAAATAGTATATACTCGGAAATGGCATGTGTTCATCTCGGATGCCGTTTTTTCCCAGGACGTCGTCCGACTTTTCCATAACCCCACCCTTTTTGCTGGCACACCAATCACAGAAGCCCGGAACGTAAAAATATCCACTAATACCTACTTGGACCCTCCCATGTCCTCGCATTTCGAACGCATCCAGCGGGTCCTCGCAGATGCTACGCCGTTGCAGCTCTCCCTCGTCGGGGCAGCCGTTCTTTCAGCAGGCTACATCCTTTTAAACCGTTCAAACTCTCGGAAATACCCGCCAGGTCCTCCGCGATTACCATTGATAGGCAACTCGCACAACTTTCCAAACGAGAATTGGCCCGTCGTCTTCAACGAATGGCAGAAACAATACGGTCAGTACCAAACCGTGTTCTGTATTCATAACTAACTGTAGAACTATAGGGGATATTGTTTACCTGGAGCTCCCTGGCATGCCATTTGTCGTCGTCAACTCGCTCTCTCTCGCAAACGAACTCTTTATAAGGCGGACAAACATCAACTCGGGTCGCAAGATTGGCTACATGGTCAATCACATGTAGGTACTCGCCTCTGCCCTCTTCCTCCACTAATCCATTTCGTAGGATGGGTTGGGAGTGGATCATCTCGCATAGAAATACAGACAACGTCTTCTACAAGCAACGCAAGGTCCTCAAGCACGGTCTTGGTCCCACGGCCGTCATGCGCCATGATGTGTTGATCGAGCGTTGTGCGAGCTCTCTCGCGCTCAAATTGCAAAAGATTCACGGAAGTCCAGAGGACACGATTGTCAAGTCTGTTGCACTTGCTATCATCGAGCTCGCATATGGTCAGAAAATGGTCGAAGAGAGCGGCGAACAGATGATCAAGCAGAATCAAGAGGCCATGTCCATGCTCTTCCACGCCTTTCATCACGTCTGGATGGTCGACTTCTTCCCATGGCGTGAGTGACTATGTCTCACTTTTACGTCTCCTGAGCTGTCGTAGTGCGCTTTATACCCAGTTGGATGCCCGGCGCTGGCTTCAAGTAGGTACCCGGCCCGAAAACGAATAGCCCTAACAATATTATAGGCGCTTTGCAAAGAAGACCAAGAATATGATTAACACCATCCGTTCTGCGCCATTCAATCTGGCTGTTCAGCGTCATGTTGGTACTCTCACTCTCCTTCTTGTCATCAGGCTAACAAAGAAAAAGAGTGAAGGAAAGTTGGACCACTGTTTAGCCGACGAATGGATCACCGAGTTTGGGCCATGTGAAGAGGCGCAAGACGCCCTAGCTGCTCTCTACTTTGGTACGTCTCGACGATTCTGAAAGCTTCAAACTGACATGTTGGCAGCTGGTTATGATACGGTAGAGCCATTCATATCAACAATTAACTCAGAAGATGATGATTCTGTAGACTTCGACAGTCGTCGTCCGCTTCCTCCATGCCATGTTCATCTTCCCCGACGTTGCCAAGCGTGTTCAAGCCGAGATCGATAGTGTTGTAGGCCAAGGTCATCTTCTCACCATCAAGGACCGTCAAAGCCTTCCGTACACGGAAGCCGTCTGGAAAGAGACTTTGCGCTGGAGGCCTCAGCTTCCTTTGGGTACGCTGTCTTGCTCCTGGTGTATCGTACTAACTTTAATGCAGCACTTCCGCATACGAATAGCGAGGACCAGATCATCAATGGCTATTTCATCCCCAAGGGCGCACTTTTCCAACCAAATTATGGTAGATTACCTTTGGCGTTTGTTCTTTCTCAACTGACAGGGCGAATAGGATTCATGATGACCGACCCTTCTATCTGGGGAGACCCAGATGTGTTCAGGCCCGAACGGTTCCTCGACTCTGATGCGAGCACGTTGCCTGATCCAAATGTTCTCGTATTCGGATTCGGTTCGAGGTACGTCTTTGTCACTCCTTGCTCTTGCTCATTCAGCTCATGTACGACCACAGAATCTGTCCGGGAATGTACTTTGCTGACCGTGCAGCATTCCATGTCGCCCTCACGTCCGTTTCTCTGTTTAGTATCTTGCCGTTGGAAGGGGAAAAGGTGCCGCATATCGATGATATCGAGTATACAAAGGATGTCACAAAGTGCGTCTTGATGAGTCTGCCTTCTGACGACTGACCCTGTTTTCAGAGTTCCGGTCAAGTTTGACTGTCGATTTGTGCCGAGAAACGAAGAGGCGAGTAACCTGCTCGCCTCGCTCGCACTCAATGCAAGCAAGTGACGAACCTACATCCCTTTGAAAAAGGGTACAATTGATGGCATCCATCGTCTGAACCGTCACATTATAGAACTTGGGAGTATATACAAGATGCTCCATCCAATTACAATATCGCATTATTTCCAGAAAATGAACCTCAGAGCGCGACGTTCCCCTATGGATAGTGAACGCTTTGTCCTTTGGATACAGATCCGTATAATCGACTCTGTCGTGATGCCAGGTTACAGTCCACAACAAGGGTGTCCTTCGAAGCACTACGGGAACTGAGTCAACTTGGCTCTGGTCTCATATCATACATACCTGCAAAAGCCCGTGTGGAAGGTCGAGTATATCGACCGGTCGGCAGGTAGAAATTCTCAATTGTGGGCGTCTCTTCCGAATCTGCGTGATCATTCTTCTAGCGCTGACCATCGTATTCCTCCATTCGTTTGGATCTGGCTCCCATGTCCTCCTATACTCTATGGCATATCGGAGTTCTGTCAGGCTTGGTAGTACATCGTCACCAAATGCCATAAGTTGCATCAGACATGGCATGAGGACCATCTCGAGAGCTTCTGCCCAGAAAACGACGACGACACGTTTCAGGCGAGTGTACTGCGAAATATCTGGAGCGTAAGAGGGGTACCACAATATGTATTCTTCAAGGGTCGGACAGTCCCATTGCGGTGGATCAACAACGCAATTGGCAAATTGATCGAAGAGCTTGCAAAGGCCCGGCATTTGCAGATAGCTTTGGACGACCACGACGCTTGCGCGAGTATGTTGATCAGGTGCTAGGATTTGTATATCTAAAAGTTTGGACATGCGTATAGGAGGTCCAGATGGGGGTTCAAGGCCAACGCTAGAGGTGAGGACAACACTCTGAAGACTATTGCGACATTCGCTCAAGATACGATGCCAAATGTTCCTGATTGTGAATGTAGTGATATGGATGTGGATGAACTGGAGTGGGGGAAGGTTTGACCAACTTCGTTGATCGCTACGTATGGCGTGTAGATGTAGTGATTTAAGATTGGGAGCGCGGTGCCTGTTAAATTCCAATGACTGATGGCGTATGGTGTCCGGCTCGAAAATAGTGAGCAGCTCCAAGACCGGAAATTGCACCCCGTTCATAGCTAGCGCTTCCAAGTTGCCCATAAGATACATACAGACGAGCCGAGGTGCGATTCTCGGCAGAAATATGCGGCTATCCATTCGCCTTTTCTTCGTTCGCTCCAAAAGTGTATGAATGGGACGGTTTCCCGCCCTTTCGAGCCACAGATCAAGGTCCTGAATCGACATCCTGGTCTCATCTTCAATCTCAAGCTGCGTCCATGCTTCGGTAGTGAGTAGCGCGGCGGTTCGCCACGCCCTGCATACCGCGCTTGCGACTAAGGGCGCCTTCCAATAGGAAGATGCACGGAATACTATAATATGTCCCCAAATTTCCAGAGGAACCCGGTCAATCGCCCTTATCATGGTGTCAGACGCCTCATTCCGAGCATCGAGACTGCGAAACGCGCTATTAGACAGAACATGAGCTCTTTCTCTCCTACGAGACCGCAAAGACATTTCCAAGTTTTTAGAAGTCATTCTGATCTCGAGCCCTCGAGGGGGAGGGTACAAGTGGCTGCTTACGAGTAAACGCAGCTCAATTTCAGGCAAATATCAACGAGAGATTTGACTGGATTATAAGACGGAACGGTACATCGATTTGATACCAAAGAAAGCTACAGTAGTCGCACCTCGACTGAGATGCCTATTTTCTACAACGCCCGGGATGTCAAGTTGATCAGTCGACGGTAACGTTGACGGTCTCCTGATTAGCTGGAGCAGCGCGGACGATCAAGATTCCGTCCTCGAGCTTGGCCTTGACGCTGCTCGCGTTGATTGGATTCGGGAGCCAGACTGTGCGAGTAAATGACTGGGCTCCGGACCATTGCGCCGTGGGCGATCCGACTTGTTTAGTGTCATCTGCAAAAATCTATGTTAGCACTTTGCATCGAAGGATGAACAAGTTGATCGTGCTTACCATCAGTCTTTACAACAGAAGTGGACGCTTCGCCAGTGGCCGACGAGGTCGCTTCGGGAGCCTTATGTGCTTGGGAACCCTGTTCCGCCGACTCTACAGCGTTACCATTGGTACCGCGACGGAAGACACGACCCTCAATGGTCAAACTTCGACCACCGTCACCAATTCTGACGTCAAGATGTTCCTTCTTGACGCCTGGAACTTCCGCTTCGACGACAGTTCCGTCATTCTCTTCATGTAGGTTGAGGGCTGGTCGGTTCTGGATCAGTGAAGATGAGGGCCAGCCAAAGGTGAAGGGATCCGCGGAGCGGCTGCTGCGACCGTAGTTAGAGGTCGGATATATTGCCCACGGGTCGTCGAGCATGCGGAAGAGAGGGCGGAATTCGTTGAAGAGCGATCGCGAGAGAGACATGTTGGTTTGTTCGAGTGTTTGTTTCTGAGGATTGGGAGGGAGGAGAGAAGAGGGTTTATATACCCAGAGGACATCCTGACGAGGAAGATTCTAGAGGGGCATGCCCACAAGCTGAGTAAGAATTGGGGGCTCCGCCGGTCACGTGACAGAATCTTCGAGAGCTTCCTGAGAGTTCGGGATTGTGGAGTAGTAGGGTGTTATGGATAATGATAGCATAAGGTTACTCATAGACGTTCCATTGTGCGCACGAAGCGCATGGTGACGGCGGGCACCTGCAAGTCTCCAAAAGACTGAGCGAGCTGTAGCACTGGACCTTTATGGATTCGGGCATTCTGGTATGATACGCAAGGTCTCCAGAACTGATCTCCAGCTGTGATGAAATATCGGTCTCGCCTCTCAGGTGCATCGCGGGCCATGGCCCGGAATTGTTGAGAATGTTGCAGGACGTCAATGGCATTGGAGGAAAATTCGAGAAGCCATCGACAATCCCATAGAACACTGAAGGGCTCTCGTGATTCGAGTTTTTCTGTGATGTCAACTGTTGCTGGACAAAATTTGTGGGTCGGTTGCCTTTGTGCGAGCCAGCCGAATGCCTCGTCATACCGAATAATGGAGTCCAGACCACGAGTATCTGCAACGTAGCCTTGGCTGAGCACTTTCGTAACACTGGTCCATGGGGTAGGATGCCAAAGGACGAAGCCTCCTCCGCTAAACTTGCGGCGAGTCCCTGCCAGGTTCGCCTTCCAGAAAGTCTCTTCCTCAGCCTCATCTCTCTGATGATCCTTTAGTGAAGAACGACGGATTAGGCCACACGTACATAAGGCCATATAGCATCTGCTATCCTGCGTAGCTTGGCCCTGTCGCGACCTGCCTCTGCTTGTGGAGATCCCCATGGATGTGGTGACACGTAGCGCAGTATGCGTGAAACGACGGCTAGCCTCACGTTACCTGATGGTGACGTTGATTTGCTCGTCACAAGGTGAAAAGTGCCTTCCGGTCCAAAACCTGTATGCTTGCGTAGATAGACGTCGGCTGTAACCTTAATTAGACTAGTCTATCAACCGCTATTTGGCCACTCGCCTTCGTTCTCGACTTCATCTCGCACTTCGATGTGACGGTTGACTTTGTCGACCAAAGGAAGGTGATTACCGTCTTCAAAAGGCGAGTAAGGAGGAAGCTGGGGAGCCAAGAGCCAAATAGACTCTGGCGCTACTCGTATCTGTGCTCGGATCGAATTTCGTTCCGTAAAATGGACGTCGTCGTTGCTTTCGTCCTCCACCCAAATGAGGCCGTCGTCTTTCGCCGTTTGTATAATACGAGACTATCCATTGAGATTAGTTCCATTTCCAACAATTTCCATGTCTTCACCTTTGGAACTTCGAGCAGTGGCCGAGAAATCCAATGGTTCATCCCTTCCGCACCAAAAAAGCCCAGTCCAGATTTGGGTGGTAGACCCATCCCCCATCTTCGACAAGGTCTCATACCCGCGAGACCCAGTGGAGTAATACCAGACGCAAAGGTTCGGTCCTTGAGGCGCCGGTACCGCATCACTGACGTTTCAATCTGGTCGTCAAGATGATGGGCCATGAGTATCGTGCTCGCCTTCTTCTCTTGCATCACCCAGAACAAGAGCTGCATCCGGGCGAGGCGCGCCATTTCCTCTTTATGCTCGTTTAAAGATTTCAGTTTCGGAAAGGGTGGCTCTCCCCATGGAATCTTGCATGTGACGAGAGGAATAGAGCGAGATTTTGCCCAGTTTTCACAGTGCTGAGCGTCTTGTGTCGACTTTGAACGAAATCCATGGTCAATATGGATAGCCACCAATCCGAGGCCCTTTAGATTTGGATCATCTGTTTCCTGCTTCATTTTATGCAGTAAATGTAGGAGACATGTTGAGTCGACTCCGCCAGAAAATGCGATGGCTACCAACAGGTTGAGAAAGCAGCACGGAGAACCGGCTGAGACAAACCAATAGTATTTCCCCAGCCATTTGGAGGCCTGGATTTCTGAAAAAGACGCGTAAACTCGTCGACGGTGAGCTTGCCAGCTCTTTGCATTCAAACCCACGGCGTGGTCGAGTTCAAGGCACCACTATTTTCAACCAACGCATATTATTTCAGAGAAAGTCGCAAACAAGTACAAGTTCTCGTTCACGAAGACCAACCAGGACCAACCCCTTTTCTGTCTCTACCAGGGCTACTCCAACCAAGGATCCAGCAGATCCATCTCTGCCTAGTCTGACCACGCTCTGTCTCGCATTGGGTGCTCCTTTGGCCGCATAGTAGATGTACATGTTAGGATTGACGTCCTTGCCGCCACTTTCCAGCGCTACGATGGCAGCTTTCCCAAGGTGAAAGGCGTACCGCAGATCACGCTTGCTGGCGAGTACAAAACCGAGTGCTGGGAATGTTGTGGTGTGTTCCCAAGGTTCGACGGTAGGTACGACTGGGCCTTCGAACAATAGTCCGTCGATCCCGCGTTTGATCACCATAGATCGTGCATCTGTCTCTGAGCTAAGAGTGGATATGGTGGAAGGGATGGGGAAGGCGAGGATTTCTTCATATGCTGAGTGAGGCGACGCCTCTTGTCCAGTGAGAACGTCAAAGTACGACACGGTCATTCTCCGGCCAACTTCTGTATCAACACTAGGGTCCAATTCACCAGCAGCGAGACTCGGCATCTCAGTCCCAAATTCGCCGTTGCCCTGCAGGTCTGATGTGTATTTTTCAAGTGCTTCGCGAATCTTCCACATTTCCGATGGATCTACAGTCTCTGGTACTTCTTCCGAGTCGGGGTTAGTCCCATCATGAGCAAAGACGTGCGGCCATTTGGTCCCTTCGTTCTTTTTTTCGAGATGAAGGGTCAAGAGTCCTACTGTGCGCTCTCCTTGTTTGTCCCAAGTCCAGAGGCTGGTCTCTTTATCGATATGGTCCCAGAGCTCTTTCATCGCGTATCGAGGAATCGGGAAAGGGGAGTCTTCAGCGTCCTTGATCAGCACGCTCAGGTATTTTGGCGCAATGGAGACGTGGATATGGGACTTTGGCGTAGTAGAAGGAAGAGGAATTGCGATGGTCAGCGAGTCATTGGTTTGAGTCCACGAGTACGGCGGGGGTGGCTTGCCAGTGGGCTGCGTGTCTGGCAAGGTAACCATAGGTACATCCTCCATCGGTACGACGATTGGGTCCAAAACGTCTTCGAACGTGCTCCCAGCGCAAATGAGCCAATTGTCTGCGATGGAGCTCACGTACGAAGGAATATCTGTGCTTCGCTTCGTCCACAGAATCTCTACAGGAGAAGATCTGGTGTCCATTGGTGGCCCATCTGGAATGAGAATTCGCAACGTTGCCAGATGAAAGGTCAACGAGGGCCTGCCACTGGCGGCCTTTTCGACCTGACCTCGGCTGGACACAATGATGAGTATTGACTCGTTACGCATGCACGCTGCATGCATTCTACAGGGTTTTGGTTCGTTATCGACGATATAGTCGTGCTGAGCTAACAGCTCTGCCTGGTCTGCTGTTTGTGGGGTTCGCACCACAAAGAGCTGACCGCCGCCGTCTGAGATGACCCAGATGTCGGGTGCTGCACAGATTGCGACAGGATACTCTGAGCCTCTTTGTGAACTCCTGATGACCTGAGGGATTTCAAACACAGATCGAAATCGAACGGTCAAGGTTGACTAGGAGTCCTCCAATCGTCGTTAGTAATGACATACGTCTAATTATAGTGGCTCACCCTGTCGATCTCAATGATGGTAAAAATCCCTGCCTTGTCGATGTAACCTAGGGTGGCTGAGCCTTGCGAGCCGATCCCAGGGGACAGATGATTGTGGCGGATACGGTTCTGAACCTCTTGAAAGGACAAGTAGGCACCTGCAGCGACTGTCGCCTGCGAGAGACCGTCTGCTGGGAGTAGTAGAGCGTGCACGACGTCTGCTTCACTGAGCGCGGCCAGCTTGTAGCCATCAAACTTTGGGTTCATAAGTGTTCTCTTGACTGTAAATGCCATTTTGTTGTGAATATTGGCGACGACGGCGGGCGCTCGCGTGCAAAAGTAGTTGGGATCAAGCTTAACCTCTGCGCCGTCATTGACCGTCGAGCCGCGTCCCATCGAGCGCCGCCAGTGAGCTGAGAATACGATTATTATAACGATTGCAACGTCTTGGGCGACGCGTCTTGCTTCTTTGTCTCATGGTCAGTCCTCCCTTCCGCGGCGCAGCGACGAGATGGCTGATTCCTTGTAGGGTCAAACACTTTCAGAGCCAGGTATTGTCTTTGTTATCCGTGGATTATACAAATCCAACGCTCACGTGCACAGTCACCGAAAAGCACTCCGAGTCTGGCGCCGATGACCGCTATGCGTATGCAATCTCAGAGATGCAAGGATGGCGAGTCAGTGCGTATTTTTTACCCTTAATCTCTCCGCCTCTGTACGCAGCGCCACCCTGGGCCCCAACGGCTGATCGTCGTCTTTTGGTTTACAGGCATGGAGGACGCGCACACGACACTCCTCAAGCTAGATCCCTCGAGTGGAAACTCATTCTTCGCCGTGTTTGACGGCCACGGAGGTACACAATCGCGGTTATCCTTCACGTCCAATCTACTAATGCACACACCGCCTCTAGGCTCCACCGTGGCCAAATACGCCGGTCAACATGTAGCAGAACGTCTAGCTCAGGAATCCGCCTATATAGAAGGCGACTATGCAACGGCGCTGAAGAAGGCTTTTTTGGGGACAGACGACGACCTCCGTGCTGGTAGCTTCTCTCCAATAGACGCCTCAGATCGCCGCTGACATTGAATGGCAGATACGACTTTTATGCACGATCCTTCAGGGTGCACGGCCGTTGCCGCCTTACTGACAAAGGATCGCAAGCTCTATGTCGTACGTCGTCTCGTTATATTTAATACAGTCGTCCGAGTGAGCTCTAGGCGAATGCTGGAGATTCGAGATCCGTCCTCAGTATCAAGGGAGAAGTTAAGCCAATGAGCTTTGACCACAAACCGACAAATAAAGGTGCGACTCACCTATTCCTATTTAGAGGATTTCCTCACCTACAACAGATGAAACTGCGCGTATTGTGGCCGCTGGCGGCTTTGTGGAATATGGACGTGTAAACGGTTGGCATATCCGTGTTACCTTGGCAGTTTAGCTGAACAGTTTCAGGCAATCTTGCGCTCTCTCGAGCCATTGGGGATTTCGAATTCAAGAGCAATAATTCCCTCGGTCCAGAGAAGCAAATTGTTACGGCAAACCCAGATATTGAAATTCATGAACTAAGTGATGAAGACGAGTTTCTGATCCTTGCTTGCGATGGTACATCTTTTGGTTCGAAATGTACCAGTCACTTACACCCCCTTAGGCATCTGGGACTGCCTAAGCTCACAGCAGGCCGTTGACATGGTTAGGCGCCTGATTGCTCAGAAAAAGTCGCTACAAGAGATTTGCGAAACGACCATTCAACGTTGCTGTGCGCCCGACGCCGATACAGGAGCTGGCGTCGGCTGCGACGACATGACCATGATCGTCGTTGCGATTCTGAATGGGCGAACCATTGATCAATGGTACGACTGGATTGCCGAACGAGTCGAGAAGAATTATGGCTACGCCACCGGAGGATCTCCTCAGATATTCGCCGAGAGCCGAATCCTCGCCGCCCAGAATCGTAGTCAATATCGCAGCAATGCGGCATCGGCTCCGGCACTTTACACTGCGAGACCGGCTGGCTTTGGTGCGCTGGCCAGAATCATGGCGGGAGGAACGGGCATCAGCTTTGCGCCTGCCGGTCGCGGTGGGGGCTCTAATATTCTTTCATTTAGTCACGACGATGATGACGACGACTATGAAGATGATGACGATGACGACGCGGGAGACACGGGGGAGGGTGGCCTCTTTGGGGTCAACCGACTCAAAGTGGGTGGCGACGGGAAGGACAAGACCAACTCGCTCAAGAGTCAACTAAGTGACCTCGAGTCTGGTCTGCATGATGACGAGATGGACCACGATGGTGGGGCAAAAATTACCGCTGTTGACGAGGACGAGGAGATGACCGACTCGCTCCCGCGTGCGCACATCACGCTCGCGTCGCCCTCGGAGAAGCAAGGAATGATTGACTTGGGTGTCGTACAAGTTGACAAGAGCTCGGAAACGCCATCGGAGACTGGATTCGCCAACGATGGCAAGAGCTGGGTCAAAGTCTCCAGCCCTGCCCACTCTGAAATTTCTTCGATTGGATCGCCTCTTGTCCCACTCCCATCACTGGCCATCGGGAAGGCGCCCGCGGGTGCAGAAGCGTCGAAACGCCAGGAGACGCCTCCGCCACCTGTCCCAGCGCCGTCTGCTGCTATACCGAACAAGGTGCCGCCACAAGATACGGGGAGGGTGCCAGATGCAGACGCTCATCCTGGTTTGACAAACCATTTATTGGACAAAAACGAAGATACAATCAAAGCTTGACCCAAGGGGCTGTTTTTGGCTGCGTGATCGCTTGCCTTGCCCTGCGGTTATACCTCGTCCCTTGTAGTCTAATGCACATAGTCTTCATTTTCCTACCCTTGCTTCATTTTTTCAGTGCAATCCCATGCCCGCAGTGCATCCCTCATCATCGCGCTCATGAGTATTATGTGACGAGTCCTTTGAAGGTACTATAATAAATGACCAACGTCTCGTTATCCAATGGTGAGAATGAATAAATGGTGAATGGTTGACCAAAGAAGTTGCGGCATCCTTTGCTCGACCTCATTGGCCATGAACGAGGAAACCATCAAAAAATGGATGCGCGAAATTGAACGACGGAGACCTGCATCGTCTCCTCGTCCTGGACCTGGTGGATTCTTTGCAGCTGGCGGAGGACTCGCGTTGTTGGTTCTTGGAGGTCTAGCCCTCAACGCCAGCTTGTTTACAGGTGTGTTATTGGCTCTATTCCTAAGAATAAAGTTTATAAATGTATTTTCAGTCGACGGTGGTCACCGGGCGATCAAATATACGAGGTAAGCACACGACGCGTTCTACACCGGCACAACTTGGCTGACTGCTTGTAAGGCTACATGGTGTCAAGCAGGATATTTACTCCGAGGGAACACATATCAACGTATGTCTTGCTGCCCGTGTACTATGGAGAGCTGACTGTTCACGACGATGCAGATTCCTTGGTTTGAGAAACCCATCATATTCGACATTCGTGCAAAGCCGCGTATAATAGCGTCATTAACGGGCACAAAGGGTGCGTTTATGTGATTGTATGGAGTGCGCAAAGCTGAAGACGAGCGTTTCGCAGACCTGCAGATGGTCAACATTAGCTGTCGTGTTCTTTCTCGACCGTCGATAGACGCACTCCCGACCATATATAGAGAACTAGGAAACGACTATGATGAGCGCGTGCTGCCTTCGATCGTCAACGAAGTTTTGAAGTCGGTCGTTGCCCAGTTCAACGCCAGTCAGCTCATCACGCAGCGAGAAATGGTCTCAAAGCTCGTGCGAGACAACTTGACGAAGCGAGCGCTGCGCTTCAACCTCGTTTTGGATGACGTTTCGATTACCCATGTTGCGTTCTCGCCCGAGTTTACGTCTGCTGTCGAGGCCAAGCAGGTATGGTACATCTCCTATTCTTTGGGTATGAAACTCACGTTTGTCTAGATTGCAGCAGACTGCCTTGCGGGCGGCATTCTTGGTCGACCAGGCAATCCAAGAAGAAAGGTGTGTGCATTATGATGGCGCCTGGAGATTTAATCTAACCCATTTGACAGTCGATTATTGTCAGGGCACAGGAGAGGCACGTTCCGCGGAGCTGATTGGTGATGCCGTTCGCAAGAACAAGGGTTTCTCGAACTGCGAAAACTGGAGGCCGCAAGAGACATCGCGGGCTGTTATCTACAAGCGACAATCGCGTAATGCTAGACTCTGATACGCTGTTGTTGAATGGTGAGCGCTCTCTGGCTCTTGCCTGGCAATTGACTAACGCAAATGTCGACAGTGAACGAGGCATCGAAGGAGGAAAAAAGTAGAGCCATGTTTCATATCTGAGTACAATCTATCAGATTCCAGCCGCCAGGGAACCCAATCGAATCAGACTCTGCTCGACTTTGACATAAAACGGAGGGGTCCTTTTTGGAGTGGTAAGTGCAAGTTGATCCTCACTTCGACCAGGCATCATGGGTGGCAAAGCATTTGCATCTTCTCTCAGGTCGTCCGCAGCTTTTCCGCGTATGAGTCCGGCTGTACGCCGCGCTCAAGACGTACGTCGTGACTCGACTCGAACCCGAATGCGGGCCTGTTCATGTCGCACCGGAAGACCCTGGAAAGGTCGACTACGGTGATCTGGACGTGGTCATCACGCAAGACGCGTATCGACGCGTCAGCGGCGATGAAGATTTTAAAACGAAGACCAAGGAACTCCTTGGTGCACGCCATACTGTTTCCAATGGCGACAGTTTCATCAGCTTGGCCATCCCTCAGAGCCAGGTCGGTCTCCAGTCAGATGTCAAACCTGAGGGTCAAGACGAAGCGGAGACGTACTATCAGGTGGACTTAAACATGGTTGAAGACGACCAGGCTCGCGAAAGGCTACTCTTTTTCAATTCATATGGTGACACGGGCCTCATCATTGGCTTGCTCTGCAAGTCCATCGGTCTCACGTTCTCTCGGAAAGGACTCAAGGTATGTATCAAAACTGTTATCAAACTCGACTGATCCTCGCTCAGATTGCCCGTCGCGAGCATACCGAGCCTATCGAGAACCGCCCATTCATCTTGGAGCCGTCCGTCGATCGCATTCTCAAGTTCATTGATCTCGACTACGGGCACTGGAAGCGAGGTTTCAAGACACGCGTGGAAATTTTCGACTGGCTCATCTCATCCCGGTTCGCGACACTGGGCTCTCTCCGCACAGTCTCCCCCACGCATCTCGACCGCTGGATGTACAAAGAGAGCTTTTTTGCAGTATATCGATCACGATGCGCAATGGCCAGAGGGCAGAGTCGCGGCAGGCAAGCCGTTGTCGTGGAAGAGGCGCTCGACGCGTTCGGTAAGCGTGACGAATATAACGCGCTTGCAAAGTCTATCGAGACCCGCAAAGCTGTCAGGGCCAAATTCAACGGTACTCTTGTAACGGAGGTGACAGGAAGGGAAGGGAAAGTCATTGGGGACATTCTCAAACACTTCAAACTCAACTTTACGAGTGCAGATGTCCTTGCAATGTCAGACGAAAAAATTCGCGAGACGATTCTGGCAGTGCAGAAGGAATGGGATGCGAATAGGGAGCACATGTTGCAGCAGGCGATGGCTGGGATGTCTGTGACAGGTGCCAAGAAGGAATAATCTCAATACTTGATCATTGAAATACGCTTACTTTTGATATACAGTTCACTTGCCCCCAGAATTACGATCCTCAGATAGCTGTTTACTCCGTCATCAGTCTCATGTGGGTTCATTGTTCTTGTGATCCTGGGAAGAAGGGCAATAAGATATTGAAATTGGGTTATAGAGTCGCTCAGTATTTATGAATTTATCGGATATGCTATACAATCACAAAAAGTAATACAAAGAGTGGAGATGTAATACAGGGCCGTTTGTGATACGATTGAGTGGTGAGGGAACTCATGGGTTGATGTGATCCCGGACAGTCGCCAAACTCATAAGCCAACAATATGTCGTGCCTAAGGTTCATCACAAAGTTCCCAAGACTCCAAGCACAAGTAAACGCAGCCTGATTATAATATGGTCAATAATATTCTGCAAACAAGGACCCCAAGAGGAGAAGTCCCAAGCACAACGGCCTGAACAACGGCCTGAAGCGCCCAGAGAAACCTGATTAAGTCATAGAAACACTCACAGCAGCAAAGTAAGCATGAGCATATGCCTCCGCCGCGTAGACGCGTAGCTATTCTCTCCTCCTTGAGGAGCGACATGGACTTCACGCCTGGCTGATGTGACACTATGTGGCTCGGATGTATATAGCCATTTCCACTGGTTTCTAAATAACAGAAACCTGCATTAGATCCTCATCAATCGGAAACGGCGATGCTCACCACCTGGCTTCGACTGTTGCCTGTGCGGAAGCATGCGTAGCAGTAATCCTATCAGAGCAAGTAGCAGAGAATGACCTGTTGATGTATCGCGATCGCCTACTTATACTGAAGATCAAATGTTCCATTCGCCTCTCCAATTATAATCTTGCGAATGGGCCTAGATTTGCGCTTTCGAGAGAATATAACTTTAACGAAGCTTCAATGCGAAATTTCGGCGAGACGAGATGCCAGCACTGCGGAATGGACAGGCTGGCTTGGTTCTAGACCGGGCTGGTATTGACTCAACGTGACCCAGCCAGCAATTGAGCAAGTGAGTCTGGACATACTAATCTGCTGACACGAATGATAGGCGGAAGTCTTCTCAAAGGGCTTTCTAATATTCCTACTCAAGTAAGGTCTCGTCTGTAGCCGGTATTGTGGCCCTATGACGACCAGTCATAGGTTGGGCTGTGCGAGCAGAGAGGAGTAGCGCAGAGATACGAATGTCACTCGTATTGTTCTGCGCGGGAGAACAGTTGGCGGAGGCTCAACGTGCGAACGCGCAGGTGGCAAACCCGCATTCGTTTCTTGGACTCCGCCACGACTTTCGTTCTTGGCCTTAGCGGCGTTCGCTGCTTATTTTCTATTGCCCACCCACCCACCCTCGCCGGTACCCGCATCTCTAACAAGCACTTGGGAGCGATTCCGTGGAATCCCCGCACAAGCACGGCAGGCTTAACGGCCTGGTTTGGTTTGTATCCCACCCATCCCTACCCGGTACCCAACCCATCCCTTTGCCTGCCGACCGCTTCGCGCCCCCCAACCACACAGATAGCTAGAATAGTTTACTATTGTTTATATTACAGTATACCTATATACACATGACATTACCGCTATTAGCCGTTCCATGGTTGTCCTCCTCCGAGGTACAGTCGTTGGACGGAGCTGATGCTCGGAGCCTCCCACAGCATCACTATGGAATGTACCACGTGTTTTTGCTAGCTTTTTTGTACATATTTGTGCATGATGTTTCTATTCCAGCGCTCCAGGTTATTTATCTGTGGTATAGTCGAAGGAGTGCATCCTCATTGATCAATAATTAGGTCTATCAAGTCTCAATCGCCTGCAGTGGCTCGCGAAAATCAATTTTGACATCCCCGAATAGTCAAGGTGGGAAAGGTTGTCCTCAAGAAGTGATTTTATAAGGGTAGGGGCAGGGCGCGCACGAAAGCAGTCACTTCAGCTGAAACGATTATGTGGTAATATGATACTGAGATAAGTGGAATTGATTCCTACAAGTACCTAGTCCCATCCAATTACTGCATTTCATAGTTGTGGGATGCAAAAAATCACGAAAACTATTACGAAAGAATAACACGTGGGCAACATCTTGTTGAGTGGTGAGACAAAGTGCGTCTCTAGTTGCTATCAAGGGTGTGTGTTCTGTATCACACCGACCAAGCCAAGTCTAGACAAAACACTCTCCATTATCTCACCATTCTTAAAGGTCGTCGCATATGTCGTCGCAGAAATGACAGCAGCCTAAGTGGTGTGTCAGTATCATTCTATAGAGGTCTAGATTAAAAAAAATTAGGCTTTTTAAATGTGCCGAGCTTCTAGAAGCCGAAAAGGAATATTATGGTGGAGTCCATGTCCGGATAGCCGCTTGGTTCAGGCTTGTCAGCGAGAAACAGGCAGGTCGTTCAATGATGCATACGCATCATTCGACGCACTCAAGAGAATTTGAGGAAGCTATAAAATGCTCACAAAAGCACAGTATGAACAAACATGTGCATGGGTCTGTGCCACCACGAAGACGCATGGGGTTGGTCCTCTCAGAGAGTGACATAAACTTTGCACCTGGCTGGTTTGATACTACACAGTTTGCATGCAGGTCGGTATCATCGATACCTTTGCTATCCTCACTTCGTTCTATGTGAGAGTCAACTCGTTAGATTTGTAGACTTTTTCATGAGGCAAAGGAGTTTACCTGGCTCGATAGTTTGCTGCTTCATACGGAGCAACTAGGTTGGGAAAGTGTCCAAGTAGAGAAATTGGTAGAAATATCGATCCATGATGGACAGTGGCCGACTACTTATACTGACTATGAGCCACAGATTCATACGACGGACTCCGTCCACCTCCGTGGCCATCTCTCGAGCTGGTCTGGATATGTATCTTCTGGGATATTTGAAAATCAAAGCTGAATCTAGTTCTAGATGTCGCTGAACTTAGGTGCCAGCAGTGCCAGCATGAACAGGCACACTTGGTTCTGGAGTCGGCTGGCGTCGACTCGACTCGATCCAGCTCGGGGTTCTGGGTGGACTCCACACGGATTTATCTACAATGTGCGACAGGATATTTCTTCTCTTTGATTCTCTTTATCCATCGGTACTGTCGCCTTGTGGCAGATCTAGAGAAACGCCGCACGGATCAGTTATGAGATGTTCATTTAGTACAATTCATTTCAAAAATATAGGATGCAGTCATTGTAAGTATAGTCGACAAATGTGTATTTGTCGGTCATGTTAATTACCCCTCTCTAGCGAAGTTCAAATGGCCATTATACTCTTTATTCAATGTATACTTGAAATATCTGGATCAATGAGCTGGAAATATTCACCCCAAGCATTGACTGTGTGATATGAGATTGGAATGGAATCCGGACCCACTTACACATTGCGAAGCAGTCGTCGATCGCCTCTAGACAGCAAAGCTCCTCCAATCCACAACCTGACCTACACATCTAATATCCGTCATTCCAGGAAACCGGCGTTCAGATAAAGGACATTCCCTCTTTGGGAGACAGAATCCCAGCCTGAGGGCAGTTTGGAGTACTCACAGATGCAAACATGCAGAGACATGCGGCAATAGGATAATGGACATTTCCGCCGCGAAGACGCATGGGATTACTGTCCTCTCCCGAAAGCGACGTACATGGACTGTGGCCAAGTGTACAGATCACAAAAATTAATATCGAGTAGAGGCGTCATACTAGGCGACATGCGATACAACTGATCAGTGAAGCGATTCATAAGTCAGTCTTGGGCAGTGTCAAATGCATAAGCACTGCTTGATGTCCGAGCCGAAGACAGAGCACCCAGACAAAATTCGTCATTCCTAAGGATCATCGCAAAGTTCCCAAGTCTCCAAGCACAAATAAATGCAGCCTGATTTAAATGGTCAATAATATTCTGCAAACGAGGACCTCTGGACGGAGACATCTGAGCTCAACATCTCCACACGAGACAGCTTCCTTAAACCTCTGAAGGACCAAATAAATGCACAGAAATACTCACAGCAGCAAAGTTTGAGAAAAGGCAAGCATGCACCCCCACCACGCAGACGTGTAGGTGTTATCTCTTGACAGATCGTCATATTTGCGCCTGGCTGATACGACACTACGTGACTTGGGTACATGTAACCATCGATACTGATTTTGATTTGCCCTGAATCACAGACAACTCATCAGGTCTTGTCATGGTCAATGGGAAATAGCGAAGCCCACCCGACTCCAATTGTTGCCTGTGCGGAAGCATATGTGGGAGACGTCCAAGTATATTGAGTAGTAAGGATAATAAACCTTCAGTGCACCGCGGTCGACTTCTTATATGGCAGATTATGAAAGTCCTGTCAGCCTCAATCGTCTCGCGAGTTGGTCCAGGTTCATGCCTTCTTAACTCAAAAGGCCATATTATGGCGAGGCTCTATACTGGCAGTGTAATCAAGGCCGGCATGGACGGCGTTGCCCAGTTCTGGAATGGGCCGGTGTTGACTCGCACGGCTGGCCGGCCCAGCAAGGAAGGGAATGATTCTAGGTAGGATATCCAGGAGAGATGCTTGTAATAAGCAAATGAGAATCAATAAATGGTCACTCATCATGTAGATTTAGACCCAGAACCACTTGACCTCCAAACAATGGACGTATTAGAGGATCTGTGATAAATCATGCTTCAAGCTACCGTCTGGCTTATGGAAAGCCTTTCCCCCACACCCAGAAACCATTAGACTACGTCTTTTAGTGAATTATGAGTACTTTACAACTGGCTGAGTGCCCGAATGGAAATACTATATATATTAGGATGGGTCGTGGAAGGCATGACATTGTTACAAGATTCAAATAGAAGTCAGATCTGAGTTGAGCGTTATTTTATCAAGTTTCAGAGCGAGGCAGCTGCCCATCTAGCCAGTCGCAGACTGTCGAGGGGGAGTTCATACCCTACCCAAGCAGGATCATTTGCATTTAGGTAGCCAGTCAAAAAGACAGTCGCAAAGTTTCTCAAATGGATTAGGGCAGCAGCCTAATAAGTGATCTAGTCAGTATTCCTTGGCAGCTAGCTGGACGAAATAAGATTCAACAAAGAGACAGCCCCTTAAGAGCATTGCTTTCCCCCCTTTTGGAGAGCCGAGAGGAAATGCTTCAATTTCTCCTTTCTTTGGAGCCCCTCATAACATTCTGGATCGAACGTTGCTACTCGGAGGTGTCCAGGGAAACTTGAGCAACACGGAAGTTTACTCACAACAGACAGTGCAACAGCCGCCACGTAGACGCATGGGGCTGGTCGTCTGCTCAGAAAATGACATCGACTTTGGACCTGGTTGACGGGATATCACGTGACTTGCATGCACTTCGACGTCTTTTCTGTCCTTGCTCTGTTCTATATTAAAGCCAATGTATCAGATCCCATTGTCATCAATGAAAAGAAGAAACGCACCTGGCTCAGTCTGCTGCTTATGCAGGAACATCTGTCGCGACCGGGTTGGTAAGTGGAGAAGTTGGTAGAGATATTGATCCTTTGATGCATAGTGGTCGACTACTTATACTGGCCACGAACCATAATTTCATGTGACGGACTCCGGTCGCCTCCTTAATCATATCTCTAGTTGTATTTCTTGCGTCTTAATCCGATGTCGGCAGTGCCAGCGGTGCCAGCATGGAGAGAGAGATTGTGTGTGGGAGAGAGAGGGAAAGAGAATTTGAATTTGAATTTGAATTTGAATTTGAATTTGCTTTCGCTAACAGGTAATACATGAAATCGAGCTGGAATCTTGGGGGCATTGTTCGAGTTCTACTGGTAAGCGGGCCTAGGGTACTCTCTGGCGTGCAGGTGATGCACGTGTCCCTCGTGTGATGTCAACGGTATGATACTAGTTAAGATAGAATGGGTTATTCGGTGGCGATGGAGTGGCGTCCCCAAATGCGGTGGTCTTGACGCTAGGCACTGGGCTGGTTAATTTGAGGACGTCGAGTCTGACTCGGTTGCTTAAATCAGGACAATCTCCGAGTGAAATGGCGCGGCTATGCACATTTTCTCAGTGGTCCGAGGTGTCCATCTGGTGCAGCCTCGTATGTTGTCCCGCTTCGTTGAACTGTGTGCAGTCAAACAGGATATCTTTGCTTATTTGTAGGAGAGTCCTCCATGGAGAGGATATCTGTTGTGGGACGTTGAAGCGTGCGTCGTGCTTGCCGAAGCAACCATGGCCAGTATGTTCGATGTCGCCACCCCCAGCATATTGCGACTGAGTTGACAAAAGAGTGGCTTCTAAGTGTTGATGGAACAGGTGGGCAGCCGTGGTTACAGTGTCAGCATGGAAAGGCACCCTCGGTTCTTTAGTAGCCTAGAGCTGTAATATTATGTCAACCCAGCTTGCAATCGAGTGACTCCGTGCGGGCTGCGGACAGAGATGATCGAATCGTTTATATCCGAAATAATCACGATAAACGATGGGAACTTTTATTTCTGGGTCTTTGTCCTCCTACTTTCGCCCCCGTGGTAGATTTTGTTACTGAAGGACGCCCCGCAGACGAGTTATGGCACGCTTTCGTAGCATACTTGATTCTCAAACCGTGTGGTGTATTGATCATCATTCATCAAATGGCTAACCGAATGGATTCTCACCAGTCTAGCGAAGTTCAAGCGGCTTCTAGGCTCTCTACTCAGTATACTTTTAAAATAAATTGATCATCAGCCTTGATACTATGATATGAAGGACTGACATTATCGCGCAGGATTGGAAAACCAGCCACAATTGAAAGCAGGACTGGGTACTTCGGCTTAGAACTAGACCTTTCTCCGTCTGACAACTAGATTATCTTCTTTAGAAGCGGTTATAATCGAGTTTAGGCTGGGCCTTTTGTATCTCCGCATCGGGTTGGCGAACTGTCTACTATATTGCAATTCTATGTTGCAAAGCTTTCAATCAATGGAGGTAACCGCCCAAGTAAGCATCCAATAACACTATTTGTGCCACTATTCCCCGCTTGATACGGTACAAGGCTCACAAACGTTCGACAAAGTTACCGATCGAAGATCCCGAATTTAGGAGAATGACGACAGAAGAAACACTTCAAAACCAGAACAAATATTTCAAACGAGTTTGATTCAACAGATATGATAAAGAATGATTTACGGGGCAACGTTGATGGTATATCTAGCAACCTAATGGGTGCGTAAGTCATCACGTTTATCTGAGCGCTAGACCCACTTACACATTGCGAAGCAGTCATCGATCGCCTCTAGGCAGCAAAGCTCCTCCAATCCACAGCCTGATCGACACAGTCAATACCCATCATTCCAGGAGACCAGCGTTCAGACGAAGGACACTACTCCCTCTTCAGGGGATAGAATCCCAGTTTGAGGGCAGATTGTATTACTCACATATACAGCATATGCAGAGACATGCGACAACGGGGTGATGGCCATCTCCACCGCGAAGACGCATGGGGTTATTGTCCTCTCCCGAAAGCGACATAGATTTGGCGCCTGGTTGCTGGGATACGACATTCTTCGCGCTGATATCGACGCTGGTGTTGGCTTGCGCTGCATTTAGGACGAGCCATCAAGGTCTAAGTCGTAGTTGGGGAGAAGCAAGCTACGTACCCTGATCGATGGTCTGCTGCTGCTGAAGCATAGTCGATAACGAGGAACGGAGACGAGTGTCGAAGAAGAGAGGTCGAAGAGATAAGGTCTCATTGGACCCACGATGGCCGACTATTTATACCGACGACGACGATCCACAATTAGCCATGCGCCGTCCGCACCTCGAAGTGACGGATTCCAACCGGCATTCTATTTATGCTGATTCGCTAAATCACCTAATTATATCTCGCCGACAACCTTCGCAACGAAAATCGAGAACGCGGCTGCTCCTGACACCTCCAATGGAAACGAGAGTAAACACGGGAAAGTAACGATACACAGGTTTCATTGATCAGAGCCATCCGTCGTACCGACCTAATCGCGTTTCCCTCAACCCACCTACATTCTCGCTAGATTCCCTTTCGTCAACGTCCGGATACACATCCACATACAAGTCATTATCTCTTCCACCGGTATTGAGCGACGACGTGAACCACCATGTTCATCCATACTGACTCGGTCTCTTCAACCAGGCAGACAGGCCCGAAGAAATAGGCGCCTTATGTCCCGCATCTCTACTATCAGAGGTATAAATAAGCTGTGTCGATGCGCCTTGTTGCGATTCTCGCTCACGCGGAGCGATGATACCGGCCATACTGTACCCGCAGTTAGCGCGCTTCTGCGAATGTACCACATGTAGTGGGTAATCGGCATGCGATTGTAATTCGATCACATTTGGCATTCGGTTCGTTGTTTCGTCCAGTTGAGCCCTCGCTCTTGGAGGAATGTGGCCCATCGAACGGCGTCCAGTTACTGGTGGAGCACTCTGTTGTTTTTATTTGTACGTACTGGATGTGAGCTTGACGTTGATGTGACGCCCTCTCAAACACTTGTGACGTTCGGAAATCTAGCAGAATCCACGAAATCGCAATCTGGAACGCGATCCATGGTGCGTAGACTGTCACTCCTATATATACGCGGCTTGCAAAATGCCATGTCGCGAGCACAGCCAACGTGATCGAGAACGTCCCTGCATAGAATATGATCCCGTCCCGGTACGGGATCGCCATAGCCAGTTTACGTGCCTCCCTAGACGATTGTAAGTCATATAGAGTAGAGATATATGCAAGTAACATGGAGTTCCCATTGCGCTAACAAACAGGATGAGGCAGTATAGTCCATGCTTGACTGTCGGCGGGATCCATTGGACCCAAATGTTGGAGATACAGTGAGAAAGACATTGAAAGAAACTTCGCACATGAGGTCTGAAGAGGATTAATTCTCCCCTTGTTTGAAGTAGTACTTACTTTCGGAATGTGCCCACATCGACTCGACGATTAACCCAAAAGACGCACACAAAGAAGCAAACCAGATTGCCAACATAAAATACAGCAACCTGTTGGACAGCTCGTACCACGCCCAGAGCCTACCCTCAATACCTCAGCCAAGGTGAGCGGGGGAGAAACGAACACACCGTAATGAGATAATGAAAGAAACCATTGTGATACAGAGGAACTGAAGTACGAGCGCGAGCGAGAACCAGACTTGACATCTATGAATAAATGAGACGAGCATTGCGTTGGCGGTGGAGCCTACATCTGAGCACCTGTCAGCACCTTGTTCACATGCACTAAGAGGACTTACGTGACTAGTCAACCCATGGACACTACCACTCATCACTTGTGCGCCGTCAGCCATACCACTATCCATGAGGCTGCGTAGCATACCATAGGTATTCCCAATAATAACCAAGGCTGGAACGTATTTTTGATGAATTAGGCGAGTTTAATGACCCTGATGCGCGATCTCCGCATAAACTCGACCTGAAGCGCATCCAAGGATGTTTAGCTCCTAAGGTAAACGAAGATTGGATGAGCTTACATCTTTTGGTAATGTAATAATCATTTCGTACGCCATTAAAGCTAACGCAGCATAGCTCACTGCGCGGGTTGTCCGTACTGAACTCGACAAACCGCGAAACGAGGCGAGCGTTTGGAAGCCAAAGAAGTCTGCTTCTCCTTGTAGTGTTGCAAGGTCTACTACTATCTCACTCTTCACTTTGTCTTCGACCCGAAATCTATATGCTAAAGTGACGCTTTTGCCCAGGTCCTGCTACCTTTCGGACAGTTGCGGTTCTGGTCCTCTCTGAAGCTAACGATTATAATATTCAACGATCGTGGATCTATTGAAACAGTCGTGCTGTCAGAGTCGTGTTGGCGAACAAGAAGAGAGGGAAGGTCACCAATAGTCTAGGGTTTGAAGAGGGTAGCGACTCAGATAAGCGTACTTACCTCGGGTGAGGAATTAGGGCACCTGGCTTTGCGGCGTCGACCCCATTGATACCACGACCAAGGAACCGAGGCTCGTGAACATGTGTAAATAGCCTTTTTGGATGGCAAGGCGATGAAGCTCTATGTTTCATTTATAGCTTGTTCTTCAGAATCGATTAGTCGGGGCGTTGTCTGAGCTGCTCATTTCTATCAGACGGTCCTATCGCTTAATAGGTAAAGCGTGGGTGAACGAGAGTCTGCAACCGAGACTCCAAAGAAGATAAATGGGATACTAAATTCTTAGTATCAATGAACGAAGGATTCCAACGACCCAGATCTTCACAAAAGCGACAGGGTACACGTCGGGCGTACGCTTGTCGCAGATCGAAGGTTAAATAAGTCTATTTGACAGCCATTTATGTAACTGAGCCCAGAGTCACGACGGCCTGGTCTCGTTGACTACTCTGGCACGTCATGGACGAGACCAAGTGGCAGAGTTATCGTACCGTGATTGACCGTGGTTATCGGCATAGTCATTCGAGGTGGACAACATGGGCAATAACAATGCTTTTGCTGCCATAGATTGCGCGTACTCGGTGGACTCGGTTGCTCGAGGCCCGCCGATCCCGGCCGCACCCAAACTTGGACTCTCCCTCGTCGACCGAATGCTGAGACTTCCGTCCATCGTCACCCAGTCAAAACTAGATGACATAGGCATACCTGTCGCCGCGTTAGGAGTCTCTGTACTCTATGCTTTCTATCGAAGCCTGCGATGGGTTACCCGGCCGTGGTTCTCCAACCTCAAAATCATCCCAGGCCCACCAAATTCTTCACCTCTGTTTGGTTTCCTGTTCGGACATATTCCCCAAATGATCAATGGAAGACTCTTCTTGTCGATTTCACAGTGGTATGAAGAGTTCGGCCCAATATTTACTATCAACACGGTCCTCGGGGTGAGCGAAACAATTTAGCATCACAAGTGATCCCCTAACGGTCATCTTTTTAGGATCAGAGGTGCATTACTACAGATAACAAGGCAATAGGCCACATCTTGACTAATACGAACAAGTATCACAAACCCGAAGCTGCTCGCTACCAGCTTTCGTTTGTTATAGGAGATGGTGGGTTGACCAAAATACTGGAAATTCCAAGACTTATCCGGTTCCCTCAGGTCTTGTGCTCGTAGAAGGTACGTCGTCATAGTCAGCACCCAATCCCAACAAACATTGGCAGGAAACGATCACCGTATTCAACGTAGAGTAATGGTAAGAAACTCGCTGAAATTAATTCATTCCTAAGTATCTCACGGTCTTTCAGAATCCCGCCTTTAGCAGCGGACATTTGAAAGACATCTTTCCATCCTTCCAAAGAAAGGCCGCCGAGGTATGGATTTGATCATCTAAATCAGGTATACTTATTGTCTGCTAGCTTCGGGACATTCTTCAACAGCAAATTACAATCGGCCAGGAGTTTATCAGAGTCGACATCCTCCACTGGCTTTCTCGAGCAACAATTGATATCATCGGCCTAGCCGGCTTCAACTACGACTTTGATACCCTTCGAAAAGGCGAGAGTGGGAACGAACTTGCGGCGAGTCTTCACCGTCTCAACTCGCCTAAAAAGTTTCCCATCGTCATGGCGCTCAAGATTTCTCTCCCGCCTTTTCGTATCATATTCTTTGACTATATTGCTCGGGAGTCTCGGTGGACACGAACGCTCCTGCGCCGAATTGGCCTTAGGCTGATTGGTGACAGGATGCAGGAGATGCCGTCCGAGAAGAATTCTCTAGCATATGAGGAGAGCGTATCTAGTGAGTCCTCGTTTAGTTTCGTGCTTCAAAGTCTGAGTAGTCGTCAGACGTCAGTGATAGGGATCTACTCTCTTTGATGATCAAGTCAAACAAGTCGACCACGATTCCCCCAGAGCAGCGGCTCAGTGTCAATTGCATGCTCGACCAGATACCTACGTTCCTCATAGCAGGTAAGTGACATAATCTTGTTGTTGGTCTCGTCTAAAGCCTTTCTAGGCCATGATACCACAGCAACTGGTACTGCATGGGGACTTCAAGAGCTTGCATTGCATCCAGATATACAAATGCGCCTACGCGAAGAGCTTCTAGTAGCATTCCCAACAGAGGATACTCCGGTCACCGTCGATGCCCTCAATGCTTTACCATACCTGGAAGCTGTCGTGCGGGAGATGCTTCGTTTCCACCCGCCTATCGACGTCTTCTCTCGAGTTGCAGTCGAAGATGATGTCCTTCCGTTAGAGCGTCCGTTTATCGACAAAAGGGGTCAACAGCATGCTTACCTCTAGTAAGTCCGAACCGAACCGAAGGGAAAAAGCTGACGAAAACGTGTTACAGTATCAAAAAGGGCGATCACATTCTTATTCCCATCAAACTGATCAATCAATTGAAAGAGACGTGGGGAGAGGACGCAGATAAATTCAAGTATGTCTGCGCTTTACTTAAGCTCGCAGTCGCTTACGTCCTATAGTCCAGACAGGTGGCTCGGGGATCTTCCACCAGCGGTTAAAGCGACACCTGCCCTATGGGCGAATCTCCTCACCTTTGGTGCTGGTCCTCGGTCTTGCATAGGATTCCGGTTCGCCGTCTTGGAGTATGTCTTGGCACAGCATTTTTCATACACATCTAATTTGACTTTACAGGATGAAGATTCTCCTTCTCTATCTCCTTCGCTCGTTTGAGATTAACGTCGCGGTTCAGCCAGACGAACTTATGGGACGAGAAATGTGCGTATCACGTTTATCAAAGAGATTGGGCTCATCACACTACAAAGGGTTGTCACTCGTCCTGTATTGAAAGCAAGAAAGGGGGATGGGCCTCAATTGCCCATTCTTCTTCGCCCGCTTTCGGACAAGTCATAAAGGCCGGTGGATTCCGATTTGTCAGAGCCGCTATCTGAAATGTAATGTACTTGTATACACTGCTCCTGTTTATTCCCGCGAAGAAGAGTCACGAGCCGCTGCAGCCTAACTTGGCGCCTAAGTCTTTCTTGGACCTGCCCATATCTTCACCCTCTAGTTTCTCCCTCAGAAACCTCTATTACAATGTCTTTCCTTCTCTCCAAGGTCAGAAAGCCCAATAGTGGGCACAAAGTCGACTCCAAGGAGACAAACCCGGCGCACACGCGCATCGTCGCCACTTCGTATACGTCAAAGAAAGTGGACATTCCGGACGATTTTCTCAAATTACCCGCACCAGATGCACAGGCAATCACCCTCCATACGGTGAACTTTTCCGAGTCGATTTTGCCCGAGTACGAAGGCCGCTACGCCGTCGTGCTCGATAATGTTATCAGCCCGAGTGAGTGCAAGCAGCTCATTGAGTACGCGGAGCAGAGTGCTGGTGCGAGTGACGAGGGAGTAGACAATAACGGTTGGAAGGCGGCGATGGTAAATGCAGGTGTTGGCCGCGAGGTCATGATGACCGAGTACAGAAACTCGGATAGGATTATATGGGATGATCAAGAGGTGATGAATCGCTTGTGGGAGCGGTGTACCAAGGTGGATGGTGTCCTCGAGGAGATTGGCACACTGGATCACAAGCCGCTCATCCAGGGACGCCGCGGACAGAATAGTCGTTGGATCTTCTCAAGATTGAACGAACGCATGCGATTCTTGAGGTATGGTCCTGGGCAGTTCTTCAAAGGTGCGGAGGCTTTTTAGAGTTCCATCAACCTTTCGACTTACCCTCCCCTAGAACACTGTGACGGAATGTATTCGACACCAGATAATACGGAGCGCTCATTCGTCACACTCCATCTCTACCTCAATGATTCTGTACAAGCAATTACACCTGGCCAGCGCACTTCGGACCGAGCAGTCTCCTTCCCTCCCCCCGTACAAACACCGAATCCTTTGTATCTCAGTGACGAGCCATTAGAGGGAGGATCTACACCCTTCTTATCCTCGGACCTCAGTCGTCGAATCGACGTCCATCCAAAAGCCGGTCGTGTACTCCTGTTTCAGCACGCCGACCTTCTTCACTCGGGCGACTATGTGACCTCTGGCATCAAACATACCATGCGAACCGACTTGATGTACAAGCGTGTACCCAAGACAGATTAACATCTCATAACAACCGAGAGTGTACGAGGTCGTTACAAGGACAGCTTCCATATTCATGACGTGCCTCTTTATCTACCCAGCTGTACAAATAATCATTGATTCAATGCGATTGATGATAACAGATGAACGGCTTGGCCATCCCTCGGGGTAAACATGCAATCGAATTTGACTGGAAGCCTGTATAATCGTCAATACGAGCAGCCTTGACTGCTTATTAGGCGTACCGGAGAACATTTTTCGTGTACTGAACCTCTGTGTATAAGGGAACCGACTCTCCTGGTAAAGGGTCGATATTGAATAATGCTATAGTAGTAGCCGTCATGTGAAACCCGGCACGGTCAGCAAAGTACATTCCCGGGCAGATTCTGAAGTTACTGAGCACGCAGAATGAGTATAAGGCATGTAAATTACCTTGGTCCGAATCCAAAGATGGTGACGGTAGGGTCCGGCAGCTTGCTGGCCTCGGATGATAAGAAACGCTCCGGTCTAAAGATTTCTGGGTCCCCCCATATCCTCGGATCGCTGAGCATAAAACCTGCGGGAAATTATCAAACCACTCATCATAGATGGTCGAACATACCGAAATTTGGGTTTATCAAGGAGCCCTTTGGTATAAAGTAGCCGTTGATCGTTTCGTCGTGCCTGTTCGAATGAGGAATAGCCAGAGGCACGGCGGAATTGAACCGAAGTGATTCTTTCCAGACGGCGTTGGTGTAAGGGAGGTCAGCACGATCTGTCACCCTCGGTAGTCGATCGCGGCCAATAACGGAGTCGATCTCAGCTTGTATCTTTTTTGCAATCTCCGGAAATAGAAACATGGCATGTAGAAACCGGATTATCACGGTAGATGTCTGTGGAAGGAAGTCAGGGGATGACTAGGTGACACAAGTTTTGTACAGTATCAACACCAGCTGAAAGCGAGTCAGAATCGAAGAGCAAGATTCAACCCTCGTACCGAAGTAGAGATTGGCTAACGTATCCTGAACTTCAAATGGAGTACCAAATTCATTGATGAGGTCGTCAGCCAGACAGTGGTCGAGAGTTCCGGCTTTCTAGTACTATGTGAGATATGAGTCAGACGGAGCGTTGAAGCAACTTACATGACGCTCGACAGCCATCTGAAAAGGCCATTCACGAATGCAGTCGACGAGCCGCTTGCTGTATGCACCATGCCGCCTATAGCATGTCTGAGCATAAGAGATTTGACGCAAGCGGTCACATACTTGAATTGTCCTCCCGGCATCCAACTTGGCCAAAAACGAACTTTAGATGGCGGCTCAATGAGGAGAACCATGAATAATTTGGACTCACGCAGCGGGATCAAGTCCACAGCCCATACAGTCAGGAGTGCTTCATCCAAAAGTTTGATTGCTTCTAAATTGAGTGCAATCATCTCTGCGCCGTGATCCTTCACGATACCATGCCCATAAGCGAGTTCGATGATAGTCATGCCCATAATGCTTCACCTGAATCAGCTTGGTATGTAGAGCATAGTAGACGCACTTTGTAACCGTCTCCTTTGGATTCCCTTTGAGTTGTTGCAAGTCGAGGACAAACTGCTGTGCATTCCTTTCGATAAGAGGATCTTTGAGTGGCATCTTTGTAGGCCCGATACCACGTCTGAACATTGTTCGCTCTGTACCATGGACTATGTCGGCATTGATGAACGCGGGCGACCAATTCCAGCCCATACTATGGAGGGTCAGGATTTAAGAGGCGTACTTCGAAGCTTTCACTTACAGTTGCATAATCATGTAACCTATTCTTCTGTCCGAATTGAATTTTGCGCGCTTGTTGAGGAGTTCTTGGGCAACATCCAGACTATTGATGATATAGAAGGACATTCCTGGGAGTTGCACATATACTATGTCACCTATTCAACTTGTTAGAGGCATGTAAACGGGCTGTTATCTCACTTGCCATAGAGTTTTCCCCATTCATTGAAGACGACAGCCCAATCCTCCATCGGAAAGTTGTGCGCGTTCCCCAGCAACGGTAGTCGCGGAGGACCTGGCGGATAGGTTCGGCCTGAACGGTAAGCCCTTCTCGATGCCGCGCAGGCCAGCCCGACCGAGACGACTGCCGCCGCTGCTGCTCCCAACTGGACTAGAGTCGCTCTCGATACGAGCGTCTTGATGCCTTCCATGCTGAGGACAAGTCCAAGGGGCGAAGGGGCGACATGTGGGACAGGGTTGGTCCATAACCGGCAATCCAGATTGTGAGCCCCACAGGGCCACTAGAGATCCTACCGCAGTCTGTTGATCAAAGTATTCACGATAGGAGGTTGATTTGAGCCCGAGGTTTGCATCTTGATACCTTCATGGTGGGATGCCAGCAAAGCTTTCCAAAAGAACGCTTCTTGGTGGTCGTTTCATTAAATTTGTTGAAGCAGTTGGAGGCTTGGCGATCTTGGTGAAGGGGCATCTGAGCGAAGTCGGGTCTAAGAGGTATCGGTAGTTTGGCGTCAGTTCCTCAATCCTTTTTATGAGGAGTAAGCTTTCACTATGATTCGAGTCTTCTGAATAGCTGTATGAGATTGCTCGAATGATCCTGTCCTCTTGATTGAACAACATAGGCGTCTTCAAAGCAGGTTATATATCGCCGTGATTCGATCATATTGATGCTAGTTTGTTCCATGCCCGCCACAATGTAGTAGGGGTGTTAGAGGTTGACTTGCTTCACTTTCTGGGCTGCATCAACCTATCTCTATTCTTAATTTGCCCTTAGAAAGTGCGTGGCTACTCGACTCCGAGAATTCCACCATTCGCACTACATAATCAAGCACACCCATTCGATTCAAAGGACATCACAAGGTCAGTTTCAATGCGTATACTCCGAAAAGCCCGTCCGTCCCAATTCATTCGTTCAGCTAGCTATAGCTTCAATAGCCCAATGCCAGGGAGGATAAGAGATGAGTAGCTTTGCTATCCCTCGGAGCAAAACTGCAATCGAACTTGACGGGAAGTCTGTATAATCGTGAATACGAACAACTCGGCTTGCTACCATGCTCACCGGAAAAGAGTTTTCGTGTATTCAACCTCCGTGTATAGCGGAACCAACTCTCCGGGTAGAGGCTTGATATCGAACAATGCCATCGTCGAAACCGCCATGTGAAACCCAGTACGATCAGCAAAATACATTCCTGGACAAATTCTAGAGTGGCTGAGTAGGTCGAATGCATCTAATAAATTAACAGACCTCGCTCCAAATCCAAAGATGAGAACAGTGGGATCTGGCAGAGCACTGGCCTCGGCTGAGAGAAAACGCTCTGGTCTAAAGATTTCCGGGTCTCCCCATATCTTTGGATTATTGAGCATGAAGCCTACGATGGTCATCAAACATTCATTATAGCGGGTCTAACATACCGAAATTGGAATTTATAATGGAGCCTTTAGGGATAAAGTAACCGTTGATTGTTTCATCGTGCATGTTCGAACGAGGAGCGCCCACGGGCGCGGCACATTTGAGCCGCAGCGATTCTTTCCAGACGGCATTGGTATAGGGGAGATCAGCACGATCTTTCACACTCGGTAGTCGCTCCCGACCAATAACAGAGTCAATCTCTGCTTGCACCTTTTTTGCGATTTCCGGGAAAACAAACATGGCATGTAGAAACTGGACAACCACTGTGGATGTCTGTTGAAAGAGGTAAATAGATGACTGCGTCGCACAAGTTCATTACAGTATCAACACCGGCTGAGAATCAGTCAGAATGGAAAGCTGAGTGAAAAGCCTGATACCTAGATAGAGAGAGGCTAGCGTGTCTTGAACTTCAAACCGTGTACCAAACTCGTTGATAAGATCGTCAGCGAGGCAGTGGCCAAGAGTTCCGGCTTTCTGCCACTTGATGAGGTAAAAGATTAACTAAAGCCTTCAAATTACTGACATGACGTTCGATGGCCATCTGAAAAGGCCATTCCCGAATACGGTCGACAAGCTGCTTGCTGTATGCACCATGCCGTCTACAGTATGTATGAGGACTAGAGGCATGACAAAACAATTACCACTTAAATTGTCCTCCTGGCATCCAACTAGGCCAGAAACGAACTGTAATGGCTCGATGAGGTTTATGGGATTGTATTCGACTCACGCAGAGGAAAGATCCACAGCCCATACTGTCACGACGGCTTGATTCAAGAGTCTCATCGCTTCTACATTAAGTGCAGTCAACTCCACTCCATGATCTTTTACAATGCCACGGCCGTAAGCGAGCTCGATGATAGTCATGCCAATGATACTTTCAGCAACTGTAAGCTATGAGCAACTATGAGCTTGGTAAACGTACTTTACTATTGTATTTCTTGGGTTTCCTTTAATCCTTTGTAAATCGAGAACGAGTTGCTGGGTATGACTTTCAATGAGAGGATCTTTCAACGGCATCTTTGTCGGACCGATCCCACGTTTGAACATTGTTCGCTCGGTGCTGTGAACGATATCGGCGTTTCTGAATATAGGTGTCCATTCCCAGCCCATACTATGGAAATTCAGCACGTTGAAGGATTTCCTTGGCCATCACGCACAGTTTCATAATCATGTGACCAACATTTCGGTCTGAATTAAACTTTGCCCGCTTATTGAATAGTTCTTGTGCGATTTCAAAAGAATTGACGATAACAAAAGAGGTTCCGGGAAGTTGTATGTGGATTATGTCCCCTATTCAACCTGTAGACCCATTTCAAACGGACTGCCCTTTAGTTCACCGTAGAGCTTTTGCCATTCGTTGAACACGACGGCACAGTTATCCACAGGAAAGTTGTGCGCATTCCCGATGAGAAGAAGCTTGGGCGGTCCTGGTGGATAATGTCGGCCTGAGCCGTATGTCTTTCGTGATGTTGCATAGACGAGCCCGAGGGAGATGACAGCCGCCGCTGCAGTCCCCCACTGGACTGGAGTCGCGTTTGATAGCAATGCCTGGATGTTTTCCATGCTGAGGACGAGTCCAAGGTTGGTACAAACAGGAACACGGTGTGGTATCCTCCACAGACCTGTCGAGATCCAACCGCAATCTAATGATAAATTATCCCCGATAGCGCCGTTTCAATTCTCATTGTGCCCCACAAGAGGAAGCACCAGCCAAGAGTATAACGTACAGAGCGTCAGTAACTGTAAAGACGATGAGGCGGCGTCCAAGAGGTAATAGACAGCTAGACCCGCAACGAAGATGGCGTGCAATTCAAGTGATTCTTTACCTCCTTGACATGTCTTATCTATATGCAGGATCTATCGAGTCATAAATCACAGTAAGTCTATCGCCTCCTGCTCCAGGAGAATATCCACTGGTTGACCTACCCCAACTTAGTTCCTTCTTTCACTATCCAGGTATGTTGGCGGCGGACAATTATTCAAAGAAGAATTGCTTATTGGAGGTCACGTGGTGCATCTGATTGCGCCAGGATGACGATCTTGGCATGAAGGTCTCACGAGAAGTCGTGTTTAAGAGGCCTCAGCTAGGTGCCGGTTTCCTTGGCTCCTCTATCCGTTTATCCTTTCTCACTGGCTTCCCTAATTCAATCTTATTATTCGCCAGATTCTTGTCGTCTTAATTTGGGCTCTACCGCTGAATATGTGTTCTAGGCTGCCCGACACACCTTTATCCCATTTTTTGGACCTTATGGATAGTGAATATCATACTACACCTGGTCCTGACGAGCTCACAATTCGCACTCCATTGACGAGCAGGATTCCTTCGACATAGCCCGCAACTCCATTCGATTCATATGAAATCTCGAGGTCAGTTTCAATGCGGATACCCTGAAATCACTGTCCATCCCAATGTCAGGGTCGTTGGAAGCCAGAACCACATGAGGCTCAACGACTCAACGCAAGAGAAGATAAGAGCTGACTGGCTTTATCATCCCTTGGCGTGAATACGCAATCAAAATTGACGGGAAGTCTAAAAAGCAGTCAAATATTGATCACCATTGGACCGCTCAACGTACCGCATGCCTCTCTTGAGGTACTGAACTGTTGCGGGATGAGGTACTGACTCTCCAGGTAGCGAATTGATGTCGAATAATGCAATGGCCGTGGTCACGAGATGGAATCCTGTACGGTCAGCAAAGTACATTCCTGGACAGATCCCGGAACAGGTTAATACATTAGCTATTCCCTTCTCAATGTCTTACCTTGGTCCGAACCCGAAGATAAGAGTGGTTAGATCAGGCAATGAGCTTGCGTCGGAAGAGAGGAAACGTTCGGGTCGGAAGACGTCAGGGTCACCCCATATATTTAGGTCGCTGAGCATCGATCCTGTGATGATATGTGAATTTATCTTGCTTAGAAGGATTCAGCGTACCGAAATTTTGGTTGATGATTGAGCCTTTTGGGATAAAGTGCCCGTTAATTAGCTGATCTTCGTTACTCGAATGAGGAATGCCCAGAGGCATGGAACACTTGTACCGAATAGCTTCCTTCCAGACGGCATTGGAGTATGGTAGGTGATTTCGTTCCTTTGCTGTCGGCAATCGGTCACGACCAATTACTGAGTCGATGTCAGATTGCATCTTCTTTGTGACCTCTGGTAAATGAACATGGTGTGCAAGAATCGGATGATTAGAGTGGGTGTCTGCACGAGATGTGTGAGCATGAAGCAACTTGTACTGATTTCTCGTACTGTATCGACACCGGCTAGAGACGAGTTAGCGAATTCCAAGTAGGTGAGAGGCACATACCAAAGTAGATATTGGCGAGCGTGTCTCGAACTTCGAAGGAGGTCCCAAATTCATTCATCAAGTCATCCGCGAAACAGTGATCAAGCGTTCCAGCTTTCTAAGCGAGTGTAAGGTCAATGAAGTCGCTATTTTGGATGCGGCTCACACGGCACTCGATAGCCATTCGGAATGGCCATTGCCGGATTCGATCCACAAGTTGCTTGCAGTATGCGCCAGATCGTCTGGATATATATATCAGTTTAAGACTAAAGCACGGCGAGCGGTGTACTTGAATTCTCCTTCAGGCATCCAGCTTGGCCAGAAGCGCACTGTAACTGGCTTGAGCCGATCCAATCGCAAAGGCCTCACTCACATAACGGGATTCGATCAACAGTCCACACGGTCAAAATGGCATTTTCCAACAGGTTCCTTGCCTCCAAGTTGAGTGCAATCATCTCGTCTCCATGCTCCTTCACGATGCCTCGGCCATACGCCAATTCGATAATGATCATTCTGACAGTGCTGTCATCAATGTTCAATTAAGAGAGGGTTAGAACCGAGTGAGCCTACTTTAATATCGTGCTCTTCGGATTTCCTCTTACGCCTTGTAGGTCGAGCACAAAATCCTGAGCCTTTCTCTCGATGAGGGGATCCTTTAACGGCATCTTTGTTGGCCCTATGCCACGTCTAAACAGGGTTCTGATTCTGCCGGGTAGTGCATCGGAACTCATAAACGCAGGTAACCAGCTCCACCCATACTGCAGGTCGAGTGAGAAAGGAATGCAGGTGAAAGGACATACGTACAGATTCATGATCATATACCCTATCTTTCTCTCTGAATTGAGCTTTGCGCGTTTGTTACAGAGCTCTTGCGCAATTTCCAGTGAATTGATGATATAGAAGGGCATTCCGGGAAGCTGAACATAGACTATGTCACCTATAACACCCGTTACGTTTGTTCAATGGTTCTGCTAGTCTCATTCACCATAGAGCTTTTGCCGCTCGTTGAAGATGACTCCCCAGTTTTCTGTCGGAAAGTTGTGAGAGCTACCGATAAGAGGGAGTCTTGGTGGCCCTTTTGGATAACGACACGAAGACGGAGGTATCTTTGTCGACCATGCGTAGACGAGTCCAACGGAGATGAGTGCGGTTGCAGCAGCTCCGAGCTGAACTGGGCTCGCGTTTGACAACAATGCTTGGACCTCTTGCATGATGTGGAAGAGGTTAGAAGTGTGCAGATGAGGAGGACTCTGGTCGCCCCTTTTTGCAGCTTACGCCCAAACCGATTCCAACCGCGGAGCACCAGGGCGCGATAGAGATATAGACATAATTCAAGTGCGTGTTGAGGTTCTAGGGTCATTACGAAATTTACGAAAAGGTACTTTTCCTCTGATCATCGAATGGCTCCGAGCACCGAAACGACTTTTGAGCCCTTTGCTGGAATTTGTATCGGGGTGACTGGTAAGAAGTAGAGGGAAATACGATGCTCCAGTCACGTTGACCGACTGTTGCAGCCGAGGGCTGGCGTGTCTACCGCTGACAACACGGAATCCACACGAAGATATTGAGGATCAGCCCAGCAATGTCTGGAATAGCGCCGTCGGATCATTTTACGTTGGCATTGACGACTCGTCAGCCATGGCACGGTTCAAAAGACAGTTCGGCCACTTGGGCGCGCCTACATAATCCGACGTTGACCAAGGCAAACCATTCTCATCCACCATGAAATTATATCCTTCCACCAACTCTAAACGTCCTCGACGACATCACACAGGACCCCGTGCGAATGACTCCACCAGGGCGATTGACCGATTACCCTTGGTCTTGGGGCACATTATCCTCTATCATACTTTGCTTGACTGGAAAGCACCGACAATAGCGTGTGCTGTATGCCAGGCGTGGCGCTGTGCGACTCTATTGACTCGAGAGGCATGGACTTATTTCGACATCCCCGACGACTCGCCAATGACCCCTCGAAATGTCAATCTATGGCTTATACGAGCCATAAACGGCCGATACATGCCCTCGTCGAGTACACGGTGCACAGGGATCGCCAGTCTCTCGCCTGGACATTGGTACCCCGTCTTGTATCTCTCCGCCTAGTAGGACAGTTTGGATGCTTCATGTCCCAGGTTATCTATCTTTCACTCCTCGAGCATCTGACAATACTCGAGCTCGACTTGAATGGTCACTGCACGAATGGGCCTTCCAAGCGTGTAGCACCAAATCTCAAGGAACTCCGCCTACATTCTCTTCGCTGTTGGCGCAAATGGTCGAACCCTCCACCCATCCAATCACTCCACATCAACGTGATGACTTACGAATCTCAATTGGCCTGGCCCCGTATCCTGTGCGAATGCCGTGACACTCTCCAGACTCTCATATCACTACCGCCGCGAAACTACTCGATCCACCACATGGGTCTGTATACATGCCCAAGCTTGAGAAACTCCAGCTGCTCGTGACCGATCATAACGAACGGGAGAGTATAATAGCGTTGCAAGGCTACCTCTTCGCGCCATCTCTCCGTGGGTTTCTCAACGGCTTCAGTAACTGCGTCGTCAACCCGCCTCGATGGGACTATCCAAGTCTCGAGGCGTATACGTTGTGGTACCCAATATACGCGCCGACTCTCTCACTTTACCCAGTTGAAGTGTCTAACCATCGTCGTATGGGTGGAACGGATCAAACATGTCCTGATCCCTATGCTTACCGAGCTTCTGGCGAAAGATGAAGCCCTTTTAAATCTCGAAGAGCTTCGATATTCATTAGAATATGGAAATATGCGGAAACATAATCTGGAAGTATGGAGGAAAGTGCTTGATGACTTGGTGGTTCTGAGAAGACTGACCTCGCAGATACGAGAACGATGCGCTCATTTACTGGTCACGCCGACTCGGCACAAGACGAGCTATCCGTTCTACTTGGGCAGCTGGAGGTAAGCAAGGCAGTTGCTTTGAACCAATCTGATCATATTATAGTGCTTTAGAGGAGATATGAGCCAAGTCTCTAACCCCAGAGGATTATAGTTGAGAGTGTAAGGATTTTCGGGATGTTTTACTCATGATATACATCTTTGAAAACAGGATTAAACCGAGACAGAGACTGGTCGGGTCTGTGCTGCTTACTGGTTATAAGCGTTTTGTACTGTTCAATAGAGTACTAAATCATTGCATGATTGCCAAGGTCATCTAGTGAAGCCCGCCGCTCAACTTCGATGGTTGGGATCGAGACTGGCAAGCGCCAAACTCATCTTGGACCCGTCCACCTCCCTTTCGCAAGTCAACTGCCCAAGAAACGCGACTATGAATCCACCAGGTTCTTCATCTTCTACAGCACCCTCATCACGCAAGAGGGGTCAAGTGTACAACGCAGCCAGTGTCGGTCTCGACTTTCTGGGGAATATATCCGAGGGGTCAGATATACTGTCTCCCCTCAAAGCAGCATGTAGAGCGACTAATTCGGTTCTCAATGTTATCCAAGTGAGTAGACGATACCAGCATCACTTCCATCTGAACACGCGGCGGCAGGCAATCAATGATAACCAAGAAGAATGGGACGAAATAACCCGACGCCTGGATCAATACATGTCATCTATGGAGAACCAGATTGATTCATTCGAGAAGTATCCTCCAGAAGACAGGAAAGTAGACGAGGCATTCAGTCGGCCGCTCGTCCATTATGTCGAGTACGTACACGGACCAATCTACATCTCCGTGCTAAGAAACGCAGGACTCTCGAGGATTTCTCTAGATTAGTCGAGAATCACAGGCATAAACGAAGTCGTAGCGGATTTGGCACGTTGACAGAGATTCGAAAAGTCAAGATTGATGCCGGAGTGATCCGTAACTTCAATCGTGATATCGAGGATCTGCATCGGCAGTTCATGGTACGCCCTTCATCGGCGACGTTCTCAACCTTACATGCAGATAGGAGGCATTGAGCAGCTTTACCGCATTCCGTATTCAGGCTATCGAAAGGAAAATGGAAAGGATCCTCACCGACGGTACGTTACTATTTGTACAAAAATCTCGCTGACTGGTTCAAGACGACGCGTCTGCTATACTCCAGTTGCCAATAGTAGCATTCGTCGCGTCTTCGGTCCACAATACCTGTCTACAAGGAACGCGTGAGGCTGTTCTTCAGACAATCTGGCGTTGGGCGGAGGACGACATGTCGGACAAGCCCATCTTTTGGTTGTGTGACATAGCCGGCTCTGGCAAATCCACCGTGACAATGTCTGTTGCGGAATCATGGCGAGCGCAGGGCATCCTAGGAGGCCAATTCTTCTTCTCCATGGCCAGCAGCGAGGCATCCACTACGGAGAAGTTCTGTTCCACCATAGCAAGAGAGCTCGCCAACTACATCCCCGAGCTTGCGCCCCATGTGGCAGCAGCCATAAAGCAAAATCCCGCCATTCTGCGACGCCCACTCCACGAGCAATTCCGAGCGCTCATCATCGAACCACTCCGTCACCGACAAGAACGCATAGTCCTAGTCTTGGATGCCATCGACGAGTGCAAGTTGGGATCACAGAGGAGAGAGCTGCTCGACACCTTGTCCAGGGTTGTTGGGGAAGCCAGGAATCTGAAGATATTTATGACCAGTCGGCCTGATCCGGTTATCGAAGACATCTTGAAGCCGCTTTCGATCAAAGCAGAGCTAAAGGACCGCCTCCACGATGTCAGTCATCATGACAATATCGACGACATATCAACCTACGTACATCAGTCGCTTCGTGAAGTCCTATCGCATGACAAGCGACAACGACTGGTCGAAAAGGCCAAGGGGTTGTTTATCTGGGCAAGCACCGCATGCCGAATGCTCATCGATCCTGCGACTTTCGATACCCCCGAGAGCATATATCATCGGCTGATTGCTGTGGATCAGAACGGGGCAATGGACGAGGTTTACGACCTGGTGTTTGAGCGTACAGACCCGAACTCGTATTCGACCATGTGTAGTATGCTCGCATTGCTACTCGCAGCATTCGAACCCCTAACTATCAATGATTTCGACGACCTCCTCAAATCGGCTGGAATCTGCGGAAGAGCCAGGGCATTGGTGAAAAACCTGGGAAGCGTACTTACTGAAGATCCGACTACAAATTTGATCCAGTTTCGTCATCCCACTTTCATCGAGTACCTTCGAGGTCGCTGCACCACCCCCACCGTCGATAATCGGAGTAAAATGTATCTTGATATTACCCATGCACACGGTCAAGCCGCTTCGTGGTGTCTCCGAAGTCTCAAATCACCCAAGGAAGGTCTCAAGTTCAATATATGTGACATCAAGTCATCCTTCTACCTAAATAGACAGCTTCCAGACCTAGAGGCAAGGGTGTCGAAGCTCATCCCCAGAAAACTTCAATATGGGAGCCTTCATTGGTTGTTCCATGTGTCCGAAACGGATGGCGGTTGGCGACGAAGATTGAAAAACGAACTTCGATACATAGTGACGACTCCATATCCGCTATACTGGATGGAGATCCTGAGCGCCATCGGAGGGGTCGCAAGAGCGATAGGTGGGCTTCGGTCTGTAGCCTGGTGTACAGAGGCGAGTAGTCTCTGATTTGTTTTTTCTGCCTATTCACATACAGGACAGATTGAAGAGGATACAAAAGGCCGGATTCATGAGATCCAGCGATTTATGATGACATTCCTGGTGGCTATTCAGGACAGTATACCACACATCTACCTCTCAGCATTACCATTCACGCCTAGGAAGTCAAATCTACACGTGGAGGGTCTGCACGAGTATAAGGATACTATTGGCGTGACCCAGGGTCTTGAGGATATATACTATGGATTACCAGACGCTCTTCGAGGTCACGACGGTTGGGTCAACGCTGTCGGATTCTCACCAGACGGCTCGCAAATTGTCTCTGGCTCATGGGATACGACCATTCGACTGTGGGATGCAGCCACTGGTCAGCCGTTAGGAGAGCCACTTCGAGGTCATGAACACTCAGTCAGGGCCGTCGGATTCTCACCAGACGGCTCGCAAATTGTCTCTGGCTCATCGGATAGGACCATTCGACTGTGGGATGCAGCCACTGGTCAGCCGTTAGGAGAGCCACTTCGAGGTCATGAACACTCAGTCAGCGCCGTCGGATTCTCACCAGACGGCTCGCAAATTGTCTCTGGCTCATCGGATACGACCATTCGACTGTGGGATGCAGCCACTGGTCAGCCGTTAGGAGAGCCACTTCGAGGTCATGAACACGAAGTCAGGGCCGTCGGATTCTCACCAGACGGCTCGCAAATTGTCTCTGGCTCATCGGATACGACCATTCGACTGTGGGATGCAGCCACTGGTCAGCCGTTAGGAGAGCCACTTCGAGGTCATGAACACGAAGTCACCGCCGTCGGATTCTCACCAGACGGCTCGCAAATTGTCTCTGGCTCATGGGATAGGACCATTCGACTGTGGGATGCAGCCACTGGTCAGCCGTTAGGAGAGCCACTTCGAGGTCATGAACACTCAGTCACCGCCGTCGGATTCTCACCAGACGGCTCGCAAATTGTCTCTGGCTCATCGGATAGGACCATTCGACTGTGGGATGCAGCCACTGGTCAGCCGTTAGGAGAGCCACTTCGAGGTCATGAACACGAAGTCACCGCCGTCGGATTCTCACCAGACGGCTCGCAAATTGTCTCTGGCTCGGATGACAGGACCATTCGACTGTGGGATGCAGCCACTGGTCAGCCGTTAGGAGAGCCACTTCGAGGTCATGAACACGAAGTCACCGCCGTCGGATTCTCACCAGACGGCTCGCAAATTGTCTCTGGCTCATCGGATACGACCATTCGACTGTGGGATGCAGCCACTGGTCAGCCGTTAGGAGAGCCACTTCGAGGTCATGAACACGAAGTCACCGCCGTCGGATTCTCACCAGACGGCTCGCAAATTGTCTCTGGCTCATCGGATACGACCATTCGACTGTGGGATGCAGCCACTGGTCAGCCGTTAGGAGAGCCACTTCGAGGTCATGAAGACTCAGTCTTGGCCGTCGGATTCTCACCAGACGGCTCGCAAATTGTCTCTGGCTCATCGGATAGGACCATTCGACTGTGGGATGCAGCCACTGGTCAGCCGTTAGGAGAGCCACTTCGAGGTCATGAACACGAAGTCACCGCCGTCGGATTCTCACCAGACGGCTCGCAAATTGTCTCTGGCTCGGATGACAGGACCATTCGACTGTGGGATGCAGCCACTGGTCAGCCGTTAGGAGAGCCACTTCGAGGTCATGAACACTCAGTCACCGCCGTCGGATTCTCACCAGACGGCTCGCAAATTGTCTCTGGCTCATGGGATAGGACCATTCGACTGTGGGATGCAGCCACTGGTCAGCCGTTAGGAGAGCCACTTCGAGGTCATGAAGACTCAGTCTTGGCCGTCGGATTCTCACCAGACGGCTCGCAAATTGTCTCTGGCTCATCGGATACGACCATTCGACTGTGGGATGCAGCCACTGGTCAGCCGTTAGGAGAGCCACTTCGAGGTCATGAAGACTCAGTCAGGGCCGTCGGATTCTCACCAGACGGCTCGCAAATTGTCTCTGGCTCATGGGATACGACCATTCGACTGTGGGATGCAGCCACTGGTCAGCCGTTAGGAGAGCCACTTCGAGGTCATGAAGACTCAGTCTTGGCCGTCGGATTCTCACCAGACGGCTCGCAAATTGTCTCTGGCTCGCATGACAGGACCATTCGACTGTGGGATGCAGCCACTGGTCAGCCGTTAGGAGAGCCACTTCGAGGTCATGAAGACTCAGTCTGGGCCGTCGGATTTTCACCGGACGGCTTGCAAATTGTCTCTGGCTCGGAGGACGAGACCGTTCGACTGTGGGATGCAGCCACTGGTCAGCTGTTAGAGGAGTCACGTCGAGGTCATAAACACTCGGCCAATGCCTTTGGATCCTCTGCAGGTGACAGACAAATCCTCACTGACTCGGATAACAATGGGGCTCAATTGTGGGATTTATGGCATGGTGAGTATTTCCAAAGCTCAATTTTGGTTTCTTGATGTTAAGAACTGACAATCGTTTTCTGCTAAAGCAGTGGATCATCTTGGTAATCAAGGTAGTGAGCCGGTAGACTTGCACTTTGACAACTCAAATGGCCGTACGACGTCGCCAGGCACTCCGTTGCCAATCACAGTACCAGGATTCAAATATTGCTCTCTTTTGCAGGATGGCTGGGTGCAATCCTCTGGTAAATTTCTCTTCTGGGTGCCCCCTGATAATCGACATGGACTACGGTATCCACGGTCTCGTCTGACAATACCGACCAACTCTTCTCTTCGTACCACCAGAATAGACTTTACTAATTTCTGCTGTGGGACCTCTTGGACAAGAGTTCGGGGTGCGGACTAGCGACTCGACTGAGCCATTATTGGTATACGCAATAGATTCTGTTTTCTGTGCGGTGTTACACAAAATTAAGGCTTTAGGAGCGGATAATAGTTTCTTGGGAGCCAGGATGTGTACGAATCGTTCTCGCTCTGGTGAGTCCAAGGACCTGTAAGTTCGAACAGTCCCAAGAACGGAGCAGCTTAACCTGCTCTTGTCGGTTTCAAGTTCGTTTGGGGAAAAGCATCCTTCAAAGCAAACCACTCATCCGATAAAGGCATTCCTAAATTCTATGCACTCAACAACTTCACAAATTTGTAAACACAGAACTAGCCCAAAGGAAGAGAGGAGTAGAAGCGCAATAAACGGTGTCTACGCGGACGAGTGGGGGAGACGAGGAGTAGCATAAGAGATGACAAATGAATGGAGATGAAGAGCCAAGACGAGCTCATTGCCAAGGAAATGAACTGTGATTGGAAATCTTCCGTTGGACAAGAAAACGCCGAAGAATGGGAGAAGACCATTGGCGTTTCTCGCCCTGAAGCAAGGCGAGACGCAATAGCGACGACCTCTCAATTCAGCGAAGGTGGGTACGTTGAATCCACGGTCGACATTGCGGTGTGGGAGAAAGGGCTGCCGTTCAGTATTACCGATTGTGAAGGGGGAGACGAGAGCGGCAGTAACTAAGGCGTAGTAAGGGGATTTTGCATGGGAGGAAATACCACGAAAGGCAGAACAGGGGCTCAATAGTCCTTCCGAAATCAAGAAAAGATAGTCCAATCTATCGCCCCTTAAAGAGGGCGACAGGAGACGAGGAGGGGAAAGACGTGCGTCATCGCGAGCAGCCGCCATACCAGCGAACTGGAATGGGCAACCAAACTCGCTTGCACGTCTGCGGTTAGACGAGACGTCTAGTCGGATACAGTTACAGGAGAGAGCAGTCGTTCCAATGCCGCTACTGCTAGTGCGAATGCTCGTGAGGTAGATTCTACAAGAGGCGGGGGGTTTTTCAAAGGGAGGAGAAAGTCGTGCAGAGCAGCGTGCACGACCATGTCCGGCAAGATGGAATCGTAATATCGTGAGATGGGAGGAATATTGGGCGACCAGGCCAGCGCTTTAGATGCTTGGGAACGTGAAGCGCCACGAACCCATCAGCGCTACCTGGGACCATCGCCGGTCGGAAACAAGGGCATTGATGGTATCCGTTAAGTATGAGCTTGACTAAACAGAGTACCCTTGAGATTCCTTTCTGGTTGACTCGTCGTCGCCAACCACCTTTACTCCACGCTGAGAGCTGACACTTCGGATATTCTTGCCGTCCTCAGCCAACTCTCGGTTTAGCAGGAGGGCCTCTGACTCCTCGGCATTGATCTGTTCCGGAGACTCTCCTTCCTCTTGCGGTCTATCCGCAAAGTCTGGTTTTCGTAGAGCTTTCCGGAACGCGTCGGCCATGATCGCAGCGTCCGAGCCGGTAATAACGCCCTCGGCAGCAGACGTTCGCGAGGCAACAGAATTGCCATCATTGTATCGAATCGAAGGCGCATTCCGCACTGGAGGCGCAAGTAGCGATGCCGGACCGCCGCCCATACCGCTAGCCGCTATTGGAGACACGGGTCCGCCTGCTCCTTGAATCATGGGAGAGTCGGAGCCCATCGACGACCGATTCTGCAGCGATCGTTTTCTTCTTGCGCTACGAATGACGACAAAGAAGAGAGTGAGAATAGAAACAATGGAGATGAGGCCGAGTATGACGATGAGCGCTATGGCCCACGGGGGAAAGTATGAATTGTTGTGCGACTGCTGAAGCGCCGCATCGCGGGATTGTTGGGCTGCTTGTGCTGAAGACGACTCTGAAGCGGCAATGGACCGCGAGACCGAGGCGAGTGACTGGGAGATGATCGAGGCACTCGTCGAGGATAGATATGCATTCGGGAGCGCTGTCTGTATCACCGTAAACGTGGGTTGCCTTGCTTCACCACCGTCAATGGTGTGTGTTGCGGGAATGATCTGCCAGTAAAACGTCCAGTTTCGGGGACGGCCTTCCCACTGCGTGACTGCCCGCTGGTCCCACCATGTGTCGTCGACAGCCAAAGAAAATCTCCCGAGCTTGTTTGGCATTGTCCAGTTCCCGACCTGGCGATCACTCTCTGCGTTTCGCAAGATGAGCGTGACATCCGCGTCACCATTGTCTCCGACAAAGAGGGCGTAGCGGGTATTCCCTGCAGTAAACATGAGCAATTCTTAGTGTTTATTCTAATGAGATGGACGGACAGATGAAGCGGGTGTACTGGTTCTGGTAGGCAATGGTGCTGCTCGTGGGATAGCACGACTGGGTGTCTGGTGAAACCGCTAGACAGTCTGGATCTGCTGAGAAAGAAATGTCAGAACGAAATGTCAACGAGCAAGACTCCTATTCAACGCGGACCGAATGCTAAAACGCGAACGGCCAGGGTAGTGCAACATATTCAGGCTGTCAAGGTGTCGACTCCGGTGCCCTTCGACCTCCGTACGCAAAAAAAGAAAAAACGAAAAATGGGGAAAATACAGAAGAGGATACTTACTATCACTGGCAGACGGTTGGTCCTGGCGTCGGTGCATCTTGGGCAGATCCAGTGCCTCCCAGACGCGAGGCTCAGTGGGCGTTGGACGCAGCACTGGGCGCATGAACGCAACGTTGATGGAGAATGATCTTGATTATTAAATGATTATCCTGACGAGCATAAAGCCCGTACGGGCAGCGGCGCCGTTTGGGTGGGTGATAGGCGGGTTCAAAATGTAAACCACAGACGTCAGTCGAGCTCATCGCTTGTCTTGGGAACCTGGCCAAAGGGACCTGGGAAAAATCACAGAAAACAGAAAACAAGAAGGTCATCATTCATTCTCAAGCCAAGCACGTATAAGCATCATAAACACAGAACAGACCGAACCCAGTAGCAGACCGACGACGAGAGGAGTGCAGGACGAGAGAGGAAGAGAGAGAAAGAGAGAGGCTAAAGAATCGTAAAACAAGAGCATCACTTGAGCAGTCGCTCGTGTATCTCTGCCGTACGTAGGCGCGCGCGCAGATACTCGAGCCGCTTGTCGTACCGGGACACCACGCTCGCACGCTTGCGTCGAATATCCTCCAAACCCCTTTCCAAAGCTACCTGCTCCGTGTCTCGCTCATCGTCTACCCCTAGGTTGACCACGTTCAATGGCTGGCTGTCTTCCCTGCCGTGATTCGTCCCAACAAACCCCGACCGCGAACGGGACAGTTTCCCATGCGGCGTCGGGGAAGAAGGAACGCGATCAAGTGAGAGATTAGGGGAGGAGCGGTTAGATTGTGATGCTGTCATCGGATGTAGGGAGGACGAAGTCGAGGGTAGCAACGCCGATGAACTGAGATTCGAATTCGACGCTGAGGACGACGAGGATGCTACTGCAGCGGTCGGGAGGGGGGGAAGTGGGGGAAGGGCTTGGTTCCGTCTGCTCAGGAAACTGAGGGACCCCTTTCGCTGTAGAGCGGCAAAGCTCCTTAGGGAGCTCGATGAAACACTCGCCCGAGATGACTTTTCGTGTGCATTCAGCTTCTTCATGTCCTGTGATAACTTCCATTCCGTGGGAAGCTCGCGGGTGGGGGAGCCGACGATGTTGGCCCCATTCGTATCTATTCGACCCCCCATGGCCGGTCTGTACTTCATCAAAACGGTCATCTCCAGCCCGTTGAACATGTCCAATACTTTTTTGTTCTCTTCTTCCAGACTGACAATCTCGGCTCGAAGCTCTGCTGCAGTCCAATCTGCCCCAATCTCGTCTGAACCACCACCTTCTGATGGCGCATGTCTCCGATGATAGGAAGAGGGTGGCCGACTTCGCGACGTGGTTCTAGAGACAAAGGTCGCACTATCCAACCCGCTCCTATTTGTTCGCCGGGACGCTATAGAGCGAACGTCATACGAAGTCCACTTCCGGACCCGGTAGGCATCGCTCCGAGGGAAGGGCTGGTTTGTATTGAACCGGCAGAAGCCTTGTGGACCAGCGTTCGTGGTAGGCCTCTTGGATGTACCGAGCTATTGCGCGAGCCCCGCGAGTATGTAGATTCGGCATCGTTTCCACTACCACCAAAGCTTGTACGTGGCGTTGTTGATGACCGGCGTGTCGCTCGTCGAATCAGAGAGGTAATGGCGGTTTGTATCGACGAGCCTTGCGAGCGGTTGGAGCGAATCGAGTGTGTCCCTTTTGAAACATTAAAGTTGGAATCTCCTTGCGGCACGGACGATTGACCGGAAGTTCGCTCGGCGTTGGCTGTCGGAACGTAAAATGTGTCAACCTCATACGCGTGTCGATCGCACCGGGGAAACAAGGACATCCTCTAAAACTAGGACTTACAATTTGACATTGACGCCTTTCGATTGAGCGGCGAGGGAAGTGCAATTGGCGACTGTTCGGCGGGTATTTGGGCCGCCACGGACCCAAAGCGCTCGAACAGGTTTTGTCGGAGCAATCGATATTCGTCGTCGCTGTCAACGAGCGTCAACCCGAGCTCATTTCGGCAGACCCGCCTAGAGCGACTAGGTAGGCGAAATAGAGGAGACCATACCTTAGCAACCCATCCGCGTTAGCTGTCGCCAATTCGTCTAGTCGTTGCGCAAGCGTGACTCTGAGAGAATAATAAGCTCTAGCTAGCGGACTGAGAGTTTCTTACGTGACATTGTCCGTCGCCAGTCTGGCAGGGAGGGAAGAGGGACCGGGTTGAGAAGCGCTAGAGAGCTTTCTCATTGTTCCGTATCGACTCTGGGTGTCTTCGTCGTCTGACATGACGGTCGGTGCAGTCTTTGCACTCCACGTCCCGTACGATGGCGCTGGCCGACTCTTTGTACCGTTGGCAGTCACAGTGTCTTGATTAGCAGGCTTTTGAGACTGTGATTTGCCATTCGCGGTCGATGTCGAAGGGCCCCCACTGTCTTGGTCCTTCTTGCGCGAGTACTAGTAGTCTACGCGTCAGCAATAGCTCTCAATATTCAATAGCTACATCAAACAGAGTCACAAACTCACCCATTTCGTCTTTGGCTGTACAACCGGCGTGGATCCTGTCGAGAGCGCCGCCTTCTCCGTGTCCGCACCGTGTTTCTCAATCCAACGATTGGCAAAAAAGCCCATGGAAGTGAGGTGCGAAATATTGTAAATGTTGCCCGCGTCCTCCTGAGCTCACGACGGCGAGCGTCGACGTCAAGTTTGTAATGGGTCGAAGCCAACGAGCACTCCTAGAGTGGAGGCCAACGTCGACAGACCGAATCTGACGACAGTCTCTGACAAGGAAATATGCAGACAGGGCGGGGAGCAACTAAGGAAATAACACCACGGCTGAACGCGTTTCGATTCCCAGAAGCAGGCCCCGGTTATGTTTCATGACTCTAGTCTAGCATAGAACTCAGCTGCAGGCGATCTACGTTTAGTATTCAGACGGTGTTTCATCTTCGTATTGCCCAATCGAGGACGGCGCATACGACTCATCTGCTATCCCGCCGCTAGTGTCGGGCACGTCAACGCCCCTGTTCAGTCACGGAAAATCCTGTCACTCACCCTTCTTCATACTACAACAAGGTCAGCACTGAAACAAAGGAACAACGAGTATGCTCACCTGTTGGTACTCTGCAATCAAGTCATTGACATTGCTGTCGGCTGCAGTTGTTCCTCTGTCAGTCCTGGCTTGTCGATCAAAGATGGGAGGATGACCTGACCTTCTTGGAACTCCATCACGTCCATGCCTTCTTGGGTATACCAATGCAGGAATGCACTTCGCTTGTACATAGCCCCATATAGATTCGAGATTCTCTTAAACATTTCCTGGATAGCGGTCTGGCTAATGATGAGCTACCACCTCGCAACATGACAAAGTCCGCCGTTACCGTGTTCATCAACGATGTTGCCGCCTGCTTCTGGCCCACCGGAGGTACTGGGCAAAGCGTAATGGACACATTGTCCGGGATCCAATCTACGAAAGAGGACGAGTTCTTGGTTTGGAGTTGTTGAACAGCCACCTCGACTTCCTGGCTCGACACTTTTCCTCGGAAGATTGTAGCTACAGTTAGGTTTCTTCCCATCTATACAAAAAGATCAGCAGGGTCGCGCCAAGAGTATAAAGGAAGGCCCTACTCGTGGGTCACACGCGACCAGGAGGTTATGTCGATCAAATAGTGACGACACCAGCTCGGGGACAGAGAAGCTCTGCAATGATCATCAGTCGACAGGTCAAAAGGGGCAGTATTTGACAGACTTGATATGACTGCGCATTCTGTGCGATTAAAGGGGAATAACTCGGAAGAAGAAAGTGTAGTCGAGGAAAGGGAATGAGGTTCATCCCCAACTTTCGGAGATCGGCATTAAGGTGACCCGGGAAGCGTAGACTCGTGCTGACACCGCACATGACTTGGGCAATTACGTGATTAAGGTGCGAGAATTCTGGGTGGGGGATTTTGAGATTCCGAACGTTGATGCCGTGTAGCGCTTCGTTGTCCATGCAGATCGTCAGGTCACTATTCTCCGTCAGTTGATGGATCGAAAGCATTGCGTTGTAGGGCTCGACGACCGTCTCTGACACGAGGGGGCTTGGCATGACAGAGAACGTTGCCAACATTCTATCTGGCTCTTCTTCCCGAAGTTTGGAGAGCAATAAGGTTCCGAGGCCGGAGCCGGTCCCACCACCGAGAGAATGAATGAGTTGGAAGCCTTGGAGAGCATCGCATTTCTCCGTTTGTTTGCGGATCATGTCCTGAGATATGGTCAGATATGGTGATGCGGTCACATAGCGCATACCAATAGCCCTTCTACGAGCTCGGCTCCTTCAGTGTAATCTAAGCCTAGTCAACCCGTTGCTCAGGAGTCAACTACCCATGCGTACGTCCTTTGCCCCAGTTATTCGCTGCTCCACTGTCTGCATGTACCCATGAATCTGGAGCGAATAGCCTTCCACGTTCTCCACTTTTAACTAGCCAACCTAGTCAGCCAGTCTCGTGGCATGGTAAACTTGCTACCTTTCCGATTACACCTCCTTCTAGATCGACTTGGATACTACGAGGGACGTAGCGTGCTGGTCGACCACCTGTCGGTTCAATCTCCTCAAAGTAGGTTGTAATCCTATCAAGCTGCTGGGGATCTTTCGAAGTATACACCTGTAACGATCAGTACATATCAAATTCCAACACACGTGTACTGACTCCTTGGCTATCCAGTCCGTGTTCGAGCAAAAGCATAGACCAAAACGCATCGCCGATCTATTAGGAGTGTCAATATAAGGTATGGAAATAGTGCGAAGAAGGTGATGGGGCGGTTGAATGTAGGTCACTTCTAGAGCGGAGTCTACGGCTCCGCCTCTAGTTTCATCCGACTATGAAACGGCGCGGAGGATGCAGACGAAAGTACAGACCTGATTACCAGCCTACTCATATGTGTATAAGTAGAGTTAGAGAGGAGAAAACCGGCGTCAGAAAGGGGCTCTCGACCGCCTAGAACCGCCTGAAAACGCGAGGTAGGCGATAGACGAACCTGTCCGGCCTGAAAGACGCGTTAAATGGTGTATTATAGCACATAAACGACTCGGAATACCTGGATGTTAACGATTTCGCGTGACATCAAGAATTGCAGATCAGGTCAGGGACAAGTTTTCATCCAACTTTGTAGCCCTGTCAAGCAAACAGACCATAGTCTCCAAGATAGAACGACTATTCGTCGCATATGAGCGCTATTGTTAGTTGTCACGCCAGCCACGCATTCTTGGACTTCCCCACATTGACATGGCGCTCAACGCAATTACCATCTACAGCCATCCAGAGCCCACCAAGGAGTCGAAACTATCAGAATTGGTCTCCGAGCCCGATGAAGGCACTCAGGAGTCATCCTCGAAACCGCTTGTTCGAATTTCGAACAGGTTTGTGTCAGCAAAGGGAGAGTACGACGAGTTTGGGCGACTTACCGGAACCTCTGATGCTCTTATCGATGAAAGCACGAAAAGGAAGGGGCCAGGAGCGGGTATTGGCGATTGGTACTCGTCGCTGCAGCGCACACAGACGCCAACGAGTCATACCCCATCATCGCGGTCGCAAACCCCTAGCATGGGTCACTCGAGACCTACTAAGTCCACTCCTTCGATCAATAATGCGCCTGCAAGGACAAACTGGTTCAAACCACAAGCACCTCAACCCCAAACGATGTCAACAGCAGACTCGCTCGCGGATATGCTCAAGCGAGATCCACCAAACTCACAAAATCCTCTCGTTCCACCAGTCTATTATGCTCTCGGACCGCAGAATCGCGGGTATGAGATGCTGACCAAAGGTGGTTGGGAAGAAGGACAACCGCTCGGTCCGACGAGTAAACGAACCCAGCCACCAGTCCCAATCTCCTCAAGTATGAAACAGGAAAAGTGGGCGACACTCACTGGAAATATGCCCAAGCTGGTTGTACGCGACGAGCAAGATGGGTCTGCTCGGCTTGTGGACCTCGCAAAGCCAGAAAATGACGATGATGAAGATGAAGAATCAGACACCTCGGATGAAGAGCAAGGCGATGGGTTATTCTCCATGGGCGATGTTAGTCAACCGGGGAGCAGTGTCACGGTGCAGGCAGGGAGATCGAAAGATTCAGCAATCCTTACCCCTATTCCTGTTGTTCTCAAGAATGACCGCGCAGGACTCGGTCTTAGCAAGAAGAAGCGGCTCGTCACACACTCGTCGCTCGCCTTGCAACACCATATTCAGCAAGGCAAACTAGAACGACGACACCATGCCACGGAGATGAGACAAATGGAAAGAGACTATATGCGGGGCGTATATGGAAGAGGCAAGCGCGCCTACGCCCGCAAGGCTGCGGCCGAACAGGAAAAACGAAAACGTCTACGAGAGTTAATGAACTCGTAGAAGGTTGTATTGTATAAATTAACGATTATGTTTATGTCACAATGTATACATAGAGTATATCTAATTTGATGGAAGCTTAAAGCTCCGAGCGGGTGAAAGGCACATCCGCTTGAGTATTCCTATCAGCTTCAAGCCTTTTGCTAAGCGAGTACCACCATTCGAGGGCCATACTGCGTTGGGCATCTCCGACGTTGCGGAGAATCTCCTCATACACTGCCTTGATAAGCACTCTCTGGTTTTGCTTATTCTCCTCCAGTATGAGTGTCCCTATGGTATCAAGGAGTTTTTTGAAGGAAGCGTTTACGGTAGGGGCTGAGGAGATCAGCGAGACCAGCGAAAGGAGCAGACGCAAGTGCCGTTCTTCTTCGTTGGGATTTCTTTCTCGAATCGATTCAAGAAGTTCCTCAATGCAGTACCACGCGAGGGCACCATTGTCATCCTCCAACATCGAAGCTGCACCAGATACCAGTGCGGCGAATGCGAGTCTCAGCTGCTCTGTGCTTAGCATTCCGTCCTTCGAACACTACCGAATGATTAGCTTTCTGAATGCCATTGAGGTGAGACTCACGTTTATCAGGACCTCGACATAGAATGGGACGAGCTGAGGAACTAACTCTTTGGTGGTAGATGACGCCTTGCCAGAGTTGAGCAACGCAATCATCACCGAGTGTGCCGATTCAAACGCTTCCCGATCCGTTGAGGTCTGGATATATCTGAGTTTCCGTCAGGTCGGATCCCAAAAAGGAGAAGGAAATCCTTACTCTTGGCAGATAGGCAGAACCGAATCAGTAAGAGACGACACAGACAACTGGTCTATGAGCTGTTCTGCCGTTTGTAGAAGGAAACAGCTTAGGGCTAGGACCGCTGGATGACTTGGACCGGCAGTGCCGCACAGGGCACGTCTTTGTTCTGAAAGCTGATTGACTAGCTGTCGCCCTTGTGGCGGTGATGCTATGACAATGTCTAATGCCGTGTAAAATGTGCGCTTGTATTCCCGAAAAGAGGATTCCCCTTGGGCTGATAGCCCACCAAATTTGATGGATATAAACGAGAGACACCCCAAGACTTTGATAACTTCAGAGGCTAGTCTCGCGTTTGAATGCTCTTGAGTGCTGTCGAGGAATAGGAGCGAGTCGATGACGGCCTGCAGAACCATTATCGTGGCAAAAAGAATGGTTTTGAATGTGTTCCAGATTTCTGAATACGGTCAAAATGTGTCGAAAGATACTTGGTAAAGAGTATTACTTTTACCCTCGCCTTCTGAAGCAACGTCAGTGTTTGTCTTGCTCCATTCTGATAGTAGACCGGTCGCCATTGACGAAAATGCGTCGACGGTAGACTCCAGCGACTTCCATACCACCACGTTGGTCCGTAAATTAGAGTTTTCTGAAAGAGATTCGACAATCTTAGACGCTAAATGAGCGACTCTTGGGATTCGCGTTTGAGCTTCCTGGATGTCCGCCGGTTTCTCGTTCTGAATGAGTGATCTGTGGTACTTTCCAACGATCTACATACCTTGTCCTTCAGTGGATGGCCATGACCGAGCATACGCATGAGAAGATCGATACATTGGGCGAGGAGTAGCTGGGGATGCATCAAAAAATGTCCACCGTACGTGCCTCGACTCACTGGAAGATCGAGAACTCTGAGCTTTCGCGACGGTACAAGAGGAAGTATATCAGATGCTAGTAGTAATAACGATCCCTCGGCTAGGCAACAGATGAGCCAAGGTTGAGCGGGTTGGTGTGCAACATACCGGGCTTGTTTTCGCTAGGGGACCGAAACTCCAGTAACCAAGGGTCCGTTGGACTGACATCTATAATGCAGTCTGCATATGAAATGACAACCTCGTCTTCCACCTTCGAGCGTGCTCCACCAGCATCCAACCGGGATGTTACTTCTGTAATGCCGATGAGGAGTCCCCCTAGTGCGACAAATCGAAGTTTTGGTGATCCGTTATGGAGACCTTTGCATATGGAATGGATCCAGTTCCGAAGTTTCCATGACGGGCTGGGTGATAAAGAGTAACCGCTTGTGGAGGAGTCCAGCAAGTGGTCGACTTTGAGGTGAACAGAACGCCGAAATGCGACCACCAATGAAGATATATTGGAGTCATTCCAAGCCGGAGATGCGATGGCGGAAGCGGATAAAGTGGTAGGTAGAGGTTGAGGAAGTGTACTCAAATAGAGAGCGAGCGTTGGAGGAACTCCAGGATGGAGATTCTTGGATGTATTTTGTAGATGAAGCAAAAGACTTCGATAATTTGGGTCTACGGACGACATGGATTTGACGGGTAGTCGTCGCCAAAGTCCAAGAAGTGCTTTGGACCTGGCCACCACACACCCATCTCCTGTATGGACATCAAACGATATGTCAGCGACAACGCACACAAGGAAAGCCATTTATGCGTCTCACCGATAACATATGCTGACCATATTCTCAGTTCTTTGGCCAGTCCAACAACATAATTGTCGACTATGTAATTGGAATCGGTGTGTCCGTCATTTATGTCGCGCCAAAGTGCAATAAGCTCATGTTATTCTGGTACCAGCGTCTAAATCAAAGTCCCAAGACGCCCTCTTTGGTCAGCTACGAGACTCTGGTCTTCCAGATACTCCAGAAGCACATGCGTTCACGAAACATGTCTTTGACAACGCCCCTCGTAAAAAATCTGGCAAGAAGGACACAGTAAACGCTGCGCGCAAGCAGCATGAACGAGACCTTGCCGCCATGCAGACCCAAAAGTTTGGCCTTATGCTCGACGAGGAGGTGCCTGCGTTACCAGCAGTCAAATCGAACAAAAACGGGAAGAAGGAGAGAAGTACTCGCAAAAGGGACACGGACACTCGTGATTGGGACGATGACGAAGAGGAGCAGGCCCTGCGAAGACGACGGCGTGAAGAAAGGGAGAAGGAACTACTCCAGCGAGTCGGTCACCCCTCGAATCGATCGGATGGTGCCAACGATGATCGGGCAGATGCTATGGACGAGGAAGAAGAGGATGAGGACACTCGGAAAGAAAAGGAGCGAGAGCGGGATCTCAAGGAGAGGGACGAATTCTCGGAGAGACTACGGCAACGAGAAAAGGATAAGCAGAAGAAAGTCGTCGAGGACCGCTCGTCCAAATCCGCTGGCGCGGCAGAAGCCGCAGCGAGACGGCAATTGGCCAATGATCCACAGGCTAGGGATGCTGCCATGCCTATTCTTCGTATCAGATCACGACAAGAGTACCTCACAAAACGTGAGCTCCAGCAAGTCGAGCTCTTGCGAAGAGAGATCCAGGACGAGGAGAACATGTTCCGAGGCATGAAGATCACGGAGCGAGAACGCGCCCAATTGGAGCATAAGAAGGAGGTTCTCCGTCTTGCAGAAGAACGGATGAAGATCGACGATCGATACGATGGTTATCAACTACCTGAGGATTACTTCACCTCCCAAGGCAAAATTGACAAGAAGAAAAAAGAGGAGGTTCTATACAGGCGATATGAGGAGGCAAAGGAAAACAAGCCGGAAAACTTTGTGACGGACGTTGACCAGTGGGAGCAGCGACAAACCAATGCAAGCACTTTCAAGACAGGAGCTTTGGATAAGGAGGAGATTGTCGAAGACTTTGACTACGTCTTTGATGAAACTCAGGCGATACAGTGGGTCATGGACAATGCGCTCGCCGGAGAAGTCGATCCCAAGCAAGCAGAGATTCAAGCTCTTCTTGATGCTGCAGAGAAGCGAGGTGAGTTCTATACTATGTTCACAAGGACGATACTGATCACTCGCTGCAGCCAAGTCTATTGATGAAACTCGGAAATCTCTACCTATCTACACCTACCGTGAAGAACTTATTCAAGCGATAGGCGAGCATCAGGTCTTGATCGTTGTAGCGGAAACCGGCTCGGGGAAAACCACTCAACTCCCGCAATATCTGTATGAAGCTGGATACTGTGACCAGGGCCTCATGGTTGGGTGCACTCAGCCTCGTCGAGTCGCCGCCATGAGCGTAGCAGCACGTGTGGCAGAGGAAGTCGGAACCCGGCTGGGAGACAAAGTTGGATACTCGATTCGTTTCGAGGATTGCACCAGCGACAAGACCGTCCTGAAATACATGACGGATGGTATGCTCCTTCGAGAGTTTTTGACCGAACCGGATCTTGGTGCATACTCGGCATTGATCATCGACGAAGCCCACGAGCGTACCCTGAGCACGGATGTCCTGTTTGGCCTGGTCAAGGTATGTTTAGTCCAGTTGTACTTTCATCGCTCATTGTTCGTAGGATGTAGCAAGATGGAGACCTGAGTTGAAGCTGCTGATATCGAGTGCTACTTTGGACGCTGAAAAGTTTTCAACCTACTTCGATAATGCGCCCATCTTCTATGTTCCCGGTCGTCGATATCCCGTGGACATTCTGTATACACCACAGCCAGAGGCAAATTATCTTCACGCTGCCATCACGACCGTATTCCAAATACACACTACCCAGCCAAAAGGCGACATCCTGGTTTTCTTCACCGTATGTGCAGTATCTACTATGTCGTGGCACGTAACCTCACAACATTACAGGGTCAGGAAGAGATTGAAGCTGCTGCCGAAAATCTAGAGGAGACCATGCGTACGTTGCAAAACAAAGTCGCAGAGATGGTTGTTTGTCCCATCTACGCCAACCTCCCGAGCGAAATGCAGGCCAAAATTTTCGAGCCCACGCCTCCAGGGGCTAGAAAGGTTGTACTGGCTACAAACATTGCCGAGACATCCATCACCATTGATGGTGTTGTATTCGTGATTGACCCGGGTGTGGTTAAACAAGACTCTTTCAATCCGAAGACGGGCATGTTTGCGCTTACGATTGTCCCGGTGAGTGCATTATATTATTTATTCGACGACATACTGACATTCATCAGTGTTCCAAAGCTTCCGCGAATCAAAGAGCAGGTCGTGCGGGTAGAGTTGGACCAGGCAAGGCTTTCCGACTCTATACAAAGTGGGCATATCAGAATGAGATGGACGCCAACACCACACCCGAGATCCAGCGTACCAACTTGAACATGACAGTGCTACTCCTGAAATCCTTGGGAATCAACGATCTCATTGGATTCGAGTTCATGGATCCGCCGTCGACGGACACGCTGATAAAATCATTGGAGCTGCTCTATATGCTCGGCGCCTTGAATGACAAGGGAGAACTCACCAAGATGGGCCGACGCATGGCAGAATTTCCTATTGAGCCGATGATGAGCAGAGCCATTCTCGACAGCGAAGCCAGAAACTGCACAGAAGAGGTGTGTAACAGCTTCCTCTTTTCTAAACTTTCTAATTCCATACAGGTCTTGTCGATTATCGCAATGTTGGGAGAGTCGGGTTCCTTATTCTACCGACCCAAGGATAAGAAGATGCATGCAGACAAGGCCAAACAGAACTTTTATCGTTCTGGTGGTGATATGTTCATGCTACTCAACATCTGGGAACAATGGGTCGAGACTGGTTACTCTCAGTCGTAAGTGCATCACTGCCAGCATAGATGAAGCTGATGACTTTTAGATGGTGCTACGAAAATTACCTCCAGTTCAAGACGCTTTCGAGAGCGCGCGACGTCCGGGACCAACTTGCTGGCCTATGCGAACGCGTGGAGATTGTACCTCAGTCCAATCCAAACTCGAACGACATTACTCCTATACAGCGAGCGCTAGTCGCTGGTCTCTTCCATTATTCCGCTCAGCTGCAGAAGAGCGGCGACTCCTATCGTACCACCAAAAGTCACCAAACCGTCTACATCCATCCGTCATCGAGCTTGTTCAACAATCAACCTCCTGTTCGAACCATTGTCTACTACGAGCTCGTCATGACTTCAAAGTCGTATCTACGACAGGTCATGGAGGTCAAACCTCAATGGTTGGTGGAAGCTGGTCCTCATTTCTTCAAGTAAGTTGGGGATTCTACTATATTTCCAGCGTCTGATCATAATTTCTAGCGCAAACGATGTCGAACAAATGGCTACCCAGGAAAAGAAAATGCCAAATCAACGTGCTCGAAATGTCGCCTCGGTGGTTGGCCCCTCGCTCAATTAACTATTCGAATAGCGATGCATCTCATTGTGTATATTAGCCATTACCCTCGGTGTCGTCCATAGGAACTACTTTACATCGTATGAAATTAGTAGAACGGCCACAGAATTCTCAGATATAGCTCCTAAGAGGGCTATAGGCCAATTACGTCCCAGACATCTTCATCCTCTGCATCTGTGCTACCAATTTGATCGTCTGGTTGAAGTTCTTCTCCATCGAAACTGAGTCGGAGACGCGGCTTCCTGGACCTGGCTATTCCTTCGATGTCAAATTCGGCTGGGTCTTCGCCCACCGTCGTCAGATAGCGAGCTAGGAGTCGACTAGACGTCGCAGTTCTCTTTGCTTCGATAGATACTGGGGTCGGGTACTTCTTACACCTCATATTCAACACGATTTTGTCGGCGGGTTCGTGACTGCTTGGCTGGGCTTGAGGAGCAGTCGGGAGGGTAGGAGGCATTATCTCGACAATGTCATCATCATCTTCGTCAACACTATTGGCAACTACGGGTTGGAGTTTGGTGGCCGAGTTTGCTTCTTCCCATTCGTGGCGTGGCCAGACATCTGGAGGGCGTAAGCCACTTTGCGACTGAGACATCTCGCCTGCTGACCGATCATCTCCGTCGTATCCTTTCTCATTCGCAAACTCCTTGGTGTTGCGCCCAGTAGGATGCGTTTGGAGGCATAGACGAGCACGATGTCTTCTTCTGGGAGCTGGGTCTTTTGCTGCATCATCTCGTTTAAGCGCCGAAAAGGAGCTGTCTGGCGAGTTCTATGAGCTATTGGAACCTCCAAGATATGGAACCCTTCGCACCAGATTGAATTGAAAACGCCACTTTTGAGGGAAGTCCTCTCGAGGAGGGCCTTTCCAAAAGACGTATAGTTTCAGGCTATCAGTTTCCAACTCCTCTTCGTCTGGATGGAATGATGATCCCCCGGCGTAGACGGGTGATTGTGCCTCAAGTTCTGGAGATTTGATGGACGCTAATTGCTTTGCCTTGTCAATGATCGCTAGTGTTTCTTCATCCAATGCCTCGATAGGCTCCTCATCCTCGTCCTTGTCCTCATCGCGGTGCGAGTTGGAGGTAATATTCGATGGTTCCATATTTTCAAACAACTTGCTATGGATTTCGTCAGTATGTGGTCACCATAGACAAATGTACCGACTTTGCAGCTTGGTATGCAGCTATGAGCTTCGTTGCTGAGACTTCTGGAGGCGGAGTGATGCTCCTCTTCCTGGCCCGAGGCGCTCTGCCTTTACCCTTGTCCTGCTTCGCTTGCGCACGGGGTTTAGACTCTTCTGAATCATTTATCAAATGTTCGACTGCCTCATCTGAGTCGTCGAGCGTTCTACAACGAAAGGTCGGCGCTTGTTGAGACATTGGAAGCAAAGGATTCGTACATTACCGCGTCTGGATCCATCCAATCGGGTGCCTTTTTCGCCTTGATCTTGCGCTTCTTCGGTAGTGAGATGTATTCATGTTCTGGAGAACTTGATCTTCGTTTCTCTCGAGTGGGGCTTGCTATCAACAATACATGGATGAATCCATTTTATTTGAGAGAGAGAATGCGGATATAATCATTGAATTCAGTCAATATCATAATGCCCGACGCTGGGAGATTGCGTACTCAATGCTTTAAGGTCTACACCGTCCCAACCCTTGGTATTCCGAGAGAAAAAGGTATCATCGTCTAGTTCGCTGGTCTTATTTTCGGCTTTGGCGGCTGTTGGGATCGTCGGTCGTTTGAACTTTGGTGGCATCGCCGGGTCCAAAAGGGGATTGCAAACATAGGTCATATTGGTAACATAATAGTACAAGTGATTCAAAGAAGGAGATTATCGTGGATATGCTACTAGCACGCCAAAGACGATTCCAGTCAAAGTCCCAAGGAGCAACGAGACTGCGTGAACCTCTAGCCGTGCTGTCGGAAACTTGCCAGTGGTCAACGAGGTCTGGATTGTGAAATAACGGTATAAACCTGGGACATGTGTCAGGGTATAGTGTCGAATGTGGATTCCCGACGCACCTAGCAGACACACGCCGAGTCCTATGAGAACCATGGTAGCACCCAGTGGTCGTGCAAAAGTTTGAATATGCGCAGAGAGGCCGGACGAGTCTGAACTACGATTGGCTGCAATGGTGAAGAGTTGGACGAGTGCGACACCCGAGGAAGACACTGCGAGGGATGTGCGAATGTACGCTAGCCACGTCCTTTCACTTGCGAGATGATCCCTGGCTTTGGTATAATGTCATCATCTCAGTGCTCTCTGCAAAGGTGCGAAGTGACATACCAACGCTGCCCGAGTTTTCAAGGACGAGGACTGGGCTCCATGATATCAATTTGCGTATGAAAGACTTTTTCTCGCCACCTTCGATCAATGAAGAGGTTCGTGTAGATCCGGCATTGCCGTCTGCATTGTGTTCTTCAGAGCGTTCTGCGCTGGGAGGCTCGTCTGTGTGAGCTGGAAATGGAGTGTCGTTTGATAAGCGCTTGATTTTAGTATTTGGACTGTTTTGTGCTGTGGCGGATGCAGAGGCCATGAAATCCAAGGCCTGGTAGAAGACGAGGTGCAACTCTTGGCTGAGAATGCATCAGGTGGCGTCGAGCTTGCGTGCTCTCCACGTGACATGACCAAGATATGATTGTGGACGCAGAGATAAGGACCCGTATCTGAGCACATTTACCCGTGGTCAATCGGTTGTTGACATCTCGCATGGACAAACGTATATTAGCAAGCAGCAAACATCATCTCTGAATCTAATCAGGCATGTTTACAGAGTGATACACCCACAACCAATGCGAGCCTGTTCTATTAGCCGGTGACAAAGTCAGGGTCAAATCAACGTTGTTGATTCTGTTACTGATATAGATGAATCATCTTGCTTGATGCTAAATTCACATCCCAATAGATGATCGTGGTCGATGTCAGAGAAGCAAACCGCAAACTTGGACCTCAACCAGGTCCAGAGACATGACAATTCCTGTTCATCGAGCCTGCATATCACTCTAACTCGGATAGATTTCTCCGTTGACTGCACTACGAGAATCACCACCGATCACACATCGTCAGACGGACACCAAACGAGCGTGATACCACCGCCAGCGAGACGCCATGGCGTCTACTATCACTGCATTAAACGTAAATGCAGTAAAAACAATCAGAAATGGCCGTGAACACGATTCCACCGCTCCAGCAGAGTCGTCGCAAGAGTGGCCAGAGCTTGCCGGCCTCGACGTTTCGAAACAGGTCAGCGTACAATCACCTCTCGAGACACGATCTGATTGTTGACATTTCATATCTTGGATCATAACAGTTGGAAAGACTCAACGAGATGCTCCTCAAGGAAACCAAAGTTCGAGACGGCGCGGAGCGGATGCTCGAAGAAAGGACGATAGTAATGTGAACACCTCTATCATTACGTTAAACTCACGAGGCTTCAGGGACCGTTGCGACGACAAGTGGAAGCACAGCTCGATGCCTCCAACACGGAGATCAAGCGTATTCAAAGAAAGATTGACCAAATACGGGATCACTCGCTTCCTTCTGGCTCCTCGAGAAATCACCCCAATCACCCAAACCGCAATGCGAACAAACGCAAGGCGACAGCGGGCTTGACTTTCCTTAATGGCACTGGCTTAGCTACGCCATCCAATACACACACACCTGGATCATCCAGCTATGCGTCCACGTCCCCACGACCACCCACTGCGCCTTCACTGAATTCTGTTTCGGATGGTGCATCCATTGGACCCTCTGCGACGGAGTCATCTGCAGCGAAGCGATTCTTTGCGCCATCGCTCGTTCCTCAGCCACCTACTCGTACTCGAAGTGAGAGCGAAGCTGCCGAAAACAAGGACGACTATAAGACAGCGCTCTCTCAGGCTCGGGGTTTGATACGGACTCTATCGTCGCTTGCGACCTCTTCAGAGTCCCAGAGGGCATGGCCAGGGACAGGAGGTACTGGTGATAGGTCGCCTCCCTACACGAGCCAACGGGCTATCTCTTCGTCTACCTCGTTGGGAACATCCTCTGGAAGTCCAAAAGCAGACGCGATGAGTGATGCGGAGATTGAACAAGTTCGGATGGAACTGATGGCGGGACTTGTCCAGATCCTGCTGAGGAACAAGAGAGTTCGATGGGAGATTGACATTCGAGAAGTTTTGCATGGGTGAGTCCAGCTGAGACTCATACGTATATTGTTACTGACACTCCTTAGCATCCTTCCCCTTCTCTCCGATAACGTCTCGCAGACGATGCGCGTTGCCGCCTACCGCCTTTTACGATACGTCATGGCGCATCCTGATGGACCCAGCATGTTCAGTTCGTTTGAAGGAAAGGATTTGGGATGGTTCATTGTTCGGTAGGATTCTTCACACCAAGTTTGATTCGTCTGAGCGCCTCTAGATCACTATGCCGAGACAATAAACACGTTGCCGAAAAGGAACAAGTCTTTCTACTCATCAGAGCTCTCATCGACGCCGGGGCTGAACGTCGACCGTTGAATGTTCCAGCGGGATGCTTCTCCGTGCCTATCAAGGAGAACGTCGTCCGGGCAGTCATAGCCATTGCGGAACAGGAAGAGGACACAAATGTGCTCAGATGGCCCGCTGTCGAAATGATTACCGAAATCTGTGAGTCGTGGTCACTTGCTTGCCGACGTAACTAACTAGGCAAAGTCCTCCTCGATGCAGAGCTGATCCACCGCTGTGAGGGCATTCGCCTTCTGCTGCAGACGATGGCAGAAGGACCTCCAGAACTATCGCCGATCCTGGCTCATGCATTCCTCACCATTATCGACAACCCAAGAACAAGAGTCCTTCTCAAAGCTGGTAGTGATTTGGAGGTGAGTGAACTCTTGATCAAACCTTTCGTGAGTAACGTGGCTTCGAGATCGCGCTATCGGGTATCACAGATGCCTACGGAAAGGCGGAGACTCATATCGAGACGATGAAGACGAGTGGGAGACTTGTCGTCACCTTGCTGAGAAGTTGGAGTGGTACGTTGCTGGGCTGATACTTTGCATTTTTCTGACAATCCCAGGCTTGTTGTACCTGTGTTGCAATGGCATGCAGTCCATCAAGGCCCTAGTCGACACGCTTCGTATTCCGGGAATGGATACCCGAGAGGTTGTTCTCGATCTCTTTTTCGACATTTTGAACATTAAACCTGCCGAATGGTATCGCACCTTTCTAGATGGACGTCGCCTCACAAGTAGGAGATGTTTGCATATATTTTGGCATAAAAATCTGACTTGATCATAGTGTACGGACGCCAAAGGCATGCAAATTCATCTCAGGAGCAAGCCGGGGTGGTCCCAGAAGTAAACAAGCTTACACTCATTGATCAGTATCTGGCGTTGGTGCTTACAGTCCTCGCAGAAGCGGGACTCGTCGACGTATGTTCCTCTCCTCGCATATTTACAATGACTGACATGACCCCAGGCCTTGATATCTATGATAGAAGAGTTTCCTGGCTCTATATCGAACATGGCTCGCAAGGCAACTTTGCTTCTGGGAGAGATTCTTCAAACGGCCAACCGTCTATTACCGCTGGCACAGGCAGCTCGTATGCAAGTGAGTGGACCCTTCGTCAGCCGAACGACTGCTCATATCCTTAGTCTCTGCCCAAACTCTTCTCCTTGTCGTCTGATTTTCAGAGTGGGAATAATCGGATGATTGGAACCTCTACCTTGGCTTCTATCGACAGTTTCAACCGAAATCGATCGCGACTCCAGCCAAATGCCACAAGCGGTACGAGAAATCGGTGAGTAAAGTTCACTCCGGTTTCGTTATTTGTCTAATTGTTTCAGTGCCAACTCCGTGGATGACCCTATGCGCCGCGGCCAACGTCAAATAGAACAAGTCAAGTTGAAGATGGCCATGCAGTTGGATGATCGGACCTTTCAACTGATGCTTGTGGAGACACAAGTTACCATCACCAAGGATCATACGAAATGGAACTTTGAAATTCTGATCGAGCTCTTCGAGGGTCCGTTCCTCAGTGGGAAACGTGTCGACGACGGTATTCGAGCCAACAAGTTTGGTCGACGATTGATGGCGTTTTGGCACCCGAGTGCTCGACGGTTCTGTGATCTACGAAAGACCAAAGTGCGTACCCTTACGATGAGACGAGAGACGAGCTGATGAGGAGCATAGTCGAACATGAAATGGGTCAAACTTGGGTGCTTGATCCTATCGACCTTGGTCAAAACTAGCGAAGGCACCAAGTTCTTGCTCTCGGAAGACGACTTCCTGAAGGATCTCTCCGATAGCTTTGCTCAGTTTGACCCTGTGCGTACTACTCGAAGCTCTTTCCTGTCTCTCACCTGGATTCCAGTGGAATGGAAACCCGACCTACGACTCTATATTCACTCAAGACCGAGTAGAGGACACACTCTCTTTCGGCTATCTGCAGATGCTAGGACAACTGAGCAAGTCGCAGAGAGGCATGGAGTATGTATCGAGTTGCTCAATATTTACGTTACTGACGCTGCGTAGATTGATGGAGCACTTCAAATTTTTCAACTCGTTCTACCACCTCAGTGACCTCAAGTTTAGAGAGGATCTGATCAAGGGTATCATCGAGAACCTTGATTACTCTGTGTACGTTTGAATTGATGTATTTCGACTCCGCCTTACCGCTTCCAGTGATGGACATCCGAGAATTGTGCTCTCCAAGGCCCTCACGTCCAGTTACAAGGTTCGTGGTAGACTATTATTTGGCTTTCTCTCATCGACTTGGCAGCACATTCGTCTCTATTCGACCGAGTATCTGGGGAACCTCATTCTCAATATCAAGCAGAGCAACGTCTGGATGCTCAGACTTCTCCTGACACAGCTATACGATCCTGCCATGGAAGTCCGAGAGCTGGCCGTGAGGTTTTTGGAAGAGGCATGCGAAACTCAGGACACGCTGAACGTTGTCGTTGATATGCAACCAACCCTAGACCATCTTGGGGAGCTTGGACATCCGCTTTTGCTAAGGTTCATGTCAACTGCTGCTGGCTTTCAATATCTTTACGAAACTGGATACATCGAGCGGGAAATGGATGCTTGGTTCCACGTAAGTTTTCTGATCCTTACCTGCGACGGCAGTATCTAACATACATTCAGGATCGTAATCATCAATACGTCGTTCTTGTAGAAGTCTACTTGTCTCAAGCATTCAGCATCGATCCTGCAGAAGACGGTGAAGATTTGCTGTGAGTGATCACCTTTACCTTTTACATCATTCAATGTCGACCCAGCGAGTTTGATGGCATCGCACCGCCGCACTTTTATGGCGAGATGGTCAAAACGGAGCTAGGATGTCAAGTCCTCAGTGATAAAGGTCATTTCAGCGACTTCACCCATTTCATCCGACAGCATGGCTTCGATAGCGACGATTCTGACATTGTGCTGAGGCTCAAGAGTGTACTATGGGCCGTGGTGAGTACAATACTATGGCACAAGTACACCAGCTTACAGTACTAGGGCAATATCGGTACAAGCGATCGGGGAATACCTTTCCTGGAGGATGATGAAATTATTCCGGTCATTATCGAGATCATGGAGACAACCCCGGTGCTATCTATTAGAGGGTATGTTGTACACTTTTGCCTCGACTCTGCTTACGCGGCGCAGAACTTGCTTCTTCGTGATAGGTCTAATCGCGTCTACCGAGCAAGGAGCAGAAATTCTGTCCGACTATGGATGGCTTGCCACGACTAGCTCACTGGGCCAACCCACTGGCATTTGTATTCCTACAGATATTGAAAAGTTCATTCTGGTACGAGTCCTTGTCGTGTAACCTACCGTGGACTAACCACTTTCCAGATCCCGTCTTGGGAGGTTCCGCATCCAAAGGATGACGATCGACGATTACCACCCCTCAAGCACCAGCATGAGCGAGATATCTTGGATGCCATAGAAAATCTTTGCAACACCGTGGTTGCAAACGCGGCGTCCCGTACCCTAGCAAAGCTCAAATCGAGACCGGATACCCGACACTTGTTCTCATCCACGCAACTGTTACAACGCGCACTGCATATCATATCGACGAGAAGATACCGGTTCCCTGTCAGAAAATACGTCCTAGAGTTGTTTGACATCAAGTTTGACGGCAGCACCCTAGAAGATATCGCGCACTATGAAACGCAAGCACTTGAAGAGGTCGCTTCGAATGGTGGGATTATCGCCTTTCAACGATCGCATGCGCACCACTCGCACGGGTCACGTCGTTCGAGGCACTCGATGAAAGCCAAGTCGAAACGACGATCCAATATTGGGCAAGACGATGACAATACGACTGTTCCGAGCAGTCCAGTCATCCTTCGGCCCAAGAGCAATCCTGTCAAAGTTGTTGGATTCGACCTGCCTACAGAAGCCACCCTGGCAAGTGCCATGCTTATGCAGGCTGATTGACCAAACACTTTATCTCCTTTCTCTCGGCGTGCGTCATTGTTCTCATATCTTGTTCGGACATTTGGTCACTTGAAGTGACGAATTGTATTGCCCCTTGTATTCCTCGCCATGTATCTTCGGTACTCGCGTTCATTCAGCTTGACATGCTATTTATCTCTTTGACACAGACTAAGAAATGGTTGAAGAGTGCGATGAATTCAGGGTGCGGGCTTGGCCTTGTTGTGGATCGAGACTGGCAGACGCCGAACCCACCTTGGACTCATCCAGTGCAGTCTGAAACGCAACCCAGCTAGCAAACGCGAGCATGAATCTACCAGGTTCTTCGTCTTCTGCAGCAACTCCATCACGCAAGAGGGGTCAAGTGTACAACGCAGCCAGCGTCGGTCTCGACTTTCTGGGAAATATATCCGAGGGGTCAGATATACTGTCTCCTCTCAAAGCGGCTTCAAGAGCAATTAAATCAATTCTAGATGTTATCCAAGTAAGTGGATAAAGCTGACGCCAACTCCGTCTGAGCACGCGGCGACAGGCTATCGATGACAACCGAGAAGAATGGGACGAAATAACGCGACGTCTGGATAGATACATGACATCTATGGAGAATCAAATCGATTCGTTCGAAAAGTATCCACCGGAAGACAGGAAAGTAGACGAAGCATTCAGTCGGCCGCTCATTCACTATGTCGAGTGCGTATAGGTGCCAATCTTCGTCTTCATGTGTTGAAAAATGTAGAGTGCTGGAGGAGTTTGATAGGGTTGTCACCAGCCATATGCACAAGCGGAGTCGTTGCAGAGTTGGCGTGTTGACGGAGATTCGGAAAGTGAAGGTTGATGCAGGATTAATCCGTCACTTCAATCGCGATATCGAGGATCTGCATCGGCAATTCATGGTATGGCCTTCATCCACCATGTTCTCAACCTTACAGGGAAAATAGGAGGCATTGAGCAGCTTTACCGCATTCCGCATCCAGGCTATCGAAAGAAAAGTGGGAAGGATCCTCACCGACGGTACGTTACTATTTTGTACGAAAATCTCGCTGACTGCTTCAAGACGACGCGTCTGCTATACTCCAGCTGCCAATGGTAGCATTTGTTGCATCTTCAGTCCACAGTACTTGTCTGCAAGGAACACGCCAGGCTGTTCTTCAGACAATCTGGAATTGGGCGGAGGACGACATGTCGGATAAGCCCATCTTTTGGCTCTGTGATATAGCAGGCTCTGGAAAATCCACAGTCGCAATGTCTGCAGCGGAGTCATGGCACACACAAGGCCTGTTAGGAGGCCAGTTCTTCTTCTCTATGGCCAGCAGCGAAGCATCCACTACGGAGAAGTTTTGCTCCACCATAGCAAGAGAGCTCACCGACTACATCCCCGAGCTTGCGCCGTATGTGGCAGCAGCCGTTAAGCGAAATCGTGCCATTCTGCGACGCCCACTCCACGAGCAGTTCCGAGCGCTCATCATCGAACCACTTCGTCACCGGCAGGAACGCGTAATCCTAGTCTTGGATGCCATCGACGAGTGCAAGTTGGGATCACAGAGGAGGGAACTGCTCGATACCTTGTCCAGGGTTGTTAGGGAAGCCAAGAATCTGAAGATATTCATCACCAGTCGGCCTGATCCGGTTATTGAAGACATTTTGAAGCCGCTTTCGATCAAAGCAGAGCTAAAGGACCGCCTCCATGATGTCAGTCATCACGACAATATTGACGACATTTCGACATACGTACATCAATCGCTTCGTGAAGTCCTATCGCATGACAAGCGGCAACGTCTGGTCGAAAAGGCCAAAGGGTTGTTTATCTGGGCAAGCACCTCATGCCGAATGCTCGTCGATCCAGCGACCTTCGATACCCCCGAGAGCATATATGGTCGGCTGATTGCTGTGGATCAGAACGGGGCAATGGACGAGGTTTACGACCTGGTCTTCGAGCGTACAGATCCCAACTCATATTCGACCATGTGTAGTATGCTCGCATTGCTACTCGCAGCATTCGAACCCCTAACTATCAACGATTTCGACGACCTCCTCAAATCGGCTGGAGTCTGTGGAAGAGCTAGGGCATTGGTAAAGAATCTGGGAAGCGTAGTTACTGAAGATCCGACTACAAATTTGATCCAGTTTCGTCATCCCACTTTCATCGAGTACCTTCGACGTCGCTCCACCACCCCCGCCGTGGATAATAATACCCAAATGCGCCTTGATATTGTCCATGCACACGGCCAAGCAGCCTCTTGGTGTCTCCGGAACCTCAAATCACCCAAGGAAGGTCTCAAATTCAATATATGTGAAATCGGGTCGTCCTTCTATCTAAATAGGCATCTCCCAGATCTCGAGGCGAAAGTGTCGAAATCAATTCCTAGAAAACTTCGATATGCGAGCCTCCATTGGTCATTTCATGTATCCGAAGCGGACGGCGGTTGGCGACGAAGATTGAAAAACGAACTTCGATACATAGTGACGACTCCATATCCGCTATACTGGATGGAGATCCTGAGCGCCATCGGAGGGGTCGCAAGAGCGATAGGTGGGCTTCGGTCTGTAGCCTGGTATACAGAGGCGAGTAGTCTCTGATTTGTTGTTTCTGCCTATTCACATACAGGACAGCTTGAAGAGGATACAAAAGGCCGGATTCATGAGATCCAGCGATTTATGATGACATTCCTGGTGGCTATTCAGGACAGTATACCACACATCTACCTCTCAGCATTACCATTCACACCTAGGATGTCAAATCTACACGTGGAGGGTCTGCAGGAGTATAAGGATACTATTAGTGTGACCCAGGGTCTTGAGGATATATACTATGGATTACCAGACGCTCTTCGAGGTCACGGCGGTTGGGTCAGCGCTGTCGGATTCTCACCAGACGGCTCGCAAATTGTCTCTGGCTCATCGGATACGACCATTCGACTGTGGGATGCAGCCACTGGTCAGCCGTTAGGAGAGCCACTTCGAGGTCATGAACACGAAGTCAGCGCCGTCGGATTCTCACCAGACGGCTCGCAAATTGTCTCTGGCTCATCGGATACGACCATTCGACTGTGGGATGCAGCCACTGGTCAGCCGTTAGGAGAGCCACTTCGAGGTCATGAACACGAGGTCACCGCCGTCGGATTCTCACCAGACGGCTCGCAAATTGTCTCTGGCTCATCGGATACGACCATTCGACTGTGGGATGCAGCCACTGGTCAGCCGTTAGGAGAGCCACTTCGAGGTCATGAAGACGAAGTCAGCGCCGTCGGATTCTCACCAGACGGCTCGCAAATTGTCTCTGGCTCATCGGATACGACCATTCGACTGTGGGATGCAGCCACTGGTCAGCCGTTAGGAGAGCCACTTCGAGGTCATGAACACGAAGTCAGCGCCGTCGGATTCTCACCAGACGGCTCGCAAATTGTCTCTGGCTCATGGGATAGGACCATTCGACTGTGGGATGCAGCCACTGGTCAGCCGTTAGGAGAGCCACTTCGAGGTCATGAACACGAAGTCACCGCCATCGGATTCTCACCAGACGGCTCGCAAATTGTCTCTGGCTCATCGGATAGGACCATTCGACTGTGGGATGCAGCCACTGGTCAGCCGTTAGGAGAGCCACTTCGAGGTCATGAAGACTCAGTCACCGCCGTCGGATTCTCACCAGACGGCTCGCAAATTGTCTCTGGCTCATGGGATAGGACCATTCGACTGTGGGATGCAGCCACTGGTCAGCCGTTAGGAGAGCCACTTCGAGGTCATGAAGGCGGAGTCAGCGCCGTCGGATTCTCACCAGACGGCTCGCAAATTGTCTCTGGCTCATGGGATAGGACCATTCGACTGTGGGATGCAGCCACTGGTCAGCCGTTAGGAGAGCCACTTCGAGGTCATGAAGACTCAGTCAGCGCCGTCGGATTCTCACCAGACGGCTCGCAAATTGTCTCTGGCTCATCGGATACGACCATTCGACTGTGGGATGCAGCCACTGGTCAGCCGTTAGGAGAGCCACTTCGAGGTCATGAACACGAAGTCAGCGCCGTCGGATTCTCACCAGACGGCTCGCAAATTGTCTCTGGCTCATGGGATAGGACCATTCGACTGTGGGATGCAGCCACTGGTCAGCCGTTAGGAGAGCCACTTCGAGGTCATGAACACGAAGTCACCGCCGTCGGATTCTCACCAGACGGCTCGCAAATTGTCTCTGGCTCATGGGATAGGACCATTCGACTGTGGGATGCAGCCACTGGTCAGCCGTTAGGAGAGCCACTTCGAGGTCATGAATACTCAGTCAGCACCGTCGGATTCTCACCAGACGGCTCGCAAATTGTCTCTGGCTCATGGGATAGGACCATTCGACTGTGGGATGCAGCCACTGGTCAGCCGTTAGAAGAGCCACTTCGAGGTCATGAAGACGAAGTCAGCGCCGTCGGATTCTCACCAGACGGCTCGCAAATTGTCTCTGGCTCATCGGATACGACCATTCGACTGTGGGATGCAGCCACTGGTCAGCCGTTAGGAGAGCCACTTCGAGGTCATGAAGGCGAAGTCAGCGCCGTCGGATTCTCACCAGACGGCTCGCAAATTGTCTCTGGCTCATACGATAAGACCATTCGACTGTGGGATGCAGCCACTGGTCAGCCGTTAGGAGAGCCACTTCGAGGTCATGAAGCGCCGGTCTACGCCGTCGGATTCTCGCCAGACGCCACACAAATTGTCTCTGGCTCGTGCGATGCGACCATTAGACCGTGGAATGTAGTCACTGGTCAGCCGTTAAGAGGGACACCCCGAAGTGACGTTGCCTTGGTCACTGCTGTAGGATTCTCGCCAGATAACTCATCAGTGGTCTCTGGCTTAGACAATAGCACCATTCTCTCGTGCAGATTAGCACCTGGTGAGCACAGTGACAGTCCAGTCTTTTATCCGTACAATTGGACACTTATTAACTTTATACGATGTAATTGCAGACCGCCATGATAATCAAGTTCCAGACCCAGTCCATTCAAATCTCATTACATTGGCTGACGGAGTAATCCCAGGGTCCCGTTTATCAATGTTCATACCTGGGTTCACCAGATGCGTTCTGATGCACGACGGGTGGGTAAACTCGGACGGTCGATATCTCTTTTGGGTGCCGCCCGATAATCGAAATGGGCTTTTATACCCACGTGCTCGTCTGACAATACCAACTGATTCCCATTTGCGTATGACCAGACTTGACTTTGCCAAGTTCCGTTGTGGACTATCTTGGACCGAAATTCGATCAGATCTTGAGCAATGACTTCACAAGCGTCGTAATGTTGTTGAGTATTGGTTTCCAGTCTACTATATGGATTCGCGCAAGTTTCATGTATAATCCAGTCGGATGCCAAAGACTTCTCTTTAGAAACTTTGACTGTATGAGAACTCCGAGCTTGGACCCACTACTTCTCCGTCACAATGGCGGAAATTTTTCGTTTGTTCGCCGATTCAATATGCTATGTTGCAGCATAGGAGGGCATGCAATAGTTTGTGGTTGAACCTCTCGGTGGTCAATCTCGATCTCAAGGCCAATCAAGTAATGTATTGATTCGGCCCAACTTCTTCATTATCCTTCATTAGTTCAAGCTCCGAAAGGCTCGTAAATGAACTCTGTTGTGTATCAGATTGCGACGCATCTGGCGCGTTACACTCACCTATCCTGCAGGATCTCAATGCCAGCCCGGCTTTGACCATGTTCTGCGCGAGTCCAGGAACCAATATCCCACTGCTGCCAACCCCATCCGTATTTCATCTAGATTGCGCCTAGTTAACAAGGACCATACAGACGAATGTTACGTTTACCTCTGGCTTCTTGTGGGGCGCAATGACGACTAACCAGCGCGCTTTCTGGCTGAGCTCCCATAGGAGACCAAAGAGCTCGGACGGCGTCTCCACAAGGTGAAGCGCAAATGAGCAGATGATCATATCCAGCGGCCGCTGCTCGGTTTGCTCTCCATGTTCGATTGCCTCAGAGGTTTCTCGAATAATGTCGTCTCCTAGCGTGGAGAAGCAATCTGGTATGCTTCCATTAGCAATGTCTTGGAAGGAGAGTGTAGCGCATTTTCGTTTAACACGGGCTTCGTACGCCGGAGATGTGAACTAGCGACGTTAAATCTACGTGATAGATGGCGATAGCGTTCTTACCGGATCTGACGCGCATATTTCCATTGTAAATTCAGACTTACGTATTCCTGGAGGTGATTGCTGCCACATTTTTCGTCGATGTATTGGCTGAGAGGTCTGTTCTGATATCTCCATCCCGTTGTAATACGCTGTTCTCAACCAATTGTCCAAGGCCTCGGTGACCTCGCCACTAAGTGATGTTCATCAGCTTGGTTCTGTGGCATTATGTTCGGTACCTTCCTAGCAAGAGTGAGACACTGTATAGCCTTTGAGCCGACGTACCACAAGCGAGATCCAGGATTCGGATAGTGCGCGGAGCTGCAGATCCTTCTGCCTTCCACCATCTGAGGAGTGCGTTTAGGCAAGATCTTTATTCGAAAAGAGGTGCATTACGCGTTCATCCATTCGTATAGACATCGCTTGACCGCCATAAAATGCGGGTTCCTATACGAGCTGGAAACCAGATTGTAGTACTATTTCGCACCGATTAGTTTTCAGGATTGCGAGATGTGAAATTATACGTTTTCGACACCGTGAGTGTTGTAGTTGTCTCGCATCGAGTGCGACAGGTTGCCCGACATGGTGGAGAACAAAACTTGGATTCCACCGACACCGGCCAATCTGCACCATGGCGTCTCGTGACATCGTTGTCGACGATGAAGCTGGAGAAAATGAGCCATCCAAGAACAAGAATGTCCTCGAACGTGCACCTGGACGCTCGTTGCTTCCAGTGGCCAGAGTGCAAAAGATACTCAAAGCGGATAAGGTACGCCATCCATTAAACTGTGATGACTGATCCGATAAGATCCTCAGGAACTCGACGGTGTAGCAAAGGAGGCTGTATTTCTTATTTCAGTCGCAACGGTACGAGCTTCGAAAGCAGAGGTTACGCCTCATTGACGAGCAAAGATGTAGGAAAGATTCATTGCAAGACTCTCAGAGGCAGCAAAGTCACAGGCTGGTCGTGAAAAGCGAGCGACCGTTCAGCGCAAAGACATCTGTAAGTCTATTCCACATCATCAGGGCTTAGGCTGATATTGACTTTAGTGACTGTGACGAGGAGGGAAGGAGAGTACTTCTTCCTTGGTGGTAAGTTGTGACCGCAGCTTTCGACGCTCATCAAGCCACAGATATATTGGAAGAGGGGAATACGCTCAAGGGTGGGATGAAGAAGGCTGCTCAGAGTGCCGACAAGAAGAGTGCCGATGGTGGTGACAATACGCTCATGCGCGCGTTTGCACAGGCAAAGCCACGCCCACCGAGTCCAATCGAAGAGGGCGATGAAGCTCGGAGTGAAGCGGTTTCTCTGCCGCCGAGTAGTCGAGCATCAACGCCGGTATCTCTTGTGGAATCACAATCAGAACATGCAGACGAGATGGAGGAAGATGATTGAGGGAAGAGTACACCGCCGTTTATAGTTTACTCCGTATCTTCTCTACAATTATTTTTGCGTCATCGTCGTCCAGCTCTTCTCTTTGCTCGCGCTCCAAGATTGTAATGGCATCATAAGTTGGTGTTGTCGACTTTGGCTCTTCTGGTACCGTCTCTGCACCAAAAACGGGTGCGGGAACGAGATGGAAGTGGACGTGGTGGACGGCTTGCGCGTAGCCCTGGTTGCACACGACGTTGAGGTTTGGATTCTCCATCCCTAGGAGAGCGTCATTCGTTGGCGCGCAGTAGTTTGGCAGTGATACATACCTTTTGTCAATGCATGGCCGACTTTTGTCAATGCTTGGCCTATGGCCGCAGAGAGTTCTGGAGGGAGATCTGTAAGAGACTTGAAGTGTGCTTTTGGAATGATCAAGAGATGTCCTGGTCGAATTGGGAGGGTATCTGCGAAGAAGGGTTGATGTCAATGTCTCCCTCGAGTAGTGCAGCAACTTTCCCAAGAATGAGATGACGAGATCATCTTCGTAGATGATGTATGCGGGTTCTTTGCGCATGATTATCTTGCAAAATATGCAGTTTTCGTTGTCCAGCCATTCGTCGGGGACGCTTCTTCCGACAAACTGGGAGATCATAAAGCTAGTCATTGTTGATGATAAATGAAGATATAGTTTATAATCGAGTGATGCAATGGCCGGAATAACCGGCGCAAAGATGAGATCCAAGGCGCGTCGAGGTCATCGAGCCATTCAGAATCGTGCAACTTGGACTCCCCCGCTCTCTGCCGCGGATCCTTGTACTCTCTAAAATACGCCAAAAATGACTGGCGTAGAGGTTTCTAAACGGTCAAATGGCCACGCTCACGTCTTCAATCCACGCACGACGTCGTATGAGTTTCTGGGACCGCCGGGGACATTTCTCATCTCGACGCTCGTCCCCTTTTTCACCTATGTCTTTGCCTATGGGTGCTCAGAGTCTGCGGGAGGCTGTCCTCGCTCCTTCTACGAGCTCCCAACAAGCTTTATGCAAACCGTCACAGACGTAGATTGGTGGAAGGCCCAATGGGATCCGCATGGATTCGCTGCTTACTTTGCGTGGTACGCGTTTACGGTCGTCGCGTGGGCTGTTCTCCCTGGTGAATGGGTCGAGGGACTGCCGCTACGTACCGGACAAAAGCTCAAGTACAAGATTAACGGTGCGTTCTCGCGCGTATTCAAAGAGAGCTTATGTTTATCTTCCTGTCTAAGCATTCGCAACGCTCCTTCTCTCCTTGGGCCTTGCCGGAGGGCTTATTTGGACCCAAGGCCCTGCCTCATTCACGTACATCTACAACCACTGGATTGGAATCGTAACCGGTGCCTTTGTCAACTCTATTGTGCAAGCATTCTATTGCTATGCCTCTTCATTCGCACAGGGTGCCCTGCTCTCTGCAAACGGAAACAGCGGAAACTATATCTACGATGTGAGTCTACGTAAAGCTATCTGTTAAGTAGTTGCTAAACTCGCTCCAGTGGTTCATGGGCCGCGAACTCAACCCTCGTATCGGGTCGTTTGACATCAAGTCGTTCAACGAGCTTCGACCGGGCCTTATCCTATGGTTCCTCATCGACATTAGCATGGCCTGCGAGCAAGCCGTACGACGAGGTGGTCATATCACTGACTCTATGTGGCTCGTCATCTGCTTCCAGGGTCTCTATGTCATTGACGCACTCTACAATGAGACGGCGATCCTCTCGACTATGGATATCATCTCGGATGGCTTTGGCTTTATGCTTTCCGTCGGAGATTTGCTTTGGGTGCCGTTCACCTACTGCCTCCAAGCTCGCTATCTTGCATGGCATCCAGTTGAGCTCGGCCCGGTTTGGACTGCCACCATTTTCGTCCTCCATGGTCTCGGATACTACATCTTCCGTTCGGCCAATAGCGAGAAGAATGACTTTAGGAATGGCAAGAACCCAAAGAACCGAACGTTTATGCAGACGAAGCGAGGCACCAAGTTGTTGACGAGTGGGTGGTGGGGAATGTCGCGACATCCAAACTACTTGTGAGTGTTTCTCCTACTGCGCTGTCTTCTTTTGACTTAGCTGGTTCCAGTGGCGATCTCATCATGGCGCTGGCTTGGTGCTTGCCCACGGGTTTCGAAACACCAGTGACCTATTTTTACTTTATCTACTTTACCATCCTATTGGTTCATCGTCAACGACGAGACGACGAGGCTTGCCACGAAAAGTACGCCAGCTCAGTCTTGCACAGTTTATTTACTGATATTCATTGCTAGATATGGAGATGATTGGAAGGAGTATCAAAAGCTCGTCCCCTGGCGTATCGTGCCAGGATTCTACTGAGTACACCGCTTCACGAGGAACGCTGTGATGTTTCAGTCTTTTTAGATCATCACGGGGATAATGTATTGCTTTCTGACATCCTTCCCGTCGTCTTAACGCTCTAAACCTCACGTCCTCTAATCCTTGGCGCGCGTTTGTCTGCCCGACCGTTGCCTACCAGCTCTGAGCTCCATTGATCTGACACGTCTCGACCGGCTCTTTTCATCGCTCTTGATGCTGTCCACCAGCCTAGGCGACAGCAGGCTCGAACTTCAGCGTCTATTCATCTTGACCTCCCACCTCGACCTCTGTAAACCTCATATAGCATCCTTTTCCCTTTTGAGGATTCGCACATTGTAGAGAAATATGTCAGACCTCACGAATGCGCCAGACCTGCGTTATGTCGGTCAAGAGTGCTTACTCTTTGCGTTTGATATCGGCACGACGAATTGTATGAATGTTTTCTCGGTCATTCGACATATGAGCGTATATCTGACTTGTTGATTCTTCTGGCGCCGTGGAATCTTGGACGCACAATGACCTTGCTGCTCCGTAGCCGCCGTGTCCTACAGCCATCTCTTCCCGGGTAAGCACCTCATCTCCACATCATGTATCACAGCGTCTAAATTGTCTGGTTATTCCAGGTTCGACACCGCAGGTATGATCAACGAAAACGTGGCCGCAGCACGCAGCCTGACTTGTGTTTTAAAGGTTCGACTCGTCACCAAGTATCCTGGTCAAGAAGAGGCCGCTGGTGATTCCAAGGTACTTGGTCTATCCCTATTTACACCTTTGATTAACGCGCCGCTAGGTCCCCACACTTGTGGCGTACAAACGAGGAAAGCCAATTGGTTATGGTGTAGATGCGATCGAGCAAGCTGCTACTCAGGATGGAGAACTCGCTAAATGGTTCAAGGTCAGCCCCTTCAACTTCTCGATTTCTCCTATCGCATCGCTGACCAGCGGTTTATTGTTCATGATCATAGCTCCACCTCCATCCGGATAGCATGAAAGTTGTCGACGAACCACCAGAGTATGGCACCGACAAGGCACCCGTGTTCGAGGTCCCACCTCTCCCCAACGGTGTGACACTCAAGACAGTCTATAAGCATTTCCTCAAGTGGGTTTACCTCCACGCCGTCGACTTCTTCAAAAACAATACCGTCGACGGAGAGCGCATCTGGCAGCGGCTTGGCGACAAGGCTTTCATTGTCCTCGCGACTCCAAATGGATGGGACGTCACACAGCAGGGATTCCTTCGCCAAGCTATGATCGACGCTGGGATTATTTCAAAGGGACAGGACGAAGATAGGTTGTTCTTTGTGACCGAGGGTGAGGCGAGCGTGCACTATGCGTTGCATTATTCGCAGAGCAGGAGCTGGATGAACGTTGGCAGCTTATTTGCTGTGACGGATGCGGGAGGCAGTACGGTCGATTCAACGCTCTATAGGTGCAAGGCAATGATGCCGAAACTCGTGTTGGAAGAAGTCACGGGTAGTGAATGCGGTATGTTACGATTTCATTCTCGTCAACTACCGCTCATGCCTGGGTGTGTTGATAGTACAAGCTGGTGGTGTCTTTGTCGACCGGGGTGGACACAGGATGCTCATGGAGAAGCTCAACGGCTCCAAGTTTGCTGTTGCCGATTATATGGATGGAATTATGGAAGAATTCGAGCGCAAGACGAAGCGCCGATTTGATGGCACGCAGACCAGCATCATCCGGTTTGGCCGTGATTGGGACAACGACAAGTCAGTGGGCATCGTCAAAGGTCGACTTACGCTGTCAAAGGATGAGGTCGCCTCTGCCTTCCGTGCAGTCATTCCAAGGATCGTTTCCAGCGTCTCGAATCTCCTTGATGCGAGAAAGGTCGAGGTAAGTCTGAAGGCGGAATAGAAGCGGGATCTCATTACTTGTAGCACCTACTCTTGGTCGGTGGGTTGGGTGAATCGCCTTACCTCAGAAAGGCGCTCAAGGACACTTTTGGCGGCAAGGGCGTCAGCGTTGTCACTGTCGATGAGTCTACGTATGTACATCTGGTCGTTCAACAGAGTAAGCTAACTATTTGATTAGGAAAAAGGCAGCTGCAGAAGGAGCAGCACTGTGGTATATTCGTCAACTCGTGGTGGCACGCGCTGTACGAAGCACGTTCGGTATCATCCTCTGGCGTCCCTACGACGCCGGGACATTCCATCGTGAACGCCGACACCGTGCCAAGATGGATCACGATGGAAGTATGAAGATGGTCGATCTCTGGGAAACCTGGCTTAAGAAGGTACGGATTTATTCCTTTACTCTTCGTCCTGTGAAAACTGACCCGAGTGGCGCAGAATCATGTCGTGGGCGAGGAGACCAGTTTGACGTTCAATTACTTCTCCATCTATAAAAAGATGCCCTCAGACTTGGGAACCTTCTCCCAAGACGTCTTTGCGTATGACGGCGAGGACGACATCAAGTGGGGCCGCGACGAGCATGGGCAGCTTGCCAGGGATGTGCGCACAGTCTGTACGCTCCGTGCAGACTTGAGTGGTCTACGTTCATGTCTGCGTGCGCAAAGGGGACCCAAGGGCGAAGAGTTTTATCGCGTTGACTTTGTCATTTCAATTCTACTCGGCGGAACGAGTCTCAAAGCGAGGCTCGTTTGGCAAGAAGGCGTAAGTCAATCTTCGCATTTATACAAGGGAGACTCATTGATGGCTTGCAGGACGAACGCCGCGAGGGTCCGGTAACGGTCATTCCCAATTCCATCATCTAGGTTGATCTCTTTTCACTCTGAATCCTTCCTGCCCTGAAAACAACTTGTATATGTACCGCTTGAGCTATCCCAGGAATCAGGTCTATTCAAACTCGACTCGAAGTATTATCTGGACATTGAATGAACCCGTTTACCATTAGATTGTTCTGTGTCTATTCAACGGTAGTCTCCTTGTGAATCTCGATCCCTGGCGGTGCACCCATAGCTACCAAGAGTTAGAATACAAGCATTTGAGAGACTAGAGAAGAAACGTACCATGCTTGAGGGCGTCATAAATGATAAATTGGCCCGAAACAAGGCCCGCTGTCATGACACATCTTGGACCAAGACCGGCGAACAAGCCTCTGAACCCAGCCTGCTTTGCGAGTGTCGTGAGTCTATAAACCATCGTGCCCTGTGGACCATGGCCTTTGTTTATCTAGCAGAAGGTCAATCTTTAGTGATAAAGCACTGGAGCACGACAGACCTGACTGAGCAGAGTATCCGCCGGCTGAGACAAAACCGCTGCGGCGACACCAGCCGTCAAGCCGCTACCCAACGAAATCGCCCCACTCGTCACGGTAGACAAGTTACGTCGTTGTTCCTCCGACATATTCCTGAACGCGAGTTCGTGACAGAGCTCGTTGACGGTGAATTGTCCGATGGCATAAGGAATTTGCTTGCACAAGATTGGGAGGAAGCCGGCATAAAGCTCGCGAACGCCTCCCTCACGCGCCATACGCATGAATCCCGAAACCAGTCCAGATGCGTATTTACGGTCAGATACGAGTCGAATACGTGTCGCCTCTAATGGCTGTAAAGTATGTTAATTGGTTACTGGATTCGATGTGTCAGACGAACTGTGAGCAGGATGTCCGCGAAGAATCTGTTTATTATGAGCAATTAGTTTGAAGTAGGAGAGCCTACTCACTCTCCAATGCTGGCGCTGAGCAGATAAATAGGCATTCGATACGCCACTGCATTATCAGGACCACCGACTGCTTCGACAATGTTTTTCTTCCAGAACCTGACGAGACTGATTAATCGTGGAGACAAAACAGGGGTATATACGAACTCGTATCCAGCAAACTTAGCACCTCCTTGAGCGAGATATCCTAATTCCAGCGTCAGGGAGCATCGCGTAAAACTTTAATCTGCGCTTACCAACTGCAGTAGGACCAAACCCAGTTAAGAGACCCTAACAAGATGTCAACACGTGTATCCAACAGACACAAGGTAGAAAGGCAGCCAGGTCGCCACTGGCCGTCAAGCACGGAGATTGACAAAGCAACTCTCTTGCGAAACGAGTGGAAAGTCAGGATGGATGGACGTACGAATGGACCCTCTGCAGCTATAATCTTGCGTCCGCCAGAGAAGAGCGAGTCCCTCGCCAATGCCGGATCAATTTGTATCCTCGTCTTCACCACGTCGATTGCTGGAGCCGCAAGAAGAGGTAGTAAGAGAGTTTCATGAAGAAAAGACACGGTCAATCACAGCATTAAAGGCAGCGTGTGCACATACGGGTCATTGCTCCATGCGTTATCCTTATTTCGATAAGCCGAAACGGTAAGAATCAAACCAACCATATGTGTTTAAAGCTCACGTTGCACATAACGCGCCTGCCGGGGTCAACACGCATGCAATGAGAACTTCAAGGAGGCTCACCTGCCGTGAAGAATGCGCCATAATCTCTTAAAGTAAACTGTGGAAGTTGCTGAGGCTTGTGTGTCTTTGAAGTTGCCATTTGGCTCCAACGTCGAGGAGCAGCTGGATGCAAGGTTATAAAGGGACGAAAGGATGACGTCGTTCAGCGCTCGCTCAGCTCAGCCACTCGGGACTCCGGCATAGGGTATAACCATTCGAAACGAACATATCATCGACAACAAAGGTTCGTCTGCGGATCTAGCACGTTCCGGGATTCATTCACTACGGAAAGGCTTCCGGATCCCTAGTATACTCCCGGAACAATTCGCCACGGAACAAGTTTCTTGTACTCGTTCCAGTCGTCGCCATATCTGCAGAGCATTAGGATGGAATAGTATGGTTTGTTCTCACTTACTTGAGATGGCACGCCTCGTCGTCACGGCGTTGACGGTGAACCAGGAGAAGAGTAAACCAGATGAAGTAAAAGTAGGTCACAGGCGTCCCGAACCCGGTAGGTAGGCACCAAGAGAGTGCCAATATGAGATCTCCACTAAAACATATCAGCATTTGGGAGTACACGATGAAGGGTCTCACAAGTAATTTGGATGCCTAGACATACCCCACCAGCCGCTGGTCAGCAGCTTGGTTCCTCGCTTCGTCTGCATAAACGTGCGATTCTTAGGATTCTTTCCATTCCTAAACTGATTTTTCTCGCTGTTGGACGAGCGGAAGATGTAGTAGCCCAGCCCATGCAGCGCGAAGATGACTGTAGTCCAGAGGGGTCCTAGTTCGACTGGGTGCCAGGCGAGGTACCGAGCTTGAAGGCTGTAGATGAAGGGGACCCACATAAGGTCACCGAATGAAAGCATAAAACCAAAGCCGTCCGATATAATATCCATGGTCGAAAAGAGTGCCGTCTCGTGGTAGAGTGCGTCAACAACGTAGAAACCTTCGAACAGGATGACGAGCCACATCGAGTCGGTAATACGACCACCCCGTCGTACGGCTTGCTTGCATGCCATGCTAACGTTGATGAGCAACCAGAACATCATCCCTGGTCGAAGCTCGTTGAACGACTTGAGGTCCAGCCATCCAATACGTGGGTTAAGCTCGCGTCCAATGAACCACTATACGCATTCAGCAATGGGCGTATGCGGAGAAGTCAAGCACGTACATCGTAGTTGTGGACCCCGGTATTCCCACCGAGAGCAAGCAATGCACCAGGCCTGAAGGAGACCAGGTAGCAATAGGTCGCCTGGGTAAGCGACATACATAGTGCTCCGGTGAGAATACCGATCCAATGATCATAAATATATGTGAAGGAGCCAGGGCCTGCATCCAGATGAGTCCACCGACCGCGCCAAGGGTGAGAAAAAGGGTTGATAATGCTAAAGATGTCATTAAAATCAACACAATCACTCCCTCTGGACACACCGTTTATCTTGTACTGGAGCCTTTCCCCAGTGCGAAGCGGTAAACCCTCAACCCATTCCCCAGGGAGGATTGCCCAGGCTATTACCACAAATGCATACCAAGCAAAGTAAGCGACAAACCCTTGTGGATCCCACTGCGCCTTCCACCATTCAGGATCTGCCACTGCATGGGCAAAGTCCGAGGGGAGTTGGAGCCACGAACCAGGGCACCCTCCAGCCTTCTCTGAGCATCCATAGGATAGCCCAAACGTCAGGAGTGGTGCGACTATCGAGACGACGAGTGCTCCTGGCGGACCAAAGAATTCGTACGAGGTGGTTCGTGGGTTGAGAGCGCTGGCTGGGTCCTTGGTGCTTTTATGTGCAGATTTTCTTATCATCTTGTGGTATGAGGATGATTTGAGAAGAAGAGGGCGGTTAGATATCGAGGCTAAATAGTGCGAGGTCAAATAGTACGAGGTCGAAAGTGGCTCGATAGTAGATGGCCAAGCTCGGCGCTCATTCGACATTCACACGAACGTCTCGGAAGTGTATGAGAAATAAAGTCTCGATCCATCGTACAGCCGCGTCGCCACAGCTACGCAGCGGCGGTACTATTATACACGAGTATATTCGTCGCATAAACAATTCGTGCTCCAAAGCTCTTCAGAATCGTAAGATGCGATAATCCCTCAGCGTAGGAAATCACTCACAGTGCCATTTCCTCCCCACTCTTCAAACACGCTCAAGTACATCGTGGCATCCGACTGATTCTGGCCTGCACCCCATCCATCAGGAAATCCAGATACACCCTTACTAAAGTTTGGAATGTAAATCTTGGTAGGCGGCGCTGGCAAGCTTGGGTTGGTATGAGCTATGACGACAAAGTCAACCTTCAAAGTCGCAAAGTATTAGATATAAGAGCTCACTCGAACTCGGGAATGCAAACTGTCCGAGGCTGACACCCGTTGCTTGGCCAGTGAAGAGACCGACCGATGGGTCAGACGTAAACAGCCAGATGGAAATGTTATACGAAGTGACGCTATACTCTCCCATTGATGCATAGCGGAAATCAACCCAGCTATCCGGCACGACATGGGTTCCATTTGCTGGAGATCGAATTGTCCCTCTGTCAGACGTTTGCGCATTGACTATGGGAGCCAAGATACTGAACAGCAAGAGATATACAAGTTGAATCATAGTGCTGAGCAGATTGAGATCAAGACCTAGGACAGGGAGTTGTCCAAAATGTTGGCGAGTAGCTCCTCGGCGAGCGGGGTGCTCCACAATGCGTCCATATGCACCCACAGCATGTGAATGACCAGCATAGTCACGCGTCCTATCGTCACCCAAGCATAAGCACGCTGCAACTCGAGGCGCTGCTTCCGGCCGTTGGGATCCAAACGCCAGCAAAATGCGGGGTGACGATTCAACTTTCAAGTATTGCGTAAAGATTGTCAACGTCGGAACATCACTTTGTAGGATTCACCAAGGCTGGCTGGGTGCAAGACGCGAGTCAACATCTCACAAGAGCACCGACGTCCAGCAAAGCAATGCATAAAATAGACCACCTAGCCAACAAAATAACAGACATTACGTCTACAGTCAAGCCGGTGGGTGCCGACAAACCTACTGGAATGGGGAAAGGAGAAAACGAGAGGGGGTCATTCATTCGACCAAATCTATCATAAGTCGTGATCAAAAGTGGTGGAGAAAGGAAACGGGATGCCCTTGACCATCTATCCCATGGCATAGCATTACCGTCCTAGGTTTACGACCATACATCTGTCAAATATCGGCTCTTCTCCTTGAGCGCATTGAGTTCCTTCTGGCCCTCTACAGCCGCGGTACCACCAGGCTTAGCTTCTCCGAGAATACGCATCAACACATGCTCCACGGCCTTGCTCATGTTCTTCGCGTCTCCGCAGACATAGACATACCCCTTCTTATCCACGAGCGCCTCGCGAATCTGGTCTCTTGCTGCCATAGCAAATCTTGGACGTAAATCTTCGAGCCGTCCGGCTTGCGGGGTCCCTCGCGAGAAATGGCAACATGCATCGAGAATTTGTCTCCGAGCACCTCTGCATACTTGGGCCACTCCTCTTTGTAGAGGAAATCTTCATTGGCACCTCGGCATCCATAGAAGAGCCACATGGTACCCCAGTCAGAGATACCAGTTTCGGGATGCTTGGCAATCGTACGTTCAGCAAGTGTGACACGTTCTTGTACGAAACCACGGAATGGGGCGACACCCTAGAATGAAGAGCGTGAGTAAGTAACTTAGTTCAGAGTGGTCCCACTCACAGTTCCGGGACCAATCATAATCACAGGCGTCCGCGGGTTGGTCGGTAGCCGGAAAGTCGATCGGCGAACGTGAATCGGAACCTTGTAAATAGAATCGACATTATACGCTCCTCGGGGTCCATTGATGGCATAGTGGGGGACGTGCGAGCGCTCGAGTTCGACGGGTTCTGCAATCATCGGCTCTTCTGGGTCATTCTTTTGCATACTCTTATGAGCATACTGCAGATTGAGCAACAAATTGCTGCCGACCCCATAGATCCAACGAGCGGGAACGTCTGGTGACTCAATCGATTCGTATTTCAAGACGACCGCAGTAACGTGAATGGCCTTGGGAGAGTACTTTGGAGAGGACGAGATAGAGTAGTACCGTGGCTGAAGACGAGGGATGCACGAGACAATGACCTCGAAGGGAATAGACCATGCGGTAGTATTCTGGGCCGTCGGTGGAGTGAGAATGTCGTGACCGGTAACGTACTGGAGGACTTGACCAAGACGCAAGCAGCCCTCGGCTACGATGCGATGATAGTGTTCCTTGTCCGTAGCGAGCTTGATCATCTTCTCCTTGCTCTCTTCAGTCGGCGCAAACTTGGATAAGATGCCGAGTGTTTGACGACCTGCAACAGCGGAAATGTCGATATAATGTCGGAGAACGGTTTCGTAGGTCGTCGGTACAGGGAAGGGAACTTTGGCAAGCATAGGGTCGAGCGAGATAATGTTAATCGTTGTCGCTCGGCGTTCCCACAAGCCCAGAGAGTGCAAGAGGCGATCAACTTCGATTTCGGGATTTGTCGGCCAGACACCGACGTGATCACCATGTTGGTAATGGATGCCCGAGTCTTCAATGCCGAGTTCGATGTGAACGCAATTGCGCGCTCCACCAACACGGAACAGTTCACGAGTGGCCAAGATTGGCGCAGGGTATGGGTTCTTTGCGTCATGAATACCGCGAGTCTTGTTCAAAGCACGGGCAGACAATTCACCTACAGGGCGTCAGCTGCAGCACTTTTTCCGAGGCCAAGGGCAAACCCACCGAGGAAGACTTTTTCGTCTGGATGTATCTCTTCGGTAACGACAAAGTCGGGAGTGTCTCCTCCAGCGCCTTCTTCGACGTTGAGCGCCTCGGCGAGCGCGGGCCACATCTGTTCTTTCCATTCGAGATAATCTTCTTCCATAGCCTTGTCATCGTCTCCTTCTCCGCGTGGGCCGAGTCGAGTGGCTCCCATCTCCTCGAGCTTTGCATCCGTCTTGCGCGCGATGAGATTGTAGTGCTCGTACGTCTTGTTTCCAAGACCAAACACGACATATTTGAGACCGTCGAGTCGGTGTTCACCCTTTGAAAAGTTGAAGTCTGGGTCCTCGAGATTTTGCATGAGCTGGACCGCGTTGTCCGTGGGCTCGCCCTCGCCATACGTGGCCATCACAAAGATGACAGCGCAGTCTTCTGGGATCGCGTCGAGGTTCTCAAAGTCGTATTCTTCCGGATCGCACACCAGAGAGGCGAGCCCGTAGCGCGACTTTGCCTCCTTTGCGATACGAATGGCATACTCTTCTGCTGTCCCGGTCTGGGAGCCATAAAAGATGACGAGGCGCTTTTTCTGCAAGATGTGTATCAAAGTTTTAGACGTGATTAGCAGTTTTCTACACGTGCCGTGTCAACACGTACCCCAGCCTTCATCCGGGCAACGAAATCGCGAGGGTCTCCGCCACCAACGACGGCGGGTTTTACATTATTGACAACAGGCGGGGCTTTCGAGGACGTGCCGAATAAGCTGTCTCTGAAGACGAAGACGGCGGCGACGACGGCACCAAAGGTGAGCATCACATATTCGCTGCCCATTGTCGGTTACTGCTGGGCCGTGGAATTCTGCTAAAGTTGTGAACGTATAGTGTTCTTTTCTATGTTATAAGTAGCGAGCCAGAAGGAGAGGCGGAAATGAAAAATGGTGAGAGGTCCAACCGTTGAATCGGCCAAGCTCAGACTCGGACGACTTTGATGCTCAGAGCGCGGGCAAATCTCCTTCACAGACAAGCGCTTAGAGTAAGCAATTGGAGGCGATTTAGCACACAAGACCACGAACAACTCGTCGAAAAGCTTAGGAAATGGCAAGACGACGCAAAGACACGAGCAAATACCAAGATTGCAACATGGTCGACCTCTGCTCAGCACAACCTTGCACTCCTGGGGTCAAAGATTAACGAAATGACGGGATACACACTCGTAGAGGAGCTGAAAAGACACGTCGTCGAACAGGGTATCTTCTTCAACACCCTTTATTCTACCATCTAACACCTTCAGAGGGACGAATAGAACAAGCTCGAGTAGCATCCCGCGAAGCAAAACAAGCGTATGAAAAGGCCGTTGCAGAGCGCTCCCAGTGCCAACGCGAAGTCAACGATCTGCTCCAACGAAAATCAAGTTGGACCGACGCAGATGTCGTGCGCTTCACCAATCTAGTCCGTCAGGATCATCTCAACGAACAAGAAGAAGCACGAGCAAAGCGTGAAGCCACCAGGACGGATGAGGCCATCGAGCAAGAGTTTCAAAACCTGACGAGGGCGATTCTCAATCGTTACCATGAGGAGCAGGTCTGGAGCGACAAAATACGAAGCGCGTCGACGTATGGATCCCTTTTGGCGCTAGGCCTCAACTTGGTTGTATTCATCATGGCAATCGTCGTAGTTGAGCCATACAAGCGACGACGAATGGGGGAGACATTTGAGAAGCGTGTCGAGGCGCTCTCATTAGAGTCAAAGGAACTCATCAACTCTGTTTCGACCCGGATGGAATCGCACTTCCAGAAGCAAGAGGATTTGCTGTCACCGTTGGTAGCCCCTCCTGTTGTTGAGGACTCTCCAGAGGACGATTCAAAGCCTCATCGTGCATACATAGTCACCATCCCAGCAGAGAGACGCGATCAGATTGCAGCGGCGGCAGGAGCTCTCGCTGCTCTCACCGTCTGCGGTGTCGTATCTCTAGTCCGAAACAGATAAGACTCACTTGACGTAAGTTTGGCCATTTTACGAGTGACAAACCGCTAATCATTTCCAAGATGATAGTAACTTATACATTTGTATTCTCGAAGATCGCGTCATTTGTTGGACTCGCGCTTTCTCAGCCGATAGAATTGGCTGAGCTCTCGAATCACCAGACCAAAGCTATCAGGTACCACCACGCTATTTCCTATCCACTTTGGTAATTTGGCGCGCACACGGGTAGACCCATAGCGTTCGTCGAGCAGGACAAGGGCCGCCCAGTCGTTTTGGTGTCGTATAGCACGTCCTGTCATCAATCAATCAGCGTCAAACGCTCACGAGGTTGCAACAAGCATGCCTACCAATAGACTGATTCACCGCTTTCATGCACAAATTTTCGTAAAGCTCCATTCCTGCATCTTTCGTTCCAGATTTAGAAGCTGAGCCGAGCTTTTCTTCCAATTCCTTGACGAATCGCATACGTTCCTTGAGTTCGATTGACGTCGCGTTTGCGAATGGGAGGCCGACGACAACGACGGCACGCGAGAGTTCGTCGGAAAAGTTGAGCCCCTCTGAAAGTTTTGCCCCAACCACTGCTAGGAGAAGTGCACCTGTCTGCTTGTCTTCTGGCTTCTGCCAAAGGTCAGATGAGCCACATTAAAGCGCAAGGGAGAAAAGACCTTTAGCCGAATGGCATCTGTATATTCCTGCAATACAGCGTCCACACTTCCACCTTCTTGCGGTTCGAAAAAGAGCTAATAGAGGCCATGAGTAGCATTCTAGGTAGATGAGGTGCGTAAAACCTTCTTCTTATTCTTCAGCCTTTCCAAGGTACCATTACCTCCCCATCGTGCACGGAGTGCATTGAGAAAGTTGTAACTCGGAAAGAACACGACCATCCCGTCGGGGACAATGTTGACAAGATTGGCAAGTATTTGTCCCAGCTCATCCATCTATCGATATATTAGCAGAACAAGTGGAATCAGCAAACACTGACCACAGCCGGATCCTTTTGTTGTTGATGCTTGTACACCAATCCTTTGCCAGTAGGTCCTCGAGACACAACAACCGTCTTGAGATTCTCTTCCGGCATCACGTGCCCACACGAGAAGAGGGATATTCTATCTTCTGAGAGATATGGAACGAGCTGTGAGTGAAAATCTGACATCTGAGGATGTCAACAACCGCCAAGTGTAGGTCGCTGTAGATCCTACCGGAGCCATTGTTCCTCCTGCCTGTAGCATACAATCAGTGGCGCAACTAGTAACTATTATGACGCACGAGTACAACACTGCGAGCACTATCCACAATATCTCGGAATACCCTAGATGGGTTGAGGAGCTGATACTTGAGGGTGACGTCTGGAGACGAGGCTTTGGATCTCGAAACAGTTATTACAAGCTTTCCATCTTCATTTGCATTCGACAACGTGACGATCCAGCTTTGTACAAGGTGGAGGGGTGGAGTGGTGCCTTGGTGAAAAGTCTTCCCGGCCGCTACATGTTGGTCAGTAAACGCCTCGAACTCCAATAAAGAAGAACCTTGAGCTTCCTTTGCTGCAAGTTTATCACTATACCCGCTGACCTTTCTTGCAATCTTGCTCGTCCGCAAATACTTTTCGATTTCCAAGAGATTGATCCCTTGGACTTTCTCCCCCAAGACTGCAATCATCTCTCCTGGTGTCATCATATTCTCAGTTTCCGCTCCGGTGAATTGAGTCGCAAGGTCATTGCAGTACTTGTCAACCGCAACGAGAAATTCAACCAAGCGTCGAAGATGTAAAGCATGCTGAGGTGTGAGCATCTAAAAAGAGGTATTATGAGAACCCCAACCTTGTACACCAAGAAGTAAATACCTTTCTGAAGCGCTGCAGGTAGATACGTAGTTGTTCGAGGGACTTTTTAAGTACGCTATGAGGGAGTGATACAGTGTGAATGGACAGAATAGTGTCAATAAGATCTGGCTTCGGTCAGATTAGGACACAAGACGCTGTTCGCTCACTATGTGCTTCGTCGATGATGACCGTTTGGTCCGTCAAGTCCACTCCCAGGGTCTCTCGAGCTTGCTTCTGAAGTAGAAGATTGTAGGGTAAAGTGACTAACTACTCGATGAGCAAGAAGCATTGCGTGGCCATGATCGAAAGCTCACCTCGGCTTGCTTGATAGCCTTGCGACTTCCATAGTAGGGACATGTTTTCAGCTCCTTCCCGAGTTGTGCGAGGTCTTCAATATCTCGAGGAGTAGCTAGTATTTGATCCCTCAAGTCGGCCATTGCGGAAATGTCCCCTGCTGGAGGAAGGTATGGACATCGTTTCTTCCCTTTTTCTAAATATTATGAGTTTACGTGACGATCTTTGAAAGTCACTTACCCTGGATAAGCTCGCGGCAGCCTTCATCTAAGTCTCCTCCCTTTGCTCGTAGTTCTTCGTTGATACAGAGATTTTTACGAGAGCCCAGGGGTACTACACGCGCAATCGGTCGGTCATTTGCCTGACTCGGAAGGTGTTTCAACTTCTCAAATTCCACTTGGAGTTGCGATAGTTGTGAATGCGTCCGAGAAGTGTAGAAGATCTTCGAATGTCAGGCGACATAGATTTGAGCTGTGGCACTACCTTCGTGCATGTAGGCTCTTCGTCTTCTTCGCCGCCTGTCCGTTTCATTTGCGATATTTCCAACTTACGCATGAGCTCCTTGACTTCGGGAGACAGATTGCTATCCCCATCCTGATCTTCGGGGAGAAATTGATCATCCTCTTCGCCCTCGCCACCTCCAAGTCCATGATCTATTCTCTAAACTAGCCGTCAGATTGACAAGTCATGAATCAGAGTACTCACAGCTCGCTTCTGAGCCCTTGCACGTTCCTTCCGTCGCATAGCTTCTTCTCTCTTTCGAGCTTTGTCAAGTCGTACTTGAAAGTCCTCTTCTTCCAGTTGCAGCCGACGACGGGCAAATTCAATACTTTGCTTGACCAACCAGTCGGGAGCTACAGAGTAATGAAAGTCAAGGCTTGAAACGCAATTAACACACCATTATCTTTCGAGTAGGATTCTTCCAGCTGTGCAAACTGCCCTTTGACTGCACGGCTCTTTTCATCCTGCAGCCATGTGAGGGATCCAGAAAGCAAACTTAATGTCTTTCCCTGCCAGCAGTTATGAGTTTTAGTCAGGCATCGCTACATTGTCCTAACAGTTCCCGTTGGAGACTCGACCACCGCAACTTGTTTGCCTTCTATCGCCGCAAATAGATGACGCATGAGGTCTAACTGAATATTATATGGTTTATCATAGGGAAAGATTGGGAACTCCTCAGGGACTGGTAATGCCGGCGCGGACATGGCGGGTGGCAAGAAACATTTTGTGTTTTGGTCCCGATCATGTCAGGCAGGGACAGCCAAATGCGCTCCAAACACGTCAAATCTCTCGATAGAAGAACTTTGGAGCAGACGTTGAAACGTTTGGGAGCATACGACATCGAAAATCCTCCCACCTCTGGCCAAGTTGAGAGGTACTGGCTCAGCAACGCTTTTTTTGTAGAGTCTCATGAACAGGAATTCTAAGTCTTCTCAAGTCTTCCATAACTGGACAACTCGCAGTTCTATGCGACCATATTGTTGGGCGGACGCAAGCCGTTCATGTCAGACGTAACTTGCAGGAGTGAGTATTTAACTTCAAAAGATTGTGATTGCCGACTGCCATCATAGACTCCAAAACAGTAACCTCTCAAGGGCTATTCTGAGCGAGGCGTTTCCACCATCTTTATTATTAGCGGATCCTACCATCAAGGACCGGAGCAATCCAAAGGAAACGGTCGATGAATCTCAACGTCGTACGGATCAACTAGAGAATGAGGCTTCGATTCTGAGTGAGTTCTATCGCCCATTTGTTGTACATGATTTACAGGATCAGAGACGCATATACCGATGCTAGAAAATGAAGTTGAAGTACTCATCCCGTCTAAGTCACTTCTCAAGGAGCTCGACGAGTTCTCCTTCTCGTCGATCCAAACTTTGAGGGCACTTCTCAAGCAAACCCAGGTTTCTGCGTTCGCACTCGTGATCATACTGCATTATCATGACTTATATCATGTTCCAGATCTCCTCTTTCGGTGGTACGACGGCTAGTAAACCTGGAGGTCAGGCTCATCGTGAACAGAATGATATTGTTACAAAGGTGGACTCGCTCCTCGACGAACAGGAAGCCCAGGGATCATTGGACTTCGGCATGAATCAGGGAGGGCTACCACGATGGGAGGATTTATTGTCAACAACCGAGACGATACTCGATACAGAACTCGACTTACCGTAAGGAGTGGTTGCATTGGAAGTACAGATTCAATATCTATCTTTAGAGAATCTCTCCCACCCATCGAGATTTCGGCTGAGACCACCATGTTGACAGTACGTTCCAAGAGCTTACCACTCTATTATATCAACGCCAATACAGAACCTCAAAATGTCTATTCTCAAGTCCAAGGCAAAACTTGAATCCCAAGATCCAGTGATGAGCCATCGGGATTTGGAGATACAATTAAACGCCCTTCCAGAGGGCGTCCAGCGGTTCGTCGCGAAGGCTGATTCCAATCAAAGCTCATGCTTCTACAGTGAAGCCGTCGAAGCGCTCGCCCTTAAAAAGGCACGAAACCGACTCGTTCAAGAGCTTGCAGTGGATTCGCCGCTACCTCAAATGTATGCAGATTTAGCGAAAAACACAGTGAGTGGTGTCATTATACAATGAATTACACCTACCTCCCAAAGGACGAGTTGCATAGGCGAAGTGTTCAGGCCTTGGTCTTAGTGCAAAGCCTAATGCTGGAGACTCGACGATTGAGTCGCGAGGTGACGATTTTGGTTTAGAAAGAGTAAGAGAGCTTACTTGGCCTGCACCAGATTCCCGATACTGTGGTCAAAGAAATTCCATACATGGAATCAAGACTTCGCGAAGCAACTGAACATCTAACTGGCTCCATTGATGAGCTGTGTCTGGATATCCGGCAGTAAGTAGATCTGATTACATGTTCGAGTCTCTCACAAGCAATAGCAAAAATGAGAGCTCGTTCAGCCGCGACGTTTGCGACGTCCTAGGGGTACCGGGCAAGCCCGTAAGTTCATACCGAGTGGTAATGCACAAATTCTCACAGGTATCTCGCAGAATACAGAAGAAATACTTGAGCGGGTCAGGACCCTTCTACAGTCCAGAGGATAACTTTGGAGTGATAGTATTTCTTGTTCACGAGGAAAATCTTTCGCATGTAAAATCAGTATGAATCCTTGCCGTTGTTGTCTCACGCAGGGCGGGTGGTGAAACTTAGTTGGACCCGCCGTCAATGGAGAGTACCAAAAGTCAACCGCAGGAAAGTGGAGGAAATGTCACTCCCACATCCCCTCAGAGTTCCTTATCGGCATCGGCTCCCCTAATCTCATCCAAGACGAGAAAGTATTCGTCATATTTTGAACCAGGAGAGATCGCCGCTATGAGTGCCAAGCAGCGCGCAGGCATATCTGAAGACTCACAAGAAAAGATGAGACAACTCGCCTGTACCTTTATAGAGACAATAGGGCAGAGGATGGGCTTGTAAGTGTGGCAATGTTCTGTCGCGTGCCAATTCTCAGGATTTTCTAGTCCGAGAAGAACTATTGCGACAGGTCAGACCATTTATCATCGATTCAGGCTCTATTTCCCCATGAAGGAGTTCAGTTACATCGTAGGTATCAGTGACTCTCTGAGGATAAAGTCTGACCTAGAGTTGTAGGACGTCGCACAAGCGGCGCTATATGTCTCAGCAAAGCTTCATGATACTCTCAAGAAGCCTCAGGATATTTTGGAGGTCGGATATATGATTCAATATCCCAAACTGGTCAATAAAGCGACGGGCATGTTGGATATTGACATAAACGTCAGTATTTTCCGGTATATTTGTACCGTATACTTATATTCTATAGCGTAGAGCTGAAGACCGGAAGAAGCTATTAGCAATTGAACGTCTGATCCTGGAGACCATCTGCTTCAAATTTACCATCCAAATGGCATTTCCATACGTCATCAAGTTCTCCAAGGCCCTCGATGTCTCGAAAGACCTGGCGAAGCTGGCATGGCGATTGTGTGCGGACAGGTGAGTTGCTCTGCTGTTGCGACGCCACTCTAATAAATCGTCGCAGTCATAGAACCGTTGTGACCCTAGAATATCCGCCGCATTCTGTTGCGCTAGCGTGCATCTATCTCGCTGGGCTTCTGGCGACATTCGAGGCGCCTCAGCTGGCCTCGGCTGAGGAATCTACAAAGGCTCGCGCCCTTGTGAATTTGCTGTCCGAGCCAGGTGATTGGGAAGACAAGTATCTGGTCAAAGTGGACGATTTACATGGTGCGCATTGTCAATCCTAATAGCGTGTCATTGACACAGACTAGGGATCTGTCAATCGATTCTCGACCTTCTGCGCTCTGCATGCGAAACTGGGATGCACAGTTATTCAGCCTCTCCGGCTACGCCATCTTCTCCTTCTCCGTATCCGTCACCAAGAACTCCAAACCCTTTTCGCGGCTCATCCGGGTCTATGGGCACCGAAGAGTCCATGATTTTTACCTCTAGCCATGTTATTCGCCTAAAGATTGCACTTCGCGAACAAGCGGACACGCTCAAAGCGAAAGGATATCAATTTCGGAAGCGGAACACGAGCAGAGCTGTAGCACGTACCCCAACGGCAGCTACTCCCACTGCACCCAAGGATCCAAATATCCCGTCGGCCAGTAAAGATCCTGATCCCTCGGTGGGCAAAAACGAAGGCACAGTCAGGTTCTTGTTTGGACTTAATGATTGATTGTATTTTCATCTCACCCTACATGTATATCTTGAACATCTAGAATAGCGACAATAGGTTGTCCAGACGGCAGATTCCGGCCAAACCAAGCCTCCTCTGTTCTTCTTCTGAAGCAGCTGCGAGCAGTGATTTGGCAATCTGGTCTGCTACAGTCGCAACATGTGTGCCACCTTTGATAGTCGCAATAGAGTTGGCGAACGACACTTGTTGAAACGTGCCGCTATCGGAGATGGTGAAGGCGACCTCCCAGCGGTCATTGATGCGCTCGTGAACCACTGTCTGCTTTACTGAAGCGGCACCAGACTGCTCTGCAGCATTATCTGCGGCAGATGAGACATACATCTCGACGTACTGCTTGAATGACTTGATGCCGATGGGCTCGTTGTTGAGATAGACTCTGACGTCCTTGCCGTGCTTCTTCCCCTCGGCGTTGGTCGTCTTCATAGTGACAGCCATATTAGTCCTCGACCATAGCATCATGCCCAGCATCATACATGTCTCAGGAACCCCAGCAAAAGCAAGAGCCAAAAGAGGTCGCGGTAGAGCCGTTTCCAAGACGCATGCGCGAAGCAGATCGCTCGGAGCGTCCTCTTCGGGAGCGGCCACCTCTGAAGCGGAGAGTGAGACGGAAGATGGGACATCAAACATGTCAGATAACTCCGAAGAAGATGAAGAAAGAAGAGAAGATTCCTCTGATGAGCCCATGGAGGATGAAAGCGTCGTTTTCGATTCTGACCGCGACAATAAAACAACAGGTCACGCAAAGCACCAGGCCAAAATCTCACAGAGGACACCAAGAAAGCCACGAAGAGCTGGACCTCCTCCAAAGGAGACGTTTATCAATCAGACGGCCTTTGATGTCTACTTCGCCCACGCCACTGGAAAGTTGTACAAGTCGGACAACTTGATCTCCTCGCTCATTGAACCTCTTACTCAAGGAGAGTTCGATTCCATCAAAGCACGGATGGAAGCGAAGAGCGAAGATCCGTCGCTGAGGAGACTTGCATCGTCTCACTTTGCCTTTTTCCCACACTATTGGTTGGAATTGCATGCCGGATACAATCTGCTATTCCATGGCTATGGCTCCAAGCGAAGCGTCCTGACAGAGTTCGCCAAGGAGTTCTGTGCGTCGAATGGTCACGTTCTTGTCATCAACGGTTACAAGAAAGGAGGTGGATTCAAGACGATACTCGCTGGCTTGAATCAGATACCTGGGTATTCAGATTCAACCGTAGCTAGTGCAGGGTGGGAGGACCAGATTGCGCGAGCCTACGAATTCTTCAGAAACACGCGACACCCGAGACTATACATCATCGTCCATAATATTGAGTCGCAGGGTTTGAGGGACAACAAATCTCGCTCCCTCCTTTCGACACTCGCTCTACATCCACGAATACATATAGTTGCTTCAGCCGATCACATAGATACCGCTGCGTTGTGGTCATCCGGGGAAATATCTGCTCGAAAGCATCCCACCACTGCAGCAGGGGCAGACATACCGGTGTCGAGAGGGTACTCCTGGCTTTTCCACGACCTGACTACATTCCAGCCGTACGTGGAAGAGATGAAGAGCAGGGATATTACTTCTCTGCCTTCCCAAGGGCAGCCATTACCGGGTGCATCAATGACTCATCAAGCTTTGACGGAACCTGCCATGGTTCACGTTCTAGCATCGGTCACAGAAAAAGCGAAACGTCTGTTTCAGCTTCTGGCGACGCGCCAAATTGCCGCCATTGAAGAGGGAGGGGAGAGACAGGTTGTGGGCGTAAGCGGGTTGGAGATGTATGGAATGCAGTATGATCTGCTTTTCAACGAGGCAAGAAAAGGTTTTATAGCGACGAGCGATGTAGCTCTTCGTGCGCTGTTAGGCGAATTTATGGACCATGGAATGATCAAGATAGGCGGTCAGCCAGAAACTCTGTGGATTCCAGCGACCAAGGAGATCATACGAAGAGTGTTGCAGAATATCGAAGCTCAAATCTAGATGGTCTATAGCCATGCGGTCGTCATTGAGCTATCTACATTGTATCGTAGTAAGACGAATAGTGTACAGTCGAGATTACCACTCAATCTACGCGCTTCTTTTTCTTTGCTGGGCCTTCACCGTCACTATCGTCCTTGTCGGCAGAGACCTTGGGCTTGGGCTTTGGTTTTGGCTTTGTCCCGTCGGATTTGGACTTTTTGGGTGATGGTGATGCGGAGTTGTCCCTCTTCTTCTTCTTCTTCACTGGCGAGTCACTGGCGTCTGAACCTTCTTCAGAGTCATCAGAAGACGACGTTGGTGATCCTTCATCACTAGTCGATGCTTGGAAATCCTCATCTAGGTATGAAACTGTGAGCAAAAAAGGGGATGTGGAGAAGACAACTGACCCTCCGAGCTGTCCTCATCGTCTCCGCCTCCACCAGGAGCACGAGGTTTAGGGACGTCTTCTTCGACACTCCTATCACTTTCCATGTCCTCATCGTCATCACTCCCAAGATCTACTGCCATGGCCTCATCTGCTGCTTCGGTCTTGACGCGAACTCCTTTGCTGGTCAGGAAATCCTCGATGTGATCTTTCTCGCCCTTGTCGATGGAAGAAAAAGTAACTTCTGAGCCACCTTTCGGTTCGATACGCAAGTCGATCGTTTTACCAGAGGCTAATCCACCTCCAATACTAATGATGTTATAAGAGATGTCCAAAGACCGAGAGTATTACATACCGAGTGAGCACAATTTCATACACGTCGGAAATGTTGATGAGATATGGTTGTTTCGATAGGAAGAAGATGCTCTTCTCCAAGAAATATAGTTCTCCTTGGACGGCTTTCAGGTTGCACTTGATAGGGTGACCAGGATCGTGGCTCCTGGTCATGCATTAGGAGACGTATGAATAAGTGGGGGTCGACTCACTGTGGGGCGAAGGCGGAGGATGGACGGGCGATATTCTTGCCTACCAGACTACGGTAAACGTTCGCAATGATCTGATACGCGAGCCCGTCGTGGCTCTTGTCCAGCCTCCCCTCATACTTTGTCTGAAGTGTTTCCCTATCCGGATTCAGGTCTGAGGAGTTGGGCCAGGGACGAGACGTACTCATCAATATTCAACTCTGCGGCCATCTGCTCGTCACGATTGAAGACTAGGACGAGGAAGGGATATCGAGTTTGCCCTTGTCTAATCGGTGGATCGAGATTGACCTATACAAGCAATGAGAGGTGAAATATCTGTACTGATGGAACGTACCACCAAGGAGATATTCTGTTCGTCTGCTCGTGGCAGTAGGAATAAGCGTGAGATGGTGTTGTACGGGACTTTGTAATCGTATGTCTTGCCGTGTAACCGCAAGAAATTTGGGAACATGTGAATGTCGTAGCGTCCACGGGGAGTAGTAACCAGAACTTCGTGGAATACGACGATGCTCTCGCCTGTCACTTGTCCAATATCGGCCTTTTCCTTGATCGTTTCGTGGAAAACTTGGGCAGCACTCTGTTCGTCTCCTTCGTCTCCGTCATCTTTTTGCTGTGTGCCGGGGATATACATGCGTAGCTCCATGAGCTCGTCAGGCGCGTTTTTGGCGGACCGCTTAACGTCTGGCTGAATAAACTCCAACGAAACCTCCGTCTTGCCGGCAATGTTGGAATTTGCCACCGTTGGGAGTGGAATATCGAACGCTGGCTTGTTCCCTATAAGGAAGACAAGGTCTTGCCCTACCATACCGTGTTAGAGCTGGAGTTATGATGGATTTGCTTCACACCTCGGAAATCGGTACTTCCCCAATTCCAACCCCTCCAAGAAAGCTCTCTCACTTCGAGATTGATATCAAAGTTTTGTTTGAGTAGGCTTGTCAAAGTATCTTGATCCTATGAACGAGTCTCAGCACCTAATTCTATCCCATATAGCCGGTACAAACCTCTCTCCTGAATCCTTCAAAGCTCTCTCGCTTCCAGGTATCTTTCAGGCCAATGCGAAGCTGATAGTTACGCGCAACTCGCGTCCATTCCGCCCATTTGAGCTCCGAGGCAGGCACATTGACTCTTTTATCTCCTTCAAGCACTTTCCACGAGATTCCCGTCGCGCCAATGCGTAATCCTTTGAAAAAACGCGCACAAAATCATCAGCGATGGTCAAAGATGGGGTTTATGACGCGTCAAAACGTACTTCCATGCTCTTCGGTATGCCAGATGTCTACAAACTCGGTGGTCATTTCGGCGTGGGCGTTGAAGGGTCCAAGGTGAGCGTCAAGGTTTTGACCGCGACCATGTCCTTCAAGCAGGCATTCTCATTTATAAGCGCAAAGGTACCATCGAATATCGAGTCTTAAATGCCATTCTCAATATCTGACTGGTTGCATTTCAGGAACTTGCCACTCTCTTGCGGAATCCAGGTTTATATCCTTCTACTCCTCGGCTGGCTAGAGTTGACGGGTTACGGAAAGAGAACAAGATCGCGGTCGTGGATGTCCGGGATGATGACTACGAAGGAGGCCACATCAAAGGCTGCATCCATTCGCCGTCGGCTGGGTTCTTAGACGGAGGGGTAGAGTCAGTAAGGGAGAAAACAAAGGAAACACCGGTCGTGGTGTTCCACTGTGCTCTTTCGCAGGTCCGGTATGTTTGAGTTTGATCTGCGCTTTCCGAGACTTATCTCCAGTAGAGGACCCAAGGCGGCGAGAGTGGGTCCGATGAACTCATATTCAACGATGAATAATATTTTATAGATCTACGCAGAGACAACCGACGAAGTCAGGAAGCGTGGAGGAGACGCTCCTATTCCCCAGGAGGTCCTTGTACTCCGAGGTGGCTTTACCGAATTCCAGGCATTGTTCAGAGTAAGAATATTCCAACAACTGCCCTTGAACTCGACTTAGATCCTTTTCAGCACGACAAAGACCTCGTGGAGGATTGAGACTAGAATTTCTGGAACTAGCCGAATATTTTTTTTCAATACAACTAGGAGTTAGACTTTCCAGCCTACAGATTCTCCCACCCAGGAGATGATTTTGCGTGCGGCATCCTTTTCCGATTGACTCAGGAAGAGTGCTAAACTGGCAAACCGCGGTATCTGGCCAAGATACGTAAGATACTGTGTGATATCGCGCTTCTCCCCTCCGTTCGCCGATCCATAAAGGAGGATTTGGAGAATCCCACCGAGTAACTGCGGCTCGAGCGATGTACGAAATAGAGTGGGTAGCGTTTGTGGTGCTACACTTTTTAGTATCTTCCATTTCGCCTTGTCATCAACGGCGGAATTCCATTGTATCGAGAACTCGAATGCGTTGCGCGGTGGTTCTTGCGGAGCCGGGCTTGGAGTAACGATCGGCGACTCAACTTCCGGTGGGGTGTTGCCGCTGGGCTTCGACGTCACATCCTTCGGCTCAAAGATCGACGCAGAGTGAGTCCCGTCTCTTTTGAAGATTCCCCCACCGACGGCCTTGACTCGCGAGGAGCGCTCTTGTTTGGCTTGTTGAAAGGATTTTGGTGGGTTGGATGACTCCTTCGAAACTCCTTCTGATATTATTTCGATGATAGGCGCGTCCTTGTTCACCGAGGAGGGCTGGGTGCTGGTACCATCGACCGTCGGAGCCTCTTCGTCCTCGACAATTTCAATGGGCACCCGCCGACGTCTAGAGTGATCGGTAGGAACATCCTTCGGCACACGTTCACTGGAAGCAGTGCGCTACGAGAAGGTCAGACTGGCTTACTATCTTCTTCCGAAATGCGTGCCTGTTTCTCGTCATCCAACAGGGCTTGAATCCGCTTTTGTTCTTGCTTTGCAGTTTCATTCGCTGGTTCTAATTTCAGGACTTGATCTATATCTATTCTTTGGGAGGTGAGATCCGCCGCACACTGACGACAAGGAAAACACCGACCTTGAAGTGCGGTGGAATAGTTACCTAGTCCCGCTCTCGCCTGCCCGCGTCTGAATAGCGCCTTGACATTCTTCGGCTCAATTGTCAAGGCACGACCGCAATCCCGCTCTGCATCTTGGAACCTGGAGGCGTATCGGATTAACGACCGGGTGCATTCAGGTCTGTCTCGGAAGAGATGCTGACTTGTTGAGCTTCAAGTATGCAGCGGCTCTATTGAGGGGAAACGTCGCATCCTTTGGATCTGCCAACATCGCGCTAGTGTACTCTCCAACTGCAGCGGCATAGTTTCCCGCTTTGAAAAACTCATTTCCCTGAATGAATGCATGAGGATATTGTATATCGAGGACAGCCAAGTGCTCACTTTGGCCTTGAAGGCGGCTGCCATTGATGCAGTTTTGAGATGTAATGGTCAAACTCCAACCAACGCAGACCACCCGAGCCGCATTCTAGCCAGTAGCTATCCAAATGGAGCCACCTTTGCTCTATGAGTATCACAAAGTATGCCACAGAAATTCGGATGTTTCTCGCTCCTCCGCTGGAAAACTCGGCGAGTCGCAGCTCGCGGTGTTGACTACACCACATGAGCATTGAATTAAGCACCATAACATCTCAGGCAGCGCTCAACGAAGACCAATCGGGCCGCAAACCACTTGACGACGTACGAGGTCACACTTCCGGATCGCAAACGGCCCTGTTTTTCACGCGCTAGTCGTACCTTTGGAGCGTTTCGATGTATGAAACCCCCGAGAATCTGAACCCGATTCGTGGCGGGGAAATGCGCGTCGGGCGTCGTATAAAGCCGTAGACAAGCCAGCTACGCGTGCGTTCATCTCCACTGGACTCCCTCTTCCTCGATGATCAGCCCACTCTACCTCCTTAGCGCGCTCTCTGTCGCTGGCTCAGCCTTTGGCCACACCATCTTCACTCGACTTTATGTCAACGGTCAGTCAAATTTCGAGATCACATCGTCATACTGACTCGAAAATAGGCGTCGATCAGGGACACTTGTACGTGTTCGTATTACGCAAGTATACTGGACTCATGCGTTTGTAGGACGGGCATTCGTTACCCTACCTATGACGGTCCCATCACCGACGTCACCTCAAACGATTTGATTTGCAATGGAGGTCCCAATCCTCTGACTACTGTTAGTTTTCATAGTGTTACCTACCGAAAGCTCACGCATCCTAGCCTTATCCCTCTACGGTCATTCCAGTCCCAGCCGGAGCTCAACTTACAGCAGAATGGCACCACACCCTTACATCTACACCAGAAACCGACGCCGAAGACCCAGTCGCAAAGGGTCATAACGGGCCGATCATGGCCTATCTGTGGGTCCAATCTCATACCCTAATCCTTCCTCTCTGACCTAGAATAGTGCAAAAGTTCCAGATGCAACCCAAACCACCGTCACGGGTCTTGGTTGGTTCAAGATCTACGAAGGTCTGTCAGTCCTGGTCCTTTATTCCGGCTCAATGGCTCGTTAGATGGTCTCTCTGGCGGAACATGGGCTGTTGAGAAGCTCATTGCGAACAAAGGAAAGGTCTCGTTCACCGTTCCTTCTTGTATCCCTCCCGGTGGTACGTATAGAGCGCTGCGGATGCTCCTAGTTCTCATTGGATCATAGACTACTTCCTTCGCATGGAGCTGATTGCTCTCCATGCCGCGTCCAGGTTAGTCCTGAACGCCTTTGAATTGCTACCGGGTGTATTAATCCGACCTCTAGCTACCCGGGTGCTCAGTTCTACGTGCGTAAACACTCTGCGACTTTCGCGTCTTACCCTGGTTTAGATGGAGTGCGCACAAATCCGTATTACTGGTGGCGGCAGTGCTAGCCCAGCAACGTATTCGATACCTGGAATCTACGCGGGAAGTGACCCAGGAATCACCATCAAGTAAAGCTCTTCTTTTCGTCTCGGCCTTTACACTAACGCCGTTCCCTCGCCCTTCAACTCTAGCCTGTACTACCCACCTGGTACGTATTTGAGTGATTTAGGTTATATGATCTCTGACTTTGCCTTAGTCACTTCATACACCATCCCAGGACCGCGTCCATTCACTTGCAGTGGCAGCAACTCGTCCACCGCCCAAAGCTCGACTGTCTCGTCTTCCTCTCGCAGCTCGACATCGACGCGCGCTTCGAGTAGCTCAAGCAGTTCGACATCAACGCGTGCTTCGAGTAGTTCTACACGGGCATCGAGCACCTCTTCGGCAGCCACAGGTACCCAAACGCTCTACGGTGCGCCTCTATTTATGTGGCTTCGAACGGGTATTAACATCGTGCAGGACAATGCGGTGGTCAGGGATGGACAGGCCCGACGACCTGTGCCTCTGGCACGTGCAAGGTTTCCAACCAATTCTACTCCCAGTGCCTGCCTTGAATGCGATAGTCACTGTATGCAATGTCGCTTTGCTTTATTTTCATTCCTTTGGCTCTCTGATAGTTATATTCTGAGTTATATGGCTTCGTTACAAGGGGTCAGGTGGAGTGCTTCCCGGTTTCCGAGTTTCCCTCGCCGACAATATGCAGCGACCTAGACAGGCCGCTCCATCGCTTGATACTTGACCCAAAAAGATCTCCCATACACACGATATTGTGCAGAACGTTCACGACACGGAATCCGTGCACAGATTCCATTTTATCTGGGAGTCTCCGATGGATTTTCAGCCACACACGCGTGTGACATCTGTTTCCTTTTCCAATAAGAACTGAATTGGTCTCGAACACTTGACGCCAATGGCGTATTGTTTCCCCCGACCTTTTGTCGTGCTCAATCCTCGTCGGCATGCATGCCAACGTGATTCATCGACTACGACACTCCCATATAGTACACTTTCCTGCAATTTGGTATCGGCTCGGCATCCGGTCATCACAAGTCGACGGTGGTGTGCACTTTCGAGTCCAGCTTGATTTTTGGGAGCTCATATGCAGTAGGAATCACTCGAGTCGTACTTTGCCACTATAGTTCGCTCAGTGTCTAGGCCTATCCACCTATTCAACGCAGAAACCTCACCGTATGGGTCCCACTCGCGGACCGTTAGCGAATTCCGACAAGGTTCCGTTACTGTTTTGTTCCTCCGAAACCTGGGAGTTTCATACAATCACGGCCGTCCTTGATGATATCGAGAACCGGGCGGCAGCAGTCCCGCCTATAAATGCGGCCTTCTTGAGGGCTCGAGACAGAAATATCCCCCTCTGAATCAACTGTTTACGATGCTCGCACCCGGGCTTGTCACACTCGCTCTCGCCTCTATCGTCTCTGCGCATACTATTTTCCAGGTCAGTGGCGCCTTTGACCACAAGAATACATCATATTCAGGCTCATATTTAGCAACTTTACGTCAATGGTGTAGACCAAGGACATCTGTGCGTTTGAACCAACGCATCGAACAACGCTAAATGCTCTCCAGGACTGGCATCCGATATCCAAATTTCGACGGCGTACGACTTCCATCCTGTTTCGTATCTCTTTGCTCATTCTCCTTTAGCCCATTACAGATGTTACTTCAAACGACGTGATCTGCAACGGCGGTCCGAACCCATTGGTCACTGTGCGTCGCAGAGACAGTGGGAGACGATAAGGATTAATGGAATTTCCTAGCCCTTCACTACAACAATTATCGACATCCCCGCTGGAGGTTCGTGATGTCAACTGGTGATACTCAGCTTACCATTGGCTATATACAGCAACCGTTACTGCGGAGTTTCATCACACTTTGAGCGGCTATAACCCTTCGGATAGCTCAGATCCGGTAGATCCTACGCACAAGGTCTGCAATGCCCGCGAGGAACAACGGTTGGCTGACTCCATTTCCTCAGGGCCCGATCATGGCTTATTTGTGAGAGTAAAATCTCTCGTACTCAGACTTACTTACGAGTCACAGGGCAAAAGTACCGAGTGCTCTTCAGACTGATGTCACTGGAGTAGGTGGTCTGCGCTCGAACAGCCCGGATACTTATCTTCTGGTAGCTTGGATGGTTCAAGATCTTTGAAGGTATTATATTTTACTAGGTACTTCCAGACTCTAAACTGCCACAGATGGACTGGGATCTGATGGAGTTTGGGCCGTACGCAGATTTCATTAATGTTACGCGCTGAAGCTGACACTGGTAAAGGTTGATAAAATGATTGCAAACAAGGGAAAGGTGTCATTCACTGTTCCTTCTTGCATATCTGCTGGCAGTGCGTGACCGACAGCGACTTTGTCTTGCGATTTGATGCTAAGTCCTTCAGATTACCTTCTTCGTGTGGAATTAATTGCATTGCACGGAGCGTCATCGTACGTACCTTTCGATTAGCTGACATTCACTAACAAGGTCATAGATATCCTGGTGCTCAATTCTACGTACGTGAGCACAAGTTTCTGGTCGTGGCTGACACCGCGCAGATGGAATGCGCTCAAATTAACATCACTGGGGGTGGTTCTGCCTCTCCAGCCACTGTATCCTTCCCAGGAGCTTATTCAGGTTTGTTCTGGCATAGGTGCGCCTTCACGTTTCTGACATTTGCGACAGGCTCGGACCCCGGCGTCCTCGTCAAGTGGGTAACCTCCCATTGAGTAAACAACTTCCTGACTTACTTCACTTCTTTTCCATGACAGCATCTACGTGAGTGATCTATTACCTGTTGGTTACCACGTCTGATTCTCCATGCAGTATCCTCCCCTTAGCACCTATGTGATCCCTGGACCACGACCATTCACTTGTGGTGGATCCAACACAAGTGTCACTCCGACATCATCGACGAGCTCTCGCGCCTCTAGCTCGACCTCTACTTCGAGTTCACGCTCCTCCAGTACATCTAGCCGCGCATCAAGTACCTCTTCGGCCGCGACTGGTACCCAGACGCTCTATGGTATGCTCTATTTTATGCACTATCGAGTATCGGTTAACGTCGTGTAGGACAATGCGGTGGACAGGGATGGACTGGTCCTACGACGTGCGCCTCTGGCACGTGCAAGGCCTCCAACCAATTCTATAGTAGGCACAAATCTACTACGATAGAATACCCTATGACGCTTTCCTCAGGCCAGTGCTTGCCTTGAGCAAGTAATCTCGGGAATGGGCCTCGACAGGCAAGGCGTCGAAACTTCCGCTTTCTGACAGCACGATCTCAAGCACACAACGGTAACGCTCTTTTTGATTCGTTGGTGTATTTCGCTTCAGAATTTTGTTATCTCATCCTCATGGTGCACTGTCAGCCGTCAACGTGCTGTAGACAACGAAGGAAGCTCGGCAGAGGATGGTATCTCACTGAAAATATCGCAATTCTCCTGGTCTAAGAAGCTTCTTTCATCACAGGTTGACCTCAGAGAGTACTTCTGCTCGGCACACGACCTACACAACTTAGTCATCATATCGTGACCAGTAGAGTCTTTCAATTCTCATTCCTGAATAGTGGGCGCCTACGTGGACGGGATTATCCGGTCAAACTCACTCTAGTGTGAGACAAGTGAGCTACAAGTCCGGTGAAATCATACTGCCAAGCACGAAGCAACTAATAGCTCCGAACGTTTGCTTCCTCGCGCCTCCGCACTTTCTCCAGACCATGGGATCAGAAGGCGTTTCACCCAAAATCCAAATCTCAAATAATGAGCGAAATGTGATGCTGTACCCCATAGTCCAGTCCAGCTGCGATCCTTGCTCTCATGTCCCAATTGTCTGTAATAGGTGAGCAGTACTACGTGAGAGGAACCAAAGAAAAGGTACCAGGGACGACGTGCGATATATGACTGCTTCCGGAGAGCACTTTGGATACGAGAGAAGCCGTCGCCGCTGCCGGACAAAGGTGAGTAAACGCCTTTAGGCCGACTTTTCCTCGTACTCAATACTCATGCGCGTGCCTCTCTGTTCTCTTCTAGATAGGAGTTTGTCCGCTAGCGTGCTGGATGTCTCCATGGAGCGTTCCTAAGCGCGGCTGATTTAATGATTTGTTGACCGTTGGCTACAACCAGTTATAGCCGTCAGTTCACAAACTCAAAGGATTGACTTGGGGAGGGCGTCGCGCACTGAGTCTTTTCAGCTCTGGTGGGCTGCTCACGCCCTCGCCCAGTTATTCCAGCAATCAATACCATCCATACTTTGCGGAACAAATGGGATGCGGTCGCGATCGCGGTGAGTGTCCCGAGAAGTGCCCGTCACCGTCACGCTCCTCACAACTTTCCGAAGAAATGCGAACCAAATTCAATCATCTCCAAGCTATCGTCTGTGCCTGGTTCTGGTGAACGAGGTTTATTAAGAGGGCAAGTAGGACTGCACAGCGGAAACCAACGACCTGCCCTCCTTCCTCATCGTCCCATGCTCGCCAAAGCACTTGCTCCAGTCCTTTTTGCCACAGCCGCTTCGGCTCATGCTATCTTTCAAGTGATTACCTACTCGAACCTCTTTGAACTGTCTGACTCGAGGCCTGTAGGAGCTCTACGTGAACGGTGTCTCTGCTGGCCACAACACTGGTATCCGTGTGCCAACCTACAACGGTCCTATCACGGATGTTACCTCGAACGACATCATTTGCAATGGCGGTATCAACCCGCTTGCCACTGTATGTGACCGGCCCGCCGGATGGATTTTTGAAACTCATGCCTATTAGCCACTCCCATCTGCTATCATCAATGTTCCAGCCGGTGCAACTCTTACCGCCGAATGGCATCATGGAGGAAACGGAGCGGATCCCAGCGATGCATCCGATCCAATCGACCCATCACACAAGGTATATTTTCTATCGCCTTTCTACTCGCATACTCAAGCTATTCTAGGGTCCTCTTATGGCTTACCTGTGGGTATCACGAGCTCACGGCTGTGCGTTGCTAAATCCATTATCAGTGCCAAGGTTGACAACGCCTTGACGACGACGGTCACCGGTGTATGTGTTCCATGAAATTGTCGAAGTGTTTACTTACCATTCGATAGCTCAAGTGGTTCAAGATTTATGAGGACGGGCTTACCGGCACCACTTGGGCCGTGCGTGTCTACTTCCCTTGCAGATGAATTACTTATACTCTTTAGGTCGACAAAATGATTGCGAACAAGGGAAAGCATTCCTTTACCGTTCCATCCTGCATCCCCCCTGGCAGTGAGTAATCTCGGTTCACCTTGCGGTTGGATGCTCAATCTTCTAGATTACCTCCTTCGTGTGGAGTTGATCGCATTGCACGGTGCCTCATCGTACGTGCTTCTAGGTTATTTGGTATTGGCTAATCATGACATAGATATCCTGGTGCCCAATTTTACGTACGGGAGCGCAAGCTTCAGGTCGAGATGTTGGCTGACATATCGTGCAGATGGAATGCGCCCAAATTAACATCACCGGGGGTGGATCTGCCTCTCCACCTACTGTCTCCTTCCCAGGAGCTTATTCAGGTCTGTTCTGGCGTTGGCTACCTTTCCGTCTCTGACCTCTGCGCAGGTTCTGATCCCGGCATTCTCGTCAAGTAGGTACCTTTCTTCAAATGGACGATATTCTGACGTATTCGACTTCTCTTTTCGATAACAGCATCTACGTGAGTGCTTTGTTGCTCGTTGGCGACTGCGTCTGACTCTCTATACAGTACCCTCCCCTTAGCACCTATGTGATCCCTGGACCACGACCATTCACTTGTGGTGGATCCAACACGAGTGTCACTCCGACGTCGTCCACAAGCTCTCGCGCCTCGAGCTCGACTTCCAGCTCGAGTTCACGCTCCTCCAGCACATCCAGCTCAAGTTCACGCTCCTCCAGCACATCCAGCCGCGCATCAAGTACCTCTTCGGCCGCAACTGGTACTCAGACGCTTTATGGTAGGCGGCAGATCATATAGTTCTCAGCATTTATTAACGTTGTGCAGGACAATGCGGTGGCCAAGGATGGACAGGCCCGACGACCTGTGCTTCTGGCACGTGCAAGGTATCGAACCGTAAGTTTCGAGGCATTATTGTTTGATTGGTCCTGACTGGGACATTTAGAATTCTATTCTCAGTGTCTTCCTTGAGGAATTATCAGTTGTATCTGTTCTCGTCAATGCAGTTTCTTCTTACCAATGTTCTATTACGTGTCCTTGAGCTGAGAGAGTAAACTGAATGGGTTTCAAAATCTGTTATGGTTTCCCAAGGGACAAATACGCCGTCACTTTGACCTAGACGTCCTTGCCGCAGAGGTGACTGTGACCTGTTGGACATGTATCTAGTCAGGATGACCAGTGCAGACCCGTACCTCTCGATAGTCATTGTCATTCAAGGCCAATCGCGCATGGGGATTTCGAGGCGACTGAGCGGGCCCTGAGTGGCGCCTCCTTGATTATAGTAAATGAATACTTCGTCGTTAGTCCGGAATCCTAAGAGGCCGCCCAACTACCATTCAACGTTGAATCTGTCTTTCATCACCATAGCTCGTCGGAAAATCCATAGCGAGATGCCGCACGTATCCAGAAAAGGCATTCAATGGATGATGCTTGCTCGCGTGGACGATTCCCGTTCAAATATTATCCACAGTTGTGCGACTTCCCAACTGATTCCCACTAGGCCAAGGCCGTAGGTCGAGAACTGTGTTTCGTGAGACTACGAACTCACCCCGACAACAGCCCGCCAGATGTGCGTTGCCCAGGTAAGTGTAATTACTTTCCGAGAATAATGTTCACCAAGTCTTGTATTCTCTTGGCCATCTTGTCGGTCGTCCTGCTGGTTATAAAAGCAGCAGATTGCCGCCAAAGGTGAGTTTCATCGACTGTTCGCTCGCTCTCTTCATCGTCATGCTTTCCAAGGCATTTCTCCCTCTCTTATTCGCTGCTGTGGCATCGGCACATACCATCTTCCAAGTACGCGACTTGTTTGAGGTTGAATACTCGCTCAAGGTAGATTAGGAGCTTCACGTAAATGGAGTTAGTCAAGGACACAAGTATGTGACCCCAACTCTTTGACTATTCTCCTCATTATGCCATAGAGTCGGCATCCGCTATCCGAACTATAACGGAGTGCGTCCCCTTGTATCGTAGAATACGTGAACGCTCATCTATCTAGCCCATCACGGATGTCACTTCCAACGACATCATCTGCAACGGTGGACCAAACCCTCTCGTTACTGTACGTGTGTTGACTCGGACCATATCCCACTAACGATCCATAGCCTTACTCCAACACCATCATCAACGTTCCAGCTGGCGCGTAAGTCCGCACAGACCCCTCGAAATAGCGTGGCTCACCAATTACCTAAGAACTCTGACTGCAGAGTGGCATCACGATATTACCGGGGCGAACCCTTCCGATGCTTCGGACCCAGTCGACCCAACCCACAAAGTACGCCCAAACAGAATTAATCACTTGCATACTAAATTTTCGGCACAGGGGCCTATCATGGCCTATCTGTGAGCTCTTTATTCTGTTTAGGATATCCCTACTCATTCCGACAAGTGCAAAAGTAGACAGCGCCTTACAAACAAGCGTGACAGGAGTAGGTTTAACTATGGCAGTAATTATAGTCGCTGACTCGCCAATAGCTGAAGTGGTTCAAGATCTGGGAAGGTCAGTATGCATGATTACGGTAAAGAGTTTCTAAAATCACGTAGATGGTCTTGGATCCGACGGGAAATGGGCTGTAAGTGGCACTGACTTAGCAAATATGATTGCTCAGTAATTCTAGGTCGACAAACTCATCGCAAATAAGGGCAAAGTTAGCTTCCCCGTCCCAAGTTGCATCCCTCCTGGCAGTACGTCTTGATGGCTCCTGTCTTCTCCACTCTTGACGAAAATAGATTACTTCCTTCGTGTCGAGCTTGTGGCCCTCCACGGTGCTGGATCGTACGTGTTTCTCACTCTTCAATAACCTGGTCGCTAATCATGCATAGGTATCCTGGTGCCCAGTTCTATGTAGGTGCTTGTCAATATTACCCTATACTCGCTGACCAGTTTATAGATGGAATGTGCTCAAATCAACATCACGTATGTGAATCACAAATGAAAATCCTTTATCTTAACCGTTCATAATAGTGGTGGTGGATCTGCGTCTCCTCCCACGGTTTCGTTCCCTGGAGCGTACTCAGGTTCGTTCAAAACATTTGTGACCATGCCATTCTAAAGCTTTGTGACAGGCACAGATCCTGGAATTACCATCAGGTAAGCGGCTTCGTTCCGGCTAAGGGATTCACTGACAGCTTTTCCTTGGCTTTTAATATTAGCATCTACGTGAGTTTCATATCAGCTTTGCTCCTTACCGTCTGCTTATCTACGCAGTATCCTCCTGTTACAAACTATATCATTCCTGGACCACGGCCATTCACCTGTGGTGGATCCAATACGAGCGTCACTCCAACCTCATCTACAAGCTCCCGTGTCTCCAGCTCGACCTCGAGTTCTCGTTCTTCCAGCACGTCCAGTCGCGCATCAACCACTTCTTCAGCGGCGACGGGTAGCCAGACACTCTATGGTGCGTCCACGTTCATCTGATATTCAACATTGATTCATGTCTTTCAGGTCAATGTGGTGGTCAAGGATGGACGGGTCCAACGACCTGTGCCTCTGGCACGTGCAAGGTCTCCAACCAGTTCTATAGTAAGAGCCAAAGCAAAATTGTCAAATACCGCACTAACATATTTTCACAGGCCAGTGCCTGCCTTGAGGGGCATTTCTGGCAATGTACGGCATGTATCTTTGCTAGCACATCGTATTCCTGCAAGGCACACTCTCTTTCATTCATACATCCTTAAGCATCCATGAATTTTGTTGAAAACACCGTATTTATAATTGCTTTAGTCTGCATACTAGAGATCTAGCCAGATCAAATGCGCTTGTTTTATTACTGTGGCTCTGGGGTCAACTATTAAATCGACCACGAGATGGGAACCTTTACTTTTGCTTGGTCCATGTTTGCCTTGTAACGTATTCGCGATGTATATGAGCAAAGCACAGTGACAGGACAGTCTTACTCCACCAGCACTTCGCCAAAGGATCATTGAATTAGGTTATGAGACCGCTTCACAGCTGGCTGCAGCCATTTCATGCTATCTGATCAGCGAAATGCTTATATGGCTCTCGTGTCCATGTCAGTCGAGGTCCAAAGGATTGGAAAATCCCTTCTGATAGGCTTCAAGCGAGCAAGTCGTCGAGGAAATAGCAACTTCTACTTGCGGACGAGTTTGCTAGAGCCAATAAACATTCATCGCATCGCGTCGCGTGGATGTCTCCTCTGAGTGAAGAGCTCCATGGCCTGTCGCTGTGCAACTAGTTGCCACTATCTTCAACTCCTCATGGAGTTGAACGCCAAGGAGCAGTTGGTGCATGCATCCCGTTCATTTCTTTGTGATGTCTCTGTGAACCCGAGGGGACGGAGGACGACTCGCGTATGATACGAGGCAGATAAAGAGAGATAGTATAACAGTACGTTGTTAATCTGCCGCGGTTGTGACCGCGGTCGAGGTCGGGTCCAAGATGCGTTCGGGGGAGGCTGGGTTGCAGACTACGAATTTATAGGGGCGGCCCAACTTATTCAAATAGTCAAATCTGAATTGGTTTGGTGAGCAGTGTGACTTACTGACTGCGGAACAGCCAGCGCAAAGGACTATGGCCATAATTTGGAGTGGCATTGGCAATAATTACTGAAAAGGCCAGTAAGGACACAGCACCCTCGAATCCAACTAGTACTAGAGTGAGAGCCAACGGCCAAGGGCACGCCAGTGTTTGAAAGAGGTTTCTGGGAGCGCGTGGAATGTACCTTGGTTGGTCTTTGCCTTATTATATTGACAAAGTTTCAGAAATCGATCTATAGCTTGGCTATCGACGGTCCCAAATTGATTCGGGTGGCCAGATTACATAACAAGGCTCGCTCAGTAAGCTTTGAACCTGACCGCTGCCAGTCGGTTCTGAGAATCCATTGGCACGCCGGTGGAGTGTCTTAGAAATGCATATCGTATCGACATATCTACCTCCAACAGCAGCGTCACATGCCGTCAAATGCAACCTAGGAGATGACCTGCTGGTCGTGGCCAGGATCAACCGTCTGGACCTGTACATGCTCAGATCCACTGGAATTCAGCATGTCAGCTCGTTGGAACTGCTTCCAAGGGTTGTCGCACTCCATGAGATTTCGCCAGAGGTACGACTCTACCGTCTCTGATCTTTCCTCAACTTCTTTCTTTCTAGGATGGCGTATCCGCTCTACTAGCGATCACTGACCACCCAGATTGCTCTGCTTTGGTGCTCGAGTACTCGCCCAAGCAACGTAATCTTGTCGTGTCGTCCTCGCAGAAGCTTGTCCTCCCGTACGGTCGACCCCTGTCCGGTTGCGTCAACTGTGCTATCTCACCAGATGGTCGGCATGCGGCGATAGCACTCTTCCAAGGCACGATGACCATTCTCTCGTTTACTCGCGAAAAAGGCGTCGCTCGAATTGCAAGAAAGGTGGACTCTGCGTGAGCACTTTATTTCACGTGTACTTTATCTGGACTGATTATCATAGTATTCGCGAGCTCCTGCTCCTCTCGTTTGCCTTTCTCCCACTCCCCGCACAGGATGGAATCGCCATCTCGTTGCTGCATAAATCGTATACGGGATCCAGACATATATCGACACGAGGCGTTGATCTGGATACACTTGACATTTCCGCTGAGGGTTCATCCATCGAGCTTCGAGAAGAGGACGAACCGACCAGAATGATATGTGTTCCTCGCGCAGCAAGCAAACCCGGTGGACTTTTACTCTTTGGACCCGACTGTACAATATTTTACCAGGCGGACAAGCTCCACAAAATGCAATCGCCGGCCAAGAGTAGACGAACATCGACACGACAGCCGGATCTTTACGAAGAATGGAAATACTCTGACGTCTCTGGGTAATGCTGCTACCTACTCTTAGATGAGGCTCTGATTTTCCGCTAGCTACGGCTTCATTGACGAGTCCCGTCTATTATTAAGCGACAAATATGGCAAGCTTGTATTGCTCGCCTTGGATAACGACCCAAAGAAGATACCGGCTGGTGCCATCAATATTCACCTCTTGGGGGAGGTAAGAGCTTTGTACGCTCTTCTCAACCCTTTATTTGACGGGAGAGCAGGCCTCTGCAGGTAGCTGTATTGCATATCTCAACGCTGGTGTCATCTTCATTGGTTCCGAAACCGGAGATTCTCAATTAATGAAGATCACTTCCAGCGGCAAGTTGGAGGTCATCGACACATTTAGCAATACCGCTCCAATTGCCGATGCAGTTCTTGCAGATCTGGACAATACTGGTGACCACGTTGTAGTGACTTGTTCAGGAAACGGAAGAACTGGGTCACTGCGTACAATCCGAAGTGGTGCAAATATCGAGGAATTGGCATCTATGGAGACTTCTATACCGATTAAGAACATCTTTCCCCTCCAAGAGACCTCTGGGTAATCTCTTCATTTCAGCACAAAACTATCCCTAATGCTCTTTAGGACATCACATCTCTACATGCTCATCTCTTATGATCAAGAAACAAAGTTGGTGGATGCAAGGGAAGCTCCAAGACTGAGCGAACTCTCAGCTCACCAGTTCCCTGGTGTCGCTCGTGAATTCCCGACTCTCGCTGCTGGGAATGTTCGGCGAACCATATTTGATACCACCACGCTCGCAGTTCAAGTCACGACGAGAGCTGCAATTCTCTTTGATGTGCAATCTGGCGCGGAATACTGTCGATGGTCAGGGAGCATTACGACCGCCAGTGTTTCTGGAGATGCCGTCTGTCTTGGCCTGCGAGGAGGAAAAGTCATCGCGCTCAAAGTCGACATCGAAGCGGCCAAGCTTGTGACACAGTGAGCATCGTTCTTCGACCTCGCTCACATCTATAACATTTGTACAGGGCCGAGCGCAATTTTGACAAGGAAATCTCGACGCTCTCAATTGAGCCCATCCAATCAGGCGAGGTGACGTCAAACGTGGTCGTGATTGGATTTTGGGAAGATTTCCTCGTAAAGATTTGCCAGCTTCATAACCTGGCACAAGTGGGCGAAGATATCGAGACACCTCATACACCGCACTCCGTCCTCGCATGGAACTTTGGCGATAGGAAAGAAGGTCTTTACCTTCTCGTTGGTACTGGAAACGGTCATATTCTTTCAGTGAAGCTCAAGGAGACTAAGAACCGTGTATTGGCGACGAGTAGACGCACTGTCGTTCTAGGGGATAGACCAGTCCTGTTGCACCGATGTAGCATTGCCGGTGCAGAAGTCATAATGGCCACTGGCAGCAGAGCCATGCTTCTTTCGTGGAGCAATGGACGAATTGCACAACATCACGTCAATATCAAGGTAAGGCGCTCACTTTGGACATCCAACCCATCTCATTTACTCTCCAGAACATCGAAAGCGTGGCGCCATTTACCTCGTCTGCGTTTGGCGACGCCTTGATATTCAAGCTCACAAAAGGCTTGAGTATTGCTCGCATAGGAAAACTCGAAAAGCTCAAGATTGACTCCGTGCGTAGGAAGCCTACTTCTTGAGTACTGCTGAGCATAAGCAGGTGTCGTTGGGATACGATGTCCCAAACACTCTTGCATATCATCCTGACATCAAGGCGTTTGCCGTTGGCTGTTTGCGGACAGAGCCGTCACTCAATGGCGCTTCGGACAACATTGGCAGCTCGTTCAAACTGATTGATGCTCTCACCTTTGAGTGTAGGTGGCCTCTTTTCGCGTTAGCGGGTCTCTAATTTTATCAGTCCTCAACTCGCATTCGTTCCCACCAAATGAAGAGGTTACAAAGGTGATCGTGGGGGATTTGGTAATGGGAGACAAGCAAGAGAGATATATCATTGTCGGTACTGCGATCTGGGAGGACGAAGAGGGTAGTGAGCCGACAAAGGGTCGCATATTGCTGTTCCGTGCCAGCCTCAGCAAGGGTATGCAAGTGGGCTCGGGAGCAGCAAATGCGCCACCACCGGTCCTGACTCTCGTGTTGGAGCAAGACATCCCAGGTAGCGCTGTCGGTCTTGCTGTGGTAGATCATCGACTCGCCATCATCGTCAATACTATCGTGCGCACCTTTTTTTTGTTTCCATTGTCTTGCTCATGCTAGACTAGGTCGTCGTCTATGAGCTTCGACGAACACCGACGGCTCAAGGCCTCGAGCTCAAAGCTGTCGACCAATGGATCCATAATTACGCCATCTGGAGTATTGTACCAGCAGGCGACTCGCGTGTAGTGATTGGAGACGCGCTTCAGTCTGCGACGACATTACGCTGGAATGGGACCAAACTTGAAGTGGTTGCAAAGGACTGGACGACCGTCAACTCGCTCAACGTTACCGCAGATGAGACATATGTGATCCAATCAGATGTGAGTAAATGCTATATCCTGTCACGTTACTGACCTATTCCACCAGATTGATGGTAACCTCATGTCGTACAAACCAGAGCCTCCTATCCTCCAACAGACGGGACATTACCATTTTGGAGAGACGATCAGTTGCTTGGTCCCTGGTATGTTATCTTGTGCAATCTCGGAGATATACTAATATGACCTACTCAGGCTCTATTCGGTCCAGGAGCAACCAAAATGGCTCCATAGTAGCAGCAAAGCACGTCTTGCTTACACCAGGGGGACGCATCAGTCTGATTCAAGAGATTCTCGACGAAGAAAAGGAAATGACACTCCTCGCTATCGAGAGGAACATGAGTGCAGCGCTGAAAGCGGAACGCGACCATTACGACGTCGGGAGGTAAGCGCCGTTTCCTTTGTTGATACGTGGTTTAAATGTTTCTTAGCTGGCGAGCGCCTCATGTCAACACGCGGAGAGTGATCACCTCGGAAGAGCCTCTACAGAGCTATGGGTTCCTCGACGGCGACATTCTATCACATGCACTCGAGTTGGACCCGGATTCTGAAATGGCCAAACGACTCCTCAGTGGCAGTAGAGAAGCAGAAAAATTAGATATGACATTTAGCGAAGTACGCGGCTTGTTGGAAGAGGTACTAGCTGTGTGACCATTACGACTACAAGGTTCGTGCTGTGTATAGAATCTGTATAATAACATGTGCTTCAGCCCTAACGTCCGGATGTGATTGAACCCGCGCTCATGGAGCCAAACCTGTGCAGGGGTCAATTTGTGGGCAGAGTAGAAGATTTTGTGTTTACCGATGATACCACAAGCCAGGCGTGCCCCTGCGTGACCGGTCGTAAGGCTGTCCGATTGGCCTCCTTTACCAAAATCATCTGTGCCCTATTCATCGTTAGCGACAAGAACTTCCACCCCGTTCGGCGACATACCGCATGAACGACGAGACCACGACTGTTTATCGTCAGAAAGGGGTATTTGAAGGAATAAGTTTCGCTCACCCGACCACGCTCAAATGACCACGGAGAGAGATGAACCAGTCTTCAAAGTTGAGAGTTGCCGTCCCATTGTTGTCCGTCTGCACGTTTCCGAGGTCTCCAACGTGCCTAACGGGATCATTGGGTCCACCATGCGTCTGGTTGAACGGATTAAAGTGAGTGCCGGTGGAATTGCAGCCGCCGCTGAGGTCGCCAAATGTGCTACAATTCGTATACAGATCAGAAAAAGAGAAGAGGGAACATGAGTTTTGGCGTACTGGACATGGAAGCCACGCTTTGCGTTTGCAGTGAGGCCTTGGATTGTGCCGGTGATTTTCACTTTGGAGTGAGGCTTGTCTTGTTGGAAGTAGACTGTTCCGGAAACACCAGACGTCCCAGTCAACACGGCGACGGCCTATGGTATTGTTTAGGGTCTTTGATGGCGCGAGAAGGTGATGGGACGTACCTTGACCGGAGTGTTGTGCGCCGCTGCATAGGTTACAAATGTGAGGCAGACGAGGAGCTTGACGAAGTACGAGATGGTTGAACGCGCGTGCATGGTGAGGATTTCTGGGGGTGTGGGTCAAACAGGGTGTCAACATCCGTCATCTTTATATACGCGCTCCACTGCCTCGTGGATGCGATGCTTGGGAAGTGAATCGAAATGTCAGGCATTCGAGACGGAGACATTCTCACAAAATGCGAAGCGCGCGGCTGTATTGAGATGGTGGGCTTCCTGTGTAACACAAAGCAACTGCGAGAGCGGACTTAAACCCGGTAACTTGAATCATTGGATCGGAAATTTTAGTGCTTCTGCTAGAGGGTATGCGGCTATAAAAGGTGGGAAATACCAAGCTCGCGTTCGGCACGGCATATGTCACGCCAGTGTTCTGGATACACCTGCAAGGGCATCAGTTTGTCAAGAGTAGGCGATGGAGCGTTACCAATGACCCCGCAGGCGGCTCTTCCGCCCGCGTTTCCCGTCTTGAGGCTCTCATCGTTTCCTCCCCTTCCAAGGTCATCTGTGCCCTAAATAATGTCAACAGATGACGGCCAGTATGTAAATTGACAAACCTTGTGAATTACTACTGCTCGTCTGTTCGACTTTGTTAGCGTATACCAAGAATAACTCGGCAAGGCAGTGATTACCCAATGATACTCCAAGGTCCACTGAGCGTAATGAGATTGTCTTCAAAGTCGAGATGCACAACACCATGCTTGTCGCTCTTTACATTGCCCAGATCGCCGACATGCCGCTTCAAGTCTGAGGGGCCACCATGTGTTTGAGATGTAGGATTGAAATGAGAGCCAGTAGAAGTGCAACCATCGGAGAGATCACCAAATTCACTGTCGAGCGGCTAAGGAGCGGTGTACGATGCATTATTAGACATACTGGATATGAAACCCGCGTAGACTATTCTTGTCGACACCTAGGATCTTTCCCGTGATTCTGACTTTGGAAAGACCAGACTGGCGAAAGTAGACTGTCCCATTGACTCCTGCGTCGCCTCGAAGGACGGCCGTTGCCTGTTTTGCGATGAATTATGATTAGCAAGCATTAAAGAATACTTGCATAGATCCATTCTGGAGCCTGGAGAGTCGGAGTGGCAGGCTTTAGCGTGTAGAGGTACAGTAGAAGCAGCACAGTGGCAAGAACAGTCACGCCAGCAACAATTTTGGTGAGTGGAGAGTACTTGGAGTGTCTGTCGTTGTGCTCCAAATTGTCAAAGGATCTCGTCTTTGGAGATGGTGGCATGGTCGAGGACAAGGTCAGAACAAGGTGATAAGATAACTTTCCTCTTATGTATTATTCTAGTCTAATAGCAGCTCATCTATGTCACCCGCCAGTGGTCTCGAGCACTTTGTCCCGACCATGTCCACCGCCGACGACGGTGGCCGCAGATCTCCTGGAGTTTCCACATCACCTGTGGGGATTCGACGTACAACAAGCCAGTGGACAGATGCTCCATCCCAAAGCTATTTCCCTCCAACTTCGCCCAGTCGCCGTCCAGGAAACAGTCGGTTCCCGTCAAATGCAACGGGCGGCAACACGGCTTCAAATATCACAGTAAAGGGAAGGAAAAGGAGAGAAGTTCGTAGCGCCAGTCTGACAAGCTCACACCATGGCGGCTACGCAGCACCTCCCGGCAGCAGGCCACGAACGACGGGTGCGTTTTCAGAGGAAGACGAGACGGAGACTATCGATGCCGTCGATTCTGCTGATGACAACGACGAACGTGCCGACGCATTCAGCGGCGACGAGCATGACGAAGAGACCCAGACGCCAAAGTTGGGAGAGCAAGAAGAAGTCACCCTCAAGGAACGCCAGTCTCTCATCAACGATGAGCATCCCTTTGGTCTCCCAATCTGGAAACCAGCACTCTACCGCAAGTCGAGAACCGTCACGCGTGAAGCAGAGACGGCCTTGCATGGCGTTCCATCTGCATCTCGCGACCTCCTTATCCCCGGGAATATCCTCTGGACACTTCTCTTTGGCTGGTGGATTTCTCTCAGCTTTATCATCACCTCGTTGATCATGTACATCATTCCATTTGGAGCCAGAACATACGCCCCCGTCGTCTATGGTCTAGGGTGGTACTTATTCTGGCCATTTGGTCGCTACGTCGAAGGCGATCTTCCTCCTAGCGAGCCGCCCACAGAGGAAGAGGAGAGCAATGGAGATGGCGAAGACGAGGACGAGCGACCTACTCGATCTAGGACTGTAAGTGGTCACTCCAATACTGGGACTGTTCGCCCTGGTGATGTCGGAGGACAATCCACCGTGCGCGCAATGCCGACGACCAACCAGCCTGGACAGCACGCCCAAGATGGTTCGTGGAATCCAGGTGAACTGTCTTCGCTCCTCGCTCCACAATCGGGACAGAAATCGTATGGCGCCACCCCATCTCAAACCACGCAATACAATACACTTCCTTCCCACAACTATGGCGTGTCCTCGTCCGAGTCGGAATGGACACTCTTTGGCAAGTGTGTCTACTATTTCTTCCTCGTCTTCAAGATTGCTCCGACCCTGCTCCTCGTCTGCACAATATGCTGGGCGTGTGTCTTCACGATCCCAATGGCAAAGCTGCAGTGGGAGCTCCTCAAGTATCTTTTCACCCGTCCGGAGAGCATTAGGTTCTGTTCTGCACCCAAAATCCCCGTCGTCACACCTTCGACGAATGCTCCCGACACCATCGCAGAGGAAACCGAGGGCCAGGTGAATGGAGCAGCAGATTCAACACCAGTGAACCGCCCGTACCTCCTCAGACGTGCGACACTTCGAGCAGGACAGATTGCTCCATCTGGTTCTCCCAATTCTTCGGTGTTGCTTTGCATCTACCGGGCCATGGGTTTCAGGTATTACAAGTACACCGTCGGAGGAGTCAACATCATGTTCATCAATCTCATGCCCGTCGTCTTCTTTGTCATCCTGGACGGCCTCGTCTTACTCCCATGGGTGGAGAAGAAGCACCATCATGGGGAGCACGTCGATCCATTCTTGAGATTTATTGGAAGCCAAGGCATGGTATTTGTCCTCAGCTTGGCAAGCGTGATCCCGTTGAGTTACTTTATCGGCATGGCCGTGGCGAGTATCTCGGCTCAGAGTTCGATTGGGATGGGTGCCGTTATCAACGCGACATTTGGTTCCATCATTGAGATTATCCTCTATGCCATTGCCTTGACACAAGGTAAAGGACGGCTTGTCGAGGGGTCCATTGTGGGCAGTATTCTCGCTGGAGTCTTACTCATGCCGGGGGCTAGTATGTGCTCGATGGCATTGCGAAGAAAGGAGCAAGATTTTAATGCAAAGAGTGCGAGCGTGACGAGTACGATGCTCATCATGGCCATTTTTGGTACCCTTACGCCCACTCTGTTCTATTCGATCTATGGCAACGTACGTATATCTCAAGTTGTGACAGGCTTTTCTAACGCGCTCTACAGTTCCAACTCGTTTGTGAAGGATGCCCTGATGGTACCGTTGGCCACCCGACCATTCCGACCAACAGTTCGACATTGGACGTCTTGAGTGGTGGCATCGCGGTTGATCCCCCATGGATATGCAAGCATTGCTACTATGCACACCCGAATCCCGTCACCGATCCCTTTTACCAAGAGACGGTGAAGCCCCTGATGTACTTCTGCGCAATCATCCTCGTTCTGGTACGTCACATGCTTCAAAACGAGCCTCTTTCCTAACGAGACCTTATAGTCATATCTCATCGGTCTCTGGTTCTCTCTTCGCACGCATGCATCGCAAATCTGGCAGAATCCACGCCAATTGATGGAGCCTCATCCACTTGACTTGAACGCCCCAGGAGGTACTGGCCGCATGTCACTCTACCACCGCCTACTACACATGCCATCTGGTCTACCTTCATATCGTCACTCCGAATCGCAAAACCGAAGGTCAGGCTCACAAGCTCGGCCTGAGTCTGTCCCTCGTCGACCCATGTCCCTGCGTAGAAAAGCGAGTGCAGCAACGACAGCAACGACGACTGGAGACAGCATCTATGGGGGTAGTCTCATTAGTCGAGGGGATAGCACCGTGCGCCTCCACGATCCACAACAGCCTCCTTCCCACATCACCCTCCCACCGTCTCCGACCGCCAATCGCCGGATCGGTCCTGCGCTCCCTACGGGAGCAGGATACACACCCATCATTGAAACTGTCTCTCAAGCAACAAAGGCCGCTGTCGATCCCATGGTCCTCCCTCCGCCGACACTAACCGTTTCTGGCACGTCTGGCGAGCCTACGCGGTTGAATCTCACGACGGATGAGTTTACGAGGGCCGTGGCGGTCGCAACGGTGAGTGCGTTGCGTGCGGATGCGGTTGTTGGTGCGCGGATGAGGGCCGCTGGTGGGGGTGAGTACCCTCATGGACACTCGCAGGTCTCTGGAGGGGGTCATGGAGGTGGCCATGGAGGACATGATGCGCCTTCGTGGAGTCGTGCTGTCAGTGCGAGTGTACTTCTCGCTTGCACGTTGCTCTATGCAATTATTGCGGGTTGGTACCTTTTCTAAATTGAAGGCAACATACTCACAGATGTACAGAGATTCTCGTCGATGTCGTCGATGTCGTTTTGCAAGGTTCGGGTATCGACGAGAAGCTGCTCGGTATCACCCTCTTTGCGCTCGTGCCGAATACGACAGAGTTTATGAACGCAATGTCATTTGCGATCAATGGCAACATTTCACTCAGGTACGTGCGTTTTGTAGTGAAAGAGGAGAGAGGCCAATGAGTGTCTTCAGTATGGAGATTGGGTCTGCGTATGCGCTGCAAGTCTGTCTCTTGCAGATTCCGGCTATGGTTGCCTTTTCTGCCTGGTATGATCCTCGACATATGGGAACCGGTGCCGATACGTTCACGTCAGTACATGGCTTGCATCCTTGGTTTGTACTGACGCTCTGCCACAGACTCATTTTCCCCCGTTGGGACGTGATTGCCATCATCCTCTCCATCTTCCTACTCACCTATACCTACATCGAGGCGAAGAGTAACTATCATCGCGGTAGCATCTTGATTCTCAGGTACGAGCTCGTACACATTACGGTGTTGACATACTCATACTTGATTTAGTTACTTGGTCATGACGTCTGGCTTTTACTTTGCACCACACGACAAGGAAGAAGACGAGAGCATCGTCAACATGACACAAATTGCGCAAGCGTTCCCGATCCAACCACTGATGCACGTTGTCAAAACCTACTTCTTTTCCTTGTTCTCTCGATAGAGATGCCAGACCTCGAGCATCTTACGCCTTTTCACGACTGTTTCTCTTCTCTCTTTCTCCCTCAATCGCATGATACTCACGCCGTTCCCTCACTCACGACTGTTCCCTCCTGTCTTGTAACCCTCTGTCATACAGACTGCTTTTTTATTTGCAATGCAGATTTTGCAACCAGGACTAGTAGTACATGAGCAATCTAAGAAAGATTCGGAGTTCCTTTACACCATATATCCCTGGGCGGTGGCTCCCCGACTCTTTTTCTTGACTTCAAACTTGCAAATTACTTTCTTGACCCTCGAACGCATCCATGGGAGCATTTCTGAGTCAATATTGGGACATCTATCCAAATTGAGAACTCCGAGCCTTGCGAACTTGACTTCGTTCCCTGTCTTGTTTTCTGTCTCTTTCGCTGCCTCCTTCGTATCCTCCGTAACCGACTTATCCTGCGCGTTCGTGGGTTCTTGTGGGGGATTTCGGGCCTTGATGAGTCTTACAAGCGCTCCTGTACTAATATCCACTCGCGAGAGGCTGAGCTCAGTGAGAAGAGGACATTCACCGGCAGCCAAACGGCCGACGATCTGGTCGTAAGGCATGGACATGCTGGAAAGGGAGAGAGAAGTGAGGCTGTCCACGAGGGGAAGCTGAGCTTGGTATGCGTCGGCGCATTCCTGGGCCGCCAACGTCGTGAGAGGCGGTTGCACAGGGCTCAAAAGCTCGAAAGCGTGTTTTAGGGAAATGAATTGGAGATTGAGATTTCGTAGCTCTGGCACCTCGATGTAGGTGAGGAGCAAACAACTTCTTGAAAGTCCCAGCGATGCTAGATTTGGCAAGAGGATACGTTCCTTTGGGAGGTTGGTGCTGCTTCCTCGCAAGTCTGGTGAAACATGAAGTGTTTGTATTCTTCGAGATTTTTCAAGGATAGGTATTAATTCCTCGACGTCGATGCGAGTGTTCATAATGACAAGTTTGGTGAGATCCTCGAGTTGCGGAGCCTCTATCTGCCACAACAGTTTGATGTTATCAAGTTCCAGCTCTCGCAGGCGGTAGGGATGGCTTTGTAGGGGTGTGAAAAGTAGCCTTCGTGGCACACCTCTGTCATGAGAGCTTCCTGTCCAGGTGAGGGAAAGAGGATTGGCATCGAAACGAAATATAGGCTTCAGGTTGACGACGTCGCTGCCAAAATTGACCGTAACATGATCGACAAATGGGAGGCTATTGTTTCCATAGGCTTCTAGCCAAACTAAAAACGAGGGAAGGTGCCGGATATGGAGGTCTTGAATGCGTCCCTTCGACCGCTCCATCCAAAAGTCGACTTTGGATTTGAAGCGCTTCCCCTTGCCATCCAGTACGAGCTTTGACCAGATATGAGACATGCTCATGAGGACTCCTCTCCACATTCGGCAGACGTGAGCAAGTCGCATTGGATGCATATCCCCTGGGAGAACAAGCTCGTCGAAGACGCAGGCGAGGAGCTCGAAAGGCAGCTTGTTGACGTGGCATTCGCTCAACCGAAGCTTTTCGAGATTAGCCTGTTGCGCTTCTATTGCTGCGTCGAGCACTTGTTGGACTTTGGCCGAGCTCTTTGGGTCACGCGTGTTTGCCTTTTGAAGGGCTGTTCGCGCAAGGCTCACAGCGCGATCGTAATGTCCCATTATAGTGAGAATTCGAGAGGACCGGGAATATCCCTAGTTCGCTTTGAGCACAACCCATCGTAAACCACCTGGACTCACGTTGTGTTTGTCGGGAAATAATTGAATGATGCGTTTGGCATCCAGAAGCGCCTCTTTGTACCTTCCCATTTCCTGATAACATGCAGCACGCGATTCGAGTGCCATATGTCCTGGGGTTTGTGCATCAATGACCTTTGGATAATCAGAATGGCGCATCGCGTATTCTCAAGATCTCCCCACCGCAGAGAAGTGATCTACTGCATCCTTATAATCTCCCTTTTTGAAAGCAGCCACGCCAGCTTCGAATCGTTTCTTGTGGTCGGTCATAGCAGAGGCCAACCTTTCAAACTCCGCCACGTCCGTGAACCGACATGGCATCCCAAAGTTCGCGTCAACGAAGTGCCTTGTTTGAAGAAAATTTAGCAGAGGAAGAAAACACACGAAGTATCCGGTCAGAAGACGCGGAAGATGCCACACCAAACGACGTTTCAGAGGTTGCTTCGCTCATGCGGATAAAACGCGCTCGTTGACAACTCCTTAACGCGTCTTTTAGATATGTTTGACAATTATATGCACCAAGTCCGTTGTTTAGTTCTGCGCGACATCGCTGATGAGTGGTTAGTGGTCGTTTGGCTTGCGCATACTTTGATCCTATCACTGGGACTCTATTCATCATGGAAGACACAGAGGAGAACAAGTATTATGATCTAGCGGCTCGAAGTCAGTGCTCGCTTGAATGACTACACATTACTGAGTGGATGTCCAGTCCTCGAACAAGTCTGTCCAGGTTTCGTACTCACTAGCTCCAGATCAGATGAGCTATTCATTGATTTTCTTCGTGACCAACGTCAGACTTTCAAACCTGACTTCCGCATACTCTGATCTCAAACCGTAGTCAACGATCATCTGCAAGTCCGTCCGTGGAAAGAATTTACAGCAAAGCATGGGACTGAACGTTTGCAAACACTTCCACTACTGGCTGGGCAGCTCGCGGAAGAAGAAGAAGATAGCGTATCTGCACAAGATAATATCGATAATTTTATGAGTTCAAGGGGTACAATGCATCCATCTCTAATTCAGTGGCGCGCAAGTATACGCTCGGGCAACTTTACAGTCGATGAAGGCCGGAGTCAGCTATGCGTTCGTAGTCTGTAGCGATACAGGGCCTCATTTGATTCAAAGGCATAGATGTCGTCTATTGGTGCACTAATCGACTATTTAACCCGCAGCAAAGTAGCCAACGACGCCGGATGGGACGTAGAAGAGCTGGACGATGTGAAAAGAATAGAGTACTTCTCCCTGTAAGTATCACATCGTGCCCTTATTGTCTCCTCCTGATACTTTGAAGTGCAGAGTATATGCAAATTCATAGCGACGCGCTGCTGTCTCTGCAAGTTTTTCTGAGCGAGAAACATGCCTCTATCTATTCCGACTCGGTTAAGGAGGGTCTTTCCATCTATGGTGAGAACTTCATCTGCCCGTGTCTCCTCGCTGACTACTCCAAAGGGATTCTGAATCAAACGCGAACCCCTTTTGGTGGTGCATTGCTTCGACAATGGCTTCTACGACCGAGCACCTCGTTGTCTACTATCTCAGAGAGACACGATGCAATTTCGTGTCTCACAGCAATTGAGAATCAAGCCACCGCCGCTGCTCTTCACAAGAATATTGTCGGTACAAAGGGCGTGCTGCTGGCTCTTGCACGACTAAGAAAAGGGAAAGCCTACTTTGCAGAACTGGAAAGCAGTCATACAGGTACAATGGTATCTACTTCGGAACTGAGTACTGACTTGCCCGAGTTTTGGGTATCTGTTACGCTCGTCCGAGGAAGCTTGCTGGAACTTCACCACACATTACACATACGAGGCTCACAAGAGGTGCTTCCATTCGTCTTGCTCTCTTGCCCTCTAACCTGTGTAGCTACTGGAGATGATAGGATCTTCCCATTTTGCCGAAGTCGCGCAAGCCATTAATGATATAGTACGTAATTAGCCCTTTATTCTGCTCCAGCTGACATTAGAAAGATTGATTGGGAGGAATCAACAAATCTTGGGAGGATAGTTGTCAAACCGCTAGTGGATGAAGAACTCGACCAGTGGAAAGAGACGATGGCTACCATGGATTCATTCTTGGTGGGAGCATTTCTCTGCGAGGACGAGATCTAACCCTCGTATAGTCAAAGGTCGCGCAAGGCATTGTCGCCACTCTCGCTCCTGAAGAAGCGACGTTGTTCTCCGAGTTCAACGTTGTGTACTTTCCTCAACTAGGTATTTCTCAGTATGACTCTGATAATTCTGTATGAGATGCCTTCAGGATATCTAATCAGTGTTTCTGGCCCCACCGAGCAACCACTCGAACCCAACGATTGCCCAGAAGGATGGGTATTTCAGGTAAGCTAAGGTTCTCCATGAGAATTTTCTAACGCTCTTTAGTTCATGACAAAGTAGAAGCCTTTCGATATATCCATACACAACTGACTTAACCCAGCAATACCCTCTATTTCAAATCAGACAAAATGCATGGTATGAAGTTTTCGCAAGCGAATTCCCACTCATTTGTCAAAGATTTGGATGAATGCATTGGGGACGTCAACACCCTCATCGCGGGTTAGTCACTATCAAGGAGGGGTACGGGATACTCAAGCATTACTCCAGATCGGGAGATAGAGATCATTCAGTCGCTCCAAGCCGAGGTTTTGAATTATTCGGATAACATTACCACAATGTGCGAACGTCTCGCAGTTCTTGACTGGTAGGTCTTGAGACACTTAGAATGTGGCTAATTGCCGCATAGTCTCCTCTCATTGGCAGATGCAGCACGTCGTTATCAATGGATACGTCCTGAAATGTGCGAGGACGTTGTCCTGGATATTAGGGACGGACGGTTCGTCCTTCACAGTCATGATCTGTTCTGAATAATGGCATAGACATCCGATACAAGAGCTCGTAGATGAAAATTTTGTCGCCAACGACGTGTACGCGGTTGGTGGTACACCCTCTAGCAACCATTCGGAATCAAGCAGCTCGTCACAAGAGAAGACGGGCAACAGCATTGTCATCTGCACGGGAGCAAATGCATCTGGAAAGAGTATCTATCTCAAACAATGCGCTTTGATCCCATATCTGGCTCAAGTATGTAAATGACTGATATTGTACTAACTGACCCTCGTCAAGGTTGGAAGGTAGAGTGGTGACCGTTTGGCTCACTATTATTGACTGGTGCAGTTTTGTTCCTGCAGCATCAGCACGATTGGGGATAATCCATCGTAGTACGCAGTATTCGTCGTGGGGTTCCCTTTCTTCATTTTTGCAGTTTTCACCCGGATTCAAACGAGGGAGTCAGTCTCCAAGGTGTGCTAATTAATTAGAGACATCAGGCTCGTCTCAACTTCAAACAGATGCAATCGGCACTTATGATCGAGTTGAACCAAGTCTCGCTTGCCATCCGTCATGGAACGACGCCACGAACAATTGTTCTCCTTGATGAATTCGGAAAGGGCACCCTTTCTTCAGGTTGTCGTCTTTGCGCAGGATTGCTTCATGACCTGACAACTTCTCTGCGTAGACGGTGCCGGCCTATTCACTGGAGTCATCAAACATTTTCTCAGCCTCGGTGATATGTGTCCTCTTGTCATTGCTGCCACACATTTTCACGAAGTCTTCGACGCGTCGATGCTGTCGCCCGACTTGCCCATTTCATTCGTTCACATGTCCGTGATGATCACAAACACCTCGGGTAGCGTTCTGGAGACGGATGCAGATAATGCCGCTATTCCGGATAAAGGAGAGAAGCGTGAAGGTGACCGACTGGTTCGTCCGGGTGAAGCAGTCACCTATTTGTTCAAGTGAGCGCTACTTCCTCTAAAGTGAATTAACAGTGACGTCTCCCAAATTAGGGTATCTCCAGGACTCTGCCTTCATTCACATGCGAGCAAGTGTGCACTGACATGGGGAATCTCGCCAAGGATTGTCAGTCGCGCCGAACATGTCAGGTAAGCATCATCTTCGCTAATTTATGTGTGGTGTCGTCAACATCACAACGTGGCGAATAGCGGACTGCTGCAGCGAAATGAGATCAATCTACTTCTGGATGAACAAATGTCGGACCGAGAACGGGAAGAATTACTCGAGAGTGAAGCAATATGCCGCAGGTTTCTCGAGTGGGATCTCACAGGATTCATTGACCGCGGAGAATTGAAGGATTGCAGGGTTGAGCTGGCGAATATCGTAGACGGGGCCCGATGAATCGTGGGGAGCTAAGTATAACCAGGCTGCGACCATTCCTTTCCGCAGCGAGATGCCCTAACGCTCAGTATTTCGCCGAGTATTGCGAAAATGACATTCATTTTGCAGAGGGGAATCAAACGACAGAATGAACCGCTTAGTTGAGGCATTGCGAGTACCATGCTAACAAGGAGCGTCAAGCCTAGTCCAGAAGAAATGTTTTTAGACTCACGGTTCGAGTACTTGCAGGTACCCTGGGCGCACGTCGTAGGACCGGTCCAGTTCTGGCCTCCGCACTGTCCTTTGGAAAAGTTTTAGCAGATCGTCAGAACTGAGAGGTAGAAACCTACCCCAGAGAGTCTGGCCTGGTCCACTTGCCGAGCTCGTCGACGTGGAAGTTGATGTTGAGCGCGAGGTGCTGCTCGAACTCGTGCGAGTGGATGAGGAAGTCGAAGTCGAAGTTGAGGTCGAGGTGGAACGGCTTGTTGAGGTCGAAGTCGATGTCGATGTTGACTCGCTAACCGTGGTCTGAGTCGAGGTAGTAGAGACTGTTCCACTTCCGATGCTGGTAGTGAGAGAACCGCTCTCGATGTAGACACCCGAGATGTACCAATCCTCGGTCGTACTGTCGCCAAGACGGAGGACACCGACGTGCCAGTCAGCGCTGTTGGTCGAAGTGCTAGCAGACTGGTTGGACATGACCCTTTGGAGTGGGTTGGAGCCAGTGCTAGCCCATAGACCGACAGTGTTACCCGAGAACTAGGATCGTCAACTACTGGCCCTTCAAAGATACCATTACTCACGTTGATATCATATGCAAAGTTGTACCAGGTTCCTGCGACGAATGGTGTGCTCCACTTCGGCTGGCCGTTGATGCACCAGCTGAGAGCGGTCGGGTCGGAGCCAACACCAACCTTGAGCTCAGTAAAGTGAGACTCAAAGAACATGACTTGGTGCTCCGAGGTTCCAGGGGGGTTGACGGACTCGCGCTTGAGCGAGAAGTGATAGTACATCTGACCCGTTCCCAAATTGGCCGAGGTCTGGGGGATGAGTTCTGTTCTCATCATGGTCTGGCCATTCCTAACAAAAATATGAGATTGAATTTAAAAATTGGTCTCAAAGTTGTACCAGTGAGAGGTCGAGTCAACGGTAAGCTTGAGACCCTTGTCCTCCCTAGTGACGGCGGGGTTCTTGTAGGCAGCGCCGGGGTTGAGATAGGACGATGTTGGACCGCTACCGTGAATGTACCATTGGTAGGTGCCGACCTGGTTGGCCCATGTCCTGCACACCTATGAGTCGACGGACGGACAGAAATAGTCTACATGCCATTTGTCAAAGTCGGAAGGCGACGAGAATGGTGTAAAGGAACCGTCCCAGACGACAGTTCCAGCGTTTGCAACGGTGAACCAAGCGAATGCGGCAGCGGCAACGAACGACTTCATCATGGAAAGAGTGAAGGTACCGAAATGGAGTTGTATCGCGTCGCTAGAGCCGGTTCAAGGTCTTTATAGCACGCTTCAGAAGCTATCGAGGGTCACACCGCGCCGCGAGAAATAACCGTAGTTTCCGCTCGCTACCTACGAGCGCCGTGGAGAGACCGAGAAAGTGTCGTAGTCTCGTAGAAACTGAGAAACTTCGCAAACTGGCTCTTCGCCACTTTGTCGCCATTGCGGTCGGGTTCAAGTTGCGATTCCAACTCGCTCTCGACTAGACTTCGGCACGCACACTCAATGTCCAGCTTCGTTGATCAAAGGACACAAGAAATCTTTCAAAACGCATCAATAGACGCTCTCAATACGCCACCAGCATCCGAAGCAAACAAGTCGTTGAAGGCGACTTTGGCCGTGTTGAACAGTCCGCCAACAGACGCCCAACTCTTGCATTCACTAGACGTTCTCGAAGAAAATGGTTTTGGAGATGTTGGGGCGTTGGAAAACCCGCTCGCAATCGGTGTCTCCGAGCGCGTCATTGCAGGCCTATATGCGAGGGCGATGAAAGCTCTGCTAGAGCAAGGATTAGAACTGGATAAAGAGGCTAGATTCTGGTCAGAAGTTGAGCGGTCTGGCTATAACTCGTCCTACTACTTGCTCCAGAGTAAGCCTGCCCCCTATCGAGAATGCAGACTGATCTCGCAAAGCTCTCCCAAGTAGACTTGTCCGACTAACCGGCACATTTATTGACTCGCTGCGTCATCGTCACATTCCCATCACCTGGTCAACCTTTCAAGCAGAAAACATCCGGCGGTTATTTCCATCCACCAATCGACCATCTGAGCTCCTCGTCGCAGCATTTCCTCACCTCGGCATTCACGGCCGATTGTTTCCTTCGTCACCCTTCTTACTTACCCGTGACGAATGTAGGCATAAGCGGAAACAACTCGAAAGGCTGCGCGACGATAGGGCATTGCGGGTAGGGCTATTGGCTGCTGCATCTCACGAGTTGGAACACACTCTTTCGGCCACCAATCATTCGACCTCGCAACTCGAGAAGCATCTACTACTCCTTCAGTTAGCCCTTGGGACGGATGGTCAGATGGCCAGCTTCGACTATACTCTTCTCCAACAGATTGAAAAGAACAAGGAGAGACATGAACGAGAGGTTAATTCGCTGCGAAGACCATCTCGTCTGGTGCGAATATGGCCACGGCTCTTACTCCTTCCTCCCGCCTGCTATCTCATTTTCCGGTACATTTATCAACCAAGAGATAGCATAAGGCAGCACCTGAAAGAGGCGGCAGAGACAATCCGAGTATTCTGGCAATCGTGGGTTATCCAACCGATACAGGGAATTATTGCCACTGTGAGGACCGGAGGTGACGAGGGTATTCGCGTCATCTCAAAAGATGCTCTCCGAGCGGATATGGACGTAAGTCAACAACTATTGTACTGGATTGTTGGTTCTAATTTTCATTAGTCCCTTGAACGCATGGCGGTCGACCTTGGCAAAGAGAAGCTCGGGTATACCAAGGCTCAAATTGAATCCCTTCACGAGCAAATTCGAGTTGGCGATCTGACTCCCGTCCTCCAAGTGTATGAAAACGACATCAAGACGCCGATACGGTCCGCTGTGGCAGGGACCCTCGTGCGTTCGCTGTTGATTCAGGTTCAGAAAGTCAAGGTTGGTGGGCTTAGTGGTTTAAGAAACCCTTTCTGAATTTATTCAGGTCGACGTCGACTTTGCTCTTTCTGGAATCGACAAACTACTGCGGTCCCAGGAGCTGACCTTTGGGTTCGTCGGCCTTGCTCCAGCGCTGCTCATTGTATACTCGACTTTCGATTGGCTCCGAAGTACATGGCGAGGTGGAAGCGGAAAGGGCCGTCTTGGGGGACAAACCCAACGTCAGCGAATATGGAGTTGCATGCGACGAATCGACAAGCTTCTCATCGTACCTCCGAAGATGGGCCAAGACTCTGCAGCCTATTCATCATTGCTATCATCCTACATCGCGCTAACGCGCGAAGACTCTCATGCCGCAAACGTCGACGTCACCCTACTCTTCGATAGCACGTCGCGTGCGGAGCGACGAGATGAGTCCACGGGAAGGATAGGAGCCATTAATGATCCGAGCATCTATAGAACGAACCGTGCGAGGGAAGATGAAGAACTTGCACTTTCTCCGCTCACCAACGGGCTACTGCTTCTCTCGTCGACGCAGTTGCGAGCATTCGCCGAAACGCATCTCCGTCGATCTAGCTTCCGTGATGAATTTCTGGAAGATGTTAGGGATCTGGAAGACGGGACATTGAGCGTCAAAAGCAAGCGGTTGGTGCTCACGAGGATGTATCGGAGTTGGGGCCGACTCCTCGGATGGGACAACTGTGGCGAGTTGTAGATCACGTAGACTACTCACATCTGTAATTTGGTTGCTACAGCTGAATCTAGAGCTGGGCAGGAGTTCCGGCCGTGACTCGTCGCTTAGCGGCAGTCTCTTTTATGTAGGGCCAACGTGACTTTTTGGATCCAGCCACAGTCAAGGGTTTAGGACAGTCTTATTGCTGATTTATTCGGTATATTGTCCACATAGTAACAACAGTATTCTCGCTGTTTATCGCCTTCTCGGTCCATGATTCATCCTCGAGCCCAAGCGTCGAGCGCAGTACGCCAATCGTAAACTTGTCCGGGACATTCACTGACATCCTCTGCGTCTTCTGTAGCTGGGATGGGTCTCCATCGCATGTTGGTCGGTGTTACTCATCTTCGCACGAGCCGATTTGCCTAAAGATGCCGTATAGGATCCTCGTATACACACCTCAGATACTAGAGAATTATCAACTCAAGTCTGGTGAAGGACTGAGCGTCCTCTTTGTTCTTATATGGCTCGCCGGGGACCTCTGTAATTTGTTTGGAGCCGTCATTGCAGGCCTCATACCTACCGTTATCATACTGGCAATCTACGTATGTATCTTTCAAAAACGTATATCACAAGTCCTGACGTCGGCTAGTATACACTCTGTGACATGATTCTCCTCTTTCAGATTTATTACTATCGCCAATTCCATCATCAGAAACCGACTGTATCAGAACAGGGCCACTCTCAAAATGCAAATATAATGGGTGCAGTTACGCCTCCAGTGGCGTCAGAGGAGACACCCCTCTTGCCAGAACAGCCCGCAAAGACTTCAACCCACACTACGGCAGATCTCGGCAGTTCCGGCTACTTTCTTTCTCCATGGCTCTATAGGACCATTCAATATGTTGGAGGGCTCGCGTTTGTGACGCTCGCTGGACTTGCAGCATGGTGGATCACAGGCCGTCGGGCCGCTGGAGACTCTGGAGACGAAGGGAACGTCGAAGTGTTTGATTGGGCGAGTCAGGTACTTGGATGGGCCAGTGCGATTATGTACAGTGAGTGATCTTACTGCCCGGTATTCCCAACGCTCACACAGACCAAAGTTGGATCTCGTATCCCACAAATTGGTAACCTCTTACTCTTGCATTGTTTGCATCATGTCTAACGATATTTCAGCCAAGAACAGGGAGACAAAGTGTGAGGGTCTTTCACTCGCCCTCTTCCTCTTCGCGATCCTCGGTAATGTGAGTAATTCGCTCTTCTCATAAATGATGAGCTGATGGCTTCCCTAGGTGACATATGTTCTTTCCATTTGCGTGATCTCGATGGAGAAGGACCATCTTATTCTTTCGGCCCCCTGGCTAGCAGGATCAGCTCTTACGGTGTTGCTAGACTTTTTCGTCTTGGGCCAATTCTTCTACTATCGATCAGAGGAAGGCCCGCTTCATCTCACCGAGGACGCAACATGATTCAAGGAGGAGTGTATGATTTACACAGTTATCGCAGGAGCGATAGATTGCCCGTTGCAAATGTATCTTTGAAGACGTCTCCAAATTGCATCGTAGATGCTCAAAATCTTTGGAAATAAATCTTTCTGCTACCATTTCTCTTTCAAATGGCCTGCCCAATTTGCCACCGACGCAACTTGATCTTTTACTATGTCGAGCTCATTCCTGCTGCGGACAGGAGCGCGCTCCTCGGCATGTCGAATGAGTGTTCAATCCACTCGAATTACCAGAAACCCGTCGCTGGCCGCTCAGACGACGCTTGGTCGAAGAATGCAGGCTTCCGACACCAAGACACCTCGCGGTGTGCCCGAGTCTCCCAAGACAACTGGGACAGCAGAATCAGTGGCCACAATCGAACTGGGGGCCACGGAAATCTCGGAGCTTTTCCCGCCTGGTTCGCAGCCAGCGGCCTACGAATGTAGCGGTGCTCCAGGTGCGTAATATTTCGTTTTTGATACCAAAGAACATAGTTTTCCTGTTATTACGTCGTATTTTGTAAGTTTGGATGGCGTAGCTGATGTACATCCTCTTGTGTTCCAGTGCAACTTCTTCACCGTGCCGTCAAGATCTACCAGCCAACACGGAATACCATGCAATCTGGTGGTGCAAAGGGAGAAAAATGGAGGATTGATTGGGATACGCTTCCCGGTGCTGGACGATGGGAGAATCCTCTGATGGGTTGGGCGAGCAGCGCGGATTATATGCAAGGCACAAGGATGTCATTCGACTCTGCGGAAGATGCCATCAAATTTGCCGAGAAACAAGGATGGGATTACTATGTCCAACCGCCGACAGTCAAGGTGAGCGGTCCTTTCGACTTTGCATCACTAGAATTCACTACTGATTGTCCACGTGTTTATAGAGAATACCTCCGAAGAACTATGCGGAGAATTATGTCTATAAGCCCAACAAGCTTAGAATCGCCAGGACCAAATAGTCTCTGGGAATATAGACTGGTATCTTCTATGCGTATATCCGTGAACACCAATAGGCTCTACTGGCATAGGGAACAACTGATCCGTGCATTCTACCGCCAAGATTGGTAAAGGCCTCCAACGCTAAACCCCTTACTAGTGGAGACGGCCTCTCTTCATGAATTTCCGGCACCATTTCCTATTGATTGCTGACTCAATAGACTAGGGAAAGTCTACACGCGGACTCCGCTTGTCGTCAAGCTGCCGTTGATGGTCTCTGCTCCGAGAAAATAGCTGGATGGCGTCTGCGAGATCTAGGAATGCATTCCTGCCAGTCTGGCTCGTCAATATAAAAGGACGATACCATGAATTCTCTCAGACTCGGCATCTTTCCATTATCATGCATTCGAGCATCCTTGTCTCTTTGCTCACATCCTCCCTTGTTCTTGGTGCGGGTGAACGCGCCAGGATGAAGCATGGAGGACGCCGCCCTCGAACATCTCTCAAGCTCTCAACGAGGTGTGGGCCCATGAGATTAGCACGTATAGCAATCCCCTTGGCTTCAAGAACTACGGATATGATCAGGCATGTCCTGCTTGCTCAGGATGTATGCCGGCTCACTCTTTTCACAGCTCATCGATGCCAAAGGGTATAAGATCCGATAATCAGAATGTCGTCCTGGTTGCTTACAAGCGTTTGCAGCAAGATCCAGGTTTGCATGAGGTGGGAAACCACTTCGACTAGTATTACTGCGGCTCAGAGAACGGCCGTCGAAGAGGCTGTAGGCAAAATGTACAACAAATGGATAGCCTGGCTCGCGGGGTGGGACGATTCTTCCGTACAGCTCCGTTCCGTCACAGTAGTTGGATGGGTAACGAGCAATACTGCACTTCTTCAAGGTTCTACATCTGGTGTCGACGTATATAATACTGTGGACGAAGGCGGAATACCACAGTGTGACCCTCGTTGTGGAAGGTTCTTCCATCAGGATCACAATTAGTACGTATGAAGCTCATGCATGACTCCTCTCATCTTGCACAGCTCTTCTTGTCCTGGTGGATCCGCTCGACACTACGACTGGTCGCTCTGGCTTACTCAAGGAATGAGTGGAGGGGCGGGCGGTGACTGGGGTATGTCCGCAGTAGATTTCGACAATCAAGATACTAATATGCGACAGGTATGCGCATTGGGCTCGAATATATGATGCAAAACTTGAACTCGGAAAACATACACATTTTACTTCACGAAATGGGTCATCACTTTGCCCTGGATGACTTCTATGACTGGACTCCAACGGGAATGATAAATTTCATCATGTTAGCTGGCTCTTCTACCGCAATTACGCCGTTCGATGGCTGGATGGCACGTGACTGGTGGAGGCATCTCAAGTCGAGATACAGTAAGTGAAAAACTGTCGCCGTGAGCATACCCTAAGTACCGTAGATCTTTCAGCTGCAACATCAACAACAAAGGCGTCCTCTACGTCGACTAGTCGGGCGTCCTCTTCGTCTACTCGAAGTTCGAGCAGCTCAACTCGTGCTTCTAGTACGACATCTGGGGCGTCTAGTGGCCAGACACTCTATGGTGTGTCTGCAATTGTTAATTTGACTAGTTGGCTTAACCCCCCTAGGTCAGTGCGGCGGTCAAGGATGGACTGGTCCAACAACGTGCGCTCAGGGTACCTGCAAATACTCGAATGGTAAGTAGGCGTCCTTTCAGCAAGGCGTTTCCAAACTATTACTAGCATGGTATTCGCAATGCCTCAACTAAACAAATGTGATTTTGATCAGACTGTCTCTTGTATTCATTGTCCACTTATGCGTCGAATGCATCGTCGTTTGCCACTGTAACTTCTTGACCCCTTCCCCTTCAATATGGCCGCTCGTCAACGCGCAATGGAGCTCATGGAGCGAAAGGAGGCCATAGAAACGCAACTATCAGAGCAGTTTACAATTCTTTCGGCCAACCAATCCACGATGAATACGCCACTTGTCGACCCAGAAGGCTTCCCCCGTTCAGATATTGATGTCTGGGCAGTCAGACATGCAAGAGTGCGAATAATCGAGTTGAAGAATGACTTGAATGGCATTGTGGACGCGATTGCCGTCGCTTTGGCGTCCATGAGCAAGGATGACGCGGCGTCTAGCTCGAACGCAGAGGCTTCTGCACCATTGACGAATGGAATATTGCACCCGGATGATACCAATACGCTGAGGGCTTTGCAAGAGGACGGAGTCGCACAAATTGTCCAACCGCCGACAGTCAAGGTGAGCGGTCCTTTCGACTTTGCATCACTAGAATTCACTACTGATTGTCCACGTGTTTATAGAGAATACCTCCGAAGAACTATGAGAGAATTATGTCTATAAGCCCAACAAGCTTAGAATCGCCAGGACCAAATAGTCTCTGGGAATATAGACTGGCATCTTCTATGCGTATATCCGTGAACACCAATAGGCTCTACTGGCATAGGGAACAACTGATCCGTGCATTCTACCGCCAAGATTGGTAAAGGCCTCCAACGCTAAACCCCTTACTAGTGGAGACGGCCTCTCTTCATGAATTTCCGGCACCATTTCCTATTGATTGCTGACTCAATAGACTAGGGAAAGTCTACACGCGGACTCCGCTTGTCGTCAAGCTGCCGTTGATGGTCTCTGCTCCGAGAAAATAGCTGGATGGCGTCTGCGAGATCTAGGAATGCATTCCTGCCAGTCTGGCTCGTCAATATAAAAGGACGATACCATGAATTCTCTCAGACTCGGCATCTTTCCATTATCATGCATTCGAGCATCCTTGTCTCTTTGCTCACATCCTCCCTTGTTCTTGGTGCGGGGTTGAACACGCGCCAGGATGAAGCATGGAGGACGCCGCCCTCGAACATCTCTCAAGCTCTCAACGAGGTGTGGGCCCATGAGATTAGCACGTATAGCAATCCCCTTGGCTTCAAGAACTACGGATATGATCAGGCATGTCCTACTTGCTCAGGATGTATGCCGGCTCACTCTTTTCACAGCTCATCGATGCCAAAGGGTATAAGATCCGATAATCAGAATGTCGTCCTGGTTGCTTACAAGCGTTTGCAGCAAGATCCAGGTTTGCATGAGGTGGGAAACCACTTCGACTAGTATTACTGCGGCTCAGAGAACGGCCGTCGAAGAGGCTGTAGGCAAAATGTACAACAAATGGATAGCCTGGCTCGCGGGGTGGGACGACTTTCCGTACAGCTCCGTTCCCGTCACAGTAGTTGGATGGGCAACGAGCAATACTGCACTTCTTCAAGGTTCTACATCTGGTGTCGACGTATATAATACTGTGGACGAAGGCGGAATACCACAGTGTGACCCTCGTTGTGGAAGGTTCTTCCATCAGGATCACAATTAGTACGTATGAAGCTCATGCATGACTCCTCTCATCTTGCACAGCTCTTCTTGTCCTGGTGGATCCGCTCGACACTACGACTGGTCGCTCTGGCTTACTCAAGGAATGAGTGGAGGGGCGGGCGGTGACTGGGGTATGTCCGCAGTAGATTTCGACAATCAAGATACTAATATGCGACAGTTATGCGCATTAGGCTCGAATATATGATGCAAAACTTGAACTCGGAAAACATACACATTTTACTTCACGAAATGGGTCATCACTTTGCCCTGGATGACTTCTATGACTGGACTCCAACGGGAATGACAAATTTCATCATGTTAGCTGGCTCTTCTACCGCAATTACGCCGTTCGATGGCTGGATGGCACGTGACTGGTGGAGGCATCTCAAGTCGAGATACAGTAAGTGAAAAACTGTCGCCGTGAGCATACCCTAAGTACCGTAGATCTTTCAGCTGCAACATCAACAACAAAGGCGTCCTCTACGTCGACTAGTCGGGCGTCCTCTTCGTCTACTCGAAGTTCGAGCAGCTCAACTCGTGCTTCTAGTACGACATCTGGGGCGTCTAGTGGCCAGACACTCTATGGTGTGTCTGCAATTGTTAATTTGACTAGTTGGCTTAACCCCCCTAGGTCAGTGCGGCGGTCAAGGATGGACTGGTCCAACAACGTGCGCTCAGGGTACCTGCAAATACTCGAATGGTAAGTAGGCGTCCTTTCAGCAAGGCGTTTCTAAACTATTACTAGCATGGTATTCGCAATGCCTCAACTAAACAAATGTGATTTTGATCAGACTGTCTCTTGTATTCATTGTCCACTTATGCGTCGAATGCATCGTCGTTTGCCACTGTAACTTCTTGACCCCTTCCCCTTCAATATGGCCGCTCGTCAACGCGCAATGGAGCTCATGGAGCGAAAGGAGGCCATAGAAACGCAACTATCAGAGCAGTTTACAATTCTTTCGGCCAACCAATCCACGATGAATACGCCACTTGTCGACCCAGAAGGCTTCCCCCGTTCAGATATTGATGTCTGGGCAGTCAGACATGCAAGAGTGCGAATAATCGAGTTGAAGAATGACTTGAATGGCATTGTGGACGCGATTGCCGTCGCTTTGGCGTCCATGAGCAAGGATGACGCGGCGTCTAGCTCGAACGCAGAGGCTTCTGCACCATTGACGAATGGAATATTGCACCCGGATGATACCAATACGCTGAGGGCTTTTGCAAGAGTGGACGGAGTCGCACCAAATTCTCCTGCTGCAACTGCGGTGAGCACCAGTGGCTCCAACCCGTAAGGCGATAGGATGGCAATCTGAAATATCCATGAAAGGGACTTAGAAGAGAGGATGAACTCGTACAGTTTGGTCGTCTGACAGCGGAAGATTTCAGGCAAGCACCACGGTCACTCCAGCCGCTTGCTACACTCGTCGCCGAGTATGAGAATGTAAGCATTCCTTGTCATGGTGGAATGATTACCGACTAGTCTTGGTCAGCGAGCTCTTGAAGTTGTCATCCGCAGAGAAGGTTCCGTTCTGACCTTGAACTTTACCCCTCGAGCTGGCTGGGGAGGTCGAGGCTTACTTGGGTGAGTGTATTTAAGCAGGGTCTAGACGCGGCGAATTGATTAGCCTATAGTTGTCACATCGTACCTGTATGACCGTGTGTGTTAGTTGTACTCCTGGCAACAACGTATCTTCAATGAGATTTACCGATCAGGGCTATTTCACTTGTCCCAATTTCTGCCGGACTCGGGTGGTGTTGTGTATGGTTGCCCACCGACTACTTCTTCGAACCAATACCGCATTCTTGCACCGCGTCAAAATGGCCATTTTCGCTTCTCTTAGTCGATCAGGTTCGCATAATCATATGCATATACTCTCATCAAGTAACGACCTAAAGGCTCCTTCAGTTTAGTGATACCTACATTGTGGCCAGCTGATTGAGGACGATGAGAAACAATCTGTGATGCGATCCGAGAGAAGAGTGCTGATGTCTCGGCATCATATGGAATCTGACCACGGGGCAGCGTTCCCAGCTGGCCGCCTCTAATTCGGATGTGACACCTACAAAGTTTCCTGACACCCTACGTTCCCACATCTTGAATTCTCGTTGACGGGCGTTGATGATCTCTATTGTCAGCTCGGCGACTTACAGCCCGAAGCAGCGCTACGGCTGCTCGTACGGATTCTTCAAAGTATCTTGGGTCGGCCATAAAAGACCAGCTGTGAGTGGCTCTCACGCTTCATCCCTTCCTCCCACCCCTCTTTTGCAGAGCCCCCGTGCTCTAGTCATTCGTTTGCCATGCAGGCTATCGTCACTCTTTTACTCGTCACTCTTTACTCCTTTCACTCACTTACTCAAGTATCTGCTGCACCTATCGAAACGGACATAACAGTGAGGGCCAATAATGCGTGGGTCTCTCGTTTTCTCGGCACGACGAGATCTTGATCAACCGCAGATGTTTCCCATCACTCGCGTTTCAGCCTCTTAACCCGCGGAATGGGCCACCTTCTACGCCTCTTTCTCAGTGGTGGTGTGACGATGCCACAGAGAACGGATTCCTTGGCTTTACATATGCGGGCTGGGATTGCCCATCCCTCAGCAAGCTCAAATCAGACTTAGGAAGGATGAGAAGCCAATTCAAGGCGCGCTATGTGAGAATGTATGGGTCTTGCGACGATGATGGGACCTACCTCAATAACCTTGTAACGGCGGCCTACTCTGTTGGGATGGGCATTCACGCTACAATATGGTTTGGTTTTGATGGAGATGATTCTTGGATGGGCAGGCGTGACCAACTGGTCAATGTCATCCGAACAAACCGTTTGGCAAAGTATGTGATACGCACGGTTGACGTAGGGTCAGAGCCATTATTTGACTGGGTAAGAGTGAAAAAATTGATACCTCATTGGATCTAACACCCTCCAGGTTCTTTCTCCTCAAGATTTGGCCAACCAAATTTAGTAAGTTCTGATTTCGGCCAAAGAGCGTTGTTTAACAAAGACTTAGCTACGTCAAGAGCCTTATAGGATCATATGGAATCAAGGTCTCCATCTCTGAGATGAAGTATGGGTACGAAGTTCAAGGCAATGCACAAATGGTGCTCGACGCTGAAGACGTTGTTCATGCTCGTACGTTGAGAAATATGTGGATATATAAATCTTACAAGTTTTAGATGAACTTCCTTTCTTCGACTGGGATGCGACCACCGGCGATCAAGCAATGCCCTCGCTCTTGGATTCAACCAATTGGTTTGTCCAGCAAACGTACTGGAACAAGAAAATTATCTACAGTCAAACCGGATGGCCAACAAACGCGAACGTATGGCAGCCAAACTCCCCGAATGCGGTGGCCTCTGTCGCATCTGCGGAGGCATACTATCACCTCTTAGACAATGCTTGTGCACAGCTCAAAGGAATCACTCCTCGTGGCGGCGTCGGATGGTTCTGGCACATTTGGAGTGATGAAATGCTGGATGGCTGGGGGTTGATTGACTGGAACGGGAATCCGAAGTGGAATTTTGCTCCAAAGACGTCTTGTTGAGCCCCCTTTTGACCACAATCGCTACATGGACACTTGTTTTTAGCGGACAATTACAGATGTTTATTGCAAGTTTGTTTGGTACGACGACTGTCTCTTGAACTCTTCCATCTCCGCGGTATATTTATCTCCAAGGGGCGAGTTTAGATCCAATTTAATTTCATTGAACTTCCCACGCTGCAAAGAGCCGTAACGGTCTGCAATGGTTGTCAGCTCTCCGAACGGCCGGACAGGTTGCATGGTGTTTACCAACGCCGCTCCTTCCTGCCGACGAACATACCAGCTTCACTACGTTTTTGCATATAAAACTGGTCGATGGGTTTCCAAATTAACCCCAAACGTCCCTTTCTCCCTGTCTCCTCGTCTGTCTTTTACAGAGCCTGCTGTGCTCTAGTCATTCTTTTACGATGCATACCGTTGTCACTCTTTTGCTTGTCGCTCTTTACTCACTCATCCAGGCGAGGGCTGCCCCCCTCGTTTCTGGGGCCATGTCCGGCAAGGTGGCCGTTGCGAACAACGCGTATGCCTTTCCTGCCCCGCTTTGAACCTTTGACTCACAGCTATTCAGGTGCTTTCCCTCGCAGGGTTTTCAACCGTTGGATCCTAGCAAAGGCGCACCGTCGACTCCCCTCTCCAATTGGTGGTGCCCGGCAGAAACCGAAAATGGCTTCTTTGGTTTTACTTATGCGTATGTATACTCGTCTCTTTCACGACCATTCTCACCATTCTGTAGTGCATGGGACTGCCAGGACCTTAATACCATGAAGGCGGATTTCGGTCGTATGCGTAACCAGTACAAGGCTCGATACGTCCGCATGTACGCCTGGTGTGACGATGATGGTACATATCTCAAGAATATGATCTCCGCCGCTTATAGTCAAGGCCTCGGAATTTACGCCACCATCTGGTTCGGTGAGTATCTTCTTATCGAAAAGGCCCTGTTTCTAATAATCTCAGGTTTCGATGGAGGCAATGCCTGGAAAAAGAGGCGTGATCAGCTTGTTAACGCTATCAAGACAAACCCATTGGCCCCTTTTGTCATAAGATCTGTCGACGTCGGCTCCGAGCCTCTCTACGACTGGGTATGACTCCGTCCGCTTGATTGCCAAAACTCACACCCTCCAGGTCCTCACACCCAAAGACCTTACAGCTGAGATAAAGTCAGTGGTGCAAGTTTCTCCCGTTACGTTTTACTGACCTCATGCATAGTAATGTCAAGGGTCTCATCAGCTCCTACGGTATCAAAGTCTCAATTTCGGAGATGAAGTACGGCTATTCGGTCCAAGGTGACTCTCAAATGGTCCTCGATGCCGAGGACGTAGTTCATACTCGTAGGCCCTCCACCCCTTTGTCATCCCCTCGCTAATCATCTACTACAGATCAACTCCCCTTCTTCGACCCGAATGCGACGACCGGCGACAAGGCCCTTGGCTCAATTATCGACTCGACCAAGTGGTTTGTCTCCAAGACGAACAACAACCGCAAGATTGTTTACACCCAGACCGGCTGGTATGTATTCACTTTCCCCTGTTTAATCAGTACTGAAAGCTATCCCTAGGCCTACAAACGACAAGGTTTGGAAAGCCAACTCTCCTTCTGCCAAAGCCTCTGTTGGAGACGCACAAGCCTACTATCAGCTTCTGGACAGGTCGTGCGAGCAACTCAAGAGCATCACTCCTCAAGGGGGAGTTGGATGGTTTTGGCACATCTGGAAAGACTCTATGCTCGATGGATGGGGGCTTCTCGATTGGAATGGCAACCCAAAGTGGAACTTTGCACCTCGCACTTCCTGCTAGTTCCCCTTCATGTTCTCACGAACGCTCACGTTCCTTGATACCACGCTCCTTAGTTGAACATTATATACGAGGCTAATTGACCCTTTGTCTATAAGCAGATACGAGAACTTTACCGAGAACTAAATTAAGATATGAAACGTCGACTCGAGAACACGCTCTCTTGAATTTATAGTATGTATTGAGATATCTTGGACCTCACCCCGTCTGATGAGTGCAACCACGACCACCAAACCTGGCAACAAATTCTGAATCATTGATGATATACTATAAAAGAGCAAGGAATGTCAATGGAGCAAGCAGACAACAAGAATGTGCCGCCAAAACACCTGATCAGCTGGAGATGGACATTGAAAACGCGATTCAATGGATTTCCTACTCATATAATGATGTTTTGCTCCCATTTCACTCCGATCCTGCGACACTCCTGTCCTGGCCAGACTCCAAGCGTCGTTGGCGGACCATCTGTTGCAGATAGCATGCTCAAATGACCAAAATTTATTTTTCAAGGTATAATTTCCCGAAATAATTAGACAAGAACATCACTGCTTTCCTCCGTCATCACCAACGGAATTGATACAACAAGATGGGTCTCGTAGGCATTCCATTTGTGTGCGCAGCTCTTCCTTCCGTTTCTTTGGACCTGTTCTCACATATGTCTTGTGCCCTACAACGTCCCCCGCAAGGCTATCGTTGATTTAAGTCTCAGCCAAGAAGTACATGGGCAAGGCGAAGTTGAGGATAGTAATTCTAGGTCAATTGGCCCATGTGGTTAGAGCGCTGTGCGCGCGGCTCAAATGAGCCGCCCCGCGGACAGGGTTCAAATCCGCGACCTCCATAAAACCAAGATTCGGCTTGGGGATAAATGGACTCTAAAAAGAGCAAGTAAAATATACTCGTCTAATGAGATATCTTGGGGAGGTGCCACATTTTTGTTGTTTGGCGCCATATTCTCACTTTTGCCACGGTCAACGGCGCGTCCTTCAAGATTTTTTGAGAAATTGGCTCACATGGCCGAGCTACTTGGCTTTTATTGAAGTTTCACATCATCCACCCCGCCGATTCTACCCCCACCATGACTTGTCACTTCGCTAATCTCCTCAAAAGTCACGAATTTCCTTGAGTCTCTTTATCCAGAAGTACCCATCCTCGACTCTGATCGAGCGCGAACTGGAGTCCATCTGTTGGACCAACTGAGGACCTGCGATGAAGATCCAGGCCGCGGCCATTGCGACCTCGCGGTCGAGTTCTGGTCTGGGTATAAATTGATAAAGAGTGGGGTCTCCCCTTTGGTGCCCTCCTTTCCTCCACTCTCGGGTATACACAACTCGGTACATGCTGCCATTTGCAAAGTCGTCGAGACGGACACCATCCCTCGTTAGACGGGCAAGGTATGCGATAAAATTGGCATTCTCCCGGATGGCTACAGGTGTGATGAGCATAATAGGTATACAAACACGAGACATGACCTACCCTGGAATTCATCGGCTACAACGGATCCAAATATAGGAAGGTCTTGCCATAATTGATATGTCCGATTCCATCCTTCGAGGAAAACTTCGTGGCGTTTTTCCAACCATCTGATGCAGAGCAATGACGACCGAGGAAAGACGATCCTGTGCGGGATGATTATAGGGAATACTGCTTGCCCATCCGAGAATAGTTCCCCATATAAACCATAGATAGCCTTCTGGTGTATAGTCCACATCATCATCAGCCCGATCCTCTGGTAGGCAGTTATTCGGGTATAGGCTGTCTATGCGTTGTGCGACGTCTTACGGTGTGACAGTAGAGTTTCGCTTGATCACTTCATTGAGGAGATAATAAATTGCTTTCTGTCCAATCGGATGCTCGTCCTCTTCCCATTTGAAGTCTGAGTCTGGTAAAGAGTCGTCTGGTTGGAAGATATCAATGTGCTTGTAAGGGGTTTCGTATTCCTGGGAGGTCAAATTTGCTTGTGATTCTGCCACTGTGGTCTGAAGTTGCCTGAGGATATGGCGGGGATCAAGAGATGCTCCCACCCTGTTTCTCCATTCTGTCGGCTTCTATTCGTGAGTCTTTACTTCTAGTACTCTTTCCTGACTCTTCCTCACAAAATGCCATTCATCCGACCTCTTCTATTGGACTCAGTGTTGCCTGCTGACCGCGTGTATTCTTATAGTAACCAATGATTGGGATGTTTTCTCCTTTTTTAGATAATCGACGCTGTTGTTCTGCTGTTCGGTGGTTCAAAGTGGCCGTGACGGACCTTTTAGCTTGTTCACTACGCTGCCCAATTGAAAACACGAGGCAACTAGGGGGCACGTACACGTCTAATGTTGTACATCGTCTACGCTCTCCTTGGACTCGTCCATCTCACAGATTTCGATTCCATCCTACGCTCAGCACATGAAACCCATTTTATCCCTTTTGGCAGTCGCGTCGGGCTTGTTTGTCCACGCGAATGCATCCCCGCTTGGATCCCAAGTCGTCTTGGGCAACGCCAATGGCACAGACCCGTACGTGCAAACGAAATAACATGCCAAACGCTATTCTCAGCTTGTCCAAAGCTGTTTCCCATCGCTGGCATACAAGCCTCGGGACCCGAAGAGTGGCCCTCCCAACAAGAAACTCGAGGAGCATTGGTGTTCACAGGAAAGTGAAAACGGGTTCTTTGGATTCACCTATGCGTGCGTCGAATTTCATGGAAGTTGATGTCTCACTCATCTCGTGGACAGAACATGGGGTTGCCCCTCGTTGACTCAGATGCAATCCGACTTTGGTCGAATGAGAAACCAGTTCAAGGCGCGCTATGTCCGAATGTACGGGTGGTGCGAAGACGGCGACTTTTTGACGCGAATCACAAATGCCGCATTCTCTCAAGGTGTCGGATTGCATGGGACCATCTGGTTCGGTATGTTTCGACTTTATATCCAGGCTTCCTACTCACGGGTTTAGGCTTTGATGGAGGAGACGCGTGGAAGAAGAGACGCGACCAATTCTTTGCTCTCTTCAAGTCGAATCCTCTCGCAGCGTACACTTTTAGGACGCTCGATGTTGGTTCAGAGCCGTTGTTTGATTGGGTGAGTGGGAAGGGCTGTCAAATAGCTTTCTTGCCGACCATCGATGCCTGCAGGTCTTGCCTCCCAAAGCTCTGGCACTAGAAATTCTGTATGTCACTTCCCATTCCTCACCTCTACTAACATGAATTCAGTTCTGTCAAAAAGACGCTCGCTCCATATGGTATCAAGGTCTCAATCTCGGAAATGCAATACGGCTATAGCGTCCAAGGCGACTCCCAAATGGTCTTGGACGCCGAAGACGTCGTTCATGCTCGTGAGTGTAACTCTAGATCACGAATACACCGTGGCTCACACTTCTGGCCAGACCAGCTCCAGTTCTTTGACAAAGACGCGACAACTGGAGACAAGGCCCTTCCCTCTATCCTAAGCTCAACCAACTGGTTCGTCTCAAAGACCAATAAAACGAGGAAGATTATCTATAGTCAGACTGTACGTCGACCACCTGAACGTTTCGTCCGGCTAACGCCAGGGTTAGGGATGGCCCACAAACACAAAGGTGTGGAAACCAAACTCGCCAAAAGCTGTGGCTTCCGTGCAGTCTGCAAAGGGGTTCTATCAAGTATTGGATAGCTCATGTGAGCAGTTTAAGAAGATTACCCCCTTGGGTGGCGTCGGCTGGTTCTGGCACATCTGGAAAGATGACATGTTGGACGGCTGGGGGTTGATTGATTGGAATGGAAACCCCAAATGGAACTTTGCGCCGAGGACGAGCTGCTAAAGGTGGTTCCATCTACAAACCAAAGTGTTGTATCGAAGCTAGTGTGAATGATTAATGAAGACAGTACATGTACACATGCAAAACTATTGCAAGATGCTAGTCCTCGACAAACTTTCGTCTCTTCTTTGGCATCTCTTCGTCACTGATGGTGCTTTGCCGCATGCTGGCTCTCTTTTTTCTTTGATACGCACGATCTCGGTCCCTTTTTGTCTGAATTCGATTAGTAAATGAGTACGAATCCTGGCGAGTCCTTACCTGGGCTTCCTGGGTTCGAGTTGCCGGCGTGAGCGTAACGGTTGTGATCCCTGCAGCATTTGTGACATGTGTAGCTGCTATCCCATCTTCCAGCGAAGACGAATCTTCCGCCATGTCCAAGCTCTTTGCCAAACGTCAGAGCGCATACAAAGTCGAGTAAACCTTGCTCACTTTGCGGTACGTAATACTACTTTGCGAGAATACCCTGTCAATCTCCGCTACATCGACGCGTTTCCGGTTCGTTGACGCGCTCTTCAAATAGTTCTCAAAGCCATGAATAATATTCCCGCCCGTGCCCGCCGTCTCGGCGATATATTGGCCTTCTGCATTGAATATCTGCGTCTCTACTTGGACCTAGAACGCCTTCATTAGACCTCGCATTTCCACAAACGTCTTTCCACGGAGACAGGCGCACCAACTGCTTGTCCAATTGCTTTCTGCGTTGAATTGCCTGTATCAGGTCCTTCTTTGCATTTTCATACGACGTTTTAGGGTCACTCAGATCCACGCCTGTCGTCGCAGCCACTGCGCTGGTCGTTGCTTCGGAATTTGCAGCTGGTGCAGTGGATCCTGATGCGGTAGTAGCTTTCTTGGTGGCTGTATTCGCGCTCGTGGTCGTTGTTGAAGATGCCGACGCCATGGTCAGGAGCGGGCAGGGCAAGCTTCGTGCACCACTTTCAGCCACTGTCACCACCCAGTCTCACAGAAAACTAGAGCAAGGAAGCGCCATACAGACTTGTTTCAAATTCTAGTGCACAAAACGGTCCACTATCCGTGCGAGGGTGAGTCTTATATGCTGGTCTTGCCGAGAGCCTCTGCGAGCTCGTCGACAGACGCGTCTTTGGCACCCTCTTTGAGCTTTTCGCGAAGCGTCTGCTCATCTTCACCAACCTCGTCTAGCAGCCGTTCTTCTGCCTCTTCTTCTTCTTCCTCCTCTTCTGGCTCCTCCATCTCTTCCAATTCGTCCAATGCGTCGCTATGCCCATGAGCGTCCAAGGCGTCCATGACCTCTTGAACTGCTTTGCCCTCGGCCTTGGCAATGTTCCCGTTGAGCGACAGGCTGGTGATATTGGCGCCGTGATCCAGAATGGCTTGTGCCAACACCATCATTGCCTTTTCTCCAATCTCCGAAAACTGTAGTTGCAACGAAGTAAGTTTAGGAGAAGTACCCGTCTTTAGAACATTGAAGATGGCCGTTGCCCCCGCATTGGTCAAGTAACTCTCGGAGAGATTGAGAATAGTGAGCTGTGGCCAACAAGGGAGAGCTCGAGCGATCGCAGCGCATCCTTGTTTGTTGATGGTGTTATCGGCCAGGTCGAGGTATTGGAGGTCAGGACAGGCGCTGAGACCAGCAATAAGAGGTGGGAACCCAGCTTCGAAGATGCCATTTTGGTATAATCGGACCTCTTGAAGTCCTCCATGGGCGGCAAACGTCTTACCCCATGCGGCCATGCTCTCCATCTGCATCCGATTTCGACCACAGTGGAACACACGGAGGTTGGATTTGAACGGCTCGTTGTTCTGCATTGTCGCTTGGTTGTCGAGCGGATTGACGCTACCCATCATCCGTGCGCCCATTGCTGTTCGGGCTGCCGCCCGTCTCGCGTTCTTGGCATTTGCCTCTAGTGCCTCTGCAATAATTGTACTTCCTTCCGGTCCGAGGCCATTGTTCGAAAGTTTGAGAATCGTAAAGTGGGTGTTCTGGGAGAGAAAGGGGACCAGAGAGGGCGCACATCGAGGACCGTATGCATTGTCGGAAAGATCAACCTCTCGTATTGATGTACTGTGAATTAGTGCGTCGGTCAAGGCACCGATAGCCGTCGGGATTTCGTCGATGAGCCGACCAGTGAAGATGTCTGCATAATCTGCCACCTGATAGAGCCATTAGATTACATCAGAATCGATAAATCTGACAAAGTGGATCTCACCCTAAGATGCTTCAAGTCTTTGATGACCTCAGCCAACGCCTGGCAAGCCGGAGCGCCTAGGGTGTTTCCTGTAGAAAACGTCTTAGATCGTCACGTCTAAAGTTACAAGTACTCAAATCAAGCTCACCTCCGATGTGGATTTCCTCGACCTCTGGCATACTTCGCAGCTCTTTAAGATGCGGCTCGATATCCTCCTTGGTGGTGAGTTTGAGACCCTTCCCTTGCAACGAAAAAACTTTCTTCGAGCTCATAATTACGATGGATCGATATCCTCTGGTCCTTGGAAAATATGGTAGGCGTCAAAATCCGTTGTGGCGAGTCGGCTGCAACAACAGTCCAAATGAAGCAAGTTCAAAAACAGAATTAGAATCATCCTTAATTGAGCCTCCAAACCCCACGGAATGAACGTCGTGTCTGAGAATAATATTGCAAGACCAAAGTTACATATCTACTCAATGTTTGCCGCTTTTCCGCCCTAGAGAGATTAGTGAGATCGTTTCGTATCGTTTCCATAAGCAGACATACCACCAGCAAACCAACTAACGCAGAGAATCAGCAATCGAGCCAGAAGTGAGAAGAGAAAGACGTACTGATGAGACCAAACAGACCCATGATGGACGCAAACACTTCAACAACGAGAATGCGTACGAAAAGTGTCGGGTCGGCGGCATCCGCAATCGCAGCCGTCGAACCGGTCATCCCAACAGCAATGCCGCAGAATAGGTTGCATAAGCCGACCGTTAAACCACCCCAGAACAGAGCGAATCCTAATTCAATTTGCTAAGTTGGTCATTCGCGACGGAAAGGGGTGTCTCTGACCAGTAAAGTAGTTGGAAGGAGTATACAGCTTGGCCTCTGGAACGCTCTCGACTTTTTGCACAAAGACGATAGCCATAATCTAATGTAAAGTTTAGGAGCGCGTTTCACTGTGGGAACTGATACGTACAACTCCGTAAATTGCCACGACTTCACAGAAGACGATGCTATGTGGTGGCTTAGCGAGCCCGCATAGATGAGGTTAGTTGAATATGATCACACCTGATCAAGTTCTTGGTCCGTATGCGCGGTGCACGTACACCACCTCCCAGTATCGACGCTCCCGTCAGGAAGATACCCCTGTGACGAGAAAACAACGAGTGAGTACCAGAGCTTGTTGTATTTATTGGACTGTTCTGACCATCCGGCGCCCAAAACACTGAGGCCTAAGCAAAGGCCAATACCGACTGAAGCCCAGGCGTAGGGACTCGTCTCTTCGAGAAAAGCGCCAACATTGAATGTTTCTCCTTTTCCTATTGAGAGCATTGTAAGTCAGCAATGGGTTCTTTTAGCATTTTGCCTGTTCTGTAATCGCAACAGCAGTACACACGCACCAGTGAGCAAGAGATAGAGCCCAACAGACACAGCTGTTGCAGTCGTGAGTCCCAGAGTGGCATACGAGCCGTAACCCATGGCTTGTCGGTTGACGTTGGGTTCAAGTTGAGATACCTTGGACCTCGCCCCGTCTGCTGAGTGCAACCATCGGCAGCAAAACCTGGCAACAAATTCTGAATCATTTATGATATACTATACAAGAGCAAAGAATATGAATGGAGCCAGCGGACAGCATGAGCGTCCTGCGAAACCATCTGATCAGCCGGAGATGGGGCTTGAACACACAACCGATGGATTCCTTACTCATATAATGATGTTTTCGCTCGTTTCACTCCGATTTTCCGACATTCCTGTCCTGGCCACGGCTCCAAGCGTCCTTCGTGGACCATCTGTTGCGGATTACGTTCTCAAAATGACCAAAAATCATCTTTCAGGGTGTCTTTTGCAGAAAGATTTAGACGAGAGCATCACTGCTGTTCTCTGTCATCACCAACGGAACTGATGCAATAAGAAGGGTCTCGTAGGCGACTCATTTGTGTGCGCAACTCTTCCTTCCGTTTCTTTAAACCTGTTCTCACATATGTCTTGTGTCCTACAACGTCCCCCGCAAGGCTATCGTGGATTTAAGTCTCAGCCAACAGGTACATGGGCAAGGCGAAGTTGAGGATAGTAATCCTAGGTCAATTGGCCCATGTGGTTAGAGCGCTGTGCGCGCGGCTCAAATGAGCCGCCCCGCGGACAGGGTTCAAATCCGCGACCTCCATAAAACCAAGATTCGGCTTGGGGATAAATGGACTCTAAAAGAGCAAGTAAAATATACTCGTCTAATGAGATATCTTGGGGAGGTGCCACATTTTTGTTGTTTGACGCCATATTATTCTCACTTTTGCCACGGTCAACGGCGCGTCCTTCAAGGTTTTGGGAATTGAACCCACATGGCTGAGATACTTGGCTTTTATTGAAGTTTCACATCATCCACTTCCGCCGTTTCTACTCCCACCATGACATTGTTTCTCTAACAAGTGGACCCGAGCGTCTGTGCCTCTTCAACCCGATGTATCACCTGGTTTAGGTGATGCAATTATCGTGATTGTGTAACGTTACAAGCTTAAAATGGCGCCGATGATCAAGGTCTAGCAGATTTAGACGTGTATGATACATCGCATGTATATATTGAATGCATGCATTATCGTATAGTGTACCTTCAACGCCAACGTGTGTCATCATCATAGTCTTCCTCTTCCTCTGAATCGTCCCTATCATTGTAGAACTCATCCGAGTCTGTAAGGCGAGCACATCAGCCACCGAGATTCGGACAAGAGCTGAAGATCGTACCTTCATCCTCATCTGAGTAGTCATCTTCCTCATCCGGGTAGTCGTTGCGATAAAATTCTTCCGCTATGACGAGCGTCAGAGATATTCAGCGTGTCACTTGAACCAAACATACCATTGGAGTCCTCGTCGTCTGAGCCCTCAGAGTAGTCCTCGAAATCGTCAGAGTCTTCGTCCTGCAGAAACTCCCGAGGCAAAGAAACTCTAAGAGATCGATTAGATCATGACAAAGCCCCGTCAAGTATACACACAAAGTTCCATAGTTCCCCAGGTTGTTCCAGTCGCTGGCAGTTGGTTCATGATTACCCTTGAAGTAGACATCATAGACATAATCTTCTTCATCTGTTTCTGAATCGCCTTCTTCCTTGGATTTGCCCTTCTCGGTTGTTCTTTCCTTTGGACCTCTCATTTCGCTTCGTCTGGGCTCTTCTATGCGAGGCGTACTGGAGATGTTACTCTCTGTGGCACATGAGTCGATGTTGGGTTAACGGCTAAAGTAAACTCACGCTTGAGATAATCCTGGAGCATCGGCATAAACGCCGCTAGCTCTTCCTCTTCCTCTCGAGCCCTTCTTTCGTTTTCGCTCTCTTCATCGCTTACACTTTTCACAGGAACGGCATCAAAGTAGACAACCCTATCTTTTGCTTGTATAGGCGGTTGAGGTATGATTGCGTCGGCCCTTGCGGTTGCTTCTCGAGCCAAGGTCCCTCCAACTTGCGTCGTAGAGTCGGTTTTGACTCTCTTTTTCGGATATTTATCCTCAGACTCGTCGTAGGCTGGCTGTACGATTCCGGGAGTGGACTCTACTGGCCTAAGAAGTCTTGTTAGAGAGAATTATGTCAATCGGGAGGAGTATGCATACAACTGTGGTCGGGATTGAAGTACGACGGTATACTTGCGTGGTGGCTTGACACCGCTAGTGGTTGCGGTCGGGCTAAGAAGACCAGATGTATTGGGAGAGGCAGATACTGGTTGAGACTTTTCTATCACTGGCGAATCTAGAGGGCTTCCACCCCCGCAGCTGCTGCGAGAGCTTTCCTGCCCTCCTTGGTCTTGGCTAGTACACGTTCCTTTGCAAGATCAGCAGGGACCTGCGGTAGTAAACCGACGTACGTTGAAATCTCTCCTCCACGCCTCGTTATCCCACGTCGCCTTTTCAACAGTCTCGGCCAGCTGGAAGAAACCACGGGCTGGGGCTAATCTTTTCCGCTTTCTAGCGCGCATACTGTTGCTTTGCGTCAAGCCAGATCTACCTCCTCGCTCATCTAGGTCATCCTCGAGCCCAGATGTTCCATCCTTGTTCAAGTCAGAGTCCGACGGGTGGCGTGACGCGCCACCAGCGTTTTCGAGAACTATCCATCCCGTACTTAGTCGAGCAGTTGGACGATCCAGACGAGAGAGTAAACGTACGCAGTCCATCAAGCGGCTCTTGATTTCTCTTTCTCTTCAGCAGCACGATCTGTGCTGGGGAACTTCTACCGGCATCGCTATCTTTGTTCAGGCTCATGTTGGCCAACGACTTCATGATACTGGGTGTAGGTCTCTGAATCCGCCTCGATATACTGTTTAGACTGGTCGTTGAATCGCCGGCACCGACATCGTTGTTGCCCAAGCCTCCAACGCCGGACCCATGTATACGTGCCCGCCCTATACTCGATTTTGATATCTTCCTACGCACTGGATGTGTCTCCCCGGGTACTGGGACACGGACGGGAGTCCCGGTTGAAGTTGCCGCTGGCTGGACCGTCGACATCTAGCTTGGGCCACAATTTGAGTATCTCAAAGTGTAACCGGGTAATACTAGATTTACTTCGAGTTGGTTGGTAGTGTAGACTTGACGCGGCCACAACCACGACCAGGCTGGTCGGGAACAAGACGTTAGCCACAACAAGCACCCGCAACCTCAGATACAGACACAAAGAACAGAAAGCGAATCTAATCTACATTATTATCTAGAACGAGTTATGATACATGGATAGCAATGTCGGCCCATGGTACCTATATAGTCTATTACAATCCGACAGCAGGTGGCGTATATTGAGGGAGCGGTTCGGCTGGTATCGGTTTCGGGATGCAAGGAGATGATCTGGCCAGGTATCTACCATCTGAGGGAGTAGATCTCACGCGGATGGTGTAGTAATCGCCCGTCTGAGATGTTACTGGATGAGGTGCGTGGTTAGTCCGGTTGGTTGTCCGCTTTTGTGGGTGGTAAGAGGTTGGTGGTCGCCTAGCCGGCTCTGCTACAGCGATAGAACACGAGCCGTTGGATGGGATGCCTGCCTGAGACTCCTCGCGGGGTCCCGTCCTTCCAGTATGCACTAGAGCGACTACAGCCGTCACAGAGGTATCCGAAGGGGACGTTTCTCCCGGTATCTCTAGAGGCTGCTGAGACCGGTCGTCAGTATTGGGCAACTATGAATGGACTGAACGTACGTTCTCTATTGTAGACAACGTGGGTACTGGTTTTCTGCGAACTCGATGCACCTTGTTCACGTCTTTTGCGTATGGATTGCTGTCCGCGAGTATGATAGGAACGTCACTCGTCAGACCTGTGGGCCCTACGCTGGATGACATTGCGGACGTTTCCCGGTTCGAGGTAGTTCCAGAGGTGCTCGCTGCCATCTCTATGTGAGACGTGGAGCCTATCGGAAGAGGTGGGCGCTTGGCCACTATGGGATAATCAGGATGATGTCTATCAATTGCAACCTATGACACACCTTTCAAGCATGGCTTTGGCTTGCGTAAACGACTGGTGAGTCCTGTTGGGTCCGATGTGGAATGTTCATGCTTGCGTCCTCGTCCCTCAACCCGGATCGTTGTCTTGGAGGACCCAGCAACACAAGAGGCCAAGTGCAGAGGGACAACTGGCAGTGGCTTGTCCTTTTCGTCCGATTCATCCGTGCGTAAATGAGGTTGAGATGCAGCGCGACGAGCAAGAGGTCGATTGCGAGTTGCATCCGACCCCTCACCCCTCTTTTGCATTCCAAACTCCGTCGGTGGTCTGGAATGATGCGTATCATGGGATGGAATCGGCCATGTGATAGAGATACCAGTCACATTCTGTTGATCGGGCGTCTGTTGATGACGGTACTGGCGACTTCTCCTCAGGGTGTCCTTCCTGGACAACCACGCACGGACTCGTATTCGCGCATCATGGAGATAATTATGACGACGAATACGAAAGTCTTCAACAGTCCCCGTACTGAAGTGCTCGCCAGGGTACTGCATGGAGGGAATCACGACGAACGAGCTGCTGGATCGCAGTAATGGACGCGAGTCCATCTCGTTTGAATGAGAGGGTCCGTTTCTCGCACTACTGTGGACGATAGGCGATACGCTAGACGCGCTTACTGCCGAGCTTGAAGTGAGGTTTGTGACGAGTTCAGCGAGTGAGGCCACCAGATGAACCAGGTTACCCAGAGATTCTACCTCATCATGTGTCTCTACGTCGTTCTGATCCAAGAGAGGCACGGGGATCGCAGGCATGGGCGCGACAAGTCCTCGCTTTTGAGCACGGCGACTGGCGTCACAAAGTGGGATGAAGATATCTCGGGTCGATTCGTCGGTGCTAGAGAGCTGTCCGATAGCGCGAAAGAGGTTCATAAACGCCGCATTGATGGCGGCTAGGTTGCGGTGGTGGACGTAGTACGGGTGGATGAGAGCGCGAATATCCATCTGTTCCAGAGCAAGGTTGAGAGGAGAAGGGCTGGAGGCGCTAGGGCATGATTGCCTGGCCGCTTTTTATATAGTCAATGGGCGGACGTAAACGGTATAGTGAGGCGCGACTGACGCATTTCAGACGGCATTCTATTGAGAAAATATGTCTGTAAGGAATAATTAGTCTTGGTGGCTGACACTTGGTCCGGAAATGTACCTCGAGGCGCGTCGTGTGTGCCTCTACAATTGATGACCGGTACGCGCTCCGTCCAAGACAGGCAGTCCGGTACATTCATACCGTCAAAGCACGTCCCTGAGGCTAGCAAACCCTGAGCACTGGGCCCAAAGGTGCTTGCAGCTTGCTGATGGAGAAACCGGCAACATTCGACGAGTACTTCTACTCGTATTCTGAGAGAGCAGGATATGCTTGTATCCATTACGAATTGATAATCGTGATTTTCAAAGGAACCACGTCGCTGCTCGTCATCGCAAGGTTCAAGTTTCGAAGGGTCAGAAGCATCACAACAACAATTCGAGTCAATGATGAGTTAATCTTCTATAAGATTACAATGATGACGTTTTCAGCAACCCTCAAACTCATCACTCCATGTCGTCTAAGACATTTCTTTTATGAGCTATTTGCTAGCTGTCATTGAGAGCGAAGTAGGCAGTTCGCTCACCTTTTTCTAAAGAGCTCGACGCGGCAGTCGAACGCCGTCGGAATATCTTGGTATACTCGATATCATCCACCTTTGGGGCTGACACCCTTTCAACGGCTTGATATCAAGGAGGGCTATGGCGGTGATACCAGGATGAAAACGACATGAGCATCAAACCACATCCCAGAGCATATTATTGGACCAAATCCAAGTACGGTGAGTGGATGGGCCAACTTGTGTGCGTCTGGACTGGGGAACCGCCTTGTCTGAACAACATTAGGGTCGTCCCATATCTTGGTGAATACCAAGATGCTGCCCACGAGCTAATCAGCTTCACTTCTTGTGCAGCTTTACCACACCTTCGGTTGATGACAGAGCCTTTAGGAATAAAATATTCATGCAGATGGCTCATGGGCTCCGGACCCTTTACCAGAGGTAGGTGCTCTTGCTCAACGATAGAGTCATGTGCCATGGAGCGAACAAAGTGGGGGAAAAGTCCACAGCCCAGGTGTCCCTCGAGATTTCGGTTGGTCACTCTGGACCGTGGGTCTTGATAATCGTCTGCCCATACGACAGCTCAAGTAACGATGAGCTAATAGTACCACAAGAGCGCTTAGCAAGCCACCAAATTGGATGGGAGTGAGAGCGCATTCGTTGACGATCTTGTCTGGGCTCCCCTGTAAGATCGATAGCCAAAGTAGCAATTTACACTTATTATGCAATCCTTGAGCAGAATGTTTAGCGGACCGACGCAAGAGCTTGCATAGAGGGTATGACGTCTGTTTGTTCGTGAACCCAGCCATTCTGAATAGAAATCATATATCACGAGCAAGTTGACACGGACGCACCGCTGTTTGATCATATAACCCATCCTGCGATCCGAGTTGACGCCGGCACGCTTCGAGAGCAACTCGTGGGCGACGTTGAGATTGATGATGTAAGAGTCTATGCCTGGGAGATGAACGTAGGCACTTGTCCCGCCACTATTTGACGACCAGCCCATTGAGAAGTTGTGTCCATTGCCAATTAACGGAGAGTCGTCTGCGAAAGCTGCTCATGTGGTTTCTTCATATCTGGAATGGTGAGAAAATTGGAATAGGAAATATTCTTATCTCTGGTATACCCCAGCACATCCATCTTGTATTGCCTCCTGAGGTTGGATGCGCGCGAGGTTTGGTAATGTGGATGTGCAAGATTCTCAAACAAGAGGGAAGCGAACGAACATAACACGGACGCCGAGTTTGGCCCAGAGCTACGGTCGCCAGAGCAGCACGGCAGCGTCGGGCGGCGCATATGAGGAGTAATAATGGGATTTATTAGCTGTAGAATGAATTGGATTGCAGTGACTTGGAGATAATGGAAGCGGCGCGGGAGTTTTAGGTTGACATGGATGACATGGACAGGGGACAGAGATTGCTATCTCTCCGTTGCTCAGAGTTCCAATGTCTAAATCTGCTCCAGCGCCGAGCTCTTGTTGTTGTTTAGAATATTGGGAATATTCGCGGCAATGGTCGAAGTCAAGAAGAAGTCAAGTGCTCGCTGACGGGTCCTTAGTCGGATCGGTTGAGTACGGCAGAGACAGACGACGTCATGGAGAGGACATTAGTCCGAGTTGCATGTCGTCGATTGTTTGGTCGATACAACTTGTTCCCAACCATTACTTTTGCTCTCCGATAAGCAGTAACTCTACCCTCTGCTCTCCCATGGGTTTCTTCTCGTTTGGAAAGAAGAAAAAGGGCGACACTCCTGCCCCGTCGGCCCCAGCGACGACGAGAATTAGCAAGGATAAGAAACCTGCAATGCTCGTCAACAGCGCGAGCGCAGCGTCGACGTTATCCAACGCGTCCTCGGGCTCATCGTCGTATTCCCCCCCTCGAACCTCGCAGCAGCAACAGCAGCAACAAGCCCCCGTCGCTCGCAGGACAAATACATCTCCAGTAGCTCGCAACAGCGGCCATTATCGACATTCATCTGCTCTCGCTCCTCCACCTCCCATCCCAGCACTCTCAGGCCATGCTCGACTCTCTGGATCGTCGTCAACGTCCAATCTTCGTCACAATCCCGTCAATCTGTCCTCTTCAAACACCAGTCTTGCCCTCCCAAACGCTCCCTACGCTAGTGGGAATCTCGCGAAAAAGGGCAGTTCAGCCACATTGAACTCGGTACACTCTGCCGGCGGCACACCCCTTAAACGTGGACCTCACGACCCACCTGCCCGAGCAGTCGGTCTCGGAAGTGCGAGTAGTAGCTCTGGTAGTCTCAATAATCCCTTTAACAAGCAGCGCGCCGCCAGTTACGGGTATGGCGTTCGGAATATCTGGACGACGGGAACAGGTCCCAGGAGCATCGATGGTCACCAGTACAGTGGTATGCATCCCGCTGTCTTCGCTGGCAAGCATGCTTCGACCGGAAGTCCTGGGATGCTCGCAAATGGATCGTCATACATCAACGGTGCGTCTCTTCGATCGACTGATTCCCCGTACCTGAATCCACTCTCCCCAAAATGATTACTGACGGTCTTCCCATGTTTCAATCCGACTGCCTTCGACATTGAATCCGGTGGCTTGTGTTAACTCTCGATTTCACACACCCTTTTTCATCTCGCTTCTTATCCGCGTCGACACTACGCATCCTTTAGCTCACAATGCCCAGTACGTTCTGGCCACCGACGACGAGTTCAAGGCATATACACGCCAATATGACATGACGATTGCCAAAGCTCACACGCTCGCTCGCGAATATCATCATCTTCCCCCCGCGAAGCGAGACCAAGCCGGCTTCGAAAGGATCGGCCACGCGTTTGCGGCAGCCGCCATCATTTCCAGAGAACATTGGAGCATGCGCTGCGCTCTGGAAAAGGAGCGGCTCGAAGCCCTCTTGAGTCGGCGAAAGAAGGGGGACGTAGTCGATGACGCCGACTGGGAGGAGCCCTCTCACCATCGCGTCGCGGGGCTGCGCGCGTGTGAAGGGTGGCAATATGCGAGTATGTTAGCGGATGCTTGGGGTGTTAAAGAGGAAATGTCCACGCCACTCGAAGAGATGCCCGTTCTCAAGCCGAAGTACGCCACATTTGATGGGTACGGACAGAACACAGATTCGTGGTATAGTGATTCCGGTGCGGGCTACATGCATCCGGGATACTCTCCAGCTGCATATACTGCCTATATCACCCAACAACAGCAACAGCCCCCCGTAGCCCGAGGCAGATACGACTCGACGGCTAGCCGGGCTAGTCGTGTCAGTCGTGCGCCTTCCTTCTCCGAGAGTGTTCAAATGGCTCTCAACGAGAATCGTGAACGCGCCATTTCCCTCTCGAGCAGCCATACGCACAGTGTCTCGCATATGCCCAGCGGGTACAACTCCCATCCATATCCTTCGACATCGCAGAACCCACCTTCAAACCACGGCCACGGCTCCAACCATGGCCATGGAAGCTACGTACCTAGCCGTCTCAATCATTCCACGCATAGAATTGCAATGTCAGCCGACGAGCATGGTATGAAGCCCTATGCCGAACCCTCGCACGAGTACATTACCCCATCCGTTCGTGAACAGCTCAGCCGTTCGCGCGCGAATAGCGAGGTGGTGGAAAAGGTCGAGGAGCGACAGCCCATTGTTCTCAAGCGCGGTATCAAATTCCGTAATGGCTCTCTTAGTGGACGCTCCGTAGAGGGCGTCGCCGTCGCTGCTGCTTAAAGCAGATTTGCCCGACGGACAAGTATGCATCCGACGGCCAACTAGAATGGCGATCGGCCTGCGAATAACTCTTCGATATCGACTTTTCGAGGCGGCATAGAAACATGTACAACCCCGCCTGGCGACTCGAATTCACCCACACTCGACCTTGTATGGACACGACTTTGAACTCTTCTTTTCGACGCTGCATAGATCGACGGACAACGCTACGCGAAGAACACGGACGCCCATCTCGACTCGCTGCTCTCCCTATCAGTCGGAAGCTCCAACATCCATTTCCATTAGCAACGCCTTGCTCCGGACCCGGTGACGCTATTTACTCTTTTGTTGGTCACCTTGTTGAATACCCCAACACTCGTCGTTTGCCTCGCATAGACAAGTAGCCTCTCTTTATCCCAATTATCATCATCAACCCTCTAGACGCTCTTACACATTGAGTAATGGACACTCTCACCGCCATTAATTACCAATTGCATACAAGTAGCTTTGCATTTCCGTTGTCGTATCAATTCTATACCATGACCTTCCCCCATGCTAAATCCAACACGTTCAACGCAACTAAATATGCCCTCTAGGTAAGTGAAGCCCAATCCCATCTGGAGAGTATAGTTTGTGTCTCCCAAGCTATGGTAACCATGTCAGCGAATGTGCTTGTGGGCAGGAATCTAGCGTACCGGAAGAGTTCTTTACGAGTGCCCACAGCGAGCGCTCTGTGAGTACCATATTCTGAGCTCCTGCGCCAGATAGACTTCCAACGATACTCCCCCACCCCCAGCCATCGTTAGCTGAGACGGGGATGCGAACGACGGGTGCGCCAGCGTTGATCACATTGTCGCCAGTATTCACACCATCATCATACTGCATTTCGTGTATGTTGATGATGAGAAGATACTTGGGCTATGCGAGATTTGGATGAGCGGGAGCAAACACAAACTCGAGGAAAGAGACATACGATGGCGCACACGATCCTTCTACCGTCGCATACCATTCCACCGCAATCCTTTGCACCAAGATCCAGCACCCAACACGCCCTTGGATCTTCCAGCCTCCATCCACCCAACTCTGGAACGAGCAAACGGCGGTAATCTGGAAAGACAACAATGAATCCGTGTCTCAGCGCGAGCACAAACAGTCCATCTTCGTGCACACTCGTCGCGCAAATATCCCACCTCCACGGACGATCCTTTCGAAAGGGTGCTACACCCCTCTCGACGGGCACGACTTCGTTTCCCAAGTTTGTCAACGTTCCGTCTGTGTTATGCGTCGGTCGCCAGAGTTGACCGACTTCGACCGCCCCAAACCCTGCACCGACCGGAAACGTACCACCGTGCCCGCCTACGTGCGGCTGCGCGGGGATCTGTATGCGTCGCAAGTTATTGGTAAGTGACGATGGGACGACGACGGGCGGGACGGCGAAGGTGTTGGGGCTGATACTCCGCGCCCAGCGGCCGGGTGCGACTTTACGGAGTGGTGCAGAGGAGAGGGTGTAGAGGGCTTTACCAGTGGCACGGTCGAGGATACGAAGTGAATGGTCTGTGCCGTGAAAGATGTGTTCTTCGTTGAAGTCGATTGAGAGGGTGTAGGTTGTGGTCCGCCAGGTCGCAGACTCTGCTGAGAGACCATCGGTATCTGGACTCTCGGGGGATGGAGTGTGGTTTATATCAAAGGTACTTGCTGGGTGCAGCGCGCGTCTCGAAAGCAACTGTATTGGTTCCTTCCCCTCGTCGGTCTCGAAAGGGGATATGCCAGCCGGAAGAAGTGTCGCAAGGTCGAATACATGCAAAATATTATGCTCTGTGACGAGCATCAGAATTCCGTCCTTCATTTGCATGACGTCGCATCGAGCTTCAAGGTTGATCTTGCCGATGCACCTGAGCTCGAGAGGGTCGAATCCTCTCTGGTTCTCACTCGTTACATCCGATGAGTCATCATCCTGGCTCATAGAGTTCAAGAATGCAATCGGTTCGTTACCGACCGCATTCTTGATGAGCTTGTTCGTATCGCGCCACCACATTTCATAAGTTTTGGACTGGGCTTTGAAGAGGAAAAAGTTGCCTGAACAAAGTTCCAGGGACGAGTTGGTAGATGTGAATATTGCGCCCGTTCGAACCTCGCCGTACTCCTTGATGCTTGAATGACGATCCCACGTATAGAACCCGGTATCTAGAGATCATTAGAGAAACTCAGGTCGCTTGTAAATGAACGTACTGTCCGACTCGCTTGGCATCAGGAACTGCGAGTTATGGACGCAAAGTCTTGTAAAGGCGTCATCAAAGACGGGTCTGACTGACGTTTGGTTTGGTATGATAGCTTTTGTCCAAGAGGTGTCGATTCTCCATCTCATTCGACCTATTCTGTGCATCAGTATGAGCTTAAGCGTACAGACGGCTCACAAACAGTATTGTCGCCAATCAGATATTGGAGGACCTTCGGACCCAGCTTCATTGAATAGGGTATCCTGATGTTTGACGATTTCATCTAGCCCGCAAGTCTCTTCTGTGCGCCGGACATACTGGTGCAACACGGCTGCTTGACGATAGATAGTCGAGCAATTGTCGACGACCATCTGGTTTGTGGCCTTACAGAGGAGCTGAAAGGAGTGAATGTCGTGAATCCTGAGAGATTTAAGAATGTGAATGTTGACTTCTGCAGGAAGGCTGAGAAATGCCGCCATGTCTCTGACTTTGAGACCAGGGGGATCGGGTTGCAGCCTGCTGTCGAGACGCCTAGTCACTTATGAAGTCTTTGCTAGAGGCGCGATATTTTGACAGACTGGGGCGTAGCATGGCCAGGTCCAAGTTGTTTCACCACACGGCGCAGCCGCAGTTCACCAGCATGCGATTTTAAATGCATGTATCATAGTTGCGGAACGCAGTTAAGACAAAAGATTGTGCTACTAAGAGTTACTACGGGCAATAACTTTGTGTCGTCGAATGTCCTCGTCGCTATAGCTTGCGGAACGCTTTCGCTTATGTGAGCTGCGATTCAAGGACCTGTCGCGACTTCTGCTCCTCGAAATGGACGATCCAGAGCGCGAGCGTGAAGATCTGGCTCGGCGGCGTCTAGATGTTGAATATGACCGAGACCGTGAAGAGCTCCTTGTACGAGATCTGCGGGAAGACCTTTTGCGAAGAGAAATAGAGCTTGAACGACTCCTTGAACCGGAGGATGAAGAGGAGTTCCGCGAACGGGAGCGCGAGGCACTACGACGCCTTTCCTTCCCTTTTGTTCGAATTCTTGAGCGAGAGGATGAGCTATCTGAATCTGAATCTGAGTCCGAGTTCGAAGAGGAAGATGAACTGTCAGAATCTGAGGACCTAAGCCCGTGAGTCAGAGTGAGTTTCCGCCAAAAGGTCGTAATACTCACGAAGAATCCTCCTTTGCCTTCAACCGGTTTGTCGAGCTAGTTTCCTCTTTTCTACGCATCTCCTGTTCCTTGAGAATCTTGTCGGCGAGCCCTTTTTTGCTTAGAAATTCCGGCGGGATATCTGATCCGTCTCCTCGTGCACGGGAGGCGTACTTGTCGGGTTGTTCGAGCATCTGCGTTCTGCTTGGTCTAGAGATGTACGGTCTCGCGGCTGATTTGCAGTTGAAGGTGAAATGGCCTTTGCCTAGGCATTTCTGGCAAACTGTGTCTTTTGTTGCTCTCGGATTACTCGCAGACGGACGATGAGGCGCAAATCTCGACATATTTGTGGTATTTAGAGGCTTGCTTGGACTGTGACAAATGTCCGCGGGTCTGCGGTGGCTCCAAGTTGTGGTTGCATTCAACGGGTTCAATAGTTGGTGCTTGGCTCCGTCCACGACCTCTGTTAGCTTTGGCAACTTCCTTGAAGCCACAAAATTACCTTCAAATTTCTAGGCGATGATGACTGCCAACTTTCGTCAGGCGGTCTAGACATTCCACTCCCAGTCTAGCGGTCCACTTGAGCCTATCCTCTTTTGGACCCCTCCTCAACATCCTCCTCTGCCAGATCTATTATCGCACCTTGCAGAGACTTTCATCATTCGCAAAAAATTGATCGAAAGTGTCTGTCCAAAGCAACGGACAGACAGGAACACGATAGCACCTCATATCCTTTGGCTTTTCCCGGTTTTTACGGGCTCATTTGGCGTGTGCAATCGATGGATGGGAATAGAGAGGTTTTGTTGCCCCATTATCAAGGCCCATTTGGACTGGAGGCGTATGTCAGTCCCAACGCGGCTACACAAGGGGACGCTTTCACGTCGGCCTTAGACAAAGCCCGCTACGATCAAACGGCATACAACCTCGCGCCATCGCAAGTTGGTACCTCGACAGCCGGCACTAGCCATTATCGCGCTAACCTTAGAATGGGCGCTCGCCAGTCAAGGTACGCTTTCCCGGCAGAATCGGACTATTTTCAAACAGGATTTGTCAGAGACCCAGATAAAGAGGATGGGTCAACTGACATTACAGCTACAACAGACGCTTCCTTCTACTCTTACCATTCGTCAAGAGATCTCGCTACATTTGTCAGGGAAATGGACGGAAGGCAGGGTTGACAATACTCAATCACGAACTCTATTTCTTACTATTTGTCAGAATGTTCAATAACCAAAATGACCTTTATATGCTTCCAAGTGGTAAGCTACTGTGGACTAAGACGGCGCATATCTAATCATTTTCATAGACAATCAAGAGTTCGAACGACTGTGAGCATGCTTTCCCCCCGTCTACTTGTGACTGATGCCTACCGTAGCCAAAAGCAACATTACGCGTTTGTGCTGACTGCGGGAGGCTTGACGCCGTGTCAAGATCTAGTCGAAAGCATACTTCGCCCATCCGATAACGGCGAACCACGTTCTGTGCTCGATCTAGGTACATTATTCCCATTCACGTCCGCACCTCTAACGCCATCTAAGGCTGTGGCTCCGGTATCTGGTTCGTACAAAAATTGCAAATAGATTCAAACTTATAGATATTTCTCCTCTTTAGGGCCATTGAGATGGCTAGAGAGTATCCAAATGCCTCGATTGTGGCGTTAGATCTAGCTCCCGCACCGATTGATGCTGAAAACATTCCTCCAAACTGTCGCTTCGAAATTGACGACATCAACCTGGGCCTTTCACACTACCACGGCGACTCCAGATTCGATGTTATTCACGCGCGATGCATTGGCAGCGGGGTGAGTTCAGCCCAGCTCTATACTATCTACCGCGTTAATCACATCCAGATTAATAACTACGCGAACATGATGCGAGACGTAGAGGCCTGTCTCAAGCCAGGTGGTCTCGTCATCTTCATTGACGGTGACATGCGGATGTACGAGGAAGATTGCGTGACACCAGTCCCTGTGGGTCAAGAAGACGAGAACGGCGTGGAGATTGGCAAAGGATCTTGGTTGCACAGAATTGCGCGAGGTTCATTTTGATCCAGCTTCCAGGAGAATAGAGAGCTGACGAGTGAATGCAGAGGTCAGATATGCCGCCATATACAAAGGAAGTGATGTACCAGGTTTGGAAGACTGTATCGACCTGGGTCTTTTCGGACACCCGCTTCTGGAACCATCGTCAATCCGCGCCGCTACGATGTACACCCCCATTGGGTCGTGGCCAGAGTGTGAGTAAATCCTGAGGAGTATTTCTTTAGGTTTCTTACCTTCCTAATAGCGTCCAACGATTCTGAGCAACAAAACCTTCGTTATGCCGGCTCTTTGATGCGGCAGGACCTTATGGTGAGTATCTTGATTCACTGGCAATGGTTTGCTCACCGGTTGTTCCAGCAAGTCTCTCGTGCGTGGCATCCCATCCTCAAACTGTATGGTATCGACCAAGTGACCCTCAACCGTTGGTCAGAACGGGTCGATAAAGGTGAAGCATAGACCTTTCTTGTTAATCTATGCTGATTTATCTGCTGAGAGCTACTCGAATGCAAGTTTAAGATGCTCATGCATTGGAGAGCTACTTGGGGCCGGCGGAAACTTGACGATTTTGACACGCAGCCGACTGTTGCGCCATCCAGCCACGGAGTCAAAGAGCCTTCTACTTCATCCGGAGGGCCACCTCATGCCTACAATTTCTTCAGAACGTTTACGACTGCTCAGGAGGCTTCCGCGTTTCGCGAGCTCCGAACAGAAAAGGCAAAGCATCTACCTCTGCCACTGGTGGTCAAAATGTACGAAGAAGCTCAGAATGCGGTCTAACTGGGGTCTTGTCTCTCTTACATAACCTGTCCCCCAAATACAGTTGTTCACTTTATACTACTCGACGATTGAATCTGACCATTAGGTGGCATCCTTCAAACTGGAATGAGCGTGAAGGGTATGCTGGAAGCGATATCGAGAACCAGTGGGCCTCGATGTGACTTTGCCTTCGGTCGGATCTTGAACTTGTAGTAAACTAAATAAGATTATTATGCATAATGGATGGGTATGTAATGATTGATCATGCAAGCTCATTACTACCATTGTCCAGTTATGAAGTTTATGTTTATCCAGAGACAATGGTCCTTTCTCGCGTTGTAGCAAGTCATTGCAATGGTTCGGCCGCGGTAGTCTTGGCAAGTCGTTATCTACGTTGGCAAGTCGTTATCTACGCCCGCTGCCGACAGACGTGGCTCTTGTTCGGTTGTCCTTTACAGATACGTCAGCCGCCTGGAAACTCCAGAGCAAACGGCGGTTATGCTTCCCTCAAGTTGATTGATGGTCAAGCTTCATCATTTCTGGTGTACAGCTGTCTTCCTCCACTGGACTAGTATGTGGGACAAGCCTATCGTAGATGGCAATGCGTGCCCAGACCCTTTGCCTTATATGATATAGTGCGTCAAACTATCCTCATTTGTTTTGGACCCCTCCGCGACATCACCACGACCTCCGCGGCCTGATTAATAAACGGATCCTGCAGAAGCGGGTATATTTGGCAAAGAAAACAAGTGAAAACGACGGTCCAGGCGTTACCGTTACCATCTTTTGGCTTTCTTCAGCCTTTACACGCTATCGGGGCACTCAACCAATGGAGAAGAATCTAGAAGCTTCTTCAGCCCGTTCTCAGGGCCCTTCGGAACAGGAATCTCCTGGCAGGCCCAGCGCAACCGTGACGCCGACGCAACCTGGATCGGTGGCCTTATCATTCGCTCCAGGAAGGGCCCGTTACGACCAAGTGGCCTACAATTTCACACCTTCACAAGGTGCGACTTCTACGTCCGGAACCAGCTATTATCGCTCCAAGCGCAAAGGAGGCGCTTGGTCAAGGTAGGGTCCCTGGCTGAGATGCCCAGTTGTCTCACAAAACTCGTCAGAGACCCAGATAAAGACGATGGGAAGACAGATATCACAGCTACGACGGACGCTTCCTTTTACTCCTACCACTCATCGAGAGACCTTGCCGCATTTGTCAGGGAAATGGACGGAAGGTCAGAATCAAGGAACCCAATCACAAACCACACCTCTTACCATATCTTAGAATGTTTAACAACCAGAATGAACTCTATATGCTTCCTAGTGGTACGCTACCTTGACCCACGCCCGTATTTGTCTGATTCCTTGGACAGACAATCAAGAATTCCAACGACTGTGAGCAACACGCTCGTATTCTACTCGCGACTGACTGTCACGGTAGACAAAAGCAACATTACGCCTTCGTATTGAGCGAAGGCGGCTTAACGCCGTGCCAACATATTGTAGAGAGCATACTTCGTCCATCTGATGAAGGTGAACCACGCTCCGTGCTTGATCTTGGTATGCTGCTTCGATTCGTTGGGTCCGCGCCTCTAACACTATCCCAGGCTGTGGCTCCGGTATCTGGTTCGTAAATCAGGTCACGTTAACTCTGGGATTAACTCCTTGGCTCTCCTCAGGGCCATCGAAATGGCGAAAGAGTATCCAAACGCCTCGATTGTGGCGCTTGATCTAGCCCCGGCGCCGATTGACCTCGAAAATATTCCTCCAAACTGTCGCTTCGAGATTGATGATGTCAACTTGGGACTTTCCCACTACCACGGCAACTCCCGATTCGACGTTATTCACACACGGTGCATTGGCAGTGGAGTGAGTTCAACAATGTATCAACCATCTAACACCTCTAAATTCGTCCAGATAAACAACTACGCAAACATGATGCGAGACGTCGAAGCGTGTCTCAAGCCCGGTGGCCTTGTCATTTTCATCGACGGCGACATGCGGATGTACGAAGAAGACGGCGTGACGCCTGTGCCAGTGGGTGAAGAAGATGAAAATGGAGTGGAAATTGGAGAAGGATCTTGGCTACATAGAATCGCCCGAGGTTTGCTTCGATCCTGCTTTTAGAAAGATTGCTAATGAGTGACTTCAGAGGTTAGGTATGCTGCCATATACAGGGGAAGTGACGTGCCAGGCTTGGAAGACTGTATTGATTTGGGCCTCTTCGGTCATCCGCTCATTGAGCCGTCGTCAATCCGCGCCGCCTCACTTTACACTCCTATTGGACCGTGGCCGGAGTGTGAGCAAACCTCGAGTCCGTATTTTTTATTTCACTGATTTATGTGATAGCACCCTACGCCTCAGAGCAACAGCAACTTCGTTATGCGGGTGCCCTAATGCGCCAGGATCTTATAGTACGTATCTTGACCAACAGAAGATGAGCGCTGAACGAATTCCTAAGCAACTTTCTCGTGCATGGCATCCTATCCTCAAGGTCTCTGGGATCGACCAAGCGACTCTCGACCGTTGGTCAGAGCGGGTCGACAAAGGTGCGCCATTTCATCTTTCTTAGGATATAACCTAATTCATGTGGTTAGAGCTACTCACCGGCAAATTTAAAATGCTTTGGCATTGGAGAACTACATGGGGGCGGCGGAAACTCGAGGATCCTGACGGACAGCCGATTGATACAACACCGGAAGACACCATACAAACTTATGATCTACCCGACGAGGCGCCTCGTGCTTATAATTTCTTCAGAATGTTCACGACTGCTCAGGAAGCCGCAGCGTTTCGCGAGCTCCGAACAGAAAAGGCCAAGCATCTACCTCTGCCACTTGTTGTCAAAATGTACGAAGAAGCTCAGAGTACGGTCTAGTGCTATAGGCTTCTCTTGTTTGCATCAACTCTGTCTTGTAATCGAGTTTGTCACTTTGCACGTCATGCTCTATTTGATCACAATCAGATGACTGAACGCTCACCAATCGGAGTTGAATGGTGCGGAACTCCACGAAGGCAGAGTGAGAGCATATATGCATGGGGCATACCCCGCGCACCGGTGGTCAGGTAGGCTGCGTTGGGCTGGTGTCACTACATACTAATTTGTTGTTTAATTAGCACGAAATTCGAGCGGTCATCAAATTCCGCAGGGTGCATGTGGCAAGTCGCTTTTCAATCCAACCTCCGAGTACATCTCTTTCATTCGTCAGGGGATCTGGACGGATCTGTTACGAAAATGAGTGAAAGGCAAGCCTGACCATTCTCACTCACAATCACTATGGCTTAGAATATTCAATAGCCAGAACGATCTCTACATGCTTCCGAGTGGTAAGCCGCGGCAGACTGAGGCTACGTATATCTAATTTTATTTACAGATGATCAAGAGTTCCAACGACTGTACGCACCTTCCGCTATGCTTTACCTGTGATTCAAAACCGTGGCAGCCAAAAGCAACACCGCGCTTTCGTGATGACCGCTGGAGGCTTAACGCCTTGTCAGAACGTGGTCGAGAGTATACTCCGTCCGTCTGGTGAAGGCGAACCCCGCTCTGTGCTTGATCTTGGTATTGTGCTTCGCTTCGTTGGGGTTGTGCTTCTAACGCTATCCTAGGCTGTGGCTCCGGTATCTGGTCCGTAAAATGTGCGGCGAGAATTCTTCGACTGATTACATGGCCATCTTCAGGGCCATAGAGATGGCGAAAGAGTATCCCAACGCTTCAGTCGTGGCACTTGATCTCGCCCCGGTACCGCTTGACCCGGAAAAATTACCTCCGAACTGTCGGTTCGTGGTTGAGGATATCAACCTGGGTCTCTCACATTACCATGGCGAGTCTGGGTTCGACGTTATTCACGCGCGATGCATTGGCAGTGGGGTGAGCTCGTCAACCTATCAGCTATCTGACACATCGGACTCGTCCAGATAAATAACTATGCAGCCATGATGCAAGACGTCGAGGCGTGTCTCAAGCCCGGTGGCCTTGTAATCTTTATTGATGGCGACATGCGGATTTACATGGAAGATGGTGTGACACCTGTTCCTATCGGTCAAGAGGATGAGAATGGTGTGGAGATTGGCGAAGGATCTTGGTTGCACAGAATTGCACGCGGTTCGTTTCAATTTCGAATTTCCAAGAGAAATACTTGACGGGTGATTGCAGAAGTCAGATATGCGGCCATTTACAAGGGCAGCGACGTGTTTGGCTTGGAAGATTGTATTGATCTCGGCCTCTTTGGTCACCCACTTCTGGAGCCATCCTCGATCTGTAATGCTGCACTTTATACACCTATTGGCCCATGGCCTGAGTGTGAGTATCTAAGCGTGTATTTATTTCATTACTGAGCTCCCTAGCACCTGATGCGTTGGAGCAACAAGAACTTCGCTATGCAGGTACCTTATTGCAACAGGACCTTATGGTAGATGCCTTGGTCAATGAGAGCGAAATTTTGACCTTCCATTTAGCAAGTCTCTCGCGCATGGACTCCTCTCCTCAAACTATATGGGATCAACCAAGAGACTCTTGATCGCTGGTCGGAGCGGATCCAAAAGGGTGAGATATTTGGCCTCTTGTAATCGTATCCTCTAAATTTTGCATTAGAGTTACTTACATGCAAGTTCAAGATGCTCTGGCGTTGGAGGGTCACTTGGGGTCAGCGGAAAGTCGAAAGTCTTGGCAGGGAGTCGGCTGATGCCCCATCATCTGACAAGAGAAAGAGTTCTTCTGCTTCACCCAAGTCGCCTCATGCACATAATTTCTTCAGAACATTCACAACTGCTCAAGAAGCTGCCGCATTTCGTAATCTTCAAGCAGAAAAAGCGACAGAGCTGCCTCTCCCACTGGTGGTCAAGTTGTATGAAGAAGCTCATAGTACAGTCTAGTTGTAAACCTCTGTCTATCTACCAATTCTGTCCTGCAAATTGAGTCTGAGCTGAGATAGGTTATGTATGAGATCTTGATTCTTGTAAGCAAATACATCCTGTGAGTTTCCTACAAGCTAGCTAAATTGCGTACAAACTAGTAGCTTGTATCCAAACCGAGGTGGATGAATGTGATAGGGTACGAAGTGGCCTATTATATACCCCCTGTCAGAATTTGAACTTAGAATGATTTGTAACTAACCTTGAGAGTCAGTATCAAGCTGATGAATAGAGACCTAGTTCAACCTTTGCTTCTTGTAGAAAGCTGGTTCACAGGCCCTGGTGCTAGGCCGCTTGGTCCCTGTGTGCCTCTGTAGCCAGTCCAAAGTACTCAAAGTGGATAACTGTCCACTCCGTACTGAAGTCGATGGCTGGGCCTTTGCAGCCAAGACTGCTGGCTTGGGCTGGCTCTGTTTCCGCATGTTTCTAGCCAACTCGAGGGCAACTTGAGTGTTGCTAACAAGAATCGCATAGGCATAGTCATCCTGGCATGTTAAAGAGGTGGCAAAGGTGGCTTCCTGAGACTCTGGGACAAAGATCCATTGATTAGCCATCTCCATTACAAGTGTGAGACTGATCTTAGGTGACACCATTTTATAGCCAGAGCCGCTGGGACCCCAGCCATCTCTCTATGGGGTCCCCAATCTGAATCATAACGGAAACCCTGAGCCTGGCATTTCCAAGATTCCTACTGGAAAATCCTAGACATGTGAACACACAAGATGTCACTTTGATATCCCAAAATAGTAAGCTGGGCAGAGCTTTGGGGCTACATGTGGACATTCGCGTGTTTTTGTCCCGCACCTCACCTCCACCCCACCATACTGTATTCAGTAAGGGTTCGGCAATATCAAGTGACCCCGATGTGACCAGCAACTCCTTGGGAATGGTTTCACTATCCTAAATGACACTTGCTCAAAGCCGACAAAGTGAGATGACAAGGAGTATATTATGGTAAAGATCATCCAACCCAGTAAACCAACCATCTAGCGAACCAAAGGGGGGGAGAAGTCAGTCAAGAAATAGGTATTGACTATGGACAAGACGCGGAAAGGTGTGTGCGCCAAGGCCGTACCCGCGTGCCCTGGCACCGCCGAGTCGGGTGGTGTGTAGATAGAGCAACGAGGAAAGTGTTAAATAAAGAGAACGACAACAATCAGACACCAAAGAGTTCGAGTTTCCATCGAGTTTTGAGAGGGGTGTCCGCCGTGCGTCAAAGGAGAAGAGTGGGCAAGGTAATGCGTACATGTATCCGTACGCACAAAAAATGGAGGGGTGATTTAACTGCGCGAGGGACGCAGAGGAAGACGCAGGTGGGAGGTTGTGGAGTAGTACGTGGGCTGATGAAGTCGAAATCCGCAGAGATGATGGACAATAAAGGAAGGACGAGCCCTTGGGCACACACACGTGTGGCACCACAAAGGATTAGTTGGACATTTGATAGCGGCATTTGCAAAGGGGGTACTTGAGCTTGATAGAGTTGTACGACAATGCCCTGTGGGCGATGTAATGTGTACGATACCCTCGAAGAGTACGAGGGAAAAGGGGACGGGTTTTGGCTCTTGTGACGGGATCGACGACGGTGGCGGGGTGTAGTGGCAGCAAAGCATCCACGTTGCTTTGCTCTGCGACGGTGTATAGAGGAGGATGGAGTGAAGAGGAGGCGAGGAGAGGCGTAAGTCCGTGAAGCAAACAGTTACAGCAAGTGGGTGCGGGCGTATATCGTGAAAGCGGTGGTCGAAACAGCTAATAGACAAACGAAGGCGAACAAGGTCATTCGTCTACCAGTTGCCCATACTGCTCTCCCTCAAAATCGGCTGCGAAATGGGCTGACCGACGACAGGTCGACGCGAAGCACCATTGCTGCCGGGGACTGTCAACGTGTTCGAGTTGGCCCATCCACTATGTCCACCGCTGTGAGCCCGATTCAATCCACCACTACTGCGCTGCGACATGTAATCAAACGTCTCCTCCTCGAGGCTCGCATCATCCGGGCCAATAGCATAAAAGCTGTTCCGTCGAATACCCCGCGCCTCTTCCTCACGCTCCCGTTCCGTCATAAACGGATTGTTCAAGTTTGGTGGGCTGTCCGGACGCATTCCCGCGGCGCCGTATCCTCCCGCAGCGACACCCTGACCGGCGGCACCATAGTTGGTCTGTCCCTCGTACGAAAGACGCTTGTGCATGCCCTCTTTGCGTGCTTTGTACATGCGCATGATCCACCATCCAATGACAATCAACGCGATGAGACCAAACGAGACGCAGACACCAATGACGGCATTACGGCGCGAATTGTCGACCTGCGTCGTCGTGCTCGAGGGGTTGCTACTTCCATTGGTATTCGAGACGCCGTTGACAGACGCAATGTCATAGGATCCAACGACCGACTTTGCAATCGCTTGTGCGACAGGATCGGAAATCTTGTAAAAGTCGGAGGTTCCAACCTTGACCATGGCCTAGAGGGAAGACAGAGAATGAGAATCGCAAATAAAACAGCGCTAGTTGCACGTACCGCGAGTTCCTGAACCAACTCGGTCTTGAGATAGCCTCCCCAGAGCGTCATCAGATCTTCGGGTGTGCGATACGAAGTGGTTTGGTACGCCGACAAGCCAATGGTCCTAACAGAATCTGGATCCGAGTCCAAGGCATACTTGATAATTTGTGGCATATACGCAATAATCTGTGCCGCAGTCTCCGACGAGTTGAGGACAAACGTCCACCGAACACTGAGCTGGAAGAGAATGCTAATCTCTGTGTATCCCGGGAGATTCAGACCAGATGCCAATGGGTCTGCACTCTCCGGTGGCGTGATGAAGAGCGGCAGCGTCGAGGGAATGGCAGGGACAACCAGCGTCGTCGCACTTCCAGCAGACAACGTGGGGGTGGTCAGAGCCTCGTCAGGATTGGTGAGCGTCAACGATGTCGAAGTGCTAAAAGACGAATCGGTGATAAACGAGCTCGCTGTCAAAAACTGGAACTGGGAATCAATGGTGAGCGATCGGCTCGACGTGGCAGTATCGATAATGGTAACGGTTGGAGAAACCGAAGTATCCGTATCGGTCGGGAAGGCACTAGTCGGGTCGAGGACTGGCGGGGTTCTGCTGGACGATGATGATGAAGTCGAGCTTGGCGGGGTCGAGGTCTCTGGGTCAGTCGGTGTGCCTGAAGGTGTGCCCGTGGATGTCTCGGTATCCGTTGGATTGCCCGTAGGCGACTCTGATGGACCTCCAGTCGATGTTCCAGGGTCATTGTTGCCAGATGAAGACGAGGATTCGGTAGCCGATGGGTCTGGGAGAAGCGTAGGCAGGCTGATCGTTGGAAGAGAAATTGTTGGAAGAGTCGGGAGTACGATAATAGGCGTGTCCGTAGAGCTGCTCGTCTCAACTGGTGTCGTCGTTCCAGGATCCGTGGGTGTTGTGGGGTTCGCGGTCGGCGTGCTTTGATCCACAGTGTTCGTCGACGTATTCACGTCTGTGGAAGCGGGATCTGAAGGCGCTGGCGTCGTTGGATCCGCTGGGGTAGAACTCGAAGAACTGGTTGTCGACGAGGAGCTAGATTCTGATGAGCTCGAAGAAGACGACGTCTCGGTGCTAGAGCTGCTGCTCGTCGTGGTATCGCCAGTCGGAACGACAATGACGGCTGGTGGACCTGTAGGCACTAGAAAAACTCGGTCAGCCCCGGTTCGAATGTATAGACGGACAGAGACACAAGGAAAGATGGACAAGGTAAATGCAAGAAGGCGAGGGCGCGTCGGTAGCCAAGGACCACATTGGGCGATCATCCTTGCCGAGGCGCGAGAAACGACCTTGTCAGAGCCACGGAAGCCGGATTAGGCACTGGAGAAGAAGAAGTTCCTGGCCATCACAAGACGAGGCTGCGACGGCCTCAACCGTTGATGGTGCGTGGGAGCAGAGTATTCACAATTGGGCACGAGAAGCGAGCCCAAAAGTGGAAAGGAGAGGGCGCGCGCGTAGAGAGTTTGATGGAAGTTCCGAGGGCGGTCTTCACCCACGGCCGAGTGAGTGGGTGTGTGAGATAATTAGACAAGGCTGAGACTGAGACACGGGATGGGGAGGCCAGTCCGGCCGTAGATTCGCCAGTCCCAAGATAAATCTGTTCGATGTTTGGAATGACAGGGGATATACGGGTGAGCGTATACAGCGGACGGACCGGCGCTGCGCCTGTCCCAGGCAAAACCGCCGGCAATGGCCCTCATGGAAATAGCAAAAGAGTAGAAGCATCGGAAAATAAAGCAAATAAAAGAGAAATGAGAGAGTATACTTGCCTCCTGGGTCCGAGGGAGCAGTATTGGTCGAAGTGTTGGCCGGAGTCGATGCTGGATCCGGGATACCCTCAAGGGGCACATTTGGTGATGGAGAAGCACTTGTAGATGATGTTGATGAGTCTCCCGCGGCTGGAGCATTCTGCCGTCGGGCGTTGTCCGAGTACCGACGGTGCCAGGGAGACGAGGGAACGTCAGCAACGGCTCTCCTATGTGCAGAAATATCTCGAGCGACTCCAGCAGCCCCAGCTGGTGCGCTATCGACAACGTCTGCGAGTGTGAGGGCGAGCGGGGCAAAGAGGACGACGAGGTTGATGGGCTTCATCGTCCACGACTAGAAAAACAAGGCCCTATGATGCTCTAAAATTTGTACTGATTTATTGGAGGTAAATAGATAATGGCGGCGGGTCCAAAAGAACGTGGGGACGAAGACGTCGAGGTCAAGAGCTGAGAGCAAACCAAAGGCTGGGTTGGTTCAGGGGCGATGACAGTCGATGACACGGTCTATAATAGTATTAGTAGTACAGTAAACTTAGAAGTCAGTTGGCTGGTATAATAAACATAGAACCCAGTAAGTTTGGAACTCCCTTATTCCCATATGCTATTGGTATTATTCTATAGTATCATATAGCATTGTCTTATATCCTATATCACATCCACACAGCCCGCGATGGTCCCTTGTCTGCACCGCTCTATTGATCGGCTTGGCCACGGCTACCCACTCGACCAGCCTGATTGTGAGCGCCTCGCACCTTGGACTCGTCCACGTCGCCCGTGATGAACTACAAGAGATACTACTGTACGCTCGAGCACTCTACAATCCCCTTCTAACATTCTCTTGCAGACGTGACTCTTGTCCAGCTCTTCTTCACCCTCATAGCAGGCGGTTCGGTCACATGGATGATCCAGAATAACGATGGGGATACCGTTCGATACCATCCTCAAATCTGGGCTACTTTCCAGTTCATTGCCTTTGCCGCATGGTCGAGCTTTATCATTTCCGGCTCTATCGTCCTTCTCTTCTGGACTGGCGTGTGGGACTGGTTTATCAAGGACGAAAATGAACGGACTTACTTTCTCGTTCACATGGTATAGTGCGTACCCTGCTCAGCGTCCCAAACGCGTTCTCATCCAGCGCGCTAGTATCGGGATCTACGACTTTTTCTGGCTAGGAGGCGCTGCATCTCTTTCCACAATACCAGGAAACTGCAGGAGAATCGATCATTGCACTTCAACGCGTGCAGCCGCAGCCTCTTCCTGGCTCACTTTGTACGTCGGCATCGCTCAACAAACGCTAACCCAGCAATCCTGACTCACCATAGCTTCGCCCTGAGTTGGGCATCGGTCATGATTATCCGAGAATGGTTCTATGGCAGTTATAAGGACCAGACCATCCCCATGAACACGAAACAAGCAAAGACAAAGGCACCCCCGCCTCCTCCGATGAGCACTACAAACAGTCAAATGCTAGAACGCCTCTGTATCCAATGTTCTCACAACCAATCGGCGATAGGCAGCGTCTTTTGCGGGCCACAATGTGTCTTGCAAGCAAGAGCCGGTGCGCCGAAACTCATGGTCCTGCCCGCTGCACATTACATGTTCCGTACGGGTACGCACCCTTCTCCTTGTCATCCTCTACATCTCACAAATCGATCGATCGACAGTCTCCGATCTATTCCGCGCAAACTGGACGCACCCAACGGCCGTGCCGACCTTGCAATACATCTTCGTCATCGTATCCACAGAAGAATATGATCGGATGTATAGAGCGTACAGGTACGACGACACCACCCTCTCCTTCTCCTCGGGGCTGACGCCGCATTCAGAGAGGGTGTCGACAGCGTGGGCAAGTTCCAAGCACAAGGGTTAAAAGAGGGGAATGAACAGTACAGGTGGCATGGGACATCTAGAGAGTGCAAAGTCGGTGATCCTGGCCACCCAAATCTCTGCACTTCCGCCAGCTGCTCGTTGTGCAGCATCATCCGCTACTCTTTCGATATTGACCGTTTCGGTCCACGATGGGGAAGGTACAGCGCCCTATACAGTCGTCAGAGTCGATGACTGATCATACCAGGTTTGGCAAAGGCATCTACACCTCGGGCACCTCGTCCAAATCCAACGACTATCAAAAGAACTTGCAACCAAGCCAATGGAGCGCTCTTTTACTCAACAACGTAGTCGTCGGTCGAGGATATCAGCTCTACGACAATAGCGACAAGCTAATACAGCCACCACCCGGGTACGATTCGGTAAGTATTCGTTACATGCGTGAGGTCGTCGACTTATGTCTATGTAGGTACTCGGCGTTCCTGGACGTGCGCTAAACTACGATGAAACTGTCGTCTACCGAAACGACGCGATCAGGCCGGCGTACCTGGTCCTCTATTTGACACCACAGTGATCGCTTCAATCTCTTGATTCGCATTTGACATTTACAAGGTTATTGCATTAAAGACAGATGAGTTGTAGATATAGGTTACTATGGCTGACTATGCGAAAACGTCCGATGAACACGTGGCCGACGAGCGAAACTTCAAAGGTTTCTCCTTGATGCATGAAAGAGATGGAGTGTTGGGGGATATAGGCGAAGTACAAACTGGACGACAAGATTTAGATATGAGGGAAGAAGTCTGACCACTCGACGTCTCGATAAGCGTCAGGTGGGAGATGTGCAAGCCCCTTGAATGCCATCACAATCGTTATACCTCTCCCGACAAGGTACAATATTGGTATGTACACTAGAAGGACCCCGAACAGCCTGTGAACCAGCAGTGTTAAGCCTGCGACGACAATCATTGCAGGCGGCACTACAGTCACAACAATAGTCGCAAACCGCCAGAGGAATTGCATACGACTTGATGGGAAGGGCGAGAACCACGCAAGAAAATGTATAGTACCGAACAAAGTCCCAACAGTGAACATAATTGTCCTGCCGACAGATTCCGCTCTATGGTCTTTGTACCCAGAGTGGAACATTGGAATTCCCTTCGTATTCCGTAGGTTGGCGTCACCATCATCTTGACCGTCGGTGCGTTCTGGAAGTGTTTCATACACGCGCACGGGGAATGTCACCTGGTATGGCTTATCCCACCATGCAATATACATTGCCACGGTGAGTAGAGTGTAACCGAGTGTAATGACCTCGAGCTCTGTGAGTGGGAGCCCGCTGACTTTCCGTCCAATGCACTGAGTGATAAACCACAGTACTTGGACTAGGACAAGGAACTTTGCGAGTCCATCGCTCTTGCACTTGTCCTGCAGTTCCGCAGGAGTAGGGCAAAGTTTACCTGACTTGATGAGATGACAGATGTCAAATTCATCGAGAGGGTGAAGAGGCTCTCCAAAGTCCTCTTCGACTGCATTTATTGTCTTGTTGCTTGGCAGACTGGCTTCTAACGCTGATTCCCCAGCCAATGGTTGACTACCCTCTCTGTTTTTCTCTCTAATACCATATAAAGATGCCTCTTTGCTTCGTTTAAAGAGATGAAAGCCGCCCATTAGAATGAAGAATGCTTGTTGACGAGTAGTGGCTAAAGCAAACCGGTCAGTCCTAGATGCTGAATCAAATTTTGTAGCATACCTAACTTGTTAGCCAATTGATTTGCCTTGCAGAATTGCAAGGCCGCCATACCCAGAGCCCATTCCGGGACCATCAGAGTCACAAGGATAGGAACCACGCGACATCTGACAAAGATTTTTGTCTGTATTTTAATTCGGTTCAAGTGACCCAAGTCTCTGGTGTTCATGGGCTCGGGAATATTGAGATGGAGGGATACCCAAACGCACAAGAAGACTGTAGTGAGACAGCTCAGTACTATCCCTGAGAGACTTCTGTACTGATTGACGCATGATGGAACACATTGTGTCGCATTTGACGAGGTATCTTGGGCAGCCGGAGCCGATAGTGATTCAACGGCAACTGCGTGAGCCATGGTGATTAGCAAAGTGTAAACCAGGTTGAAGGACTCTTATAGCGCTTTCATGGCCTTATCGATCCGAAATCTGTCACTCGCCATGCCCTGCTGACGATTTGAAAATTAGGTTCACGCAGTCTGGCTCCTCTTGCTGCCAAGTCTGGCCTGTTGGCTCTGAAATCGCTCTGCGCCTCTAGATTTATGCAGAGGTTCTATGAACGCATAGCTATCTATTCCACAGAGAAAGAGGGTATCCGAGGACATGTTTGTATCTCGGAAGCCGGGAGGCAACCTGAACGTTATGAGTCCTCAAGAGTCGGTATAATCATGACGAAGTTTACCGAGCGCTGAAACATTCGGACAGTTTGTTTGGAAGATGGAGAATCATGAGACTGGAACTAGAGAAAGCATTGAACGTAGCTAGCGGGAGTTTTATTTCAGGCTTCATAATTCAATGGTTTGATACCACACACAGGAACGTATAAATGAAGTCATAGAATTGATCTGCGCTCTCTATCATCTTCTTGGTTTGTACCATGCAACGGTGCCAGTTAGAATGAGGACGGTTTACGACCGGATGATTAGACTTTTCTCACCTGATCGTTCGGTCTTTAATTTTAAGACGTAGAGGCAACCGTTCGGCACAGCTCCGGCAATGAGAGTGCTAGTGTGAAGACGCTGCCTTTTCACCGACAGGCAGATTCGGCCGGTGGTTCTGGAGATCAGTTCTGAATGCAAATTGTCCCTGGAAAGATATTCGCAGTGAAATTTGGATGCTACGTTCGACGTATGGTAGGCGGCGCTGTCCATTTGGGTTGGGTCAAGGCCGCATACGAGATACCGCGAAGCTGAGCCATATGCTTCGTCTTTATCAGTGACCGAATGGTTACTATTTCAATACCTACAGTTTTTCCCAGTCGTAGCGGTGTTCAGTATACATTTCGCCTCTCGCCTAAAACCTCTTCAACGACTTCTAGTGGGCTGAGGGTGGCTCCGAAATGCCATAGAGATTGCCATTGTAACGCCCTCGCGCCCGAGTGGCACGGGCCAGCCAGAGTCCCCCGGAGCTAGATAGCTAGTTTCTTACACTCTGGTTAGTCTCTTACACTCTCTAAGCGGCGCAGCAGCTCCGCTCTGTCTCATCTCCCTCATTTTCGTCTCGACTTCATCCTTTCCGCGTTTCGTCTCGCGCTCTCGCGCGTATATAAAGCCTCTAATAATCGATAATCATGTACATAAGAAGAATTCCAGCTATTTTCCCGTCCATTGCTCGCCTACCGAGGCCCAAGTCCCGTATTTCCCGCTCGCTCTCATTCCCTTCTTCCAATCTCACGTTACCCATCCTCGCCTCAACAAGCGTTCACGCCTTTCACCATGTATTGACTTTTCCGTACCGAATTGGATATCCTGAGCAAACCCCAAGGTAGATAAATACTGGACCCGCCCGTCTGCGTACCATCTGGAAACTGAACGCGTTTTGAGAATTTCATGCCGAGGCGGAAGAGAGTTATGCGGTGACCATTTTCTATCATGATTGCGCTCGTCGCCCGCATTCCATGGGTTGAGACGTCCCTTATCATGGACGCCGTCGGATATTAGGTGCTTTCGAGGCTAGAAAGAGAGATCGCGATTGAAGAACCAACGCCGTCTCAATATCGAGCACGAGATGTTTAGGAATCGGAGTGCTCGACGTGTACGCCAATATGTCGACAGAACTGCTAGGATGATTCGGAGGCGTTTATCATTTTGTGTTCTGGGCAGACCGGCAATCGAGGCAAGTAGGCCAAAGCGGTCGAGGCCAAAGCGGTTTGGTCTACTACGCCAGTCTGGATCGCTCGCGGGTTGTTCGTTGGACTATCAGCGCTATGTAACATGACAATCCAATTTTCTTCCGCACAATCAGCCCAACAAATAGACGTCGAAACCTCAAACCGCGGTCATTTTCAGGCTGTCGCGTACCCACACCTGAAAAGGAGGGAAGAATTGAATCTATACATTTCTTGATCACTTTCTTATTCCAGTCACCTTATTCAATCAGTCGATGACGCGACATTGCAGACTTGAAACATACACGGCGCTGAACCGCTGTTCTTCGCCAGAGACCGGTAACAAGTAGCTCCATGGTAATATTTGAGCTAGAGTGACGAATTAGCCATCCAAATAACCCTCGGCTATCATTATCGACGCTTCAACGGACGGCCTCAGCTTCCCTAATTAATAGCTAAGGAGTGACCACTGTAAGGGTTGCTACGCGGCGCATAAAAGATATACTATAGCCTACGTGCGAAATGGACGACAAGGATCAGATGTGAGGGAAGAAGTCGGACCACTCCACGTCTCGATATGCCTCAAGTGGGAGTGTCGCAAGTGTCACCAATGCAAGTACAAGAGTCACTCCTCTGCCAACCAAGTATAAGGGCAAAAAGAGTGGTAGTAAACCAAATGCAATCAATCCACCCAGGAGGGGGGATATGCTACCAATTAGGAAAGCAAAGAGAAAGGTTATAAGTGATGCAGGTGGGGCTGCAGACATGACAATTGTGGCAAGTCTCCAAAGGTATTGTATATGACTGGATGGAAAGGGTGAGGACCACGCAAGAAAATGAACAGCACCAAACAGTGTCCCAACAATTCCCGTGGTAATGATACCAAGGATATCACTAATATTGTTCTCATCATTGTACCCAGAGTGAAACATTGGAACTTGTTTCACACTCCGTAGGTCAATATACCCACCCTGAGTGCCCGAAGCATACGCTGTGGCCATAAACCAAAAGTTGGCATGTTCCTGCATCTGCTGCTTCACCTTGATTTGCTCTTCTGTACGCTCGGGGAGTGTTTCATATACACGCACCGGGAATGTCACCCGGTATGGTTTATCCCACCATGCAATGTACATTGACAGGGTGAGTAGGGTATAACCAAGCGTAATGACCTCGAGTTCCGTGAGTGGGAGTTTGCTGATTTTTCGTGCAATACAGTGGGCGATAAACCAGAGCGTTTGTACTATGACAAGGAACTTGGCCAGACCATCGCTCTTGCACTTGTCCTGGAGCTCTGCAGAAGTAGGGAGACAAATCTTCCCAGCCTTGAGAAGGCGGCAGACATCAAACTCATCAAGAGGATGAATAGGTTCTCCAAAATCCTTTTCGAATGGGCTGAATTTCTGTTTGCTTTGTACATCGGTACGTCGCCCACCTCCCACCTCTCCTGTCGATTTTTGGACCAATGGAATAGTGTCCTCCTCGCCAAACTCTTCTGACTCATTCAATGAAGATCCTTGGCCTCGTTTAAAGAGGTGAAACCCGCCCATGATGATGAAGAACCCTTGTTGCCGAGTACCATCTTACCACAGGTCAGTCAGTACCAAGCAATAAACCTCCCCTCTGAAGCGTACCGATGCCCTTGGCCACGCGAGATGCCGCGATGAACTGAAGAACCGCCATGCCCAGAACCCATTCAGGGAACAGCAGTGTCATGAAGACAGGAACTGCCGTGCATCCAATGAACGATTTTATCCAGATTTTGAATCTCCTCAACAGACCCAAGCCCCTGGTGTCCACAGGCTTGGGAACGTTGAGATGGAGTGAGACCCAGATGCATAGAAAGATCGTGGTGAGACAGCTTATAACAATCCCAGGAAGACTTCTATACTGTTTTGCGCACGATGGAAGGCATTCCGTCGTATTCGATGTGGTGTCTTGAGCAGCGCGGGCTGATAGGGAGTAAACGGCGACTGCGAGAGCCATGACGATAAGGTGGGGTCCAGACACGCCAGAAGGCGCTTATAAATCCCTGGAGTCTTATCTATCCCGCAATCAGCACAGAGGCATCCACGTGTCTGCTGGTTAACAGTGGCTGATTAACGATTTGAATTACTATTCTCACCCATAGCTCGGAATGGTATCCATATGCGGGTTTAGCATTGTAAACACGCATGAGATACTACAAGCGAGGGATGACGTTTAGCCAAGTCGTGTCTGTAGTAAACCAAATTGCTACCTGGTCGATTGTTTGACATCCCTAGTACTTTCAATCGTGAGGTTCGCGTTTTACTATTGTTAAGTGGATTGCTTAAAGAAAGACGGATCGTATAGGTCAACACGACGAAATTACGCAGAAATGTCCAATGAACAGCGTCCAATAAGATAATGCAGAAGCCATGTCAGATGAGGAATCGTCTAAGAGTTGTTATTGGACAACTCGAAGGGACATGGCGCCTCGGTGAGTGTCGCAGAGGTTGTCGACTTTGTAACCAAACCAGCAATGTCCATGGAAACTGCGACACTAAGATTGATACCTACAAAATTTTCAGTAACGTAACCTTATAGATGGACGGATGGACAAACCGGGTCGTACTCCGCCGGTGTACTGATTTTTGTTCCGGCAAGCATTGTAGACGGTCGACCATGTAGTATCCGAAGTGTTTGCAGCCGTATAGTTGAACGTGACCGGAATAAGCACCCGCGTGAAAGCCTTTGCGGGGAGCACATATCCATATAAATCGCCCTCACCAATCTTCTTGAGTGTGTCGAGGCTCGCGACTTCGGCATGCATATGCTTGAACTTGAGTGGTAGGAAGTTCTTTCCCGTATCGAGATGGACGTCCAACGAGGCGTTGAATGTGAACGAGGCTGGGAATCTTCCAAACTTTGGCTCATCGTCTTCATTTGTTGAGTTGGCGAGCGGAGCCCCAGTATTCCATGTAAATGACGGCACTCGTGGGATAGTAAAAGCGAGGATGATACCCGTTCTGGACGGAGCTAGGGTCAGCGTTTCCCCACACTAGGTAACGGTGGATCACGTACGCGCAGATGAGGAAGAATGCCAACCATACAATCGTACGGCGTGTTCCCCATTTTCCACAAAGCCCTATCTCGTCTCGCCACCACGCTTTGAATTTCTGCCGGCGTTCATAATCACGGTCCTCTTTGCGGCCCTTTTTGGTCATTGCTCTGAGTTCCTCTGCCTTCCATTCAGCTCCTAGTGCTGGAACAGTGACCAGTTCGACGGGCGTGTCGGCCTCCTGTCCTCGGACGGACGCTGGGGGTCGCATAGATGGTGATGGAAGGGCCTGATAGCTAGATGAACATCTCAGATATCAGCAAAGACATTTGCTTACTGCACTCACCCGTCGTTCTTGGCCTTTACCGAACTGTATCTCGGGCCAGCGTTATTGAAATCGGCGTAGACGTCCCAGCCGTTGTCTGGGTTGAGGTCATCCCCCTTGGAGGCATTCTGAGTCTCTCTGTTGTCGAAATATGCCCCTTTCTGGCCCGCCTGGATGTCCCGCGATGTTCGCGAGTTGTAAAAGTTTGAAGCCATCGACATATCGCGGGCATGCGTATTAGGAGCCGCTCTCGAGTTGGCGGAATATGCGTTTTCGTTATATTGAGAAAATCCAGAACGACGGTCGGAGTCCATTCTGAAGGTATTGAACGTGGTCGTAGGGGTGAAAGAGAGTGCCGCTTCATCGCCACGAACGACCGGCTAACGTATCATGTTCACGTTAAGTTTCCAATTTGCTCTAATTGGTACGTAATAAAGTGTTTTCAACAGTCTAGCATTAGTCCTGCGGCTCGCGGGCTTCGTCGATGTCGAGCATGGGCTCAAAGTCGTCTGCTCCTTCTTCAAACTCTTCTTCGAGATACTGAGAAGGTCCTTCCCCTCCCCAAATGTCCTGCTCTTCCTCCGCGTCGACGACGTCTGCCAAATAGGTCTCCTCTGCCTCCTGAGTGTTCTTCGAACGCTCGGCAAGCTTTTCTTGAACGAGCTTTAGAATATCATCTACATCGTTTTCAAAGCGGCTCTCCATCTCTTCGACAATCTGCAGTACAATTCAATCGGATGGCAATAGGGCGAATTGAATACGCACCACGTAGAGTTCGAGTACGCTTTGTGGACAGAGGTTGACAATCTGAAGCTTTTCAGCCTTGGTGAGTTGATATTTTCGCAGGCCGCGAGTCAAATGCGCTACTGCCTCTTCACTCTGACGAGCCGTAGGAAGGTTCTCGTTGTTGAGATACTGTAAAAGCTGAATACAGTGTCTAAGAGATACTGGTAGACTAATGACGGCAAGGAGAGCGCACCTCGACTTGAATCGTCCTTACATTCTCTGACACCTCTTCTGGTACAACATAGTTGGGTCCTTTGTAGAGATCTTCACTGTTCTCCTCTTTTTTAGTCGCCATGATTGCCCTTGTCTGTTCGAGTTGCTTTGCTTCCATTTCTTGCAACAACGAATAGACCTCATAGTTGGAAAGAAATGCGGCTCGAGCTTTGATAATCTGAAATAAATGAGACGGGCGTTCTACATGGCGCCTCTCTCACCTCCATCGTCTATCAGACGCTAAAAGCTGGAGCTAATCAACGAATTGGCTGCTTCTTCGTGTTCTGATATATGATTTACTCGAGATTAAAAGTCCCTTAGCCGACTTGGGTGTACTCTCGGGAATGTCAAGTCATGGAGGAGATCAAGAGAATTCTATTACCGAACATGAGAATAGGTAGAGTTGTACGTGGACGGATTCTCTAATAGTGGAAACTCCGTCTGGTGGGCGTCCGGTGCAAAGTCCATTACAAATGCACGATGCTGCGTCGCGCCCCAGATCCTGGACCCTTCAGCCTTCAAGCTGTAGATAGGCGAGCGGTCACCGCTCGCGACATAAGTCGACCAGCTGTCTGAAGGATTTCGTACGTCCCAAAGACATACAACGGAATGCATGGCAGACCCCGCTATCACATAGTGATGCTGATGAGGCAGCCCAGTGATACGGTCCCGCTCGCGTTCGGACTCGTCACTCATCTGCGCACGAGCGGCAAGACTGTACACTGGATCAAAGGAGCGCCATGGATCTGAGAGTGTCATAACGGGGACCAAACTGGGCGGTTCAGAGTCGGAGGTTTTCCTTTGCCTCGTCGAACACCGAAGGTCGTGAATACGAACTTTGCCATCATACCATCCCGAGGTTATGAGCTCGGGTGGTCCACCAGGTAGATATTCTCCAATGCAAAAGACTGGTGTTTCACGTCCAGGACCGCTCAGAATAGCTCGAGGTTTCCGTGAGAGCATTCCTTGCTCAACGTCGTAAATCGAAACATTCTTCGCAGTGCCGATGGCGGTGTAAGGTAAGGACGCGGTGAGTTGTAGATGAGTGGACCATGAAGTATTCCCAGTTGCTAGCTGATTTGGAGGGATCCATGGGGTAGCAGCGTTGAGGAGGTGCAGGGTTCCCGTCGATGTCAACGCAATAGCGGTATTTCCTTGGGAAGCTAACGCTCGTAAGCTGCCATTTCCAACCGGATAAGATGCTGTGCGATGGGCTTGCAGGAAGGGAGGTTGGGATTGTCGTCGTCGCTGATTAGTGGAGTGCTTTTGCTGCGGTATGCCTAAGGGCAACTGCACACGGACAAGCGTGCCATTTAAGCTTGATACCAGCAGCATCTCGTTCTTTCCCCCATCTGGGAGGAAAGTAAGACCAGTGATATCAAAAGTGGGCTCGTCTTGGAAGACGACAAAATTGCCTTCACATTTGACTGCGGAAGCTTGTCGCGTATGGTCGTAGTCGAACCGGTAGCTTGTCACCATATGACCGACCGCAACGACTAATCTGAAAAGTGCGACGATCAATAGGTACTCGCTGAAGAGTATTCCACTAGCCTGCTAGGAGAAAGCGCGACGATTGGGAGGTGCTTGCTTCGCCACGGAGCATTCAGGTTCCGTCCTAGAAAGCGACGAGAGACCCATCCTGCGTTGATAAGATGGCTTTCTCGAGCTCGCTGTCCCCAGGTCAGCGATTGCCAGCGCTGAGTTTCGCTGGGGGTGTCGCGGTGAATAAAGCGACAAAAGTCCTTCCATCCAGTCTCAACAACCTATAGGGAAATGTGAGTTGATAGCAAAACTAATCAGAAGGCCCGCTTACCAACTTGTTAAAGACTGTGCATGTCGCGCAAAGGGCTGCGAGACTCCTGTGGTCCAGAAAATGAAATAGGTGTAGCAAAAGCTCGATTGGAAGGCTCGTAAAGAGATAATCCCTCGAATTATCGTCGATAGTATCCCGTGAGCGAGTAATAAACTGATTTGGAGGCATCCTGGAGATTTTATAACGTTTCTGCGAGGTATAGATATTATCCTTAGACGTTTTATATAACCCCCATAGCGCGGACCAGTTCAAGTTAATTGGCGGTGCGGTTGACGCCGAGCTGACTCGTTAATACATGAGAATGACTCGTAAATCAATAATATTCAATTGTAAAACTAGGAATGTTAGGCAGCGGAACGAGCGATGTTCTGGTGTGTGGGTAACAGTAACACCGTCAAGAGAGCTCCTAATCAGTTTTCGAACACGGAGAAGAGTAGCAGACGATAGAATCGCGCAAATATGCGCCGCATCTGCCCCTTGACGGTAACTGGTTGGCCAGCACCGAAAGTGTTCGGGTACTACTTGCGTAAAGGATGGAGAACACGACGAGTGGAATTATGAAATCTTGGATTTTACAGCATCTGGTATCAACTCTGGTGGTATCGATCGTATGGCCTAGCTGGTGTCAGCCGATCATCAGGGTATCAAGTACCGCTAACCTTGTTCAATACTCCCTCGCCGCCGATATCCCAGGCTGGTAACGAGATATCATACAGCAATTGGGTTAGCTCTGTGACTAGCCTCCCAAGGCCGTCTCGTTCCTTTGTATACTTCCTCCACTGCACGACGTTTGAAAGGAGCTTAGATACCCTCCTCAAATACCTCTGCCGGGCTTGAATGACTTCAGGGTCAAATACCGTGCGGGTTCGGTCGGCGCTGAGGTAAAAGCGTTGATACTGGGCCGTTAGCTCTGATTGAGCGCGTATATACGCTTTCGAGATCGAGGTAAGTAGAGACTGGAAAGAGTCAGACAGGTTGATCACGATGAACGAAATCACGAACCGAGTATCGTATATTCTCTCTGCCCAATGATGCTTCCACTTGTTCGGCCAAGTCTATTGCGCGCAATACATGCGGCTTGGAGTATGCGTCGAACGCGCCTCCTGCGATAATAGCATTGAGGCGTGGAATCAGCATGTTACTGCACATAATAATTGGCAATTCGTCTTCTGGTCGAACTTCCTCGTCCTCCTCCATCTCTGGATGGGCATAGTCGTGCAGTTGTGAATACCATTTGAATTCTTCCAGCCTTGGAGTATGCTATGGAAGGTTAGAAGCAAGGCGGTGTTGGATGGTCGAAACTCACGTCGAAAGGTAGCCATCTGAGCTGTTCCTCGCGCCCAGTACTCCCAGCACTGGACGAGTGCCATCCCACCAAAGGCGTTCATGTAAACATCCGGCCATTTCTCCTTCCACTCCCTAAACCACACTGCAATACCATGTCTAGGATCACGATACGCCTTTGCCTTGACATCCTCGAGGAGCTCAGTATCAACCTTTTCCTTCAAAGAGGTCATAGCCTGCTGGAAGTCTGCAGCATCTCCCGCCGAAAGTGCGGCATCCGTTGCGTAGCCTTCTTCCATCGAGCTCGACGTGTGCCTCTGCGTTCGGGCCTGCCTTCTCTCCTTCCGTACAGCTGACTGTGGCTTGCTATTCGACGGCAAACCGCGACCTAGCTCGTCGGTAACAGCCTCCTGGTTTTGAAGATCCAATGGGACACCAAAGATAAGGACGAGATCATCTTCATTATCATCTGTCCTCCGCTTCGTGATCATCTCGGCACGTTCCTTCAGCAATGACAAGTGTTCTTCCTCTAGCTTTTCCAAGGCTGGGTACTATTAGAGGCTTGAGTGAGAATAATAGAGATTTAGGTAGCTTTGACATACCTTGGCATCGAAAAAGTCTGCTAGGGTCTCTATACGATCACGGAATGTTTGAAACCAGGCTCGTTTCGACTCGGTCTCCTCGACCTGTCGCCTGATATTATCTTGCTCTGTGGTGTATTGTATCATGTCTTGAGCGAGCGAGGCCATATTGCTCGCATTTTGAGAGTGAGAGGTATTGAGACTGGCCAATCCAGAAGATATCCGAAGCACAGCAGAGTCAATGGAAGGGATCGCAATTGGAGTCGGTACTATGATGTATCAGCTACCGAAAAGTTGAATGAAATGACTCACTTGACTGCGCCTTGTAGATTCGAGATTGCAAAGGTTTGGAGTCAGCGGCAGATGTGGGTACTGCACGCTTGACTTGTGCGAGTTCCCATTCCATCGTTTCCTCGTCCTGTTCGTCCCTGTCAGTGGAATTAATCGCTTTGAATGAGCCTATACGCCGAAACACGTACACTTCCTCGATCATCTCCGCTATGCCCTTCTTTCGTTGCTTTGCCTCTTCCTTTCTTCCCTTCTTGCTCAGAGCAATTCTCTCTTGAGCACCAGTATATTCTGCATCGTCTGAAGCCCAGTTAGGTGTGCTGGAGCTTTTAAAGAGTACGAACCGTCATCTCCTTCACCCAAATCATCGTCTTCTCTCATCAGTCGAGATTCAGGATGCGGCCCGGGAGCAAAGTCATCTCTTTTAGCCACAGTCAGCGAAATAAAGTCTTCTTCTCCACCCGTCGCGGCTCCAGTTTTCCGTAGACGGTCTCGCTTCTCTTTCGCCGCCTTGATGGATGACTCTGTCGGAATCAGCGTCTCTTTGGTGTGGGTGGATATTAAAGGCAGTTCTTCCATGTTCTCAATGACCGCGCCGTCCATCTCGCTCTCATCAAAGGTGAGCTCAGAGTCGACATCCATCTTCTCTCCGGTTCGTGACGAGTCAAAGTTGGGCGGTCTGGCACTATTTGTGCTAGCTTTGAGCTCCTGTAGGTATGCTGCGTCATACTTTGGGCCCTCTTGACGCGTCGCAATCGAGGTTTGCTCGAGTCGAGCGGTGATACTTGCTCCAGGACTGGACCAGCGATGAGCGATCAAGTGGAATGACGCGTCAAATACCCACCTGGATGATACACTTATCCCACTTTTCATCTTTCTGCTTAATGCAGACTTCTTGACCTGGAAAACGCCTCCATCGTCACCTTCTCCTCCCTTTAACCCACAGAATCAGCAATAAGGAATCAGCTCTAAATGGTGACCATATACAGGCTGACCTCGTCTGCTTCTAGCCCAAAAGAGAGACGTGATTGTGGTTTTGACCGACCCTTGGCCTTGTTCTTAAAGTTGGAGACTACAGTCTTGACTTCTGCAACCCCTTCTTCCTCATTATTCTCGTCCCGAGCGCGAATTGTCTTGCTCTTTACTCTCTTTACAAAGGTCGGCGTTTCCGCCATGGCGGTCGGGTCCAAAGGGGTGGCTACAGTGATCTCGCCGTGTTTTGTTCAATCCGTAAACTGTAAGAGAGATTTACAAATGAATAATCAACCGCCGTGGAGAGTACTGATAAAGACTATCTCGTCTTTTGGCTGAAGTATATAGTCGCCCTCTCCCTCGAGCTCCCAATCCGTATCATTGATTAATACGAGTATTCCTGGTCGACTTTGGGACTGTGATCAGCCTTTATAGTGTCGCAATGTCTGAGAGATAAACATTTACACTGTCTCGCCTTCAACAAATAGTCCCTCTCGTTCCTTTAGCATGTTATCTTTCATCCATTGAATCAGGAAAGTAATATCTGATGGCCGGTCTGCTTGCTTGGATCCACTCGGAGTGGCAGCTGCAATTGCTGGTATCGAGACTTCATGGGACCGAATATTCCCAAATAGAAGTTCTGCTCCTCCTCCAAACTGAATTTTGAGATTTATTGTCTCACCCGAGGCCATGGTGACGTTGAGACCAAAGTCGTTTGCCATCTTGAACTGCTCCACGAGTTATCTTTTATCAGCACTGGCCATAAATCTTATCTCAAAGCATAACAACGGTACTATCTGATTTGTAGAAGGGTTTTATTGGCACTGTAAGTGGATATTCGTCTCATGTCGTGGCTTCTAGTCATGTTGACGTCCTCTTTTATACGTTTCACCAGGCAATCCTGCAAGTATCCTTTATTTATCTTTCTATACGTGATGCGGTAGTAAAAGGGTCGACTCCTTTCACCTCGTCCTGGCTACTGGCCCCTTTGGACTCTTGCACGTTCTAATTCTCGGCATCCCAACCAAGCTTAACGATGGTGTATGCCGTAAGGCGGGACAAATATTGATAAATCCATCCTATGGGTGACTGTGCACGACTCGCAGGGCTCGCAATCAATGTCCTTCGAGTAAAGGCGCGGTCGTATAATGCCTGTTTGATAGCAGGCACAAAGTGCACTGTCGAACCCGTTAACTCCTTCAGGGAGACTCTGGGATTGGCGTGTGCATCCTCTCCTTGCCAAACCTCTGACGCTGGCATGCCTTACCTGTTCCTCGGAACAAGTTGGTGTATTGCGTACTTACCGGTAGAGGTGGCCCAGGGTGGTCTGGAAAGGACATTATCCTAATGGGGAGACCATTTTACTAGTGTATGCTGGCTAGAGGCCAACGCCAGTGTACGTGGTTGTGGTCTGTCAAATGCAGATCCTTTGGAGTCACGTCAGGATGGGAATGGGGAATGAGAACTCTATGATAGTGCCTCCTCGAGGCAGCTGAATCATATTTTGTTCTTTGAACGTACTGACCAGCTGTATAGTCAACGAATTCGACCGACCATGCTCTCTCCAGGAGCAGAGACGGTTGCACGGATGATTGGGTGGACCTTTCTCCCAGACTTTGGCTCGAGGATCTTACTCCAGACCTATCGAAACCTTCAAGTCACACTCTTACCCAGGTTGGGTTTCAAGTCGTCAGTTCCACCGCCAGTCGGTTCCCCAGCCTATGCTCTCCAGCAACGAATATGCTTCTCGCTTGTGATTCTATTTTACCTACTATACACGTCGGTACAGGCATACGTCCAGGCCCCGCCAAACTTTTACGAATTACTTGGAGTTTCGCCAGATGTAGAGGAGGGGCCGCTCAAGACTGCGTTTCGCAATTTTGCCAGAGTGAATCACCCGGACAAAGTTGGTCCTGCCGGAGAAGCAAGGTTCATTGCTGCCAGGGATGCTTTTGATACTCTCAAGAGCAGCACAAGCGATTTGCGTATGACCGCTTTGGTCCAGACGTCATTGGATGGGCATCTGAATGTACGACTGTTAGCGATTACCTGGAGCGGGGCATGATGGCCAGCTCTGGATTCTATATTGCAACCATTGTGGTGATGCTGCTGTATGCCATTTTTGGCCAAAGTGGCTTTGGTGCCTTTGTGAGTAGTTTTGACCTCACAATGCATCTCTTTGACCTATCGGCAGTGGCGTTATCACCTCTTCTTCACCATCGCTTGTTCAGAACTCCTCCTAATCCTCTCACCGGACATTTGGATCCTGAAAACCATCTTCCCCTCCCGAGTGGTTTACCAACATATCCGTCTACTTCGCCAAATATTCATATCACTCTCCTTTGCCATTACGCGCATTGGACCTGCCATGCTGCCCTCTTTCTCTGGCCTTGGGCCGACGCAAGGAGAATGGGAGCAGGAGAGGACTGCGCTATATATGGTGGTCAAGCAGGTTACGGAGATTGCTGCGCGTCTCGATCGTGAGATTAGCAGAATGATTCAACTGGAGATTAGAGCCGCTCACGGACAGGTTGAAGAATACGCTCCCTCACAACCTATCCCAGAGGGACTAGCTGCTACTGCTCCCGCTCCGCCAACAACGCCGGGCGTGATGTTAGCTGGCACGAGCAGGCCAGGCTCGTATATTTCTCAGAAACCTGGAGGGAACAAGCACCCTCAAGCTGAGGGTCACACTTCGCAATCAACCTCTGCACCTATTGCTGGGCTAGGAGGTGTCGAACTTGATGATGGTGTGATGCGACGGCTCAACAAAGAAGTGGTGAATCTGGTCTTGGAGAAAAACATTAAGCGACACCCAATGCTGGCACGGATATGGAGGGACGGTGTCATGGCTGGACGCGCTGCTTATGAGCGCGAAAAGGAGGAAAGACTTCGCGAGGCTCGCAAGCCCAGCGATTCGTTGTCCCAATCTGACGCCACAGCAGTTGAGATACTACCACGAGACCTCTCTGGACCATCTTCTTCGACTAAACCGGGTCCGTGGAAACAAGACTATATTCGACGACGAGCCCGGAGCGAGGACTACTTCACCGCACCGTCATCTTTCAGAGAACAACTCGAGATAAGAGACACCCCTCCCCCAACTTCTCTCCGCCACATCTCCGAGTTTTCCTCAGAGGGAACGCCCTCTACGGGCTCATCACGCAACTCGACGCCAGAGGTTCCAGACGTTTCGTCCTCTTCGCTACTCAATGTCCAAAGGGAAGAACTTAGCCGTATGACTTTGTCGCCTGGACCCGAGTTCCAAGCGAACGAGACGCTCTCAATGCGACGGCTGAGCAACGAGGCCTTTCCTCCATCCATCCCGCCGCCGGGATCACCACCGCCAACTGCGGAAGGGCGATTTGATGTCCTCCGGAGTCGATCCATGTCCCTGGTTAGCTAAATTATACTTTTCCGATACCGATAACGTGTACACATACCCTGTGATTGAATCTGAGCGTCTTTATTCACCTTGGAAATGGCTAATATGCCGGCTTTCCGTATAGAAGAGTGAAAGGGAGACTTCAGTCGAAATATGCCACCTGTATGAGTGCGTCGGAGATGGTCCGCAGGTGACGTCTCGCACTTGGAACCCACGTCGACCTTGGCTAAATGGTGGGCAACATTTACGTGCCCGAAGAAGCCGCAAATTTACTTACCAAATATAAATATAGTCGTTCAATGATTTGGAACGCGGCGTTGGCGCTTCGTCGTCCGCCAACACGCGCCTTGCCGCCGCTCGCGCTCCTCAGTCACCAAAGGACGCCCAATTTCTCAACCTGCAGTCTTCGCTATCTCTCAATGTCTTTAAAATCAATGCCAATGTACAAGGCATTCTTAAGCTAGTGGATCAGCTCGGGACGTCGCGCGATACAGGCAATATCCGCAAGAGCCTGTACGTTGCCTTTCTACTATGACCATTTCCCATCATATTTCCTCCGACGCTATATTCTTTTCTTGTGGCATTTTCGCGGCCTGGCATGCTCGCCTCGAGCTAACGTGTTCAACTGCAGGCATGACTTGACTGAGACTACCCGTGAAATGATCAAGAGAGGCACAGAAGATCTCAAGCAACTCGCTATACTGCAGTCTAGCTTGCCCCATCAACAGTCATTGCTGAAGAAGACGTCGCATGACTTTCAGCTCTCTCTTGCTGCATTTCAAAGCGCCCAAAAATTGAGTGCAGATAGGCAGCGCACGGTCGTCGAAGTTGTCAAGCAGACGGCGGCAAGTGACGACGCCACCGCCTCTACGAGCAATGCTGCACCAGCAAGCCCTAGATTGCAGCAGACTCAGATGCAGATTCAGTGAGAATTTCATCATATATCGATGAAACTCTCCGCTTATTTGACGTTTAGGCAGTTATCACCGTATGAACTTGCACACCAAGAGTCTTTGATCGAGGAACGCGAGAGAGAGATCAAGAACATCGAGAGTGGTATCCTCGAACTCAATGAGATATTCGGACAGATTGGTACCCTCGTCACCGAGCAAGGCACTATGATTGGTGGGTCCAGTTCTAAAGTGAGCCATCCACAATGCCTAATCTTCTCCCAGACAACATCGAGTCAAATATTGCTTCTGTAGAGAGCAACACTCGTGAAGCTGACCGCGAACTCGTGACCGCGGCCGACTATCAACGAAAGGCAGGACGAAGGGCAGCCTGCTTGATGATCATTCTCGTCGTGGTCGTCGCCATAGTACTATTAGCGGTGAGAATCTTCATTAAAATTGCCCCTTGGCTTCTGCCTTGGTGAAGTCATTCATACCGGTACTGATACTCTTTCCCCTGCCTTGCTCGACGCATGGTTTGACTTATCTCAGATCCTCAATTAACCGCTTGGGTTATGCTCAACGAACGGACTACCGCGTCGCGAGTATCATGCGTCTTCCTGACTTATTCGCTTTGTACGCTATACCCTTATGCTCTAATATGTGACAACGCTTGGGTTATGCATTCATACTCCAACATTTCTGAATATAGCATTGCAAGAACGACGGTATCTTACATCTTTGGTCCCCTACCGACGAGCGAGGCTTTGCTCTTGCCGGCCTTTCCACTTTTTCCGGAGTGACCACCGACGGCACCCTTGTTAATCTTCTCCTTTTTCTTCTCCACGACAGAAAAGGTTGCCCTTCTTGCCTTTTTAGCCGCCAGCTCGGCAGGTGTCAACGACGGCTCCGAGTCTCGCTTCTTGAGAATAGATTTTGGCTTTTTGGAGCCGTTATCGTCTTCTGGACTTGTTTCCTTGGCTTCAGAGGTCGAGGTTGACGGGATAACGGGAGTCGAATTTGCTCGAATTTTTGCTCTCCTTGGAGGGTGCCTCGGTGGATGGAGCACTCTCTTTTCGTGACTTCTCGACCTTTTGAGCGACGCATCGTCTCCCATGAAATCGATGGCTCGCGCTCGATCCGCCTTGCGCTGTTGACCAACAGGCGCAGGAGTCTCCACGGCCATCTCCACATCAACTTTGGATTTCGGCTTCTTCTCCTTGGATTCAGACGATTCGATACCATTCGACTCTGCACCGCTGTCTTTTCGCTTCTTCTTGGTCACCTTGGGCTCTTCAACTTCGACCATACTCGGAACTTGTTTCGCCTTGGGTCCGACCACTTCCTCGTCTGTAGAGTCCTTTCGTCGTTTCTTGACAATCTTTGATTCCTCGGTGGCATCAGTCGTATTAGGGCGTTTGGTCGCCTTTGGCGTATCGACTAAAGAGCTCTTGGCCAATTTCTTGCTCAGAGCATCACTCTCCTCCTTGGGTAGCGAGGAACCGTGACCAGAACTCTCCCCTTCCGACATTGTCTCATCCCCCTCCTCCGATGCGGGCCGCTTCGACTTTTTCGACTTTTTGCCATCATCGGATGTATCAGACGTGCCAATTAACGGTCTCTTTGATGCATCTTTCGTCTTTCTTTTGGGGGGCAGCTCCGACGGCGCAGTGATCCATCGCTCGGAGAGCTGACAACTCCAAATCGGTAGACAGACGCTCGACTGTGTTTTTATACCCAGACTTTGGATATTATTCCACGCTGTTTCGCGGAGCTCCTTTTTGTCTGCGTCTGTGACCTCGAGTGGCACGGTCACACCGTGTGGATCTTTGCTCTTTGACGAGTTTTTCTTTAGCGTCCCCATATGTAGCTTTCGGACGACTGCTGGGATTGCCGACTCGGCATTCTTGACGAGTTTGGTCACGTCCATGCCGGTATTGCCTATTTTGATCGTCGTGCAAGTGCCCGCGTTTTGATGTAGATAGGTGGCTGAAATAGCCTTCTCTAGCTCCCCTTTAAGATCCTTCTTTTTGAGGTCGACGGGGATGGGCTGTCTATAGTGGCAATTAGGTATCAGATACGAACGTTCAACGCCGTGCTTACTTCTTCGACTTGAAAAAGGCTTTCCCTAAGAGTTTGGGGAGAAGAGGAATGACGCTGTCGTCTGCGAGAAAGAGACCATAGTCTCCAGCGAGTTGTCTTCGAGCATCGTATGGGCCGTATTTGCCCTTGAGCTTTTCGATTCCGACAACCTTTGCTGATGAAATTAATGCCTTTTTCGGCGAGAAGGTCCTTGTATTTTCGTTGTGGATCTTTTGTTATGAGACAGACTGGCGAAACCCGCGGGTCGACGAGAGGATACGCGAGGGGACTGTTCAGTTAGGCAGGAAATTCGATATGGTTGTTTTTATGTGCGTAGATGCAACGATAGAGACGGCCCATAAAGGAGAGCAAACAGAGTGGCGAGGAACCAAAGAGGTCAGCAGAGCGTCGAGCACGTTGAAATACAAAACTCTTACATTCTCTGAGGCTTGAATGTCAACTGTGGATGCATAACTTTGGTCGTGACCACGAGCCACACGTTTTCCTCGTCGTTCTCTGCAAACAGCGTCTTGCCCTCGTCGATGGTGTCCTGTTTCTTCTTTGCTGCATAGCTCATCAGACTCTTGATGGCCTTTTGCACTTGGGCAGTCGAAACCCGGTCGTCCAGCGACATTTTGGTGTGAAGCAGTCGAGGTCAAAGAGTTTTTCGCCCGGAGAAGTGCTTGCTTTGTGTTCTGTTTCGACCTCCTACGACGTTGGCCAGCCTTCTTTCATCCTTTACAGACAATTACAGACACTCTATAATCACAGAAAAGACGCGGTAGAATGGCCCAGGCTGCACGGAAGGCGGCCCGTGTCGCGTCGACGTCTGTGCTCTACAATCCACAGACATACACTCCCAATGTAGCCTTGAAACTCGGTCCAACCCATAATTCAAGACTACGGGCACACTATGACACGACCGTCGCGGAGAATCTCATGTACATGCACTACCAACATCACGACGCATCGTATACGCCTCCACAACCACATCGAAAGAAGTTGCATCCAGGTGCAGAAGATGGAAGCAATCCATATGCTGCAAACAGACCACCCCCACGACCCAGAGGGAACAAGGTGCCCAGACCGCTGGCGACAAATGTCGGGTTCATGCCACGTCCACACGTGCAGACTTCTTCTAGTGTAGAGGAAGGGAGTAAAGACACGGAATTGGCAAACGCTGCAAAGCGATTAGCGCGGACAGTCACCCACCTCAAAGCAATCCAGCTTCACATCATGTCCAAAGACAGTCTCACCAACAAGGCTAGTCTGATCACAAACATGTTCCAACTCCGTGTCCTCTCGGGAGCGACAAAGGGAGAAGGAGGTCACACGACAAACAAGGGCGTCGAACTCATTCGCGGGAGAAAAAACTTGCAGCAGTGGAAATTGCGAAGGGGTACACCGTGTGGTGTCAAAGTGACGCTCAAGGGGGACAAGATGTACGACTTTTTGGGGACACTCATCGAGTTTGTTCTCCCCCGTTTGCGAGAGTGGGGAGGCGTCGTCATGCCAGTGCCTAGTGCGAACCGCGATAGTCCAAGTATGACGAGCGGCGTCGTCAGCTTTGGTCTCTCCAAAGAAGCCGTCGAGCTGTTCCCGCAGGTGAGCACACCCTCGTCCTAGGGCTTCCGACTGTGTCTGACCTCTACCAGATCGAAGTCAACCTCGACTTGTATCCTCGTGTCAGCGGCATGCATATTCATTTCATGTCCAACGAGCGCGGTAGAGGAGCCCAGAACAAGACTCGCGCACTTCTCTCAGGTTTCCAGATTCCTTTCACTAGGCGGTGATTCTTGTGAATACACATTATGACTTGCGCGCTCCAATCTCAAGATCAAATGCGTATTGCTGTAAAGTACATGGAGAAAACGATATAAGACAGATACACGTGCGATAGAAAAGGGTCCAGTATGCCAGCCACTTCCACCACGGGGGAGGGATTGATCTAGAGGAAAGATGATGCGAGCACGACGACAATGAAAGGGCGTCTAGAGTTGTCAACATGAACGTGCGAGATGAATACATTGCGGGATCCATAATAAATTCTGGCCGGAAATTTTGTCGACGGGCACGAAAGAGGAAGGGACATGTTTTACGAGGCATAGACGGGGGGACCGCGTAGAGATCCAAAGTTCCAGTTGAAGAGGTCATTGCCCTTGGGGTTATCATCCGGTTGTTTGGATTCGATAAGTTGGCTGAGAGAGTCCAGTCAGTAATCAGGTGAACACTTTACTCCAAAGACGTACCTAAGACGATCCAACTCATCGTCAGACACGATCAGACGCGAGCGATCAAGCGTGTAATTCAGATAGTGCTGAATTTCTGCGACCTCTTTGAGGTTGTAAGGCTGCTGGAACCGGATCATGTCTGGAATATACGTGAGCTCTAGCATTGACACAATAGTTAACCGAACATACCAGCCATGATCGCAGCGAGACTTCGACAGCGGGAAAAGTTGACGAGTTTGACCGATGGATCCTTTGGCGAAGGGCGGAATGCGGGAACTTGCTTTTGCAAAACGACATCGGAAAGGATACGGCCCATGAATGGAATCCCTGGTGCCTCTGACCGCTTCAAAGCCGAACGATACGCAGCAAAGTTTCCGCTCAGGGACGTGAACTGGGTAAACTCTTCTAGGTAAGCATTGTACTTCTGCGGAAGGCTCTGTAAAAGACGTCAGCAGTTGGCCCAACTCTGCAGACCAGCGCCTTACCGCCCGGATCGATTTGAGTCGCCGGATTGGTGCGATTTGCAACGCTGACTCGATCGTATGCACCAAGCTAAAGTTTTTGAGAACCAAACTCTCCTGGTGACGCCGTTAGCACAACAATAGCGACAAGGCTGCCCAAAATGGCTCACTTTTGCAACCTTGAGCCAGAATTTCATATACGCGACACGCCTTTTGACATCTAGGCCCTCCTTGAGAATCGTATTCGCAATCCAGGTGACAATGACGGCGTTGAGGTCGCTCATAGCCCTGACATCCGCCGGTTTGACCGCGTCCGTGGATTCCACGACCACTTCAGGACGTAATCGGCAGTAGAGCCGATTCTCGAGCAGAGTAAGTTGCCTTGCCAATTCCAACGGATTAAAGTCGAGTATGTTGACGTTGGCGTACTGTCGAGCCTTGAGCTGGTTGATCAAGCTCTTGGAGATTCGTGGCAACTCCATGGCCGAGCTACCAGCGATAGGTGTCACTGGTGTACTGGCAACGGGGGAACCCGTGACCAGCTGCTTGGTTGGGAGACGACCAGCTGAGCGCATGCGATCCACGACGTCACGACTAATATCCATAGAGAAGCCAGAAGCGTCGACGCTGTCCCGTCTACCAGACAACTCGGTGACGATCCTCTGGGCCAACGCCGCGACGGCCTTGTTCTCGCCCTCCAAGACGCTTCGCAAAAACGATTGCAGGGTTGGAAGCGCCTCGACATCTCGTGCTGCGTACCAATGTGATCTGACCCACTCCTTCAAGAGGTTGAGAACGCGGAATTGAATCCTGTCTGCAGTTGCGGATTCATCTTCAGCACTTGTAGCCTTCTCGCTGAGAGTATTTTCCAAGGGATGATAGAAACGATAGATGGCTGCCTCGGCCAGTTCTGTTGGGGTGGCGAAGAGACGGAATGTCAAGAGGAGACTGGAAACGATGCTCAAGTCGACAAACGCATCGGATGGGGTGAGATACTCGATGAAGGCTGGGAGGGTACCTCCAGCGAGAGATCCATCGTCGTTAAACATGAGGCCTCCCGTCATTTTAGATTTGGCAGAATTTGGAACATCAACCGAGGATCGCGGGTCGGCCCTTTGCGACGGACTTGGGGTCGCAGGTAGCGATTTGTCGCCCGTCTGACGACTTGGTTCCTCTGGCTCCTCCTCAATCTCCACAATCTGTTCCGGCCCATCAATTGGTGTAGACGGTTCGAGCATCTCGACGGATGGCGGGTTCAGCAGACCTCGCTCAAGTGAGCGGCGAACTTGATCGATGGACCGTCGCGTAACGCGTGGTGCAGTAGAGTAAGGGAGTATGCTGTCCTCAGTTTCTGCTCCTCCATCCTCGCGACTGTCAGACTCTTCTGCGTCAGGCATGAGCAGAGGAGCCTGGTCAGAATCGCCCTCCTCTGGCTCCTCCCTCATTCGAACATATGGTCGAGTGCTATTCGAGTCGGTGGACGCTTGCTGTTTATGGAATCGTATCCGTCTCTCCTCCTGAAGCGCCTGGAGACGAGCCGCTTGGCTCTGAGCATTACTGGGCGAGTGGCGATAGACGGCGTTGATTCCCACCATGCTGGCCGCCTTTTTGTGTAATGAGCGTGGAAGAATATGCTGTGAACCCGCTTCACGGGTGGTATGGGCTCTGAGTCGTTGGGTATGCTCGAGAGAGGGTCTCTCCGACGAAGATTGAACATAGTTAGAGGGGCGAGGAGTATTGTCGGCAGGGGAAGAAAGGTTGATAGGGGTAGTGGCGTCAAAAGACGGAGCCGGGGGCATTTTGATAGAGGCAGTCGTCGATTGGCTGCCCGTATGAGCATGGGAGGAAATGTTGGAGACTTCTTCTGGAATATCGATACGTAACTCTCCAGCTGTCCGTGAGCGGCTCATCCGGATGCTCAAGCAGAGCTTGAGCGACAAGACAAGCTCCCGCGCACAGCTATTCGCGAGATGCGCTCGTTTGCAGACGCCGATAATCTCTTGTTCGCAATCATCGTGACCTTGAGACGAGCCGGCATCGCTTCGCACAGAATTAACAGTAGCAATCTGGCGAACACTATCGACCACTCTGTTCATCTGCGCATATAGACGAGCCTTGTATTCCCTGGCCATATCGACTTCAGCCTCGCAGCTTTCGCGAACAGATGCATTGCACGTGACGGCGTCGGCAATGATCAAGAGGACACGAACAAAGTCCACGATTTCGCGCGTAAGCGAGACGAGATATCCTTTACTGGCTGGATTCGAAGATGTCGAGTGATACTGAGCTGCACCAATAAAGGCAGCCGAGCTGTGGAGGAGGCGGTCTTGAATGCTGCGAAGCGAGTTGACGATGCGGGGAATGGTACATGGGCCATGAGGTATGAGAGGAATTCTGGACGCTTCCGACTCGTTGGAGCCATCAGACGACCTGCTATGGTGACTATCGTCCGAGGAGTTGCTCGACAAGGACGACTCGCTTTCCTGCATGGGACCCAACGACTGCCCATGAATGACCTTTGCACGGCGATTCGCCTTGACCGGATTTTCCCGAGTAGAAGGCCGTCGTCCAAGCAAGGCTGAATTCCTGGGGACAGGAGTGGTGGATTGCGAGTTATTGTCGAGTCCATACCGGTGTCGAAGGTCGCCGAGGCTTTTCGCCGCGCGTAAAGCTGCAACAAGAGCCTGTGCCGATTCATCCCTCATGTCCTCCAAAGTCCTTCCAGAGCCTTCACTAATCTTCAAGGCATTTGACGGCGCTCGTGAGCGTTGGGTGGGCTTTGCCCGAGCGGGGACGGCTTGGCGAGGAGAGGTAACGGTTTCAACATGTTCATGGGCAGTCGGAAGTGCTTGACGGCCAGCAAGTGATCCACCAGAGCTGCGGGAACCTCCGGAAATGGACCCATTACCATTACCATTACCAGATGCGGAACCGATCGACGCCACCGAGGACGCTCGTCCGCGGGCATGTCCAGGACGAGTCTTTGCAAATCGACGAGCGCGCATTGCATACTTGTCGCTCGCACTCATGTCCGACACGCCAGGCCGCTGCGACGCCGATCCTTCCGTGACACCCCCGTCTGCGGAGGCGGAGGTAGACCGCACGTGAAACCGAAATGAGGGATCCTCCTCCCAACTGCCTTCTCCTTCAGAGTCGTTTTCCATGTAATCGTCCTCGTCTTCTGCCAGTCCAAGCAGGCTCACGACGCCCGAGCGTGGCAGCTGCAACGAGAGGCCGCATTCAAAGACGGCAATTATAAACTCGCGCATACTCTCATACACGACTTGAGACCGCTCTAGCTCGCGACGGACATCGACATCTTCAATGTCGACGGACGCCAAAGATGTCGCGCACCCCTGGCTACTGCCACTGGCGCTGCCACTTGAAACGGACATATCCGACACGGACTGTGAGAGCGCCCCAAAGCTTTGAGATGTCGCCAGAGCACGTCTGGGCCCGTCATCGTTGACGGGCGAGGTCGGCTCTTCCAGCCCTCGATGGCCCAGTCTTTTTGTCTGGGTCACAAGTCTGGCCATACCAGTAAGTACGTCCTACAACACGTGAGTATAATACAAGGGAACCGGTGACCAATGGCTTACCTTGCGATGAACAAGTAGTGCTGGATATGTTTGGAGTGTGAAACTGTCTCGGTCGAGACAGTCAACAGAGGAGAGTGCGGTTCGAACGGAACCAATAACACAGTATATGGCAGGGGTAAGGTAATCGCGTGCGCTGTTGGCCAGAGCGGTCTGTACAGACTCTGGAATAGCAAAGGTTGTGACAAGATTGGCACCTTCTGTCGATTCCCATTGAAGTGCTGTTGCGACGGCAGCATTCTCCAAGATCCAGAGTGCACGATGCACGATTTCGAGGTATAGTACGCTGTTGGTCTTGCCCGACAACTCTACGCCGTCGGGACTAGTCGCTTGGAGGACTGCGAGAAATCGCTTGTTCAATGCATCTTCAAATGGCGTCGAGTCCGGGTGGCGGAGGCGCGAGATTGGAGACGGATAGGACAAGAGGTTTTGGAGCACGATCAAATCCTCAAAGGAGAGTGAATTCCAGTCGTCGGTTGCAAAAGGCGCAAGGTTGGGTGTTTGAACCCCACCGGGTGTAGAAACGCCAGCTGTGCGTTGTGTAGCAAGTTGAGTGGCCACTTGCGAAGGACGTCGCGAATGTGGCTGAGGCCGTGTTTGAGTAAAGGTTGAATGGGCGGACACGAGGTTTTGTGCTGAGATGGATCGACTGAGGGCTGAGGGTCGGGTGACAGGGGGGACAGTCTCAATCACGGATACCCGTCGGTATGGGTTATTGGACTTGTACGAAGAGATGGGATTATTCGCTCCACGTGTGCTAGGGTGTGCACGTCCAACAGCAAAGTAGCCTGTCTGCGAGTCGGATGGGGATTCAAGGCTGACAGGTTTTGGGGGACGCTGCACCGCGGTCGTTTGGTTTGACTGGAGATTTTCGTGTTAGTGATTGGTTAGAAGATCCGATAAGCAAAAGAGAAGACCAGGGATAATCATGCCATAATGGCACTAAGCTGTGAAGCGGGTGTAAAGCCCCATGCGACCTCGGCACGGAGGGGAGAGCAGATGGGCGTAGATCAAGATGTTCAACGCCCCGTACGACCTAAGGTTGCATGACAAGGCCAGAAAGCAAAAAGAGCAGATGGACGAGACGCGGGAGGTTTCCAGTGGGAAAGTCGGACCCAGATGTTTGGACGCCGCGTCTCGTTTTGGCAGGGACGTGGTGAGCGGCAATGCAAGTGCGCCGGTGAGACACCCGAATGATGATCATGACGAGCCGGAGCCGTCACGGATGCAGACAGGAGAAGGAAAAAAAAGAGGACGGAGACGATGGGGCGGAAATGCAAAAAGAAAGAGGCTCACCTGTGCATACACCGGGACAAATGTAGGCGACTCTGTATACGCATACGTGTAGGGAAACCATCCTTGCTTGTCGGCCAGTCTCCCGTTCCACCATCCACTCTCAGTCTTTGTGAGCACCTGAATGAACTGACCGGCGTAAAACGAAAGCCCCTCTGGATTTTCAGCTGTATAGTCGTATTTGGTTTTGACGTATTCGTGCACCTCCTGAGCTTTCTGAACTGGAGCGTCGGTCGAACCACCAAACTTGCGGCTGTTGGGGGAGAGGATGGCATGGTCGCTGGTAGGTGTATCTGTCACTCGTGAAGAAGAGACAGCATGGATTGTGTGTGGGTATCTGCGTGGAGATTGTCCCTCTGGAGGGGTCGCAAACGCAACGGAGGACGACGAGTGCGACGCGGCCGAGTCTGTTCGGAGTCTCTGGACGTCGTTTGAGGACACTAGGGGTGTACTCTTTGCCAGAGAAAGCGAGCTGAACGACGTGTCCAGCGAGGGACGCTGCCGCTTCATCTAGCACGACGAAACAAGTGAGCCGGCGATTCCCAGAGGACTTTTCGAGTGCTCACTGTGCACAACGGCGCCAACGACGCGTCGAGGAGCGAGGACAAGCAACAGGGGCCTGGTCCGAAAGCGGCGTAGAGGTCAAGAGATGAAGCGGGCTTTTGGTTCCAGGTAAATAGAAAACAGGGTGGAATATCCGAATTGTGTGATAAAAAAGAACGAGTGATCGAAGGTTCTAAAGACCCAACTGCCAACTTGCGACGGCCCTTCAGGTCCCCCTTAACGAGGCCTAGCGCGAACAAGAACTGGTTGCCGGATGGCGCCGTCAGTATTTGATGACAATCTTCCGTGACTGGCCTTCATTTTCTGTTTCAATTCATTCTAACTTCTACCCCCGTGGGTCAACAAGCAGTAAGCCGCGCTAATAATACAGCAGTTAAGCTGCAATCAGCCGTCTTCATCTCCGTCACTCGCAATCGCTGGTTATGCTTGCTGGTTGTTGAATATACGTCTGACGGGCAACAACCAATGCTATGCTGTTCTTACGCCCCTTGCAGCAATTCGTTGACTCAGTAGGACATCACATGAGCTTCCTTGAGGTTAGGATTCCAGCGGTTTCTCGGCAAGGGCGCCGTCGAGGCGCTGGCTGTACCGACTTCCCCCGCCTTGGAGGAAGCTGCAATCTTCTGAAGAGTATGCCAGCGACACCTTCTGACGTCTCCGATAAAGGGTCGCCGAAGACGAAGAGAGTATCATTCGCCAGCCATTGGTGCTTCTGACCCAACCCCCTGCTCCTGACCTATTTCTATGGTGATGTGGGGAGGCGGAGGGACATATGTCGAGCTCCCTACTGACTGAGAGATAGGCATCACCGGATACATAGTCAGATTCACAAAGTAATAAGCCCCCCCCAACGTCGGCGAGAAGACCGGTGGTCGTTGATGGGGAACCAACGGATGCGCCAAAAAAGAACCTTTGCGAATGATACACCCGCCTTTTCGTTCATGACCTAATTACGCCCACTGCGTTTCGTCTCAGCCACTTCGAAGCCCTCGTATATGCGAGGTGGCGGCTCTCATCCCAAAGCAGCACGCATTGTGGAAGGCTCCTGTTTCACCTATTTCAGTATATTCCAAGGCTCAAAGAAGAGTCCCTCTCGATCGAACACCACCACTACGACGCCACGGGGCATCGACCGGGGCAGACGAACCGGTTCGACTATAGAGATTTAGACTCTCCCAATGAGAGGCGCAGACGGTGGAGTATCTATTAGCCGTCTTTGATAAATTTCGAAAAAGTTGCGGGGAAATATTCAGGTATACCACTTCGCCGAGCTCGAGGCGGGAGATCCTCTTCTAACCCTGGGCCGGCCACTTGTTATCGGACATACAATAGGTTGTATAAAAGGGGTTTCGACATTGGAGGAAGTCGACGTCCCCGATGCGACGTCGGGGCTCAGAGATTTCTCACGAATACAGTCGACCATGGTTGATGCGCCTCGGGATCTGAACCTGTCGAGGATCCTCGCTGGCGTCACAGGAAGAAAACGCCTGCCGTTCATGGACACCTTGCCCCACGTCCTTGTTGACCTTGGTCATCTCCGAGCCACCCTCCTCTGCAGGTGTGAGGACGTAGTGAGGCTGAGGGGGTTCGCTGACAGTCGGCGTCACCAAGGTTGCGCTGTCAGTGTTGGGGGGCACCATGCCAGATCAAGAGGAATATTCTCACCTGTGATGTTCAATGCACAGGTGCCATAGAACTGGCTTTCTTTCGATCGAGCTCTCCCCTTTTCTTGTTCCATGATGCTCTCCTGACGAAACGAGCCGAGCACGTAATTGTAAAGCAGCATGGACACTCACGAAGTGTTCGCGGGAGCACGACGAACATATTTGGTATCTAGCTGGCGGCCTTATCCTGCACGAACGCTCTGGACGAATGCAGCTTTTGCCGATCCCCGGCGCCCGTCCAAGAGCAGTCATTTGTTGGTCCCTGGCGGGCGGGCATGGGCGGTAGGGTAGGGCGGGAGGGCGCATACGAACGACGGCCCATGCGGTGCAAGAAGAAGAGCAACTGGACGACAAACTACAATTCGTCAAACCGGATTGATCGCGGCTAGCCATACGTACGGTGCATTCCCATCTCCGCCCCAACGGCCAGTGTAAAAGAAGAGACACCTTGTAACATCTAGTTGATTGGGGCCACAGGGACACCACAACGATCAGCTGAGCGGAGCCAGATGTCATGGCGAGAGCTGGGCTAGTGCGGGAATACTTGAGGGTATTGATTATTGGCAGGCAGCAACCGTCGACGGACGCCACGGAAAGTGAAACGTAGGCTATAGTCTGCATCCGACCGGTCTCTGTACGCCTATCTGAAGCGTCGGCTCAAGCTGATACTACATAACGGTGCATGTGGCCTCTGCGTGGCAATCGTCGCCGCTAGAAGCAAAGTGTCGTAAGAAAGCGTGTGGTTTACTAGTGAAACTTGTGTGGAGCATTGTCCAGACGTTGTTGTGGGACAAAATGCTGGAAGCGAGTGGATCCAAGTCGACTCTTTACGTTGGATCCAGCCACAATTTGACAACCGACGACTGGCTTTCAACATCAATCAACTGTCTTGCATTTTTTGTTACTTGAGGCTGCTCAGGTATTCCACGGAAGAGACATCGACTGGCAGCGCCGAGCATAGCCCAAAGAACTTCTAGAAATCGGGATTAGCATTAAAATCTATACTAATATTTGTGACTCGTCACTTGTTCTGTGAAAGAACATTCTGCGCACTGGGCGCTTGCACGACGTCGGATCCCCGAGGGATTGCGAGCAGCATAAAAACCAGTCCCTCCGCTACAACCAAGTAAACAAGCAAGTTTTAAGCCATGTCAATGCATTCACGCTCCCTCACGATCACAGCTGTGGCAGCTGGAGTGATCCTCGTACCCATCCTACTCACAAACTATATGCCATACTTTCGAACAATGAGGCCTCCATTGAAGCCTCTTCCTCTTCCAAACGGTGTCTCCCGACTCACGACGCCAGAAGGACTCGAACTTCTCGTCGCCAAACCAGAGGAGAGCCAGTTGTCGAGTGCACCTCTTCTTCTCGTACATGGTGGTTATGGTACGGCACACTGCTACTCAAAATGGTTGCCATACCTCGCAAGTCGTGGTCGTATTGCCTACTCGCTCTCCCTCACCGGTATGTGCCTCGTAAACTTTCATCAAACAAGTCTTGACATATCAAAAAAGGCCATGGGCAATCCCCTCGCCCCGGCAATTTTATCAATATGACCGTCACCGACTTTGTGCGAGACGTCGAGCATACAATCGACCTTATCCACTCATACCACCCAGAGCTTCCCCGCCCAGTTCTTGTTGGTCATTCTTCAGGCGGTGGAGTGTCGCAATGTTTCCTCTCAAATGTCCCAACTGGCGCAGAGCCACCCGTGAGCGGGGTTGTCCTCGTCGACGCAATCCCACCGACAGGCAGCACCGGAGTCTACATGAATTGGGTACGCGCAGACCCACTTTTCGGTTTCCGTGTCATCGGACAGGGAGGCGATCCCAAGGGCCCGCTCTCTTCACCCGCGCTCGTACAGCGCATCTTCTTTGGGTCAAAGATGCGCAAGGAAGAATTGGAAGAATTCTTCTCCGGTATGAATACCGAGGAAAGCGTCGCGTGGCCGCAATCAATGATGAGCACGTTTGTCGACATACCAAAGGCGAAGAAGAGTGCCAATGGAAGGGTTGCTTGGATCAGCGGAGAGGAGGACGTTATAATGCCTCCTGCACTAATGAAGAAGGCCGCAGCCCTGTACGACGCACCTCTTACTGTTGTCCCGTATGGAGGTGAGTGCGATGACGCCTGGGTGAATGATAACTAACGATGCTCAGGTCACCACCTAATGCGCGACGAAGTTTGGAAAGAGGGTGCCGATGCCCTATTAGCTCAACTCGACTCATGGTCACTGTAATATCCCGGGATGTTTCGTGTATTAATACAACAGATTCATAGCTCTACATTGATTGGAATAATAAAGAGATGAGAGGTCATGTGTTGAGATTGCCCTGGGTTTCAGCGCCAAACTCGCTGTTGTACCCAGATTCGTATCGTTGCTTAGACACAATTACCTAAAGAAGGTGTCAATATCTGCAAGGGTAGCTCATAGAGACCAGTAGTCAGGGCTCCAATGTTCATGAGAGATGACATAGGGCTCTGGCTTGTGGTCATGAGGACGTACCCCTGGATCATTGACCACTTTTGAGGTGTCAGTAGAGAATCCCCGGATGAAAAATGAATGCTTACACTTCTCGTAGGATATCCACTAAGCAATAGAGTCAGGAACCTGATCCAGTGTGCCAGGGGTAGAGAGTACTCACAGCTGCGAATGACAGAGGCACCAAGACGATTGCGAATAGTGGATAGACCTCTACTGGAGGTTTTGGCAAGTGGTTACCCGCCGGAATAGAGGCGACTTTTCTTGTCAACGCGGGGACGAGCGTCGGGACGCGTGAACGGATGAGGGGCGCTCGTAAGAGGCCACGTCGAGCGAGATGTGATGCTTGCATGTTCGAGATGTGTGATCTGCGTTTGTTCTGAGCTCCCAGAGTCAACTAGACCCGAGGGCTCTTATACGTTGCTCGTAGACCTGTGGCGAGCCCCTGGACGGCATCGCTGGAGCCGTCTAGATCGATATGAATCACTCTGATTCTCTTCAAATTCTCCAGAGCGAGCTCCAGAAAGCGCGGCCAGTCGATGGTGGCCCATGGGCGGGTCCAGGCGGGCTAGAACCTTGTCCTCGACTGCGTGGGCCACATCCCAATCGCGAGAAAGGAACACTAATATCCACCAAAAATCATACATGACAATGTGAAAATGATTACGAGGTGTTATCTGCGACTTTGTGCGAGAATCTGGCAGTGCCCATGGTATATGGGCTCATCGCCCCCTTTCGCAAGCCGTTCGCCGGGACTGGTCAACCCACGGCTCGCGCCTGATCAAAATGTTTGAAACTATTCCAGTGCAATTTGCAAACTGACAAGGCACAGCGGCGCCTTGGCTTGGGCCCGAGCGCGCCCCTATATAGGTGTAGACCTTCATCCAGCCACGGTCCACGGATCCGCGATTCCCCCCCACTCTGGTCACCACTTTTGTTTATTACTTGCCTTTTTAACCTATCTTTCACAAAATGGCCACCACTCTCCGCAACAACGTCTGCGACGTTCCCATCGACTTGGACTACACCACTGACGAACTCGACTTTTCCGCTCCTATGCAAGACAGCGGGGATCTACGAACAAAGGAGGACGAGCCCCCGGCCTCGTCTTGGTCCTCGTCCAGCGGCAGCTTTTACGAAGAGCTCGAGACTTCGCCAATCGGTATTGGATCTACTTGGTACTGGCACTCTCCATCCGAGCAACCGCTCGACAAGCCCAACTGGTGCAAGTCGAGCCCAAATGCCGGCTACGCACTGCACGCTACAGAGGATGGCTCGCATGAGAAGCAAAAGGTGCACGTTCAAACTCATGACAGCGTTCTCAAGTCTTCCAAGGTATGTTGGCCGTCCATGGCGGTGATCACATTTTCCACGCCACCTCTGCTATTGAGCCCCTCGGCTGACGGCAGCATAGCTCTTCGTTAGGACCGTCAGTGGCAATTCACCAACACAGAAGCGATATGTGATGGCGAAGAAGCTGATGAGCACTCGTGAAATTGAAGTTCTCCAATATCTGGATGCTCCGGCTTCGCGCTATGATCCATGGAACCCCGCACCACCCCTCCTATCCATCGTCAATGCCGACGAGGGTACAGAAGATGAGGAGGGAGAACCGCAAGCAATCTATGAACCGATCATGCCCTTTGACTATCTACCAATTGGCACCGTCGGCGAGGCTATCGACTTGATCATGCAGTTATTGCAGGTGAGAGGGACCTTAGGCGCTCCTATCCATATCTCACAATGTCTAGGGACTCGTATTCCTTCAAGAGCTCAAGATTGTCCATGGCGATATTCACCGGGAAATCATCATGATGGACAAGGGTACGGACTCGGCAGATAACGGTGAGAACCGTATCACTCGCAATGTTCGCTACTTTTTGGTGAGAACAGTCCCATGATACTCTACTCGTCGCTTACCCGGGATGCATAGGCGGACTTTACGCATGCTACGATCGTGGAGAACCCACGGGATCATCTATTTGCTGAAGACCTGCGTGACCTCGGTTTGCTGATGGATGCCACCTTTGGCAGCGTACGTCCCCACCACCTGCACAGCACCCTTCTCACCGATTCCCTCTCTTTAATAGTGCCTTCCGGAGCTTTCGGATATCATCCTGAAGATGACAGACGTACAACACTTCACCAATAATGTTCGTGCGAGCGATGTACTCGAGGACCTCGAAGCTCTCATCTCGGAATTGCCGACTGATCGCATTCGCTCACAACTTAATCAATAATTTGTGCTGCTGTTCTATCTGACGCTCTGGATCCCTTTCATGCAGGGCTGTACCTATACCATTCCACCCTGCCCATCCGAGTTCAGGTCCCTATGTCCGGGACACTGCAGAGTTGTAATTTTTTATCCGCTAAATATGAAATTTCCAGACCAAAGATACTACCTTTTGTCCTTTTCAAGCTGTGTGACTCTGAGTCTGTGCCGGCGCCACAACTTGAACTCGTCCTCGGCATCGATCTCCGCGGGCGGTACCTCATTAGCAGCAGTTCTCACTGGTTCCTTCAATCAGGAGGAGATAGGCGCGTGTTAACGGACTTTAGCTTATAATTTGGAAACAGAAACGTTGGCCATTCGAAAGAAAAACTCAGGATTGGATGGAAACTTCCCAGGTTGCGTCCTAGCTTCACCTGCGTTTACACCATGTGAACTGATTCATACAGGCCTATGTCCCTCCACACATTCTGCTTCTACCCAGTGGCGCCGAGTTGGACAAGACGCAGAGTCTAATTGCGGAGCTCGAGAACAAATTGAAGAAGTTGGACAAGCAGTTACAGCAAGAACGTAGACGAGAGAAGATCAGACTCGAAGAAGAACACGAAGTCTTTGCCGCACTTCTCCTCGAACTCAGATCTTCGGCCTCTGGCCAATCCAACTCGAATAATAGCGACGAGATTACGTCTTTGGAGAGCGAAGAAAACGAAGCTCGGCGTGCCATTCGTCGTGAATTCAAGGACCGCATAGACGCCTTGCTTCTAGAACGGCGTCAGGTAGAAGAGCAGATTGTACAGCAAAGATCTCTTTTCGCTCCCATTCACAAGCTCAATGACGATATATTCATCGAAATTTTCGCCCTCTGCGTCTACGGTGGGCTGTCTCCTTGGATACTTACCCACGTCAATACTCGCTGGAGAGCACTCGCTCTTTCTAGTGAGACGCTATGGTCTGGGATCATGGTCACGACGAATATTGACGAAGAGCTCACGCGGAGGATGGAAGGCAAGGAAGTCTGTAATAACCCTGGCCGTCTTCGCCGCGCCTTGAAGAGAGTCGGCGCCGCCCCCATCGACCTGGACATCTCACTAAACTGGTCACATAAGGCTTTGGATGCCAATACCGCAGCTGAAATGATTGTCGAGGTGTGCAAGACTAGCGCGCAGTGGCGCAAACTACACCTCGAAAACTCGCAGAAAGTCGTTGATGAAGATCATGTCTTCCCTTCCGATCTATTCGCGCATGGATTACCGACATTGAAGAGCGTATCGTTTCATATGCAACACTGGAAACATGCATTACCCAGCAGAGGACTCGTTCCCTTTCGTGGTATACTCGACACCATTGAACAAACGTCTAGCCTGATAGAGCTGGCGGGCCTACATGGAGGGGGACATCGCGATCCCACTGACGAAGCTTACGCGCAACCAACTATAATCAGCCATGCGACACTGGTTCGCCATAGTCCAAGAGAGATCAAAGAGGCGTGTAATTATCTGCTCGATGTGCGGAGTGACATGCTCCTCGCACGACAGTATACCCCTCTCTTTCTCGATGATCAACAACGAGCCAAAGAGATCAGCGAAGCAATCGCTTCACGCGATGGCATAGCCCCAACAACGCGTCAGTTGTTGATATCTCGCTCTTTTGAAACCTCACTATCTTCTCTGCGAATACTACAGCTGGAGGTCTTGGATCTTGTCTCACGAGATGGCCTTCACTTCTCGCGAAATATATCCTTACCGAATCTATACCAACTCGCTCTGCTTTGTGGTGATATTAAAAACCTCCACCTACTCCAAACTCCCAATTTAGACAATCTCCGCATCGTTCTCACGGACGACTCCGACTATGCAATCTATTCCAGTAGGATTGTTCTTGAAGGTCTTTGGAACCAACAATCGCCTATGTTTTGGAATGGAGTATCCCTGAAGCGAATCAAGCTCAGGGGTGTCGGCCTCAGCTTCAGCGCACTTCACTCCCTTTCCATGGCGAACGCGGAGCTCCGATCAATAGAAATGGAGGATATACATTTCGATATTCCGGACGCAATATTAGCCTTCGCAGATGGGAGCAACCTCCCAAAGCTAGGGCGTATCGAAGTTAACTACACAAGGAGGCTCTCGGAGAATAAGCTGATGTTTATGCAGCAAAACATGACCCACGTGGCGAGCGCTCGACCGCAAGCTCAAGTTACGCTCATTCATCAAGGAAAGATAACGGAGTATTGGATGAGGCAACGAGAGTAACATGGACGAAATAGAGTACTCTGATAGTGAACATACACGATATTCGACTCCTGTCCCCATTGATTGTCGGAATGTTTCCTCTGTCGCAGCCGATATGGAATATCGAAACAAGGATTCTTCTCCGTCGTAGCATCTTTTTAGTTGACCATTTGTGCGCCTTGAGATGTCTCTCAACCTTGAGGTGCAACAGTTGAGTATATGTGTAGAGTGGATATACGTGATAAGACCAGAGGGAAGGTTTGATGATGCGCTACTTAGAAGTGGGGAGGATTAAATCACCTTTCGTTCTAAGATTGTCGGCAGGTCCACATGAAAGACGTCATATATTGGGAATGATATGAACCACAAAATGTCACTGACTGGAGCTAGTTCGAACATTTGTCCAAGATGGACCACATTGAAATTGCGTGAAGTCAAGTTTGGTCGTGCGTAATGAACTCGTTACTGGTATAGTCAGAAGATTTGGATATATTAATCCATGCCGATTGTCTGGCGGTACCCAGAAGAGAAATTTATCGGAAGCATGCACCCAGCCATCCTGTGAGAGTGAGCACTGACCGAATCCAGGTACAAGGGGTCCTAGAGGGGTGGCTTGTGACCTGTCTTGGGCACTCAAGTCCACATTCTCTGCGTATTTCTGATCCGAGTTATTCGCGCTGGCAGCTAATGGTACTTGTCAGGTCGGTCACACAATCAGCGATGATAACTGACCAGTCTCTGTATCCCAGATCCGAATCGTTCTGTCAGCCGAAACAGAGACAATCCTGGATCCATCTGCAGAGAACGCGATGGCAAGGACGGAGGATTGGTGACCACGTAGCGGCTCTCCCAATCGTTGACCGGTATTTGCGTCCCAGAGTTGAATTGTTTTGTCGTACGAACAGGAGACGATTCGTGAACCGTCTGGCGAGAATTCGACGGCATTGACCCCGAGTTCAGGACCTCGGAGTGAGTCTCCCAACGGCCCCCATGTTTCTGCATCCCATAGTTGGATAGACCCATCTTCTGAGCCAGAGACAATACGAGAGCCATCCGGCGAGAATGCGACGCGGGTGACTGTATAATCTCGGAGTGGCTCTCCCAACGGCCGACAGGTATCTGCTTCCCACAATCTGAGTATCCCGTCGAATGATACGGAGGCGATTCTTGTGCCGTCTGGAGAAAACATGACGGCGGTGACACCACGTTCATGACCCGGCAGTTGCTCTCCCAATGGCTGACCAGTCTGTGCGTCCCAGAGTCGGATCGTGGCATCACCCGAGCCAGAGACGATTCGTGAGCCGTTAGGTGAGAATGCGACAGTTAGAACCGAGTCTTTGTGACCTCGGAGTGGCTCCCCTAACGGCTGACAGGTTTTCGCGTCCCACAGTCGAATTGTACGGTCTGCCGAACCAGACACGATACAAGAACCATCTGGAGAGAATGAAACAGCATAAACCGAGCCTTCATGACCGTGGAGAGGCTCCCCTAACGGCTGACCGGTTTTTGAGTCCCATATTCGAATCGTCTTGTCTTCCGAGCCAGAGACAATTTTTGAGTCGTCAGGGGAGATTGAAATGGCATTTATCGAGCCTTCGTGGGTTTGGAGTGGCTCTCCCAGCGGCTGGCGGGCGTTTGCCTCCCACAGTCGAACTGTTCCATCTCCCGAGCCGGAGACGATCCGTGAGCCGTCTGGAGAGAATGCCACGCCCATCACACCAATTTCATGGCCTTTGAGTGGCTTTCCCAATGGCTGACTATTGGATGCGTCCCACAGTTGAATCTTCCTATCCAACGAGCAAGAAACGATTTGCGAGCCGTCAGGCGAGAATGCGACGACTGTGACACAGTCTTCGTGACCTCGCAGCGGCTCTCCCAATGCTCGACCGGTTTCTGCCTCCCACAATCGAATTGTCTTGTCTGCTGAGCCTGAGACTATTCGCGAGCCATCAGGCGAGAACGCGACAGCCGAAACAGGTTGTTGGTGACCTCGAAGTGGCTCTCCTAAGGGATGACCACTGGCTACCTCCCACAGTCGAATTGTTCTATCGTCCGACGCGGAGGCGATTCTTGAACCGTCTGGCGAAAATGCAACGGAATTGACTGAGGATTCGTGACCTTGAAAGGGCTCTCCCAGTGGCTGACCAGTTTCTACGTCCCATAGCCGAATTGTCCTATCCCAAGACCCAGAAACGATTTGCGAGCTGTCGGGCGAGAATGCGACGACCGCGACACAGTCTTCGTGACCTCGCAGCGGCTCTCCTAATGGCCGACCGGTGTCCATTTCCCATAAACGAATCGTCTTGTCCTCCGAGCCAGACACGATCAATGACCCGTCTGGTGAGAACCCGACTGTGGTGACCCCATGCTCATGACCTCGGAGTGGCTCTCCCAACGCCTGCCCCGTGTCTGAATCCCACACTCGGATCGTCTTATCAAGCGAGCCGGAGATGATTCGCGAGCCGTCAGGCGAGAACGCCACGGCCCAAATGGAACCTTGGTCACCTCGAAGAGTTCTAGGAAATTCGGAGTAGGCCTCCTCATATCCCCTAGTCACAGCCAGACTATTCGCATATCTTTTTCGGCCCTCAACATGCAGTATCGACTTCGTAGGCGAAAATGGAAGCGCTGAGATGTAGATGTGTGGGGCACTCTGCTGGATCGGCACCGCAAATGCCATGACAAATCGTCGAATATCTGTCATCCTCCTTCTAGTCTCTTCTCCGACCTTTCTTTTTTTAGAAGCTGGAGTCCGCCACCATAGACCACTCACCGTTGGATTGCATGTGACAGCTCTGAGCCCGGCTATTGCCCTTGGCACCTCCCCAATGAAGCTCAGAATCTCCATCCAATACAGCACATATGGGCTTTGAAGAATGTGCTCAACCTCCCTCTTGAGTCCACCTCGCCACTTGTCGTCCGTTCCCGTCAAATGGAACAACCAATGCGAGCTCGCGTATCGAAGTCGTCGAGGAATACATTTTGATATCCTCGCCTCAAGGTCCCTTATCTGCCCATTCAGGTGAAAAGACGATTCGACCTGGCATATATTGAATTTGACACCCTCGTTTGGTGAATTGAGCCGTTTGAGACACCACGATGCGACTTGACCGTGTGCCTTCGCAATGTTGATATGCACCTTGTTGTAGCTATCAGCAGCTGTGGTATGAGAGCGGCGTCGAAGGTATTCGACCAGGGTAGGATGGCGGAATCGAATCAGGCTTGTACTGGATTCTATGGTGAGTACGCTTCCTAGGTTTCGAATCAGTGCCTTTGCATCCCCGCCTATGTCGGTGTGCTTGAGAATATCTTCTAAGTCGTCAACGCTGAGTGGCTCGAATGCCGCAAGCAGTATAGCGAGCATGCCATACATAGTCGGACGGTACTTCGGCTCTATACGCTCGAATATCAGCTCGTAGACATCATCTATATCTCCCGTCTTATCCACCGAGATGAGATTGGCGTATATGGTTTCATGGGTATCCCATGTCGTTTCGCTTTTCAGCATTCGACATGCGGTACTCGCCCAGATGAATAACCCATTGGCACTTTTGACGAGCCTTCGCTTCTTATCCTCCGGCAGCATTCCATTGATCATCTGTTCTATATAGATTGCGATGTCATCGATATTATCACGATGGCTCGAGTCATGCAGCCGGTCTTCCATCTTGGCTTTGATTGGAAGTGACCCCAAGGCGGCTTGGATGACAGGATCCGGCCTACTGGTCATGAATATCTTGAGATTCGCGCTTTCCCGAACAGCCATAGAAAGCGTCTCAACAAGTCTTCTTCGTTCAGATACAGATTTGCATTCGTCCAATGCGTCGATGACCAATATAACGGAATTGTTCTGACGTTTTGTGGGCTCGACGATTAACTTTTGGAATTGCTCTTCAAAGGTGCTGGTTATGATCGAGGGGTGTCGCTTGACCGCATCCATAACAGATGGGGCCAGCGTCGGAATATTTTCGAAGATCTGTCTGGCGAAGGTTGGGCACATCTTGGCAATGGTAGATTCCTCGGTGGTGGCGATCGAGAAGAAGAAGTGACCGCCGAGTATACCTGCATCTTTCCAAAATGCAATCATGCTTGCTGACACTGTCGATTTACCCGAACCAGCGATGTCACAAAGCCAGAAAATTGGCTCGGAAAACTCGCCGTGTCCCCAACGACGGATGGAGTCGAGAACAGTCTCTCGAGTTCCCGGATTGCAGCGATTGTGCACCATCAGTGATGTCGAGAGCACAATCGGGAGCTGAGAAATGATAACTAGGTCCGCTGAGAATGGTCAGGCAAAGTCGATCGTGCTCATAGCGTAGGCTTACCATCTTTCAAAAGAGTCTTGGCATCTTCTTTGATACCTTGCGTATCCGCTATCAATGCCTCGGTGTCACCTTTGATAGCTTGAATATGAAGTAAAGACGATACGGCTAGAGCATCCTGAGACCTCGTCAGTAGGAGAGCGAGAGATCCATGTGGCCCGTACTGTAAGTCTTTGATGACAATCATCAATGTCGCGATGAAATTGTCGAATATCACCTGCGTCCATGTCCACTTTCATTGCTCGAGACAGCAGCCGAGACCTCGTTCGTGCTTCGACTGCCGTCTGTATCTCATCGAGTTTCCTGTTCATGATGTAAGCTAAGTGTTCACCCCCTTGGGGAATGAACCTGCCTGACATAGACCAGTAGTGGTTGGAGTAAAGTGTCGTCCACCTTGCGATTCTCCTCGGGATACTCTCCAAAGCGAATGACCTGGCTCTCCATCGACTCCAAATGGCCTTGAAGACGCTCAGAAAGACGTTTCCAATCTTCCTTGTTGTTCCGGACAGCCTATCTTCGCCATCAGATACGTCGAACACACATTCTATGGACGTACGCGTGTTATCTCAAGGATCTGCTTCGTGGCTCTACATGCTGCTTTGAGAGAGGCAAGCGCATCAGATCCTTCTGAGATGTTGGCGACGAGCTCCAGTATCGGAATGGCGGTATCGCGCACTTTGTCCGAGCGGCTGCTTGTACTTGGGTTTGAAGCGTTTGATTGAGAGCCGGATTGTTTACTGGTGTCCTTTGAACGAGGATTCCTGCCTTTGCCTTCGAACCATGACTTGGACATCAGATGCAGACGGGACCAAGAGCAACTGAATACAATGGCATATCGCGTATATGCACTCTGACTGTATGCATCTGTAGATATTAGGTACTTCTCGAGAAGAAACTGGCGTTATATAAATGACCACCCTAATTTTGGACGCCTTTGGGTTATTCTCAAGAAGCCCAGTGGAAATAGTAGAGCTGCACTCCTATGGAAACCAAAATGTACACATTAGGTACTCAGATGCGTTTAATTCTCTCCCAACCCCTCCGTTTGATAGGAAGATACAGAGCTCTCTAGCCTTGTACGCATACGATATCAAACAATCTCCATGATCCATGGCTTGCATTTTGTTACCGCTCAGATGCCGTTGTTTTTTGCTCTGTCGTGATCCCGAGTTTGAAAGATGCTGTAGTTCCAGGGATTTTGCAGTGCCAAAGACCATGCCCACTGTCCACGGCAAAGCCATTATCGGTGGCTATTTGGAAACGGTTTTGCAAGACGACGTCCTGGGCCATCTCTTCGGCAGGAAGCTGAGTTTGTGATTCCTCAGGAGAGAGACACATGGCCTCGATCTGAATCGATGAAGAGTCGAGAGTGCTGGGGACGAGAGAAGGTGACTGAACACTGGTAAGGAACGCCACGGTTTGTCCGACTCGGGGAGCTGTTTCAGCGTCTAGCAGCAGTGCCCCTCGAGAAGGTGAGCCAGCGGATACTGAGAGTACTCGTTGAATCTGGAAATTCTGAGCGAGGAGCGGTATCAAGGGACTATATCCTACCTCTTGCCCATCGAGTACGCCTAGATAGACCTTCTCCGGCTCTGCAGTTTCAACAGGCCTTGTGCGAGAAGTAACAATCTTCATCAGAACATCTGCCGCAGGTTGCTCATTGATCGTGTATATCAAGTTTGAGGATGCACTGAACACAATTAGCCCGTTGTCTGGACCCTGTCAATGAAGGTTACCTTGTAATCGTATAGTCTTCTCCTATCTTGAAAAGATTCGAGAGATTGACTTTGATTTCAGGCCTTTCGTGGTTGCAGAGCGCTACTCCAAAGGCTCCAGAGGAGTGAAAGGCTCCTTGTGATAAAAGGTGAATGGACGACCAGTGACAAAAGGGGTTGACGAAGCAGTAACACCCATCTGATCCACAGGTGAGTAAAATAAAGGATTTATATGCACTTCTTGCCTTGCTTATGCGGGGTAGACGATGGTCAAGAGCAGCAGATAACCCTTCGGCCATATCGTCGGTGAAGTAGAATAACGAGGATACACTGCAGAGCATTAGTAGAAATTGAATGCCTGGATGCACTCACTTGGCCTGAATATCATGCAAATCGGGAGGGAGCGTTGGTATCGGTTCGTTTGAAGTTCCGTCATCCCATTTTGGAGCCATGAAGGGCACAAAAGGCCGTTTTTCATCGTTTATCTGCTCTTTCGAGTACCAGCGGCCGACCTGCGCCTTTTGCCTTCCAGGAATGCTGGAATGCCAGATGCGATGGTGGACCGACGACGGAATGTTCAGGAGAGATAGAGACATATCATGTCGAGGAGATGGACACTCAGAGATGCATCCTACATTTGTTGAAGGCAGGCGTCGAATTTCGTCAAAGAGCTGTTGCAAATTTGATTGCGGTGCATGGACAGCGAATACAGTAGTGGATCCTTTTGATATTGAGAGATTCCTCAGGTAGTTTGTGATGAATTTCTCTGAGCGCGATAAGATGGTCAAAGCTGAAGTCATGTTCAGTTGATTCAGCATCCGTCGCAGGCTTTGAGACATTGACAGAAACAGTCACATAGTCTCGCACATTGCCCCATACACTCGCAACATGCGCCAAATAATTCTGCACACCGGCAACTGCAGCAAAAGTCCCAGCATCGGTCGAGTCCAGTGTTGCACTTTTGACACCACCCTGAGTTTTCCATTTGTGTCCCCAGCGACGAGGGATCAAATCTCCGGGATTGCGGCTCAGAAGCCGAGGGGTCGTAGTATCCTCCATCCCACGCCACTCGTCCAATATCTTGTTTGGAAGCATGGAGTGTCTATTGCTCAGGGTGAGTCCTGGCATCGATGTTTAGACGCCACTTACCGAATTCTCTTGGTTTACTGTGCTCGACAAGAAGGGGCCATTGATAGCAGCCTCATTCGCCACACGAGCGGGTGCTTCAGGTTCACTGATTCTGTTCTGTGCCATCTTTGAACAAGGATGCAGAAGAGCGTTCGGTTCCAGATTGGCCTTTATCCAAACTCGCCCGCGCTAAACGCGCTAAACGCACTAAATGCGCTAAATGCGCTAAATGCGCTAAATGCGCTAATTACACCGCACGTCCAGATAGAGAATTGTCTTGGCGGACCTTTCAAGACCTGAATCCATCTCTTTCGCCATTTACCGAGTTTCGAGGCAGACATTATATGTTAACTATCGTTGGTCAAATCACAGATTCCCGTAAACAACTCGTACAAATCTATCGCACATTCACAACATGTGCAATAGTCTGCGAGATCTTGGGCGCTGCAACAGACGCCCGAACCCGGGTTGAGGTAGCGATCAATCGCCTGACAACACTCTGAATTTTCTATTCGCTGCATGAGTGACGGTGGGTCTCGTCTCTGCGACGACGGCTCAGCGGTCGCGGGCTCAAAGTATCCTCCATTCCAAGACCGTTCTGCCTCCTGCCTAGGAGTATCAAGGGTCTGTAGCTAATTGTGAGTACAGATTCGGATGCATAGGCGCCTCTTACATAGGTCTTTGGGTTCACATTATTAGACAAGAGAGGGTCTGATTCGTTCATTGACGGGCTGGTAGATACTCCAGGTTCATTGGTACTATTGTTTGACATCCTTGTGGGTAAGTATTCGGGGTCCAAGTCCAGTGTATACTCCGACGCGCTTATCGCCGACGCTCTTCTCCGGTGGCACCCTGACTCCTCAAAAAGCCATAACACGACCCGCTTTGAAGATTTTTTCCATCGGGTATCCCGCATGCTTCACTAAATTTGATCCTTTCTGCCATTTCTGGGTATAAGCCACGTTCAATCAGGACACCTAATTACATCCCTGAAAGATACCGGTACAGATCTCGCCGCAAATTATCATCCACTGGCAACAATAGCACACCTCATCCATACATCGCTTGCTGCAACACCAATACTCCGAGAATCGATCGTACCCATTCTCAAACTTTTGGTACCACTCTAAATTCTCCATTCGCTGCTTGAGTGATGAGGGTTCCCCTCCCTGGGATCGTGCCAGTGGCTCAGCTGCGGACGGGTCAAAATATCCTCCATCCCATGCCCGCTCCGTATCTTGTTTAGGAGTTTCAAGGGTCTAATTATTATGTGAGCATAGATTGTGAGGCTTTATAAGCCCCTTACAACGCCGTCGGGTCCATTTTGCCAGATAAAAGACGCTCATTGACACCCAAACCATCAGCAGGTATTTCGGGTTCCTCAATCTTGTTCTCTGACATTGCTGAACGAGCGTATAAGCGAGTGTTGGGTCCAAGTTTTTATATGACTTTTGTCCGCATCGCCGCGCTAATTACTCTGTTGGTACCGTGACCACAATTTTCCCAACAGAGGCATCGCTCTCCATGTCCTGGTGCGCCTTTACGATATCCTCCATCGAATAAACCGCGTGCATCACGACCTGAATTGCGTCCCTTTTGCCATTTCCTTGGTTCCCGAACGCTTGCTCGACGATATGAGGGAACACGTCCTTTCCAAAGTTTTGAACGAGATTCATTTGGTACTCTGGGCTTCGTGAGCGGAGCGTACTTCCTGTAATCTGCAGCCGCTTGAACAGGATAGGCCCCAGCGAGGTCTTCTCCACGTCCAAGCCTGACTTTATGAGTAAACTGAGAGACAGAGATGACAATGTGCTTACCACTAAGTAGCCCCAGCATCACCATTCGTCCGTCCCGAGCCAGAGATCCCAGGTTCTTGTTCCAGTGGCTCTGTCCCACAAAGTCCACAAGCACGTCGACACCGTACTTATTGGTAGCATCCATGATGTGCTTCTCAAAGTCTTCCTTTTTATAGTTGATCGTGTGCAAGAGCTCGTTGTCTCCGATGAGCTTGTGTAAGAATCCCAATTTTTCCTCAGAAGACGCCGTGGTAAAGATTCGTTTTGCGTGGAATGATTTGGCGATTTGCAGAGCGGCGGTGCCGACGCCTGAAGAAGATGAGTCGCGAGTTGCTGCGAGGTTCGAAGTGGCTCTCACCGCTGGCTCCAGTATGAATCAGGACATTATCGCCCTCTTTGATCTTTGCGATAGTTACCAATGCCTGGTAAGCTTCTCTGGTGTCAGATGGTATTTGACGTCGAAAGTTGACTGACCTGTAATATAGTTTTCCATAATGCCGGCCGCTACCTCCCAAGGCATACCAGAAGGCTTTGGGAGCAGGAATCCAGTGCCTATTGCAATGTATTCCGCGTAGGCTCCCTATCTAATGTCAGTCGTAATCGAACAGGAGTTTATAGTGCGTACTCCGGTGGCAAGTCCGAGCACTTCATCGCCAACGGACCAGTTATTGACACCAGATCCGAGTTCCTCGACTGTGCCCGCAAACTCTACACCCAGGATATGACTGGCACCAGGGGGGACTGGGTACTGCCCCTCTCGTTGCCTATGTAGAATGAGTGTTTTTGGCGTATATGGGGACTAAGAGTCGTACAGGATGTCCATACGGTTCAATCCAAAGGCTCTGATCTAGCAGAATGTGAGCTACATCATAGGTGGCTGAGAATAGAACGGACCTTGACGAGGACTTCGTCCTTGGCTGGCTTTGGTTTTGGAGCATCGCCTATGTACAGTTTCTCTGCGCCTTTGTTGTCGTTGTTGATCAAGATGGCTTTCATGGTGAGCTCCAAAGAGGATACGCGTTTGTCATCCGTCTTCGCAATGCAGTGGATGGATCATTGTTTTTGAGAACTGGTCGACTCAGTAAGTGTGCAAAGTATCAGCACAAGCAATCCAACACCCAAAGCCAATCAAGGTCAGCGTCAAGTCTTGGATTGTGACCATGTCGGTGGAGGCCAGCCGCCCCTCACTTGAAGACTCGCTGGACGAGTTTATCGCTCTTTTAAAGCAAAAGACAGACGAAACTGTCACTGCAGCGAATGCACTCCCACCAGATATTGCATTCCACCGCTCCCTCGACAGAAAATTCAGAGCCGACCTCGACAAGACGACAGAACGCGTCCTTAAGCTCACAAATCGTCTACTAAAACTAGCAGAGACTGTCTCCATCAAGCCTGCCAATGCCGGTGCGCGTAAAAAGAATACCGAGCTCGATTCGGATGAAGACGCGCTCGAAGACGAACACGATGTAGTCGACAAGTTTCATTCCGTCGTCGTAGATACCATGGATCCACTCCTCGAACACGCTGTAAGTCGTCACGACACCTTGCTGAGTTCGCTAATTCCTTGCCACTACGCTAGTTGTACAGCTTGGACGTGCATACTGGTCGCGTCAAAGCACGAGCAGATGTACCTGTCGTCAAAAAGGAAAAGAGTGTATGGCCCCTTACACTTTTGCTTATGCACATCCTAACTCTGATGCTAGAAACCCGACACTACTCGTCTACCTGCAAATGTCCTTCATGCTAACAACTTGGTCAAGCCTCAAACACGATTCATCGAGCCGGTCAACAATTCCAATGACCTTGTCTGGCGGCATACTCTACAACAAAAGTGGCACGCAGCGCAGATTGGCAGCAGTCGACCTCCGTCTTCGTAAGTATACGAAATATCGCATACCATGCTAACACGGATTAGGGCACATCCTTATTTCAAGGAGATTACTTCGCTCTCCCATCCTCCATCGATGTTCCTATCACGTCCGCCTATTCCTCCGAAATCTTTCGACGACACGCCATTCACATTCGTTGAATCACTGAACGGTCTTCATTCGCTCCTCGACCAACTCAAGCAGAGCGAGGAGATCGCGATAGACCTTGAGTATCATAGCTATCGAAGTTACTACGGTTTCGTCTGCCTGATGCAAGTTAGTAATCGTCAGCAAGACTGGGTCGTCGATTGCTTGGTGCCAGAGATTCGAGCGAATCTTGAAATCCTCAACGAGGTGTTCACAGACCCAAACATTGTAAAGGTATGTCTCTCTCGGTGCTCAATGCGCTCAAATCTCATACAAAAAAGGTGCTGCATGGTGCAGAGTCGGACATCGTTTGGCTACAAGAAAACTTTCACCTCTACATCGTCAACCTATTCGACACCTTTCATGCATCCCGCGCCTTGGAACTCCCTCGCCATTCACTCGCATTCCTCCTCTCTGCTTATTGCGATTTTACTGCCGACAAACGGTATCAACTAGCCGACTGGCGGATTCGTCCCCTTCCCGCGGAAATGCTCCATTACGCCCGCTCTGACACCCATTTTCTCCTCTTCATCTACGACCAACTTCGAGAAGCACTCCTAGAGAAAGGAAAGAATCCTTCCACACCTCCAGCTGAGGATGCACCGCCATTATCAGATCCTCAACTTCGTTATATCCGGCGCGTATTGTCCAACTCTGCTCAAACGTCGCTACGCGAATTTGTAAGAGAACGATACGATGCTGTCGAGGGGACAGGTATGCGCGGGTGGGCGGGGCTCTTGAAAAAGTGGAATCGGCGGTCGTTACTCGTCCCTGGAGTGGAGCGCAATATCTTTTTGGCCGTACACGCTTGGAGAGATAGAGTCGCTCGAGAAGAAGATGAGAGTCCAGTGTGGGTTTACCCTTTTCTGTCTCGATTGAAGCTTGCTTACGTTTGCCTAGGTTCGTTATATCCAACCAATTGCTTCTTTCGTTGATGGACAAGCCTGTTCCTGTGAATCTTACTGCGCTGTTTGCGTCGTTCCCGGGTTCTGTCCCTTCTCTTATTCGTAAGAGGGGTGCAGAGCTTCTCAAGGTTATGCAAGACGCTGCTGTTGCTCCGATAGACGCTGCCAAGATGGAGCCGATGCTCTTGGAGGAGGATGCCATCATCTTTGATGCCACGGCAAATGCCATTACGACGGATCTGCCCTCACATACTCTACTGCCCTCTCAATCGATCGTACCGGTTGTTGGACTCTGGGAACCGACGAAACCCCCCATCATTGCGAAGCGTTCGACCTTGTTTGGAGGCAAGTTGGGTGATACGGATTCTCAAGGAGCTGGAGCAAAGTTGGCAGTTCGGACGAGCACGCTATTTGGAGCCAGACTGACCTCTGCTCGACTTGCAGAGTCATCGACAGACGCAATTCGGAAGTCCATTCAAGATATTCACAACAGCATCATGAATACTTCCAAAAAGGTGAGCGCCCACTATTGTCTATGCCTTGACCTGATATATAAATAGGAAGTGGTCGTCCAAACTCAATCAATTGTCAAGCAGGCACCACAACCCAAATCTGACCCCAACCCTCCAAGTCTGGAGGAGCAACCGCAACCCGTACCGCAACCGATGCTGGCCGAAGTCGAGTTTATTCCTCGCTCTCAGAGGACAATTCGTCGACAAGACGATGACGATGTTGTGATCATTGGTCAGAGGAAGCAGAAACGGAAACGGAATGCCGATGATTCACTCTCAGATAAAGCGTCTTCGTCCAAGCGCAGCAAACTTACAACGGCTCAAGTGGAATCCGATCCAGGGGTGGATTCGGAGATTGCCGTTTTCGACTATGGTGCCGAACCGAATTTGTTGGACGAGGGTGCATTGAGAAAGGAGCAAGGCAACGTGTCGTTCAAGAAGGAGCGACGAGAGGCACAGAAAAGGGACGGTACGTGCATAATCTACTTCCGTGGCTATCATTCTTACTTGGTTGTAGGAGCTAAACTCGACTTCGGCGAGTTTCGACGTGCTCCCAAGAAGACGAACGAGCCGAAGAGTGGGAATAAGTCGATTACGTATCGCTGACCGTCCGACGCTGTATCCTCGAATGGAGCGAGTGAAGCTCTACTCTCTGTAGCAATAACATGGTCGATTCGACTGACGTTTGCAAACACCAAAACTACCGAAAGGGTCGAGCCTACATTCCTTCTCATTCCGAGACACGGCTGCTGTGGCTACTGAAACTTGCGGGCAGATGAAGTGTGTTGTGTAGAGACTCCTACCCTGCGACGGGTTAACCTTGACCTCAACGTAGCCCCAGACGTAGCCAAAAGGATTAGATATGGTCATTCATCGAGGCGATTAGAACACTCGATGTGGCACAGGCAAGTTGGCCGAGCTGGTGCAATTCTATCCAATATTTCGACAGACTCTGTCAACGAGGCTGGGTCATAGGCTAACTTCATGCTCTTATCTTTAACCACACTGATCCTGGACGATGTTCTCGAGCGCTGGGGCACTTGGACGCGCCAAAGTATGGGTAGGGAATCGTGGAATCGTCCGAACCACAGGCTCTAGACTGCTAGAATGATAAGATTCAATATTCTCAGTGTCATCCCTGATGATATTCATCTCCACTCGTGGCATTCGGTGATTCTGAAGGTGCTTGGCAAGCATTATCAGAGCAACGGCACCTCTGGGGAGGCCTGTAGGTCTGGAAACTGGGACGTCGTTTATAGATAAATCTACCGATTACTCGATCGTGTATTTGTAAGTCTCCTCGACTACCGTCTCTTCATTCGTCGCTAGGGCCGGTATATATTGGCTCTTGAATACTCCGACGAACACACTTGAACCTTGTAGTGCCTCATGCGTGTTGACAATGCTAAATCCTCATTTAGTGCACACCATTACCAGCGACGGGTCAGAATAGTAATTCAAATCGTTAATCAGCCGCTGTTAACCAGCAGGCACGTGGATCACTCTCCACAGATTACGGATAGATAAGGCTCTGAAAGATATATGAATGTTCTCCGGCGTAGCTGAGGCCTTCCTCATCATCATCATGGCTCTCGCACTTGCCGTCTACTCCCTGTCAGCCCGCGCTCCTCAAGGTAGCACGTCGAACGCGACAGAATGCCTTCCATCGTGCGCAAAACAGTACAGGAGTCTTCCTGGAATCGTTCTGAGCTGTCTCACCACAATATTTTTGTGCATTTGGGTGTCACTCCATCTCAACCTTCCCGAGCCTGTGGAGACTAGAGGCTTGGGCCGCTTCAAGCGATTCAAAGTCTGGCTCAGGTCGTTTATTAGATGCACCGTTATTCCTATCTTCGTGACACTTGTGTTCCCAGAATGGGTTCTGGGTATTGCGGTTCTCCAGTTCGCCAAAGCCACTCAGCTGGCTAAGGATATTGGTATAGTGCAGAGTTAGCGCTTCATTATTTGACACTGATCTGTCCATCCCAAGGTGGTACTCGCCAACAAGGATTCTTCATCTTAATGGGAGGCTTCCATCTCTTCAAACACAGCCAAGGACCGTCAAGGAATCAGATGGATGCCCAAAAGGAAGGAGGAGAGGAAAATCACCCGTTGGTTCATATATCAGCAGCAGAGGAGGGAGATGGTCGACCTGAACTCGAGGAAGATATTGGAGAACCTGTCCATCCTCTCGATGAGTTTGACGTCTGTCGGCTTATTGATGCGGGCAAACTCCGCTTCCCTACCCTTGTCGAGCTGCAGGACAAGTGCAAGAGTGACGGACTCGCAAAGCTCCTGGTCGTAGTCCAAACGCTCTGGTTCATTGCTCAATGCACCGCACGGAAACTCAGCAGCCTCCCACTCACTGAGCTCGAGGTCATTACACTCGGCTATACTCTACTCACGGTGTCAATGTATGCCGCATGGTGGGACAAGCCCTACAGGGTGACGTTCCCAATACGTGTGTATGCAACACTCCCCGCACGTACAGAAGAACAAGAAGAGATGAAGCGGAATATGGAGAGGTATCCATTTTGGGACATGGCCTTTGGGTATGTCACAGGCACTCAGGGTGATGCCGTCGACCTGCGGAGTGTGAGGTGCGTTCCAATGTTTTATTCTGGGTACAGTGAAAATGGAGACAAACCCAGAGATTTCCTTTCGCTAACAACCACAATTGTCGTGGGGACTGTGTTTGGCGCTGTCCATTTTCTTGCGTGGTCCTCTCCATTTCCGTCCAATCAGATGCAATTTCTGTGGAAATTTGCGACTATCGTCATGACTCTAGCACCACCTGCAGCAGTCGCAGTCACCGCTCTTGGTGTAGTAATTACCTTGGTGTCTGAAAATCTGGCGAACGTGATTGCGCAACTCCTTGTGTTTCTACTACCTCCTCTCTACTTCGTTGGAAGAGGTATAACAATTATTCTCGCATTGGTGACGCTCACATCACTCCCACTCGAGGTGTATCGAGATGTAGAGTGGACCGACTTCTTCCCCCACATCTAGACCCTGCTATTCCTCTTGTCTATACCTTTCTTCGTTGTATATCTTCAATTTTCCAAGGTTTATCGAGATTTTGACCAATACAAGCAAATACCGCACTGTGTCGATACTGCTCGACCTTTCCTCTTTCTCAATCTAAAATCCCGGGTCTTTTTCAGATCGCAGACTGTCTAAACTTCGGGTCCGATGACCGTGTTGTGCGGAACTTCCAGGTGCACTGCTTGGGATCAGCAATTTAGCGATGCTGATCCGAAGACAGTTAAAAGGATAGAATTGGTTCGTCGTGATCCTCGTCTTCTGAGCATCGTACAACAAGATGGGTCTGGTATACGATTCGATCAACCATAGAGACAACATACAGCCAAGGGATCAGATATCCTAGCTCCTTATATATTGGGTATGATGGGCAAGAATTGGGAACAGTTGTCGAGAATGTTGAGAAAGAGTTGATACAAAGACACAGCCTGGTACGGTTCGAGCTCGCGCAGCTATGGCGGTCAAACCGTGCGTGGTAGAGGACAGATACCCCGACACCACCAAGCGGTTTGCTCCTCGCGGACGAGCGGGATTCCCGAGACTAGACGGTTAACCCGTAGGTTGCAATATGGGAATCCGAACGGGCCCTACGGCGAATGCCTAAAGCCATCGGAGAACTCACCGCCTACCTTTCTTCCGCCTCTGAGGTACTGGTTGCTGTTGTGAACCAGAGACTCACGAAATTTGTGCGCTGATGAAAATCGGGTGTCGAACACTTGGTGTGGCACTGGCAAGTTGACCAAGCTGGCACGGCTCCATCCAATATTGACAGATTCCATTAACGAGGCTCGGTCACAGGCCACCTTCATGCTCTTATCTTCCACCAAACTGATCCCGGGTAGTACGAAGTGTGATGTACAAGATGATTGGTCTACTATGTGTGAGCCCCTTACACGTCGCTGAGCTGGCCGTCATTCTCAAGCTCACTTGAGGACCCGAACGGGCCACAGTGTTGGTACAGAATATTTCAAACCATCAGGCTCTCTAGACTGCTAGAATGACGAAGTTTGACATTCTCAGTACCGCATTTGGTGATATTCATCTCTCGTGGCATTCTGCGACTCTGGTGGCACTTGGCGAGCACCATCGGAGCAATGGAGCATCCGGGGACGCTTGTAGGTCTGATAACGGCGACGTCATTCAAGATATAACAATTAACCCGCCTTATATCCGCAAGGCTCCTATCCATGCGACATCGTCTCTTTATTCGGCGCGAGGGCCGAAATACATACTCCCTCGTGAATCGTAGGAATCGGTTGTATACTCCGCTGAACACATTTGGACATTGCCCTTCCCTTGTAGTGCCTCCTGCGTATTGACAATGCTAAATTCTCATGTGGTGTACGCCCTTGCGAGCTATCAGAGTGGCAATTCAAATAGTTTATCAGCCACTGTTAACCAGCAGACACGTGGATGCCTCTCTACTGATTGTGGGATAGATAAGGCTCTGAAAGATATATAAGAATTCTCCGGCCTGGCTGAGGCCTTCCTCATCATCATCATGGCTTTCGCACTTGCCGTCTACTCCCTGTCAGCCCGCGCTCCTCAAGATGGCACGTCGAACACGACAGAATGCCTGCCATCGTGCGCGAAACAGTACAGGAGTCTACCTGGGATTGTTCTGAGCTGTCTCACTACAATCTTTTTATGCATCTGGGTGGCGCTTCATCTCAACGTTCCCGAGCCCGTGGATACCAGAGGCTTGGACCGCTTCGAGCGATTCAAAGTCTGGCTCATGTCGTTTATTAGATGCACCGTGACTCCCATTCTTGTGACCCTAGTGTTCCCTGAATGGGTTTTGGGTATGGCCGTTCTTCAATTCCGTAAGGCCACTCAACTGGCCAAGAAGATTGGTATGGTGCACATTTTGTTTCATTAACTTTTATTGACCGGTTCACTGTAAGGTGGCACACGCCAACAAGGATTCTTCATCTTAATGGGTGGCTTTCATCTCTTTAAACGAAGCCAGGGGTCTTTAAGGGATCAGATCGAGGCCATACAGAGGGACGGAGAAGAAAACCATCCACTGGTCAAATTATCGGGGGCGGAAGAGGGAGATGGTCGACTTCGCGATGCGCCAAATAACAAAGCGACCCGCCTACTCGAAGAGGAAGCCGGAGAGCCTGTTCATCCTCTTGATGAATTTGATGTGTGTCGCCTTATCGACACTGGCAAACTCCACTTCCCTCCCTCTGCCGAGCTACTGGACAGGTGCAAGAGCGACGGACTCGCAAAGTTCCTTGTCATCGTCCAGACCCTATGGTTCATCGCTCAGTGCATCGCACGGAAAGTCAGCAAACTCCCACTCACCGAGCTTGAGGTCGTTACGCTTGGCTATACTCTACTTACGGTGGGCATGTACGTTGTCTGGTGGGACAAGCCCTACCGGGTAGCATTCCCTGTGCGTGTGTATGGAACACTCCCTGAGCGTACAGAAGAGCAAGAATGGCTCATGTTGAAGTCGTCGGACTGGTCTGAGATGGTCGTTCAGTATGCCTCGGGCACTCAGGGTGCGTTTGTCGAGCTCCGGAGTGTGAAACGAATTCCAATGTTTCACTCTGGGTACATAAAAGGAGAGTGAATATTCGCGAACTCGCCGGCGCGATGACCACAATCATTGTTGGGACATTGTTTGGTGCTGTCCATTTCCTTGGGTGGTCATCGCCTTTTCCATCCAGTCATATGCAATTTCTCTGGCGATTTGCGACAATTGTCATGACTGCAGTTCCGCCTGCTGCAGTCATACTCACACTCATCATGGCATCAATTGAAGTGATCTTCGACCTGGATAACTCGTTCACTTACTCCCTAGTTCTATTACCTCCACTCTACCTCGCTGGAAGAGGTATAACCATCGTGCTTGCGTTGGTGACGCTCGCATCACTCCCACTTGAGGCATATCGGGATGTGGAATGGTCTGACTTCTTCCCCCACATCTAGCCCCTTCTATTCCTCTCATCTCTACCTTTCTTTGTTTCATATCTTCAATGTGTAAAAGTTTGTACATCATCGAGATTTTGCCCAATACAAGCAAATACCGCACTATCCGATACTACTCGGCCATTCCTCTTGCTCAACCTAAAACTCCGGGTCCTTTGTAGATCATAGACTGTCGAAACTTCTGGCCCGATGATAGTCTTGTGCGAAACTTCCCGCTTCGCCACTTGGAATCTTCCACTTCGCGATGTCGACGCAACGCACAACCAAAAATAGCATAATTTCCAATTCATCGGGATCCTCGACTTTTGAGCAACGTACAACAAGTAAGAAGGACCAGGTATACGACGCGATCAACCTTGGACTCGACGTGGTCGCAAATACAGCCGAGGGATCAGATATCCTGGCTCCTCTGAAAGCCGCTTGCCGGACAACAAAATCGATCCTTGAAGTGGTACAGGTAATTTGACGAACCTAGCCGGTTCCATGATCTAATGAATGTGACAGGCGATTGAGAACAACCGAGAAGAATGGAGCGACCTAACCCGGCGGTTGAAGGAATATATGTCTACACTAGAGGAGCAAATAGCCTTGTTTGAGACCTATTCCCCGGCGGACAGAGGCGTCAACGAGGCGTTTAGTCGACCGCTCATCCATTACGTCGAGTACGTGGATAGTGAAAATATATTAAAATAGGCTGAGATATACAGATTCCTCGAAACTATGCACGATACGGTTGTCGGTCTTAAGGAAAAACGCAGACGCAGCAGACTCGGCCTCCTCAAAGCGTTTAGCAGAGTAAAGATCGATACCGAGGAGATTCGTAAACTCAACCGAGAAATTGATGACAAACACAAGCAGTTCATGGTGCGTGTTTCATCAACAATGTCCTAATTCTAACTTTGGACGTAGGCAGCATTGAACTTGTTTACCGCATTACGTGTTCAAGCCATCGAATGGAACAGTAAGCTGAATTCCTTTTCGGTACAATTGCTTAGCATTTCAAGTTGCGATACTCCAGCTGCCAGCGGTGGCATTCGTTGCAGCCTCAGTTCACACTACCTGTTTGCAAGGAACACGTCGAGCCGTTCTCCAAACAATCTCGGATTGGGCCGAAGATAAAGTATCGGATAAACCGATATTTTGGCTTTGTGACATAGCTGGTTCTGGCAAATCCACAGTTGCAATGTCGGCAGTGGAGTCATGGACAAGGTCAGGCCTCCTGGGCGGCCGGTTCTTCTTCTCCATAGCAAGCAGCGAAGGGTCGACCACCGACAAGTTCTGTTCCACCATAGCAAGGGACCTTGTTCATTACATCCCGGAGCTCGCGCCGCAGGTCGCTGGAGCCGTGAAACAGAATCCCTCTTTCATGCGAAGCTCTCTTGATGAGCAATTCAATACCCTCGTCAGTAAACCCATTCGTCATTGGCAACGGCCTGTCGTTCTTGTCGTCGACGCCCTTGACGAATGCAAATCCCCATCACAGAGAAGAGAGCTGGTCAATACCTTATCTAAGGCGGTTCAGAATTGCAGAAATCTCAAGGTGTTTATGACGAGCAGGCCAGATCCTATTGTCCAAGCAGTCCTAGGATCGCTCTCGATCAAAGCCAAGTTGGAGGACCGCCTCCACAATATCAATCATCCTGATAATATCGACGACATCACTATTTATGTCCATCAATCACTAGATGGAATACTGTCCGAGGACAAGAGGCGGAGACTAGTAGCAAAGGCCAACGGGTTGTTCATCTGGGCGAGCACTGCATGTAGAATGCTCAACAGCGAGACAAGCCTGACCCCTCCTGACATTACGTTCAATCGTCTCATGTCCATGGACCAAGCTGGCGCCATAGACAGTCTGTACAGCCTCGTCTTCGAGCGCATAGACCCCGAGCAGTGCGAGGTGATGTACGAGATGCTTGGCTTACTGCTCGCTGCCTTCGAGCCGCTCAACGCCGAAGAGCTGGACGACATTCTCCAGCATGCCGGGGTGCCCGGGAGCGCCAAGGCGTTGGTGCGGAATCTCGGGAGCGTGCTTACCGAGGTCGGAACTGGAAACCTAATTCAGTTCCGGCATCCAACCCTTGTTGAATACCTTCGACGCTGCTCCGCTGTCGATAGCCGCAACAAGGGACACATCAACATGAGCAAGTCGCATGGTCAAGCCGCATCATGGTGTCTCAAATGCTTCAAGTCGCCAACTGAAGGTCTCAGGTTCAATATATGTCAAATCGAATCATCTTTCTGTCTAAATAGAGAGACTCCAAATCTCGACACCAAAATATCAAAATTCATTTCGAGAAGACTTCGATATGCCAGCTCTCACTGGTTGTTCCATGTGACAGAAACTGACAACAACTGGCGATCCACGCTCAAGACCGAGCTTCAATACATCATTCGATTCCCATACGTGCTATATTGGATGGAAATACTGAGCTTTACCGGAGGTGTGGCACGAGCACTAGCTGGTCTTCGAGCTGTGATGGCCCACAGAGACGTGAGTGGCTTATTCCAATTAAAGTTGACCACTTACGCAGCAGGCAGATTGAAGAGGAAACCAGAGGCATTATGAACGAGATCAGGCGGTTCCTAATTGCATTTTCGGTACCAATCCAGGAGAGCGCCCCACACATCTACATTTCCGCGCTTCCATTTACTCCGACAAGGTCAAAGCTACATATGGTTGGCATAACCAAATATGCTAATACCATTAATGTGACACGGGGCCTTGAGAAGTATCCCGGCCTCCCAGAGCTTTTGGTGGCCACGAAAGTCCCGTCAGTGCCATCGCGTTCTCGCTAGACGGATCGAAAATGGCCTCTGGTTCATTCGATAACACGGTTCGGCTATGGGATACAGAAACAGGACAGCCGTTAGGAGAGCCACTTAGGGGTCACGAAGGATCGGTCACGGCTATTGCCTTTTCGTCGGACGGCTCACGAATCGTCTCGGGCTCGGATGATAGGACGATTAGAGTATGGGATGCAAACGGTGGGCAGTCATTAGGAGAGCCACTCCAAGGCCATGAAGGCTTGGTAAGGGCTGTCGCATTTTCGCTAGACGGCTTGCGAATACTCTCTGGCTCGGACGACAATACCATTAGACTGTGGGATACAGCTACTGGTGAGCCATTGGGAGAGATACTTCGGGGTGGCGGTGACTGGGTTCAGGCCATCGCGTTCTCGCCGGACGGTTCACGGATCATCTGTGGCTTGGACAACAACACAATTCAAATGTGGAATGCAGCCACTGGAGAACCGTTGGGAGAGCCACTCAGAGGTCACAAAGGATTGATCTTTGCTGTCGCATTTTCCCTAGACGGTCTACGAATCGTCTCGGGATCTCACGATCAAACGATCCGGCTGTGGGATGCTACTACTGGTCAGACGTTAGGGGAACCTCTTCAAGGTCACGGAGAATTGGTCTTTGCTGTCGCATTATCACCAAATGGCTCTCGAATCGCTTCCACCTCCCCCAACACGATTCGAGTATGGGATGCAGACACCGGTCAACAGTTGGGAGAGCCTCTCCAAGGTTATGAAGGATTGGCTTTTTCCGTCGTATTCTCGCCAGATGGCTCAAGAATTGCCTCCGCCCCGAATAGCATGATTCAAATGTGGGATGCGGTCACTGGTCAGGTGCTAGGAGAGTCATTACAAAGCCACGAAGACTCGGTGACAGGAGTTACATACTCTCCAGACGGATCGTGCATCCTCTCTGGATCAGAAGACAAGACGGTTAGATTGTGGGATACTGCCACTGGGCAGCCTTTGAGAGAGCCGCTTGGAGGTCACGAAGGAGGGGTCCACGCCATCACACTCTCGCCAGACGGCTCACGAATCGCCTCTGGCTCAGACGACCGGACGATACGAATATGGAACGCCGCCACTGGAGAGCCCCTTGGAGAACCACTCAAAGGCCACGAAAACTCGGTTGACGCTGTTATATTCTCTCCTGACGGCTCACGAATAGTTTCTGGATCAAGTGACGCTATTCAAATACGGGATGCAGTCACTGGAAAGGTATTGGGAGAGCCACTCAGAGGGCATGAAGGGGAGGTCAAGAGTGTTGCGTTCTCGCCAGATGGCTTGCGAATTGCCTCTGGTTCCAGCGACACCACGATCAGACTTTGGGATGTGGTCACTGGAAAGGTATTGGGAGAACCACTCAGGGGGCACGAAAGAGAGGTTAAGAGTGTTGCATTCTCACCAGATGGCTTGCGAGTTGCCTCTGGTTCGAGCGATGCCACGATCAGACTTTGGGATGCGGTGACTGGGCGGCCATTAGGAGGACCCTTCCGAGGTCACGAAGGAGCAGTGTTTGCTGTCGCATTCTCGCCTGATAACTCGCGGGTCGTTTCTTGCTCGTACGACCGGACAGTTCGACTGTGGAATGTAGTTACTGGCCAAGCGCTGGGAGAACTAGTCGGAACTCATCAAGGAGCAGTGTTTTCCGTCGCGTTCTCGCCAGACGGCTCGCGAATTCTATCTGGCTCGGCAGACCAGACGATCCGCGAGTGGGATGCAGATAACAGTAAGTAAATCAGCCTTGTGTGACACAACCTAACGAGGATACCATTAGGCGTAAACGCGAACGCCTCCGACCAGGGCCACGTGGGGTCTACGCCTTCCGCCCTTGAGGCAGACCGAGAGCGCACTCCTCTCGCAATTCATATACCTGGATTCGATCAGTGCACCCTTTTATGGGATGGCTGGGTGGAATCTTCTGGTAAACGTCTCTTCTGGGTGCCGCCCGACAATCGTTACGGTCTGCAGAATCCGCGCCTTCTTTTGACTATGCCGACGATGAGTCCCTTTCGTGCCACCAAACTTGACTTCACCCGGTTTCAGTGTGGTCTCTCTTGGACCAATGTTCGAACAGACACCACTTAACTATTTGTATGATCGATATTTATAGTATTGTGTGGTATTGGAAGCTAATTCACTCTCCACTAGAATCACATCGAGTTAACTTCATCCTCATTTGTATTGACTAAATTCTCCCCTGCTACCTCGCGTTAATCGCCGTTTGCTCTTTGAGTGAATAAAGACGAAAGGTATGATTATCCGAATGGGCAACATACTTAGGCTTTCAGGAGCGGAGGTACCAGCGGATTGGCACGGAGTTTGTTTCCAACCAGCACGGTCCGCTGGACATCTGACTACCGAGTATAGAATATATAAAGTTCTTTAAAATGCGCAAGAGCGCCGTTACTTACTCCTTCTCTCCGTCTCGTCATGGCTCTCGCCGTCGCCGTTTACTCCCTGTCGACCCATGCTGCTCAAGACATTGCGCCGAATATGACGGAATGTCTTCCATCTTGCGCTAGACAGTACAGAAGTCTTTCTGGGATTGTTCTGAGCTGTCTCACTACAATCTTTTTATGCATCTGGGTGTCGCTCCATCTCAATGTTCCCGAGCCTGTGGACACCAGGGGATTGGGCCGACTCAAGCGATTCAAAGTCTGGTTCAGGTCGTTTATTAGATGCACCGTTGTTCCTATCTTCGTGACACTGGTGTTCCCAGAATGGGTTCTGGGTATTGCAGTTCTCCAGTTCGCCAAAGCCACTCAACTGGCTAAGAAGATCGGTATGCTGCAGGATAAAGTCTGATTATTAGATAATGACTAGTGCGTTGATAGGCGGGACTCGCCAACAAGGATTCTTTATCATAATGGGTGGCTTTCATCTGTTTAGACGACACCCGGGGTCTTCAAAAAATCCAATCAGCACTATAATACAGGGCGAAGAAGAAGCACACCCACTGGTCAATATATCGGAGACTGAAGGCGGTAAGGCTGACAATGCGCCGAATAGCAAGGCAATCCGTCTACTCGAAGAGGAGATTGGAGAGCCTGTTCATCCTCTCGATGAATTTGATATCTGTCGGCTTATCGACGCCGGTCAACTCCACTTCCCTCCTTCTGCCGAGCTACAGGACAGGTGCAAAAGCGACGAACTCGCAAAGTTCCTCGTGATAGTCCAAACGCTCTGGTTCATCGTTCAGTGTGTTGCTCGGAAAGTCAACAAGCTCCCACTTACTGAGCTCGAGGTCATTACGCTCGGTTATACTCTACTCACGGTGTCAATGTACATTGCATGGTGGGACAAGCCCTACCGGGTGACGTTCCCAATACGTGTGTATGCAACGCTCCCCGGACGTACAAAAGAACAAGAAGAGATAAAGTGGAATATGGAGAGGTATTCATTTCGGGACATGGCCTTTGGGTATGCCACAGGCACTCAGGATGATGCCGTCGACCTACGGAGTGTCAGAGAAATTCCCATGTTTTCCTCTGGGTACATAAAGAATAAAGGTCTCACCGAGTTTGTCGGGATTCTGACCACAGTCATTGTTGGGATGGTCTTTGGTGCTGTCCACTTTCTTGCGTGGTCGTCGCCCTTTCCATCTCACCATATGCAGTTCCTCTGGCGATTCGCCACAATTGTGATGACTGCAGTTCCACCTGCTGCAGTTATACTCTTCATGTTTACTGCGGTAATCGAAGGGTGCTTCTCCCCGGATAAGTCGATCCTTTACTTCCTACTTCTATTGACGCCATTATACTTTGTTGGGAGAGGGATAACGATTGTGCTTGCGCTAGTGACGCTCGCATCACTCCCACTCGAGGCATATCGAGACGTTGAGTGGTCCGACTTGTTTCCCCACATCTAGATCTTGTTACAGATACTACTTTGTACGATTATGTAATATTCTAGTGTGAACGGGGCTAATTCATTCTCCACTCGAAATCACGTTCGTTGGACTCCGCCATTCCGTGGGCGTATATATCCGGCAAACCCTGGTCGATACCCTCTGTCGTCTTCCCGGTTTTCCCATTTCAAAGCAGCAATTTGTTCATGTTGCGGCGGCTGTCCCTCTCCCGTTCTCGCCTTGTTCCTTCGCTCGTGCCTCGTTCCGCCCAAACCCCCGTCCTAATCGTCCGTCATGCTTTCTTTTATGTCAGTTTTTGGCTAATATTATACTCTGTGATTATAGATGTCGCGTAAACAGTCTGGATCCGTTGGTACCATGCTCGCACACGAAGCCGAGCTGCCAGGACTTCCCGTACCCAGTATCCAATCTACAGCAGAAAAGTATCTAGAAACGACCCGTCCACACCTCACACCATCCGAGTTTCGCACAACGCAGCTCGCCGTCAACGACTTTATTTCGTCTCCGCTCGTCCGGCGATTGCAAACGCGTCTCGAGGAACGCGCAGCCAGCGAGAAGAGTGCTGGGAGGAACAACTGGCTCAGCGAATGGTGGAATGATGTTGCGTATGTCCTTATTTTCCACTTGAACCGGCTGGTGCTGATTGTATGAGGACAGCTACATGGCATACCGAGACCCTGTCGTCGTTTTCGTTAGCTACTTTTACGTACACATGGCTGGACAATCAGGCAAAGGACGAGATGCGCGTGCGGCAGAACTCTTAAAGGGTCTCCTCATGTTTAGACAACTCGTCGAGAGCCAAAAGCTCGAGCCGGAAAAGGTCAAGGACTATTATCTTGCCATGAGCTCGTACAAGTGGTTGTATGTTGCACGTATCTCGTCATTTGGGAGCTTGCTCACAAAGCCTTTGCGCAGATTCAACGCTACCCGACTGCCGACTGCCGGTTCCGACACTGCCAAAAAGTACCCAGCCGACTCGCACAACCACGTCGTATTCATTCGCAAGAATCGTTTCTACGAAGTTCCGGTTGCTATCGACGGCAAGGAGCTCTCCGTGGCAGACTTGGAAGCGCTGATTGCCAAGGTTGTCGCTGCGGCAGACAAAGCCGGTGCTGGACCAGCTGTCGGTGCACTCACGAGTGATAATCGAGATATTTGGACAGAAGCTCGCAAGCATCTCGCGTCGGTTGGTCATAATTCAAAGACGCTTGAGAGGATCGACTCGGCGATTGTGGTTATCCCGCTCGACGATACGTCGCCTACCTCGCGTGAAGAACTCAGCTGGGCTTGTTGGACTGGTGCGAATGGAGGGTCTGGTCCTGGGAATCGCTGGTTCGACAAGCACCAGTTGATCGTCTTTGACAATGCTCGAAGTGGTTTCCTCGGTGAACACAGCTGCATGGTATGTGTGACTCTCAGCGATCAACGTATGGTTGATAACGTTTGTTCAAGGACGGCACACCGACGTTGAGGATGACAGAGTTTATGATCGGAGCTGCTGCCTCTGGCAAGATCCCCACTGAGGGTTCTCCAGCCTCCAATCTTCCTGAACCAAAAGAGCTCACGTTTGAACTGGACGACAAGGCAAAGAAGGCGATTCAAGTCTCGGAAGCCAACTTTGCCGACCTAATTGGCCAACATGAGCTCGAGGTATGAAATTTCCTGATGCAACTTTCTACTTTAGCTGACGGTTTATAGGTGCTTCAATACGAAGGGCTCGGAAAGAATACTCTCAAGACGTACAAAATCTCACCAGATGCCACTGCGCAACTCATCAAGCAACTGGCGCTCCACAAGCTCCATGGTCGGCCTGGAGTCTGCTATGAGAGTGCACAAACGCGCAAGTTTGCCTTGGGCCGAACCGAAGTCATTCGCGCCGCGAGTCAGGAGAGCAAAGAGTGGGCAGAGGCCATGCTCAAGGGCGAAAAGACGGATGCGGACAAGATGGTCTTGTTCAAGAAAGCTGTGAACCGACACTTGCAGTATGCAGCGTGGGCTGCCGACGGTCAAGGCGTCGACCGACATCTATTTGGACTGAAGAGACTGCTCAAGGAGGGTGAAGTGAGCTATTTTTACTCTTTTTGTGTAGGGGATTTCTTGCTGACGATCATATAGGAGACACCGAGATTATACGAGGATATTGCGTTCAGTCGCACGAATCATTGGGAACTGAGCACGAGCAATCTCAGCAGCAAATGGCTAGACGGCTGGGGCTACGGTGAGGTTGTTCCAGATGGGTATGGCTTGTCGTATTCGATTGGGGATGGGTATATTCGTTGGACAATGACTTGTCTCAAGGAGATGGGTAAAAAGGACAAAGGAGCAAAGGACTTGAAGCAGGCTCTCACGGAGGCAGCGGACATGGTCAAGGCACTCTTGGAATCGACTGCTAGCGAACCAAAGGCCAAGCTATAGCCAGATGTGTTCGGTTATTCGTTGTAGCGTATAGAGTTGGCTTAGCCGGATATATCTTGTCTTGTTAATGTCGTGAGAGTCATGCCGAGATTTACCACTCTTATTCCGAACTTCAGTGGTGTTCTTGTGATTTTGTAGTCATCTCCGATGGTAAATTGTTGAGCCCTCGCTTGCACCTAGGCATGGCCAGACCGACCTCGGGCTAGGTCTATGGGGCCGCCTGACGCGCCGAGGACACACACGAGCGGCAGGGAACCAGTGCACAGAAACCGGAATACAACGGGAATTCTTGGAATATTAAACTCAATGGACGCCTATTGCATCCAGACCAGGCTCGAGCTCGAAAACAATCTGGGAACCTTCTGATGATACGCGGAGGAGTGTACACACTCTAAGGAACACTAAACAACGGCCGGTCGGGGGCATCCTTATGGAAGTCCCGACTCGCCGTATAAAAAGAGTCTACCTGGAGGCAACAGCACATTCTCCCATCCTTCACGACTGTTGAAAACAACTCGACTTTTAATCCCTACAAGCGACTTCGCATAACCATGCGACACTTTGCCCCGACGGCGCCACTCATCACCGTCTCCCTCCTCACGCTCAGAGGAGCTCTTGGTCTGGCTTTTGATCACTCTTACATTGGAGCAAGAGCTGTGTACAATCCTTCGACACTCAATGGTGAGCGCCCTCTTTGCGCTATTCGATGACTTTTTGACACCTCTGCAGACAAGTATGACTTTGTCATCGTCGGAGGTGGCCTCGCGGGCCTTGTGCTCGCTGGGCGCCTTGCAGAAGATTCTTCAACCTCTGTGCTTGTCCTCGAAGCAGGAATCACAGGGGACGAGGTTATAGACACCATCAACCACCCTGCCAATGCCTTTTACGCCGGTCTCGTCAACAGCGACCACGACTGGCAGTGGAAGACGCAGCCACAATCGGGAGCCAACAACCGTGTCATGAACTGGCCCGGTGGAAAGCTCCTCGGTGGGTCCTCTGCCATGAACGGATGCTACCTCGTCCGACCCAGCAAGATTGAAATCGACGCCTGGCATGATCTCCTCAGTGGACTCGATGGCGCCGACAATTGGACGAGCGACAAGTTTTTCGCCGCCATGGACAAGTCTGAGACATTTACGCCCCCCTCGGACGCGATTCAGGCGACGGGAAATATCCACTACGTAGCGAGTTCCCATGGCTCTTCTGGTCCCATTCATGCCACGTATCCTGCTTAGTAAGTCGTCTATGTTGATTTTGGATTGGCTACACTTGCTAATTCGTTTCCCAGCATGCCAGAAGTCCTTGGCCGATGGACGGATACACTCGCCAATGTTGGTATCCACACCTCTTCTGATCCATCCGGTGGAGACAACACTGGTGCATTTGTCACCACCTCGACGATCAACCCGACCAACTGGACCCGCTCATACTCCAAGACGGCCTACATTGATCCCTTCTACCGCCCCAATTTACATATCCTCACCGAGGCTCCTGTCACTCGTCTGATTTTCTCTGACACCAAAGCCACAGCAGTCGAGTATGGTCAAGATAGGAAGACGGTCAACGTTGGTAAAGAGGTTATCGTCAGCGGTGGACCAATAGGTTCTCCAGCCATGCTCATGAGGAGTGGTGTTGGCCCAAAGGACGTTTTGGACGCAGCCGGTGTGACCACAGTCGTCGAGCTTCCAGGTGTCGGACAACATCTTCAAGACCATCTTGCATCGGCAGTCACCTTTACCACCAATGTGGAAACGGCAGGCAGTGTCCACGCCAACACACAAGATCCTCGTGCTACCGTACGTCTCCAGATCTATAGGAATGCACATAATCTAACGGTTTGATAGACACCCGAGTTTTTGTCGTATGTCAACGACGCTATCGCATATGTTACGGCAAGCGAATTGATTGTGAGCATCCTCTTTCTCTACGTGAATATCGTGCTAAACGCCTCTAGGGTGATGCATCCATCTTTAGCAATGAACTCGCCGGCCAGATCGACAGTGCTGCGGCGCAAGTTCCCTCGTCAGACTCGTCAGTGATTGCAGGATTCAAGGCCGTCTACCAAGCTTCGACCAGGCTTCTCACGACATCCTCTGGTCAAGTCGAGATCCTGCTCTCGCTTACTGGTAACGGTATCATTGCAGTTCAGGCCGCCGTCCAGAGGCCGTTCAGCCAAGGTCGCCTTTATATCAACTCTTCTAATCCCTTTGATCCCCCCGTCATCGACCCGCATTACATGGCCAACCCAGCGGACTTGACCCTCCTCCGCGAAGGCCTCAAAATTGCCCGAAGCATCGGACAAACCGAGCCGCTCAACGCGTCCATTACAGGTGAACAATCCCCCGGAGCAAACATTACGAGTGATGCCGACTGGGACGCGTGGATCCTCAACGACTTCCACACCGAATACCACCCCGGATGCAGTTGTTCCATGTTGCCAAAGGACCAAGGTGGTGTCGTCGACGCTCACCTCAAGGTCTACGGTCTCGACAACGTTCGTGTCGTCGATTCTTCCGTGTTCCCGATCGAGTTTGCTGCACATATGATGGCACCCACATACGGACTTGCCGAACAGGCTGCCGACATCATCAAGGCCCAGTACTCTCTTGCGGGTAGTGGCAATAGTGGCAACGGAAATGGTGGTAGCAATGGCGGCTCTGGCTCTGGTAACGGCGGTAGTCATCCAAACAGCGCCTTGCCTCGCATCACGGGCTCGTTGACTGCTGGATTCGTCCTCGTTGGCGTTCTTTGTTCCCTTCTATAATCCCATATGATCCCCTTCCTCTCACTCGGACATCTTTCCTCTTCTCCTTCCCATCTCACCTTTTCGTTTCTCTCAAGGACAGGGTGCCTTCCCTTCAATGTTCCATCTCATGTTCTCCTCACCTGGTTGTAATTGCTCGTTGAGACGCCCGCGGTCTCCGGTACGGACCTTCCCTTATAAACTTGAACCAACCAGAGATTCATCCTTACATCGCGCATCATGTATCCTTATTATGTAACGACCCAATGACGACTCAGACACAAGTTCTCGTCCCAAATAAGATCTCTTCAGATAATACCTATAGAACTATTGAACCTTGAGAGTCTTTCTCTGCCCCCGAAGAAGATAGCGGCGTGACGCGGGAACGCCAAACTACAATAACTGAGTCTAGTACCAAATTAGATGAGAAGAACCGTACCTTGACAGTTGGATACACGATTAGCAGCGTCGCGATCGTGCTCAAAAATATTTTAATGTTCTTTGGCATTGGCTCTGGGAACATTCCCTTGCTCCACTTGACAATGACGAGGAGCTCGGTTATGATTGTCGCTAGCAAGAGCCAAGTATGTTGGCCCATGCGCACCGCACGGCTAGGTCCAGTTAGTACAGCATCGCACGTAGAGCATCTGCAACATACCGTGAATCGTTCATGTACTGGTAGAGTTCACGTACAGCTGGCAGCCCGCATAAGCTGTGAATTATTAGCCAAGGCATGTAATACTTTGATGCACTTACAATACCCCAACTAAGCGAGCGATGACAAATGGATGTGACGGCTCCATCCAGAGCAGGAATTTGAGATAAAAGGGGTTGAGTTCCGCCGCAAGAAAGACCGACAGAAGTAATACCACAGTAAAGTACGCTGTGAACGACGTTGTTCCACCCCACTCAAAGCTCGTGAAGTCGTGAGGTGAGAATTGCTTGAGAACCTTTTTGGTATTTCGACGAATCGCACCAGGACGTTTTGTTTTGGACGAGGACGCCGGGGGAGCTGGAGTTTGTTCGGCCGGTTTGGGTGTCAATTCTTCGTCTTCAATGGATACTGATTGCTTGTGTCGGAATGAAAATCGGCGAGTATGAGCAAATGAGAATGGCCTGATCTTGCGCCATGAGAAGTGCTTGACCTGGAGATACTCGCATGTCTTCATCCCGACGAACAAGCCAAACCAATTGCAGAGCAGAACATCGAGGATCCAATGGTCCCACCAGCATTCGGCAAAGTTTGCCAGTTGATGTTGAAGAGAGTACTCTGCGAATTCGAATGCAATACTAAGGATCTACGGATGGTGAGCCGCATCCATTGGATCAAAAGGTGCCTACCCAGCAGAACCAATAGTCTCTCAAGATGAGAGCCTTTCCGAACCATCCTAGAGTGTGGGCAATACACTGCGACCGTTAGAAAGAGCATCGTAATAGGCGACGTCTTACAAATATATCCAATGCGTTCTGACAATGTGTCAGTACGAGTCAAACTATCCACGAGTGAGCTCACCCATAGAGTACCAATGCTTAAAGAACAATCTTCTGCATAGCTTTTCTCCGGTAACGGTTTTCCCAGATTAGAGTCGAGCAGTACCATGTATTGGCGTGCTGTGTTGAGATCCTGGAATAAGAGAAACACCATGGCCAGTTCGTAGAGCAGGTTCACAGCTAGAACCACCCGCCAGAAGGCAGGGTGAGGCCGAATAAAGGGTCCATCTCGGAATTGAATCATGGCAAATAGTCTACGCCAAATCAGTATTGACGATGAGGGAGGACGCCGTTGAGGCGACAAAGGAAACTGACAAGAATCCCGATATAATAGCATATATACCCCTATATAAAGCTCAGCATCAGCGGTCATTGACGCCGAGCAAACGTGCGCACAATCGTTGTTTCGAGCGCCCTTCCTCGAGCACGTCTGTCGACATGCCGATATACGCCAGAATTGACATTGCAAAGAACAATATCGTGAGCGTGATTGGTTTGAATACGAATCTCCAGAGTTGTCGTCAGTATACCAGCGAGAAGCGAGTTGAATCGCAGTTTTTACTCGACAGAAGTATCATTTTTCTCTTGAAACGGTTGAATCTTTGCGTAGGATTGCGTCCGGTCAGCCTGGATTGCAGGAGCGCAATTAGCGTGTTAGCGTGCATGACGTTACTGCTCTGAAAAGCTCACGCACGTCGTACCCTGAAAGCAGGTGAGAGAGAGAGACTCAGCAACGAAACGAGAAAAGTAGACGAGCAACGCACACCGAACAGGTCCGTTGATGCCCGGTGTTGGCTCAACTTCAGTCTGCGGGCTCAGCGCACCAGCGTCTGTTTCTTCTTCTAGTGGGTTAGAAGTCGGATATTCTGTTCGAGGAGCGTTTGGGCTGATGTCCGGTGGGAAGCCCGTGGTGGCCATGGTACAAGTTTGGCTCTATTGAGTGAGCCTCGTTTCTCAGACACTCGTTTCAAACATCTTGATACTACTAGAGCGTGAATTTCACGTAGATGTCGTACAACTGTCATGAACATAAGAAGGAACGTGGATTCGCAGGAGAGCGAAGGCCCGAAACAAAGGAGTGTGTGGGACGAAGCATAAAGCGTCGAAAGTCACGAGGTCCATACGAGAAGAGAGGAAGTTGAAAGCGGAGCTAGGCAGAAGGGATGCGGGACGAGAGCTCGACGGGAATGGAAAGCGGTGACCTAATTGATGAATGCGCCAGAAATGTCGGCAAAGTAAACACGTTGATCTTTTGGTGAGTTCCACGATGCATCTGAGCCTACGAGGAGCATCAGTCCCTGTTCTCGAAAAGCTACGCCACTCACCACCAAAGAAAGTTTGAAAGTGGACTCCTGTGAAGTTGGCTGCCGCGTAATCCCTAATAGCAATACCTTTGGCAGAGATGACAGCGTTTCCATTCCAAAAGACTTGGACGGCACCGTCTTCTGCTCCAGGAGTGTTCAGTTTAATATGTTCCGACATTGTGTTCCATTCGCCAGCCTTGAATGTCCAGGCACCCCTTCCAATTGAGAAACCGTAGTCTGAGTTTCTTGCGGAGTAAGGCGGAACACTGAGCAGCGTATAGTCGGTGTTTGGGTGGTCCTGGGGAAGGTATGCGTAGAGTTCACCGTCGCCAGATTTTCTATATGGAGTCAGCGCAAATCAAAGCGTCTTAATGTACCAACCTCCACATATATCGAAGGTCAAAGCACCTGTCACGGTCTTCTTGTCGACCTCCTGTGCATCCGTAGGCGTACTCGCCGATTCCTCCAACTGACACACAACGTCAGCCACCGATCATATCACATGAAAAATACATACAGAGCCCCGGAAGCTTGCCTCCCTTTTGCCACTCAAAGTTCTTGTCGAACATGATGGCATAACTGAACGTGACTTCCTTAGCCCTTGTGATGTTCCAACCCGTTGGACCAGACAGATAGAACCCGAAACCACCGCGAATCGACGACGAGGGATTTCGACTGCCTTTGGGGTAAAACGCCTCCCAAGCCGTCTTCCCATTGACCTGGACAGTGTTGTGCGTCGTGCCTTTTCGATTGAATCGTTAGCTCAGATTGTTACTTGACCAGACGGTGAGGAAGATACTCGCCACTTGAGACACGCTCGACCCGGAGAGCGTCATCTGTCAGCGGGACGTTCTGCACACCAGAGAATCTTGAAGAGGATGTCGTCCATCCATACCTGAACCCGACAGGAAAGAGCGCTTTGTTTGACTGTGTCTGTCTCCGTCTGCTCTGTGCTTCGACATCATCAATGGCGTTGACAGATCCAAAGAAAAGAGCCGTCCACAAGATGATTTGAGTCACACAGAACATTTTGGCTAAGTTGGATGGAACGAGGGGGACGACGGCGGAAAAGGATGGGGAGGGAGAGGGGCAAGAGGTGAACAAAGCGTAATGAGCGCAATACTAGTTCATTCCATAATGTACAATGCTTCAAGGACGATTATTCTAATTAGCCTTAACTTCTTTAGTTTCCATTCTTTCAGTCGATACCTTGCCTCGCTCATGCAAGTTCCAGTTACGCACAAAGATTGCAGAGATAAGTGCGATTCCCATTGCCGGAACACCAAAGATGAATGTTGTCCGCAGAGCGGACACATACACATCGATGATTGGTAGTTGGAATTCGGTCGGCAGAGAGAAGACGACTGTCACCGATTGCTTGACGGCGTCCAAGATTTGAGTCGGAATTACTCCTTGATAAACCGATAGACCGTCGGAAAGCTGGTTGTTGAATATGCTGCCCGTGATCCTATTCAGACAGGTAAGAATCACGGTCAAATGAAAAGAAACACTCGTACGCAATCCCACACACGCCACCTAGGAGTTGGAAGAAAAGCTGGAGCGACGAAGCAGTGGATATCATATCGAGACGATTGGCATATTCTGCCTGTACGGCCATGACTGGGCGGGGAGTCAGTATAGAATCTTGAATACACGTTACGACATACTTGGGAGCTGAAAGGTTTGACCAATACCGAAGCCGAGAAGAATTTGATATCCAATGACTTTCTTGGCCTCGGTTGTGTTAATTGTGTAGAGTAGGCCCGATCCCACGGCTGCAAAGATGGGTCCAGTGAACATAAAGTACCAATAGCGCCCAAGCTTGCGGACAATTCCACCAGTGCCAAGGTTTGAGACGACCATTGCAATCACATAGGGTATCATGTCGACACCAGACTGAGATGCCGAGTGACCTCTTGCCTGGTAATAGAACGGAATATGGTAGATGGCGCTTAAGTGAGTGCCCATAAAAAAGAAGGCAAATATTCCACCCGCCAACTTGATAAACGGTAAGATATGATATTAGAGCGTCTTGTAAACAAACCTGTGTGCGATTGAGCAATAAATGCATCGGGAGGAGTGCGTTGTCGCCTTTGAAGTATTCCCAAACTCCGAAAATGATGAATAACACGCCGGCCTAGTCCGCAGATCAGATGAAGAGATGATGGCGTATAGCTAAACATACCGTGACAAGTAAAGCGATGATGACCTTGTCATCCCAAGCCCTGGTTACGCCTCCCCATTCTAGTGGGAGTACGAGGGTAGTGACCATGCCAAGAGAGAGTATTGCGCCCACCCAGTCAAGGTTCAGCCACTTCTTGACCAAGGATTGCCCTTGCGACTCTGCAGTTGAGCCAAGTGGCGGATGGAGAGGAAGCAAAGCCGCAACCACAACAGCACTCTATGAAGCTATTAGACAGGAGAAGAGAGAAGTGGCGAGAAACGCACGAAAGCCCCCAATGGGAGGTTAATCCAGAAACACCATCGCCACGAGACGTGATCTGTAAAGGCTCCTCCAATAATAGGTCCACAAACGCCTAAGTCGATTAGTTTGAGAAGGCTCCAAGACAGTATAATGCTTGCGACTTACCTGCAATACCAAAGGTTGCACCAAACGATGCCATGAGGATTGGCCGGACCGAGAGCTGAGCAATCTCGGCAACAATGGTGATGACGGTCGTGAAGCCTCCACCACCACCCACACCTATCGAAATATTAGAAGCAATATCTACTAGAGGAGCCAGTGCGTGCCTTGTAGCGCCCTTCCGAAGATCAGCACATTCATGCTTGGAGCGACTGCACAAACAAGACTGCCGATCTCGAACATGACAATACAGAATAAAAACAGGTACTTTGATGAGACGATTTGGAGTATGCGTCCATAAAGCAACAGGAGACCGGCCTGTGTGACTGTCCCATCGAGATCAGCCGAGTCGCTCCAAAGCTATGGGACTTACGGAAATAGGCAGCCACAATCCATGTAATCTGATCCAGTGCATTAAATTGCGAAACGAGTTTTGGAAGAGCTGTAGCCACGATAGACTGATCCAGTGCAACGAGAAAGGTGGTCATCAATAGCCCCGAGTGTACAAGCGCGAGCTTTCGTCCGTGTAGGTATGTGTCCGTGGTCTTTTCATCATCTTTGACGGCTTCGACAACTCCTTGTTCCACTTGAGATTCTTTCTTTTCTCCGGGTGTCGAAGGCGCAGTGTCCTTTTCTTCGACAAGAGTATGCGCAGTACTCGCAACGTCCGCCATCGTAGATGACTATCAAGACGTCTATTCCTATTCCTGGTCTGCTAGAGACGCTCTTATACGCAGTCCCGAACCTCCGATAAACATTGTCCGACTCGGGATGGACCACCGGGGCCGTCTGCGCGGCTGTCAATGCAATGCCGTGAGCATACGTGGATGCATTACTCAGCCAGTATCGGCTAACTGATGCCCAATCGCATGTCGCTCTCAGAGCCTCGGGCCAGCTATAGTAAACTGGGCGCTATGTGCTCTCGGGGTGGCATCTGGGTACTTCGTTAACGTTTACTATGCGAATAGTGTGGAAATCTGGATCCGAGTCGTGAAGAGGGTGTGACCAAGATGTCTCGGCAACCCTGCTGAAGGATTGAGCACTCCAGAAAGGTCACGGTCGCATCTTATTCTTATGGTATACTCCTTTATCTCATTTTACCAACACTCGGCGCCTCGGATACTCAGTGAGCCTTTTTTTCCTGGCTGTCGACTTTTAACAAGACATCCATTGGGGTCCTTCACCGTATGATTTCTATTGGGTATACTTGGTTTAAAAATCGCTATTCGACGACTCTCAGACATTTCCTCCCAGAGTTTCCTTTCTGCTGTGACAGCGACTGTATCAATTTGCTGTTGGTCGTGAAGATCATAGCTCTTGACAAATAAAGCCGCTAAAAGCGCCAGAAACATTGCCGGAACACCGTAGATAAACGTCGTCCTGAACCCATCGACATAGGCGGAGACAACCAATGGTTGAAGGTCTTTTGGGAGCCAAAAAACGACAGAAATGGACTGCTTTACTGCGTCGATTATCTCGACAGGGAGTTGTGAAGCCACCTCGCCCACCCATTTTTGAGTTTATTGACAAAGATGGCGCCGGTGACCCTGGGCCACGGTCATTCATGCCCGAGACAATGTGAAAAAGGCCTACGAGGCACCAACAATGCTCCCTAGGACTGCCAAAATACCTGGATTAAATTGGCAACAGGGATGAGGTCTGGCTGGTTGGCTCGCTCCGCTTGAACGGCGATAACTGCGAGGTGTAAAGATTTTGAATATAATGTTGAATATGGACGTACGAGGCATCTGAAATCCTATGTCGATTCCAAAGCCGAGGAGTATCTGGAATCCGATCACTCTGGGCACAGGAGTATGCTCGTTGATTGTAAACAGCACTCCAAATCCTATAACTGCAAATATTGGGGCAGCAACCATGAAATGCCAATAACGACCCACTCTCTCGGTCACCACCGCAGGCCCCATGTTGCCGATGATCATACTGACAACATATAGAATCATGTCGACTCCACTTTGCGAAGGGGTACATCCTTTTGACTGATAGTAGAAAGGAGTATGATAAATAGCGCTGATGTTCGTGCCTTGGAGGAAGAATCTGTATAGGCCCGAGAACGACTATATCGATCAGTAAGGATGCCATATTTTGGGACAGTTAACCTACCTGTGTGCGATTATAGAGTATGTTCAATGGTAATGGTGCCTTGGTCCAACGGAGGTACTCCCATACGAGGAAGACAACTAACAAGACGACCGACTACGTTTGTCAGACGAATAAATATAGCAAATACAACATATACTGCCACAAATAGTGAGATAATAAGCTTGTCGCTCCATGGGCGAATAGCTCCGCCCATTTGCAGAGGGACGAAGAATGTGGTGACCATAGCGATCGAAAGGACGACCCCAATCCAGTCAAGAGCGGGCCACTGTGAGAGCGTCTCTGTCGAAGCCAAATAACCAACGTATGAAACTTACTAATACTCTAACGGTGAACTCAATGGAGAAATTTTATGTGCTGAATCACTGCTACTTAGTAATTGAGTTAACGCGAAGCGATTTGCTCTCCGACTTACCCACTAACGAACCGGTGCAGCCGCAGGTACTTATACTAGACCCTTCAGATGTGAGGGACAAATTGCAAACTGATGGTCCTAGCCCCTAAAGAGGGCTCGTTTATAGCGCCAGGAGGTTGGCGAAATCGTACCACACTGTAATTTGTGACTTTCTTTCGAGTGGGAGAACTCAACTAACATGGTCACCTTGACTGCCAGCGATTTATGAGGGGTGGGGGCACGTCTCCTCTCATCGCTACGCGCGTCCAACCACCAGGCTGAACGTAGTTCCATTTTTACACCTACACGCTTTTACACTCCTCCGGGTTTGCCGGGCTTCCCAGCAGCCTTCCACGCGCCGAGGATAAGGTCGATCACTTCGTCGACACCAGTCCCTTGTTTCACACTCGTAAAGATAGTTGGTCCATTATCTCTCATCTTCTTCGAGTCACGATCCATCACCTCTAACGAGGCACCAACGTATTGCGCAATATCAATCTATACAAGTCAGTATGGAGGCAACGCACGGTAGCCAGACGCGTCCATACCTTGTTGATGACCAAGAGATCGGACTGGGAAATACCCGGCCCTCCTTTACGCGGAATCTTGTCTCCACCAGCTAACATCCATCAGACCAGAATCGCCCCTGAAACCAACGCAAACACACCGACGTCAATCACGTAGATGATATAATCCGCCAACTCGCGCGAATAATTCGCCGCCAAATTATCTCCGCCACTCTCGACAAACAAAAGCTGACAACCGAATTGCGCAGTGAGCTCCTCGAGACTCCCCATATTCGCTGAAATGTCCTCTCGGATCGCTGCGTGTGGGCATCCGCCCGTTTCGATGGCGCGTATACGCGCAGCTGGGAGCGCCTCGTTGCGCAGGAGAAATTCTTGATCTTCCCTTGTGAAGATGTCGTTTGTCGTCACGGCGATATTGTACTCGGATCGCAAGCGTTGGCAGAGCGCGAGCGTCAGCGCAGTCTTGCCTGATCCAACTGGCCTACAAACTAAATCAGGGCTGAATTTGATGGAAAGAGGTAATATGTGCGTACCCTCCAATCCCAACGGTGAACCCGCGCTCATTAAAGTCTCGACCGCTATAATCTGGGAGATCTCGCTCGCCATACTTGCCTTATCAACGAAATGACTCATTAATTAGTTCAGAGGAGACATATCGCCGACTATACCTGCGTGTTCGAGGTGCTCATGCGTATGGCCATGCTCAACCGCACCGTCGTGTGAGTGAGTGTGGCCACCAGATCCATGGTCATGCGAATGAGCTTGAGAGGGGTTTCCTCCTGAAGTGATGTTGTTGTTAAACTTGCAAACGTCTTCGGATGCCATCGAAGTCGGGATCAAAGATGGCAAGTGGAGTTTAGAAGTCTCAGTAGTCGCGGCAAGAGAGAAAAGGTAAAGCAAAGAACGTCGTTACGAGTATCGTGAGGTTTCGAAACAGGAGTACAACAAGAGTCGTGAATGCAGACGGGCTGCACCAAAGAGAACCGTACATGTGATCAAATCAACAAACCCTTCGTGAACATCGAAATTATATCGATGCCTGCGTGAGAGGAGAAGAGAGTAGAAGAGTAAAAGAAAGAAATGGTCACCGTGGAGATTTGGCAGAGGCACCTGCTTCGCCTTCTCGCGTCTTGTCCTCTACCTTCTTCCAAAACGCGCCCCAGTCCTGTCCACCATGTGGATGCACACCAGGAGTACTCGTTCCAGGAGCATGTCCGGGTGAACTGGCATATGGAGTATGTCCCTTGCTGACAATACCGGCATAGGCCTCGTTCTGCGCCTGAGAGACCCGGTCGAGAGCCTTCATGAGAGACGGCGTCATCGGAACAGCACCAGGAGGCGGAGACTCTGAGCGGTTGGATCGACTAGCTCGCATCTCTATCCCTCCAGATTCGAGATCCTTCTTCCCGCCCATTGAGTGTCGTTTAATAAACTCTGGAGTCCACCCTGGCGCATCACGAGACTCTTTTCGGCGGCGACCAGTACTCGTGCTTTGCGCTACGCTCTCTCCGTCCGAGTAGGCGAGGTCACCATGTTCCTTTGCCATGTCGCCCATCTTTCCTTTCGAGGTTGCAGATGCACCATCTGCAAGCGTCACTCCAGAGAGACTCGTCGCCTGGGTATCCTTTCTCTTGGCCCAGGGTCTTGGTATATAGCGTTCTTGACCCGTACCTTCCTCATCCGATGAGTCTTCGGAGCCAGATGAGAAGTCGTGCTTAGTGGCTTTGTTGAGGGGCTGGAAGCTATCTCTGCTATACGGAGCGGATTTCTTGCTTTGTGTGCGCAATTTGCCCGCACGATACGGTGGAGGAGAAAGAGGTGACTTTGATGATAGTGCGCCAGTATCATTAGGAAAGAGGATTGGATCCTTAGGAGGTGGGTTGAATATCTTTTTCCAGAACGGCGTCGAGGGCGTAAAGTTTCCAGGACGGTCATGTGCGTTGGGAAGTTGAGAAGCATAGCTAGAGAGGTATCGGTCCCACTTCTATAAAACAGTTAGGATGAGTCTCTTGGGGTAATAACTAGCATACCTCGTCAGGACATTCGCCAAACTGCCGCTTGAGGAGCCAGTCAACGCCGATTCCTACAGCAGCGAACCCCATGAATGCGGCCGTTATTCCCTTTTCCTGAGCGGTACCCCAGCTAGCATCCCAGCTAACCCACAAGCGCGCCCAGACATCTTCCCAAGTCTTGATGCCAGCGAGGATAGAAATCGACAAGATGATTCCAAGTGCACCCATCCAAGCTGCCGCGGACCGCACTGCACCGTGTTGGACTCTTGGAATTGGCAAGAGGCACAAGATGGCGGAAAGTATCGAAAATACGCCGAGCAGGATCACTCGAGCGGGTTGCGCCGGATGACATGCGACAGTGACAAAGAGGGAGAATGCAGCTCCTCCCCCAATACCAATCATCGGTACAGCGACATACTTCCACCGCCCAGCGAGGACCGAGGTGACCAGTGCAGAGAGGAGCCATATGACGAGGAATTGAATGCCACCAAGAGGCGCGTAGGATGTCCGGTTCATGATGAGTAGCGCCAGCAAAGTGGACAGGTGCACTGCAATGCAAATGAACATCAGCGGATCTGGGCGGCGTACGAGAACGAACCTCCAAATACCCAACCACCGAGTAGACCACCAAGACCACCTTCGAATCTCCATTTCTCCTTTGCTGTCGTTGGCCCTCCTGATGGTGCAAACTGACGAGTACGGTCCAGAGTCAAGAAGGCACCTGCAAATGTGACCGGGAGAGAGAATGCGAGGAGAAGTGCTGCGTAGACAGTTTGATAAGGTGCAGGAAGAATCTTGAAGACTGTAGCAGCAATGGAGCTCGCGTGAGCGCATCACCTTGGCAGCGGATGGAGCGTACGCACGAGGGACATCGTTCAAGGACGACTGATAAGACTCCATGTCGTGTACTTTGTGCACTTTAGTGGTCAACGGTGACGCTTTCAAATGCACCAGTCCACGCCAGAGTGGGACGAGTCCAAAGTCCGGCCTTAGCAGTGGCGTCGGTCGGAACGGCTAGGGCAGCATTTGGATATTATTGTTTGGAGACATGTTTATGATTTGGATGCTTGTGTATTTCGCATAGTGGTAAACGGCTTTTGATCTCCACTCTATGACAGCAACAAGATCGCAATCCGGTGATTCACTGCGCCAGCTCAAGCACATCTCTGATAATGGATACACTGTGAATATAGTTGGATCGTTTTTCTCGACCCAAAACCAGAACTGGCTTGAGATCTCTTCGAATGCGATCATCTCGTGTCCTAAATGGATGTGAATAGAGCTCTCAGCAGCTAAAGGGCGAGATGACCGCTAGAATACCGAGAGCTGAGCATGGTGTGCCAGAGCCTGGCGCACAAACCATCTTATCCCCTTCCACGCTCAGCTCAGGTCAAGCCCCTACAATCTCATACACACAAAGAAATCATTCAAGTCACGTTGACAATGCTCGCTTCATACCAACTCTGTAACACGCTCGAAACCCTCAGCATCGCACTCAAGCACCTTTCCACAGCCAAAACCGTCTACCTTGACTGCGAGGGACAGGACCTCGGAGACCAAGGTGGCATTCTTTCCATCTTGAGTCTCGGGTGCGTGACGTCGACTTCCGAGGTCAAGAATTCGGCGACGCTCAGCATCTTCCTTATCGACGTGCCTGCGTTCCAGACATACACCCACCAAGCCAATCCTTCTCCTCTTGTACCAGTATTCGCGATCCTGACCAGCAAAGAGGTCCTCAAGGTCGGGTTTGACCTGCGCATGGACGCGTCCGAGTTGCGTCACGGACACGATGTCGTGATCACGCATGTCCTGGATCTTCAGATTGTCGACTTGATGTGTCGCGACAAGAGCGAAGAGGCGGTTTTGCAGAGGTTGGCTGGATACTTGGCGCCTCGAGAGGTGCTTCGAAACCGAGAAATCTACAAGCATGTCCTGAGGCTGAGTGGACTCGACAAGGCGCTCATAGATCAAGGACAGTCAGTGCCGCGCAAGCCCAGTGAGTCTGCCTCGTCGATTATCTGTGAATTTACGCTGAGATGCGATAGAATTCGATCATTCCAAGTGGATGCATCGCCCTCTTGACGAGGATAATCTCTTATACGCCGCAGAGGACGTCTCTAAAATTCAAGTCCTTTACGAACTCCTCGTTCGCAACCCGCTCGTCAACGTCGAGTTGGCAATCCAGCAGAGCGAGGCTTACATCCAGTCACATGCTTCTGCGCGCCCAGATCGCACGAACAAGTACCTCAGCCATGGATTGCTGCCACTCGCAATCCTAGAGGGATCTACGACGCTGTCTGCCTCGGATAGCAAAGTATGCATGGGATGTAAGAGGTCTCTACAGAAAGCATACTTTGAGACAAATCAGCAGGCTATTGGAGGGGGGAGCTTGTGCTTCGTGTGCCATGCCGTCGACCAGCATACACTCGAGGCTCAGAGGAATCCTCCACCTTCTCGTTTGTACTAGTTGTGATACATTGCAGAGCTATTGAATGTTATGCCTTGACAAACTGCGACTATACTGGCCCACCTTTGGCTTATCAGAGGACGTTTATCCAACGACATTCACCGGCTGGGTACTTCGCTCCTTCCCTACAACCATGCATCTCCACCGTGCCATTCTAACACCTTGAACAAAGAGTAGCGTCTTTACTGGCCACAAGCGCCGAACTAATTGAGGAAAGCAAGCTTACTGATTTTGGTCTCCGACTTCATCCAGCCTGAGGAAACTTTATGATGTCTCTCTTTCAGAAGATATTCAAGAAAACTAAAGACAGTAATGAGTTGCAAAATGCAAATGCCTCTACAACACCGACGAGTCTAGTTGAAGCCTCCACGAGCATCGCAGCATCGATTGCCGTACCAGCAAACATGGATGCTACTGCTCCTGGAACAGGTCAGATGGAGAGGCCAAAAACTCCATCTGATGCCCAAATAAACGTACAATCCCAAACTCAGCAAGACGCTGACCGGTCGACCCGAGGCTCCAAGACGGACAAATGGCTTTCCCGAGCGGCTTTAGTACTTGATTTGACCAAGAGTGCCGCTGACGCAGGCGGTCTCGCGCCATTGAAAGGAGCATGTGAAGGCATGGTCACTCTCCTGGGATCCATTCAGGTAATTCTGCAAATCTGTCGTGATTATGCATGCTCATGAAGTTCAAGGCAGTCAAAGATAACCAGTCCGCCTGGTCCGAGCTCCTACGGACGGTCCAGGAGCATAAGACGGCACTTCAACGGCAGCTCGACCAGCTGGGTATCAAAGACATACTCGAAGAGTGTGAAAAGTCTATTAGCGGTCCGGTCATGGATTATACAACGTGGGTTTATCAATTCCTCCTTCGATGGAAACTCATTCGCACAGCACCCTCAAGGAGTTGGTCGCCGATATCTGCGTAGATTCGGGACTCAAGGAATCCGAGATCGACGGAGGTATCACCTTGAAGATACTGGCTCAACGTATAGGCACTACAAGACTGGAGGCAGACATCATCACTACGTACCAGCGACGATTGACAGATGCTAAAAGCGGACTGATGGTAGATTTCTCATCTTGAGACGGAATTGACTCACTCATTCTGCGCAGCAAGCTCTAACGCTCTATATTACCATCTCGGTGAAAGCGACGGCGGAGAGGGATATCTTGAAAGACCTCCGGTCTAAACCGCGCCAACGTCCACCAGAGTGCCAACCGGGAACACGCGTCGAGATACTGGCCAAATGTGAAGCCTGGTCAAAAGACCTGGATGCACCGAACATCCTTTGGATCAAAGCCGCGCCAGGAGCAGGCAAGTCGGCCATCGCATCGACATTAGTGACTACATTAGGTATCAAAAAAACGCGCCTAGGAGCGACCTTCTTCTTCAATCGCCAGGAAACAGCGGCTGTCACTGCGAGCACGGTGTGGCAAGGTATCGCTTACGATCTAGCACGACACCCTACCATTCGTAAACAGCTCGCAGACAAGATGAATAAGGAGGAGATTGACCTGGCAACTCCCAATATCAATACCATCTTTGATCAGTTGATCGGAGAGCCATTGTCTAAAATCGGCACGGTATCCGGGGATCAATCACCTATAGTTGTCCTCGACGCATTGGATGAGTGTGGTGGACTGGAGGGTGTCCGGTCGACAGAATTTCGCAACCTCATTCGTACGCTCGCGGCGTGGTCTGATCTCCCGTCCAGTTGCAAGCTGATTGTGACCAGTCGCGAAGAGGCCGTGATAGCAAGGATCTTTACTGGCCCTAGAACACCATATACGATCGATTTGCTTATCGGAGAAGAGACGATCAATCAATCGACGAAAGATATTCAAGCATTCCTGAGCCAGGAGCTTGGGGAAATCACCAAAGAGTACTCTTCTTTACCCGTAGGATGGCCTGGAGTAGCCACTATCGAAACACTCGCGACCAAAGCCGGTGGGCTATTCATCTGGGCGTCAACAGCGGTCGAGTATATCCGCCGTGGTCCTCCAAAGGAGAATTTGGAGGAGATGATTCATGCCGATATCACTATGGGTATGAGCGCACTTTACACCAAAGTTATCGACACGGCTTTTCGAGACGCACCGAGCAAAATCATTCAAGAATCTCAGATGGTTCTTGGTACCATTGTTGTCGCCAGAGAGATCTTGGACATCCGGACAATAGCAGAGCTCCTCGCAATTGACTTGTCGAGGGTCGAGTACATATGCAACGCTCTACGGCCCGTATTAGAAATTAGGAAAGGCGCGCGCTTTCGCCACCAGTCGTTTGTGGACTTCCTATTAAACCAGCAAGCAACAGGTTCGGCACTCCAGATTGACACGATCAACTGTAATCAGATTCTTGCTGATCATTGCCTACGGGTGATGACAGAGAGGCTGAGGTTCAATATTTGCGAGATTCCGTCGTCGTATCTACTCAACAGCGATGTCTTGAATACACTCTCATCCATAGAAGACTACATCCCATCCTGTTTACAGTACGCATCGCGATACTGGGTAGACCATCTGCAGGGTATACCTCCTGGTGAAGAAACGATAGTAGGAATCAGATATATCCTCAAGAATCATTTCCTCTCTTGGCTCGAGGTCGCAAGTTTATGCTCATTTGCACACGCCTTACAGTCTATCCTAATTCCATTGATCGCGTGGCTGAAGGTGATTCCATTCAGTGTTAAGGTCTCTCACTGACTACTCCTAGATAAACAATGGCGGGAGCCTGATACCATTCGCCACGGACATGCTTCGGTTCACGACCCATTTCATTGAACCAATATCGTCAAGTGCAGCACATATCTATATTTCTGCATTATCGTTGTCCCCAACGTCCTCAGAGGTGAAAAAGAACTACCAGGATCGGTTCCCAAGCGGGCTAGTCGTTTGTACAGGTGGCTATCGAAGCTGGTCGCCACTTCTTCTGACTTTGCGTGGACATAGCGGGATTATAACCGCTGTTACGATCTCTCCGGGTGGTGATCGTATTGCCTCTGGTTCGGAGGACAACACGATACGGCTCTGGGACGCCGAAACAGGCAAGCAAATTGGACAGCCACTTGAAGGACATACGGAAAAAGTCAATTCGGTCGCATTCTCGCCGGATGGTCGTCGTATTGTATCGGGCGCAAATGACAACACAGTACGATTATGGGATGCTAAGACAGGAGAGCAGATTGGACAGCCACTTCAAGGACATACAGACCGGGTTAGGTCGGTTATGTTCTCGCCAGATGGTTGTCGTATCGCATCTGGCTCGGATGATGAGACAGTAAGATTGTGGGACGTAGAGACAGGCGAGCAGGTGGACCACCCACTTCGAGGACATACAAACTGGGTTATGTCTATTGCATTCTCACCGGATGGTCGTCGTATTGTATCGGGCGCAAATGATAAAACAGTACGATTGTGGGATGTAGAGACAGGCGTGCAGATTGGGGAGCCATTTAGAGGGCATACCGATTACGTCAGGTCGGTCGCGTTCTCACCGGACGGACTTCGTGTCGTATCTGGCTCGCATGACAAGACAGTGAGATTATGGGATATAGAAACGGGAAAACAGATTGGACGGTCATTCGAAGGACATGCAAGCTTTGTTCTTTCGGTCATATTCTCGCCCGATGGCTATCGTATTGCCTCCAGCTCGGGTGACAAAACGGTACAATTGTGGGATGTGGAGACAGGGAAGCAGGTTGGTCAGCCGCTTGTAGGCCATGCAGATCCAGTTGGATCCATTGCATTCTCGCCGGATGGTCACCGCATTGCATCCGGCTCAGATGACAAGACAGTCCGATTGTGGGGTGTAGAATCAGGCGAAGCTACTGTGCAGCCAGTTGAGGGACACGCAGACTCGGTCATGTCGGTTGCGTTCTCGCCAGATGGTCGCCTTATCGCATCTGGCTCGGGTGATAAGACAGTACGATTATGGGATACAGAGACAGGCAAGCAGATTGGAGAGCCACTTGAAGGACATACGAGATCAGTCAACTCCGTCGCATTCTCGCTGGATGATCGTCGTCTCGTCTCTGGCTCGGATGATCAGACAATACGATTGTGGGATGTAGAGACAAAAAAGCAAATTGGGCAGCCATTTCAAGGACATACAGACCGGGTTTGGTCTGTTGCGTTCTCTCCAGATGGCCTTCGTATTGTATCTGGCTCGCAGGATGAGACAGTACGATTATGGAACGCAGAGACAGGCGAGCAGGTGGGGCAGCCTCTGAAGGAACATACAAACCCGGTGATGTCGGTTGCGTTCTCGCCAAATGGTTGTCGTATCGCATCTGGCTCCGGCGACCACACTGTACGATTGTGGGATGCAGAGACAGGCAAGCAGGTTGGACAACCACTTGAAGGACATATAGACTGGGTCATTTCGGTCACATTTTCACCGGATGGTCGCCGTGTCGTATCTGGCTCAGGCGCCCGGACAATACGAATGTGGGATGTAGAAACAGGAGAGGAGATTGGGCAGCCATTTATTGGACACAGCGGCGATATTAACTCGGTCGCATTCTCGCCGAATGGCTGTCGTATCGTATCATGCTCGGAGGACCGGACGATACGATTATGGGATGCAGAGATAGGAGAGCAAATCGGGCAGCCATTGAGAGGACATACAAGTTATGTCAAATCGGTCTCATTCTCGCCAGATGGCTATTTTATCGTGTCTAGTTCAAGTGACGGGACTGTCCGGCTGTGGAATTCGACTAGTGAGAGCCTTGTAAGTGCTTCTGACCTTTCGTCTCGTGTCTATACTGAACTATCTAAAGGATCTGCTTCCTAATCTCCACTCCGTAATTGACGGCGATGGATGGTTGCTCACACCAGATGGCAAGCCGCTTTTCTGGGTTCCGCCTCAGTTTCGCACTGGCCTTGTTCGACACGGAGTTCGTATCATGGGCCAATGTCAAAGATTGGAAGTTGACTTGTCCCGATCTGTCTATGGAGAAGAGTGGACACGAGTGACAGAAGCCAGGAATGACTAGTGACTTGTGCTAGTGGTGCGTTATTCATGGATATCTCCAGGCAAAAGTTGAAGATAGTGCAGGATCATAGTCTTGATGGATGCTTGAGGACTATACTTCAAGTATCGGAATATATTTTCGGATACGCTTCTGTGTTCCTGTTTCGTAATTAGTTAATGTCGATGGAGAAATATGCCACCAAGTTGGGCTTGTTGGACTTAACTACTCATCAAATAGACATATAGCCGTGCTGGTGAGGGCTTGGCAGATGGCCGTGCCGATTCTGCTGCAATCTAATACTTCTATATAGTCTACTACGAGGGTAAAGAGAACTTTGGCCTGCGTTCAAGCCGACGCACTCTCTATCCCTAGTTTGGCGCCATCGCTTCCTACAGTTACCGATATGATTTTGAGATACAAGTGATATTGACAACTTTGTCCAGTTGCACCGTAATCATGATAGAGGTCCAGCCAACCGAGGCAGGGGTCGGGTGGAGAGCGACTCTCGTCCACGCTGAGCTGGTCTGTCTCGCGGATTGCCAGAGGCGGGAGTTTGCTACGTGTCCAAGTAGTACACGAGATATGTGTTGGCTGAACGAGTGGTGGTCTCCATGCTGGACACATTGCTGCGACGGCGCCCTCATTCTCAGAGTCCTGGGGTCCAGGATGATACGATGAAGAGACCGAGTTTCTATCTAAATGAGCGGATACAAGCCGCGGGAGCCATGGAGAGTCGCAGCAGAGGAGCGCGTTTAGACGAGGCGGCTGTGACTAAAGGCCAAGGATTCTACGTGTACGATCATCCACGGTCCGTTTGTCAGCATCCTTGCTCGGGAGCCTTTACGGCCGCCATTTGGACCCGTCCTGTGCGTACCCTTTAATGCCGTTTGATCGCTCTATCTCCCGTGGCGGCCTGGACATGTCGTGCACCTTGAAAAGATGGGCCATCCGTACTGCTGGCGACTGACGCGTCCACTCGTCCCCCCCGTTTTCCATCTTCCGACTCGGACACTTTTCATCGGAGGATTCACCCTCGTCCGCTTGATATAAACCCAGCAAATCGTCCACTTGACTCTGGGAACTACAAGCAAATGTCCGAAAAGGAAAAAGAGAGTAAGCCAGAGATCGCTTCGGCGACAGAGGCAGAGGCCACTCGCGTCAACAGCAGAGCATCAAATCGTCCGGCAGAAGAAGACCTGAGCAACAAGATCCCAATCCGGTGATTCACTGTGCCAATTCAAGCACATCTCCGATAATTGATACACTGTGAATAGATTTGGATCGTTTTCCTCGACCCACAGCCAGAACTGGCTTGAGATCTCTTCGAATGCGATCATCTCGTGTCCTAAGTGGATGTGAATAGAGATCTCAGCTCATAAAAGACGGGATGGCAGCTAAAATACTGAGAGCTGAGCATGGTGTGTCAGAGCCTGGCGCGCAATCCATCTTATCCCCTTCCACGCTCAGCTCAGGTCAAGTCGCTACAATCTCATACACACAGAGAAATCATTCAAGTCACGTCGACAATGCTCGCTTCATACCAACTCTGTAACACGCACGAAACCCTCAGCATCGCACTCAAGTACCTCTCCACAGCCAAAACCGTCTACTTTGACTGTGAGGAACAGGAGCTCGGAGACTAAGGTGGCATTCTTTCCATCTTGAGTCTCAGGTGCGTGACGTCGACTTCTGAGGTCAAGAATTCGGCGACGCTCAGCATCTTCCTTATCGACGTGCCTGCGTTCCAGACATACACCCACCAAGCCAATACTTCTCCTCTTGTACCAGTATTCGCGATCCTGACCAGCAAAGAGGTCCTCAAGGTCGGGTTTGACCTGAGCATGGACGAGTCCGAGTTGCGTCACGGACACGATGTCGTGATCACACATGTCCTGGATCTTCAGATTGTCGACTTGATGTGTCGCGACAAGAGCGAAGAGGCGGTTTTGCAGAGGTTGGCTGGATACTTGGCGCCTCGAGAGGTGTTTCGAAACCGAGAAATCTACAAGCATGTCCTGAGGCTGAGTGGACTCGACAAGGCGCTCATAGATCAAGGACAGTCAGTGCCGCGCAAGCCCAGTGAGTCTGCCTCGTCGATTATCTGTGAGCTTACTCTGAGATGCGATAGAATTCGATCATTCCAAGTGGATGGATCGTCCTATTGATGAGGATAGCGTCGTATACGCCGCAGAGGACGTCTCTAAAACTCAAGTCCTTTACAAACTCCTCGTTCGCAACCCACTCGTTAATGTCGGTCAAACAGAGCGAGGCTTACATCCGGTTACATGCGGCTGCGCGCCCAGATCGCACGAACAAGTATCTCAGTCATGGATTGCTGCCACTCGCAATCCTAGAGGGACCCACGACATTGCCCATCTCGGATAGCAAAGTGTGCTTGGGATGCAAGAGGTCTTTGCAGAAATCATGCTTTCAGACGAATAAGCAGGTTATTGGAGGGGGGAGCTTGTGCTTCGTGTGCCATGCCGTCGACCAGCATACGCTCGAGGCTCAGAGGAATCCGCCATATTCTCGTTAGTGCTGACTGTAATACACTGCAGAACCATCCAAATACGACCAGAAATTAACCATATTTGATGTGGAGCAGGTTTTTGTGAACTGTTTACCGGCTGGTTCCAAAGCGTTCTAGATCTTGGGATTATGCACTGGTCAGCATCCGACCATATCATCAACTGCTGTTTTGTCTTTACATTGCAACTAATTATTCTATTCTTAGCATCCCACGTGTTCGCCTCATTGTTACCTACAGGCGCAGACGCCAGACTCGAGGAATGCTGGATTGAGGAAGGCAAGCTCGAAGGAACTTGGCCTCCCAACCTCATCTAGTCTGAAGAAATACCATCATGTCTCTGTTCCTGAGAGTATTTGGACGATTGAAGAAGCCCAAGAGTAAAGTCTCAAACGAGGCGCCAATCACTGCAGTACCAAGCCTTGTCCAGGCGGCAACCAGTGTCGCATCATCAATTGCCATGAAACGAGATCCAAACTTTGATGGCCATAGAACCGATACGATGGAACTGCCAAAAATGGAATCTGCCACCAACGAGGAAATTCAACAGAGCTCTCACCAACTGACCAGTGGATCAAAGACGGATAAATGGCTCGCTAGAGCAGCCCTAGTGCTTGATTTGACCAAGAGTGCCGCTGATGCGGGTGGTCTTGCGCCATTAAAGGGGGCATGTGAAGGCATGGTTACTCTCCTGGGATCTATTCAGGTATGCCTCTAGCACCATGACTGGAATATGTACTCACCGGGATCCAGGCGGTCAAGGATAATCAGTCTTCTTGGTCCGAGCTCCTGCGGACTGTTCAAGAGCATACGACGGCACTCCAACGGCAACTGGACCAGCTGGGTATCAAAGATATACTCGAAGAGTGCGGAAACTCCATAAGCGACCCAGTCAGGGATTACACAACGTGTGTTTATCCATACCTCCTTCAATGCGCACTCATCCACATAGCACACTCAAGGAGTTGATCGCCGATATATGCGCCGATTCAGGCCTCAACGAATCCGAGTTCGACACTGGTCTCACTTTGAAGATACTGGCTCAAAGAATAGGCGTCACAAAACTAGAGGCGGACACCATTACTACGTACCAGCGACGATTGACGGATGCCAAAAGCGGGTTAATGGTTAGTTTCTCGCATTCGAGTGAGGTTCATTTTTTCATTTTGCCTAGCATGCCTTAATGCTCTACGTCACCATCTCTGTGAAAGCCACGGCAGAGAGGGACATCTTGAAAGACCTCTGGTCCAAACCGCGCCAACGCCCACAGGAGTGCCAACCCGGAACGCGTGCGGAGATATTGGCCGAGTGTGAAGCTTGGTCAAAGGACTCTAATGCGCCGAATATCCTTTGGATTAAAGCGGCTCCAGGTGCCGGCAAGTCGGCCATCGCATCTACGCTGGTGGATACGCTCGGTATCAAGAAGAGGCGTCTAGGATCGAGCTTCTTCTTTCGTCGCCAAGAGACGGCTACTGTCACTACCAGCGCGATTTGGCAGGGTATCGCGTATGATCTTGCACGACACCCTACCATTCGCCGACATCTTGCAGATAAGATGAGCAAGGAGGAAATCGACTTGACGACGCCGAACATCGAGCATGTCTTTCATCAGTTGATTGGAGAGCCACTATCCAAGATTGGCAACGTTTCCGGGGAACAATCACCCATAGTCATCATCGATGCGTTGGATGAATGTGGTGGTCTCGAGAGCGTCCGGTCGATGGAGTTTCATAAACTCATGCGCACGCTGACGGCATGGTCATCTCTCCCCTCCAGCTGCAAGTTGATTGTGACAAGTCGCGAAGAAGCAGAGATAGCAAGGATCTTTACTGGCCCCATATCGTCACATACGATTGATTTACTCGTCGGAGAGGGGACTGTGAGTCAGTCGACTAAAGATATTCAAGCTTTCTTGAGCGAGGAGCTTGGGGAAACCGCCAGAAGGTACTCTTATTTACCCAGAGGATGGCCTGGAGCAGCCGTCGTCGAAACATTGGCAATCAAATCCAATGGACTCTTCCTGTGGGCGTCAACGGTGGTGGAATATGTTCGCCGTGGTAATCCAAAGAAGCTCTTGGAGGAGATAATGCGCACCGAAAGCGTTATGGGCATGAACGCTCTCTACACCAAAGTAGTCGATACAGCCTTGCCCAACGCGGGAGACGAAACTATTCAAGAATTACGGATGATCCTTGGCGCAATCATCGTCGCTGGGGAGACTCTGGACATCCGAACGATAGCGGAACTCCTCGAAATCGATCTTTCTACGGTCGAGTACATATGCAACGCATTACGGCCGGTGTTGGAAATCAAGGGGGGGACTCGCTTCCGCCACCAGTCATTTGTGGACTTTTTATTGGACCAGAAAGCTAACGATTC